CCGTAGTTTGTATACGATTAAACCACTCTTGAATGACCTTTGGATCCTCTTATTTTGCTCGCTGATAGTTATATCGACGTGAAAAACGAGTCTTTAGCTCTAGCTGTCTTTTGACATAGTTGTTGACCTAGTTTTCGCCGACCGTCTAGATAGGGCTTGAACCGCGCTTTGCAAGCAAAAGATTCGCCATTTCTCGTACCATAGAGGGCCTAGGGGCAGCTCCACGCGTATCCATTAACAATATCCACTTCTTAAGCGATTCCTCTTCAGTTTGGGTCAATTTATGGCTATTGGCGCGTGTTTGAGCGCGAAATTGGTGGCTAGTAATGCGGTCGCGGAGGGTAGTACGAGGCACATTAAAACGACGTGCTACCTCACGGATAGAGGTAATTTCTTCGTTTTTTATAGCTTGTATAGCTAATTCGAGGCGGCCCTCTTGCTCGATAGAATTTCGGCCTGATCGAGCGCGTTTTGGAGGCATGGTGGTTGGTAAAAAATAAAAGGACGCGTGTGGACGCGAAAAAACTAGTTGGGTGGGCGGCTCGCTTGTGTGGGCGGCTCGCTTGTGAATTACGTTAGCCCTTCTTTTCCCTAGCGCGCGTAAACTAGGTTGCTTAATAGATACTTTAACGGAAGCGTCTATTATAGGATCTTCCTTATTATCGCTAATAGGATTATACTCCTTAGTCTCTTGCTTAGCATTATCCTGCTCCTTCTTTGTATGCCTCTCTTAGGTAGAGAGAAACTTATCCACTAGCGTAAGCTACTCCGACTAGATATTAAATCTTGTTATATATATAAATATTATTAGATCTTAAATAGTCTATAATCTTAACGATTCTTGGCGATAGTGGTATATATCGCGAGTAGAGTTGAAAAGCCTCTCTACCCTAGAGCCACTAGCTAGAGTTATAAGGATATCTTAGGTAAGGCTTACGAGGATAGGATACTCTATCTTATGAGCCTTCTAGAATACTAGTGGTGTTGATTAGATAGTATCTAGAAAAGTATTAGATTAATAAAAGTAATTATATAGGAGGGAGAGATATTAAACTTACTACTTCTAAGATACCTTATAAGTTTATCTAAAGTGGTTGGTCTTGACTAGAAAGATATAGTAGGTCTTAGAAGGATATTAATATTAGAAATATCGTTGCTTATTGACTAGGTAGTTAATATTAACTATGTCTCTATATAACGCTATTAATAAGGCTAGATATAAGTCTTAAGGGACTGCTTATATCGTGGTGCCTAGTGTGTCTCCTATTCTGGTGTTAAGAAGAATTTAAGCTTATTGCGGGGACCTAAGATAGTTCTAATTATATAGAGATTATTTGGAATATCATTAGTCTTACCGTAATATTCCGTAAGCTTATCGCGCCTATACTCTAACGCTAGCTTTATTATCTTCTTCCACCTAACTTTCTTTCGTGCTAGCTACGCCTTTGCCTTATTAATGTGGGTAAATAAGGTATTATAGATCCTAAATATATTATAGATAGTTATATTAGTTGTAGCTAATAAAGATAAAGTGAATTTAAAGAAGGGATAGGTAATTAATAGTAGATAGTTAACCTATCGCTATTTAGCTTTATCTATCTTTATATCCGTTAGATTGAACTATATATAAAATCTATTAAATATAGTCTATAGCCGACGTACGCGCTAAAGTATAAGAAATATAGAATTCTAGCGTGTTCGAATATCTTGGATTAGTATAAGTTTTAGTTCTTTTGTCTATAGTCTAATAAAGCTCTTGTGGCGCTAAGGGCTTTTATTAATATAGACTGTAATCTTCCGAACCTAGAGAAGAATGAAAAGTTAGTATTAGATAGAAAAATAATAGTGGGAAGAGGGAGGTAATATACTTTATTTAGGGTTTATATAACCTATCTATTCTCTTGCTGGGCGCTATATCTTTAATTGGCCTATTCTATCTCTTCCCTATTATTTAATAGGTTTATATCTATCTAACTAAGGAGCTCCTTGAGACTAAGCTATATAATATATATAATATATAGTATATAAATGTCGGGATTGGTAGTATATAATAATAAGAGAGATAAATAAATGCCTGCGGGTCCCTATGCGGCAGGGCTGTCCTCAGGACAAATATTTGTAGAGAGAAATACTACCTCCCGTAGAGGTTAGCTACTACTGCGGCGTAGTGGCTTACCCCTGGAAGATGAATAAAGATAAAGATAAAGGGTCTCTTTGGTCTGCCTTTAGGAGAGAAAGGTAGTAAGAGAATAATTCAGATGAAAGCTCTTGTTTTATTCAGTCTGGTTTCTGGGCCATATTTATAGACAGAAAATATTCAGTTCATCTAGCTAATTACCCAAGGTAAGCGTAGGCTGTTTGCCCGAGGTAATCTTGCCGTAAACGTGCTGTTGCCCGAGGTAGGTAAACGTGCTGTTACCCGCGGCTATAGACAGGATAGGCCTAATAACCTCGGTTTGGTAGGCTGACGTAGATTAAAAGCATAGTAAAGGCCGAAGTGAGGGGAAAGTGAGAGATAAATGAGAGATAATTGGAAGATCAGATGAAAGCGGTGAGAGATGGCAGAACGGGAACATCAACTGGAACTTTCCATGTTGAATTGGAAGCTCTGGAAATCTACATGAATTAATGCATGCACCTAAAATCCTGACAACTTTTAATCTATATCGGCGTAAATCTAATATCTATTCCATTGGACTAGTGGTGCCGTGTACTATGAATGCACTAATTATGATACGAATCTATTCGCGGAACGTCTTTGGTCCTTGCCGCTCTTGCTAGGTGAATGCTACTAATGGCGAACTGGATCTCGCGGGCAAACTGTTAAATGCGGGTGAACTAGATAATATTAGCGTGGATAGTGGGGGTGTTAGGGGCGGACTGCTACTATACCCTTCGTCACTAAATATATATTTGGGATCCTCTATTAGGCTAGGCCTGGACTACTCCCTATCGCACTAGTTCTATATCCCCTAGAATAACTCGTGGGCGTCTGGGTCTAATAAATATGCCTTGTGCACGATCACAAACCGCGAAACCTTGATTATACTAGATAATATTGGCGGATAACTAAAGGGATCCTTCTATAGCTGGCCGCCCTCGTGATCGCTCACGCCTAATACAACTAATATATATACTAATGCGCACTCGTACTCACTCGACTAGATCCGCTAGTTTAATAACTTAATCACAAAATCTATATATCGCGCTTCTACGGGCTCTAACTAGTGGGGTTAGTCGTCCCCACCGTTGATAGGGTTCTATATAGGCTAGCCCGCTAGGTACTGCGCGGTACGCTATAATGCATCCTATGCGATACGCTGCTGGCGATTAAATTAGTATACGGGACTCTCCTATTCGTGCGGGACCTACGTTCGCGCAAAAAACATTAACACCCACTAGTACGGCTCGATATAGCGCTCTAACTTAGCGTGCTTATATATATACGCCTATAATAGCTTCGATAGGATACTCTATATATTAGTGCGCGCGGCTTCGATCCATAATAAATGCCTAGTCTACTTAGTGATACTCTAGCTTTTACTCGCTATCCCTAATATAGTATCCTATATCATCTATATAGTGGCTTCGGGGCCCTCGACGTCGTTCGCGGGGGATTCTACGTATATACGTAATACCTTAGGCGTCTAGCTATATAAATAACGGGCCTATCTAGTGCGGTCTAACTATAGATTGGCCTCGTCGATTTCCCTAGCCTAGATCACGGTGGGCTACTGCCGCTGCTAGGTGAATATTACTTCTATCTTATTGATGGCCTAGGCCACCTAACTAGCCTCGGGGGGTAGTACGGCGGGCTCACACGTGGGATTGGGCTATTGGACGTGGATATAATGCGACCTAAATTTGCTATAGAAAAACTATTAGCACACGACTCGTTGCATTACTTAGTCTCGCTTCTCCTATCCTACGGCCGTCTCGGATAGCCACGGTTTCCGACTCTATTAGTATAGGGAAAACTAATAGGTAACCCACTAATACTTCCGAATACTCTCGGGGGATCGATATATATATATACGTAAAATGAACACTTAATCCTATTAGTATAAATGGTTAAACCCACGATAGGCTACTCTACTTACGTAGGGAATATACTAGGCTCGTTGTGTACTTCGTCCCACTCGTTGATAATAATTTCTTTCACTCGCTACGTAACACTCTCGGGGATATAATGATCACCGCGCCGCTTACTTAAATAGCTAATAATATCTCGGGGAACCACGGCGTGCCCGCATTTCTTATAAATAGCAACGTGGTACATTAGATTATATATAAAATAATCGTAGGCATTAATATAGTTGTCCATCGTGTGACTAGAATATATATTATTGGTGCGTTAAACCCACGGCGAATGGACTTAAATAATACCCTCTTGAATCGACGTAGATGATGTTTAAAATGAAACTAGATCTTAGGAAATCCCCCCTGACTACCACCACTTAATTTATAATACGAAACCCCTATTCGTTCTACTGTGATGAATCGTATGGTCTAGTGGCTAGTGGTGTATAGCTATGTGATAGGGTGTGATGGAAATCCTAAATGTCGCCCGGTCGCACCCCATCAAAATAATTAACTATATTTCGGATCCTTGTAACTACCCTTTAATTTTGGGTGATGGGCTTAAAAATCTCACAAAATACGCGGGGGATCTAGGTTTAAATTTAACGGACCTTCGATAGGGATCCGACCAAAAAAAGCCTACTGGGATCTGGATGGGCGTTTCTACTGGGATAAACAAACCGGCTCCCATAGTTAACGAAACCCTACTCTACTAGGATGAACTGCATCCCACTTACCCCCATGGGATAGGTCTAACTATTATCTAGATGTCTCAAAGTGTATATCTAGTTAAAATACTATAATGGAATGAAATCCTTCGCTGGGAAGATTATGCTTGGTGGCAAATTGAAATATGTGAGGTTCCTACTATATAATGATGTTTCCACGTCTAGTATAGCATCTTCGAAAGTTGTTAGTATTTAATTCGAAATCGATACACTTTCCACATGCGAAGTAACAACCTTATTCAGCCTTCTAAGTGCCGCGGGGCCGTTTTCTGCATTGTATTCCTTCTGCATAGCAATTTTCTCTCGCCGCATCGCCTCGGACTTCTTGACACCGAAATCGCTCTGAAAGAGAGCAGAGGCTTCTTCAATCGATAGGCCCTCTATAAAGTTGAGATGTAAGTATCAATTCATTGGTGCGCTTTCAGGGCCACGACTTACTGGTCTCGGGGTAACAGAAGTAGGCAAGAACAAGACCGATCAAAATGAAGCACAGGTAAAGACCGTATGTTCCACTGGGAGTCATAGTTTCCAGTCTACATCTCAAGTTAGCCAAATGCCCCTCGCAGATGTGCGGGAAAGGGTACGAACTCGGATAGGTAGGACACGGAAACAATCAGATTAGCTGTAAAGCTGGCCGTGGTACTGATAGCACTCCCTGCTGCACGAATCTCGAGAGCGAGGTACTCGGATTGATACCAGCACAAATGAGCATAAGTAGATCCAAAACCTGTGACGAAAATGACGATTCCAGCAATAACGAGACCGACAAGCTTCTGAGAGTATATGTAATTCTCATCGAGGAAACCTCTAGTAGGCTTGCACATGTAGTAGAACGCCACGAGGCACCAGGTAAGACCGACGACCATAATGGGCCCAAACTTCATCAGGAGACCGCGGCGGCCGACGCGATCAACCATGATCATACCGCAGAGAAGGAAGAACGTGTTAGTAACTGATGGTATCAGACCACCAAGAGAGGGATTGGAGAGACCCAAAAGTCCGAACAGGGTGCCAGCGTAATAAAGAAGAGTGTTGTAACCGGTGAACTGTCCAAAGGCCTGAATGAAGCTAACGGTGAAGATTGAGCGACGATAGGGCTTGTGAGTCCACAGCTTCTTGGAACGTTCCATGAAAGTAGTTGTGCGTTGCAGAGCAGTTGTAGCGGCGACGTGATCTTTGATGACTAGCAACTTGAGCTCGATAATCTCGGGCGTGGCGTACTTGTAGATCTTCTTGAGTACTTCGCGAGCCTTGTCGTCCTGGTCATGGAGGATAAGAACACGAGGCGACTCGGGAAGATGGTGCATCAGAGCGATTTGCATGAGTGAAGGCACAATACCGAGTCCAAAGAGGATACGCCAATTGTATTTTGTATGTTGCATACCCGCCCCGATAGCAACACTGACGGTCTGACCAAAGGGAATGCAAAAGCCGTTTGTTCCAACACATCGTCCGCGGGCGGCGGTTGGAGCCAACTCAGCAATGTACAACGGGCAAATGACAGCAGCGCCGCCGACGCCGACGCCAAGGACCAGACGACCAGCAATGAGCTGGCCAAGAGAGAAGCTGAAGGCAATGATGATGGCACCGGCAGCGAAGAAGATATCGGAGACGAGTAGACAAGGCTTTCGGCCCCATGAATCGGCAAAGAAGCCCAGGATGGCGGCTCCAAAGATAGATCCAATCGTAGTGGCGGCAGTGGCAATCTCTTGTTGGGGATAGGTGAGTGCTTCGCCGGTTAACTCGGCTCCCACGTAAGGAAGGGCAACACCGACAACACCGGTGTCGTAGCCGTAGAGGAATCCGCCAAGAGCCGCCGAAAGAATCAAGAACGCCAGATAAGGAGTCATCTTGTCTTCATTCTCGGCCTCGATGATAAGCGCGTCAACATGTTGAGAATGCTCAACTTTCTCGTGCCAGGCCTGAAAGACAGACTGTTGTCTGAACCGCTGTCCAGTAACGTCAATCTCGTCTTGGGGTGCCATTGTAGGAACTCAAGTTTTTAAGGCGATGGTGGAGATGGTGATGAGTGATGAAGCTAAAAGAAGATGAGGACTAACATGGAGGAGGAGGAGGAGGGCTTGGTTCGCGGAACTTATACTAATACATGAAGATCTGGGGTAATGTGGAGAGGCCTTTGGGCTAATGAGGAGAGGCTTTGGGCTAATATGGAACAAAGTTTCGGGGAAGTGTCCGGGGTAAGAGTGATCATGCATCACGGAAATTCAAGGCCGGCAAAAATGTCCAACGTACAGCCCTTATTCTCCTTCCCTATCTGAACTGCTACTCCGTATGCAAACTTTGTTTCCATTAAAGTCTTATGGGACGTGAGTTTTGAGGCAAAGTGAAGTGATATCTGACGGTAAATAATGCTTCACACTGGCGGAAGTAGAGTCGGATTTGAACCCGGGACGGACTCCATTTTCCGAAGGGGCCACGTATCTCTACACACTTTACGGGTAGCGCCACTGGGGTAATTGGAGAAATGGTGTGCTTTGATGGGGAGGGGTTGGCTCAAAGCGCAGACTGGGTCGCTTGTAAAACAGTGTTGTCTCTAAGTTACCCTGACGCCCGAAGCTAATAGGAAGCTACAGATCTGGACTTCTTTATTATATATTATGTGTCTGTATGTAATATTCGTTTACCCTGACCCCTTTGCAAACTGAAAGTTGAAGCCCTGAATTGAAGTACAAGTGTGGTAATTATTCAGACTATAAAAGAGCCAGGTATTTGTACTCACATCACAGTCGGTGGGTAGGTAGATTTGAATTATACTGGCCCCTCGCCGAAGTTGGATTCTAAACCACAACCCACTAGGCTGGATAGGAATTCGCATTTTAGCTTAGTGGTTATTCAACTGCCGAAGCGATATGCAGGCTAACACAACTATATGTCCACGTACATACCTGTAGAATCAGCCACTTGTTAAGAACTAATTTAGAGCCTTGTCACGGCTTTCCGTGGCCTAATTGCCGTTACCGTTGTCAGGCTGCCCTTGCGGCGCGCGACTTCGAAACCGTCGTGACGCTTCCGCGAAATCCAAGAACAGATCAATACCTCCATCCGCATCGGCGACAATGTGGCAGACGAACTAGGTGTGTCTTGTGACATTTGCGACTATTGCAAGAACGGCCACTACGACATTTGTCCCGATCTCCGCTTTCGAAGCTCCGTTTCCAAGTTCCCGGATTAGCAAGGCACACCTCAAGTACACCTCAACCAGCCGGCAAAATGGGTACACAAGTTATCGGATAATCTTGGTTATGAGATCGATACCCTTCTCGAATCCCTAGCTATGGCCATTCACGCGGCGCGGCGAATACAAGGTCTTGCTCCACCCGCCGGTGCTGTTGGACTACTATATGCTGCTGCTGCGCAGGCTGAGGGGTGCAAAAATGAGGTCATTGCTGATATTGACCACGGTATATTAGAATTTGCTCCCAAGCACGCTTTTACGTACTTCAGCGATTTACCAAGTTCCTAAGCGGAAGCCGATGAGCCTCGATGCTAGCAAAGATATCGCGCGAGAAATCTAGTAAGTCAAAAAAAAAAAACTGGACAAGTGCACACAGTAATTGAGTGTACCGGTGTTGAGTCCTGTTTGAAAACAACAATTTAATGGACTTTCACCTCTGGTTTTCCATTTTTCGAGAGAAAAAAGTGGCTAAAGCTAATAAAAAACCAGCCATCCAACTGGAGGACGCGTGTAGTCATTAAAATGGGAACTCCCAATCGTATCTTGACCAAACCCTAAGCCTTTTCCAAGAGGAATTGGCCCAGTCCCCACCTGGCGTTACTCCAATGCGTACCCATGTGCGATTCGAATTGCAACTGCTGCGATCAACGGAATCCCTATTAATGGTACCAAGCCGCTAGATATTGGCAAACTGGTTGCCCATAAATTTGAAGGAGTGGGGACTGTGCCATTTGCTCTCCAGACAGGGGTAAGACCATTGATGAAAGCGGCTGCTTAGTTGTGAAAACTGTAGTGGATTTCCCAAAAAAGGCGAAGTTGCCAAACGTGGCCTCAATATGTGAGAGACCGGAGTGTGAAGATTGAAATCAGTATAGTAACAGGCAAAATTGGAAGACAAATATTAAAACACACCTCAAACATAATTACGAAGCTTCTTGATCATCGAATCCATTTCACCTCAGCAAGCCTATAATGATGTTCAATCTGTTGCTACACAAACTGAAATCCGAAAAAAAAGTTTCCCTTCGTTCCCTTGTTTTTCCTAGGAATGGTAATGCGACTGGCTTTTGATCTTGGACTATATATCGATATGTCGTTGCATGTGGCCAAAAGATGGATCAGCGCAGCTGAAGCTGAGATACGTCGGATGGTCTTCTGGGGAGCTTATACTTTGGGCCAGTAAGGAGGCGCCTATCCTCTAGAGACTAGCAATTCCTAACACTGTTTAAAGTCACTAGGGCTTCCTTCTTGGTCGACCGTTCAGAACCAATATGCATGATTTAAGCGTCGACAAACCTGGCCGCGACACAAGCTAGGTCCAAACACAACAATAAAATCCGTATAGTCTACCCTATCCCGCAGCGACTCTTACTGACCTATATCTCCCGAATCCCACGACTCCGTTGGGTGAATATAGTATATAGCTACATCGTATTATGACTCCACTTGGTCATGTTCTGTGGGTCTTTACCACTAGGCGTTTAGAGGTTGTGCTAACACGCCTATTGGTATGGGTCATCGAAGATATCAAAAAGAAGATCCACAGGGCTTGAACGAAGAGACACCAGCAGACTACTAGAATGGAAGAAAAAGTTCCCACCATCTTTACGAATCTGCTTGGAAGATCCTATCACGTCACCCTACTTACCCAATCCACTGCTACTTCAGTATACTTGAAGCCCACTGACCTTTTTCGTGAACGCGACTAACTTGAGCCTTAGTATGCATTATCACCAAGCCATAATCCACACCCACAGGCCGTGGCTGTCCAGAAGCTAAATCCAACCCCAACCGCCAAAAGGACCGGGCTACAACCATACGCGCCAAATGTGCGTTGAATCCGCAACCTAAATTTCCAAAATCCTCCACCTTTAGGAAGTCCGCTACACATTCCGCCGCATGAATATCCAAGCAGTCTCAATAACCTGCTCTGCGGCATTAATGTTGATATTCGCAACTACTCTCAATCGGTGCAGGGAGAATGATAATGAGACTGTAGCTCATTTAAATGTCTATTTTCGGGCACTAGAGGAATTAGGACTTTCGTGAGAAAGCGCGAAGAAAGCGCAGAATTTCTTGCTTCATATGTAAGGAATATGGGAATCAAGGGTTTATCCGTATCAGCCTGCGAAGCGTACTTCTCAGTTACAGGACGAGGCTAGTGTGCAGGTCCCTAGACCGAAACGGACAAGGACTTCTACTGTTTCGAGTGATAAGGATGGCGGGTCATTTAAGACGCCAGATATTCCGAAGACAGGTGAAGTGGATAGTGGGCAGTCCAACTCGGATACGGAAGATTTTAACTGGCTGTGGGCTGCGAGTATGGGTGCTGTTCGTAGACCGCAATAGGAAATGATAAAGTGGCACGGCGACTATTATTATACATTGCAATCAGCGGCTTTTATGAAGATTTATCATGAGACTGTGGGGTATTGGAAATGCTTAGACGTCTTCATTCCAGCTTCGTTGCGTCCTTTACGCATCCAGCCAATTTTGGATTTGGTCTGACACATAACTATAGATAGTATGTAGCATATTCCGTACAGGATCTACCATATTCAAAGATCCTCAAATGATATGCTCGCTTACCTGCTGCTGTGACCATTCAAACCACCACCATCAGGGGCCAAAAGGAAAATATCCTGACTATTCCTTCCGCAAAGGGTTTCCGCCTCTGTCATAAGCAAAGGATCCAGATAGAGGTCTATCTGCGAAGCTGTATCACGGGAAACAGGCGCCATCCGATGAAGTCCGCCAGAAGTTTTCGACCGTTTCCGCGGACTATACAATACCCCGTCTGCCCGCTGTGGCAGTTTGTTAGACCGCATCCGCAGATCCCATTGACGCTGTAAACCGACTAAAAGGTCCTTTGCTCTCTGGGCGCTTTTCCAGGAAAGAGCGAACTCATCCAATGCTCTGAAACATGTCGATAGATACAGTGAGATGTCGTCTCGAGAGTGGCAGGGGTAATTCAAGACGGCGGCGAAGAGGAGTAATAGAATGGCGGAGGATGTGATGGAAACCGCTTGTACGTTGATTCGGCGCAGCGTGTAGCGAGACTCATACATGTTAAGGATTTTGGAGATTGTGATGGCGGATTGGATGCACATTTCGCGGGCGTGTGTGAATCCAGGTCCTCTTGGTGGTTGCGGCTGTAGGTGGCTTTTTGACATCCATGGCCTGTGGGCATAGATTATGTTCTGGTGGTATTGCATGCTTTGGTAGCGATTAGATTGAAGGAAAGAGAGAGGTGGTAAGATAACAAGTTACGTACTGGAGAAGCAGCACATGCGGAAGGTATGGCGAGGTGACGTCGTCAAGATCAATCTGTAAGATAGGTGGAAGGGTAGCTTTCCACTTGCGGAGCTCGGCGACAATTTTGGCATTGAGCTCTTGAAGGGTCCCTTTTGAGATACTGGAGGTACTATATCTGTTATAAATGTCAATCGAGGTTGGATGTAATATTGACAGAGGTTCTTACAAGATATACCCGCATGGAGCCATCAGCTCGCAGAGGGAAACAAGTTGTTGGCTGATTGTGTCTTTGCTGTCCAGCAATCCAGAGCCATGGCTGGCAGACGACGATGAATCGCAGGGTTTCCATCTGCAATGCTCTCTGGAACCTGCATTTTGACGGGGCTTTCCAACTGTCACATCCTCCATGCTGGTGCGAAAGGGTCTACCTAGATGGAAACCTAATTGGCTATACAGTAGTCAGAAAAACGACATATTCAAAGTGCATGTATCGGGGAGGGTATGGCAAACTGGTCAACAATATATGCGGCCCAGAAGACAGTCCTGCGAAGGTCTGCATCGGCAGCTGAGATTATCCCTGCAGACACGTAGCTAGACATGTCAAGGTGCAAAGCAAGATCGAATGCTAGCCTCAATGCCGATCCTTGGGTAGCAAGTAAGGTTTCTTGAATGAAATTATTCAGGTTTATAGGTGGACTTACCGCTATACAGCCACCCTCTTGCATCTTTTCCGTTTCCAACCTCATGGCTGCTCAAGATGACCATTGCTTGAACGGTTGCGACACAAGGAGAATCTAGTTCCGTTTCAAGTATTGACTTCGAGCGATCGCCAAAAAACTCAACAAGCGTCTTCGGAAAGGTGATAATAGTCGGATGGTATCGGGGTTCAAAAGCGCTACCAAGCGCACACCTTTTTGGAATTGTCAGGGTGGGTGCTTCGGAGAGCATTGGCAATAGGCATGACTCACATTGCATTCCGCAGTGCCTCCGAATAGAAAGGAGTCTCTTCCAGGTTGTTCCGCTTTTCTTTTGCTTCTTCGTAGATATATCGATCAACGACATGGAATGATGGGTCCTGCCAGCTGAAATAAAGGTCGAGAAGATGATCTTCTAGAGCCGCAGGGATTTCTTCCTCTGACCCAGAATGATAGGTGTAGCTTGGTTGATCAGCTTCATAACTGTCCGAGACTGGCATTTCCCTCAAATTGAATGTGGATGTTGGGCCATAAAAGCGTGTCTTCCCTCCAGGGCCAATTTTTAAGATACCAACTCGGTCGGAGATCTCGTCAACCAGGCCTTCAATGTCGGATGTGCCGGCCGGTTCCTTGAAAAGGGTAGAGCCACTATCGCTATAAACAGGTTCGGTAGATCCTGCCTGGGCCGTCGGTGGTATAGTAAGATCATCATTTGGTGAAGAACGCAGGATAGGTTGTGGTGGTTGTTGTGGTTGTTCTTGCATGTTGGATGCAGAGGATGCAATGTGTGTACCGAAGTCTAGGTCAAAAAGCCAGGCGTTGAAAATACTGCCCGGGCTATCTTCTGTCAAGGCTGACTGATCACCTTCAAGCGCAATAATTGAAGAGTCGTTATGTTGCGGAATTGACGACAAACCTGAATCTGGTAAACAATTACCCTGCTCAGTTACGGGCAGACCAGTAGTATGTTGTTGATCCAAGCTCCTGCACCCGAATCCCTCTGAGGAGACATCGAAAGGGGCCATCGTAGAAGTAGGTAAAGGGTAATCATCGTGCTTGACCATACTTGGCGGCTTAATGGTTGCATTATTCGGGGGTGGTATTAGACTGACGGCTTGCTCTGTCATTCCAAGGGTGTCGAGAATTCCTTGCAGGGTAGCATCCTTATCATCAGGCATTTTCGGGGGCCGAAGGCCGTTTTCATGGATAAATTGATACAATTGATGGACTCGGCAGCTCAGTAGCTCTATTGCGACACGAAGAGGTAACCTGTCATCACGGTGAAGTCTTAGTCCTAAGATGGCCCCCTCATGATGGTAGGGCTTGTATAATAATCTCACTTTCTCTTATCAAAGGCTTGATACAGACATTCTTTGTTTTTGCTTGCACAATGAGAGCAAGATGGTATATCGCCATCACACTGTTATTCTGTTATTTTAATTACCCAGGAGTAGGAAATCGGGGCGGGAAATACCTTTACTTTGCTCTCCCGACAAGAGACGCATGCCATGGTGGCATGCCGTCGCTTCTCATACTGTTTCATAGAGCTCATTATTGTGCCGTACCCTGTCAAGATGGAAACAGCAGTGGCAGAATGCAAATGAGATGGAAAAATCTGGGGTATGCGGGCTACCCCGCGATTGTGGAGTTCGCCCGTTCTGCGGATCCAATCGGTCATAACCCCGGCTCAGCTCCAGTGTGGCAATGACTTTTCGGTGATTGAATTCCGGCCAAGTTTCTCTTCAGATTAAACTATTTCCATAGTATTACATCTCACCGAGCTAATGCAAATCTAATATAAGTCAAGTATCTGGCATTGGCTGCATGGACTTTGAATTGGATCTCCTATCGCTCGTTCTCGTCGATACTGATACCACCACACCATCCTTTTAAACCCTTTTACGATGTTCCTACAGGATGCCCAGGGAAATTCGCTTCAGTATGGAATCACTGCTGCTTGTGGTGCTGGGTTCCTTCTCTTCGGCTATGACCAGGGTGTCTTTGGTGGCCTCCTGGACAATGAACCCTTTCTGAGGACCTTCGGCTTCCCGGGGGCTACGATCCAAGGTCAGATTGTGGCAACATACGATATCGGCTGCATTATCGGAACACTCGTGTCCATGTATGCTGGTGACAAATTGGGTCGCAGAAGATGTATTCTGATCGGCTGCGTGATCTTGATTATTGGTGCAACTCTCCAAACGGCTTCATATTCTTTCGCGCAAATGATTGTCGGTCGCGTGGTCGCGGGAGTCGGGAACGGAATGAATACCATCGCTATACCTATCTGGCAGACAGAAAGTGCGCGGCCAAAAGATCGGGGTAAACTCATCGTTTTTCAACTGGTCACAAATATTTTTGGCATTGTGATCACGAATGTAAGTACTCATCAGCCTCAACGACCAAACCCGATCGCTGACCGAGATGTAGTGGATGAACTACGGCTTTACCTTTATTCCGCACTCAGCTGTGAGCTGGCGCTTTCCTCTGGCATTCCAGTGCTTCTTTGCCATCATCACCATTGCGTTGGTTCTTTGCACACCGGAGTCGCCTCGCTGGCTTATTATGAAGAATCGCGTTAGCGAGGCACAAAACATTCTCGCTAGGCTCTTATCGAAGCCAGAGAACGATCCTTTCGTTACTAGCGAGATTCAAAATTTAGTTGCCGCTGTTCATCATGAGGCCGAAGTGCAGCAGTCGGCGGCCCTGAAAGAAATTTTCACTCGAGATAGTAAACAGCAAACACTTCGCCGTATGCTTCTGGGAGCTGGTACCACTTTCTTCCAACAGGTGGGAGGTACCAACGTTATTGCATATTACCTCCCAGTGGTCCTTACACGATCAGTTGGTCTGAGTAGTCGCATGGCTTTGATCTTGTCCGCTGTGGACTCCATGTCCCTCATGTTCTGGGGCTCAATAGCAGCACTCTTGATCGACCGTGTCGGGCGAAAGAGACTGATGCTCATGGGCGTAGCTGCCAGTAGCGTTTGTTTTGCTCTTGTTGCTGTGGGTTTGCGATACGGCGGACCAGACAACAAGGGTATGTCGGTCATGGCTGTGGTTTTCATTTTCGTCTATTACGTCTTCTACGGAATGTCGCTGCTCTCAATTCCCTACATATACCCCGCCGAGATCAATTCTCAGAAAATGCGCAACATCGGCACGTCTTTTGCCACAACGGTCAATTGGCTTTTCGTCTACGTTGTTGTTGTGGCCACCCCTACCGCCATCCAAAATATCAAGTGGCGGTATTATATGCTCTATGCTATTTTCAACTTTTGCTTCATCCCACTCATTTACTACTTCTATATTGAGACTGCGACATTATCTCTTGAACAAGTTGATAGAGTCTTTGAAATCAAGCACGACGCAGGAAAAGATATGAGTTGGGCAGACGCAACACGGATCGCGCGTACTGAGAGTGATGATTTGCAGGTTTATGTGGAGAAGGATGACACTGATACAGAGCACTGCGAAATTGCTCCCTGAAAAATGTTGAAATATCACTAAAGTCATACCATGGCAGAATCCAAATACCAGCGAGATAGATACTGGTTGGATTTTCTGGAAAAGTTTACTGTGAACCTCGTGTATATCCAGGTACTAAGGAATACATAGCTCTGCCAATTGTCCTTACGTTCGATTTCTACTTATCTCGGACCCGTTTCCCCGCAAAATTGGTATAATTCAAAAGTTTGGGTATTGGGTACTCATGACCAGCCCATTCATACAATTTCCTAGATTCACGTCGGACATCGAAATCCGAAATCTTTAGCTAAAGATCCCACACCAGAACCACAGGACAAACGGGCTTCGTTACGTATATAACCTTGACCGTCCTCACCTTTTCTGTGTCTCCTCAAGTTCTTGAGACATCTTCTTCCTTCCTTGATATCCTTCGTTCACAATAATGGGCACCCAAAAGCTTTGTGTCGGTATCGCAGGCCTTGGCCGTATGGGTACGTATTCCCATCCTGGTGGAATTGGCAGTAGATCTAACCACAAAAAGGCAAGCGCCATGCGATCAACTTCCACGAGCTCACTTCCCGCGCAAACGTGGTAGCTGCGAGTACTCCCGATAACAACGAGCGTGAATGGGCAGCGGAGAATCTTCAAGGGGTGCAAATCTTTGATGACTACGATGAAATGCTTGAAAAAGCTGACCTGGAAGCTGTTGTGGTTGCGAGTGTCACCGCTGTGCACGCAGAGCAAGCTCTGAAAGCAATCAAGAAAGGCCTTCATGTTCTCTGCGAGAAGCCATTGAGCATTGATGTTGAAGTGGTATATTGATTTGCTATTTATCCTTGTGAGTGAGGATTTGATGCTGACGAACGATACTATGGCATAGGCTCAATCCGTGGTCTCTGCATATGAAGAGTCGCTCAAGATATACCCGCAGCAAAAGGTAATGTGCGCCTTCTCTCGTCGTTTCGATGCTTCATATCGCGAAGCCCATGAGAGAGTCGAGAAGGGCGAATTTGGATCAGCAGTGTTTTTCCGATCTCAAACAGCAGATCTGCATGATTCATCGGGATTCTTCGTTGAGTACGCGAAGACAAGTGGTGGTATTTTCGTGGACTGTTCTATCCACGATATCGACCTAATGCTTTGGTTCCTGGGCGAGAACCGTACGATCAAGAGCTTGCAAGCAGTTGGTGTTTGTGCCGTCCATCCAGGTCTGGAGGCGAGCAATGACCGGGATAATGCAATCGCGACCGTGGAATTTGAAGGTGGAAAGATAGCGGCGTTATATTGTTCACGTATGATGGCGGCAGGACAAGAGGACACCTCGGAAATCATCTGCGAGAAAGGTTCAGTGAGGGTGAACATGCAAGTGAGAAAGAATCACGTCGAATTTCATGATTCACAGGGGGCCAGACGTGAGCTGCCACAGCATTATTATGAGAGGTTCCGGGAAGCGTTCATCACCGAGGCTTACGAGTTCACGGCATGCTGCCTGGATAACACCCCGCCTCCGATAAGCCTGCAAAGCTCCGTCAAAGCGGTTTGTATTGGGCAAGCCTTGCAGCGAAGTGTGATTAGCGGCGAGAAGATTTACTTCGATGGAAGAGCCATCAAAAACTAGATTGTACCTCTTATTACCCGGTATTGACATGCTGTATGGTTTTCATCAGCTTCACAGAGAGCACAGATGAGTTCAGCTTCTTAGCCAAGATAATTATGTCTCTTCGTATATTCCATTATAAAAACAAATACTACGTAGACCGGTATATCATAGCTTTAGGGCTCGGTATGGACAATAAACTTGATTTATTAATAATACTATCTAGACTTTCGCAATGGCTTCGTGGTGTGGGTGTTTGAAAAAAGCAATCAGCCCATTACCGAGAATCTTAGGGTGGTCGCAAGGTCTTCTCAGACATCCCCAGTAGTATGTCCAAGCTCTCTTCCCCTCAAAAGAGCTGTTCTTGACAGGGTCAACAAATTGGAAATTGAATATTACCCAGTGAAGAAGGCGGTATTAGGTTTCCGGACCGAACGCCACTCAATGCGGATATCATAAGTACCCCGCATTTCGGTGCTATCACCTATTGGCCCCCATAGCTGGGGAAATCTTGCCACGGAATGCTACGCAGGTCAATAGTATGTGTTCCATTTCCCATCATGACAACATTTCAACTGCACAGGAATATAATTTCCGTCAGCCTCTGGCGTATGTTGACATGGAAAAGCTTAAACGAGTAGATATCACGTGAGTCAAATCTCCACGAAGAAATCACGTCAGTTCATCTCGCCTAACCAGAGTACTCAATAGCCAATTGCCAAATTGTGCGCTTCCATGTAGTCTTAGAGGGAAACCACAAGTCAAGTATCTCCTCCCAGAAGTTGGTATATCCGAAGTGGTAGTTTGTCAAATAGAGGCCAATACGAAGGGATCTCAGAAACAAAACTCTCCGCTGTAACTCTTTTCAAGCATAAAGTATTTTCCTGAAAACTAGAGAAACAAGTCGTGGACATCAGTCAGTCACAGCCACTGCATCCTGCTGAACTTGATTTCCAAATGTCATATGAAAGCCAGAAACACTGAAGGGTATCATTTTGAGCCCATATTTCTATGAAACTGAATAGCATACTACAAAGAAATTGAATTGGTCCTAACAAGCAAACTAAAAACATAAAATGGAATGCCATGTTGTCCATTCAAATGGCCTCGATAGTTTGAATCCATGTCATACACATATAAATACTGCAAACCTAGAGAGAAATCCATGAAGACGAGCTATTACCATCTCAGAACCTTTGTTGGGAAATACTCATCAATGAGTTCAAGATAGTAAGGCTAGAATCATATTAGCATGTAGCTACAAAAGGCAATGTTATTTAGAAATGATTCTCACCTTCAATTCTTCAACGTTTGGCACTTCATCACTCTTGGAGTATAAGTCATACGGATTGAAAGCCCGCACAGCTTCAAGCATCTTCTGGTCATGCTCATTCATAAGCTCATGATAGGCGTTCTCGCGATGCCATGGATAAAACGAGTGGTACCGAATCATAGCGAGCCCCTCATCGGGAATGGTTGACTGATCCTTCACGATATGATAAAGGTATTCATCATGTCCCCAAGAGAGCATGACATTCTCTAGACCACAGCCAGGGGAGTAAATGCCGGACTTGGTGCTGTAGATTGGGTTCTCAAAATCGTCGTTCTTCTTGAAAGACTCAGTCCCGAAGATGATTCTATCATCGAACGCACACCCAACGGGGAAGGTGTCTCCCACAACGTCCCATTGGCCCTGAGCGCCGAAGAAGAAAAGGAGCTTGCCAAGATCATGGATCAATCCAACAAGTTGCATCCAGCGTGGCTTACCCTCTTTGCGGATAGCTTCGGCAGACTGGAGCAAGTGTGTCACCTGAGATTCTTGGGTGTCGGGGTCACATTCGTCAATGAATGTGTTTAATTTCTCCATTGCTTCCCAAATAGTCATGTGTGCGCGAGTCTTGTTGTGGAAGTCATTACGGGCCTTCAAGTTGAAGGCCACCGTTTGTAGGGTGTGCTGCTGAGCATAGAAATCCTTGACTTGGTCGCAAGCATCGTTGAACTGGCGGAAAGCTGACTTGTCCTTGGCTTTGTCAAATTCAGACTCATCGTACAAGTCCTTTGACGCTTGCTTTGAGTTTGCCTTGAGGACATTGACGGCGTCGATATTGTCCGAAGTGGCTTCAATATTTGTCGAAACTGGAGGAGCAACAACGGATACCATTTTGAGAACACTTGATTGACAATGAAATATAAAACAAAACAGCAGAGACCAGTAATGATTCAACGGAAGAACTCGCCTTGACCATTCCTCCGGATTTATAGGATCTATTATTCTTGAAACTGCAAAAGGAGGCGGAAAACGCTTTCCAGGGGCAGCCATTTCAAAGCATTCTGAGTGGACTTGAGAGAATAGTGACATTTCAGGCTTTCGGATAATGCAAGATAGTTCCGCGGTTGTGCTCACACCTCCGGTGGAGACGGAAAATCGTGTCCGGAGAATAACAACCTCTAGTTTCTGCTTACAAATGAATGAGCAATCCCAGGCCCGTGGTTGGAATATCTGCAGCTCATCCCAAGATAGGAAAACTCTACTCTTCGTAATAATGTGAGACCTCCAACGTGAGGAAAAGTGAAAGAAACTATTTCATAATTATTATCATACGTAGGACACTTGTTCCCTGATAGACGACCTTAACAAAATCTAGATCTTAATGTTCGCGTCCTATCAGACTTCACTTTGAGAGTCACATAGCCAAATGACCCACTAATTTCTGTCTCATGTGCCGCGCGGAGAAAGGAATCCGAATTCACCCCGCATTCTTTCCAAGTTATATATTGCGTGTATCTTTTCATTGCTTCTCTTATTTTGGCAGCCGGATTTTTGTCATTATTCCTTCCCAGGCGCCCACATCATGCTCTCGAATAAACTGGCTATAGCCAGCTTATCTCTAGGCCAACACCCTTCTCATCACCTGGACCACAAAATCCATGCTGCAGCGGAAGCCGGATACAAAGGCATTGAAATTGTCTATTTCGAGTTAGAAGCGTTGTCTCATACTCAGAACATTTCGATTCTTGGCGGCGCTGAGAAGATCCGCGTGTTATGCCAAAAACTCAACTTGGACATTCTGTCTTTGGCACCTTTTGAAAATTACGAAGGAGACCGATCGCCTCTTAGCGACAGATTACAGAAGGCCAGGCATTGGATTCGGGTCGCTAGAGTCCTTGGCGCGCCATATTTGCAGATTCCGTCAAATTACAAACCAGACGCTATCGGCAATAAAGACGTGGTCATCAGTGAACTAAAGCAGTTAGCTGATATCGGAAGTGCGGAGCAACCGGTCGTATCAATTGCATATGAGTATTTGTCCTGGGGAACACATTGCTCTACATGGGAAGTCGCTTTGCAATATGTCAATGAAGTCAATCGACCGAACTTTGGTCTATGTCTAGACACATTTCATGAAGCAACGAAGCTATGGGGTGACCTTTTCGCTGCGTCGGGTCGCTTCCCTGACTCTGATAAAGCCCTTCGCAAATCACTCGATCGCTTTATTACCAATTGCCCTGTCGAGAAAATCTTCTTTCTCCAGCTATCTGATGGCGAAAGATTCGATCCTCCATTCTCCAAAAATCACCCGTGGTTTGTCGTAGGGGAGGCGCCCCAATTTACTTGGTCCAAACATGCACGGCCATTTCCTTTTGAACATGGCCATGGGGCTTATTTGCCTATTGCCGAGATTTCTAAGGCTTGGATCCTTGCGATAGGTTTCAGAGGCTGGGTCTCGATGGAGGTCTTTGACCGCGGCATGCGGGAGAGGAGCAGTCAACCGGAGACTGCTGCAATGAGGGGAATGGAATCATGGAAGACTCTACAAAAAGAGCTTGAGTCTATATCAAAAGCCTAGAATTGCATAGGAGCAAAAAGGTTCCGTGCTAGACCTTGGCAAGGACTGGACTGCGCCAAAGCCCACTGTGTTAGGACTGGAGTTAGGCTAGGTAAGGGACTAGATGGAATTATAAGTATATAGATGAGAATTTCAATCCTGCGATTGTGACTAAACTAATCCTTAAAAAAGAGAGTTTATTAATTATAAGAGAGTGCCTTTTATTCCTTTATACGATCACGTGGCATTCACTTTTATATAGATTCGCGGGAAACCCTCTTATATAGTTTCTAATATACCTAATTAGGTATCTAAGTTGCCTTATATTATTTAAGGGCCGTAATAACTATCCTCCCTATCTAAAGGTCCACGGGTACCCACGGGTATGACTCACGGGCGGGTAGGCAAAGATAATACCCGCGCGGGTATACCCACGGGCGGGCTATGTCAATGCCTACCCATAACCCATACGGGTTGGGCCGTGGACCCAGGTTTTAGGCCCTTTTGCGGGTTTTGGCGCAGTCTATCCAGAACTGGACTGGTCTAATAGTTTGGTCTGCTGCTTAACCTGTTTGGACTTAGCCCACACAGGTTCCTTGTCGAGATAACCATCACTCCTGCCATTGGCCACCTGACCATTCGAGAGTGCAGGCCGCCTAGCGGATTTAATACGGTAACAACTCTTGCTTGTCTCCTCTATCTCTGCCTGCCGGTGTAGCTTGCTACCCTGCCAGTCACTTCACTCCTCCTGCCCTTCTTGCCTGTCACCGTCTTATCAATGAATTCGAATGGTCTCCAGAACAGCATGCAGGTGCTTAGATCCCAAGCACCGATCAAGCTGAAGAGGGCATCGGTAGCTTGTCGACGGTATGGCCCATGACCATGACCGCCACGTATTTCGGGGCGAGGATCATTGACGATTGTGGAACCACGGGCTGACTTGAATTATTTTTCGTTGGAATGCATAGGTGCCGACTGCTTCGTATCAAGTGCTCTCATAGAAACGCGCAGCCGCCCTGTTGGAGTTGTATGGAAGCAGGCACCGCGGAAGCGGCTGGCTGGTGAGCTGTCGCAATCTTGCATTTGGTTATCCTTTTTTCGTGATGTAGCTTATGCTTGCCGCAGCTCCTTTCCAGTGCGCGGGGCCACCGACTACGACAGACAGGCAAGTTTCATACCCTGCCCCCGAGTGTCCGAGTTCCCAAGTCCAGTCTCCTGGTTTCCTATCTGCTTGCATGCTCATTGTGCCCCAGGTCCGGCGACGAAGACCCATCAAATCGGCCAATCCGAGGTGAGTCGCTGTCTGCGAACCATTCTTCTTCATCCTTCCACTGGATGTCGTCCGTGGTTTACACAGCCATGGCAGGTTACCGACCGACACCGCACCAGAACGAGCCTCTTCGAGTGCACTGTCGCTGTCTTCCAAGTCAGACGAAGGTCCGCCTTTATTGGTAGAGACTCCCGTCATCACCAACGAGCTACAGACATCCGCGGCTGCGCTTGAGATCATCCCTCCTCTGCAAGAAGTTCTAGAAGGATGAAGAACCTTCATCTCCTCTTACTATCAGTTGGGTAAGTCAAGCCTTTGCCGAGCAACACAAATGGCACTCCGGTAGTTGCTCATGTCGCTGCAGGTTTCATTGCAAAGGCTCTATTTCTGGAGAGGCTGTCCCAGCAGCCGAAGCAGTCAGATCTGTTCCTCATCTACAGCCTCTTGAGTGTTGCGGCTCAGTTCACCCCTTCGCTCAGGAGCAGGTATGGAGGCGGCCGCAAGGCTACCGAGCTCTTCATGGAGAGGGCCACGGCTTGGAGTCTCAAGGCTCTTCACCTGCCGACGACGGAGCATACGCAAGCCTTCTTCCTTCTTGGACTGGCCGAATGGGGTAGTGATGACAGAAACCTCAGCTGTGTAAGTATCTTACCCTTGCTTACTTTACACGTACGAGACTGACTCGATGAGCTAGATGCACATGGGCATTGCTGTTCGAAGTAAATCTCCAATAACTCGCCCCTATCCGTATGACAAGTCTAATGGCATTTTCGTGGTAGTGGCAAGCATTCTGGGTCTTCATAGAGAACAGACTTACGACCTTCCCCTAAACCCTACCGCCACTGATATCGTCGAATCGGAAGTAGCTAGGCGGACGTTCTGGGTACTGCAAGGTAATAATGACACTACCTGGCTGCTGATCAAAGAAAAAGTTATGCTCACATTGCCCCTCTGGTAGGACAAGAAAGCCTGCACTGTGATGCCACGGTACCCTCCGCCTTTCCGTTGCGCGACTTGTCCGTGCTACTTCCCTGCGAAGAGAACGACTTCGCGTTTGGTCGCCGCGCCACGACAAGAGCAGCATTACCAGGAACTTTTCCTGCGCTGAGAAACCCTCATCTGGTGTGCCTCCCGGAGAGGTCGCTCTTCGCGTCACTCATACAGGTACAAAATCTCTGGGGCCATGTGGCTCGGCTGACACACCCGACGGTGGACAACTTTGACGAGGCAACATGGAGTCCGGGAAGCCATCACACCCTATTGTCGCATGTCTTGAAAGAGTGGGAGGATGGCCTCGATTCTCGTCATCGTTGGTCCATGTGGAATCTCCGTGGGTTCAAGGTCGAGAACCTTCACTGGGTACGTGATGCAGGCCTGCCCACCTTTTCCTTTTTTTTTTTTTTTGTTGTTATTGCAAACTAACACCCTATAGGGCTATCTGTCTCTCGTCATGATCCTGCGACTGTGCAACATAACTTTGAACCGCTACTATCTTCGACAGTAGGTCTTTGCTTCTTCACTGTAACTCCCTCAGTCCTGCCAGCTAAACGTGAAATCCTACCAGGATCATGACTGCGCTTCTCAATCCCAGTGACCCAAGCGAAGACGGAGCGCCACCGGGTTATTGGGCCAACATGTCGCGGAAGCTGTTCCTACACTTGTTCGAGATGGACAAGCAAATCGAGGCCTTTACGCGTCTTCGGGCTGCCGACGAGGCTTTCCCAACGGAATTGGTAACGTTTCCCAAAATCTCACTAACGGCGCCACATGGAAGGCTGACACCAAGTCACAGTTGTTCTGTATCTACACGTGCCGGTCATTGGCTTTGCATGTGTGGAACTATCCAGAACGTTTGTACCACTCTTAGTGCCGAATAATGAGTTTGAGATGTTAAATAATAACGTATTGTTTGAATAGTCTGCCCGGAACTGGCTCCTCAAGCTGAGGGCATGTTCCACCGAGCCATCGATACCTTGAATCAGCTGCGATATGACTGGCCCATGGCTCAGCGGTGGGAAAACGCCCTCCGCACAGCCTCAGCGTCGAAGCTTGCTTCAACTTTAAGCCCCACAGAAGGCGTTGGTAGAACGGTAAGCATTTTTGGAACCTTCCCCATCATCTAATTACAGCGAGCTCGCCGTGTAAAGCAGTGTCGGTCAAAAACTGTATCCTCCACTTCCCGCTGACGGTATGCTCTCTGGGTCAGGGACAACCATTGGCTTCACAAGCGACAGATGCTCCTCGTCCAGGGTCTGCGTGGAGAAACTCGGCGGCAACCTGTCAACTATCGCCGCCGGCGTCCTCGAGCGGTCAAATGCAGAACCTCGTGTCCAATCCGGGATTGCCTGGGACACCACACAGCGGCGAGAACCAGGCCAACGAGTTGACTGGGCAGCCACCGGAGCAGCTGCCCCCCTGGCTACAGGCAACGGCAACGGCATCGCTCCAAACTCGGGTTCTCGAACGCCGATGGCATTTGGACTTGATCATATGTGGAGCTCATTCTCCTACGGCGATATAGAGTTCCGTCTCCCAGAGGAATGGGCGTGAGAGAAAACGTACCTGACGCTGAGGCTATTTTATGCATATAACAGTGGCATTGACTTTAGGTGACTGGACTTTCTGCGCTTTGGGTTATGGTTCTCACGGTTTTGCTTTTTGGCACTTCTTGTCGCATGCGATCAATATCTATTTGCATTTAAATGAGGCATGATTTTGGTCTCAATATATGCTGTTCTCACGCTCAACTTTCCACTTCCAGCCTCTTCTACAGTTGTCCGCTACCACGCAGCACTCTGCCTTATCTCACTTACTTTTGGGCCTCCTCCCATCTCGGCCGAGAAATCGTGCGAGCGACGACTGTCTTTCCGTATGTTATGCCACCGAGTCGACTGATAGGCTTTAGAACCTATAAAGCAAGTGTTTCATTAGTATATGCTACCCACGCTTATGAGCTTTCCTCGGTGACTCGGAGCATCACGAACGTCTAGATCAATGCAGTTGCGCTCATCCAGGGCGTCTTCTCGGACCCAAAATCGAGTACCTTCGATGATGGCCATTGTGCCGCTGGTGCTCCCGGGGGTTATGCGGCTGTCAAAGTCCACAGTTCGGGACAGTTTCCCTTCGATTGAAAAGATGGACTCCTTCACGCGGGAGGGTCCCACGGTTGTGCTGGCTGCTTTGGTTAACCCAGACCATGCCCATTCAGATTTGCCATAGGGGGCGTCGAGCGAACAAGCATTCGCGGCTTCGACAAAGTTCTCGGACACAATATTGATGACACCTGGATTTCGCATCAATCTCTGGAGCCGACTTCACCGCTAGTAACTATCACTTACACTCCCCACTTTCAAGCAAATTGCGGAGGCTATCCTTGTGGCCACCACTGTCTGGTGTGGTAAACCCTACTATGAAGATTGGAGGGTCTACGTTCACCATCTGAGAGTAGCTGAACGGTGCCAGATTTGACGACGTGCCTGCTCGGTGAGGACAGTCCATTAGCCAAAATCCTGCATCCGGCCCAGGAACTTCAGCCACGGCTACCTACCATCTTTAGACTGTGTGCTGAGGAGGGAAATTGGCCGTGGCACAAAGCCCGAAATCATGAGCTTGTAGTTTGCCGCAATGGTTCCTATTCACCTACCGATCAGTTGGCTGTCGTAACACGAGGCATCACGATGTATAACGCGTTTGCTAACATATCTGTATTACAAACGAGATTTGGGGTGCTGGAACTAACTTCCTAGCCCATATGGATCGATCTCTATGCACTTCTTCTCAGATGTCGTCGCAGTTGCTCCGTCTCCAAAGTGCCATGATCTGTCAGACACTCCATTGGCGGGCTTGGTCTTGCTATTGGCAATTGATGAAACTTGCGAAGTGGCCATGGTGAGTAGATCTAAGTCGTATGTTTGCTATACGGGAGACAATGTAATGCAACCACGCACGAAAGTAGGAGTATGCAGATTACTAGACGATTCAGCGGTACAAATCCTCATTTAACTTGTGATTATCGACAGCCAGGAGCGAGGCGTCGTCTCACTCGCCCTGCGAACCAGGCAAAATAAGGGTCTATTGCTTTATCGTTATCAGACGCCATTCGCCATGCCGTGGTCAATGGCCCAAAATTCATCGGCAGGTTCTAGGCCAGTTATCAAGATAGAAGAGAGACTACGGAGTATAGGGTCTCACTTTGTCGATGTTTAGCAAATTCAAACCTGGCTAATAAGAGTAACTGGCACTCCGGCCGGCACTCCGGCCGGCAGCCCGGCCGGCACCTCTCGCCACCCTACCTGTACTTTGGCCCCACGGTGTGATGTGCGTAGCGATCTTTAGACTATATCGGGGGGATGACAAAGAAACCCGATGGATAGCCACTTTGAGGTAGGCCGCTGCCTATCAACATCCAGAGGCAACTCCTAGGTTACTCTCTGCGGCAAACAGGCACTACCTGTGATGGCGCGGGGAAGTGTGTGCAACCGTTGTCCTGATCGTCCTGCCAATCGGTAGCCAGCCTTGAAGGAACAAATGTTATCAGGCTTCTCGATCCTTTGCGGGGAACCTTGTAAATGCATGATGGCACATTGTGATACGTAACTCATAAGATTATGGTGGCGGATGATATGCAGTTTCCGCCCACACCGGATTGTAGTGCAGGTAGAAGCGGTAGGAAAGTGTGCCCAGGGCTTATTCGACGAGGCACCGAAATAAGACCATGTAAATCAGATCAAAAATTGTATCGGAAATTTCCCGACTGTTTGCTGCTCAAGGTCATGCACAGCCGTATAGCTCGCGCCTGACCCTCGTTCCACACTGCCCGTGGCTGCCATTATCGTTCCGGGCTACTTACGAATCTGCCCATGCATCTTCCCCAGCCAGCACTCACATAGCCTCAGGGATGCAAGGTGCATCGTAAGCTAGTGTATGAAGCAGCACTATCCCAGGGCATGTCACAATTTGTGATGCAAAGCCATGGCCACGGTACCAAAGCACGTGCTGCAGAGCCAAGCTCAGTACAGTGCCTTGGTCGTTGCATCTCGGCCGTGGGGCTCTTTACAATGACGAGAAGAGAACGTGCCAAAGTCTCGATACCGCGTGGCAGTCATACTAACGGGCAGAGTAGTCATGAGCTTGACGTCGTATATGATGCTTCTCGGCTGAATGCAGAGGCCTGATCTCGTAGTTTTCTGACCCTGGTTTGCCTCCCCAAGAAGGGCAAATTTGTCTTCAAAGCATCCGTGCCCATTCGCTACCTATACCGAGTAATGGACCTGTCGGCACGCCAACCCTGCCCAGAAGCTCATCAAATACATAAATTCAGACGGAGAGTATTATTGTGCTCTGGTATGTTGTTGCGTTCTTTCGTCACTTCTGAACATTGTGTCTTCTTGCCCCTACAACAACAATATCGCTCTATGAAAATGTAACATATCTAATTGGCTATCCCATAAATTCAAAAACTCAGATAAGAAAGTACCCTTCTCCACGCAGGCTTAGAATAGTAGGAATCCAAGAAAAGAATATCATCTTCCGTCAAGGGTCGGCGGCCAGTCTGCAAATCTGCCTTTGCAGGATTCACAAACTTGGTGCGACATATGACCTTATAACTCAAGTACACGGCAAGGAAGATTGGTACGCCAAGAAACGTCTCGAAAAACACGGTAGGGCTAGTAGGCACACCGATTGGAAATAGACTTACGTACCCGGTGCTTAGAAGGACGAATAGCGATGTGTGGAACAGGTATACGGATGTCGCCGGGTACGCAGAGAGCTTGAAAGCGTATGGCAGCTTCCAGGCTGAATCATTCTGCACTTGGATGGCTTTTCGTAATCGCCAGTTTGTGATTGCAATGAACATCCACGCCAGCACGTAGATTGTTGCTGCGATGGAGCTAAACCCTGTAGGAGTTGTTAGCAGACGAGATGAGATGCTCACGGCTTGACGCGGGTGTGCTTACAAGTAAAGATGACTGCTCCAGTATTGGAGCAGTTGATAAATGTCATGGTGGTAGACCATGCCGCAGTAAACAGGAGGGACCAGTACGGCCGGCCCTGTCGGTCTAGTCGGCTGAATACACGCGGGATCATGCCCATGGTAGACATAGCCGTCATCACTCTGGACGACACGTATACGGACTCCACACCGAGAGTGACGAGGCCGAGGATAATGATGGCATTGAGAATGTCGGGTAGGACCCTGATACCCGCGTTAACAAGGGCAATAGCAAAAGGAGACGCAGCCACCGTGCCTGTAGCCAGAAGTCGTGGATTGTTGTACGGGACAAGGATGCCAAGGAAGATGGTCGATGCTCCGTAGAAGACGATGATGCGCATGAAAAGGTTTTTACACGCACGGGGCATGTCCCAACGTGGCCGCTGGGCCTCTCCGGCGGTGATACCCATGATCTCCTGTCCGCCAGTAGCCCATACGGCAAGCAGGAACGTTTGGGCAACGCCTTTGAAGCCGTTCGGGAAAACGGGAAGCTTGGTGTAGTTGTCGCCGTGATCAGTTGATCCGGTCGGCCCGGCCCCAGCAATCATAGCGATGCAGGCGAACAGCATGATGAACATGGCGGTTATTTTCACGGCAGCAGTGTAAAACTCGAACTCGCCGAACCACCTGCTGGGGAAGCAGTGGACGAAGAAAACGACGAAGAGGTACATGGCCATGCATGCGGCGGTTGGTATGGACGTTGTCCAGTACCTGATTTCATGGTCAGTCAGTTCCCAAGCATCTGGTGTTGTAGCTGTACGGGGTTACTACTAACATGAGGACAACACGAACAATGACACCTTCACTAGCCACCACAGTCATCCAAGCAAACCATTCACAGAAACCTGCGACGTTGATGTTGGTTAGTATTGGTCCAGCCATTTTGTTACACTCCCACCAGGATTGTCATACCGATGGCAAATCCCAGAGCTGGGTCGACAAACCGCGCGGCATGGTCAATAAAGCTCCCAGTGGTAGGAAACAAACAGACATGCTCCGTCAAGACATTCATTACGGCCAAAGCCATGGAACAGATGAGACCATAGCCAATGATAATAGCCGGCGCTCCACCATAGTGAAGCCTGGCATGATATTCAGCAATCGAAGCGATATAACGGTCGACTAAGGATGTCCACTCACGCCTGCGGTCATGTTAGGAGATCTTGAAACTGACAGCTGAGAAGGCTGATTACATACCTTTCCAGTACCGATGAAGATGCCGCTGCCAAGACAGCCCCCTAGAGTAGATCAGTGTCTCGTCCATCCTAGTTCATCAACGAGTGGCACGAACCCAGGCAAATCATCTGAACATGGCGAGCTTTAAAGGTTCGGTGCAGTTGACGGGCGGTGGTAGCCTCAGTCCAGCCCTCCAGTTCTTGGCCATTATTGCTGCTGCTGCCTGCCTTGCTCACCACCCCAGATTCTCCAACGACCTTTATTTCGCTGATAGTTTGCGGATCCATCTGATATACCCTGAATGAGGAGAAGCACTGCTCGGTGCAATAAAAATACACAAAGGGCACGAATTGGATAACAATGGGTAGGAGGATCTCTCAGGTCAGAAAAGATATCGAAGCGATAAAGCGAGGCGCTCTTCTTCTTCTTATGCACTGTTAGGAGAGGAATGCAGATGTTGGAATAGTGGTACCTAGAGTTACCTGTCCATACGGCTCCGTAGTCCTACGATAGATAAGCGCCAAACTGAGCTATTTCTCCCAAACGCTTTCGGGCCTAGTGGCAATTGGTAGATGTGTGACTAATAGATCGGCCGTAATTATGAGTAACATCCGGTTTGCCTGCCCGTTGAGATACATACCCGTTGAGATACGGATAAGACAGAACCTTATCTTGGAAGTCATCAAGAGGTTCATGGACAGTCCGGTCTCGGAAAAAGATCAGGCATGTGAGGACTTTGATGAGGCGCAGTCACGTACTGCACGATATAAACCGGCTGGGACAATATACAGACCGCAAAGTCTAACGATGCTAGGTTCACTCTCAATTACCCTGTAATTCAACAAGTGCGAGTCACGAATATGAGCGAAACCATACAGCACACTGCTCTTGCCAGCGTGGCGCGCGCAACAAGCATCTTGACCGACGACAACTTGCCACGCACCGTCGATGAACTCATCAGGACCCAAGTAAAGATCATTCCAGACAACCAAATCATCTCCCATCCGACGTCAGGGACCGACTACGTTGACTACAGCCTCCAGCAACTGGCCACCTTTGCCCACCGCGTCGCACAGCAGTATCGGCATGTCTTTCCACCCCGGAACGACTCTTCCGAGAAGGCTAGCGTGGTCGCCCTTGTTGGAGTTTCCGAGCTCGATTACATCGTCACCATGCTGGCCCTGACCAAACTGGGCCACTCGGTGCTCTTGATGTCACCTCGTCTGACAAGACCGGCGTATGCTCATCTCATGACCACCACCGTCTCGACGCACCTCGTGTACAACTCGGCGTTTAAGCAAAAGGCCACCGAGCTCCAGGAAGAGTTTTCTGACCTCGTCGTCGCCGAGATGCCAAGCCTCAAGGACTACGGTCATTCGGTCCTGAAGACTGACATAAGCGCCAATGCCTTGATGACCCCTGGCCTGAGCCTCGATCGGGAGACAAGCCAAGTCGCTTGGATCTTCCACTCCAGCGGTTCCAACGGGATGCCGAAGCCCATCTACATCACTCACAAGGCGGCGCTGCGCAACTACCGGCGTGATATTGAGTACCTCGGTCAGCGCGTATTCCTCACATTGCCCGTGTTCCACACCCACGGCATCAGCAGCGTGTTCCGCGCGTTCATGAGCGGGCAGAAGATTTACATCTTCAATGCTTCACTCCCTCTCACCAAACAGAGCCTCATCAACAGCGTGGAGGACCGCGGAGTGGAGATTTTCACCACAGTGCCTTATGCGCTCAAGATTCTCTACGAGTCGGAGGAAGGTGTTCTGTTCCTCAAGTGCTTCAAGTTTATCAACTTTGGCGGCGCGCCGTGTCCAGACGAGCTGGGAGATGCTCTAACAGCCCGAGGAGTGAAGCTGGTCACTGTGTATGGAATGGGAGAATGTGGCCCTTTGATGACCTCGTGGAGGTCCGATGGGGACCTTGCTTGGTCTTATCTCCGTCTGTCAGAAGCTGCTAAGAAACACCTCCGCTTCGAAGATCAGGGAGACAACACTTATGAGCTGGTGGTGGGTCCTGGATGGCCGTCTCTCGTAGCGAAGAACCGGCCGGACGGAGCGTACGCCACGCGGGACTTGTTCGTGAAACACCCGACCATGGACGCGTGGAAGTACTCTGGCCGAATCGACGATGTTATTGTCCTGGAGAACGGCGAGAAGGCCAACCCTCTACCGATCGAAGGAGCTGTCCGGCGAAATGAACTAGTTGCCGAGGCAGTGGTTATCGGAGTCGGCAAGCCACACTTTGGCATCGTTATCATCCTTTCTGCAGCAGCCAAGAACCTCTCGCACGACGAAATCCTCAACAAGTTCTCTCCTATTATCGAGGAGTATCAACAAGTGCTGCCCACCTACGCGAAGATCAGTCGAGACATGGTGATCTTGCTCCCAATCGGGACCGAGTACCCACGTACGGATAAGGGCACTGTGATCCGTAAGGCTTTCTACAAAGACTTTGAGAAGGAAATCGAGGAGAGCTACATGGACAACGTATCATCTAGCTCAACTGAAATTGGTTCAGAGGAAGATGTCCACGATCTGATTCGGGACACCACGCGGACGGTGCTTGGCCTTCCCGAGGATCATGAGGCCCTAACTGATGAGGCCGACCTATTTTCCCTTGGAATGGATTCTCTTCAAGCTAGCCAGCTACGGACTGTCTTGGCGAAGAATATCTTTACAAACGGACAGAGACTGGGAATGAACATTGTCTTCGACAACCCGTCCATCCTTTCTCTTACGCGGTTCATCCGAAGTATCCAGCTTGGCACTGAGGGCGAGGGATCCGAAACTGTTGAAGAGCAGATGCAGAACTTAATCGAGAAGTACGGACGCTTTGACAGACCAAAACCTCGAGCATCACTCAACTCATCGGTGCAGTCAGTGGTGAGTATATCATCCCTATTTCCGGTTCATTGATACGCTTGAACCTGGAGGCTAATATATAACTTGAGGTCCTTACCGGGGCAACCGGCTCTTTAGGCGCGCATCTGCTAGTGACTCTTATACGTTCGCCATCTGTCTCGAACGTGTACTGTCTCGTACGGGCCTCCACGGATCAAAAAGCGACAGCTCGGGTTATCGACTCACTGCGACAGCGAAGAATCTACCATACACTCTCTCTCCAACAGCGCCGAAAAATTATCGCCTTGACGGCTGACCTGTCTCAGCCAACACTTGGTTTACAGCCGCAGCAGTACAGCAAGATCGTGGAAGAGGTTGCCAAGGTATACCACTGCGCTTGGACCGTCAACTTCAACTGGAGTCTTGCTTCTTTTGAGAAGGTCTCCATTGCAGGACTGAGGAATCTCATCGACCTTTGTCTGAAGGCCCCTGGAGTGCACCCTGCCCAGTTTCTGTTCGCTTCCTCGGTGGGTACCGTTCTTCGCACCAAACTGCCTGTCGTTCCAGAGGCTCTCCCAGACGATTTCTCGTCTATGCAATCTACCGGATACGCTCAGTCCAAGCTGGTCGCAGAGCACATTTGCCAGAATTCTATCGAAGAGGCCGGAGTTCCAGCTCGCGTCTTTCGTATTGGCCAGGTCACAGGCGATACCAAGCATGGAGTTTGGAATAGCACCGATGCTGTCCCTCTTATGATCCAGACAGCCACCACTCTGGGCATTTTGCCTGCAATAGACGAGCATCTTCGTTGGCTGCCGGTTGACCTGGTTGCGAAGAGCATGGTAGAGGTTGCGGACCATGATCCTGCCATCGGGACAGGCCCAGCCTTTTTCAACATGACCAATCCAAAGACATTGCATTGGACTAATGACCTCATCCCTTACCTTCGACAAGCTGGACTCCAATTCGACCTTCTCGAGCCTCCCCAGTGGGTCGAACGGCTGCGTACCAACACCGACCCGGTTGCGAACCCAGCCATCAAACTCATGGATTACATAGAGCGGAATTACAACAGCACGGCTCCTCGTCGCAGCTTCGACTTTCAAGTTGATAACATAACCAAGCTTTCAAGCACATTTGCTGACATCAACGCTCCCGACCAGCACCTCGTAACCAAGATAATCCGGTATCTGAGCAATTCCGCCTGGGCTCGGGCCACTGAAGGGATAAATCCATCCGTAATCGTCTTAAGTGGCACTCCCAAGACTACCGAGGTCGCCCATGGTCTGGCTACGACCCTGTCCGCAAGAATCAACTCGGCGTGCGAGACTGGCTACTCCTGGTTGTGTGCCAACCATGATCACAATGGAGCAGACCCTGCCAAGTCATCGTCCGTGGTTGATGCAGGCATGCTCACGAGGGTTGACCGCGATCTTTTTCGCGGCAGGGCTAAGGAGAGCAAAATGTTTCTGGTGGTTCAAGATGATCGAGAAACTTCAACGGAGTTTGAGTCAGCGGCCGACGACGAGTTCGATGTAGTCCCCTTGGATGGAAGTTTGGGGCAAGATATTTTGATTGAGACTGCGCTGGGATTTGCACAATAATAAAGCACGACGGATATATCTTCAATTGGGTTAGTTTGTTGAAGCCCAAGGTTTTACAAAGCTTCTCTAGGGGCCCGGAACGTCTAGTCCAGCTACATACAAGACATTCTCGGACTCTGGATTGTTCAAGGGTATTCACTAAGAGGCGGGCGAAGTGACATATGCCAAAGATCCGCCATTCATTGTAGCTTAATTCTATGACAGGGACACGCCGAACGGGTAGTTCTCGAGAGACCGAGCAAAATTGACGATGCAGTCATCCAGTGGCCGAAAGTCAACACCAAGCAACTTCTTCACCGGCTCAACATCGTATCGGTACAAGCCCTGTGCAGGATAAACTCCTCCAGACGCAGAAAGAGTTGGCGAGTGCTCGGCTGCGTACTTTGGGAAATTCTCATGAAGAATCCGAACGATCTCCTTGTTGTTGAAATACCCTGGCCCAATGACTAGGAAGCGCTTGTTGGCCACATCTGTCCCTGCTTCTGCGGCCTTGACGTGCGACAAGGCCAGATCTCGCACGTCTACCCAGAGGTAAAAACCTGTATCTGGAATCTATTCCAGATGAAAATATGAATTAGCCAAAGTCCCTTGCGATACGGGCCAGTGCAGTCATGAGAGGCTGCCCTCCGTGTGTTCCAAGGCAAGGGTACTGACCTCGTTTCGAGCACCGCCAGTCATGATACCCCATATTCGCTTGTTAGATGTGTTGAGACCGTCGAAAGACTTCAGCGAATGCGCTACCGGGCCAAACACGAGTGGGGGGCAAAAAGTGACGAGATCAAAATTTGGCTTTTCCTTTTCAACAAATTCCCAAGCCCCTCGTTCCGCAAAGGTTTTGCTGCCTGAATTGATGCGCACGGTTAGTATAATTGGAACGCTGTCGGTAACAGGATTATGAACCAACCAACCTCGATATCCCACGAAAGGGGTTGGTAGTAGCCTCCTCAGGAGTAACCGGATTCCAGTCTTCTGCCGTATAGGTATGGTCCCAACTGACACCCTGTGCGTCGTGGGCCACCGCAACGAACGATGATGTAAGAATGACTCGTCGTACCGAAGGAGCGTTGCACTTGATGGAGTTGAGGATGCCCACGGTTCCTTTCACGGCGGGGTCTATAAGATCTCGCTGGATATCTTGAGGGTTATAGTAATACGGCGATGCGGTGTGAATCTAAGCACCACGGAATCTCGGTAAGTTGATCATACGCAAGGGAATGGGACTGGGTGATATCATCACGTACCACAATGGTAAATGGCGGATCTGCCTTAATAGCGGCCTCGAAGGCATTCTCTTCACTGATGTCTCCTTTGATGGCGAAGTCTAGTTTTGATTTGGAAACTGCAGAAAAACGCTGTCGGATCTGGCCTGCCTTCTCTTCACTCCTGACAGTGGTCACGACACTATGGCCACGTTCTAGCAGGAGTGAGAGGATGTGAGACGCCACAAACCCACTGCCACCTAGAAGTTGAATCTTGCGTTAGCGATCCAGATCCGCTTTGTCTTGCTAGATATGAAACATTATGGTAGCTCTGATCAAGGTGACCGAATCTTTTTGGTCTCATATTCACTCAGGCTTTGTCCGTCAGGAGCTCTTACCAGTGAGGAGAATCTTAGTAGGCATTATGGTAGCTTGAGCCTGCTGACATGGACATGCGTCAGTGATAATGCCAACTGCTGCTCAAGCTTCTGAATTCTTATAGGGTCTCTGCCGTAGCCGGAAACACTTTATGCGGCTTTATACGGCGTTTTCTACCAGCTCCGTAGGCTCATCCTTGACGAGACCGACAAAAGGTAGGGCTCTGACAGCTGGTATGTAACAGCTCAACATACTGCATGTTCCACTGAGCCTGCAGTTACGATTGGTAAGCGGCATGAGAACCAGTCTACGGCCACCGGCAGGCAGGAACAGATGAGTGGGGTTCGACCGTGGAGTTTGGAACCTGCCGACATTGGGATTCATATTGTTGATGCTCGATGTGTCTCTGAATTACCCATATTCTACAACTCTTCCAGCCAAGTAATCTGCTTGCTTCTAGTCCGAAGTGACCCTCCAGACATTTACGTTTTATGCATCATCTTTGTCCTATGTGAATGGGCTTGACAGTAGGTAGAGGTGGCAAATAAATTGATATGATTGTACATTCCGAGGAGAGACTAGAGTAATATGAAGTATAAGAGCATGCCAGGCGTTCGGCCGTGTTTTCGACCAGATGCCATCATAGCCACTATCCAAAATACGATAGAGAGTAGAGAAACTGCGACTAACAGTTGAAATCGTCAAGTAGAACTTAGAGAATTATCAACATCTTCATTACAATTTTCTGTCCTGAAACGTTGCATGTACGAGTAGTCACTGCGATCTTGTTCCTTGCATAGGACTGGAGGGCAGTCGCCGTTCACCCGAGAGATGTTGAACTGGGCTTTGGACGCCTTGTCGGAGTTAACACTCCGGTTTTAATCCCTGCGGCTCATGAAGACAAATGATTCATCGCACTTGTTGTGGAAACCCTCTCGAATACACGGCTGCCTATCGGGATACACAGCTCGGAGAGAGAAGCGACGGAACAGTGTCGCTACCGTTTTCTTCACCTCCATGAAAGCAACCTTATATGAGTCAGCGACGATGAATCAGAAATTAGGTCGAGATAGGAGTCGACACTTACATTCCGTCCGATACAGGCTCGAGGTCCAAAGCTGAAAGCGAGGAAGTGTTTCTCAAGCTCTGCCTGGGTACCGCCAAGCCAGCGTTCCGGTTCGAACTCCAACGCATTATCTCCCCAGCGACGAGGATCACGGTGAACAGTGTAAGTAGGCACTGAGAGGATGGTGCCTTCTGGGAAAAAGTGACCGCACACGTTGGCTCCGCTGGCACCGACGGCACGCGGCAGACCCATGGAAGTGACAGTACGGAGACGGAGAACTTCGCATATGCAAGCCTGGAGGTATGGGAGGTTCTGGCAGTCGGCAAAGAGGGAGACGAAGTCAGCGGGGGAGGGGGCCGGGTATTGTTCATCGAGCTCGGCAATTAGCTTGGCCATCTTGTTTGGATGGCGAACGAGAAGGTCTATGATTTGGGCAAGTGAATTACCCGTGGTGTCGCTGCCAGCTATCAGCTGCGTCAACGCTTCAGCCTTCAACTCGCGATCGGGAAGAGGGCCCCCCGTGTCGGGATCTTTAGCTGACAGCAGATAGTAGAGGATGTCCCTTCGGCTAGGGTCACTGGGCTTGTTCTTGCGCTTTTCGACAGAGTTGATGCCAATCTCGGCCAGGCCGGCGGCGGCATTACGTCCACGGATAAAAAATGGATCAAAAAAGAAGTAAGGGGTCCATGCTGGTGAGAAGTGTCAGTGTCAGTGCCTTTGCTCGAGGTAACATGAACGTCTGGCGAACAAGTTCGAGGCAGGTGCTTACTTTTAATCCACGGCACTTGGCCGACTGTCGAGCACCATTCACCCCTGTCTCGCAGCTTCATGACACCACCAAGCTTATCTGCACCGGCTTTGCAGAAACCAAATGGCTCGTCAAATGCCTATCGCACAGAAGCAGTTTCGGCATTGGCACGTAAAGCAAATAGTTACTAGACAAAGGACCGCTATAAACCACTGACCAGATCACCGATGATGTCAAAGGCCAGGAAGGACGCCCAAGTCACGGCGTCCAAGGCAATCTCGCCCTTGCGCTTCAGAGCAGCAATTTTGGGATCAGTGCGATCCAGAGCAATATAGTCGCCCGCCTTGCCGGTGTCGATCATCTTGTCAATCTGAGCTCCCATTACCAACAGAGCGGAAGAAGTGTAGGGCTCAAACTCGACCATGGACTTGGAGCTGAACATGTGCGCTACAAACTTGCGCTTGCGACTGTGCTTGGCACGGTCGCGGGTCGTGAAGATCCCCTGCTCAATGTTGTCAAAGGCGTAGTAGAACTCGGACTTGGTGAAGCCGTTGCCGTGGCCCATGATGTCTCTCACGCTGTCCGGGTGGTTGACGCTAAGGTGGTTGGGCGATAGCCGTACAAAGTCGCCATGTTGTTGGTGAAGCTTATGAACTGATACGCTCATGACATGCATCCTGTTGACTTTATTAGCCGCTTTCGATCTCTATGCGTCTTCCTCTTGCTCTGGCGGCGCTGACCTAGCCGTAAACAGCATCCAAAGGTTGGAAAACCTTGACACGACAGGCCCAGGAAACTTGTTCAATCCATTCGGGTCTTTCGCATATGGGATCACATATTGGATCTGCTCAACCAGTCAGGCACTCATTGTCATAACACAGCCTGAGATGCTGCGTAAACCTACCACTAGCAGTCCAACGAGCAGTGCCGTGATACCGAGCGGTCCGGTCAGGGCGTGCAGGCTATCGGCGCTGGCAATTTGTTCCAACAGCATGATGATAGGTATCTGACAGGGTCACTAAGGCTATCTCTAATTACGGGAACATGCCTTCAGGAGATATGCAGGGTCAAACACGACGGCCAGGCGGGCTAAGCTTTCTTTTATGCGGAGGTGTATAGTTTGCCGATTTCCGTCCCCAGAACTCGAATATTTCTCATCCCCACCAGAGGCATGACAAGGGTGTGGAGGGGACGGTGGCATAGCCGAGCCGAGAAGGGGTTGAGACCATCTCGTCTTCCTACGGACTAGTTCCCGGAGACGCGCCGTGTCGATGTCCGGCCGGTCGGCAGGATGAGTGGAGCCGTTTATCGGTGCCTCGAAAGTGCCGTTGGGCTAGATGGCACATCTGGGGTCCAGACCTGTCCTCCCCATATTATTACGTATCTACATACTCCGTAGAGTCATACGTATAATTGCCAACGATAAGATAGTGCGCGCGCGCAGCGACATCGGGCGTTACGATCTATGGGGCGTGCCGAACTCAGAGATAAGGTAAGGGGTTAAAATTTATCCGCGACGCACGCTGCATATTGGGGTAATCATAGGCCAAGCATTGGAGTGACTATAGGTGACCGCAAGGGAGCATCTAGGTGAGTGCAAGTGTCACATGACTTTGGCCCCCACTTTCGATCACCTGGTTCCTCTTCCAGGCAAAACGACTAACTTATCCTGGTTATCAGGCCATGAGCCACTCAACGGGTCCAATCGTAGGCGAACCAAATGTACGAGTAAGCTAATCCCAATTTTAAATTCATAGTAGTTGCGTGGCCTGTCAATTGCTGCATAGCTGGATACGCAAAGCACCTGAATGAGATAAGGAAGCAGGAACTGGTCGGTGAGACAATGCAGACAAATAAATTCTGTAGATCTCACATTCCGAGTTGATGTAGTCGAGTATCCATCTCGTTTCAATATACTTTGTTTAAACGAAATTAAAACCTCTAAGTAGTTTTGAGGAAAGGCAAAAAAAAAAGAAACCCAAGGCCAAGTACGTCTCCATTACCGCGATTATGGATTCGGAGAACAAAGATGCCTTCAAGGCAACCGAGTCTTCCGTCGTCGACCCCTGGGTTGCTGCGGACGAGAGTGCAAGAGTTGGCTATACAGCAGAGGTAGACAAGGAAGCTGAGAAGAAACTTCTGCGAAAGCTGGACTTGCACCTGGTGCCCATCGTGATGTTGCTTTACATGATGAGCTTTCTGGACCGGTATGTTACGCTCTTCGATGATCGTCCATTTCATATGAATATGGGATTTCCTCGTCTCATCGGTATATGGCTTTGACGGCCGCGAAGAGGTTACCCTATGTATATGAAATTTGGTGAACTAATTCTGAACGCGCCATACAGCGTCAACATCGGAAACGCCCGTCTCTACAAAATGACCGAGAACCTGAATCTCGTTGGCAACGAGTATCAGATGTCAGTTTCGATATTCTACGTCACCTTCTTAGTTTTTGAAGTTCCTTCGAACCTTGTACTTAAGAAATTCACGCCGTCCCGCTACATTGCCGTCTTGACTTTTTTCTGGGGCATCATCTGCACCCTCACCGGCATCTGCCAGACATATGCGCAACTGCTCGCTTGCAGGTTGCTTCTCGGAATTGTATGATAGAACCTGTTTCCCTATTTTTCGCAACGTGCAAAGCTAACCAATGTTGTGTAGTTTGACGCTGGCCTGTAGGTTACCCTTCACGATTCTGTGCGAATATGAAAGATGTCAACAGACTAAATAACTCATCTTGTGCAGGTTTCCCGGCTTGGCCATCTATCTCACAATGTTTTATACCAAGAAAGAGTTAGGTCTCCGTATTGGATATCTCTTCGTTAGTGCTGCGATTGCAGGTGCCTGTGGTGGTCTTCTCGCCTATGGTATTGGCCATATGTCAGGCATCCGTGGCATGGAGGGATGGAGATGGATCTTCATTTTGGAGGGTAAGAGACGAAAAACACCGAGCATGTTTCGTTTGAACTTGTAACAATTTCTTCCTTGCGTTCGCGACTGACTCCGCTACGCAGGAATCCTTACCGTCCTTCTTGGTGCTGCAGTTCCGTTCCTCCTGCCCAATCAGCCGGAAGACATTTCATTCCTCTCGAAAGATGAACGGGAATTGCTTGCGCTGCGAAAGTCCTTGGAAGTAGGCCAGACTTCTTCAGCCCAGGAGCTCCATTGGTCTGATGTGAAGAAAGCTTTCACAACCTGGTACTGCTGGGTTTTCTACTTCGCTCAATTTGGATGCGGCACAATGTATGACTCCAACTCTTCCGACCTGACTTGAACATAGCGCTCACATATTGCAGGCTCTACGGCTATTCCAACTTCCTTCCTACCATCATCGACGGCTTGGGCGGATGGAGCATTCCCCTGGCCCAAGCACTTACCATCCCATGCTACACCGTGGGCGCCATCTCCTACCTCATTGTGGCATACCTCTCCGACCGATGGCAGCAGCGCGGACTCTTTGTTGCGGGCTTTGGAATCGTGTCTATCATCGGGTACGCGCTGCTTATCTCAGACGTGCCATTTGGAGTCCACTACTTTGCGTGCTTCGTCGTAGCCACGGGGTTGTACGTCGTCGTTGGCCTTCCCTTGGCTTGGCTGCCGGCAAATGCCCCTCGATACGGGATGCGTACCGCTGCTACTGGCATGCAGCTTACCATCGGCACGTCCAGTGGTATCATGAGTTCATTCATTTACCCAACCAATGAGGGTCCGCGGTACATCAAGGGCCATACAATAACGATGGCAATGGTGGCCTATTCCACTGTTGTCTTCATCTGCCTGTCGCTCTGGTTCAGGTATGCCAATCGCCGCAGGGCTGAGGGTAAGGATGATCATCACGCCAATGGTTTGTCTGAGGATGAGACCAATGAGTTAGGTCACGGATCGTGAGCATCACCATCCCATGCTTGATGTTGAGAAGAGAACCGCTAATAACTTGTGTCCCTAGACCTAACTTCCATTTCACGTACTGATTTGTGTTTCGAGAGTTTTTGTTGTGAGAGTAGGAATGGACTATTTATTGCGAATTGATCCTTTTCTGAATTATTTTCTTTTTGACCTTGTTCTTTGTAAAGTTGGCTCCATACACGTTCCGCTGAGTCGATGAGATCGAATGCGGCTAATCCGGTTTCCATATATTTAGTTACTTACCAGCTTTCTGTTTCCTGCTCAGATAGCATCATTATCCGTTTGTAATCCTAAGTTCTCCGCGTGCTTTTGGACTGATCAGTAGTAATTGCTCAATGTGAACAACATGGCAATGTCACGCGCATCAGTGAAACCAGCGTGTAGACCTCCTCAGAAGATAGACTGACAGCTTTCTATGGTCCAATGTTTTCAGCAACTTTCTAGCTATTATTTTCTCTCATTTACGAAAGCATGGATTGATTTGTTGATATCCTTGATTCAAGAGCTACATAAATTGCCAGTATGGACTTCTCCTTCCTTGACCCTCCTTCCAGCTGGCGAAAACATTGCGGTCAATCCAAGCGTACGAAGCAGGTGCCATCAACCAAAAACGGAGAGTGTCATACAATTTCAATTACGCTATTTAATCTTCTGTAGCAACATATACCTCTCCTACGATGATCCATTATGGCCATTCTTGGCGATAGGGACGCCGTTGTGGTGCACGGGAAGGTCATCTGGAAGACACGGCATACCCGCAGCAGCCAGCTTAGCGTTCAGCTCAGAAGCATGATCGAGGAAATGGCCCTGTAGGCTGTCCCAGAGCTCGTCTCGCATAGCTACAAAACATACAAGTCAGTTCACAGTCTTCTTTCCGTACATTTTTGCGGGGTGGGGAGAAACATACGCTTGACCTGGTTATGCCTTTCAAGGGCAAATTTCGTGATCCCCAAATGAGAGCTCATGTGGAACATGAAGCCTATAGTAATATTTTTAGCTGTCGCACAGAATCCTCAGACAAGGACAGTTAGACATGGAAACGAGAAGGCTTACTCAGGGCGCCAGCGCCGAGAAGAACAGGTTCGAGGTCTATGAAGGCGTTCTTCTTCCAGGACTCATATGTCTCTGCCCAGAGCAAACAGTAATTAGCACTTCAGCTCGAGAATATAACAATGGTGAGCGACAGGGAGAACTCACCTCCGTGGGGAACGTAGGCGTTGTCGCAGGTCAGCGCGCCAGGTTCCAAGGCCTTGGCGCTGCCGCCGTATACACCGTGCACCATGCCCATAACCTCGGCAGCCATGGTACGGTGGTAGAACTACATTCAACAGGCAAGGTCAGTCGCCGAAAAATTGGTCTTTACTCGTCAAATCAAAGCCTAGCTTTACCGGTGGTCGCCAAGAGTTCAGCGAGTTCACCCATTTGGGTGTAAATGCGCAGAAATCGGTAATAGAGACTCCCGGAACCTTAGACTTAGCCGTCAAAATCGTGTAAGCGCTGGGGTCCAGCTGATCCTTGTTGGTTGACAAAGCCAGAAGCTTCTCTATCTCGTATTTGTACGGGACGTAGCTGCAAACAGTCAGTCTCTCAAACACATGGTAGATGATGTATAAACCCGTAGCAAAATGATGATATACTTTCCATGCCATCCGACCACATCAAATGGAGTGTGAGGCTACTCATAGGCATACAGGTTGTCCGCAACCTTCGTGATAACTGATTTTAGTCAGTTCTTACTCTTGTGTTGCCTTTTCGATCCATATTTGGCTCACCTTGCCAAGTGGAAGTGTCTAAGTCAAAGCTGGCGACAGGTACTTGAAAGTCCTGGGGCAGCGCCAGGCCATTCGACCCAATTGGACCCAGATCAGGTAGTTCAAAGTGGCTGCCGAAGATTTCTTGGACATCTTTTTGGCTCGGATGTTAGCACTGGACTCTACTTGTCTATCGGGAGCGGTGCACATACATCCCCTTGAAGGTCCGTCTGGCAGAGAGACCTTGAACCGCAAGCCGGCAGGAATTACAAAGAGTTCGCCCGGAACTACCATCATCCTACCCAGCAGTAAGAGAATGTTCAGCAAAAAAACGGGTCTCATGATCTGGTACTGAAAAAAGCAAAGTACTCACCGTCCCTGCTCAGTCTGTATGTCCAGGCGTCATTGTTGGGGGACGAAGAGATAGTCGCCGTCGTGATTCATGAAAGCCTCCTTCTCCATCGATACATTTGCTGCGTACTGGTGAAAAGCGACACCTTCCTTCTCAGTAGGATCACCATGGCCGAGGATGGTCTTCATGCCTTGCCAGAAGTTCGTCGGCTCCGACTCCGGAGGAATAGCGAGTGGCCCCCACTCATTGTTGAAAGGTACAAATGAGACGTCCTTGTTCTGGGACGAGAAACTTGATACAATCTCCATGAAAGTGTCAGTATACTTTTGGGTGCTCTAGCAAAGCTTCGAGCTGTTCAATGGGCCGACAACCTACATCATGTTTGTAATCTAAAGGCTTGAAAGCCTTGTGTGCGCACGCCGGTCGAATTCTGTGAAACCATCTGGTACGAGCATCACTAAGTCAGCCGTGGTCTTTATGTGACGAGAGAGGCTCTGTGCGGACTTACACGTTGAACATGTTCTTCCGACAGGTCACGAAGGAGGTGCCATTGAGCTAAATCACGCCATTGATGAGCAACTTGCTATTCTCGCAAGGTATGGAGATGGGGGCATCAAACCTGCTCAATGTACAAGTCGTATTTGGCGCGCTGCGGGAGATTTCTGCCATCGTTGGGGATAGTGTCTGGCCTGCAAACACCCATCAGTATGATTAGGACCATCACACAACCGTCAGAATTTTCTTACACTGCTTCCGACACAGATCGGTTTCCAAATCCAACTTGATAGCGATATGGGTCAGTCTTGCTGGGAGCTCTGGTATAACCAGTCGTTGCTGAGAAGCCCTCAGCCAGAGGCTCGGCTTTCAAGACTGTAGGCGACATGGCGAATTGAGTAGAATGACTGAACAGGGCGGGATACACTGAGCTGTAAATACATGGATACTAGATAACTGGCTGGAGGCATGTAAGTAGGAGGTAAATATGACATACGAATTCAGGGACCACTAATTTGATCGATTGCCCCAGACCCTTGATCTTGCCTGATAGAAGATCCACTAGCGAGGGCCGATCATCCCTCCAATCGGATGGACGGGCAAGAACAATAGATTGCCTGCCAGCCCAACGGCAAATCTTTGGCCACCAAAAGGCAGCTTTATCAGCGGTTCGTAATCGATAAACCTACGATGGCTTGCTTCAGATGGTTATCGCACCGCCATGCAAGTTGATGGGCGGCACACCCGCATGCAAACGAATGTCTAATGTCTATACCTCCGGACTCCGGACTTCACGGGTAGTTGACAAGACCCTTACATGTAGCCATAGTCTGCAACCGTTTCGGTGACGTACAGGTTTGAGTCTCATTCCTCTGACGACGTACGTTTTTTTCGTAACGCTCAAAGTTGTTGCTTGAATTCTCAACAATGGCGACTGTTGGTGAAACACCAAAACTTAAGGTCAGATTTCACACCCAAGCGCGGCACCATTACAACTCAGGATCGCATTCAATGGGATAATAGCTAACTTGTCCTTGTACAGTTTATCGTCGTCGGTGCCGGCATCGGAGGTCTCGGGGCCGCGATTGCGTTGTTACTCGCAGGGCACAATGTCCAGGTGCTCGAAGCCGCAAAGGAGCTTGGAGAGGTGAGCCTGGCGCCTTCGATCGCACTTTGAAGCCGTCGGTCAAGGAAGCAATTGACTGATTCGGTTTCACTCTTCAAGGTAGGGGCAGGCATTCAGATTCTTCCCAATGGCGCTCGTGTGCTTCGCTCCTGGGGCATGGAACCGGCATTGGCGCCCAAAGCCATGGAACCTAGCCGATCGAACATGAGGAACTGGAAAGGCGACCTTCTCACCTCCTGGGACTTCCATCGTGCAGACTTGCATCTCGCTCTGGTAGACCGCACCATCGAGCTTGGCGGCGACATCGTCTGCAGCACTACCGTATCCGATGTCGAATGTGACTCGCCACCAGGCCAGGCAACTGTGCAGGCTGATGATGGAAAGACGTACACCGCGGATATGGTCTTGGGCGCCGATGGGGTGCACAGCAAACTGCGGGCCATTATGAGCGGACGCGATGAACCGCCAACTCCGACCGGTGATCTTGCCTACCGCTTGCTCTTGGACGCCTCAGTCATGCTATCAGATCCTGAGCTAGCAGAGTTCGTCACTGACCCTCAAGTCAACCTATGGATCGGACCGGAAACTCATATTGGTGAATTGCCACCCCTCGCACTCCTGTACAACTTCTGCTGGAACGTTTCTAATCTCCAGCGCTCTAGTGAACTACGTCTTGCGACAGGGTACTTTCTTCAACATGGTGCTTTGCATGCCCGATGACATTCCGGAGATGGTGCGTGTGGCCCATGGTAACATCGAAGAGTTGAAGGTCTTCTATAAGGACTGGGATCCCCGGTGGGTTATGTCCACGTGTCATGGCAAGTTTTGGACGTGGGGCTACCATCGCTAACCATGCGATTAGCATTGTCAAGCTCATCAATATTTCCAAGACGGCCGACAAATGGAAGCTCTGCATCCGAGACGAGCTAGACCGTTGGTACCACCCGTCTGGTACCTTCGCGCTTCTGGGAGACGCGGTGCACGCCACTCTCCCTTACCTGTCATCCGGCGCAGGCATGACGCTGGAAGACGCCGCCGTCCTCGGAGAGTGTCTGACTCGCATCAGGTCTAAGTCACCCTCCGAGATCCGGCATGCCCTCGCCGTATACCAGAAGTGTCGCAAACAGCGTACCGAGCGCATTGTTAAGCGAAGCTCGCTGCAGCAGCATCTGTCCCATCTGCCGGATGGTCCAGAGCAGGAGCAGCGAGATGTCCTGTTGAGGATACCTGGACCTGTTCAGGGCGAGGCGTTTGTCTGGCGTGACCCTGACATTGGGCCGTGGCTGCTGAGCTATGACCACGTCCAAGATGTGAGTGCCTGATCCAAATCAAGTTCTCTTGTCCTTGTCTGCCCGACCCGGAAGGCAAACTAACATGACCGTTACAACTAGGTCACGGACAATTGGGGTCTGAAAAACGACATTCAACATATATAACATAACGATATATGTAGGCTTGGTGCATGTGGAACCCATAGTCGTGCATGGTCTTTATTCAATTAACCTCATCTCACGGGCAAGCAGGGATATGTACATAAATTACGTTCAGATTTTGATCAGGAAGTTGCTTCTATTCATTAGTTGCAACTGGTTTATCAACTCACTGATAATCCAGTTACTATCTTGTCAGACCACAACAATCATGCTGTCATATCCGTCTCCGTTTCTTTATCAAGTATTTGGTAGTAACTGAATTACTCAGCCCACGTCGTAGGTCGCCGTAAGGAGACTTGATATTATAGGGTATGCCATTTCTCACCAGAATTTCATGAGCGTCATCTTGCTGGAGCAAATTGCGTCCTTGCTCTCCCTATTACGTCTCTACCGGAGAAATTTTAATGCTGAGGCCCCGAGTACTCATACATTGTATCTTAGCACATATCGAACTGTTGTCGGCTGTCTGTATGGTGTCAGCTGTTTGTTGGCTTAGGTGGTTCCTCTTTGAATGCACGTACCATATGGTGGAAGTGTTGATGGCCGTGTTACCACAGTATTCAGAAGACGACTTGATGTCATCGAATGTAGGTTCTCTTAAGATCATTTTATTGTATCTAAAGATCTCTTGCACTGACTTGTGTTTGCCTGAAGAGGTTACAACACTCAATATGGGTTCATGTTCTGCCAAGGTTTACGCCAACCACCGAAGAAGCCACCATTACATTCAGCTCTGGGCAGATATTTAGAGCAACTTAGTCATCGCAGACGGCATGTGTGCCATTCCCGAAATTGACCCATGCCTGGATACGCCTTGGAACTAACAAGGATGGTAGGTTTATGTAACATGGTTTGACTCTTTTTAATGTAAGTGGTGCTACCCTTGAGTGAGCTTGTCAGATGTTTTGATCGCTGCGTAAGCCAGGTAACAGCTCAGATCCTAGCAGAGCTAGAGAACTGCTCTTGTATGAAACAGTGGCAAAAGCTATTCGTGAGCACCACTTGAGTTACTTACGGAATCTGGGGTTCCGATTGTAAGCTGAGAACATGGATATTTTCTGCCAGGGACTTGATGCCAATACTGCCATAGCGGGTGCGGTCCTTCTCACACTAGGCCTGAATTCAGACAAAGCGATTACAATGTCGGTACCGATTCGGCAGGTTCTCTCAAGAATTCGCATTCTTAAAAAACACAGCATACGGAAATGTTGCTCTGAAACGGAGAATGCAGCGATAAAGATCGCTGCATATCAAGTCCTCGGAGCTATCTAATGATATTTCCGTATAATAGTTTTACTTAACAAACATAGTATGCTCAGAGGCACTTTATTTCTATGATACATCTTCTCTCCATCTGCTAACTAATAAAAGAAGGGGAAGCCCAGATTCAGTCATCGTATATTTGTGAACACTCTTATCTTCCATCCGCAAATATCGCAAAAATTACCAGTATGTCAAACCTACAAACCCTCCCCGCTATTACTCGACGTCAAGCAATACAGGATGCTCTGTACCTTGCAATGATTGGCATCGACCATGGGGACAATGATTTCTTTTCTTCCGCATTTCCTACCCCCTCTAGCACAAAGCCCATCTTGGAAGTCTCATCTCGGGGGATGACTATCCACAGCTTTTCAGCTATTAGGGGGTTCACCAATGATCGCGTCAGAACATTAATTAGGATATGTATGCTGAGCAACATGCGGGTGAATTTACTTGACCGAGGAGGAGAGGAGGGAAAAGCAAAAGTTACAGCTTATGGCTTGGCGCAGCACTGTCCTGAGGAAGGAGGGAGAGGGGATAGGAAGTATACTACTGGCTCGGAGTACCACTTTGACATAGTGAGAGGGGTTGATGATGACGAGGTCTAGATAATTCAAAAGTGGGTGCTAACTACAATATAGACTCATGGCGAGCCTCGATAATGGCTTAAATACCTAGTCCCACCGCAGAGCCCAAGGAAGTGTTTAGATACCGCGGCAAAATAATCTATCCTGCGTTCTTACCTATATAATTCGTGTCATACAATCTGCCTTCTTGGCAAGTATTTCCCGATTTTCAAAAAGAGACAGAACCAAACATACTTTGGCTAAGGTGGACATGTTTGATCAAACCAGCTCTAGACCTCGGCAAGGACCGGGACCGGACCATCCGGTCTTTGGTCTTTTTTGAAAATAGTTAGAACCACACCACGGTCCCCCACGGTCCTTTGCGGTCCCCTATGCGGTCCCCCGTAGATTTATAATTATACTAAGAATTCCCTATTTAAGCTAATTAGTTTTCTTAATAATTATATATAACTGGCCACTTTTAACGTTTTAGATAGAGATCCCTATCTTAAAAATAGGGATATCGTTAATCTTAATATCTCTTTTCTAATCTATATCGCGGTCGATAGCCTATTAGTTTAAGCCTAGCTTAATAGGGTTTCGGCCTAACTTAGCTAACTCTTATTAAGAGAGTCGCGCTAAACTTAGAGCTTTTCGAAATATTTAATATAAAATCGGATCTTTAATTATTCGGCTTATATACGTTCTATCGAGCTAGCGATCTTAGGAGACTTTTACTAGCGTAGGGACTCGTGCTACGTGATCTCACTTGGCGATTGCAAACGGAGATTGTCCTATCCCTGCCTGCCGAAGGAGTAGAGAGACGATCCTCTTGATCATCTTGAGCATCACTCAATTCAATCGTTTTATCCTTTTGCCTACAGGTTATAAGCTCAAACCTCGGAGCCTGTATCAAGCCACCGTGGCATCTTTCTCTTTTCTCTTCCATCCGTAGTAGTACTAGGGCTGCCAAGGTGGCGGCTCGAATAACAATAGTAACTTATCACAAGTTCCTGGGACGGTTAGCATAGTCACTCTTTGTGTGGCGGACTATATACCCATTAAAATAATAGTACAGTATTTAATTAAGACAAATCAGCCAAATTATATACACCAAGACTAAGCTTTTATATAATTTCGGGTCAAGATAGATTATTTGCGGGTTTTTCAATCTAGATTTATAACCCATAACCCGCGCAGGTTCGGGATCGGGTTCTGGTTGAAGATTTTAACCTGCCTGTGGGTTTTGGCGCAGTCTACCTGATGGTGAGTGCTAGGTCTATAGGTACTTGATGAATAACCTCATCCTTAGTGGTAAAATACCACCCCTCAGTTCGACAGATGCCTCTGCGCAAGCATTGAAATCATTAATACACGATGTAGACAATGTAGTCGGAGCGAGGCTCTAGAACTGGGGCATTAGGGCAGGGTATCAACTATCGAAAGAAGAGCAACACGAGTACACCAGATATCCCAAGAGGCATAGCCAGTGTCCACGACATGGTCGCCCATCCACAACGATCACGGATGAATCCACCAAGGAAGGGCCCGGTTATTGATCCCGCAGCAAAAGCACTGTTCGAGATGCCGTATGCCAGCGCGGTAGTCCCGCCTCTGTCGAAGGCCCCCGGGTTGCGTGCCTCTAGATCTTCCACCATAGACGAAATCTCGACCATAATCGGTGGCTCTAAAAACCCAATACAGACACCCAGCAGCATGAGCAAAGCGCACAACAGCACCTTGTCCCGCATTGAATTATCCGTGACATAGCGCATGCAGACCAACACGGGGACGGCGGCGAAGAGGGCTGTAGACGACTGGAATCGGCGACATGCAGGCCATCGGTCGACAAGGTACCCCGAGACAGGATCGAGGATGTTGGGGACCATTAGAGGAATGAAAATCAACCCCTGGGCAGTTTGAGTCCAGCCAAAGGTATCCCGAACGAAGAGCGGAAGCACGCTATCGAACGAAGTGACGGTGACCGAGACTAGGAAATAAACCCACAGGATCACAAACATCCGTGGTGAGCTGAAGAGAAGACGGAATTTGCCGGCTCGACGAGCGGCTGGCTGCTCTGCAGGCGGCTCGTCATAATTGGAGGGCCTGGAGAGTCTATCCCAAGCTTTTGAGCTGGCTCTTTTTTCCTCTTGAAGAGGGTTAGGATGATGGTCATTATGCTTTTCTTCTGCGTTTCGGTCTCTGCCATGACCACGCGGCTCTTCATTTTCTGTAGATTTCCTCCCTCTAGGGTCAATTATGACGACTCGAAGGAAAAAGTCTACGCCGATCAGCCCGAATGCGAGGATAAAAGGGGCGTAGTATCCTCCGTGCTCGTAGAGAACTCCTCCAAGAAGCGGGCCGGTCGTGGTGCCAGCAACAGTTGCCATGGACGAATACCCCATTGCCTGGCCCAGCGAGTCGTTGGCGAAGGTGTCCACTAGAAGATTCATGCCAGTGGTCCAAATGATGGCGGCCGCCGCGCCTTGGAGGATGCGACCTATGATCCACCACGCTACATGGGTGCTTTCACATAGCAGCGCCGTTCCAACGGCGACGGCAGCCACTCCCGTGAGAAATGGTATCTGACGCTTCTGAACTCTGTCCGTGATGTACCCACAGATGGCTGGTGACAGTGAGGAAGGAAAGCCATGCGCTGATGGGGTCTGGGAAAACATACGAGAAACCACTAGAGTCGAGGCTCCGTAAAGCGCAAGGAGAATTGATGTCCATCTCTGTTCTGAAGCATCGGTTGATCGTCAGCTACTGTATTTGTGGTGAGAGTGATGTCCCAGGAGCCTGCAGAATGAGTCGAAAGAGTGGCATACGTTGTTCGTGGGCTAGCCCTAATTTCTCATGTAGGGCGGTTGGAACCACCGGAACGATCTGTATTCATGACAATTCAATCGTCTGTCGAATCAGAGTCTCAAACGATCCTCACCAATCCGTAGAGAAGCATGTCCTTTGCCCACCCCGCAGGTATACGTTAGCATAGCCTTTCCGGAGAGATGAAGGGATGCCATTCTTACCGTAGCTATTGCAAAACACACGACGAACAATACAAATGTGCTAGAGGACCTCCATCGCCGCGTATCAGATCTGGATGGTTTCACCCAGCTCGGAAGAGACGGCATCTTCCACGCAATTACTATGACGAAATTTGGAGAGGAGATGTGGGTTATCAACAAGACGAAATGTTTAAGCAAGCCAAGAAGGTTGGGAGCAACAGCAAGGGATGGTCGAATGCATTTGAGCCGGATGTGGGCATTCTTTGGGCAGATCACTTAAAGCAAGGGATAGCCAAGCACTTGTCAGCTTGTCAACAGGCTCAAATGCGTTATTTGGTGGCCAGGTCCAACAATAGATTGTCGATGAAGTATGAATTGGAGCGTCGGAGACAGAATCTAGTTTGCATTGGAGCAGATCGATTGAAGGTCACCTATTACAATCAACTCTGTCTGAACTACCGTGACTTGTAGCAGTTGACCCTTGAATCTTGCTACACCGCTTCAACCCACGGCTTGCACAGCATGTATAAGAAATAAGACATGCAGAAATGATACGAGGCGAATTAAGATAAATGTATCTTGTAGACCTTAACGAGGATACAGGAAGTATGCTGCAGGACACGTATAGCTAGAGTCAAGGCATTCTTGCCAATCATTAACGGAAGGAAATGATCAACGTATGAATTAAGTTCTACAATTGAACGCCGGTTGGGGTATCCGAACACTTTCGCGTTAGCTCGAATTAATGAGGTTCAGCAATAACTCTAGGAGCTGATGGGCTTGGCAAGTCCCATACTCAGGTGGAAGGCAAAGAAAGAAGTGTTATCCAGGATAAAACTTCGGTGAGGAATGCGAGGCGGCGCTGAGGGCAGGAATATCAGCTGGTCGGCAAATTATTTTCCATTACGGTATGTCCCTCGTCTCTAGAGCCTTTCTGACACATACAGTGCTGCATGCTCTAGGTCCATCCACTTCATTGGAGCTGGGATATAAGTAAATACCGTTTCTGTCTTAGCTTTTGAGCAGGATTTCTCATGTAAAGTGGTACTGCGCTGTATAGCATAAATGGCGACAAGGGTTGGTCAAGCGACGGTATTGGCCCAAACGTAGAGCGGTTTGGTGCTTTATTCTAGAGCTGAAGAAGCGTCTCGTCTTATGCAAGGAGCGAAGATACATGCCATGGTATGTCAATACGTATATATAGAGTCCACTGCGCACAAACGGATGGTGACTTGATCTCCAAATTCCCCTTCCAGTGTCTCCAACATCTTCCCTTCCCGTCAACGAGGACACTTCCTACTATTATGAGAATCTGTGTGCTTCAATCCTCGTATGAGGGTTCTGAGTCGAGTCTTCAAGAAGTAGACACAAGTGTTCCTAATCCAGGGGCCTTCACGTTTCAGCATTCGTTTGAGAACCGTTTCATCCACAAGGACACAGCGAAAGAGGAGATTGACGCCGTCGTCGCCGAGCAGTTTGACTTTTACATCAACTTCCTCTGGGGCACATTGGACGATGATGTAGCTGGGATCGAAGCGAGTCGATACTTCGAGTCTTTGGGAGTTCCCTCTGCTGGCGTTCGCAGCTGGGAGCGCTCGTGGTCCAAGAACGACTTCTATAAGAACGCCTGTCGGCGGGGTGCACCTCCAGTGCCCGGAAAAGAGAAGTTTCCTCTCTTTGTGAAGCCGGCAAATGGATGCGCAAGCCAAATGATCGACGAACAGTCTCTTTGCCACAACCAGATCGAGCTTCAGACAGCCTTGCGCCGCATTAACGAGCGCCTTCGGGACTCTCGATGGCGCAGAGCAAAAGCATTGGGAAAGAAAGACCCAGAAGCGTACGCGGATTCGTACGATCCCGATAGCCGTTTGAGTGACGACATTGTCGTCCAAGAATACATCAACGGCCGTGATTACCTGGTCAGTGTCATCGCAATGGGAGACTCTGCGTTGGCTCTGCAACCCTGCGTTGTCAATACCAGGGACGCACCAAACCGAGCCAATTTTCTTACATTTGACATGAAATTCGACGACCAAACACGGTTCGAGATCATTTGTCGTGAAGACAACCCTACTCTCTACGACCGTCTGCACGAGGTGGCGCTGGAGGCTTTCGAGACCGGCCGTTTTCGCCATAGCTATATGGGATGTGACGTGGACATACGTGTCCGGCCCAACGGCGAGGTCTTCGCCATCGAAGTCAACCCACAGCCCGCATGTTTCCTTCCGGACGAGACCGGCTTCGCGGACGCGCCCATTACGGAGAGTCTTCCGGGTGGCCATACGGCGGTGGTGAATATCTTCATTGCGAATTACTTCCTCCAGAACGGTACTCTCCGAGAATGGTCTAAGGTTGCCGGAATTTATGACAAGATGGCCCCCGACTACGATGAGATTGTGCGGACCAGAAGCCAAATAGATGATATCATGCGCAAGGTCACGAGAGAGTTCGATTTCGAGGGCACAGTGGTTGACCTTGCATGTGGGACTGGCGGTTTTGGCCGTCTGCTGGCCGAGTGCCAACCCGGAGGTCATCGCCACCGTGAGGGCCAGCTTGTTGGTTTTGATCTATCGCCGGGAATGGTGGAGTGCTGTCGGACAATGGGCTTCTACAACGAAGTCTACGTGAGCCGCATGCAGACCTGTCTTCTTGAATATACCACCCTGACGAAGGTAGATCATATCGTCTGTTTCTCTGCAATCCACTTTCTCTCACCCGAGGAATTTGCTTTTCTCCTTGTCTCCTGCTTCGTGATAGCGCGGAAGTCGATCACAATTGGAGTGGATGAAATTCCAGATGTATACAACGAGAATCTCCACCAGCGAGGGGATTCCTTTATGCACTCGTACAATCACCTCCAGAACTTGGAGGCGTTTGGAAAGCCTCGTGGTTGGTCTCTAGTGAGTCGGCAACGCCAATACGGATGGAATTCTCCTGCCACCAAGGACAATGTGTACACCAGCACATTCCGGTTCGAGCGAGTGGATCCGAAAAGCATTTATGATGTACGCCTGACACGATTCGCAACAAAAAACTAGCATCTATGTACGGACGCTGCGCTATGCAGTCATTCATACCTACGCTGCACATTCTGCTTTAAAGTCGGTTCTTCAGGTTGGAATTAGCCCAGACGGAAAGATTTCGAGCCCTTCAGAACCCTGCAACTTCTTTTCGGATGGCTTGAAAGAAATGCTCAGCTATCTTAATGCCCTCAGAATAGCGATCAAAGTTATTCTTTTTCCAGTGAGCCTCTACTCTAATGAATTGCTGGAACGCGTAGGGTAGGGTGGTATAGGCCGCTGCGATTGGTTGACAACGCACGGATAATTTCCGCGTAATGGCGCGACAGGTCCCAGCCGTCCGGTGGACGGCTTAATATGGGGTGCACGGACAAAAAGCGTGGAATGGGTCCCATTCCCGTGCAACCTAGGACAGTAGGGACCATTTATTAACAGTCGAGTGAAATATATGAGATAGGAGCCACATTTGTGGCCGAAAGCATTCTCTGCAGACCCGGCGACTGGAATCAGCCTGCAGACAACAAGGAGGATAGCATCAGCTCTGGAGATATCTGCGATACCGATGCTGACCCTGCATTCTGCCTGGATGATGATGACGACTGGCTACCATAGCGCCGTTTTAACATGACCGATTTCAATGACGGTGAAAAGGCACTGCTTCAAAAAGAGCCCCACAAGTTCCGGCTGTGGTCAGAGAACGAGGAGAAATATGTTGCACAGCGCTCCACTATCTAGTGAGGTTAGTGATTGGTCGCTGTAGTCTCCAGCCACTAGTTCATTGGCGTGGCCGACCATGAGATACGTGATTAGATCCGCGGAATATCGGATTTAATGGATTCATCGCTTGCCATCAGTGCAATAATTATGTGCGTCTCTCTGTTACGGTTACAACTGTCCAAAGCATATGTGCCGAGAACCCTTTGTTTCCTTCCGGGGTAATTTCCCTCCCTGGTCTCGTTGGATTCGGCGCACGCTCTAGTCCAGCCTTCCCAAAGTAGCTGCGGCACTGTGGAGATCGCGGGAAAGCCCAATCCTAACAGTAAGCTACCTAAGTCTACAAATTGGACCCAACGCTTCGCTTTGCGTTTAAGATAGTTGACCTTGTTATCGACTTTCGAATCTTCTCATTTCTGAATAAGTCTCCAGTTAATCCAGAAAAGGATTTGTAGTATCATAGTACCTATGAGTGTGAAAGGTCAGCACATACGCATAAAGCCCCTTGGGCTGGATACATAACCCGGTTCTACCCTTGGCCTCGAGCCTTTTCTCACTGAAGCGCAGGCGCGAACCTGGTTGTTAGCGGAGCAGGAAGCCACCCACTTTGGATTAGAGTCGGCCTTATTTTGCCAGGGCCACCACATGGGACAAGCATGGGAAAAAGCTTGTCCGAATAGCTCAATCCTAACACATTTGTTTCTCTTAATTTCGTGAGCCAGCAACCCAAACCCGGCGCTAGCGCGCTAGATTTTAGCTTACAGACGGCTCAGACCACCACCAAGGGGCCGTTCGCACTAACTAGTATAGGATAATATGTGACATGAAAAGAGGGGTCAGGCAGGAGACCTCCGGGCGAGATCATGCAAGGCTTCTTTTGGGGCACTCAAGTGATCCCACGATGAAAAGTTGAATGAAATGCTGAAATGATGTCTCTTGAGGTGTTGATTTATCAATAGACGAAAAGAGTCATATTGCAGAGCTCCAAAAAACACCCCGCAAAACTTGGGCTGAGAAAGCCAAATCTTTGGGCTTTTTGTGGAGTCGGCTGTGGCCTTGGAAAATCTAACCAATAGTACAGGCTCGAGCCCTATAGTTGGGCTCCACATATTGCACGGGGGTGCGAGCTGCTGTAAGCGCAAGCTCGCTATCGTCTAACCGTCGGTGAGATTGAGGGAAGAGGCCCTACCGTAATCCCCGCTCTTTGCGCTTCTCCGGCCGCAAGAATATGGGGAATCAAGAATCGTGAAAAAATAAGCAAAAGAAATACGGAGCAATTGCCGACCGACTTCTTGTTTTGATTAGGATGGATCACGTTCCATATAAGAAGCAGCCTCCCTGGTTGACCGAGCTCACTTTTCTTACCAAGGGAACCGACCGTCCTCAGTCCTTGAAACGCTCAAGAAATTAGTTCAGACTACCCCGAAGCATGAAGGCCGCCATCATTGCTGTTGCCGTCCTAGCGAGCTGTGACTCCATAGTCGCCGCGCATATTGGTTCTCGTCAATATGGCACCGATGTATGTGGACCCATGAGTTGGGCCTTGAGCCCAATAAAACCCGTAATGAAATTGAATTGATCGTCATTAACATTGAAGTCCCTCACTTCTGAGACAGCCCCTCAATAAGAGAGATTTACTTCCCATGCCCGCATCGCCACCGAGCTACCCATCGCCTTGGATGAACCCTAATGTGGTGGGTTGGGAAGAAGCCTACGAGAAGGCCAAGTCGTTCGTCTCCCAGATGACACTGTTGGAGAAGGTGAATTTGACGACCGGCACAGGGTAAGTAAGGAGTTGTAACTCCTTCCTCCGCATGATTATCGACCGTCATGCAGTAGACTAACGTTGATTTGTAGCTGGGAAAGTGATCAATGCGTCGGGAACACTGGGTCTGTGCCTCGGTTGGGCTTCAATGGATTCTGCACTCAGGACTCGCCAGTGGGCGTCCGGTTAACTGATTACAATACAGTATTTCCTGGGGGGGTGACGGCCGCTGCCACGTGGGATCGATCTCTCATGTACGCTCGCGGTCTGGCGATGGGTCAGGAACATCGTGGGAAAGGCAGCACTGTCCAACTGGGCCCGGTTTGTGGCCCTCTAGGTCGTGCCCCCGAGGCTGGGCGGAATTGGGAGGGGTTCTCGCCAGACCCAGTCCTGACGGGTGTTGGGGTTTCGGAGACCATCAAGGGAATCCAGGACGCCGGTGTGATTGCATGTGTGAAACACTTTATCGGCTACGAGCAGGAGCATTTCCGTAGCGCTGGTCAGGATGGAGTCGTCGCATCGTATTCATCCAATGTTGACGACCAGACAATGCACGAGCTGTACCTTTGGCCCTTTGCCGATGCCGTCCGCGCAGGTGTTGGTTCCGTCATGTGCTCATACAATCAGCTCAACAACTCATACGCATGTCAGAACTCCAAGGTGCTCAACGGCTTACTCAAGAATGAGCTTGGCTTTCAGGGCTTTGTGATGAGTGACTGGACCGCTCAACTTACTGGCGTTGCGAGTGCAGTAGCTGGTCTCGATATGACGATGCCCGGAGACACCGCATTCGACTCAGGTCTGAGTTTCTGGGGCGCAAACCTGACCTTGAGTGTAATTAACGGCACTGTTCCTTCGTGGCGGATCGACGATATGGCCATGAGGATAATGGCTGCCTACTTCAAGGTCGGCCGTACTCTGGAGGACCAGCCACCCGTCACCTTTGATTCGTGGTCTTTCGCTACAGAAGGCCCCCTTCATTTTGCTGCGAACGAGGGCTACCAACAGATCAATTACCATGTCGATGTGCGTGGGAACCATGCAAAGGTGGCCCGGCAAGTTGCTGCTGAAGGGTCCGTGCTGTTGAAGAATAACGGTATCCTTCCCCTCAAGAAAGTGAAGCAGATTGCCGTGATCGGATCCGATGCCGGCCCGAATTTGGACGGACCCAATGGTTGTAGTGACCGGGGTTGTGATAACGGGACTCTGGGCATGGCTTGGGGTTCGGGCACTGCCAACTTTGCCTACCTTGTCACACCAGATGCTGCCCTGCAGGCCCGGGCTATCCAAGAGGGTTCGGCGTACCAGGCCATTTTCGACGACTATGTAACCGACGATTCAAACACGCAACAAGGTAATGGCCTCACTGCGATCCCGGATTTGGTCTCACAAGCTGAGACTGTATCCATTGTCTTTGTCAACGCCGACTCAGGTGAGGGCTATATTACGGTTGGCGGGAATATCGGTGATCGCAACAATTTAACCCTTTGGCACGGCGGCGATGACCTGATCAGGAATGTGTCGGCCCTGTGTGACAAGACCGTTGTAGTGATCCACTCTGTTGGCTCTGTGATAGTCGACGACTGGTTCAACAACCCGAACATATCCGCTGTTGTCTGGGCCGGTATCCCGGGTGAGCAGTCTGGTAATGCTATTACAGATGTCCTTTACGGAGACGTCAACCCGTCAGGCAAAAGTCCCTTCAGCTGGGTCTCCGATCGCACTCAGGTGCCCGATGTCATGTACGAGCCCAACAACGGCGATCTGGCACCACAGATCGACTTTACAGAGGGTGTCTTCATTGACTACCGCGCCCTAGATAAGGCGGATATCATTCCCACGTTGGAGTTTGGTTTCGGCCTCAGCTATACTACGTTCGAATACTCCAACATTCAGGTCAAGAAGAACTCGGCCCCTCCGTATAAGTCGACCACAGGTAGGACCATCCCTGCGCCTACGCTCGGCACCTTCAGTACGGCTTTGTCCGACTATTTGTTCCCTGGGACTTGGAAAAACGTGTTATACTTCATCTACCCGTACTTCAACAGTACTGATCCCGCAAATATTGCTGGGACGAGCGCCCTCGAGTCCGCCTGCAAGTTTCTGCCCCCGAATGCGACTGATGGAAAGCCCCAGCCGTTCCTACCTGCGGGTGGTGGGCCCGGTGGTAATCCACTTCTCTATGACGAGCTGTACACCGTGACAGCCGCCATCAAAAACACCGGTTCTGTCGCCGGCGCCGAGGTCCCGCAGCTGTACGTTAGCCTTGGCGGTCCCAACGACCCCAAGGTTCAGTTACGAGGTTTCGACAAGCTGTTTTTAAATCCGGGCGAGACAGGCGAGTTCTCTGTCCAGCTCACCCGTCGGGATATAAGTAACTGGGATGTTGTCACCCAGAACTGGTATATCAGCGACTATCCAAAGAAGGTTTATATTGGAGCGAGTTCGAGGAAGCTTCACCTTAGCGCTTGGCTCAATTAATCTTAAGTCGGTGCTTTGATGGACAAGGAGATTGACTTCCTGATTTGATCGATCACTCTCTCCCTTTGCAGGATGAGTACAGACATTTGACTATTAGTCTACTTTTTATTTTTATTTTTCGGTTATTCGTTTTCCTTTCTTTGTTTTTTCTTCTGACTTAGCTGGTTCTGGCTGGAACTTCAGCTGGTGATTCTGTAGCTTGACCTCTTTCGTATGTAAATCTATATGGAAGCTAAATGCTAGATCCGGTCTATCCTCTGTTCTATTAATTAAATTGTGGTCATAGAGTTCTTGTCTTGAACCTGCTTTTGCCGAGATTTTCTGTTTTATATAATGGATGCCTTTCAGTGCTCCACACACCAAGCTGGCCGCGGATCATCCCTATAGCTCACTTTTCATCTATTGTCCTTCATGATGGTGTGCGATCCTCTATTTACGGAATATTGGCAACCGGTTTAGGCTTAAATTCTGGCCATTGACGAAAATTGACGATGCTGACCGTTTAAGCAATGGACATACCAATGTCGCTTCATACCCGAAAATGCCGGTAGTAAAATGGCCATTTATCTTAAAGCTATGCGGACAGAGTATTAACATCATTTTAACATTAGGGTTTATGCCATCATGTAGCCTAATAAATAACCCTAACAGTCAGGGAAAATTTGTCTTTATAGTAAAAGGTACCATCACTATCCTCCTTCTAGTAAAATTAATAACCCTGCAAATGGATAGCTACTAACTTAGATTTTTTTAAATTACTGATGGAGGGAGTGTAAATGTTATTCTTCTCGGGTTGTGAGGTGAAAAGGAAGCCTATTAACTTTTCTAGTGATCCTGTTCTCTCTATATGAAAGGAAATAAACGTAGAGCTGTCTTTAGTCGAAGCTAAACTTTTACTTGGGCTAAAGGTCGACTGTAATAAAAGTAGCCATTCGCAACGAGCTTTCAAGGCTTACGGATACAGCCACTACGGCAACCTATAATCTAGTCATCCGCTTATAAACCGGCTAAATATTAAATAGGATATAAAGCTTACAGAATTACACTCTTATGTCGCTTGCTAGGGTTTATGCTGAAATTCTTTTAACTAGAAGAGAGCTAGGTGCATCGCCTAAGAATCCTTTTGTGAGCTCTCTTTCAGAGCTCTTGTAGAGTTTGATCGGATCCCAGAAAAATATGATCGGCTTCGGGAAAATATATACTTCCTAGACGTTCTTTCGAGAACACTCATGGGTTGCATTAAGATATCCCGGGTCACAGAATAACTGAAGAAGCACCCAACGCTGAAGCAAACTAGTGTAGCTCCCATGGTCAGTATATATGTCTCAAGTCCAGATAGGCGCCATCCACAGAAGCTTAAATTGAAATCCGAGGAGCATATTATCTAATTGTGAGGAATATATATAAGGCACACACCATTAAGGGAAGATACAGAATATAGTGATCTATATAGGGTCCCTGGGCTGTCCTGAACGCGACGAATCTCTCTTTATTTTGCTTTCTCACACTACATCCTGTATCTAGGGCTAAGTAAAATTGTTCTCAATGTTGATAATCCATTTTCAAGACACCGTCCAGTTCTATGTCCTTCTCTAATCAACAGTATAAAAAAAAACATTAGAAGCTTAGTTTGGTTTTTATAAGATAGTTTAGCCTACGCTACGAATTACCAGCCACGGGCCTAACGTCCATTACCACTAACTGCGCAAACCCCAAACACCTACCGAATAGGAGGGAGAGGCAGATGGGCAACGGCATAATGGCGATCTCTGCCCGAATGCGCAAGACGCGTGTCATAGAGGGGAAGTGCGGTGCGATCGTCCTCCATCGGACTAGAGCGGGTTAATATTGCCGAGCGGTGATCGTGTGGCTGTATACCTTGACATTGGGCTTCCTGTAGATACTGCACCCCTAGCATCTCCCAGGAGATCCGGGTATACTGTCAATCCTTACTTTCGGAATGTAAGAAAAACGAGCTATTAGGACCGGGGTTCATCGTCATACCCGATCATTCCTATGTTTGTCTTGCACCTAGAGCCATTGATTGCCCGGTCTACAAAATGCTCCATAAGTATACGATTTACGATAGGTTAAATTCTATTAGGCTCTAGGAGCTAAAATTGGCCCATTTTAGAAGGCCATTATACCACAACTAATGCGTTAAATAATTTCTAATACACAATTTTAGATGCTACCGACCGCTAAATTTTCATATAACTTGATCTATCTTAAAAACACAAATTATGGTTATATGTTGTTGCCGCATCCTGGCTAATATAATGATGACCTGTAGAGGACGAGATAGTAGCAACCCACAAAGCTAACAGGACCAGCAGTGCTATGTATATTTCCGAGAGTTGACCAAGTTTTCCACGAGATATAGTATAATTCCCCAATAAATATATACAAGTGTGGGAAACCGTTCATGTTCATTTCCCTGAACATATCTCTAGAATTTATGTGTGCAACCTCCCATATGCATCGCAGCCTATCTACGACCACGTCCTCTCTAAGGATTAGTACGCAATAGCCCTCTTGATAGCGAGATAATAGGCGCTAGCGGTTGAAATACCGGCTATAGCAACCTAGCTAATTATAAACATGATAGCATTGACTTTGTTATCTTCCTAGACTCATAGTGTATAAACGTAGGCATCTTTCTAATGCACCGGGGTAGGTGGAGTAAGTGGTTGCTGAATCTATAGATTGAGCCACTCTATATCTCTTAGAACTAGGTATTTCCAGAGAACGATGCTTAGACGCATACGTGACAGTACCACAATATTGTTCGGGATTATGCTGCGGTAATGGCTTCACGCTTATGGATAGGTTTCCAGATTAAAATTGGTTTAGAGAGAACTAGGAAGGACTTTGCGAGCTATAGTTGGGATGAAACATACGACCAAAAGTGGAATAAAATTGGAATATGCGCGAGAAGATTGAAGTGCCGATGTCTGTTCGGAGAAAGTTGCAAGATAGCACGGCTGAGATTGAAATCGTCCACCCTTAACCCAAAGGCCAAGAAATATGTTGAAGAATGATACCGTCATTGTCCTATTGTTAAGGCATCAGGATGTTTCGGCATCTCTTTCTATCTAAATTGCCACGCCCGAATGAAGGTATTGAAAACTGAACCGGCCTAGTCGGAATGTGAATATGTAACCATACCAGCTCCTTCCTATTTCTGTCGAGATTGCCTTGTGTTCCCTATAGAAAATTGTTCTCGAAAGAATGATATAATATCTCCTCAAGAATTCTCAGAAAATAAGCAGATAAGCTTCGTAAGTTGAACATTCCTATGTTCCACGTCTCCTTTGTCTTCTTGTAGCCCTTTTGTTAACAGAATGTGTTTTGCGCTATACGGGATTATCTAGGCCAAACTCGCCACATCAACCCGTCCATCAGGTGGTCCACCGTACGAGACGATGGTCATTTTGCTAATTTCAGGCTTGTGTTCGCTAAAGGGTCAAATGATCTGCAGCTGCCCAAGCAGTCCAAAAATTGTTTACGACTTACGGTCATTGGAATATTGGGATTCTCTGGAATGCGTCTATCTAGGACAGTATGATCACGACGAGCTAGATCTAGCGAGCTTTGGCCAAATTTTGAAAATTGAATATCTTTGGCTCAGATTCAAGAACATTAAGACTGTATATCACTTGATTGCTGAAACTTAAGGGATAGTGACGTAGGAGTGTGTCGAATTATTTGAAAAGCATGGACGTAGATTCGATGGAATATTAATCTCTCATTTTTCTATCGTTGCCGATCTCTAGTGTGACGTATACACTCATAGGTAATAAGTCTGCTAACACCCGAGATTCCCCACTATTTATGTAATTAACCCAGTATAGTTAACTAAATATATATATTTTAACCAAAATTTAATAAAATTGTTTATATTTTTTAATATATCTTATACAGAAAAGCCTGCCATTTTTTTTAAGACTAATATCGTGTATACCAACCTCGCACAGCCCGCACAGCCTCAATCCTACGCGGCATTGACCGAATTAGGCTATCAATACTAGCTTGATCGATATAGTTCCATAAATCAATCAATGCTGCCCGAAAATACTCCCAATCAACCTGTCGACGTCGCCCATTCGCTATTCCAGGGTATCGATTTAATAGCTCTTTTTTTAAAAGTGCCCAGACGACCTCAATTGGGTTTAAATCAGGCGAGTGCGGCGGCCATTCAATAACATAGATATCTCGATTTTGAAACCACTCTTGAGTATGATAAGCGGTATAAATTCCCGCGTTGTCTTGCTAAAATATAATTCCAGGCTTATAGATTAGAGCTAGAGCTTCGTCAAGCGCGTCGGTATATAAAATAGCGGAGTATCCGTTTCGTGGAGCATCTAGGTCGCGCTCCATAATAACTAATTTTGATCGGCCGCTAATCTAAATTTCACCCTAAATCATTTGCGCAATATCTTGTCTATGGCTTTCTAAGTTGATAAAATCAGCTCGGAAGGCCTCATTTTGGAATCGAAAGATAAATTAAATAGGTGAATTCGATCTACGTTGGACCAAACATTCGTCGGAAAAAATAAGGTCTTCCCATCGATTAAAACTAGCCCATTCACGATAAAATTCGCGTCTTTTTTGCGCAGTCTTAGGCTTTAATGGAATACGCTTTTTTGACTTCCATTTCTTAAGACCGTAGTGCTTTAGAATCTTTCGTATAGTCGATCGTGATAGGGAATTAGGGGTATTTGCGATAATAGCTTTGTAGCTCCACCGAGGGTGTTTGCGAGCTAAACGAAAGATATAGCGCTTAGTTTGAGCGCTAAATTTTGGTGGGCGACTAATTCTAGGCTTTGATTTAATTAAACCATATTATTGGAAGCGAGCTTTAGTGTTGTAGACCGTATAGCGAGACACATAATGGTCTTGCGCGATTTTAGAAGGTGATACACCTAATTTAAGCGCGTATAATATAGCAGAACGCGTAGTAGGTGAAAGCTCTGCATTTCGCGCGCGATTTCCACTGATTTTTGTTCCAAAAGAACGCATATTGATTGAGATATTGGTAAAAAAAGATAGTAGGTTGTTTTGGTTAGGTGACGCGGCACTAGCGTGTTAGCAGACTTACCGCCCCCTATGTAGGAGTAATACATAAGCTCGGAAGGCGGTGACCGGTTCTGCCAGGGAAACTGGAGTAAGCTGATTGGGACTAGCAGTGCCCTCAAGAGTGTGTTTAGCTGTGCGCGACCAGACTTAGTTTCTGCTTCAGTTTCGTATCTTCGTTAATACTACATTATACCTTCCATGTTGAGTTGTAACATTTAGGAGCATGTTTTCTGGAAGAGTTCTTCTGTCATGTTCGTTCCGTTTTCGGTGCATTTTGATGTGGATTCGAGCCTGACAATTTCAGCCGCATTGGGCGGGCGGGAAGTATACTACCTTTTGCTTTCGGAAATCCAACAATCTGCGAATAATTTAATTCCCGTTGAAAGGAATTATGACCAAATGTTTATACCATTCATCTATCTCTCACTTTCTCGTTACTTGTCCTGACGGACGAAAGATGACGCCTCAAAAACGAGCTGATAATTGGATCGACGTGAGATTCTCATCCCTGATTTCCTACCTCAACTCATTCAATATCTAGGGTCTCCGCGGGGTCGCAGCTCTAACAGTCGTGACCTACCACTTATGCTCATGCTTCGCACCCTGGCTAAATTCGCCTGCAATTTCAGAAAATGGCTCTGTTTATCTTTTCCAGTACCCATTCCTTCGACTCGTGGTTGCCGGTCGTCTTGCCGTTGCTCTCTTCTTTGTTATAACCGGATACGTGAATTCATTTAACTCGAGGAAACACATTCGCAATGGGGACTCTACATTTGCCTTGTCGAGTCTTTCCCGGAACACGTTCACTCGCATAGGCAGGCTGATTATACCAACAAACGCTGCCGTGCTCATGGTATGGTTTATTTGTCAGCTCAACGGATTTAGATTCGCGAGCCAAGTCGACTCCGGTTGGATCAGAGGATCCGGTACCCCTACGCCGGGACCGACATTTTGTGGTGCCATCGATGGGTTGCTTCGAAACCTGATACTTTTCTGGCATAATGGTGGGTCGGAATACGATCACACATACTGGACGATTCCGTTCTTCCTGAAAGGGTCTATATTGGTCTATGTGACGCTCTTGGGAACAGCATATACTCGACCGAAGTATACAAAAATAATCCTTATTTTCCTTTATCTCTTTTCTTGGTCCGGTGGACAAGGTGCGTTCCTGATCAAATTTGTTCATCCTGAAATATCACTGACTACAGTAAAATCACAGCTCTCATGGAAATGAATGTTTACGCAGGAATTTTCCTAGCCGAATTAAACACCGATTACGGAAACACCGCCGGCTCTCTCATTCCCTGGCCCATATCAGCACTCATGATGCTTTTCGGTCTCTTCCTCGCCTCATTCCCCGAGGAAAATCCCAGATGGACGATATGGAGCCGTGCCATTGATGCAGCTGGGCTATCACTAGTCCCCAACGGTGGTGAAGTCAATCGATACGTCGTGTCACTAGGAACGACTATCTTTGTTTTCGGCGTATTTTTCTCGTGTCATGCTCGTCGTCTCCTCGCGCATCCATTCATGAACTTCCTCGGTCGTATTTCCTTCCCAATATACTTGCTCCACAATACCCTCATTCGCACGTTGCTGACTTGGGTTCTCTACCGACACTCGTTCCTGATGAACGGGTTGCATCCTGAGGACAAGGAAGAAAAGCCTATGTTTTATGGGCGGGGCGGAGCTTTCAATTTTGCATTCGCGATGCCCCTGTTTTATCTGATACTGGTCTACGTGTCATATTTGTGGACGATCTATGTTGATCCGTGCACTGAGGAGGTTGTATCCTGGCTTTCGACGAAAGCCTTTGGTGACAATAATGATTTTGAGTCGTTGAAACAACACCCATCGAATAGGGTTTTCAAAGCTTGAACGAAAACTTGGGGACTAGTCTTCCTGGGGGTCATCTTGGCTCTACATGTTCTATGGCCTAGCTATGGATCAAAGGCAGTATACAAACAGACTGTTAACTTCAACACAACTAAATCCTTTCCTTCTATCTTTTCAGTGCCCACTGTCCGTCAAATTATTATCACAGCCTACATATATAGTGATATGCGTCATCGTAATACAAGGCCCTTTTCAGACACTAGAAGCAAGATATATTATTTTGGGATCCAACTCATTTCTCAATACGGGTGATGACTTCGTAGACTATTGCGCGCGAGGCGATTCCAGTCTGAATATGAGCTTAGGGGTGTCCTACTTTCTTCTCATGGCGGCACCACTTTCACTGGTAATGCAAAAGTAGCTTCTGGGACCGACTAGAGTCGGGCCACCTTCCACATTTCAATTTACCCTTCAATTTGGTGTGATAGTGCGCGGTCGGGCCCCCGCAACTGGCCGCACCCGGACAACCACGGCGGATTTGGTTTGGTCTACCCAACGGGAATTAATATCGGGCACCATGAGAAGGTATGAATCCATTATCCGAATACTTTGTGAAGGACTGTTTCCGAGTGCGATCTCACTGGGGCGAATGATGCAGCAATATTTAAAATCAGATACACCGCTATACTCTCACATATTGATCCCCGAACCTCAGCCTGAAACACACTAATCAAATTTTTGCTACAGTCTCGATAACCCCTGCTCAGCTGTATTCTATTGGCTGGTAGCCAAAAAAATGAGTCATTGTCATAATGCAGTCAGGATCATTAGAACCGTGTTGGAGCTTCTATGCAAACAGCCCGAATTGGAGACTCTAGTGTAGAGATCTGGCAAGATCGTCCAGTAGCTCTCTTGAGTAGTCATGGACTCGGGAATATGATACTAACCCCCATCCACTGCGACTGATGGGACTTAAGTCACATTGGAGGGCTGATCAGCGACCATCCAAAATGTTGCGCTTAGACTAGCGCGTTGATGACTCAGACACTTCCTATTTGGAAAGGTCCATATATTAGGACATGATAATATTTGGGTAGATATAGCGCGGAGGTTATGTCAGCTGGAGGTGGTTTTCTAGCTTTCTAACGGCGAGACTCCCCGAAAGAGCTGAATTGGTTGTGTTCTAAAAATAATATCCCTAAGGGCCAGTGGCCCCTGACAGCTGACGCGAGGTCCACCTGTCCAATCTGACTTTGAGGTTTGGAGGCCGTTTTGGAAAGGTGAAAGGTTGGTAGGTTACAACTTGTACTATTGTACTTGGCACTGGGGTCGGCTTGAGAAACAACGGACTAAGTCACCAGATACCCCTTGGGATGAACGAATTGTTTCATGTACAGCTCTTCTTGTGACCACGGCATATCACTATATTGCGAGTAAACAGTCTCCTCACCAGCAACTAACCGATGGATATTGCGCTTGGTGCTATATACTAGAGCGAATGACTGCTCGTCGTGCCATGATTCATCGCCATTTGTCACAATTTGCGAGTCTCGAGACGAGGAACCAGCTCGACGGTGAGTATTGAACAGTTGAGGGAATGGCGCATAGCATTCGATCCGTTGACGATCGCCCACACCGCCACATAATGTACTCAAAGCGTTATCGAATGGTTGTCCGAGATGATCGATGGAAAGAGCAGCAAGGATCTTTTGTGCTCCTCTGCGCGTGATCGCGTAGCCAATTGTACAGAGACCGGATTCAGCCCTAAAGATAAACCGCGTGGAGTCTTGCGGGAATTTCTCGGTCCAAGCCCGGAGAGGCCCACCGAGCGTGCTTTGTGCCTGGGAAGGTGGGTTCGTTGGATCATCGGGAATTACATAGAACCTGGTTTGATTCTTGTCTGGGCCGGTGCCACATCCTCCGATCCAAAGAACATCCCAGTTGGTTCCGTAAGGTGCTTCCTTGGATACTTTGTCATTGCTTTGTAGGGCGTGTAGTCCGCGGGCGAACTCGCGTAGTTGGGACTTAATGTTCACATCCCAGTCAGCGTCATCTTCGAAAATCAGGGCCGTGGAATGGTCATTTTCAATAACACTAACGATGAGAACATTAGTGCTAGTTATTCTGGCTCCCAGATTTCGGTCAAATCTTTACCTGATTAATGCGTTCATATGCGCACGCCAGGCCGCAATAATGCTAGGCTCGGTGTCTTCAAGGTTCACTCCCTGTGTTGACAGTAATGAGTGACAGATCCCTTGAGCCGTATTATGGAAACATACATTCGGCATGGCCTTCTGTAGCAAACCACCTGGCTTTACTCCCTCAATCCATTCAACTTTGAACCCTGTTACCGAGGCTGCCAGGGTTAGAAAGTCACGTTTGTCGGTCCGCCCTTTGAATCCTATCGCGTAAACATGTTCGAACTGTAGAAAGTCAATTTCAAGACTGCAAATGAAAGAGCATAGCATATAGATACGAACTCCGAGGGTTTCGTTCTGAACGTGAGCAAGACACTTGTCATCCACGACATTGCAAGGAAGATGTAACGAGCCCTGAGGCCAATGTATATCTTCAGAACTTCCAGAGAAGAAAAAGAACAAAAGGCAAGTGAAAAAAGCTGCAACAACAAGCTGAAGGGCTCTGTAGCCCTTAAAATTCATGATTCCCATAGTTAGCATGAAATTCAAGCCTCGTTAAAGCTAGCGGGTCTGGCAAGGGCAGGGAGGAAATATGTCTGCCCCCGCTACTTGATTTATGACAAGAGAGAAGCACCGTTTCGGATTGAACCTGGGATAGAACGACTTGAGGTCCCATAAAACCATGTTAAGAGGCCAATGACGGGGCGTGCAGGTTCATACTCCGCAAACAAACCCCTACGTTGGTAGGAAATAGAGCATGCAGATCATGTCTGCTGACTAACTTGTACTTTTGCACGCACTTATTGAGGCCAATTGTGTGGAATGAAGCGCGCCTTGCACCAGGCTCATCGCGGGTACATGACGCCGGAAACGGCTAACATTCCAGGCATCTACCTCGACGAAAGAGGATTGAAGAGCGACGGCCAAGACCTAGATAGCGCGCAAACTTTAACAAATAGAAGGGATTTAGTCCTCAAATTCCTTTCCTGAGCAAATTAAGCCAGGCGACACGACCCACATCTTCACACCATCCCTAAAATCGAGACTGTACGCATCTCAGCAGCTTGGCATTATCGTAATATTTGGCTGTAAAGAGACGCGAGATTTTATATCAATCTTTCATGCTCACTATGCCTCTAGGCATTTCGAAAATGGACGCAAAAACCAGTGGCTCGATGGACGGTCGACAATCAATGCCTGTCAGGCTCTCCTCAGATTCACTAGAATTCTTTTAGAATGTTCTCTTTAAATATAAATAATTGGAACATTCTAAGACCTCCATCGCTTGTCATAGCCATTACTCGCACTGAAACGGTCCCAAGCGCTCACCGATCGCGCCGCCAAAGTCTCGCAATGAATCCGAGCTGGCATCAGTACTAACATGATGTTCCCGGGTTACTATAAAGTAAGATAATTACTTGCTATGATTTACACACTGGGGAAAATGCTCAGATGAATTCACTGGGTTTAATTGCCTCCGGGCGAGTCTTCGAATGCGGATTCAAAATGGATTCCATAGACCACAAGTATCGTTTCTAGGCGGCCCTGGAAGACTTACGATTAATAACGCGACAGAAGCGAAAGGTCCCCGATTACGAGGCAATTAGGCTGAACTGGATGAAACCACTCCGTCCAACGCTTCATCGCCGTACTTGATTAGCCACAACCCACAAGCATAAGGTAACGGTTGAGAAGCCAGCACTTGCCTTAGGAAGGTTCCGGTATAGCTATTATCTTTAGAATTGGGCTGAACAGATTAAAAGTCATTAACCCTGGAAATTAAGCGGGCAGAAAATGCTATAGACTCATAAACGGATGGCAAGAACAATCAGTCCCTTGGCATTTTGAGTGTACACGAAAACGTAGCCTGAGAAAATAAAATATTTATCCGAGAAAAACTTGTATTGCTCTAGTGATGACTGTGTGTGGTCTTCTAGCCCGTGTATCGGACAATTAGACTAATTGATTGTTGATGTTAATAGGCGTAAGCTGCTGCTGAAGCGTTATAGAAAGTTAAGGGTCGACATTCTGTGTTACAACAAATATGATTCGTCAGTACCCCGTTTAACATACGAAATACGAAAGGAGAAACAAGGGCTCGCTGACGGACCTTATTTCAGTGGTAAATTGACATCTCTCACTTCGAAGGATCGCAGTCTCAAAGCCGAGGTATTTCCTGCGTGTTAAAACAAGGCAGCCAGGAATCTAAAGCAGAGCTGAACAGATCGACCGCAAGATACCGAAGCTAAGAGTTGTTATTCATCCTTCCCTGCTGTAAATCCAGTCTGAGCAGTGAATCCGGCCAGGATAAACCAATCCAAAGGCTGTCCCTTTCTCAGGGGCAGTGTCACACTTGGGCACATCCTGGACAATTTCGCTCTTGGGAGAATCGTAGTTCGTATCTTGTTTGGTGACGGAATGTCCTCTCCACGGATCATACTCGCCATTGGTGAATATGACGTGACTGGGGTTCATCCTTTTGCCACCATAACATGTTGATCAGCGAAACATCGGGCTCTCCACGGAAAGCCCTCGGGCTGAAAGTAAACCCACCATCTCGTTTATCGCTAGTGGCGGTCCAGTTGCTGTAGCGGCTCACGAGGTAAATGTTAGCTGGATTAGAGCCCTGAAAGTCGCCGAACGCGGTATCAACGAGCCAGTCCCACGCATTATTGTCGCCAGTTGAATCCACTTAGACTCCAAGGCTGCTCCCACCGTGACTACCATTGAAACTAGCCGAAGATAGATAGATTTGGTAGAGAAAAAGACGGAAAGCGTAGATATAGACCTCCAAGGGGATAGCTGGACTGTAGGCGTTAGAAAGCCTTTGTGTGTGTGGTTAGTCTACTGGTCACTGGCTGCTCCTCCGGCTTAGGTGTAAGCACGACACACGCGCTATACTAGCCCGGTGGTACACTTTACCTTACGGCCCGCGATGTTGAAAAAATGAAACGCTCCTTAGGCAACATTTCTGATTGCGCTCGAGCCACTTTCTTGCCCCTTAATCTTAATTCTCTTTCCTCCGTTCACACAAGTGCCAAAGATATTAGCTCAAAAAGTCAGACTAAGCATTCTAGTTGCAACTGCCGGAGTGATGGCATGTCCAGAGGGCCGAACAGCCGACAGGTTTGAAACGAAGTTTGGAAGCAATTGCCTCGCTCACTACTTCTGTTCTATCTACTTAAACCTTTGCTACTGGACTAGTTCATGCCGAATTTCAATTCTCATATTGCCATTATAGGGCCTAGTGCCCATCGAGTCTCGAGCGTCAACTTTGACAATATCACTCTTATAGGTGTATACGAGCCTTAGGAAGCATACGGCCAAAGCAAAACAGCTCTTCTCTGAGCTGCCAATGAAATCAAAAGACGTTATGGGTCTCATGGTCTCATGTTCTGTATGCCTTTAGTTTGCACTTTGGTGGAATCTAGACTGGATTACTGCGCTATGTCTCGGACGAACAGAAGGCCAACTGCGCCAAGAATGATGTTTTGTCAAACTACTGGAAGAGCCCGGAATAAGTAGCAGCCACGACTATGTGGGCGGCCATAACAAAAGATTTAGAGTGCCAGGCAGGCAAATACTTGGATAATTATCGGATTACTGGGCCGCATGATACGACGAAAGGAAACTACGCCCCGCGATATGCTCCGTGGGGACATAATGTAGATGGTGCGTCAAAGCTTTGAGTAAAGACATTGGAGATGCTACTCCTGAAGGAAAAATGCGCAGTGGACATCTGAGATACATTTATGGACCCGGTTAGCCCAGCCAGAGTGTGGGGTAACTGGGATATATCCCAAACAAATTTTACAGGAAACTTTCCTGGTTGACGTGAGAGAAAAGCGACAATTACGTCCGACTTCACCGGGAGTACGAAGTGCACACAAATGCTATTTAGAAGCTTGGAACCGTTGACTGAAATTATTGCGCGCAAGTAAATCTCCTTAGGGCTAAGTAAGGCCTACCGATTCACTCGAAATGCGGTTCATTTAGTCTCCTTTGGCCTCCGGAAATGACATTCTCAGCGCATGCTACAACACTCATTTTTAGTGAATACATGAAAGAACGTCATAATATATCCGAACTGCTGTATTTTCTTTCGCTATTCGGCTGTCACTTTTGAGTAAATTCAATCAAAATATGCATACAAGGTTCCAATCTCGAACCGAAGAGGCCGTGACTAGACACGAGAGCTACCTACGCTGTACTAGAAATAGGATTCAGATAAAACCGTATAAGATTGAGTTACTGAGTTTCTGTCTATTCGCTTGATTAAACTCAAGTCAAATGCTCAGATGGTTTCCCTTTGTCCATGGTCTCATTGGGTGGTGAAAGGCCCCTTCTGCTGAAGGCTCTTGATCCGGCCTAGTAGGAATTCAAGCTGTCGATATGCAGCACCAGGAACGTATTGAGGGATTTCTAGAAGAATTAATAGTCAGAGAAAGGAATCGCCTGGCACAAGACAAGGGCAGCGAGAGGTGAGGACTGTGGGGAGTCACTTACCATGTCCAGATCCATACACTGTGCTGAACGTTAAGCCACGCTCAGTATGGGCGGTGCCTAGTATACCAGCTCCCGCATCAGCCGTAAATGGGATTTGTGCATTTCCATTGGCGATCTCATCCAGTGCATGAGTATAAGGGACGAAAAGCGGTTCTTCAAGGGCCGGCTTTTCGAATCCCTGGGCACCGTTCCAAGTCATGCTCTGGATTGTGGCTAAGGATCCATTCAAAAATAATAGATAATCATACCAGCCGTGACCAATCAACACATTGTTTGTTCGCTCGATGACACTCGGGAGCGGGCCAAGAGCGCTTGGAACTGACCCGTCTCCATATGGGAAGATTTCACCTCCACAAACTGCATAGTTTGTCGGCGGAACATGCAATGCCTTCTGAACAGCGGACTGGTTGAAGTAGTCGTTCGGGCCTCCCGCCAGGGAAGGGAAGCCCATCTCATCCCACAGGAATGGACAGAAGTCCGTCAGATGATACATATTGAAGCATGGATTGATGTAAGTCGCAGCCTTGACGATCTGATCCCAGACATCACATCCCTCCTGATTTGGATCTGGAGCAGTCGGAAAATCCTGGGGTGGGGGGAATGTCAGCGCTTCGTTAAGGAATTTGTTATATCCGCATTCCTCAGCGCGATTATTGATCTCTTCCATGAAGGTATCGTTCAATGAAAACACGGTAGAAAAGTGATTCAAAGCGGCAACCGCAGGAGCTATAGAGTCAAAACAATCAGTGGCGGGTAGTGTCACATTTCGAATTCAAACTGACCGTACATCATCACGTTATCCTCATTGATAGATGGGTCATTGATTTGGATGCCCTTCAAGTTAAAGTAAGTAGTGTCTTTGCGATCCAGCATCCCTGAAGCCAGATAAGGAATATATTGGCCTGCATAGCTCTCTCCAGTGATATACACCTTGTATCCTTGCATACTGAAGGTTTGAATAAATCTCTTCCAGAAATCATTGAACTGATTTGAGACATCGATCTCATTCTGAACGGTAGAGGGTCCAGGAGAAAATCCTGTACCAGCAGGTTGGTCAATGTACACGACATTTGTCAGATTCGTCCATGAGTAAGGGTTTCGAACGGGCGCATGCGTTCCGGATTGCCAAAGAAAGGGGCCATTTTCTTGTAGAAGTCCATCGAGTGAGCTGCATCCAGGCCCTCCATTCAGCCAGATTGTGATCTGAGAGATCAATCAGTGAACATCATTTTTGCGGATTAGGACCGTCTCATACCTCATTTTTCGCATCTGGGTTGCTAGATGGGAAAAACCAAAAGAATAGGCTTGAATCCCCGTGGGGTGTATTAGGGAGAAGCCCAGAATAACTCTCACCAATGTCGAAGGGGACTTCCGGGAAATCTTTTCCGTCGACCAGGAATTCTGTAGACGGATGTTAGCCATTCTATCTTCAAATCCCGAAGAGTATTAGGGCTATCCTTCGGATGACTCACGCTCTGTCTCGTTGTTCAAATATTGGTGGCTGGTCTGAACAGGTTGAGCATCTCTTTTAATGAATCTTTTCGCGCGTTGTTTCAACGATGCGGCTTTTCGGTGAGGGCTCTGCAAAGCCACGGCCGTGGCGACCAGTAGCGTAAATGGAACCAAGAAGCGCATTTTTTAAGATAAAGAGAGCTGGCTCTTAGAAGATACTTGGCTAAGGAAACTTTATGGCGGGTGGTCGCGTAGATAAGTATTTATCTATCACTAGGACGGTGCAAGTCGGAGAACGGTCGCAATTACGATCGTTACTAATAATGTAAGAATAAGACTACGCAACTACTTGTAGATCCCTAGCGGTACGATCCGCAATCTCTTAGTGATTGGTTAGTTGCACGCGGGGTATCTCGGCCGCTTAAAGTTATTGCAACGTTACCAAGGACAATAAGGAAGGTGATATAAAGGAATATGACGTGATAGATCAAAAGTTGGTATTTTTTTCCTTAGATCCGACGGAGTCCTTATGGGGTAGAACTTGAACTTGGACCGACCGCAAAACTAGGGGAGCGTTCACTATTGTATGCAAATGAGCTTTTATACCCAATTTAGAGACAGAATACTTCCAGCATCGCGAAAATGCCAACCCTGGTGGATGGGGGCCATAATTTATTGTATGATGCGTTCGGCGCGGTAAGCGAAACACGTTCAAAACGTGATATATACCCTGATGATGTGGCCATAATAATGACATTAATCTATCAGCAACCTGCAGGAAGTAGAAACTGAGATCAAAACTCTATGGCTGATCTCCTGCGGGTTGATGTTTGCAAGATTGCGCGACCTAATGCCTCAAATAGGCTTAGCTTAGAGGTTGGGTTCAGGATTATTCTGCCACAGAGCTAAGAATCAAAGTAACCCTGCTAGGAAACTTTTGTTGGCGATTATCTGAATTTCAATTGGATTATCTGGCTTAATTGTACAACTATTATTTCTCGCGATTATTGAATGATCACGATCTGCTCGATCCGTGAGAATGCCTGAATACCCACAATCGGTTTACATCCTTCCCTTTTTGCGAGATAGAGAAACAATTCCTGTTTGCAAGGTTCCGCACTCAAACGAAACCAATCGCTAATAGAACAATCTCGTAACCTCCATATCCCCCCTCTATCTAACCCAATCTATTATCACCGACAGTATGTGTGTTAAGAATTGGAAGGTCGGCGAAGCTCTTCATCATCGCTGTCATTTATTTTGCGATCCGGCCTGCTCGCAAATCTTTGTGTAAACGGCAAATAACAAGTGTCGTGAGGTCTGTCTGTCAGCCGTGACCGCTCCGGTAATGAATGGTTACCGCGGATGACGAGAAAAGTGGTTGACTAACGATCTTTTCCCTACTAATTCCCGACCTCGGGTGTCCGTCGGTGTCCCGCCCATCCCCCGCCCCCCGGGGGCAAGGTCATGTTACATTTGGGAGGCCCATAACGTAATTCATAAGCGGCCCGCCCACCCAACCATCTAGGTGGGTGAAGATAAGATAAGATTACAGAAAAATAAATGCCTTAGGGTCCCTATGCGGTAGGGCCGTCCAAAGAGCAAATATTTAATCCTACTACCCTTCCGGAGAGATCAGCGACCACTGTAACGTAATAGCTGACCCCTAGTAATAAGAAAGATAAGAAATTCAAGAGAGAGAGAGAGAGAGAGGAAAAACGGTGACAGATGGCAGAACGGAACTTCCATGTTGAATTCGAAGCTCTGGGTATTTGTGACAACCTACCTCGTCTTTCCATGACAGTATAAATATTACTCGTACCTCCAACACTTGATATCTTCCGCGCATAATCATATGGCCATCTGATGAACCGTCTGTTGAGGATAAGTCTAAGACGATCCACGGCACCTACATGTAGGCGTTTTGCCGTAGGGGGATTTCCAACATGGTAGCATGTCCGGAGGCTGTTCTCACGGTGGCCCTGGTTCGAAACCGACAAGAGAACAACGCATTTAGGGGTCCACTGGTCAGAACATGCAAGCTAGTTGAATCATCCCTGTACAAAAAGAGGGGGGTGAAAGCCACAGAACCATCTGAAAGACCGAAGGTACCGCATCCCGTGTCAGATCTTAGGGGGTGTGTTGAGGATAAGTCTAAGACAATCCACGGCACCTGTATGTAGGCTTTTTGCCGTAGGGGGATTTCCAACACCGTCAAGAGCCTTTTTTCCTTCAAACCTCCACCTATTTCCATTATGACGGAATCTTTTGTCGAGAAAGGCGATGATGCCAGATATGGCGAGGGTTATTGCACCGACTTGGAGACCATTCGCAAGATGGAGTACCCTCTGCTCAATGGTATGACTTCTTTTATCTCGTAACGCGATGTCTATGCTGACTATCAACCTAAAATGGATTCAGAGACCATCTATCTTGATCACGCTGGAACAACGCTCTATGCCAAGTCTCTGATTGGGTCATTCTCGCAAGACATGATGTCCAATTTATACGGGAACCCCCATTCCATGTCTCAATCCTCACAACGATCTACGAAGCGGACGGAAGATGTGCGACTCCGAGCCCTTCAATTTTTCAATGCGGACCCAGATGAGTACGATCTGGTTTTTGTGGCCAATGCCACCGGTGCTATCAAGCTAGTCGCCGAATCGTTCCGGGATTTGGATCCTCGGGGCTTCTGGTATGGGTACCATATCGACTCCCATACCAGTCTTGTTGGGGTGCGGGAGATCGCCAATATGGGTTACGAGTGCTTTCGAGATGTTGAAGTGGACGCGTGGATCTCAGAATTTGGCCCCGAACAACCGAGAACGCCCAAGCTGCTTGCCTTTCCGGCACAGTCTAATCTAAACGGCCGACGTCTTCCCGTCCGTTGGTGTAAGCAGATCCGCAGCGCTGCTAGTGCGGGCGGAGGCAATATCTTCAGCCTACTGGATGCCGCCTCATATGTGTCAACGGCACCACTAGAAGTGAATGACTTAGCGCCCGACTTTGTCGCGCTCAGCTTCTACAAGATATTTGGCTTTCCCGACCTAGGTGCGTTGATTGTTCGGAAAAGCGCCGCCCGGGCCTTTGAGAGGCGCAAGTTTTTTGGTGGAGGCACTGTGGATATGGTGTTAGCATCAGGAGCACAATGGCATGCAAAGAAGGAAACCTCCATTCACGAGCAGCTTGAAGATGGCACTCTTCCCTTTCACAACATTATTGCATTAGGTGCCGCCTTGGATACGCACAAGCGTATTTACGGTTCAATGGCCAATATCTCCGCCCATACCGGGTTGCTTGCCAAGCAGGTTTATGACAGTCTCTCTTCGTTGAGACATTACAATCGCACAAACGTTTGCCGGATCTATCAATCAGGCTATGGCAATCTCGCGTTACAAGGCCCAATTGTCGCGTTCAATTTAAAGAACAGTCGAGGCGAGTGGATCCCTAAAACCGATATCGAGAGACTGGCAGCGGCACGGAATATCCACCTGCGTTCTGGGTCCGTCTGTAACCCAGGCGGCACGGCCTCATCTCTTGGCTGGAGCGCTGCCGCTCTTAGCCGTCATTATGCGGCAGGCTTGCGTTGCGGCGATGACCATGATGTGTTAGACGGGCGACCCACGGGGGTTCTTCGTATCAGCCTGGGTGCAATGACCAATCTCAGAGATGTCCAGTCTCTAATCCAATTCATCAAAGAGATTTACGTGGAGAGCGTCCCACCGGTTGCATTGCCAGCCTCTTCTCTAAAAGGCAGCGTGCTTATCGCACCTCGTTTCTATATCGAGAGTTTGGCAGTGTTCCCAATCAGAGGCTGTGGTGCCTTTAAAATCCCCGCAAGCAAGTCTTGGGAAGTCAACAGTGAAGGATTAGCATGGGATCAGACATGGTGTCTAGTTCACGAGAAGACTGGAAAGGGGCTGGATGAGCAGACGTATCCGCGGATGGCACATATTCTTCCGACGGTTGATCCGGAACGCGAAAGCCTTCTCGTGTCATACGATCGGACGGTTGATCCTGCTCACGACATCGTTCGCGTCTCATGCGCTCCGCCAGCTTCAAAGGGGCAAATTAGCCTGGAAATTCCTCTTGACTGGGCGAAAACGAGTCTGGTAACTACGTCAAAATCTGACACAAGCAGTAGCTACAAGGAAGGGACATCCACACAATCCCATTTCTCAAATCTAACGAAAACCTTTTTCTCTGAGATTTTAGGTGTGCCCTGCACCCTCGCCCGGTGCTCTTCCCAATCCACTGGCCAGTTTCAGCCACCACAACCGAGCAATACTTGCGGGGGTCGAATGCGCAAGCTCTTCAGGACTAAGGCCAGTCATGAAAATGGCCAGCGCTCCCATATTTCATCTAATGAGCCTACTAGGCCGATCGTTTCAAAACAATCAGCTATCCACCACATAACCCAAGCCACCGCCGTCCACGCCACGCGAGGGATTGCAATCAGCAAGCCAATGACCGCAGAAATGTTCCGTGCAAATATTGTCGTTGCTGAGCGAGGGAATATGGTCGACGCACAGAAGTCCAACGCCGAACACCACTGGTCGTCTCTCTGCATCGGCCAAGACCGGGTCTATCTTGATGTTCTTAAGAATGACCGGCGCAGTCAGACTGGGAGCAGTGACCGAACCACAGGCACAGATCGTGCCAAGTCATTTGCGCGCGTCATTATACGCCAAGCTAACGGTGAGAATCTGCTGGGCACATACGCCATCCTTCCCACGGAGGACGTCGACATTTGTGAGTCTGAGAAATTCGGTGGTAAAACAATTGCGGTGATGGATGTGGTTTTTCCTTCGTCTAAAGGTGAATAAAGCGCACGAATTCCGGTCCATTGGGCTGGGGAGCACTCAGCGCCATTTCGTCTGGCCATGCATCCTTAGCAAGTTCGAACACAGTGCTACCAGAGGCGTTCTCTTGGTACAAGAGGGCATCACGACAGGATAGCATCTGGTCCAGAAGGTCCGAGAAGCCAGTCGTGACTGCCTGGTACTAGGGTGTATTCCCCGACCCATCCAGAAGCTCGAGAGCTTTGTAAGCGATAGGCTTAGCCAATTCTAGAATGAGGGCCATGGTGCTATGCATTTCTCCTAATGCTACCTTGGGACCACATTCAAGTGGCCGGCATGACTCTAAGCACTAGGCTAAGGGTTTCCATGAATCATGATACCCGGCACGCTAGAGCAACATGTTGGAAACAAGCGATCGATCTAGTAGATCCACCAAAGAAGAGACATCGTTGAAATCCGTCTTCATCTGGGGTTGGAAAGGCACGAAAAGTAAATGGAGAAGGCTTTTGCCTTTCCGGTCCAAAGTTTCTCGATTGGCCCCGCTTTTGATCAAAATATCTGTAGACTGACAGCGACGAAGGCCGTAGGCGATAGCGAGCGGAGTGTGTCCTGCTGGTCAACGGACCTCCAAGAATTCGGGATAAGTTCCGACTAGGTGGTGGACTAGCTTCATAGATCCTTCGCACGGCTCCGACATCACTGCACGATGGAGAATGAAGCTCTCTTTGTAAAACGTTAGTAAATGATTGTTTCAAGTCAAGGGTGTAGAGATGGAACATACTTTTCGTATCGAGCCAAGCTTGTACGGGATCACCAAGTTCAGAGGGAAACCGATTCAGTCTCTGGACACGCTTGTCCTCTCGATGTCGCTCGACACATTTGGTATAAAGTGTTGGAAATTGGAGCCCTCACCCTAAGGCGCCAACATCGGTCGGCATCTCTCTGCCCCGATGGCTGCTGATTGGTCAGCTAGGCCCATGAGGTTATTGAAACTGGGCGCCCGTATATGCAGGTTCCTCATCTATATCCTTCTTTGCTTCTTTTCAGGGGAATTCTCTCATGGACACTGGGTAGCGGTGTAGGAGAACACTTTTGTATGCATTTCTCTTAGAAAACAGTTCTCAGGGGTAGGATATAAATATCCCCCTGAGAACGAGCAGAAAAGATTATCAGAATTTACCATTAATTATCTGTCCATCTTCTTTTCGTCTGATCATCTACCCTTCATTTCTCAACACCATTTTGGCTTGCCAATAAATTTTGGCCCCATCGCATCTTCTTCTATATTAATATGTCCATCATCCTCTAGTACATGGGATGGCTCTTCGTCGGCATTAATGCATCGATCCTGATGTATTTCATTCTCAGGTTTGCGGCATAGTGGTGGCTTCGCAGGTATCACCTTCATCTTTTCAACAAATACAACTATATAGTGTCCGCTGCTCTCGATGGTGGCACCCAAGTTTGCGTATTTATTCTCACTTTCGCGGTCTTTGGTGGCAGTGGACCCTCCCATGCATTCCCGTATGTATCACTGTCTTTTTACTCAGTCTCCTGACATGCTAATTATTCTCTTTTCTTTTAGGACATGGGCCGGAAATCCCGACTCCAGCCACAACCTGGATTACTATATGGCCAATCCGGCTTCGAGTGAATGAGCACCTCCCGTGTTCAGTTCATACATTAACACGGAATGTTGGTGTCTGTTAGGGACCCGTTATTCAATATAAGGTCCAAATGATGTGTACCATAATGTGTCTCTTGGAAGAATATAACCGTTGAATTCGTTGCACAATCAATTGCCGCTCTGTAAAGGTGATCTCCATCGGATTTCTAGATTTCTGTGCCTTTTTTGCGCAGAAAAGGAGAAAAGTGGCTTGGGCGGGCCGGCAATCTATTCTAGTCCTCTTGTATGTTGAGGGCTGTGTACCTCAAAACCACTGTAACTAGGTGGATTACTGGCCATTTTCTGGCAGATTCGACTGAACGAATATCGATCATCAATTCAATCCGCCAAATAGACTACGAAGGGTATCGTTTCATTATGGTCATTAATAGCAACGTTTAGATATCTACCTAGTAGTCATTATGTAGGAATGAAATGCTTGGAATCATCCTGCTGCTGACTGAACGACTCATGGAATACCGCAATTCCACCTATGATGCCAACTGCCATGAACACAAGGGAAATGATAGACCAAATCAGACCCCAGCACTGAGAGGAACCGCCGTACTTGCTGGCAAAGACGCTGGCATCCGAAGTATTCACCTTGCGAAGGATCAGATCATCACACTGTGTTGGTGGCATTGTCAGACTCGATTTACTATATGAGGCCAACGGACACTTACAATATCCCAGACACTGTAAAGAGCAGACATAACACCGATGAAGAGCTATTTGAGGAGGATTAGAGGGTGTCTTCGCAATGTATAGGTATGAACTCACCACTACCCATCTCAAGGCCTCGCCATGCGCAATAAACCAACAAGCCACAAGCAAAGCGACGGCAAGAAGGATCGTCATGATGGTTAGCCAATCCTTGCGAGCCCACCATAGCGTCAACAGGAAGCAGATGCCGAGGATAATGCTTGCGACTTTGCTTGCAACAATATCAAATCCGGCGAAGATTAAAAGGGCGCCAATGATGGAAGACCCTAAATATCCCGCAGGGAGGGTAACGGCGCTGATTCCACCTTGCATGTGAGTCACTCCGCCTTCGTGTGGGTCGAGCGAGATCGATTTAACCCTTCCGCCTGTGCAACATGCGGTACTAGCGTGGCCGAATTCGTGAAATGCGATCACCAACATCTAGTTCATTAGATCAGCCCACCTGGAAAGATCTGGGGTTAAGTGTCATTTACCTTGAAGGGCCAAAGAGACCAGCGCACATATGGCAGATTCCATAGCAGCGCTATAACAACCACATACACCGCCATCACTCCAAGAGTAACGGCCTGCGTGTGGTTGACCGATAGGGCGCTGCGTTTGATAAGATGCGGGGCCATCTCGACAGCCCGTTCTCCTAACGGGGCGTACAAAGCCGGCATCTTGATGGCTGACAGGGCCCTGTTGTAAGTAGAGAAAGGGAACCCGAAGAAATGAGGTTGAGTTCAGTCTCAAGGTATTCTCGGGACACGATTAAGAGGGCCTCCTTGTTGTACGCGTCCTTCTTGGCTTGGGGAATGAGACGCGCATGCCAGTTGTTTTTTCCTGTGGCGCACGGCCCAGGGGGTGCTTGGCCCGTGGCTGGTGACAGGACGCCTATTTTTAGAGGAATCGGTCGACTTACGAGACCGAGATTGATCTTGTACCGTTTTAGCGAATAGCTTCCGCGTTACCGTTGATGGAAGTACCAATCATCTTTCCGTCACGCACGTTAGAAACGCGATCTAGGAGACGGTGCCTTACCAGCCCTTTCTCAGTGCGAGCGCTGGAAACGATGAAGTTGTCAGCTCCAGCGGCAATTTCAACATCACGCAGATTGACGGGAGCAAGTGCACCGGCCAGTGAATCGGCCAAGTGACACAACGTGCCAAGGTGTCGGCCGTGGAGACGAGCCCACTACCCGTTTGGAGAACGACGACAGCTACTTTGCCGGCGGCGACCGGTGCACCACGTATTCGGCTACTCCTCAATACATCACCTCGACTTCACGGGTCTTCGACCCGTCCCAGGAAAGCACGGCCTACGCAAACTTTGATTTCCGCGACCCTCGCGCGGTGACCCTGAGATATGCGGCGATGGGTATCGCCGAAACTTGTTCTTGGAGGCCACCGAAGGCGGTTACATGATCCAAAATTCCACAACGAATGGCATCTCCATTTATCTTCCACCTCTCCTCCTCGCTGGCTGCCAACCGGTACATGAACCTGTACTGGTCCGGTGACCAGAACACCAGCTGGGGTCACAATGACGGAATCAAGTCTGCCGTGACTGTCATGGGCCATATGGGTCTGTCTGGCTACGCACATGGCCACGTAGAGATTGGCGGATACACGACTACATGGGACAGCAATGGCGTCGTCAACCGTTCGGCTGAGCTTCTGGGTCGTTGGAGAGAGCTTTCCCCGGTTTCTAGCGTCGTCTTCCGGTCGCACGAGGGGAATGTTCCCCATGTCAACGCACAATTCTACACCAACTCATCGACGTATGCCTATTACGCATACAATGCCCGCATGTTCCGCAGCTTAGCGGCATATCAGCGCAGAATCCTTGATACCGAATGCAAGAATTTGGGATGGTCCTTGGTCAGAATGCCGGTCATTTACCACCCCGATGACGTGGGAGCAAAGGCCACCAGACACGAAAGCTTTCTCCTTGGGTCTGACTTGTACGTTCCAGCCGTGCTGGACCCCGGCTGTAAGTGTGTCGAGGTCTATTTTCTTGGCCAAAACCAGTCATATACACACGTGTGGTCCGGGTGGAGATACAAAGGTGGCCAGAAAGCTCGTGTTGTTGTACCCTATGGTAAGCCTGCTGTGTTCGTCGTGGTCCAGCCGAAGCACAACGATCTACGGGGCTTGCTTGAATTCGTTCGCAAGGAGAACACGGCCATGATATACGTTTGAGTGGCCCTATGACCGATAACCTGAACGACTTTGCCTGCTTTCCCGAAAAAGGGGTTCTGCCAGAGGTGGCAGAGGCTAAGAAGAGTATACTTGACTCCTCCAGGAAGGGCAAAGGGTCAAGCGAAAGGTCCTTATCTTGGAGAGAGCACGAGAGAAGAGGCGAAAGCTAGTACACTATCTACAAGGCCGGTGGTCAGCTAACCAGGAGGTCAACGAGGCTGAACGAGGCCCTATCGAAAACTCTTCCTATGTATATTTTATCACTCCAGTATTATCTGTTTCATCTGCCGGAGAGACCAGAGACACGGAGTGGACACACTGAACGTCAATCACTTGAAAGATGCACGGAATCATGGAAGTGAGCTGGAGGATAAAAAGTAAACAGCCTAGCAAAGCGAAGCATGTGTCTCGCTTCGTATATTGGCGATCTCTTGTCAAGCTTTTAACTCTGCCGATTATCAACTCTACCCTGAAACCTTAGTGACCGACATAAAAACTCCAAAACCGCAGAAGAGTATTTGATAGGTGCCGAACCATTTGAATCTAGAATGTACGGGTACACAGCCGCGTTCCTGAAGGAGACAATAGGGATGGGCGACTATGGCAGCAATTCGATCATAAAGCCCGACTCTATCGAGTGTCTTTGATAGGATCCTTTTCAGCCCCCTCAATCTGCTTTAAGAATGCATCTGCTCCGTCCGGGTCATTGGCAAAAATATGATCGGCGACCATTCGTTGAGGCGTCTCTCCAAGCCACTGGAACAACGAGAAGTCTTGGAATTTGTCTGCGCGGAAAATTTCAAGAACCTCCAGCGGCTCATCGTCACTCAGGTTCTCGATGAAATGGCCCATATTACGGGGAACGATGCCGACGTCTCCAGCCATGTAATCGAAGGTGCGAGCATTTCCTTCGGCGGCAAAAACGGTGACTCGGGCACGACCTTTTTTAAAGTAAGTCCATTCATCGGCGTTGGGATGCCAGTGCATTTCTCGCAGAGCGCCAGGTTCGATCTCCAAGTGGGCCGCAGCGACCGTAGAGGAGATGGGGAAATTGGTGGAGTCCGTGATTCGGACACGCCCGCCCGTCGTGCGAACGGGATCCTGGGCGTGCATACGGTGGGTGAAGCGAATCTTGGACTGGCGAAATCCGCGAGGTTTCTCGTGTTCGATAGGCCCCGGGAGCGACCCCCGGAAGATGTATTTCTCGGATGGAGGAATAGACTTGAACGCATCCGGTTTCAACCGGAAGTTTTCGGCCAGCACGGCCTTGGAGGTGTGAGCTAGAACTTGTTAGCGGGGGTCGCGTGCAAGACGTGACGGACGTAGTTCTCACCCATCCAATCCGTTAAGAGGAAGGTCGACTCCTCCGAGAAATGGCCGTTGTCAAAGATCAAAAGGAACTCCGTGCCATTGGGACTTAACCCTTGCAGTGAATGTGGGTGGCCAGCCGGGAAGTACCACAGATCTCCTGCCTCCAGATCGTCCATGAAGCTGCCACCGTCAGGGTCCAGGGCCGTCACCTAGACTGAGGTCAGTCGGGAGTTGGCATGATCAGGGTCGCACCACTCACCCGTACCCGACCTGCAAGCACGTATGCCCATTCGGCTTCGGTGTGCCAGTGCAGCTCGCGGATGACACCCTCATCCAGGCGCATGTTGACACCTGCCAGTTCACGACTCGTGGGCAACTCCCGGATCGTGGTCTGTCGTGTCCATCCGCCTTCCTACAGTACCGGTCAGACAAGTCCGTTTCCCGCGGCACGAGTCGAAGTCCCTACCTCGATGCGCACATGCGAGTCAGCAAAACTCCAGCGCATGTTTGACATGCTGCCATGATCCGTGCTTGGGGGCCGGACCAGATCGGGATTCTGGCGCTCGCGGTCCTTGTTCCTCGGACCCTCCACAGTCGCACCTTCGCCGTTTCGGAACGGCAACGGCTGTCGACCCTGTCCGACCGAATCTATCTTGTGATCATACGGGTCGCGGTGCCCCGGGCTAAAGGGCGGGCTACCGAACACCTCCTGGTAGTTACCGGGAGGCACTTGCAGCAATTGTTGGACCGCACGGTCGGGAGCTGGGATAGCAAATGCGCCGAGAAGCAACCCCAGATTCACCAGGGCAGCCGTCTGCTTTGACAAGACGTGCATCCTGTTATGCCGATATGCTGATATCCTAGGATCCTTGTCAAGTCGAGTTCAGGGAAAGATAATGAACTAGCAACCCTCGCGCCCATTTTAGCCCGGTCGTTTGCCTCGCCATCCCTCCCTAATCTCCCCCACTCGAGACGCGTCAACTTCCTCCCGGAGACCTCCGGCAGTGAACCTTGAATTATCGAGCGTTTGCAACAATTCTCATTGGGAGTTCCACTCCGCGTCCTCCAAGTTGGAGTAAGGTCAAAGCTTAACAATTCGCCTCGGCGATCAAGTATGCGGTGGACTGACCCCTCACCCCCACTCGGTGGACCTATGACGCATGGAAATTGGACTCCGTGCGGGGAGTTGAGCGGAACGAAAAGCAAAGTCCCCGCACGACGGGTGTGATTTCCAGGTACATATTGCCAAACTGCCGTGAAAGCTTCACTGTTCTTCCCAAATCATGCCTTCGTTACCCACCGAGACCGACGCGTTGTTAGGTGGTGAGCGGCCGCGGTCGCGCCGTCTGTCACGGTATCTGCGGCATGACCTCGATCCACACTACGGAGACTTGCTGTTGCTGTTTTGCTATATCATTACTGGCCTGCTCGACAGCTCGGCGGTTTTTATCTGGGGCTCCTTCGTCAGTATGCAGACCGGAAATACCGTCTATTTTGGGCTGGGTCTGGTTGGAAGTGACGACGACCGATGGATCAAGTCCGGCATCTCCATTGCGAGTTTTTGTCTTGGATCCCTCTGTTTCGCCGCTTTTCACCGTGCCTTTGCGCCGCGACAACGTTGGGTGCTATGTGCATCATTCATTGTGCAATTGATCTGTATTATCGGCGCAGCCTTGATTGTTACCATCTATCGACCGGTCCGCGATGCGCCCCTGAGCTGGTTGGTACTGGTGCCCCTGGCTTTGGTAGCATTCCAAAGCAGCGGACAGGCAGTGACCAGTCGTGTGTTGAATTATAACGGCCTTACCAGCGTCGTTCTTACGAGTATCTACTGCGATCTCTTTTCTCATTCGGACTTCTTGTCTCCCAAAGTGATCGCTCATGTCGAGGAGCTGCGTCGAGCAGGCGCCGTGGTTTGTCTGTTGTTCGGGACAATCCTAGGTGGACTCTGGGCGCATAGCTCCGTCGGTATGATGGGTGCTCTCTGGACAGCAGCGGCTCTAAAAGGGATGATCGTGCTTGCGTGGTTTGGTTGGAAGGCTAAAGATGGTGATTCGGATCAATAATAAGTGAAGAGCTTCCCGGGCTAAGTAATCCTCCGACTGGAAGTGTAGGTGAACCACCGGCCCTGGGAGAGTGGATGAAAAAGAAAAGCCATGACGACCATATACGAACGGAGGGCTGACAAAATATACAACATCACTACGGTCTACCGCCGTCCATAGGTGTTTTTAGATTTACAGAGCAATTTGGATCACCTCGACTTTGATTACAAGCCGTGAGACATCAACGTATCTTTCAGATGGCTCCTCACACCAGAGCGAGCTCCAATCACCAAGGAAAAGTAGCGGTCAATTAAGTGCAACCAGATGCCCTACTACACTCGGTAAAAATTCAATAAATATGCCATGGTCGCAATTCGGGCGTTGGATCATGACCCATGCAGTCCACACCGCCGATACGCCCGGTCACTTGACTCTCATCCCTCTTTGGCGCATCCCGAACAATTTGGCTTACATAGAACCCACCGGCGCCACCGATAGCGGTAATCTGCTGTTGTATTTTTACAAACTCGAAATGAGTTCCCTGCAGGACGGCTTTCACTGCTCAATGGCATTGCTAATATAGAAACAAAATGGCATGAAACAAGTCCTTCGTGATCATCAAGTGGTATGTATGTTATTTGTACATAAAGCATTAACGGGGATAATGTATCGAATTATTCATCACGCACAGACACACGAACGGACCGTTCAACTTTCCATGCACTTCGATTATTGTCGTTCGGGTTGAGATCCTCCTCGCTGCTGGTCAGATTCGGCCGATGACTTCCCATGATGGTGGTCGTCACCCCGTGATAGTCGTCAAGCTCGTTGCCGGCCCAGAGCCGGTGTACGTCTTCTCGGTCCTCGTGTTTCGATCGCGAGGAACGGTGGAGACCCGGCGGCGCATTGCTGGATAGGGGAAAGGGTCCGGGGTTGCGACTGCGGGAGGCGGAGGAATTATCGCGTAGGAATCGGATGAGGGGGCGGAGGGTGGTGAGACAGCCGGCTGTGATGCCCAGACCGGCTTCGACGTTGGACCAAATCGAAATTTGGTAGGTATTATCTAGGGTGTTGTCAATGAAATTGTCCGACTCCATTTGCGAACGGGAATTCCCCTTACACAAAAACTCCCGGTCCTTGTAGTTGGGGACGAATGGGATACGAATGATGACCGCCGCACTCGCGCTGCAGAGGTCGATTAGTACACACCAGAGACGGGACGGAGGAAGCAACAAACATGCAACCGATTCCGAGAATGCCGACAATGGCAGCCTTGGTGCGCTGATTCATGCGCAAGTTCCAAATCAACGCCACCGGCAGAAGGCCGATGGTCAGATCGGTGAGGGCGGCACCGACACTGTACAAGTATGCGATCCCGATGAGTAGATTTTTGTCGATACAGGTGCCCTGCTCCGAAAGTCGACTCCAAAAGTAGTCGACCGGATTACATTGGAAGATGGTGAAGAACAAGAAGATCAGGCCGATTGCTGCGGACAAAGTCATGGCGCCGAAGATGATCCAAGCGTGAATGCGATCGACGGTAATGCGAAGAAGGGTGATGCAGACGGACAGCTTGGCTATGACGCAGGTAATCACGTAGAAAACCTGACCAAGCCACCAGCACTGGATATGCGATTAGCGAGTGGAGCAGCATGGGAGACCAGAAGACAAACCAGAAGGGCCTTGTGGAAGTTGTGCGGCTCTGCAGCGAAGTACAGCAGTTTTCTTCCCATTCCGTATTTCGATCCCAGGATTCCGCAGATGGCGAAGGCGAGGTTAAAGGCCTGAGTTGCAAAACATGTATCAGTGATCGTCTTTCTCCGGCTGTCTAGCATCACCCACCATCGCAATAAGCATCAGCTTATCATCCCAGCCAAACGCCCGCACAACTCGCGTTCGAACAAAGCATCGTAGACCGACGCTGACAAGTGAAAGGGCGAGGAACACAACGGTGACCACCAAGATAGCTTGGCTGCGACTATCGTCGTTCACAGCCGCCAAGATGGCCTCTTTGCGGCTATCGGCGTCCATAACGGTATGGAGGGGATCGTGATTCCATCCGCATGGGTGATTAGAGGGAGTGATTGACGAGGGGACCCAAAAACCGAAAGGTGAGACTGGGCCCCTACGCGACTCTGTTTCCTGGAGATCCCCACACTACTACGGAGTACTGCCGGCTGTGATGTCCATGAAACCCTTTAGGAGAGCTAAATTCATTGGTACCGAGTGCATGGAGCCACAGCCCCTGCAGCAAGAACAATAACCCCGGTACGGGTGGGGGATATTGATCCCTAGGGCCGAGTCTATTCGTCGATCGACACGCGAGATGAACCACACTGGACTACCGAGGTAGTTTCAGAGGGCCACGAAGAGCCGACAGCCGTTGATACCCACGATTATTATTTGGAGACTCGGAAGAGTTTGAATGGTTTGGGCCACCATGTGGGACTGTCCCAGGCATCCGTTCCCGCCTTCAAATGATTTGACCCCGTTCGTCCATCGTCGCGTCTCTGAGGAACAGATAATCGAACCAAGCGATGGTCTCAGTAATTCCTGTACGGACACTGGGTAGCCGCTTCGGCCTTCCGCATACTCCGCACATGCCGGTAATATTGAGGTGATTGGTAGTGGCGTTTGTCTACCCGGAAGGTGGCCCGTTCTAGCAACTCAGCCCGTCTCATGTGGAGACAGGACGGCATGGTCCATAAATCGTGCCGAGAATTTCCATAAACCTAGGGATCCTAATTGTTTCTGAACCTCGGGCGACAGTTATGAGAAGATGCCTGGAAATTGCAATGCATCGGGGCGGAGCCTTGGAATTATATACTTTCCTTTTTCGGAATAACTACAGGATTGGTGTGGATCTAAATTTCAAGCCTATCATAGCTAGCGTCAATGGGCAAAGCTTTTACGATGAATTTGGAATTCTACAAGACTAGACGCGCCATCTTATAGTTTGCAGTCCATAAATCGTGCCCGGTACGCTATTGTACGTCAGTCCCCAGAGAATGCCTGTCCGTGCGCGTCTACGGGCCCACTGAGATAAGCAGCCGGGCGCCACATCTTCAAGAGCCATAGGCTTTACACGCGAGGAAAACCGGTGCTCGGATTCCCGAGACTGCGAGACTTGGACGCACATGATATTCAGATAATTATTTAATGGAATGCTCTCTAGTGTATCGTCTTGTTTTGAGAACCCCCACCGCTTCCATCAACCCTTATAATCAAAACATAGACCGTAGTTGAGATCCTTGCAGAGGTAGATATACTCCGGGAAGATGTCATAAGCATTATCCGCTTGCTCAGTCCGCCACATATCCTCAGCATTAGTAGTGATGGGCTGCATGTGGGTGTTATAAGGATAACTCTCCTCCACGGCAGGAAGAAGGACCTCACTCCAGAACAGCCGGCCGATGTGAACCACGTTGCCGGTGCCCACCTCGGGGAACTTATCCGGTGGGAGCTTTGCACCCAGTTAGGTCAACAGGTAAGTGGGGGTAGTGCATCTCCCATAGAGTAGTTTTTACGTCTTCTAAGGCACTGTACTCCGCCGAATGTAACTCGTCGACAGTGTTTCCCAAACGCCATATCGCACGGTCGCAACATTTGTATTACTGACTGGCTGTAGGAGCAGGGAGTAAAACGGCGACTCAACGGCCTCGCCAAGATGTCACCATCGCCTGCAATGTTGCTTGCCATTCAATTACATAACTTGAGCTAGGATAGTTAGATATTTTGATATTTTTGATTATGATATTAGTCTGCCAATTTGCTGTCTCGCTTTCTAGGCACACATGTAGCCTAGCCTTCATCTATGCAAGACTGCGCCACCTGAGCACATGGAATGTCCTGAACCACCTGGCACCCTTGGCTTTATGGACGCTATTCAATCTCTAGTTATATCACAGCACCGCGCAGGTGTCCATTCATCATTCCCGTGCATTTGGAACACATCCAGGACAACTTGGGTTTCTTGATGAAATGTCTTTGGGCAGTTTTTGCCATGCTTTTGTATTCATATTCGATGCTCCAAGCCCAGTCAGGATTTTGCAGTCAATTTATCAGTATTCCTTGTAGTAGCAGTTTGAAAGCCGTCTACCTAAGTGTTTCATCTTTTGGATCTGCCATTACGGCTAATTGAACTGTCACAAGCCAGCTTCACGAATAGGCAGTGTGAACCGTAACATTCAAATCAGGGTTTCCAACCTGATATCTCACGTGATTGTTGAGAGATAAGTCGCATGATTGAGGGTGAATGTCCTTGCATCCAATGTAAATGCCGCTGTTCATCTTCTAGGTACCTGCTCAACATGGCCTCCTCTTGGAGCATGACATGATTACCAGGTCATCTCAGCGTTTGAATCCAAGCATAGTAGGATAGATCTGAGCTTATAATCAGCCAGACTTTTAATCCTACTCAACGGGATTTTGGGCTTTTTCGGGTCCACGGAAATCATGTTTGACATTTGGAAAAGGCGTACCGTATATAGCGCAATCAGTGACACCTAACTCTGCACCACAACATTGAAACATCCAACCCTTCTGTAAACCACTTAATAGTATGCTTGACACATTCAGACAAAACAGGAGAAATGTATTGCGGAGCAAATTTTTGTCACGGCCCTTGGGAGCTTTTCGCCTGCAGCCTTGCCCTTCCTTGGCCTTTTGAGGACCTGTCGATGTAGGAAAATTCCAGATGCCAGCACATTACCACAGAATAAGTGAGAATGAAGGCTAAGAATTGTTGAGATGAAGATTAAATATTGCAAGGACCAGGACGAATGTGTCAAACCAGGACATCTATTGGTCATTTCTGCTCGCGCTTGAGTGGTCACGAGACCGTCATAAACTAGACACTCGAGGTGATGTTCATTTACCGCTGGGTGTATAGGTATGTGGGTCTTCCAAACGATGGAATGGAGACCTTCGAAACACGAAAGCTGATCCGCTTTTGCAATGACGCATGCTATGATGATGGTAAGTGGTCGCTGGGAATTCTTAAGTTTGCCTCTGGTACTCTATTTGTTACAAAATCGGTCTACTGCTTTAAGCTAGGACTGAGGAGTAGCTGGGTATATTACACCAGAAGCTATTTCAACCGTGGGCCCGTTGGGATTTAGATGGCAGCATGTAATTACTGTTATAATATCCAAGCGATGAATATTTCCTGCCATTTAAATTTCAACATTAGAACACGAATTTGTGATCCTGGGGGCATCATATGTAGTCAGATGATAGAGAATAAGGTCAAAATGCCTATGTGTAATATCTTCAAGACTCACTTATCAGAGTGCGCGATAACCCAAGGGCCGAGACTTGAAGGATTATGTATCAGTCTTCTCTAACTGCTGGTCTTGGTAGCGTAGAGAGTGGACAATATAACTGACATGAGGCACATGGTGAGTGTCAAACCCCACTTGTGATTTGTGCTCTAATTGAACCTATAACCGTCAATACCATCTATCTAGGGGCTATTTCCGAGCTTCTGGCTCACGAATCTTCGGAGCTGCCGGGCCTGTCCCAGGTATGAAGCCAACATGACCGATGTGCGTTTCTCGATTGAAGAAAGACCGCACCCCGCCATGAGATCAGCAAGTTACAACCATAATTAACCCCTCAGAGCCGAAGGGGGTGTCCATAGATTGATAAGGAAGATTTGGTTATGATGTAGCGTGGAAACAGTGGAGGACCGGTGTATACAGTAGCTTCACTCGGTGGCTCCACATCCGCAGTTTTGTCTTCCTATGATCGAAACTCAGCACGGCGAGTGAATAGCATTCATTTCCGGCCCAGGGAGGAGCCAGACATTATCTATTGTTGAAGTGAATAGATGAATCAACTCCGGTTCACAGCGAGCTTCCTATATCTCCCGATTTCGTCATGGTGGAACCTTTGTTGATTCATTTCCGCGATGAGTTCATGGACCGAGATGAATATTTACCCCTGTGGATCGTAACAAAAGCACTAGCGACACATTTTGAAGATTCATGTTCTACCTTTTTACTTTTTCTAATTCAACGAGCACTAAGAGTGTCCTGTAACGAGGACCCTTCCGATCGACTTGGAATGTTGAAAAGTGCGGGGCGATCCGCTCATCCATGAGTTAGACAATCAACCCTCGGATTTTTTTAACCTATCTTCCAAACTTGGCAATTTGGAGCAAACAGTAAGATTTTAGCTTGTTTTATGTTCCCGAACGATTTTCGGCCCGATGAGATCAATATCCAACACCTCTTGAGGCAGGTCCGGCAAGTCATGACATCATAGCTCCGCCGTCATCCACTGTGACATTCCCACGTCGTTGATTTCTTGTTCCGGGATTTTCTAGATTGAGCGAATCAGGACCGAGTGACATAATGCTGTACAACAAGACTAGGCGCACGAAAGACTCGTGTTGACAGCGAATCAAATGCACGCATAAAGACCAGGGTGCCCCGTTATTAAGTCATTCCCGGAGGGGCTTGTCAAAGAGAGGGGTATATTTAAGCCCACGCCTTTCTCTATTCCAACTCTCACATCTCTATCTTCTCTACTTCATCCTCTCCTGTCCAACCCTCTGAACTTGGATTCAATTCAATAAAAATCTATCCATACACCAACCATGCCTATCCCTGTCCCCAAAGCCGAAAGCTTGAAGGAGCTCCTCAGCCTTAAGGGCAAGGTCGTCGTGGTCACCGGTGCTTCCGGCCCCCGTGGAATGGGTATCGAGGCTGCTCGTGGCTGCGCTGAAATGGGCGCGGACGTCGCTATCACCTACTCCTCTCGAGCCGAGGGCGGCGAGAAGAACGCCAAGGAGCTCGGGGAGCAATACGGTGTCAAGGCCAAGGCCTATAAATGTGACGTGGGAAGCTGGGAGAGCGTGGACAACTTCGTCAAGACCGTCATTAAGGACTTCGGCAAGATTGACGCCTTTGTCGCCAACGCCGGGCGCACAGCCAGCAGCGGTGTCCTTGATGGCTCCGTGAAGGACTGGGAAGAAGTTATCCAGACCGATTTGACTGGAACTTTCCACTGCGCCAAGGCTGTCGGAGCCCACTTCAAGGAGCGGGGCACCGGTAGCTTCGTCATTACCTCCTCCATGTCCGGCCACATCGCCAACTTCCCCCAGGAACAGACCTCCTACAACGTGGCCAAGGCGGGCTGTATCCACATGGCACGATCGCTCGCCAACGAGTGGCGCGATTTTGCCCGCGTCAACAGCATTTCTCCCGGTTACATCGACACTGGATTGTCTGACTTTGTCGACCAGAAAATTCAGGATCTGTGGAACTCGATGATCCCCATGGGCCGCAACGGTCAAGCCAAGGAGCTGAAGGGCGCCTACGTTTATCTGTGCAGCGACGCTAGCACCTACATGACCGGAAACGACTTGCGCATCGACGGTGGATACTGCGTGAGGTAAATGATTCTTGTACATAAAATGATTTATGGCCTACGAAATAAAGCCCTGTTTAATAATTGCCAGCTTGCTTTTTCGTTGGTGGGGCGCGTGGGGGCCCATGGATCACCAGCCACCTTGGTCTGTTATCACCTAACGACCAACTAACTCGCTCGCGTTATGAAACAAGTTTCAAAATTGATTAAATTGTATTGGCGGTTGCCTCTTGCCGTCTTCATAAACTTCTTCGATTTACTTTCACCGTATTGATTTTGTCGATCGTTAGCTTTCTTCCCTTGCTGCACGAGCCCTTCCCGTAATTGTGACTGCGACAGCATACGCGTCCACTGAAGTAGAGGCAAATTTGCGTGCCGGAATATTCGTGGTCAATAGGATACCCACTTGGCGTAGGTCCTGGTAGCGGGAAGAAAGCCCGGATAAACGCAAGAAGCACGGTACAATCTTAGAGAGTAGAAGACCTCATGTGATATACTATGCTGAGACGCGAACGACAAAAAATCATTTCGTAATTTTCTTTTCAACAATAGGCCAGGAAGTAAGAACGCCATAGAACCAGCGCTGGTAGAAAAAAAGGAAATGGAAAAGGTCAGAAAGACAAAAAGGCAAAACTGAAATCAAGAATAGAGAATAAATTAAGCCAACAACCACAGACGGAGATGGCCTAAAATCAAATCGAACGCAGAATATATTGTTCGCTCGAGAGTGACGGTTAAGATCCATATGCGACCGTACTAATTAATTAGCTCGAACTAATATTAATACGGCCTGATTAATCCCACGGCGTTGGAGGACACTTACCCCCTCTTTCTACCCCTCTCCTGCATCATTGCGCACTAATTACCCCATTTTTCGCGGGCGCGTGTGCCCGAATTGGTGATATTGATCGCACGGACCTCACAGTGGCTAAAAATAAAAGGCCCAGCGCTTAGACGTTGCCAATCACTGGCCTCTTCACCTTTGTGCCCGCAGTTCAGCGGTTCGTCACATTTTTCCGTGCCCTGATTCGTGGCTGGCTACTTAATTGCTCGCCATACAGACCGGCCCTCAGTCGGCCCAGGCGGGAAACGTCGCTGGGCGACACGCCCACTCGTTCCTGGCCAATGAGCGTAGGGTCTCGTGAGGCCGATGAACTAGCGGTGCCCAATGTTGCAGTAGTTTTCTGCTCCGGATGACCGTGAACAGGGATCGGCTCCTCCCCTGCGAATCCCCCGCGGGTCGAACGCGCCCGATCAAGAGTATATAGTCCTCCACGACGACCGAAGCCCTTAGTCAAGTCTCGCGTCCTTCATTTCGTCATCCTGGTTTTGGTGCTTGCTAGTCGCATGCTCTGGTAGCTGTGGCTTGTTTTTATTTTGCATTTACGTTCATATCTCTTTCGATTACGCCTTACAGACACCGTTGACCGGTGTCTATGCAGTTTACTACGTCCTTGAGATACCCATAGATCGTCAAACTCTGGAGTTTGATTCAACCCAACATTCGAAAGGGCAGTGCAATATGACTGATACACTTCGCCTCTCGAATGCACGATGCCCGCCCCTTCGGCAGGCCCGGGGGACGGTGCTTAATACCATAATGGAAGATACCCGTGAATCACACTTCGCACCCAAGAGCTGTGCCAGTCCACCGCAGAAGAGCTTCATGACCAGCCCCAAGTTGACTCTCAAGACTAGTGGGCTTTCGCCGCCTACCAATCCTCGACTCGCCCGGCTGATGTCGCCTCTTTCTGCGGGCACCACTTCCTCATGTTCGGATACGGAATGGCAGCAACAGATGCAGGGGTTCGACGACCTTTACGACGCCACGGACGACGAAATCTCGGCTGATGACGAGACCGAAATCAGTGATACGTGCTTCTCCGCGCCGGGGTCCAGGCCCGGGAGTTTGGTGACACCAGTCACAAGGAATTCGGTGACCTCGACGAGCAGTCGCGGTAGTCGCAAACGCATGCTGACTCTTGACATCCCCTCACCCACAACATGGCCCTCCATGAATGGAACACACAAGAGTTCACCCATTCCTCCGACTCCGCCATCCAAGATTCCTGTCTCCCCCGCGGCACTTTCGATGCTTGCTCGCTCAGTGCCTGCATCCCATGCTCCGCCCTCGCTGGATGGGAGTATATCCTCCGATCAGGAGTCTAATCTCAGTGCCTTCACTCTTGACACACATTCCCTTCCTGATACTAATTGGGACTTGACGGATATCCATGTGCGGCCCGATCTGGATGGAAGCCAAGATGGAGACCCAAGAAATGAGGACGGCAATCAAGATCTTCAAGAGGTGCCGATTGCCATCGAGAGCCCGCAGGATGATTGGCGCCACGTTCTTGGTCGATTCCCTCAAATCCCCAGCGCTCTTCAAGATCATCTGGAAGAAGAGATTTCTCGAGAACCGACTCCGTCAGATCGGGGAATCTACCTGCCTGACAGTGCACTAGCAATGCTGCACCATATCCCTCTCAATGGCACTCCAGAGGCATGGTCTGAAACTTCCGAGGGGAATGACGAGATGTGGCAGCTCCAAGCAACCCCAAGCCGCCCTCGAAGCGCAGACGGTATCACACCAGCTTCAGAATTGTCCGGCTACAGCTTCAGTGAGCTGAGCATCCCTTCACCTGGTGGATTCTTCGCTTCGCTCGCCCCTCGTGCTCGCCACACATGGTCGATTCCAAATCATAATCAGCCTCCGTCATCAGCCGTGGCCGAAGGTTTCTATAATTTGCCATGGCCACGGGAGGAAGGAGAGATTGTCGAGCAGGTAATTGAATTGCCCGAACATCCCCAGGAGGATCCGGTCACGGCCGTTCGGGATGATAATGGTCCACCAACTGCCATTCGACTTCCCTGTGAAACACCAACTCGCCCTGTCGCGCATCAAGATAGCCCCATGAGCGCAACCTTTGAGGCCGTTCAAGAAATCACGACGTCTGGTAATGTGTACGAGTACGATGATACGTATGACCACGAGCTCCAGGAGCGTGCTGCCGCCAGTCTTGATCGAACCAGTGTCTGGCTCGCTGCCCAAGCGTCGTATCTTGCCGCCCTTAATGAGACCAATCCCGTCAACGACCTTAATCCCAGTGAGGTCTCGATGCATGTTGAACTCGATGAGTCTGCTGAACATCAAGACGGTGCCCCGAAAAAAACCGTTCGATTCGTTGAGGGTGTACCTGAACCTATCAGTCCCAAGCCGCCCGTTCTTGCTAGCAAGGACTCAATTTACTGGCGAGGCTTCCAGTCCCTTCGACAACGAGCTGGCAAGGGTGATGGTTTCTTGCACCGGAACATGCGCTTTGATGCGATCCAGTCCTTCCGACTGGGTTTGGTTGACATGCACATTAATTGTTTGATGGGCAAATACGAGCTCGTCCGTCCGGAGCGGCCTGCATACAAGGGCCCTTTCTCTCAATCGCCACGCAAGTCGATCATCACCTCCGTCCTGGCTGAGAAAGCACAGTTCTCCAAGCTTGAGAAGGAGCAGCTCGTCCTCGCCCAGCTTTGCCAACCCATGTGGGCCATGGATGCTCTGCGGTATTTGAACGGCGGGAAGCTACTCACCAGCCCTGCCGGAAAGCGACTTGCGCGCACCGAGAGACCGCACTGCACGGAACGGCCACGACGTCGTATGGACCGGATATTGGATCTCGGCGGCCATGCATCATGTGAGTGGGCCTGGGAAGCTGCCATTGAGTTCCCGAACGCTACGGTTTACTCTGTTGTCACCAAGAACCAGACCCTGAACAGCGGTATCAAGGGGCCCCCCAATCACCGTGTGGTTTCCGTTGCGAATCTATGGGAGTTACCATTCGGTAACTGTAAGTTCGATGTCATCAGCACGCGTTCCTTGCATGCTCTGTTGAAGACAGAAGCACCCACTGGATTCGACCGGGATGAGTATGACCTGGTCCTGAAGGAGTGCCTCCGCTGCCTTCGACCAGGCGGCTTCCTCGAGTACATGGTGCTCGATGCGGAGATTTCTCGCGCCGGCGCATATGCCGCGGCATCATCGGTCGAGTTTGCATTCAACCTACGTACTCGTGGCTATGATCCCGTCGCCTCGAAGACCTTCCTCTCTCGTTTGCGAAACAGCGGCTTTGTCGGCATTAAGCGTGCCTGGATGTTCCTCCCTACGGGAGTGGAACCCAGCGAGCCACAGCCGCCACGAGAGACACCAGCTCCTCGTGTACCAAGTCAAATTGAGGAGTACGAGGCAGTGCAGGGGCCGATTGGAAGCACGGGCGATATCGCCAATATGACTGGTCTGCTTGGTGGGTGGATGTGGGAGCAGTGGCTTGTCAAGCTCCGCCTGGACACGGGCCGGGACAAAGCCAAATTGCTTGAGGGACTTGGAACAATTTTTGATGAGGGCCGGAAAAACGGAGCAGGCTGGACCTGCTTGTCCGGGTGGGCGATGAAGCCGAAGCGCACTAGAGTTGCCCAGCCCCATAGGCCGGGGATGATCTGAGATGCATTGATTCGATGTTGATAAGTTACCTTTAGTTATTTGTGCCCAGGTGGCCATCCCACTTAATGTAATGCGAGATGAGAGATGCCAGTTGCCATTTCCAAGTGTAAATATAGATCTTATTCTCTGCAAGCTTGGTTTATATATTTGACGGATGCCAGACCGCCCACACGTCGGTGGCAGCTTCACCAGCTCGGGCGGTGAATGTATTGCAAAAAGGATTTTGAAGACATGGGTTGAAGGGAAGAATCGACTTGTTTGAGACTACCATTTCTTGGCCATTTGAAAGTGATACCGATTGAGTTGAGTTGTGCTGTGCCCAGTTGTACGGTATCGTAAGCGCGGAGTGGGTCACGTGACCACGACACTCCATCCCTGCTCTCCACAGCATCGCAGTTCGAATCTTCCCATGACCTTCGTCGTTTCATGTCCACAGTTCAACCCGTCCGAGAAAGTGACTGATAGTCTTGAGGCTATTTCAGCTTTGCGCAATTCTTCATTTCTGATCGCAAGCCGCCCCGCCCCCCGGGCTCACCTCCCCCATCATGCTTTTCTTCAGGTAAAGGCCCAGCCCATTGCGCAAGGCAATGTCTACGATTTGTGCTGATACCGCGCCCTTTACAGCTTCTTCAAGACTCTCACCAACCAGACCGTCACCATCGAGCTCAAGAATGACATCCGCATCCGTGGAATCCTGAAGTCGGTCGATCAGTACCTCAACATCAAGCTCGACGATGTCGAGGTGTTGGACTTGGCACAGTACCCGCACCTGTCATCAGTGAAGAACATGTTCATTCGTGGCAGCGTGGTGCGCTACGTGATGCTCCCACGGTCGGAGGTTGACGTGGGGCTACTGGAGGACGCTACACGGCGGGGTAAGTGATGCGCTCTACCGCGTCTTGTTCATGGAGACTCGATAGCCATTGAGAACTATCTGCTCCTGACAGCTTGCCGTCGGCTGCTGCTAGGCCGTCTTTGACTCTGTTGCGAGCGTGCGCTAACCAGCTATTCTTCCTGCAGAGGCTGCCAACCAAGCCGGCAAGGCCCGGTAAATTACCACGACCCTTACGCTATACACCGAACATCTATGAAATAATTCCGCTTGAGGCCTTCTCACCATGCGATGTCCCGGACCGAGAAAATGGGCAGGTTGTGCAGCCATCAACTTGTAAGAGTCACCACGACGGCAAATGCGTGGAGGAGAACCCGCGGCATAACTTTTACTTCGCGATCTCAGCCCTGATGATCGCCCGAGACATTTCGCATTCTAAAGGAGCCTGTAATCAGAAGATCCTGGCTCAGCGAAAACGTTTGAAGGCCACGCGCTGTGGCCTATTGCCATGAAATGCCCATGATTCCGTTTCAATACCCTTGCAATCAACTCCAGATTTGGTTCTGGTCTGTTTTTTCTGGACATTTCGTAAGAATGTAGACACTCGGCCCGTATCAATCGTGGGCAGAAATTACCACGTGACTTCGTGTCGCGCCGCCCGCGTCCAGACGCAAGACACGCCACTCAAGTTTCTTCCTTGTCTGGCCGATGAGCGGCGCCCTGTACATACTCGACACGACCTTGCCGGAACACATGCCTCCCTGGTAGTCCGTCCTGTTCGCTCCGATTGACCTTGAAGCCGATTTTTTGTCCTCATACTTGCCGGTTTCACCCTGCGGGCCATGGCCGGGTCAACCGCACGGAAGGCCTCGACGCCGTCCAAGGGCTTTTCTAAGGCTAGGTCGTCCTCTTCAGCAACTCGCAACAACAGCATTTTGAACTTCTTCCAAAAGACTGATAGTCCGGCCGGTGCCACCTCGTCCCAATCTCGAATCACTCAATTCGTCACATCATCACGCTCTCCGAGCAGCGGCCGAGGGACCCCTACCTCACAGCGGAGAAACAACGTTGGAGATGATACGGCAAACGGACTGTTCTTGGAAGACAAGAAGGGTATAGCCAAATTTGAGCAAGCCGCGGTAAAGGTTGAGACAAACGATCGACCTCGATCACGGACGCCGGAGGATATTTGGGGCGACGTTCATGGATTTTTGGATGACGACCAACGGTATAACGAGAATGGCGCTTCGTTGAAGCGCAGGAAAGTGGATTCGCCGAGTGCACTGCTTGAGAATGGGAATACATCGAAGTCGGCTCAATCTTCGGCGCCGGCCAAAGCTAAAACCAGCGGCCCATTCATCGATGAATCGGATATCGAAGATGACATGGAAGCATACCGCGAACTGGATGAGGTGTCACCGGCCCCTGCGGCTGCAACAGATGATCCACTATTTGCACTTGATGAAGACCCGGTCGGAGACCCTCCTGCCGAACAGCCGCCAGTGGTAAGAGAAGTCACGAGCCTTACCGATGATGATGAATTCGCGGATTTTGACGATCTTGAAGAGGACGAGCCAGTAGGGGAAGAGTTTCGCGAGCGGCCGTGGGAAGACGCAGAGGAGGAGTTACGACTTGACGAGAACGATGTCGACGGCATGAATGGGGCCGATACAACGACCGATGCAGGTGTAACCTGCCCAATATGCCTGGGAGGGCTGGCAGGACTCAGCGAGACAGTATGTGCTTTCGTTATCATCAACCTTGACTACAGGCTGACTGGAGATAGGATGCCTCGGTTCATGTAAATAATTGTTTAGACGGCAAACCAAGCGCTACGAATATGCCAACCCCGGCGCCAACATTGATACCGTCGCCGAAGCCAGTACCAGTGCCGCCGGATCCGATAAAAAAAATGACCCGCATTGAACGCGCTGCCAACGCCCGCCCTGCGCAGCGCGACCCATATTCTCAAAGTACCGCAGGCGGACGATCGGCCTTCTCGAAAATGATGGCCGGAAACGCAGAAGATACCGCATGGGCCACGGCGGCGTCCAACGAGGTGTCTTCGCGCGGGAAGCAGGCGTATCAGAGGACCTGTCCGTTCTACAAGATCATGCCCGGGTTTTCAATCTGCGTGGATGCCTTTCGGTACGGGGCCGTGGAAGGGTGCAACGCTTACTTCCTCAGTCACTTCCACAGCGATCATTACATCGGGCTGAGCAAGTCCTGGTGCCATGGACCCATTTATTGCAGCCGGGCAACGGGCAACCTTGTCCGACAGCAGCTCCGAGTCGACCCCAAATGGATCGTTGATCTTGATTTCGAAACGACCTCCGAGGTGCCGGACACCGGGGGTGTGCAGGTCACGATGATTCCTGCCAACCATTGTCCCGGCAGCTCCTTATTTCTGTTTGAAAAGAGCTTCGGAAATGGACCTAATGCTCGACGACAGCGGATTCTCCATTGTGGCGATTTTCGTGCCTCTCCCGCACAAATTCAGCATCCACTACTACGACCTGACCCTATCAATGAAGCGACAGGTCGGCCGCGACAACAACGCATCGACCACTGCTATCTCGACACCACCTATCTCAACCCGAAATATGCGTTTCCCAGCCAGGAGGACGTGATCACGGCTTGCGCGGAGCTCTGTGTCCGTCTCAACCAGGAGGCTGGAGTGGCACTCGATCAAGGAAGCAATGGAACTGGCGGTCTGATGAACAAGTTCCTGTCCTCCGTGACTGGAAGTGGCCGGGCAACGGACCAGTCGTCGAAGAATGACGGTCGCTTGCTCGTCGTCATCGGCACGTATAGTATCGGCAAAGAGCGAATCTGCCTGGGGATTGCGCGGGCCCTGCGTTCAAAGATCTTCGCCACTCCACACAAGCAGCGAATATGCGCCTGCTTGGAGGACCCGGAGCTATCTTCGTTGTTGACCAGCGACCCCAACGAAGCACAGGTGCATATGCAGACGCTGTTCGAGATCCGGGCCGATACTCTGGCCGATTACCTGGACTCGCTGAAGCCGCACTTCTCCCGGGTGGTCGGCTTTCGACCCACCGGCTGGTCCTACCGGCCCCCGGCTGGCCGAATGTTGCAGAACCCTCCGGTGTCTACGGTGCTGCGTGGCGAACACTGGAGAACGCCGTTTACGGCACAGGACCTGACTCCGCAACGCGGAAGCACGCGGGAGAGCGCATGCTTCGGGGTACCGTACAGCGAACACAGTTCATTTAGGGAGCTCACCATGTTCTGCTGTGCGCTTAGGATCGGCCGAGTCATTCCTACGGTAAACGTAGGCAGCGCGAAGAGCCGCGAGAATATGAAGGCGTGGATGGAGCGATGGGAAGCGGAGAAGCGGCGCAACGGGCTGTTTCCAGCGGCGGAGTGGTGATAGACCGGGCACTTAGAAGCATAGTATAATCGTATACCCCCAGAACATCCATCATCTACTCTAGCCGCTCCGTCAAGCCACAATTCCAATGTTTTCCCCCCACATCCTCCGCCCCTCAGTTGTCGAGCAATCACATTCCCCGGAGAATTCAGCCGGGACCCCTTCCCATATCAAACATCCGTTGATTGGGAATCACCAAGTTCGGTCGCCAACGACGGCACTACGCGGTCCGCGGATCCACCTGCCGCCCATCGCCAGATACCGATGTCACTCCCGTTCGTCGGTTAGACCTCGGGGATCTCTCGACAATGCCTCGTCCAGTCCTTGCGCATAAATATCCTCATTCTTCCTCTGTGAAGGTGCGACCATGGACTGACATATACTGCGACTCTTCCCTCTTGGACATCCCTTGTGTTGAACTGGAGTTCACGGTTGACTTCCCACCTTTCGGTGATCGACCTTGCATTATCTCGTTCCCGCTTTTTTTTTCCCCTCTCTTCCTCTTTCCACTGGCATACTTTGCCCGCACCCCACACTCTCGCAATGCTGTTCTCGGTGGAGAACGCACCTTTCGTCCTCGTGGGCTTGGCCCTCGCCTATTTCTTGGTGCCCTATGTCCAGCGCTGGCGGCTGCATGATATCCCTAGTCCCGGTCTGGCCGCCTTCACCAACCTTTGGCTGTTGATCCAGGCTCGCCAGGGTAAGCGCTTCTTGTCGGTCGACAACGCCCACAAGAAATATGGCAAGCTCGTCCGCATTGCCCCCAGACACGTCTCTATCGCCGACGACACCGCGGTGCCGGCCGTCTACGGACACGGCAACGGCTTCCTGAAGGCGTACGTCATTCTTTACTTTTCTCATACGACTTTGTTTTCAGTACAATGCTAACGCATTGCTCTCTAGTGACTTCTACGATGCCTTTGTCTCCATTCGCCGGGGTCTTTTCAACACTCGCGACCGTGCCGAACACACTCGCAAGCGCAAGATTGTTTCCCATACCTTCAGCGCCAAGTCCATTGGCCAGTTCGAACAATACATCCATGGCAACATTGAGATGTTCGTTAAACAGTGGAATAAGCTCTCCGACCTGCAGGCCAACCCCAAGACCGGCTATGCCAGCCTGGACGCCCTGAACTGGTTCAACTACCTGGCCTTTGACATCATTGGCGACCTGGCTTTCGGTGCTCCCTTCGGCATGCTCGAGAAGGGCAAGGATATCGCCGAGGTCCGCAAGAGCCCCAACGACCCGCCCAAGTACGTCGCTGCCGTCGAGGTTCTCAACCGTCGCGGTGAGGTCTCCGCCACTCTGGGCTGCATGCCGTCCTTGATTCCCTTCGCCAAGTATATCCCCGATCGTTTCTTCACCGAGGGTCTCCAGGCCGTCTCGGACCTGGCTGGTATCGCTATCGCCCGTGTGAGCGAGCGTCTCAAGCCCGAGGTCATAGCCAACAACACTCGTGTCGACCTGCTCGCCCGCCTGATGGAGGGTAAGGACCACACCGGCAACTTGCTGGGCCGTGAGGAATTGACCGCCGAGACACTCACTCAGCTCATCGCTGGCTCCGACACTACCTCCAACACCGCTTGTGCCATCCTTTACTGGTGCCTGCGCACCCCCGGTGTGATTCCCAAGCTGCACAAGTCTCTTGATGATGCCATCCCCAGGGACATTGACGTTCCTACCCACGCTATGGTCAAGGATATCGATTACCTCCAGTGGGTTATCTGGGAAACCATGCGCATTCACAGTACTTCCGCCATGGGCTTACCCCGTGAAATTCCTCCCAACGCCGCCCCCATTACGATCTGCGGTCACACCTTCGGCCCCGGTGACGTCCTCTCCGTGCCCAGCTACACCGTGCACCGCTCCAAGGAAGTTTGGGGCCCCGACGCTGAGGAGTTCGTGCCCGAGCGCTGGAGTCCCGACCGCCTCACTGCGCGCCAGAAAACCGCCTTCATTCCTTTCAGCCATGGCCCCCGTTCATGTGTTGGCCGCAACGTCGCGGAGATGGAGCTTCTCGTCATAGGCGCTACTGTCTTCCGCCTTTTCGAGTTCCAGATTGAGCAGGATGGTCCCATGGAGACCCGTGAAGGCTTTTTGCGCAAGCCCCTTGGCCTCCGGGTTGGCATGCGCCGACGTGTCGTTTCTTAAAGCGATTGCATGCATTCCACGGCGATGTGTGTTTAGGATCGGGTCGGAACCTAGGGTGGACCTTCGGGATCTGTTGATCCTGTGTTAGTGGATTGCCGTGTGCAATGACTCGATATGACAGTGCATTGGCGGGTCGAACCATTCGCTGCCAATGCTGATGATTCATGTTTGTTGAATATCCACTTCCGCTTTGTGCAACTTGAAAATTGGTGACAAGTTGACCATGTATATATGATCCTTCAATATTTCTTTCTTCTTCACATCGGCTCTATGTCCAGCTTCCAATAGAGACACGCTATCCCAAACCCAGGGCTACAATTGACTCAAGAGGCCCACCCCCAAAGGACCCTGACAAAGTGGACTGAATCGTGACATATATTCATACTCATAATTAGTAAGCTCCCCGAGAACCGAAACGAGGACCTCCACGACTGCATTCATAATCTGGTTGCGTGCAACGCTGATGCATTATTAAATTCACATACAAGTGTCACCATCGCTCTGCGTAATCCAGAAAAATATCCATTCCCGTGAAGCCCCTTTACCATGAAGTCGGGCCGAACTTCTCACCCTTGGCAAGCGGAACCTGGATGGCCGTATCGGTTGCATCCATGGTGCTGGCGGCAATCTTTGTCCCCCACCACGAGGGGAAGTTGGTGCTCGTGAGGTCGAGAGTCAGGAAAATCAGGATTGTGCACAGGGCAAGGCCAACGTCCAGACCCGCGGATAGAACGTAGTTATACTGCATCCACCAACCGCGCCAGCGGTCACGAATGAATTTGTTGAAAACAAAGCCGACGATACCCCAGCTGAGGTAATTTAGAGGTGTCGCCGGGGGAATCAGATTGGCCCCGCTGAAGATCAAGGGGGCGCTGAGATACCGAATAGGGCTGCGAGGGAATGCCCGTGCACCGAAGTAGATCACGATTGGCAAGATTAAACCAGCGATCCAGAAGAACAGCATTGGTGAGTACATCTGGCCAACGGAGAAGATGCGCTGAGGTCCGATGACACCCCAGATGACGGAGGCGTTGAAGAAGACGCGTCCGTTCGGGCAGTTGTAGTGGTTGGCCTGATTCTTTTTGCAAACGTCTTTGATGGCGCCCAGCGCCCAATTCATCGTGGCGATCTGCACGAGGGACGACCACACAGCCGCGACCATTTGCGCAGAAAAAGTGACGCGAGGAGGGACCTTCATATAGTGGCCTGGAGAAATGGGAAGTTAGTGGAAAAGTTGGACCAAGAAATGATGGGCAACTCACCAAGCTTCAAGTCCTGGGTAAAGTACAATCCCTGGTACATGGTAATGTAGCCGTAGGTTTTGAACAACATCATGGCCATGGGGCGACCGGGCTGCATGTATCCGACGATGAACTCGGTGATGACGTTCAATCCGATCGAGATGTTAGTCGAGGCCATGATAATTCCCAGAGGAACGAACCATACGGCCGAGATGAACAGTGCAATGAAGAAGGCCCACCAGCTCAAGTGCGTGGGGAAGCCCAGGACCACTCCCAAAGCCATGGCAATCATGACGAGGAACACGGCGATGTACCACCAGATTGGGACGGGCTTGAATCGCGACATCAGGCGGTTGTGAACGTCCTCATCCTCTCTGCCAATACGACGGAAACGGGCCCAAATATCGGTGCCATGGAAGAGACCGGTGTGAACGATGACGGCGATGATGCCGGCGAACGACAGGCCATAGCAAAGGGTGAAGGTGGTCGATAAGAACAAGGGGGAGTACTGAGAATACTTGACTGGGTCAAAAGTATACTCGGGTGTCAAGATCTTGCTGACATTATATAATTGGCCGGTGTTGTCGTAGCTGTTCGAGTCACTGATGGGGAGGTGCTGGAAGTAGAACATGCCGGAGAAGTGGATGGCCGAGGTGACAATCCAGAAGAATATGACCATGCCGATCAGGGTATTGGCTATGGCGTACCACGGGGCAATCAGAGGGCTAAAGTTGAAGCCGGAGATCTGAGTCCAGTCGAATGTCATGGGAAGGAGTGAGATACCGGTCCAGCCTCCGAACAACTGGTTGATGACGGCGTTGTTGGGCTTGATAAAGGTCACCCAGGCGAAGACACTGAGGAATGGAGCAATATATCCCGGGAACCAGTACCAGCAGAAGGATCCAATCATGGTATAAAGGAACAGACGATATCTTCCAATCGACCATCCGGCCGTCTTACGTGGATCCGGCTTAGAGTGGTCATGCAGCGCCGAGAAGAGGGCCGAGTTGATCAGAGTCGCCGGCCAGATCATGGCTACCGGCTCGACCAAGAACCTGGTGAAGAAGCCAGCCATACCGAAGCCCAGCATCTGCGTCGACATACACATGAAGATCTCAAAGGCCCAGCCAAAGTTTTGACCGTAGAACGCGCGCTGTGCGAGCAGGACGTCCGTCGCATAGGCGGCACCTCCTCCAAACGTGGCGTTGGCCATGATGACCACAACGGCGTGTTCCTTCTTGCTGAATCGGCCAGGGTTGAGGTCAAATGTGTGACCGAAAACGGTGAATTTCTTCTGGGGCATGAATCGCTCCCAGGCCTTGCCGACTGGGTAGGCAACGACCTGGGCGATGTAAGATGGAATGACAATGTAGGGCTGGCGCATGGAGAACAGCATGTTCAGCGCTGATCCAATGGTTGCAAACAGCAGACCGATGACCCAGGCACGAATGGTGTTGCTGTGCCCGCCCTCATCGATGTTAGGAACAGCGGCTCGCACCTCTGGGTAGGGCGAGTTGTCGATGAGCTCGTGTGCAATGCCCAACTGAGTATCCTTGTCGGAGGTCTGGAGCGCCTCCTCCATCTCATCAACCACATCATCGGGCAGGTTGGGGTCCCAGTGATGGTGGTCCTTCAAGTTGCGCAGCTGCTTGAGGACATTATCCGGCGCGGTGTCGTCGATCGCGGCGCCGGAGGTGACGGCGATATTTGGTTCATTCTTCGCCATGGCGAGCGGGGAGCGCAGTCCAGACAGCAAAAGATCCGAAGTAGTCGCAGGTGACACGATTGAGGGAAGAAACAGGGGGCAAAGCCAGAGAAGTTGACGCCGATTTAAAAGCACGCGAGGGACCCCAGATTAGCTCGAGGCCGACGGTGGTCCGCGTTATCACTCGCAAGCAACATCTGAGACCGGATCCGGTAATGGATGTTACCCGGGAAAGAGGCGTAATCGCAGCAGACAGGGCTGGATATGATTCGAGCCGTCGAGAGGGGGGAAGTGAAGAGCCTGGACTAGAAAGAGGCGAAAGTGCCGCTAGTCTGGTTAGTCCGGTTCCTTTGGTTGCTAGTTGCTGGTTAGTTGCTTCTTATCCCGGCAGGTCAGTCCGGTCGAGGGTCTGTTCCATCCAGAAAGAGCAGATACAGATACAAGGGAGGGGCAACCCGGCACAAATCAGGGACGTGCGCAACACCGAGATGCAGGAAGTCTCGGTTGCACACCTGTGCGTAGAATAGCAATGGACTGAAGTATATCGCTCGGGCCTCGTTGGCGCGAGTCAGGGCGCGTATCGCAGGGTTCCTCCGGTCCCGTTGCACTCGCCATCCTTCTAGACGTCGTACGCTCTTCTCTATACTCCCGATGAACGAAAACCGGTCAATTTGAGCCGGATGGGAATTTGATAACGGAACGGGAGTAATTGGCCGATCGATCGAGCGTGTCAGTGATAAGCCGACGCATCTCTATTGTGGGTGTGGCCCACTTTGTGTTTATCTTAATCACTAGCGCCGCCGCTAATTCCCTGCGCTGGCTGGAGATAACATCTTTGGTTAGCCCGTCCCGGGCGCCACCATAGCGGGGACCAGACTTCGGAGGTTAAACGTGCGACTCCAACTCCGCGCTTGTCCTTGTATTCCCCGCTACTCCGACGGCAGAGACTCTTGCCCCGAGGGGGGGCCATGTTGCCTTGCGCTGATAAAGAGATGCAGAAGTGCCGATGTGTAGGAATGAAAGAGTCCATATTCTAGGGTTGTTCCATGCGCCCCCCTTGTTGCAGTGGCCGTTGCTTCCTTCATCCGACCGGCCTTGCTGATCGGCGTGAATAGAAACACGATTGGGTACGTCCTGTGAAACACGACTGACCTGGAATTGCGGGGAAGTCTCGCCAAAAGGTGACCAGGTGGCACTAACCTTCGGGGTCACCCCGATATCTCATTGGGTCACAAACGTATCATGTTAGGGTATGATCCAGGCCAGATAGAGAAAGTCGGAGCGTACCAGGTGATAGGATATTACTAGATGGTATCGCCTCTTGCTCTCGCATTGAGGCCCCCTGATTCGAGATCGCATGGGGCTTTCACCCCTGCCCAGGCGGAGCGCAGGGGAGATGCATTGCTTAGTTTAACCGTAAGGCACAGAGAACCCTCCCAGTTAGAATTTACACTTTCCTAGAGGAGAGACTCCAACGCCAAACCTGGAATTGTGAGGTATCAGGACCCTATGAGCGCCTGCGCAGTCCCTGGACCCGTGCGGAGTAAGGGGTTGATGCGCCACAGCCATGTCACATCCAACTCTGGTCTGTTATGAATCCGACCGTGCGCGGGTATTCCAGGCGCTTTGTATCTCTGGCTGTATCTCTTGCGTGCCACATGGACCCATTCATGATCCCTGACGGCGTAATCGACGGATCCGGGGGTGTGGCGTCGGTGACCCTTGGGCCTGAACGCCTTTGTAAGTCGAGGGACTTCTTATTATATCGAGTCGAATCAAATCAAATCATTACAGTCCAATAACCATTCAAAGCAGGTTGTTCGTTGCAGCCCAGTTGGAGGGGAGAGGATCCAAGGAGAACAGCGCATCATCCCCTAGTGCCCACTCGAAGTCGGCCAGGAACTGCTCGTCCAGATAGAAGGCATCGTTTCGCTCAGGTGTTCCAGATACAGCTGTTGCACCGGTGATCTCTCGATTGGTGTCGCTGACTGGCCTCAATCCCGCATCCGCCACGCCCGAGTACCGCGAACGAGCGTAGGCGTTGCCCTGGGCTGGTTCCACCACGGACCTCACGCTTCGAGAACCGGGATCGAATTCGTCACGCCACCACCAGACCACGTCTAAAATGGGACTCAACACCAGGCGGCTGCGGATACGTAGAGAATTGTACTCGCTCCCGTCCATCTTGCGGAATGCCTTGTTGCTATTCCAGACTGCCTTCAAGACAGTCACCGTCTTGGCGGCCAGGTCGGCGCTGTCAACCGACATCTGCTGGGCTAGGTTGATCGCCGCAAATAGGCAAGCGCGCGCACGGCTAGTTTCGAGGCCCTGAGAGGCCGCGTTGCTCTTGAGGATCCGGAGCAACGACGTTGAAGCGAGGAGTAACGCGAACCCCATCTGTACGGGTACCATCGACAAGAATCCGACGCGATCAGAGAGTAATCGGATGTAGTCGACCAAACTGCACGCGGTGACGAGTATGCGCTGGTAGCATCCACTTGAGACCGATGTCGGGTTCTTGTAGAAGTGAAAGCTCTGAATGGCCATTCGGCACAGAGCCGTGTCGAACCTCTCGTCGTCTAGATCTCCATGTTAACGGAGGAGTGGAAATGGCACTGATCGACATACCAGTCACCGTCTGTAGCTCCAGGTCATCCACTTGATCTTCATACATGCGCAGAATGATGTCCAATGCCCGCTCCTGGTCTGGCGACATGGTTCGCATCCCGTTTTCCATGGCTGCTTCGCTACACTTGGCAATAAGCTCCTGGCAGCGAAGCTTCAACGCCATCCAGGGCGCGATCTTTTCAAACAGCACCTGGCGTTGTGCCGGATCTTGTCCAAGATTGCCGAGAGCTCGTGGAAGCTGACCCTTGGTCACACAGACCCTATTGAGAATCAGCGAAATGTACCCTCAACGTGACTTCTCATGAAACGAACCGTTGGTAAACAATCACCGAATGCGCCCACAATTCTGAACGACGAAGCAGGTCCGGTTCGGAGGGAGCTGCGATCTTGACGCGAGAGAACTCGTGGCTGGACATGGGGATATGGAGACCATTCTGCATCGCAATGTGCAGTAGAATCCCGCCCATCGGGAACGTCACATCGGGATGGTCACCCTTGGGAAATGGCCAGGTTAGAAGAAGTAGAATACCTTGGATGGTGTGCGACGGCGGTGACACCGACAAGGTAGAGAGCAACGCCATCTCGATGATGCTACGGGCCAGCGCCATCAGAAGCGTCGGATTGCGAGAATAGGCCCGACATGCCACACCGATAATGGCCCAGAAGAGGAACGGTGACTGTTCATAGTATGTATTCGGCCGCGTCTGCGGGTCGAGAATGGGAAGAAATTGGGCATAATACCGGAAGAAGCTGCATGACAAAATCAGTATTCGACTGAACCATCGGTGTCACTTGAACGTACAGCTGAAAGAGATCATCGGCCTCCTCTCCGCTGACCTGGATGCCGTTCAGGGTGCGTGGCTTGGTGGTATCCCCATCCAATGCCGGTACCGGGGCACCGTTCTCCAGGCCGGTCGGCGGAAGGAGCTGCGGCGGGTACGAAGGAAGAGGCTGGGGTGATCCCGAGAGCGCATCGCTGGCAGGTGTATGCACGCCCATCTCCGCCGCCGCGGTCAGAAGAGCAATCGGCGACGGGTGAGGACCGGCCGGCTGCGAGGCTCGAAGCTTGCGTCGCAGATCCTCTGATTCCCGTTCGAGGTCGGAGATGCGCCTTCGGAGTTAGTCGCGTTTGAGTGAAAGTTTCTCATTGAACATACTTGCGCTTGTGCTCTCTCTTGAACGGGTCGGATACGACGCAGGCTGCGTTGACTTTGCGGCACCGAGTACATGGCTCGTCGGGATTCAAATAGACGTCACATTTGGCCTAGTCTGGTTAGGACTGTGGCAAGAGGAGGCCATACAGAGGAGAGTGACCTTTTGCTGGCGGCACTCGGTGCACGCTTTCTTCCCTTTCTTCGGCCTGCGAAGCGCCATGTTAGTGGAATGTGGTGAACAGACAACGAGACTCTTACGTCTCCATGAGCTCAACTAGAGCCTGCGATCAGGAATAATAGCGAGACCGGGAATTGGGGGGCAGGAACCGTATGAAGTCGAGACCAAGTCACCACCGGAGATCCCGGTGCAGGGATTATGGGCCCATCCCGGTTCCGGGACTGACCGCTCATTGGGAAACCGCTTTGTGAAGGTATAAACACCTCTCCATCTCGCTTCTCTGCTTCTTGACCTCTCGACTTCTTTTCATTTGGATCGTGAAAGTGAAAATTACTGAAATTACCGACATTTCTGAAGTTCCAATACGGAACGAGCGGTGCACGGTTCGAGTACTTCCAGCGACTCCGACAGTGTCACAACTGTTCGCGCAGGTAAAGCTTGTACAACCTTAGGAGCCATCCTCGGTGTTGCGCAAGAGGGTGTATTACCCCGAGGGGCACAAGAGGCTCAATTTGCCGAGTTTTCAGGTTTGCAGAAAAGGCCGCTGCACCAGCACATCGTGTCACCTTGCATCCATCCCGCAATACCCAATCTCTTCGCTTGTTCTGGTTCGGTCGGGTTCTTCGATCCGTGTATCCACGGGTGGAAGGGTGTACTCGAAGCTTTCTTCCAAGTCGCGGCTCCCTGGTCAAGGTGCATCGCGACTGGCGGCTGGCTGCCGCTGCGGTGGATTTTTCCATGTAGTCCAGGCCCTGCAGAGTATTTGTCATTGTGTGAACTCAACCTCGGAAGCCAAGTGCCGGGGTTGGAAGACAAAAGTACGTGAACTATGGATTCTCTCAGGGATGATAAAGTTTATGAACTAGTGCATTGGGTTGTATTATCGTGTGTCCGGGGTCGTGGATCCAACGTGACCCGTTGCAATCCGCAAACACCTAGACATGCCTCCGTTTTTTACTATACTGGAGTTCATTCAAATTCCGAAAATGTCCAAATGCTACAACCTCTCCATTGAATAAAAATGTGGCTCGAAACCAAACGAGTGGCAGCGCCACCATGACGCCCAAGGCAATCCCATGTCTTCAATGTGACATCACCGATACGATCAATATATATTCTAGGCAAGAATAGGCCCTGCCCACTTCAGCCGAATGATGAAAAGGAGCCACGCCCAGCCAAACATGAACTACGACCTCCCTTCCGTTGCTGATCTCAAGGAGGCCGTCGAGAGCGGCGGGTTGCGGATCACGCCCGAGGACGTGTCGGTGATCTCCCATGCCGAGAGCGCGCTGACTGGGCGTGGACCGCTCCGAGGTGGACCAGCTGGTTAATTACTCTCCTCAATTGTATTTTGCTCGATGGGAAGCTGATCTGGGACCAGCCACGGCCCAAAGCCTTGCGATGCGGCAAATGAACTTTGAACTCAAAGTGGACGAGCTTTTGCGGAAACCACAGAGCCACATTACGCAAGAAGATGCACGGGAGATCCAATCCGCCGAGGTACATCCACGTGTTCGGTCTGAACTAAGAGTCACGGCGGTGTTAACTGTGCATAGAGTCGGGCCTTCAACAAGCGGTCGGGCATCGGATCAATCTCCGCACAAGTGCGGACCATTGCCAACCGCAATGAAATCTTGGGCTTGTCTCCAGATACGACCGACATGCCGGTATACGTGACCAAAGATGACGCCCGTGAGGCTCAGCGAGCCGAGGCCATGCTGTACGGGGGGCTGATCTCGGGCCAGGGTATAGCGGCCTCCATGCAGATAAGTTGGAGATACGCAAGTGTCAAGACCGATCGCACTGACTGGACGTGTCCTGTAGAGTGCAGCGGACAAGATCGAGCATGCACAACGCAATAGCTTGTAGCGGAGACGCCCTATATCAAATAGAAATCGACAAATCTGCCCAATTTTTCGTCAGGTCTTCGTAAGTGGAGCCGTAAGAACGGACCACCAGCTACAAGGTTGGGGCGGATCCAATCGTGCATCGCACAGATTTAGAATGTCGCGACCATCACTAGTCCTGATCCGCCGTGCTGGAATCGCGCAGGATTCACACCGGGTTCCCCGTGGATTCCCGAATCGACGATCGACAAATCCTTGCCATTCCTGTGAGGGCCTCGCATTGGGTTTCCCTGCGGGAATTGTGACCCGCTGCACCTTCCAATAAACTCGGCACGATGCACAGGCGGACAGTGTTTAGTGCTCAAGAGTCCCCTCCCTTCCTCGGTCTCCGAAGCGGGTGTGGTGCAGCGCCTGCACGACCACGGCGCGATGATCGCTCAGAACCCCTACTGTAGTTCATTACGAGCAGTGTCCGCCGCCCGCAGACGTACAGCCCGACTCGAGCCACGCAGTGTGGTACCAATTGATCGACCGCATCGACTATCTCCCGGGGCTGCTCAAGGGCCACCTTCGTTATCGGACCTGCTTCCACGATATTCCGCGGGGCTGCAGACGCACATTTATGCGCCAATGGAGGTGGATATCCGCAACGACTGGAGTATGCGGCGGGGCAAATCCAGCGGAGAACCAAAAGGGTTATATTTGCAGGAACGGGTTGAGATCTGCCCGCTCGGAACGACGGGATTCGTACGGCGCACGCCCACGCGGGCGCACCGGGACGTCTAGGTCAAGACCAGATGAACGGACAGATCAATGGACGTATCGAGCCATCGATCGAGGGGCCGCGGGGCTAAATGGGGTGAAAGCTGCAGCTTTGGTGGGGCCGGTATTTGTCATGCGTCATATCCACCTCTAGAATTTGGAATTCTCGAGTTGTGATGTAATTTATACTTTGGCGCGATGGGGAGGGAAGGAGAGGGTTGGATCGCTCGGGACTTGGGTAGCTGGCGGTATATAAAGGCATCCGTTCCAGTCTCCCAAGGTCCTTCCCACGTTTCTCGAGTACCTTGCAAGAATCAACCCGAAATATGCCTCTCACCGGTCACTGCCTCTGCGGCGCCGTCAAGTACACGGCGGCTGTCGATGCCCCTCTCATCACTGCTTACGACCACTGTGATGACTGCCAGCGCCAGAGTGGCTCCACCTACTGTGAGTTCTGAAGTGGGAGCGAAGGGGGATGTTGCTAACCTTCCCCAGCTCTGGTTACCGTCGTCCCCAAGGACTCTCTGACCATCACCGGCCCCACCAAGTCCTACGCCAAGAATGGCAGCTCTGGAAAGGCCGTCCACCGCATCTTCTGCTCCGAGTGCGGCTCTCCCATTGCCCACGACCCCGAGGCTGCCCCGCCCATCATCGCCCTGAAGGCCGGTACCCTCGACACCGAGATCAAGAAGAACTTGAAGCCTGTACGTCTGACTCCGGACACATGAAACACACGGGGAACATACTGACAGTCGACCTAGGACACCGAAATCTGGACCGTCAGCAAGCTTCCCTTCTGCCAGGAGAGCCTCGAGCACCCCTTCGAGCACATGCCCCAGTAAATCAAAAGCGGCGGAGGGAAACCTGAAAAGAAAATAAAAGATAAATCGGGGTGACTTTTATGATTGATTATGATACAGTTACGAGAAATTCGATAGTTGAATATGAACTTCATTTTTGATTGAGTCTTTGACTCGTGGATAATTCAAGGCTTTCGCGGTACGATATCTGGATACCACTCGTGTTACAAAGTAGATCATACTTCACGGTGAATTTTCGAGGCCGTTGAGATTCTTCACTTTTAAATGATCGGACGAGAACTGTTTTTGCGGTTCAATTACGCCCCCGAGCCCCCTCTGGACCTATTTCCATGTCGACTGGTACCTTGTTTGTGCAGGACTCGCGCACCGGTGAGAAGTACGAGATTCCGATTCGTCGCAATGCCGTGCGTGCTCTCGATCTGCAGCGCATTCAGGCCCCGACTGCTGGTTCCGATCGAGCCGATCAGGTATCTCTCGGGCTGCGCGTCCATGACCCGGGGCTCCAAAATACGGCAGTGGTTGAAAGCGCCATCAGCTTCTCGTGAGCCCCATTGCCCGTTGAAAAGACCGTGTACTGAGATAACCTAGGGACCATGAGCGCGGGGTTTTGATATTCCGAGGTTTTACTTTGGAGCAGCTCTGGGATTCCGACTTTGAAGACATGTTCCATCTACTGTTATGGGGAACGTACCCCGCGGTGCATCAGCGAACAGAGCTGAGCAGAGCCCTCGCCATGCATATGCAAGAGGTTCCCGACGAAGTGTTCAGGGTCATTCAAGGTCTGCCGTATGTGTCTGACCGACTTTAGACTGCAATCCATTTCTGACTTTGCCGGGCTAAAGATCAACTTCGCCGCCGCTGTCATTGATTCTAGCGGGCCTCGCGGCTTGTTTGGCTTCCGAGCCAGATGCGCTCCCTGCATCTTCCAACGCGACCCTTTACCAGGAAGACTTGGACCAAGCCGACCTGAGAATTCTGCAGACTGTTGCCAGCTATGCCGTGGTATTCGCTGTGGTCCGCTGCCACCGGCTCGGTATCGACTGGCAGCCTCCTGCAACGGGGAGAACCTACTACGAGAATCTTTTCATCATGTCTGGCCTCGATAGTTCGACCACAGCGCTCCCTGCCCCCGTCCGGTTGTCCTGTTTTCGCCGCTTTTCCATGTTGAATGCCGATCATGGCATGGCCCTGGCAGTCTTTTCGGCACTAGTGACAGCCTCCTCTCTAACTGACCCAATATCCTGTCTGATCACATCGGTGGCCGCAGCCCATGGTCCCCTCCATTTTGGTGCCACCGAATCTGCTCAGCGTGCGCTACACGAAATTGGAGACCCGAAAAATGTCCCTGCATTCCTTGGCGAAGTTAAATCAGGCAAACGCAAATTGTTTGGATATGGCCATCGGTCGTACAAAGGTATTGATCCCCGCGTTCGTCCGATTCGGGCCATCCTGGAGGATCTGACCGAACACAATCCATTATTCAAATTGGCCGAAGCCATTGAGGTAGCTGCATCGACAGATGAGTACTTTCTCTCGCGCCGATTGTATCCCAACGCGGACTTTTACGGGAACTTTGTGTTCACGGGCATGTCAGTCTTCCTTCCTGGTGCTGTGGTTTCACGAGAAGGGGCCTAATTCGTGAGATATAGAGGAATCGAGACGGAGATGATCCCAGCAGCCATGATTTCCCATCGCATAATGGGTATCATGGCTCATTGGCGCGAGTACATGGGTAAGGAACCACAATTCGTACCTCGGTGAATTCTCACTGATACAATGTAGCCACCCGAGGTAAACTCTTTCGGCCGTCCCATGTTTACACCGGCCCTATGTCAGCCACCAGGGAGGTAGTCGCTAAGCTTTGAATGGTCAATAGGATGCATGCAACGGGACCCCGAAGCTCGGGCATCATGTATGAGGAACTTGGGTGTTTTGCCATGGAACCACACCTCGGAACTCTTTTGCTTTTGTAAAAACCATTTAGCTAATTGTGCTTCTCTCTCTGGCTTACATTTTATCCAGTGTTAGGTTGCATAATACTATCGTTACTCCATGGGTGGCAAGATGAGTGACTTTCCAGAAGAGCATCGAACGGACGCACACAGTGACGGCGAGCCATCGGAGACTACCCCCCTGCTGGTTCATTCCACTGCGCCATACTCCGTATTTTCTACAAGCCAGAAGCGACTCATCATTTTGGCCGCCGCACTTATCTCTTCGTTTTCTCCTATATCAGCCAATATCTACTATCCCGCTCTCAATTCTATCGCCAAAGATTTACGGGTCAGCCCGTCGCAGATCAACCTGACCATTACCACGTACATGGTATGTTTTGTGAGCAGCAGCTAGAATGAATGAATTATACTCATTGCGAGACAGATATGCCAAGCCATTGCGCCGACGTTCACGAGTTCCCTCGCCGACAAAGCCGGACGTCGACCTGCGTACATATGCTGTTTCGTGATCTACATTGCCGGAAATGTGGCCCTCGCGCTCCAGCATTCGTTTCCCACATTGCTGGTTCTCCGTGCTGTGCAAAGTTGTGGTAGTAGTGGTACTGTTGCATTGGCCTCTGCTGTCGTGGCCGATGTCATCACCTCTGCCGAGCGAGGCGCATACATGGGAATGGCCTCATTGGGAAATATTCTCGCCCCATCATTGGGTCCCGTTGCTGGCGGCCTCTTGAGCCGGTATTGGGGCTGGCAGTCAATATTTTGGTTCCTGGGAATCCTGGCGACTGTCTTCTTTATTCCATTGCTACTCTTCTTCCCTGAGACTTGCCGCGCCATTGTTGGCAATGGGTCAATTCAACCTTATGGATGGAGTAAATATTTTCGAGATTATTTTCAGAAACCGAAGCAGGGACCAGAGCTGGATTTTGAGGTGTCGTTAACTCGTGATCTGGTTAAATCGCCCGGCATACTAAATGCTCCGGTGTCGCTGAAACTTCTGTTTCATCGCCCCATTGGCTTGATTCTTTTGGCCAATGGTGTGGTTTTCGGCAGCTACTACGCAGTCACTGCAGGTATTCCTGTGCAGTTCGGGACTCTCTACGACCTCGACGCTTTACAGATTGGACTCTGTTTCATACCAGCGGGGCTAGGCTCATTGCTCAGTGCGACGGCCAACGGTGTGTTTGTTGACTGGAACTACAGAAGAACTTGTTTGCAAGCGAAGCTATTGGTAAATCAAACCGTGAAACAAGACATACTCACATTTCCAATTGAGAGAGCAAGGCTCCAAATTGGGATACCCATGATTGTGAGTAACACCCGCATTATGGAAGTCTCTTTATCATCATTCGGCGCTTTTAACATTGGATAGATGCTTGCAGCCGCATCCATTGTACTGTACGGGTTCCTCATGGCCCATAAAACTCCACTTTGGGCTGCTCTTCTGATGATCTTCATAATAAGCTTCTGCATCACCGCTGCGTACAATGTCATGAACGTGTTGATTGTAGACTTGTACTACGCAACGCCTGCTACGGCCATGGCCGCCAATAACCTTGTCCGCTGCTCCCTTGGAGCAGGTGCCGCAGCGGCAGCCAACCCCTTAATGGAAATCATTGGTGTGCAGTGGGCATATTGCGCCGTATCTGGTATTTTGGTGGCCACAAGTCCCTTGTTACTGCTTGTGTATGTAAAGGGCTGGAATTGGCGCCGAGCGCAGGCCAGGACAGGGGTATAATCATAGCCTTGTCAGGGGCTCCCATTTGTTTGCACCACAGTGATCAAAGCGCTACGCAATGGCGCCGCAGATCACTTAAAGAGTGATTTCAGACTTAGATTCGGGGATGATATCCCGCTCATAAATCCTCGGCGAGCTCCAGTAATTCGTTGGTTACAGAGTGCCCATCACACCATGATCTATCTCAAATATGTTTTACGTCTATTCTTTATAGTCAGTGCTACTCCTTCATCAATCTTACCCCTTAGAGGGCAGCAGCTTCATATCAGATACCCTCAGAGAGAATGGATCGCGCCTGGGATAACATTGGACATGGAAGGTACTTTGCCCACGTGCAAATAATTTTACAAAAAAAAGCAATTTAATACAGGTGTGCTTTTCTAGATACAAAAATTATTCCAGAGATGAGTAGCTATGGGCTCCATTGCCCCATACGTTACCTACTTTTCATGCTCGACCTGGATGTGCAGATACCCACCACGGGCATCCAAAATGTGGTTCTACATTGGTATCAACCAGACTTGGTCTTCGATTGCAATTTGAGAGATCCACCTAATCTCCTTGCGCCGGATACAGAGAATTCGTCTGATTTTGTTGCGCCATATATTGCGCCACAAGCTCCAGGTGGCTCACATCACCGTTACGTCTTCCTTCTTTTTGAGCAGCAATCATCCTATAATTTCCCTCATTGCTTTGAACACATTCCCCCGAGAACAATCGAATCTAGAGCTGGGTTCGATATCAAAGCTTTCATGCATGCGGCCTCATTGGGTCCACCTGTTGCAGTGAATTACTTCTTCGGTCGGCGGAATGTTTCCAAAGGGGACGACCCTTCGCCATTCCCGAGTGTGACCACTACATCCTTTCGATCTCTGACTTGTGACACCAGTTCTACTATTTCATGAGAGGAATCCCGATAACTGCACAGAAGCAATCTTCGGGGCTGCCCAAGCACCAGTCGAGGGCTCCCAGGGAAGAATTACACCTCTCATCATTGTCCTAACTAGGACTCTTGCGGAGATCGATATTTTATTTTTATTATCAGACCAAGAAGCTATGTAGTATTTGATACTCAAGGCACGAGGGGCTGTCCCCCAATGTTGACAATTATTTCGTCCTTACGAGATCGCTGTTCACGATACTCCAGGGCTGGATGTCTATCCTTAGTCATGGAATTATCTGGGTGTCATTATATTGAATATTTCAAGGATAATTGACATCTGAACAAATTAAGTAGCACGATTCACGGCCCAGAAGTTGAACCGTAGAAGAACAGAAATGAATGCATCAAAACATGCGTAGCCTTTACCTAGAGCTTTCTGTATTGCGCGCAAGGATATCATTTCAAGGGAATAGGGGTCTGAGCCAAGCGCAGGATAAAACGTTCTATTATTTTTAATACAGGCGCCTGGGTACGGATTAGATATCTAGCGAGACATACCTGGGCATTCCAAAATTTTTAATGGGTATCTGAAATAGAAGCTCCAACGAAATCGCAATACCATACCACTACATAACCCACCTTTGGTGGTTAAAAGGTCTTTTGAAAAACGTAACTCTGTATTAACCTCCAGAGTAACCAGTGAGAGAAGAGTCTCAGTAGCCTGCATGGCATTTATGCTGGGTCTCGTAGGACAAATCCACTTGTCATGCAGGGGCCTCCGGATGTAACTTTCGGCCTAACTGGTGGCGGCGAAGAGTGAGCACAGCGGGCTTTGGTGACGGCAATAATTCACAAGTGTGATGGCTGGTATCGACGGTGGAGACGGAGAGAGGAGTTAGATAAACAGTCTATCCTTTTGGGAGGATAGCCAAAAATACTCAACCCTATCTGCAACAGAATAATTGAACTTAGTTGGCGTCCTTCTTGGGTAACCCTAACTTTGCCTCTATATATTACTCGAGAAAGATGATGAACATGTCTAAGTCTTTCAAACCCGGTGCCGGGAAACTGCCAAAGAGTGTCAAGGTTCGCTCCACGTGTAATGCCTGCCAGCAGGCCAAAATTCGCTGCAGTCACGAGAAACCGTCCTGCCGCCGCTGTCAAAAGCACAAGATCGATTGCATCTACAGCGTATCACGACGACTAGGGCGACCAGCGAAGAAAAGAGAGCCGCGACTAGGACCGGAAGCCCAGGGCGGTAGTCCAAACCCGGAGATGACCGACCACCAAGAGCGCACAATACAAGTGAGAAAGTCAGCAAAGAAAAAGCGCCATGGGCAGGCAACAGCATCTGCAATGCGACCTCGGATGAGAAGCATTCCGATCAAAACAGCGGAGGATACGTTCCAATCATCGACTGTATCTGAGAAGAACGGTGAGGAAATTTCCGGTATGCCCAGTCGCTTTCCCCAACCATAGATCTATGAATACTGAATCACCGTTGTGCAGGGCTGCAAATCGACTTTTCATCTGAATCATTCCAGGAACTGATGTCGACGCGTATGAGTTGGGGCACGGGAAATTTCACCGTTGAGAATCCTTACGAATTGGAGCTGGAGGATACATTTGATAGTTTCGCAAAATGCTTCAGGCAGGCAGGGCCGTCCGCATATCAAGCGACGGATCTATTTTTACCGTCACCTCCGATGGGTTCTGATCAGATTCTGATACATACCAGCCTCGAAGGCGAACTTAACCCGTGCCAGCATTCCGTATCAAATGAGCAATTAGGGTCGCCATTTGTGACGGAGCCCAGCGTCGCCTCTTGGTCATACGGCTCAAATACTAATGTCCATATATTACCGGACTCCTGGTCCGCCAACAGGGTGCCGCCTACGAGTTTTCTAATTGACCCAGCCAATAACTTCCCTGCGTTTGAATCGCCTGGGGCAAGCCATGAAAGTGAGGAATTCTCACCAGAGGCTCTCAACCTTTTGAGCACATTAGGTGGAACGCTGTACCTTGATTGCAATTGCTACAAGCAAGCAATAGGCGAGCTCCTCAGATCAGGCATCAAGAGTCACCCAAGCGGTATCCCAAGTATTGACAATACCTTGGTCCGCCAGAAAGAGCTGCTGTTGCAGGCAGAGGCCATTCTTCAGTGTAAAGTGTGTTCACAGTCCGAGGCTCAGGCCAATATGTTTATGGTGATCATTGTCACAATCGACAGCATCCTCACATCACTTGAAGGAGCTGCTACTGCGACCAAGGCCGGAACGCAAGCAAAGTTGTCTCCTGTAGAGGTTCAGGACGAGCGGACAAAGAAAAATCACGTCACCGGGTGCTTTAAATCTCACATAGAGGCTTGTCCACTGCTTGTGGGGGGATTTCGAGTTCCGATGGAAGAGAAAATGTGTTTCGTTCGACAAATGTTGCAAGCCCGCCTCTCAATGCTTTTGATGATGATACGACGGATTAGTGCTTGTATGCAACAGCACTTAGCATCAGCACTCTCGCGAGGCAGACTGTTGATGATAATGGAGACTGACCGGCGGCTGCAGCTCATTATGATGAAGGTCAAGATGGCCGTGAGCTGATGGCCCATAGGAAAGAGTTGTTAAATTTGTCACGGGCTTTCTTGAATCATGTACCCCGAGAAATAAATTAAAATACCTTAGGGTAGTATGTGACTGTGTTGTTAGTTGCATATTCCTGGTAAGGGAATCCGTGGTTGGGTAGGGTCCTATATCGAATAGTATGATCCAATGGAGAAGATTCTACCACTCGGGACTCATTGAGCAGCTGAATGGGTTTTCTGAGTATATGGGCAGTCGAGAAAGGCCATTGGTCTCCTGTCCGTGCACCGCGAATGCCTCGGTTCAAAGGCGACATGGTGCAACCCCCTTCGCTGTTCACGGGCCATGGGCACTGGGTTTGACATTGTCATTTGACAAGAATAGATGCATGTTGCAGTTCATTCACACCGATCCATCATGGGACCAAGCAAGATCCTGCTCATGGCGGACGGTGGGGGCAGCTCGTTGCATATTCTCCTGTCCACCCGAGGCTGTAAGTTTAAGACGAGACACTCTGTAGCACAGCAAAGTGAGTGACGATAGTCGCCTGCAAAATTCAAAATCGGCTAGGCTTCATCCATTCGCCGCATCCAAGAAGAAGCCAGGGAGGTTCACTTCAACCCTCAAGCATCCAGAAACAGTTATGGGCGCTGATGCTTCTTGTGCTTGTTCGATCGAGGTGCTGCAGATTATGTCGGAACTGCACAATGTCCACGCCGTTGTGGATGTCGAGACAGCACTTGACCTAATCCATCGCGTGTGTGGACAAGGGAAAAGCATTATCAAGTGCAAAGTCTGCACAAAAACGCCCCAATCACCCGTCGTCACCCTTCCGGCACTTTCAGAGCAATGCCTTCCTCTCCTTGAAGCCCTATGCTCGGCATACGATATATCCACTCAGCCGGGCTTCTTTGACTCGGCTATGCTGGCCTTCGACCAGGCTCCATCTTCCTTTATATGCATTCGAAGCAAAGTCATCCTGGGTCAAACCGAACTTGACGAAGATGAAACGCGACTACTGATCCGAACCTTGCTTGGACGAAGTTTGATCAGACTGGTGGAGCTGATGGAGGGTCTCAAGGGAGTTCTATTGGCGATGCTGGAAAGTGAGCACAACCATCGAAACGCTACAGCAACGATCCGATCCTGTGAATCATCGATGGAGTCCATCATCAGTCGGCTGGCGGTGCTGATGCAGATCACTGAAGGAGAGTGCGACACACAACTATTGACATGATTGAGTCCATATTAGTTGATAGTGGATGAATATAACAGATGCTGAAAGTAATTTCATGACAGAAGATAATGGAGAACGAACGCCATATTTTGGGTAGTGCGAGAGAGCCTGGGTATCAGAAGCCGGCATAAGTTTATATAGAACTCGTTATGCTTCAACCCGGGACCGGCACGGGGCGTCCGCGCCGGTCCGACGCCCATGCCGCCCGCCGTGCACGCCGGTTCCGGCATCTCCAGTCACTTTGAAGTTGACCCGGTCGCCGTATATTGGATATATCGGATATGACAACGATCATATATGCATATTTGTTGGGTAGCTGGTTTCCTCCGGCCACCTATAAAATAGCATGGAAGGCGGTGGGCCCGCTTGTTTTCCAACTACGGCGGTTTGGACTTTCCCACGCCGTTCCGATTAATCGCTCTCGTCCCAGTTTTCTCCCGTTCGCTATCGTTGACTTATATACTCCATATTTCGCATTTCGTATTTCGCATTTCGCATTTTCATACTTGGAAAGTTGTGGGGCCGTGTATTTCGTGCCTCGTCGATCCCGCTCACTGCGTCATCGCGTCTCCACTCCTGCCTCATCGTGCCTTCTCCACCTTTCCGCCCTCATCCGGTGTTTTTCAGGTATGGGTTGCTTGAAGCCTCTCTCATTCTCCTCTCAACCCTCCCTTCATGCTCTCATCCGTCCTCGCCGCTCTCAGGTCTCCATCCTTCGAGGTCGAGGGAGCTCCCCAGCGGCCCTCTCGCTATGCTGGCGAAGATACCACCCCGACCAGCCGCCGGGAGATTCTCGGCTGGTACTCCTACGGGATCGCGGCCGAGGTTTTCGCCGTCTGCGGTGTAGGTTCGTGACGGTGTAATTGCTCGACTCTGCAAACTGGTCGCTTATTCAATTCCAGGATCCTTTCTGCCCTTGACCCTGGAGCAGCTTGCGCGTGAGCACGGTACTATCCCCAACACCAATCAGCCTTGCTGGGGTCCCGGCGCACCAGACAAACAAAATGGGGGTGACCAATGTGTGGTCAGGTTTTTTGGACTTCAAATCAATACCGCCAGCTTTGCAATGTATACCTTCTCGCTGGCGGTGCTCATCCAGGCGCTGACGTTGATCTCGTTCAGCGCCTTGGCAGACTATGGTATGATCTCCCTTCGTCGAGCAGACCCTACCCAGTGGTCGGATATCTAAAGTGAGCCGGATCACTAACGACGGGGATGCGATACACAGGGAATAATCGTAAAACGCTGCTCCTGTTTTTCGGCTTCATCGGTTCGGCAACGAGCATGCTATTCGTATTCGTTGCGCCCCCGGTGTTTATCCTCGGCTCCATCCTCGCGATTATCGGCATTACTTGTCTCGGATCCTCATTTGTCGTGCTCAACTCATTCCTGCCAGTCCTTGTCGCCAACGACGCATCAATCCAAAGCCCCCAAAGTCAAGGAGGGGAGGAGCTGTCCAACTTGCATCGAAATGACGAGGCATCCGACTGGAACACATGGGATGAGGAGGATAGCGTGGATGGGATACCGAATCCAGATCATCAGACCGGATCTCCCGAGGATGGCCTGAAGGGCAAGGAGTCTGGCGGTGGAGCGCCGGAGCTTCAGCGGTCTACACAAATTTCATCCAAGGGCGTCGGTCTGGGCTACTGCGCGGCGGTATTGGTTCAAATCCTGAGTATTCTGCTCCTCGTCACACTCAAGAAAACGTCACTTTCTAAGGTTTCGGACACTCTTCCAACACGGTTTGTTCTGCTGTTGGTCGGAATCTGGTGGTGTGCCTTCACCTTTGTCTCGCGCCGATGGTTACGCTCTCGGCCCGGTCCCCCCTTGACACGTCCTCGACCCCCGGCCTTCCGAAATGGCGGGCATGGCTGCGGCTCGTCGGATTTGCCTGGAAGTCCCTCTGGCGGACGGTGAAGGTGGCGGTTCAGCTCCGTGAAGTGCTGATTTTCCTGGTGGCCTGGTTCCTTTTGTCGGATGCCATGGCGACCGTCTCCGGCACGGCCATTCTGTTCGCTCGCACTGAATTGGGACTGAGCACAATCGCGGTCGGAGCCTTGAGTATTACTGCGACACTCAGTGGAATGGCGGGCGCGTTTCTATGGCCCCATGTGTCTCGACGGTTCAACCTGCAGTCGAATCAGACCATCATCGTGTGCATTGTCCTGTTCGAGATCATTCCACTTTACGGCATGCTTGCATATATCCCATTCATCAAGAACTGGGGTGTCTTGGGGTTGCAAAAGCCCTGGGAGATCTTCCCGCTCGCCATCGTCCATGGCATCGTATCGGGCGGGTTGTCATCTTACTGTCGCTCGTTCTTCGGGCAGCTGATTCCACCCGGAAGTGAAGCTGCCTTTTACGCACTGTACGCTGCTACAGACAAGGGAAGTTCATTCATCGGTCCCGCTATCGTCGGTGTTCTCATCGATGCGACAGGCCAGGTGCGCTCGGGCTTCTTTTTCATCGCGGTGCTGATTGTTCTCCCCATCCCCCTGGTGTGGATGGTTAATGCCGAAAAGGGTCGTCGTGAGGGACTGGCCATGGCTGAGCGATTGGACAAATCACAGAAGGGGCCGACTGAAGATGTTCAAGAAGCCGAAGGCCTTCTGGCGCGTGAAACTTAGAATGCATATTAGAACGAACTCATGAACATGGATAGACTATGGCCTGATGATGAAAACCTCCTTATTCGAACCCATTTATATAGCGAGTCCCCTAGAATGCTCACCAGAATTGGAATAGGGAGGGCTTCAGCCTCAACTTCCTTCACAAATGCTGACCGAGGTCTCATTCCACGTTCATGCTGGTGTTGGCACCAAAAATAGAAGCGGGTCCAATACACGACGTCGCATGGGGGCCAAAAGGAACCAAAAGTCTGTTTTGGATTTTGCTGATGACGACGCCAGTACGGAGTTAGAATGAAACGAGAGCTGCAATTTGGAAATAATCCCATGCTGATCATTGCTACAAACAGAGGGCCTGTTACTTTCAGCCTTGCGACGTGCTTGACCATAAGTAGTTTCCCCCAGGCTGCGCCCCGAAAGTGGGCTCAGCCAAGGCGGGCGACGACGATGGGCCGTGTGAATGAGGCTGTTCAGGACAACATGACCGGAAAATCATTACTCGGTCTGGAATCTGGCATGGTCAAAATAGATGGCAACCCGTGCAGGTTGCAGTCAGTCTCCGAGTATAAATTCATCTACGCCCGGACGCCGCGGGTCGAACTCTCCACGCCAACACACATCCGAATGAACATGCTCGGCTCGGCATTCCTAGCCCTCGTCGGCGTCATCGGCGTGCAGGCACAGCCGCTCAGTGTGACTCTCGCACCGGTGAACGACTGCGCTGCGCTGCCGAAGTGGAACAAGGCAACCAATATCGCGGGCCCGTGGACAATCAGAGTGGATGGGTGTCGCAATGGCACTTCCCCTCGAGGCGACTGCAGTATCGAGGGATTCACAGCCAGCTGCGATGTTACACGATCCGCCGACGAGACGGGCATCGAGAAGGGATCTGTAAGTTCCACGGTCCACAATATAACCTGGGGGCACGGCCCTGATTGAGCCGCCCTAGATCGTCATCTCCAACCGCCCGCAGAACGTCAAGACCCAGCTTCGCTGCAACGGTGCCCTGCAGACGGTGGAGGCACTAGTCCCGTCGGGCGCCGGCGCGCTAGACTGGCATGCCGTCGCCATCGATACAAACCCGAGTACTGGCGAGATAGAATGGGGGATGGGAACCAAGGATACACAGCCCGTGCAGGTATATCGGCAATACGTGCATGGAAGCCCGGTGAACGGTCTTTTCCTGGGATCGAAGGGGCAAACAAACTGGGTTGTGCATCACTCTGGGTTGGGGCTGAGCAACGTGGATCGAATGCCGTTCTGGTTCCTACGACTGCTCAACAAAGACTCGGAGTTATGGAGCGGTGAGTTTGAGACCTCGATCCGGATTGATGGAAGTTGAAAGGGTAAGTGCAAGCCACTGCGTTGATGACACAGCGTGGATCATTTTCTTGGCGGTGGACTCCTTCCTCTACACTAGTTATGGCTTCCGAGGTTGCCTTGGTGCAATATCACACCCCCGGAGGAGCAAAGCATCCGCCGGAACCCCTCACTCAAGCGCGTTTGGGCATGTAACGGAATGGTCATCCCGGCGGGGGGAGGTTCAAACGGCTCAGTGCCGTACAGGGCTAGATGCGTCCATGGAAATACACTCGTCACTCTGCTCGATCGGCCAAGGTCATCAACCGGGCCCGGAATGCCGATCAGAACACTCGGAATGCGAAAGACGAAGAACGATTGGGGGGGTCCACCAAGCCCCATTTTCTAGGGAAAGTCGGATGGCGGCCTTCGGGGGGATATGCCGTTTCATAAAAGGAATAGAGACATTTAGTAGCCTCGGTGGCGTTGATGCGTCGAATCACAAACTTCGTCTGTTGTCCCCAATTTACTCTTCCCCGGAAAAGTGAAAGCGGCCCCGGGAAATTCCTGAACCTTTATTATCTTAAACTTCGGCAATTCTTGATTGTGATACGTGCGAAATTTGGACCGCCAAGTTTGACATTCCTAGATTGCATATCGTTGGCACTACTGGCCAGATCCATCGTTTACATTGGTTGGTCTGTCTCCATTAGCCTAAATGCATCAAGCTCATGCTTACGCCTGCTTGTTTTTCTCCATGGTATCCAGATTCAAGCATGGCACGTGGATGATCGCGTCTGCCAACCGATGCTGGCAAGACAACTCCATATCTAAAGGCCCGTCATCCGGCGCACATGCGGACTTTCGACTAGCTACGTAGAAACCCTTCTCCGCTTTCGCCTCTATCTTGTTCCATACTTTTCGACCGGCGACCCCTGTTGTCAACACGGGTCATCTCCCACGAGTCAATCGACATCTGCACGTTGTTCGGCATGGCGAGTCCTACGGAGACCGAGATCGCACTAGAGAAGTCCGCCGCGCACCATGTCGAGGACACCTTGGGCTGCGGTGCCATTGTTGAGGCAAAGCACGCCACGGATGAAGAACACGCGCAAACCCTATGGCAGGCCCTCCGTGACAACCGTAAAGCTGTGCTTTGGTCCGCCATTATTTCGCTTTCCATCGTAATGGAAGGATACGACGTCGTTTTAATGGGAAACTTTTTCGGCTATCCTACTTTCCAGAAGAAATACGGGTATTATTATGGTGAGAAGCTCGGGTGGCAGATCCCTGCCCGCTGGCAAACGGGACTAAACATGGCTAGCACGGTGGGATGCATTTTCGGTAGGCGCCCTCTCAACCACATCTCAAACAGGAGAGAAAGATAGACTGACAGAGGCTCAGGTGGCATCATGAACGGATACCTTGCGTCCAAATTTGGGTATCGGGTCGTGATGATTGTGGCCCTCGCATTCCTGAACGCTTTCCTTTTCATCGTGTTTTTCTCCAACACGGCTACGGTGTTGCTCATAGGCGAGGTCTTCTGCGGGTTCTCATGGGGTGTCTTTGCGACTATTGGCCCGGCCTATGCCTCGGAAGTCTGCCCCACAAACCTGCGAGGCTATCTCACTATCTATGTCAACATGTGCTGGGCCATCGGCCAGCTCATTGCATCCGGTGTCCTATATGGTTTGGTCAATCGTCCGGGTCAGTGGTCTTACCGCATCCCATTTGCGTTGCAATGGATATGGCCGACGCCCCTGATAATAGTCTGCTGGTTGGCACCAGAAAGTCCCTGGTACCTCGTGCGCAAGGACCGACTGGAAGACGCCAAGCACAGTATTCGTCGGCTCGGAGGCAACAAGACCGAGGAACAGGTCAACGGGCAGCTGGCTATGATGGTTCATACCGGCAAGATTGAGGCGGAAATCGAGTCTGGCACCAGCTATTTGGACTGCTTCAAAGGCATTGACCTGCGCCGCACGGAGATCTGCTGTGTAACCTTTGTGTGCCAGATCTTGTCCGGCAGCACTTTCGCCTACTCGCCCACGTATTTCTTCGAGCAGGCCGGCATGGACACCAGCCGTGCTTTCCAACTGGGTGTTGGCTGCACAGGTGTGGCCTTTGTTGGGACCGTTTTGTCCTGGTGGCTCATCACACATCTTGGACGCCGCACCCTTTACGTTTGGGGTCTGGCTATCCTCTGTACCCTTCTTTTCCTAATTGGAATCATCAACGCAAGCACCAACGCCAACGGTGCCATGTGGGCTCAGGCAGCACTGTGTTTCATTTGGTTGTTCGTGTACTCCTTGACTATCGGCCCAATCACCTACGCCATCGTCAGTGAAACATCCAGTGTTCGGCTGCGGCCCTTGACCATCTGTCTGGCTCGCACGGCATATCAGATAATCAACGTCGTCTCCATGGTTTTGGAGCCAAGGTTTATGTCACCCGTGGCATGGAATTTGAAAGGGAAAACCGGGTTCTTTTGGGGCTGTACTGCGCTCCTTGCTTTCACCTGGTCGTTCCTTAGACTACCGGAAACAAAAGGTCGCACGTATGCTGAGTTGGACATTCTATTCGCCACCAAGGTTCCGGCACGCAAATTTGCCTCGACTGAAGTGGATGCGTATGCTGTCGGAGTGTCACAATCACAGGAAGGGCTCGTGCAGGAAACCAAGCAGTCGTAGGGGTGGGGGGGTGGGGGGAGAGCTAGAGGTTATCGTGCTGCCCACTTTACCCACATCGGTCCGTGAAGGAGCAGATCAGTGGCTTAACCGCCAAGGGTCGGGTCCTAAAGCGGAACCAGCAGTGCCTACTGAGAGTCTTTATCTGTATTCTCGATTTATTAAATGCTCATATCTATATGATTCTGTGCAAATATCTTCCATACGTAGATTCAGTAGGAAAATCCTTTGTATTAAGTACAAGAGCCTAACTAGGCGACGACGAAATTTATGATTAGAACTATACATTTGCCCCGATTACCATATGTAGGTCAAGCGTGAACGGTATACAAGCTATGTGAAGTCGCTTACCCTTGACCCGGCGATGAAAAGCCAACGATTGAAATCCACCAGTTAATTGCCCTGGAGGGAGTGACATGTTTATTGATATTTAGAGCGGAGATGGCTCCAAGTTCAGTGACTTGACAGCGATCATGATTCGACTCTGAATGCATATCCCCGGAATCCCCCAGAACACCCTTTCCCAGAAACCCTAATTGTCTGTTAAGGGCACCACTTTTCGACATGTGCACGAGAACGTTCCTCGATGCACACCTAAAATTAGGACAGACGGGATCTACTGCAGGGACTCGGGTAAAATGCCAGCCACTGCATCTGATACTACGTGGGTCTTGCAAATGGCCATGTCCTTATCAAGGGCATGACCAAGAGGCGTGTTCTAGAAAACATGAAATCGGCCTGGTCGATCAGGGCAATCAGACGCAATCGGTTCTCATGTATGCATGCTCGACCTCGGCTAGTAATAGCACTGTAGTCCTTTTTCCGATTTCGCCGCGACAGTATAAAAAAATAAAAATTTGAACGAAAATTGTAAATAATGTTTGATAATAACTGAAAAAGTATTTGCTAGTGTAATAAATGCTGTTTATTATTTATCCATTGGATAGTAAAATTATATTTTCTCTAGTTTTATCTTTTTCGATAAAATACAAAATTTGCAGTATAATGTTTATCTAAAAATTAACCAATTTTTAAATAACCTCACACAATATTTTGCGAGTATACGTATCACAATAGCCCGCTATATATTCGCCGTTTACCCCTCCGATGGCGTTGTCAGTCTTCCCAACCGAAGCGCCTCAAGAGCCACCAGGTCACGTTTGAAGACCGCAAGGCCAAGGAAACAAGAACGTTGGGACGGTTTGGGGTACTTCGATGCTGATGATTGGGAAGTTCGGAACACAGTGCGCCGTGGGTGCACAGACGTCCATGCCCCGCTCCACCCATCGGGCAATCGAAAGAGCGGTTATTCTGACGGCTATTGACACCGTTCGTAAGAGGATCGTCGACGCTCGTGGTGTCATCATGATCGTCGGAGCAAGGTACTGGGCGTGCTGTGTTTCCATGTTGACATCTAGCTTTTTATCCGCCACTCCCTTGGCGTTGTGCCTGAACGGGGTCACCAGACGACCAGACCAGCGAATAGCGGTGTCTTTGGTGCTCATTAGTTCATGGATACGTAGAGTCAGGCAAATGGCAATGAATAGAGGCTTGGAGGGGCCAGGGGGGGCATGTTAGGACGGTCGGTGATTGGCGGCTCGAGCCCAGATGGCAGGATTCCGGAGCTTCGACGCGAATTCCAGGCGATTCCCCCAATAACCTTAGCTCGTAAGGTTCAGCCAAGCCCCGACCCCTGTCGCAGCTCTGAGGTCACCAGACTTGATGATTTTTATGAAGGGAGATCACAATCCTCCGCGGAATCACCTTTTTGGGCAATCCAGGACAATTCAAGTAGGGGCCGGTCTGCTAGGGGCCACTCCGTCGCGACTCCATCCAGGACACCATTTCCGAGCCGTGAATGGAGCTGGACACGCTGGCGTAATCCACCTTGATGGATAGCTTGCAGAGCTAGCGCCAGGAGGGTCCAGATTGCGAAGATCGCTGAAGATTGACACCGCGACCGACCCACGTGAGAGGCGGAGCCCTTATCAACCGTTTGCATCATGGTCAGACTTTTTTGGGGCTCAACGATTTGCAAGCTCGACGCGTGCACGGGAATTAGGTTCTACGTATTCATCACCACTGCGATCAGACATTCAGAATCCCGAATCAAATGAAAAAAAAAGATCGCATGTCCCTGCCACAAAGGGCCGCAATTGCATCTGACGGCGTACCCGGGATATCCACCTTGGGTTGCCACTCGGACTGATGTAAACACGATAGACAGCTTCATTCTAATTTAATCCTCCCCTCATTAACTCCCCTCCCCCCTCTATTCCTCTCCCTCTCCCCATATCATAATACCTCAACTTCACTGTTTCGCAATACCCTCCAACATGTCGCCGCCCCCCATCATTGCCCCCTCCATCCTCAGCGCCGACTTCTCCAACCTCGGCCATGACTGCTCCCGCAAGATGGAGCAGGGCGCCGATTGGCTCCATGTCGATATCATGGACGGCCACTTCGTGCCCAACATGACCATCGGCTGTCCCGTAGTGTCCCAGATTCGCGGTTGCGTCGACCGGCCCCTCGAGCCCAGTGGCCGGGGCACCTTTGACTGCCACATGATGATCATGGAGGTGCGTGGCTGAACACTCTCCGAGCTCTCGGATTTCCCCGGAATATCACTAATCGAGCTGCGTAGCCTCATAAATGGGTCAACGAGTTCAAAAAGGCCGGTTGCGATCTGTACTGCTTCCACTACGAGGCGGCCGTCTCCTCCGTCGCCGCGACCGATCCCACCGACAAAACCACTACCGCGCGCACCAGCCCGCGTCAATTGATCAAGTATATCCACGAGGAGGGCATGCAGGCCGGCGTGGCCATCAAGCCGGACACCCCGGTGGACGTGCTGTGGGACATTCTCGACAGCCCGGAGCTGGACGAGCGGCCGGACGTGAGCTCCCACCTCCCACCACCCACGAGTGCCACCCAACATGCGCTAATGGCTTTCATAGATGGTTCTCGTCATGACGGTGCACCCCGGATTCGGCGGACAGAAATTCATGGCCTCGGAGCTGCCCAAGGTGCAGGCGCTGCGGGCGCGGTATCCGGACCTGAACATTGAGGTGGACGGAGGCCTGGGCCTGGGCACGATCGACCAGGCGGCCGACGCGGGTGCCAACGTGATTGTGGCGGGCTCAGCGATCTTCGGCGCCTCGGACCCGGCCGATGTCATCGCCAAATTGCGCGAAGCGGTGCAGAAGCGTCAGAGCCGATCCTGAGACCCTTCCGGGCATATAGAAAAACGGGGTTTGGGTGTTTCTGTTATTTTTGCTCCGGTGATCGTATTGGACATTGCTTTGCCGGGTTTTGGCCTTTCTACGGGTGTATTGGTTTGTAATGATGAGCTATGAATGGCATTCTACCGAGAGTCTAGCGACTGTATTCAAAAAGAGAATTGGTTAATTGACTTTGGTATCGTACTGCTGCGGACAAGAATCGACGGCAACTAAACAAGGCGCATGGTGCTTGTACAAATTCATCATGTCGTAACCGGAGACCCCCTCACTCCTTCGCCTCCCCGGGCTTGGCATCGTCCTTGGTATCTTCCTTTATATCATCTTTCGCCTCTTGCTTATCCTCTTTGGTATCTTCCTCCGTATCGGCCTTGGTTTTGGTCGCAACCGTTTTGACATCTTCCTCGAGCGGAGTGGCCACCTCCTCAATGGTACCGTCCCTGGCCTTCTCCGCAGCCTCCTTGCGGAGAGCGTCGAGGCTACCAGACGCGTCCTCGCCCGTAATGGACTGTCGGATATCCTTCACAACTTTGTCCTGCTCCTCCTTGTCGGTGGCCGAGATGATCGAGCCACGGTGATGCTCGACCAGTCCTAGCATCTCCGCATTATCGGCGTGGAAGTTGGCCGACGAGACGGCTGCGACCTCGGGAATGAGAGGTGGACGCTTTACGACCTTGGGCGAGTCTGGCGCGGTATCAGGAAGTTCGGGAGCAACCGATCCACGGTGTCCCCTGCTTGCAGAGGGCGACAATTCATCGTTGGACTCTTCCTGCTTCAACTCCGACTTGGCCTCCTCTTCGGGCTTCTCGTTGTCGGTCTTGGTCTTGGCCTTGGCCTTGGATGCAGCTTCCTGGCTGACCTGACGCAGTGCAATAGCAGCCTTATCGTCCTTTTTCTCTTCGGTTTTGGCGCCGGGCGGGCTTTGGATTTTGATAGTGGAGGGTTTAGGGGTTCCGGGTTCGGGCTCTTTAGGCGTCGGCGTGGACTGCGAGTCGGGAGGAGGAGGAGCGACGATGTTGCTAGTGGCCGGCATGCCATCAATGTCCTGGATGCTGTTGATGACCATGCGCAGCTCGCCAAACTCGTTCCATTCTTCAATTTCCTCGAGATCCTGCAGGGGTAGTGGGGTTAACTGTAGCTCGAAATAACGGTGAGGGGGTATTGCATACTCCAACAATATTTCCGTATTTCACCAGGCCGGGCAGTTTCTTTCCTTTGGAACGACGGCCCCATAGTTTCCGGGCGACCTCGTCGGTGGCGACGTCAATGACACGGAAGGGGAGCTTGTTGGCCTTGAGGATGGTCTCCACACGAGCGGTTGCGGTGACGATGTGGGAGGACCCTGCGGTCAGGGAAGTGTAGAGGTAGAGAGTAGAGTCAGACATGTTTGTGGGGGGAGCTTCTTAGAGACTCGGAGACTCAACGGGAGAAAAAGGGGAGAAAACGGAGAATAATTTCATGGAGAAGAAAGCGTAGCTCCTGTTGCCCTGAACCCACCATATGACGTGGGGGATGATCACGTGGGCAGTCTTTATACTTCGGCGAAAACTGAAGAACTACGGGGACGGGGATGCGCTTCTTTGCCATCTGCTTGACCCATTCTTAAATTTCTCCACAGCTCCAGAGATTCCCCAGCCCGCTCGGTAGCAAATGGCCCCAGGCGTGGTAACTTGACGTCAGACCGACCCTCAACCCGGGTAAAGCTTTGTGAATATCCTGCTGGAAGATTCTGGGCAGTGTTTGGGATGAGGTCTGTTCGGGATGTTTGCAGCTATGGTGCAGCCCATAAAATTACAGGCTGATGCGCATTTAGATCAAATTTATGTCATACCCTAGGGGCTGCTCCGGGATCTGGATGATGCCGTAATGCCCGAGACGTGTCGGGAAAACGTTTATCGCGAACTTTGGAAACCTCAGGAAGCAAAAGCCACCCCCCGAAGCCACCTCTCGAACGGATAATTACCGACTTGCCTTTCTCAACTTCTTCATAATTATAGTACTGTACGGCGGGAAAAAAGTAGCGCCAGACAGAAGCCCGAGTTATAATCTAAAATATGAGCATCGCGAATCGCAAAATCCAAGTAATGAATCGAGGGGGCTCAACCGAGTCTACCCAAACGTACTTGGAGCAGATATAGAGAGAGCGTGCTTTTTGATAAGTCGCCAGTCAACTACGAGCAACGGCAGCCGAATAAGCACGTTCGTATTGGCTGCCCACGCCGTGGCTCAGCCATGTCTCTGCATCCCGCTGCAGGTCGAAGCGTCTGCGGCTCCAGACAGGTAATTGGCGGCACGGACTCGTGATGCGCCCACCTGCACCGTGATGAAAAGGCCAAGATGAAGACGCTGACATACGCATTTCGGGCTGTGTTCGAACAGCCTTCCAGTCGCGGGCATGGACTGTCTAATGGGAAGTGACGCTCATCCATCAAAATAAAAATGAAAACATGATGAAGAATGATTGAATGGCAAAGAGAGCTTGAACCCAGCGTGCCGGAAGGAGAGCCAAAACATGGATGGCACAGTCGTTGCGGTGCATGTTGCATCCATGACATTGGATCTAGCTGAGACTCAAGAAATGCACGGATTGCTGTCCAGGTAGTTGGCCTGACTAATATTAGCACACTACCCAAGACGAAAACCAAGTCCGGGAATCATCGCACGGCGCCGAGGCAGTCGTAGCTGGAGATGAATCGAACCAACGGATACTAAGTCAGCAGTGGGTAGAAAAACATCGTCATCGAGCAAGATCAAGACAGTACAATGACGAGATTGCGCGGTGGCCAGTCACTACCTAGTCGTGACAACGGGACGAATGGGCCCTTGAATAGAAACGGACCGGGTTGAAACCCTAAAGCACGCCGCGGAAGATGGAAAAGGAAACCGACGATCCTGCATTGGCGAGATACATCAAACTCGACAGATATCAGTCACTGTGATTCGACGGTATGGCCCCTAACCGGGTTGGGAGATCGACGAGATCACGGTCGTTGGGTCGAAACGCGTCGATCCGTCCACCGCGTGCTCCTCTGCCTATGAAGGCCGCGTTGATCGGATTCGCTGAAACGTAGCGGGAAACGTAGCGAGCATGTAGCGAGCATGTACTCCGTAGCGTTGCCCAGGGCGGGTACGGAGTGCTTGGTGAAATGAATCATGTTCGTGAAACGGGTGAGGGTGATCGCAAAGGTAGACGGTCCACCGTTTCGCTAGCGCCACGATCGTCCCATCTTGAGTTTTCTCCCCCTGGAAAATGGGCGAGGGCAACATGCCCTATATTCGGATCGGGGGTCGCACGAGAGGCTGAACCGTGGGTAGCTCCCGAGTCTCCCGCGAGTTTCCAAGGATCGGAATGGTTTGTCCCTACTCGCCATGAGGGGGGGGCAGTTACAGGCACATGAGCGTCAGCTGCAGGGCCCGAGTGATTCTCTGCGCGACGTGGCAGCGTCAGGATGAAGTTGGGCGTTAAAGGGAGGATCCCGGGGGACGTCGTACTCCCGTCCCATCTTTCGGGCTCCCGCTGTAGGCGCTCGGTTGACCCGTTGACCCCATTGACCCCGTTGAACCCCCCCCCTGACTCTCGCCAGCCTGGATCCGGGAGGTTTTCGGGGCGATCCGGTTCGCTGCCTCACTTTGTTCGCTGGTTTCCCCGTCGTCACCGCCCATCGCTGCAGCTGGGGGTCGACCAACCAGCGCTTCATCCGGTGCGTCACCCGGCTGCGTATAAGGAAGTTTCCTACGGAAGTGATGAAGGGTCTGGACCCTTGGGAATAGGGGCCCACGGCCATAATGGGAAATGTATAGCACGTCCTTCCGAGTCCCAGCGCAACTGCTCTCGTATATCGTGGTGGAGTTCGCTTCCTTGATTCTCCCGGGACTTTTGTTCTTTGCTTCTTCTCTGCCCAATCTCCCCAGTCTCCCCGTCGATATCGTGATTCTAGTTTCGATCTTGTCGCGATTCCGCTATAAACCCCACCCCCACCCCCCTCGTACCACCCGTGCTATCGTGCTATCCTATCGAGCCGCAGATCCGATTCTTGAACGTCGGATAAGATCGCGATTCCATACCACGTACGCCACCTTCTTGGTCCGCGAACGTCTTCTGTAGCTAACCGATCCAGAATCACGCATACTTTCCACCCCGTCTCCTTGTATACTGATAGATAGTTCACTGCCAGCCTGGAGGTGATCCCATCTCCGTCATGACCTCCAATCAAGCCGATGATGAACTGTTCACGAGGGCCATCTCCGGGTATCGCGACGCTTTTTTGGTCAGGCACTCCCACCTTCCGGAATCCGAACGCAATCGGCTCTGGAGACGACGGATCAGCGCCTTCATCGACCAGGACGGCTCCGAGAAACCCGGTAAACGCACTCGACAGGATGCTACCCCGCGGACGCTTCCTTCTGGTTCTGGTCTTCCGCAGGCGAAACGGCGAGCCACCGTACGTGTGACCTTGGTCTCTTGCTCCCGCCCTCTCTCTCTCCGTCTCGATCTCCTCGTTGACCCCCGCCAAACCCTGGATTGACATTTGGCAGACCCCGGACTTGCCGGTGAGCGTCGAGCTCCGGCGCGCCCTCTCCCAGTCCTCGCCGGAGATGCCCCGACAGGGTGCATCCACTGGAGGGACCTACCGACACACGACCATGGTCCGTTCCCAAAGCCAGCAGATCCCGGTCTCTCACTGTCATCCGCCGGCTGGGATAGCCACGGGCCAGCGACCATCTTTCGGACGGACTCGGACTCCCCAGGCGCTTGACCATGTCGACGAATACTCGCCTTCCGAATATGCGAAACACCTGGAGGAACCCGACACGCAACACTATTCTTCGGCACTAACGATGGGGCTTGCGATACATGGATCGTCTGGACCGACCCCCCTGCAACATCTTGGACAGCCGTCTCCTCCGCTGACCGACGCTTCACCGGCTGAAGCGGTGGAGATGACCCGCAGCGCAACGGCCGACACCATCATCGACGGCTTCGACACCTTTCAGTTCGAGTCCAATGGACGTGCGGATCTGGATCCCCATTTCTCCATCCCCCCAGAGTGGGTGCCCACATCCACCACTGGTATTTCGTATCATGAACCCTTCTCCGCTGCCATGTACCCTGACCTAGATACCTCTTCCTTCCCCTTCTACCCTGCATCATTTTCCACCTCTGCACCGCCAACCACGTCCATCCGGCGGTCGATGCCGTCTGGTCCCCCCATGCTGACGTCGGTGGACATGAAGCCGTCACCGTCCAACGAAAGCAACGATTCCATCGATGTGGGACCATCTCGCGCGGTTCGGCGTGCTCAAGAGCAGATCGCTCAGGCAGCCCGACCCATCGCACCGAAGCAGGAGTCACAGGAGAGCATCATCCTGAAGAGCGATTCATCCAATCCACTCAGGATGGTCCGTATCTCATCTGCAGACGGCACGACGAAGGAGGTGGCGGCAATCCCCAAAGCCTCGATTCAACGACCACCACGACCCAAGACCTACTGCCACCTCTGCAACGACCAACCCGAGGGCTTCCACGGTGAACACGAGCTGCGACGACACATCGACCGAGTGCACGCAACGGTGCGCAAAGTATGGATGTGCGTGGACATCTCACCGGACAAGACGTTCCTAGCAAATTGCAAAGCCTGCCGCAACGGCAAGAAGTACGGAGCCAACTACAACGCGGCGGCGCATCTGCGACGCACCCATTTCAACCCGTGCCAGCGAGGGCGAGGCGGGCGCGGCAAAGACAGCGAGAAACGCGGCGGCAAGGGCGGAGGCAACCACCCGCCGATGGAAGTGCTGAAGCACTGGATGATGGAGACGCACGAGATAGCGGACGAGAACGCGGTGAGCAGCGTCAGTCCGGCGACACCGGGTGAGAGCCAGGCGAAAAGAGTAGCCGTGTCGGGCGACAGCAAAGGCCCCAAAGAAATGGGAGTGGAATCGGCCCTGATACACGGGTTCGACCCCTTCCCCGTGGCCTCGTTTGACTTGGATGCCACGCTGGACACGCCGTACTATCTCGACGGGCAGTCGCTCCCGGAGCTGGAGTATGTCATGTGAGCGATCGTAGACTTCTTCATTTTTCCACTTCATCTCTGCACTATCATTCTTGTTGGATTCTTTCTCATATATTTTTATTATTATTATCTCAATGGGTCGGGGCTGGATCACTGTATCATTGGGCGGGCTTGTGTTTATATGCCGGGTTGCATACTGACAGAGACGAGAAGCGCTAATCACGAATCTAACGGAATTGAGACGTCACGTACCTGTACCATGGCAATACGTAAATACCGCGGCACACAGGCAGCAACGATACGGGCGGTGAAGGCCGAGTTGCTGCCCGACGAGTGGAAGACCCTTTGGCTCGTGTGGAGCGTGGGTGATCCGTCCAATCTGCTCGAATCCCGTGGGGGTCATCGTGAATGCAAATGTGGCTGACTGCGTCGGTGGTGTGGCTGGTGTACGATACGCTCGGATTACAGCGAAAAGCCCGGGGAGCTGAAGAATCAAGACAGCCCGTTAGTGTCAGAGCGGTGATAATGGTCAAATCGGCAAGCCTGTACTCCATGGTGGAGCGGTGGAACAATACTGGAACGTACAAGATCGAACTTCTCAGCCCTGCAACGCCAAGCTGGTACCTCCAGGTGCTCAACAAAGTTCGGACCTTCGGTAAACCTTGACTCCTCTTTTTCTCTTCTCCTCTCTTCCTCCACCAACTTCCGGCTTCCTTCCTCCGCTCGCTTTGTTTCCCGTCCCTTGTCGCAAGCCGATCTCCTGCCGACCGTCCAAGGTATGTGGCTTGCACCCCCCTTATTCACATCACGGCCTGACCGCCCCGTCGGCGTCCGAGTGCTAGCCGCTCTTCTGCTTGTGATCCCGGCACTGATTCGCTTTCTTTCTCCAGGTTTTAAGTAACAACATGTCCAACCAAGGATACTACCACGGCGGCCCTCCCCCTCCCCCTCAAGCGTAAGTCTGCTCGACTCTCGGTTTCGGTTTCGGTTTCGGTTTCGCACGTCATCGCCAGGAAACTCTCCACTCTTTTATCGATCGCAAATCTTGGATGACGTTGAGAAGATGGAGGTTTTCTTTGCCTTGGTCGACTGTATACCGTGATTTGCCATGCAGTTCGTTCTGACTTGTGATTCGAATATAGCTACGGCGGCTACCCTCCCCAGCAGGGCGGTTACGAGGGCTATCCTCCCGCTCAGCAGGGCTACTACCCTCAGCAGCCGGGCTACGGTCCCCCCCCTCCCCAGCAGCCTCCTGTACGTTAAGGACTTGTGGGCGCATACCTTGAAGTACTGTTTACTGATCGTGTCTCCCAGATGAGTTACCAGGAGCAGCGGGTAGATCAGCGGCCGAACAAGAGCGGTGGCCAGGGCTGCCTCGGCGCTTGGTAAGTTTGAATCCCGTTATTCAAGTTGAAATCCCTGCTAACGCAGAAACCACAATCTAGCCTGGCCACGCTGTGCTGTTGCTTTGTCTGCGAGGAGGGTTGCGAGTGCTGCGCCGACTGCGTCGAGTGCTGCGAGATGTGCTAAACTCCCCAAACAACGACCTCGATGATACCTTCTTTTCTTCATGGCGTTCAGTTTTTCTAGATCCGCCCGCGCAGGGTTCGGGGCAGATGCTACTGCACTCCTTGGGTTGCAATTTTCTCCTTGTGTCGAGCCTCTTTCATCTCCAGATACGTTCTTAAGAGCTGAATTAAATTTAGCTGATGTTAGTTTTCTTCGTTCTTCGCTAATATGATTGCTTGTCATCGGATGGGAATTTTGGTCTTTGAGCCGTCTGGGAGTACCAAGGTCCATGGAAGAGCACAGCCACGCCCATTCCAATGGTCCAGCCAGGATATTGGCCGATACAAGCATAGTTCCCCTTGTAAGCGAGAAGCAGTATGCAGGAATTGACTCTGAGTCGCGATTAAATTACCTTTGCAGCGGAGGATCGTATTTCCTGTCCAGCAGATGGTCTTGACGTTCTCTCAAGCCAAGTAATCACTTCAGAAACTCGGCCATCCTGATTCCCCCGGGGTTTCAAAGACCGAATGGAATTCAAATGGCGATCAGCCTTCTAACCGGTGATGAAGGCGGGAAAAGAAGTGTGGTTTCAACGTTTTGGAAACTCCGATCCCACACAGCATTCCACGTGGGTTGTAACTGTTGTAACTCCTTAAAAGGTCCATATCCGTGACTGTTGGCGAACTATTGCCGGTCTCTCGGTTTCGGCGTTTCCAACGTTACTTTGTCTTCATCGCATGGGCCTGCCTTAAGTACTCAAGCCTGCGTTCTTCAAAAGGTTTGGTTCTATCGGCAAAAGAATCCTTGCTATTACTACTGTCGCGAGTTTTGCTCATCACTACCATGAGGAGTTATCGAAAGTCGCGAAGAGGGTCTTTGGGAGTCCTATCCTGGTCGCTGTTTTCATCTTCTTCCCATCTCGATATTTCAATTTTGCCTTTTTAGCCCCTTGAAACGTCTATTTTGCAACATGACGGCGTATCGCCCTAATTTAGTATTGCCAGCCTCGCGATAAGATTGGCGGGTAGATGGGTATTGTCTGCACGTAAGCGCCGTGGTCCGATGCATTGCCACGTTGGCGCCGCAAATTCAGCTCTCAGTCTATTGACTTAAGAATGTCTTTGTGCCTGGAACCCTTGTACAGAATCGCCTCTCTAACATGACGCGATCCAGTCTGATGATGAACAACGACTCAAGCGGGCCAAGCCCCCTCGATGCGAATGGACTTTGTTTATTGTCGCTAGATGGCGGCGGTGTCCGAGGATTGTCAACCTTATACATTCTCCGGGACATCATGGCACAGCTCAGTCATGAACGTGATGACGGCAAACCTCTTAAGCCATGCGATGTCTTCGACCTGATTGGAGGTACTAGCACAGGCGGGTAAGTGCAAGTGTACCGGGAGCAACTTCTCAACGCTGACCCTGTTCTTTTGATTTTTTTTCTTAGACTCATCGCAATCATGCTAGGACGACTGGAAATGGGAATCGATGAATGCATCTCGGCATATAGCGAACTGATGCATTCCATCTTCGGCGAGAAAACCAATAATCTCCCAATTGACTGGGCCGGAAATATCCGAGCGCAATATGACAGTAAAAAGCTCAAATCTGCAATTGAGCACGTTATTGAGCGTGCTGGTGTAGCACCAGATGAGCTCATGAACAACGGGCAGGCTCGTCGCTGCAGAGCATTTGTTTGTGCCACATCCAAGGACACATTGCAGATTGCACGACTGCGAAGTTATAATGTGTCAAATGAGGACGCCATTCCCGCGACGATCTGTGAAGCAGCTCTCGCAACATCTGCCGCTACCGGATTTTTTGATGTTGTATCCATTGGCGATTATCAATTTGTTGATGGTGCCTTTGGCGCCAATAACCCTGTTGAAGAGTTGGAAGAGGAGGCATCCGACATTTGGTGTACCGTGAGCCGTGAACTGAAGCCACTGGTTAAATGCTTCTTGTCGATTGGCACAGGCAGCCCTGAGAAGGTACCCATTGACGATAAAATTTTCAATTTTCTTTCCAAGACACTCGTCAGGATGGCCACGAGGCCAGAGAGTACGGAGCGACGCTTCATGGCGAGGTGGACCAATGAGTTAAGAGAGAAACGTATTTTCCGATTCAATGTTGAGCAAGGGCTGCACAATGTGCGAATGACCGATTACCAAAAGCGAAGTCTGATTGAATCTGCGACCCATGATTATCTACACCATTCAACCCAGAAAAATCGTGTACGGGATTGTGTCATGAATCTGATGAGCAAAGAGGGTATGCATACGCCACACTTCGATCATTCTTCTTGCTGACTAGTTGTTGCCCATTTGCAGAGAAGACAGATCTCAATTTTGACATCGTTATGCGTGTAAGTATGAAGCACTGCATTGGACCTATTAGAAAGTCTTAAGTTAATCCGAAGGTGATTTATGAAGGAGCACGAGGATCAAGTACGGCGAAACCGAGTCATCAACAATATGCATTCTTCCGAGACTCCATTTAGCCGCAGCAAAGAACCATGTTGGATTGTTCCATTTGAGCGAAACCCCCACTTCGTGGATCGAGAGCTTCTCGGCAAGATAAAGAGAAAGTTGTTCGCCAGTCGACGAATGGAAAGAATTGCCATTTTCGGTCTTGGAGGGGTGGGCAAGACTCAAATCTCTCTGGAATTGGTTTTCCAAGCAAAGGAAATGTACCCAGATTGTGCTATATTTTGGGTTCCTGTTGTTGATATGGAAAGTGTGCAACAGTCGTATCAACAGATTGCATCCCAGCTGGGGATTGCAAATCCCGATCCTGCTGGAGAAGATGTCAAGAGAGCTGTACAGAAGCATCTCAGCCGACCACAGAGCGGGCGGTGGCTTTTGATCTTCGACAATGCGGATGATATCAGTATGTGGACGGAGGCATTACCGGATTCAAAAAGCGGAGGGCTTAGGGACTTCCTTCCCCAGAGTGAGCAAGGTGTTGTCATATTCACCACACGCAACAATAAGGTCGCTCAATATCTGAGATCTACCGAAATCATCGAGATACCTGAGATGGATGAACACAAAGCTACCAAGGTTTTGAAAAACCTGCTGGTCAACAAAAGCCTTTTGAATGACCAAGAAAGCACCAGAAAGCTTTTGGAGCGACTGACATTTCTCCCACTAGCCATTGTACAGGCTGTCTCATTCATCAATGAAAATATGATGAGCATTTCAAGCTACGTCCAACTCCTTGATGGACAAGCACAAGACATGATTGATCTTCTCAGTCAAGAGTTTGAGGACGAAGGAAGATATAAAAGCATACGGAACCCGGTTGCCGCAACGTGGCTTACATCTTTTGACCAGATTCGGCGTCTGAATACATTGGCGTTCGATTATCTAGCCTTCATGGCTTGTGTCAACCCAAAGGACATACCCATATCGCTTCTTCCTATTGCCGCTCCTGTCGAACGGGAAAAGGCAATTGGTCTGCTGATTTCGTATTCATTTGTTCGCTCACACCACGCCGGCTCTCGTCTTGACATGCACCGTCTCGTCCAACTTGCAACCGCAAATTGGCTGAAGTCAGTGAACTCTCTTGAATCATGGCATTTATATGCACTGGGCCATGCAAGCAGGCATTATCCGCAATGGGATGCCACGCGGCGGAGTGAGTGGCGTGCAGCATTACCTCATGCTCTCCAAGTTCTTCGCCTTACATCAAACTCGGCCACCCCAGAGAGAGCCCTGTTACTATCTACGGTCGGTTTTTGTAAATCCGTTGATGGAAGACACAAGGAAGCACTGGAAGTTCTCCTTCCGGCTCGGGAAATTTGGGATACCATGTTTGGTCGTGACGACCCGCGGTCCATCAAGACCCTTGCACTTCTTGGATTTGCCTATCGCGGCTTGGGGGATTTTGACAAGGCAGTGGAACTTTTGGAAGAGGTCTTGGAGCGGCATATGTGCCAATTTGGTCTGGACTCCGATGAGACAAATGGAACAATGTCAGCATTGGCTTCGATGTATCGAATCAGAGGGGACGGCCCTAAAAGTTTGGAATTGACCATTCAGAGTTCGATACAGGATCTTCAAAAAGCCGAGCATCTCGAGATTCAGGCGTTTAGGTATTATTTGAGGACTATGGGCCCAGAGAGCCCCTACACTTTATGTGCCATTTTCGGTCTTACTCGGACATATATCGCTCAAGGACGACTCACGGACGCCGAGGAAGTAGCGCAACATTTTTTGGCTATCCAGACGAGAGTGCTCGGGCCAGATGATATTTGTACAACTTCTTCAATGACTGCGTTGGCTGATATATACATGCAAAGGTGGCGGCTTAAAGATGCCGAGATTCTGTACGGGGCATCGATAGAGAGAGCGAAAAAGTCCCTTGGTCCTGAGCACCCAATCATTCTTCGAGATATGAAAGAAATGGCACGGGCATTGAAGTTGCAAAAGCGACACTCCGAAGCTCTCTTCTTGATAACCGAATGCGTGCGCTTGCAGGAGACATTGCACGGTGCAAGTCATTACACCACTATCGCGAGCCTCGATTGTATCAAAGACTGGACAAACCACAAGTAAGCCATACCTCCTCCGGCCTTATTCTTGTAACGCTATCTGCCATTACTATTCTCACAGCTTACTATGGAGCTCTAAACTAACGTTTGCTCTTGATAGAAATGCCGCTACACGCTTCAGAAATTATTTTACCGCGGTGGAACGGTCCCGTATGATGCTGGAACGTCGGAGGAAGTATCCTCGTGTCAAGATTCTCGGTGGCCTTTATAGTGTCCGGAGGGAGCCCAAGGATCGTACAATAATTCGCGAGATCAAAGATGCTGTGGATGCTATGCCCATTCAAGGACACGGCCTTAGTGATGAGGTTACACTTGTCGAAAGCTCTGATGTCAAAAAGTCTTCAAATATTGGCTAGCACGAGGCGATCAAACCACAAAACTCAGGTTATAATGTGAACCGGAATTTGCAATCTGAACTACTCTGTGCGGTCACAAATTTGCCCTGCGCCCAAACGTGAGTCTCGCGGTGTCGCCGAGCAGCGATGCGACATTCGGTCAAAATCCTTTGCATTTATTGAATACTGTTATGGTGCTCCTCTTCTGTTTCTATCTGACAATCCTGCAATATCCATGTCTGAGAGAGTTCGCTCTGCTGATGTCCCATACTAGATGTGCATGCCCCGAAGTAGGAATCCTTGTGTAGTATACCGCGCAATAGAGCGGCTAAACTAATCTAAGATCATTAAATCCAATGTCAGTTCCTTCTCCATGTCTGGCTCCTTGTCCGATGATTGGAATCATTAGACTTCAACCGGGTGGCTAGCGTGGGCGGAGTTGAATTGCTCATCGCAGCAGGTGGAGGCTGCCAAGTCGTGGAGCGGGCGGTCTTCGTGGGGGCCAACTCGTCTCCTTTCCACCATTCTCGTCATCATTGCTACGGTACACATAGTCCATGGCATAGTAATTACTATACTGACTACATCTAGTGACTGTGAATTCCAATTATGGAGGACGATCACGGGGGCAAACGGGTGCCAGAAAAGGGGGACAGGGGCTTCGCATCACACCTCTCCGCGGCCATCGTTGGTCTGTGGAGCCCAAGTGTCTGGCGCCATCCGGTCAGCGATCTTCGGAGACCAGAACCATCAGACCCGTTGATCAGAACCGGGTAACAGGGACAACGGGGGCCACAGGACGCTCGCATCTTCTACTCCATCGGGGTACGCGCGAATGCTGGTCTGCGCTGCGAGAGGCTAAACTGGCTTGGGCAGGTCTCTTAGGTCCTTCTTGGGTCGACTAGGATTGAGTTGGGGGCCAAGGGTCGCGACCAAGGACGATGCGAGGAAAAACGGGGCTTGTTTGGGGTCCAAATCACCCCAAATGGTTAGAACCGCGATCTCCCGCTCGGGCAACTCATTGCCCTATGCTGATCTTTTCAGCCCCTTCACAGCCGCTTCGCTATGATGGTACGATTGTCTCCTAATTCCCAGGTGCATAGTAGGGCTATTTTCTCTTCACGGGCCTATTGCTCCCCTCGTCGACCCTCGGGCTCTTGAGGCTTGTTGAGGCTCATTTCGGCCCCACAGATCAACCTGTTTTTAGTTCTTGTGTTAAAAGTATTTAATGCGTGAACTCGTTTATGCTTTGGCACTTGATGCAACACCAGGTCCCGTCCCTATGGTTCTCGATGGAGCTTGTCACGCCTTTTATTTATCCCCGGGGGGCCCCGTTTTAATTCTTCTTCCATCTCGATACTGCTTTCAACACTTCATTCCGTAATGGAGCCGTCTTTTACAGAGATCCCCCACATCGTGCTCATGCCGGGCGTGACTGCTCCGGCTAGTGAGGCCTACGACCCTTCTCTGCTCGCTGAGGACCCGTTCATGACCCGGGTGTCTCGATTCCAGTGTCATCCTCCCCTGGATCAATCTAAATCTCGGGAGGCCTCTCTGACCCCGCAGACATGGTGGGACGGCGATGAAGCGAACTCAACCGAGAGCTATCTGCCCGATTACAACGTCTATCCGGAGCCCTTCTCGCCCTGGAATAGTGGGATTTCTACCAACTCCGACGCTCAGAGCCCCCGCAGCAGCAACAGTGGCAGTGCTTCACGCATGAGCTGCATCGTCTCTCCTTCATTCCGGCATGAGGATGTCCCGATCACCGGGGTTGGTGAGCAGGGCGGGTACCCTGCTCCCGACAGTCTGGTTGATATCGATCGCTCAGCAATGATTCCCAAGCTTCCCATGTTCGAAGTTCAGCCAGATCACCTATCTCCTTATGAACACGACTTTGACTCCCGGGGCAGCAGCCAGTCAGACCGCAACATGACTTCCGAACAACCATGGTCCTCTCCTCCCCCCGATCCCATAGCCTGCCCACAGCCTGCACGCCGGTCCAAAGCCCGACCTACCTCCACCCAAAAGATACGCAAACCCAACAAGCCACGGCCAACATCTACATCGGGCCGAAACCGCCGAAGGCGGCTTGTGACTGGTGAGAGCAACGGTGATAATGCAACGCCACGGCGGTTCGTGTGCAGCTTTGCTCCATATGGATGCGAAAGCACCTTCGTCTCGAAAAACGAGTGGAAGAGGCATGTGACCTCGCAGCATCTACAACTAGGCTTTTATCGCTGCGACGTGGGCAAGTGCAACATACGCACACACCAGGGCAGCCCCAGCCGTTGCCTGACACCCTCTCCATCCCCAAAATCCACCAGTTCAAATCCGGTCCCGGGCCAACCCAACGACTTCAACCGCAAAGACCTATTCACTCAACACCAACGCCGCATGCATGCCCCCTGGCTTCAATCGGGCCGGCGGCGAACACCAACAGACACCGAACACGCCGCCTTCGAAGACAGCTTAGGACAAGTGCGCCAACGCAGCTGGCACAGTCTGCGCCACCCACCACAACAAAGCCACTGCGGCTTCTGTCGCGAACTATTCACCGGCGAAGGAAGTTGGGATGCGCGGATGGAGCATGTCGGGCGACACTTCGAGCGGGAGGACCGAGCGAATCTGGGCGAGGAGTTGGAAGACCTATCATTGCGTGACTGGGGACTCCGTGAGGGGGTTTTGACACTTGCAGATGGCAAATATCTGCTGGCTTCATTGGCAAGGGTTGAGCTCTGAAATAGAATTGGAACGACTTACCAGACATGTCATGTTATGCTTTTGGGTTTCAGGGCTTTCTTGTACGGCGTTGGAGACTTGCATTCGAGCGATGGGCTCGCTCATAATCACATGAATTGATGTATGGGCCGTTATGAGCATGAGAAGGCTGGTTCTATCAACCTGCATTTAGCAATTGATGACTTCAAGACTTGCTTTTTTAGGATCTTTCAAGGTGTAGGGTGAAGTCATCCCATCCGCATGGAAACCATGGAGGGGGCCTTCAAACGCCCGAGATCCATCCCCAGGTCAATTTGCTCCTCAGGTGTTATCCGTTATGATCATCGTAGCCCTATTTAAATCAAAGGCCGTTCGTTTGATTTCTTTTCTTTGGTCTTTTACATCGCCCAATGGTCTACTATTGAAGCTACGTGGGTGTACGAGTTTGGGGATATATATTGCAGCGGTGGCCCACCAACTTTGAGTACCTTCATTCATGAGAATATTGCTCAAAATTAGACAAATTACTCCGGAATCAGAAACAAAGCGAAGAAGCAAAATGAACACGTCGATTCATCATGATCAAGTGGGTTGTCGAACTGCAAAGGACATCAACAAGCTACCCACTGCGCTAACCCGGAAGGAGCAGGCCGACTTCGAACATTTCCCCGCGACTTCGACTTCGACTTCGATCTCCAGCGAGAAGTCGACCCCTGTGTATCAATTGCCCGCCTTTCGTCGCCGCGAATATTCTTTCCTGTCTAGGCATGCTGCATACTCTGTAGCGCCTCCACTCTCTCTATCGGCCACGCTGTCTCGACCCCAGACACCCCCGACTCCGTCGCCATGTGCGTCCATCTGGCAATGAATGCCCAAATGCGCGACTGACCTTCTGCCTTCTTAGGGCCGTATTCTCCCTCATCATCATCAACAAGGCTGGCGGCCTGATTTACCAGCGCGAGTTCCAGGCCGGCCTGCGCAAGCTCTCGACCAACGACTACCTCGTCCTCGCCGGTACTTTTCACGGGTAACTTCGCACGCAACCCCTGCATCTGTGTCTCAATCACTAATACTGCTGATCGTGCAGTGTCCACGCCATCACCCGTTCCATCACGCCCAAACTTCCCCTCGCTCCGACTACGAACTCCCCCGCCGCCGCCTCTCCGGGCAGCAACACGCCTGTTGCATCGGGCTACAGCTACCCCATCCCCGGTGCCTCGGTATCAGGTCTGGAATATCTCGAAACGGACAAGTTTCGATTGACGTGCTTCCAGACATTGACCGGTACCAAGTTCCTGCTCTTCACAGACCCAATGACCGGCAACGTGGACACCATCATCAACAAGATCTACGAGCTGTATGCAGACTACGTGATGAAGAATCCCTTCTACCAACTGGAGATGCCGGTGCGGTGTGAAGCATTCGACCGGCATCTGGGAGCGTGGCTGAGAGGGAGAACATAATCCCTGGAACGGGACTGGGATCATGACCTTACGAACTACTGTAGACATTTTGTTTCTTCACTTTACTTGGGATCGGGGCCAAACCACGCTCCGAACTGTGCATAATACCAATAGCATCAATATTTCAGCATTTCCCCCGCACCCAGTAGACCGTTCCTACAGGAGGCTCTCGAGTACTGTATACAGGAACATAAAAATCCAAAAGTAAACGCCGGTTATGCATCACGGATCATTTCAACGGGGAATCGAATCTACGCGGTATCCATCTTGTCGTCGTCCTTCTTATCTTGACTGCTCGACTCGCCCTGGCCCTCTTCGGGGATATTGCCCAGCTCCGTTTTGCCATCCTGGGCCTCCTGGTCACGTTTCTCCTTCTCCTGTCGGTTCTTCTCTTCTTCCAGGGATAACCGCAAGGCAAAGGCCAGCTCGGGGTCGTTCTCGGCAGCCTCCTCGAAGTTGAATTCACCCGCATCGCCACCATCACCGCCTCCTGAGGCAGCGGCACCAGCCCCCTCACCGGCGAGAATCGGGGTCTGCTGCAGCTCCTCACTGAGCAGATGGGGTCCCGGAGGGATGATAGCCAAGTAGGAGCTGTCGCCGCTCGTCACATTATCCACGAAGGCTTCCAACTTCTTGGTCTGGTCGGACTCGAGATCTCCGAATGCCACCACGTCGATGGAGACGTTGTTCTTCTTCATCTTCTTGGCCAGCTTGACCAAAGTCTTCTCATCTTCTTCAATCGGGGAGCAGGAGAACACGATGATTCGTTGCCGCTGGGATTTCTCGGAACGGTGCTTGAGCGCCAACTAGATCGTTTATTGTCAGCACGACCATCTCGCTACGGCTCAGAAAAGATCACTTACACCGGCAACCTGGATACTCGAGCTCAGGTGGGAGGTACCGTGGATTTTCGTACGATGCAGACCAGCGAGGATGCTGCCGAAATCCGAGGTAAAGGTTGAAAGCACTTCCGGGCCCTTGCCCCCCATGCTCATCAGGCCGACAGCGGACTGTGGGTGTACGCGCATCTTGACACTGTGGATGATGCTAACTGCATCAATTTGAGCTTGCCACCGGGTTGATCTGCGAGGATTAGACGATGCGAAGACGGCAAAGAGGGTGAAGAGACAAGCAACTCACGTGTAGTCTCCATTGCGACTGCTTTCGCTGTTGTCGACACTGAACGAGGAAATTAGCGACGCTGCGAGCTCGGGAAGGAAACAATGACGAACATGATCATCGTAGCTTCGAGAGACATGATGGCGGTTGTGTGAGGGAAGCAAAGGAGGAGATGTTAAGGTAGAGTCGAGGTGCAGGGACGGCGGTGATGACGATGAGGTGAAGCTCGGGATTCTGCCACTGCCCTCCGCCCGCCGCCGTTGTTTGTTGTGGCCTCGCGCCTCCGCCTCTTCTTGTTCTTAGATCACTCGATTACTCCGTCATTTCCCCCAATTCTCCACCTTCAAAATGGCTACTTTGAAACGCAAGTCTCCTGAGTTTGCTGATGCGCCCGATGTCACCCCTACCGGCCCGCCGATCAAGCGTATGCGTCTGACCCAGACTCAGAAGCAAGCATTGATCGACAACCTCCAGCTTGAAAGTGAGTGAAACCTGGGATTGTAATAGGCACAACAGTGCTGACAAGCCGGCAGTCACTGAAAGAGCTCGCAAGCTTCGCTCGCAGTATGCTTTGCAGGCAAGTGACCTCCGATCACGCATTGAACGACGCGTCAACCGTATCCCCATGTCTCTACGCAAGGCCACTATGGGCGAGCTCCTCGAAAAGTACTCGAAACCCGCAACCACATCACCCATGCGGAAGGCTTCACCTGCTAAGGCGTTCAGAGCGCCACCCAGCATTTCCATCGACCAGGCCCTTGCACGCGATGGTCGATCTCGACGCACAAGGCAAGACAACTCACATTGACAAGCTGGGTTCTTACTAACAAGTTCACAGCCATGATGACCACTACTCTGACAAAGAAAATGCGCCGGCAACGGGTGAACCCGAGGGCTTGAAGAACCCCAAGCGGCGCGGCAAAGCCCCGGCGGCTGGCGGTGCCTCGCGCGTCGCATCTCAAGAAGTGCGAGCAAACGACAACCGCATTCTGTCCCCCAAGTCTCTGAACTCGCGAACTTACCCACAATCTCCCTTCCGTGCTTCTCCCGAAAAGGGTCAGCCGTCATACTTGTCACGCCCTACCTCTCCACTGAAGCCCTCGAGTCCCTTGCGCGCAGCCGGCGGAAGTTCCCGCCCACGCGGCGCCACCACCTCCACGGCCAGGGACAACTATCCATCCTCTCAAGTCAAGAAGACGTCTGCACGCGCTGCGACTGGCCCCCGGGCTGTCAAGTCTCCTCTTCCACGTCCTGCCACTCGACAGGGATACGAGCGCAAGAACAGCATGTCATCAACCGCTTCCTCGGGAACCACCGTTCAGAAACCTACTCGTACTGGCACAAACGCGAGGAAAGCAACGACGGGAACTGCTTCCTCCACGGCCAAGAAGACTGCCGCTGCCCGGCCGCAGGCTGCCTCTATGGCTGTCAAGAAGACCGCCGCCGCAGCTACTGTGCGCAAGACCACCGCACCCGCATCCACGACAGAGGCCACGACCCGCACGAGAGCTCTGCGGAAGCGAGTGTAGAGTTCTCCATCGATTGAATTGCCGCATACCAGTTCGGTGTTATACCGGGGGTGTTTTGTTTGAGCGTGAATCTCGGGAGTATTGCCACCATGGACATGAAAATTGAGTCCGGGCATTTTGTATTGTTTTGGGCTGGGATCATACAGTAATATTCGAAATCACATTTACCTAATTCTCTTTCATATTCCAGGCGTTCCGCCGAAACCCACCATTCAGATTAGGATATGATCTAGGACACGCATCGGGGCGGGTTTTATTCCTTTTTTTTGGTGAAATGCTCGTCTGTGAATAATGATAATCTCGCTACTGGTGTTTTCCATGTCTGCCCTTCCGCCGCAGGGCTAAGCCTTTCCTGTTTCAATAGTCAATTCAGACAAACACCCACCCTATTGTCTCATTTCGACCTCTCCATTCTCGGGACTAGCTCTTCGGACCTCTCCCAAGTGCATCCAAAGCAGGTAGGTTCATATTGATTCAGTCTAAGATGCAGACCTAGTAATCTGCAGAATCTTGGATACAATTCGGTAGCTAGTCACACATTACAGGAGCTCGAGTAAGAAAAATGATAATGTATATCTCTAATCCACGGCGGAAGAGGCAGGTAGGCCGAATAAAAGAATTTAAAGAGGTCAGCGCAGTAAAGTAAAAGCTACATTGGGACTCAGCCAGGTATCATTGCAATCATGCTGGTTGACGAGCAACAATTGAAAAGAAAAAGATCCGTGGCCCTATAGCGCAATGCCATCGGCCTAAAGAAGGTAAAAAGAACAAAGAAGCAGTAAACAAAGAGGACCAAGGTAAAACCCGGAGCCTGGTCCAAGCAAAAAAGAAAAGGAACTTCACAAGCTCGATGGGGGAATGGGAGCAGTCCATTGAAATGGAATATGGGTATGACTGATCCGCAGAATCAGATGCAAAGATAAGAGAGAAAAAACACACAAAACGAGGCCCCATTAGAGAGACGGACAACCAACAGCAATCAACCACAGGACCAACCAGCTCGCCGATCACTTTTCAGAAGTTTAATGTAGGAGAGCATCGGAAGAAGAGAACTCCGTTAACCAAGCCTGTCAGTCAAGATGAAAGAGAAGAAAGGGAAGAAAGAACGCTAAAGACAAGCCCCCATAGAAAGGAAAAAAAAAATACACCATGGGCAAAAATGTGGCGCCAAGTCAGTTGATGCAAATCAAGGTTCATCGAGGAATGGTGTATCCGTATTGTAACTGTGCATGAAGGAAAACAAGAAAACCGGAGTCTACCCAGTAACGGCACCTGGACTTGGACGAGGTCGGTATGGAAGGTTCTGCCCTTGGCTATCGGTCGCATTTTGTTGACTGCTACCGTTGCTGGCACTGCGTTCACGACGATAGGCCGGTTGCGGCGCCCCATAGTCGCTGGTGGAGTGAGAGTGGCCACTGGGTCCGGCAACATGACGCACTGAGCTTTGCATTTGCCAGGCCGCGTCCTGGGAAGGGTCGGTTTCGATACGTGCGGAGGTTGGCGTGTTTTGGTTATTGCGGTTGGAGGGGGTGATGGTGAATGTCTCGCCGCCGTTCTCAGGTCTGAAGCTTCCCCGAGCAATATCTCCGTACCGCTTCAAGATTTCCTTTGTCGTCACTTCGCTGTTTTCCTTGAAGAGAGTGGGATCGCTGAGGACAGATTGCAAATCCTCCGGGATCTAAGACAGAGAAAATTAGCTTGAACACTTGGTGGGTAGAAGAGACCGTCAACTCACCTCGCACATAGTGTCGTTATACGTTATGAGCGCATTGACCGCCTCAATGGCCATAAAGCTTTCGTCCACCGTACTGTTTTTGGTGTTGGGATACAAAATGTTAGGTGTCATGACAGTCGCGAGGTTGTGGATATCCATCTTGCTTCCAGACTCCTCATCCACGTGGGAGAAAGATGAAGTCCAGTTGAGGAATGTGAAGAGAACCTCCATCGTATCACGATGGGCCTTTGGGAGAAGACAGCAGGTCAAATGAAGCACACGTTTTTGCTTCTCGGGGTCGGATAGCTTTTGCGCCGCAACAAAGAGGCGGTGCAGTTTGAAGGTCATGAGCGGGTCGGGCATTTCACGAAGGAACTTCTTCAAAAGTGCTGCGATCTGTACAGGGCCCTCCTTAGTCATGTCCACTTGGTCATATTTGGTGTCAATCAGTTCCGAGATATCCTTGAGTCGTCGAATGTTACCGTTCTTTCGGAAGACACCCTCCACGGACATGTCCATTTGGCGCATGGCAGAGACAGCGTCATCCACAAGGGCGGGAATGCGCAAAGCTCCAGGACCAACGCCATGGCTAGACTCGGTACCTTCTTTCTCAACCAAGTAATCAAGAGAAACACCAAAGACTCCCTTCTTCTTGCCAGTCTTTTTGTTTTCCTTAAAGGCACGACCGAAGATGTTCCAGATGGTCGGCTTGCGAGACTCAATGAGCGAGAGCAGCTCTTCCATGTTGAATTGGCCTTCCAACAATGGCTCCATGCACAGGACGGCGACGTGGCGAACAATGAAGTACTCCAACGCGGTAAGCTCAGAGAAGTATCGCTTGGTGCGAGACGTGGGCTCCACAATCATGTCCAGTCCTGCTCCGGATAGACCACGTTGATGTCCGGTTCTGTACCTGGGCATTGGTTCACGGGCATCCACGAGCTTGGTGCCCGCATGTCGATAGGCATTCGGTCGCTGCTCCTTGGCCTGTTCGGCTGCGACAATTCGAGGGATGTCATCCAGAGTTAGAGCATCCTGTGCACCGAATGTCAAGTCTTTAACCATTTCGCCATTGGCATCTTTCTCCTCAACAATCTGGAAGCCCGGACCACGAGGGCCGCTACCATCATTTCCAGACGAACCAGGTCGAGTCGCACTTCGACCCTCGGGGCCGTCGATGATTCGAGATGCGCGTGCTCTCTTATACGTCGTGGATAAAGTTCGCTCATTGCGGATCGAACGCAGACGCCGCATCTCCCCAACGGTCTGTTCGAGGGATGACTCTTGGATACTGTCTCGATTGCCGCCGCTATAAGATTGAGAGCGAGTGTTAGACCGTCGGAATTCACCGGGCTGAACCCGGAAGCTCTCCTTGTTATCGTAATCTTTGAGATTAGGATCATCTACAAATGAAGTCAGTGATACCGCGAGTGAGGCTGAATGCAAAGAAGAACAAACCCGAAGTGTGTGGAAGAGTTCCCCCAGCACGAAGAACGGCCAGAAGTCGGGCGAGGGCGACTCTCAGAAGGAAGACAAATTGCTGCAACTTTGAAACTTCAATGAAGCCACCCTGAACACTCGAGTCCAGGTTTTGTTGGTGGGCACATGCCGTGCAGTATGTGCGCTTCTCATCTGCGCACCACAAGGCGTCGGCCAGGTTAGCGGTCAAATCCTTGTCACAGGAGGAACATGACAGATGAGGCGGCTTAAGATGCCATCGGTTCTCTCCAAATAGGACACATTCGTCGTCGATAGGCTGTTTGCAGGAAATGCAACAATCTGAGAATTGATCGGCTAGACCCTCAACTCCAGCCGTCAGATCAACCGGTTCGTTTTCATCCTCGGGCGGAGCAAGCCCTTCGGTCTCTGATAAGTGTGTCAAGAAATCATGTAAGCCATCAGGCGCCGACTTCTCGCGTTCGAGTTTGAGAGCACCCTGGAGGCCGATACGAATAAGAAGCTTGAGATAATGAGCAAGACCGGTAACCAGGGAAAGTAGCTCTTGAGTGACACCAAGCTTCCGAACTCCGGTCTCTTGGGTCTTGGACAACAACGCAAAGAATGCAACAATCTTCTTGCAAAGAAGTTTAGCCTCGCGGCCGTAGGATAATTCTAAAATAACAAGTCAGATATGCTCCAAACTCAAGGACTTCTGGTTGAACTCACCCTTGACGCCCTGCGTTTTAATGAATACAGCCAATTGGTCGACTGCAGAGAAAAGAACTTCAACATGGGCAATGAACCTCTTGGCTACGAGGACACCGTCAATATAAGCCCCGTTGCTCACATGGAGGAGCATGTCGGAGATGCATGCCGCCGAGGATTCTTCAAAGGTGGAGAGAGTGCTCCAAATGTTGTAGACCTTCTCCTCCATCGTATCTTCCTCCTGGCGGATATGCTCACGCTCTTCAGGGGTCGCGTCGAGATCTACTGGTGGCGGCTCCCACGTCTGACCAGTGGGGGAGAGTCGGACATTCCAGAACTTATGGATCATGTAACACTCGGGGTGCCAGTGCTGATTTTGGCCGTTGCGGAAAATCTCAACGAATTGCTTGAGAATTGCCGTATGGCAGCCATGACAACGTTGGGCGAACTGAGTTGAGTAATGGAAGTGACAATAGACTTTTCCTTCGTGCTCGTAGTATGAATCTTGTGCGCCAAATACCGTGGGGCATACAGAGCAGGTGAAATGCTCAATGTGATATTTGCGTTCCAAGGCTGTAATATACGAGCCACGGAGCGCGCCGCCACACTCATGACAAAGGAGACCCAACCGACGGAAGTAGTCCTTTTCGCAAAGAGGGAATTGACAATTGCCATCTTCGGAGTCGACGGGGAAGAACTTGGACGCGACAATTTCACCGCAATCCTACATGGACGTGTTAGAGCCGTCATCCAAAAGATGAAAAAAAAAAAAACCCAAATTTCCACCAAGCGCGAAGACACTCCACTTACGTCGCATTTGAAACATTCCAGATGAAATGTGCCACCAAGCGCTCGAACGAATTGGCCGGTCAAAGGCTCATTACACTTCTGGCAAAGCCGTGACGAGCTTGGTGATTTGTTAGGTCTACCATTGGGGCGCGATCGATCGCGAGCATTGGAACGATCACGATAGCCGGGCTGCTCTGGCTCCAAACCCCTACCTGCGCGATCATCTTGACCGAGTGGGCTGTGATTTCCTCCAGTGCGCGTGGTGGGCGAATCGAATGGGATCAAGCTGTCTTCGGGGGAGGTGGGTGTGTTTTTCTGGTAACCACTTCCGTATCCTGAGGTGTTCACCGTGGGGGTCGGCTTGCCTGCGACCAGGCTGGCCGGAAGTTCACCGGGGGGCATTTTGGTCCCCCGTCAGAAATTAGGATCGAATGGCGGGAGCGACAACGCGGCGGACGCAGCATGCAAGAATATTCCGGGGCGAGACGACGGGGCCGATTCCGATAAAAGAAGCAGATAACAGGGTGTTTTGAAAAAAGATCGAGCGCGTACTGTTCGGTTCCAGGGTAGGTCTGTTAGAATTGGTATGCGGCGGTGGTTGGCAGCTGGAAACAAAGTTCAGCTTGCACTCACCCTCACGCCATGTAGTCACAATACACGGGGATGACAGTGGTGGGCAAGGGACAACCGATGACACGCGAAAGGTCCCGAGGCCGGTGTGAGGTTCAATATCGAAAGGATTGTTGCCGAGGAGAGACGTCTAGCGCGCAGACGGGTTTCCAGAACGTGGCGGGGGGGTCGACGGAGGGTTCAGACGAGCCAAGGGGAGTGGGCGCACGCTACTGGGACAACAGCAGCAGGCAAGTTGAACGGAGAGGAGAGCTCGAGAGCAGGAAACCGACAACCAAAAAAACAGGAGACAGAAAAGGAAAAAGAGGGGGAACAGGGACAGGAGAGGAATGGAGAATGGAGAGGATGGGGCATTTGCACCCAGTTGCCCCCCTAATCGGAGTCCTGGGTCACGTGGGCTCACCGCTCAACTCGACCGATGCGTAGGGCTGTTTGTTATTGATTGGGGGTCATTCATCTAGTCTCGGGTATTCATGGACTTGCTCTACGGCAATGAGAGTAACTGACACCGACTGAGATTTGTGATTGTGTACCTGAATCCCCTTTTGTGTGGTGCCCGCCGAACCACACGGCGCCGACCATGGATCCCCGCTGCGCTTTTTATAGCACGCAGAGACTACACACATTCTCTATGTCGGACGTCTTTAAAATATGCACAGACACCGTCAGTAACACTCCTTAGAACCTCGAGGTTCCATTCTACTCGTCAATGAGCCAACTAGAACCTTCCAGTCGCCCAACCAAGGGCGCCAACAGCTCTACGCGTTTGGGGCCCGGATGTCAGTAGACGGTTGACACCAACACGACGTCAATCGTGATGGCATGATCTGGTACTTGAAACCTACCCCAGTAAACCCAAATAATTCTGGGCGTTCAAACAAAGAATCAAGAGCAAAGGTCCAGGTGGTTTGAGGGCTGAGTGCAAACCAAAGTGAAAAGCGCAGTAACAGAATCGCTGCCTTTTTCGACTTCACACCTTCACCTTCAACCCGCAGCATGCTTTCCAACTTACCTCGTGGCAGAATCTGGGTTCACTTTCACCTCTAATCGGGTCTGTCGACACTTCAACACTTCAACACTTCAACACACGACAGTAACAATTTCGCGGGGCGGGTCTGCAGCATGGCAGACCAGTGTACCCTGCGTCTGATGCGTGTCAGTATAGGCTGTCCCCGATCACCATTTTTAACTGAACCGCGACAGGAGTTGAATGCGCTCGAGAAAAGCGACCAACTGGGTAAGCGATTCCGGAAACCGACATCGCGGGACAGAGTTGGGTACGCTGCCGCTAACCTTGACAGCCATGACCGTGCACTACAAAGAAGGCAATGTACGTGAGATCAGCGCCTTGATTCTGGGCCCTCCGGGCACGCCCTATGCCCTCGGCTTCTATGAGGTAAGGTGTCCATTACCCCAAGAATTCACTGCGCGACACAGTTCATTTTAACCGTCTGACTAGTTCGCCTTCTCTGTTCCCGGGAGTAAGTGCATGGTTTTGCGATGTTGAGTGATCGCTGATGGTGATCAGACTACCCTGCAAGTGCACCCACGGTGCTTATTCGGACCACAAACCAGGGCAGGACTCGCTTTGGCCCAAATCTCTATGCCAGCGGCAAAGTCTGCCTGTAAGTCTCCCAACGGATCTGGCTACAAGACCCCATGCTAACCACCCGACTAGTTCGATTATAGGGTAGGAGATCATGAAATGTTGCGATACACACGCACGCATTCTTTCTAACCAGCTTCCACAGAACCTGGCACGGATCTCGTGGCGAAGAGTGGTCGCCTGCTCAGGGACTAGAATCGGTGCTGCTGTCGATCCAAAGCCTGCTGTCCGCCACACCTTATTTTAATGAACCGGGATATGAGAATCATAATAAGGAGAGCGATCAGGAAAACATCGAGCTTTACAATTCCAAGGTGAGCCGCCCTTGATACCGGAGCCGATGTTCAGAATATTAATGGGTGATAGATCCGGCACGAGAATCTAAGACTGGCGGTAATCAGGCCACTGGAAGAAGCTCTTGGTTTGGTACCTCCGGAAACCCGAGCCGTGAATCGGCCCAGGCCCAACCGTCCACCGGCGAACGACCTTGACGAAGGTCAGCAAGTTCACCAAGAGGAAATGTCAAAGACTGGTGCCTTTGATGATTACCGCAAGCAGCGATTCTTGTGGTACCTAGAGTTGTACAAGCAGGCGGTTCAGGAAGGCCTTCAGAAAGAAGTCTCCAGACAGGGAACCAATTTCCCATCCTTGCCCTTCGAATTCGGAAGCAATGCGATGAGGGGTGAGTGGAACTACCCCGATCTCGAACAGCGAATGAATGTGCTCGAAGCCAAGATCATGGAGGAGACTCATCAGTGGCCAATGGAAGGCATGAAACTTGCTGAAAAGGATGCTGGAATTGCCGTGAACTTGCATGGCCAGCATGAACAGACCGTGGCAGGACTCAGGCGCCGCGGCGACGCCATGATGGACCTGACCCTGGTGGACAATAACCCATTCTTGTGGAAACTCGTTTACTTCGGCCGTCCCATGACCCAGTACGATGGAGGTGTCCTCATCATCAAAATCTACATCAGTCCTCGCCATCCACTCGAGCAGCCACGAGTGTTTGTCGAAACACCTCTCTTTCACGTGCGTTTATCCACCAAGAAGGTGTTGATCTACCTCCCTGCACGAGCCGAAGAGATGAGTCGTCACGTCGAAGGCATCATCGCCTCGCTCGAAGATGAATCCCCGCCTTACAATCCGCTCATGACAGTTAACCCAGAAGCGACCAAGCTTTTCTGGGGTTCTAGGGATCAGCAGCGGCAGTACCACCGCAAGCTTCGTCGGTCGGTTGAAGAGAGCATTGAGTAAGCCAAGTGCTTTTCGCCTGTGCAAGTTCAATGACTAATGGAATCACAGATATCTGTGAATTCACCCGACTAATTTGCGATGGCATGTCAACACCCGGTTCATGCTGGGGTTGCTCGGTGCATAGTTTCTCTGCGATAGATAGAGGGATCCATACTCGGAGTCAGGAAGATAACATGCTACAGATAGCAATACTTCAAAATGAAATAGCTCGAGTCATTTTACATCATAATCACCTCCAGACAGAAGGAAGGATAGAATGTTCGAACGTGCTGACGCCATACAACGTGGCCCCACAAGTCTTATCGTCAGCTGATCTGGCCCCCCGAAGCTCCCCTTTTCACTTCAATCCCGTCCCCATCACTCTCCACTCCATTACCGACACGATGTCCGCAAAAAGGCGCACGCTAGAGCTCGGAAATGTCCTGGTGGTGGGAGGTTGCGGCTTCCTGGGGTGGCATATTGTCGATCACCTTCTGAACTTTCCCTCCGAGACCGACCCCAGCGCCGCGCTACCCAAGCCGCAGGACGATGCGCGGTTCGACTTCCCGACTCTGGGCTCCCGCTACCCGGACTACAAGGCCAAGGTGTCCGTGGTGGATCTGCGCACGTCTAACAACCGTCTACCCGGTGCGACTTACTACGATGGCGATATCACCTCCGTCGACTCCATGATGGAAGTTTTCCGCGCCGTCAAGCCTGACCTGGTCATCCATACTGCGACTCCGTCTGTCCTCGAGGGCAACAAGCCGCTACTATACAAGGTCAATGTGGAGGGAACCCGAACCCTCCTCCAGGTTGCTGGCGGTGAGCACGGTGACTGGGGTGGTAAGTGCAAGGCGTTTGTCTACACCAGCTCGAGCTCGGTCGTGCATGACACCCAGAGCGATCTGATCCATGTCGACGAGTCATGGCCCTTGATCCGTGGCAAGTTGCAACAGGAGTACTACTCCGAGACCAAGGTAGGTCTTGCCAGCCACGGCTCCCACAATCCGATCTTTTTCTTCGTTCGCTAATGCCCGCTCTCTTTCCACCAGGCCGATGCCGAAGAGATCGTCCTTAAGTACAACCGCCAGTCACCTACAAACATGGTGACTTGCGCCGTCCGCCCCGCTGGTATCCACGGCGAAAAGGACACGACCGTGACACACAAGATCCTGGAGCATGGCGCAAACGCCTCGGACACCGTGCTGAAGATGCAACTGGGCAACAACGACAACCTGTTCGACTTCACATACGTCGGCAACGTGGCGTACGCCCACATGCTAGCAGGAGCCCGGCTACTGGCTACGTACGATCGCTACGAGAGCAACCAGGGCGGGCCCCTGGACCACGAGCGCGTGGACGGCGAGGCGTTCAACATCACCAACGACTCGCCTATTTACTTCTGGGACGCCACACGGGCCATGTGGGCGCTGATCGACCGAGTCGTTGAGCCGCATGAGGTGTGGTCGCTGCCGGAGGGACTGATGTTGTCCATTGGTGGACTGGCCGAGTCCGTTATGAACCTGTTTGGCAAAACTCCCCGCCTGACGCGCCGCACGGTGCGCTACTCCTGCATGACTCGCTACTACTCCATCGAAAAGGCCCGCGTGCGTCTTGCCTATCTTCCGGTGATCCCGGTGGACGAGGGTATCGCACGTGCTGTGGGTTACGTGGTTGAGAAGCAGCGCCAGGATTCAGGAAAGAAGGGGTTGTAAAGTGAGGGGACTCGATGAAAAGTATTGTCTATACTGTAATAATATCAGGGCCGCTGCTCTGAGCAATGTTACCGATACACCGAGTTTGTAACCGGATATTCCATCATCTTCCACCCAGATGTGTATTCCTGGCTCCGCACAAGGGACCGCTGATGCCGCGACATTCAGAAATCCATAATTCAGCCATGATGCTTAGTATTCGATGAAGATCCCCTTATGGCCCAAGAAGGCGTGAGTCAGATATAGGCACTCTTGTAGAAAGAAGTCTTTAAAGACATGCCTAGAAAATAGCCCAAAAAGATGTTCAGCCCCGGGAGGCAGTAGGGAAAAAAAATTAGGTCGGCTTTTAGTCTTCTATACACGAGAGACAGGGTGTGCCGAGCAAATTCCTTACCAGGCATGGCAAACGAGATCCTGTCGCTAGACGAGAACCTACATGTCGAGCCTTCTGTAGTCTTCGACTGCGTGCGGCAATAATCGAGAGTTACGCAACGTCTATGGGAAACCATAGTGGGCTCAGGCCAACCCGGTCCAGTGGCATTGGGAGTAAGTCATCACGGCGTATATAAGAATCCAAACGCCATCATAAAAGTATATGTCCTTAGTCGGACGAGTCTGGACCCTTGGAGTGCGAGTCTTGTTTGTGAGGCACCTCCAGGGCGCTAATGGTATCGGACTCAATGCCGTTGTGCCTCACAACCTCCACATCGAATGCAGCCTTGCTGTTGAAAATAGTCTCCATTTCCTCGAGACTCCTACCCCTGGTCTCCTTCACGAAGAACCATACCAAAGCAGCCATGATCAAGTCAAGAATGGCGTAGAACAGGAAAATATAGCTGCCCCAGGACTTTTGCATGTAGGGAGTCACCAGCGAGAAGAGAAAGTTGAAAAGCCACTGCGAGCAGACGGAAACCGAGGATCCTATTTCGCGAATACGCGAAGGGAAGATCTCCGTAGTATACGGCCACGGGAGCGGACCCCAGCCAAACTGGTAGACGGAGTTTGTCAAGAAGATCAAAGCGACTGTTGCAATACCAGCCGGGGTAGGCGACTTGTCTGGCTTGGGAGTCGTGTTGTTGACGACGGCGACAATGACGAAGAGCATGGACATGATCAAAGCCGTGATCCACAGCGTGGGCTTGCGTCCCCACGACTCCGAGAAGAAGATGATGTAGATGAAAACGGTAATGAATTTCTCCGCACCAAAAAGGCCGGTGATGAGCAGAGACCGACTGCTGTCATTGCCGACGATCAGCTTGAAGAACTGGGGACCGAAGTAGGCGAGTGCCGTCATGCCGGTGCACTGTTGGCCGCAGAACATAAAAAACCCGAGGGACAGACGGTATCGGTTTGCTGGCTCGAGGAGCTCACGCTTCTTCAGGCCTTCAGTTGCGCGAATCTCTTCGGCCAGACCGACGCGCATCTCGTTGAATTCAGCTTTGACTTCGGGGCCTAAAAAGAGAAGAAGTGTTAGGAATAAACACACAGAGCTGGGGATGAGATTCTGACCATCACTCGCCCGCATCCACGTCAAGCTCTCCCAGGCCTCGTCGAAGCGACCCTTCTTCGCCAACCAACGAACACTTTCAGGCTGCGTGAATAAACCCATCGCAAGCAGCGAAGCGGGTACCAATTGCAGTCCTACAGGAATCTGCCACTGAGAAGACGACGTTGAGGGAATGGTACGCTCAACAGCATAGTCAATCCAGTAACTAATCATGACGCCCAGGGCAAAGAGCAGCTGCACGCCCGAACCGAGCATACCACGGATTTCCTTGGGCGCCATCTCAGCATTGTACGTCGGGACCACTGCCGTGCCTCCTCCCAGGCCAAGACCGGATACAAATCGTCCGATATAGAAACATACAAGGGAGTGCGATGGGACGACCTGCAAGATGACACCGATGCAAAAGACAGTCATGGCAATCTGAACGGTCGTCTTGCGCCCAAGGCGTTCGGAGATTGGAAAGATGCACAGCGCAGACAAGAAAGCACCGACATTCTGCAAACTGACCATGACCGCATCGACCGTGGTCTTATCGGTATATCCAAAGTCATTCATGTACGACTTGAACTCGAGGATACCACCTAGCAGGGTGGATGATTAGAAAGATGCACGAAACATGACGGGACTGGTTCGGGCACTCACCGACAATGCCGGTATCATAACCAAACAGGAAGCCCGCAGTACAGATGAAGAAGCCGAAGAAATAGGCCCGGAAACCCCCAAGCTTCGTTCCATTCAGCCTCGCCATGGCTATACACTGTACGGTGTACGCTGCACGCTGTTCACCGAACGCGAGAGAACACCAAGTCAATGCAAGGTAATAATGCAAGAAAGAAAAGAAGCTCGATCAGTGAAGAACTTGGTTTTCAAAGGCTAAGTGCGAAGCACGGACTACGAGACGCTCATCCTTTCCCAGCACGCAACCATCGCCCGCTGATTTCGCCATAGCACGCCATGGAGCCGTGGATGTAGGCCACTCTACCTATCACAGCACCGTCCATGTCGATGCGCCCAGACGTTGCGCTGACGCAGTCTCTAGGGCCGTTAACCTGCTGAGGCGCCATCGTGGTGTTACTGGCCGTTCTCTTCGGTGACACTGGCCAAGGTGCAAGTCTATGACATCCGCGATCGGTGGAGCTTTCTCCGCAATCTGCAACGCCCCACATTTCCCTCAGTTAGATGACCTCTGCATACGCCCTTCCTAGCCCGGAGCGCTTCGGCTGGTCGGATCGACCGTCCCGTTCAAATGTCTGTGCATTTTAGTGTTCAAGGAGTTTAATCCTGTTGACACTGGTTTGATATATGGGGAATGGCATTTTATGTTGAAGTGTCGGGGGATTGACAAAAGGCTTGGTGTTGCTGTCGTTATACTTAGCTAGTGGAGTTCCTATAGAAAAGGTCTATGTAGAAACTAGGAAGCAAGTCTGCACTTAACCAGAGAATAAGCCACCTATGCGTGGCGTGGATAGTTGCGACCCTAACTCCGTCCCGTCAGCAACGCCAGTCTTGCAGCCGCGGGAGATTTTATCCTTTTTAACCAAGTGAGGGGTTAACTCAATTGTACTGAGAATTCCTTGGAAATTGATGGATTTGAATGACTGCTCATTGCAATGGCACAGGAAAAAAGCTAGAATAGTAACATCCTCTTCGCATGATCAACTCATATTCCCAATCTCGGCCACCTTCACGTCACTTTGTACCTTGCTGACCCCATTCGTACATTCGGCCTTGACAAATGGCTCACTTGTCTTAACAATGGCAGCCATAAGCAGAGAGACAATCTCTTCAAGTTCACTCTCCGTCACAGTGTAGGGTGGGCAGACAAGGACATGGTCGACCTGATATTCACCAGTATGACCAAGGTTTCCAAGAATATTCAATCCACTATCCAAGCAATGCTTTACCACTTGGTTGCAGAAATTCGCTTTTGGTGAGAATGCCGTCTTCAAGCTTTTGTCAAGAACGAATTCCACGGCCCAGAACAAACCACGACCGCGAATATCTCCGACCAAAGCCATTGGACCGATCTCCTTACGCAAGAGTGCCTCAAGCTTATGTCCCATTTGCGCAGTTCGCTCGATCAGGTTGTCCCGTTTGATGATTCTTTGAGCTGCGACTGCGGCAGCGCAAGCAAGGGGATGGGCCTGGAAAAATAGTTTTAGCCACCGCGATTCACTCTGGATTATTCGAGGAAATACCTGGAAAGTATGGCCGTGCGCCAGCCCGCCAGAACCAGCAGACAGCGCGTCGAAAATCTTCTGGTGGAGCAACACGCCGGACAGAGGCACGAAGCCTGCGCCGAGGGCCTTGCCGATGGTCTGGATATCAGGACCTCGAATGCCCTCCTGCTCCCATGCATGCATGGTACCCGTCTTGCCCATGCCGCAAATTATCTGCAATGGAGTCAAACATCGGCCAAGCCATTATAATTCTTCGGTCTCTTCTTACCTCGTCCAAGATCAACAAAACGCCGTACCTGTCGCAAATATCCCGGATCGCCCTGAAATATCCAGGCACGGCAGGAAGACAGCCCAAAGTAGTACCGCTGACAGTTTCAGCAACGAAACCAGCGACACGATCAGGCCCGATGCGCAGGATCTCATCCTCGAATTGGCGGCCGAGGCGTTGAGCAAACTCCTCATCGGACTCGTCGTCGCCCTTCATGCGGTACGCGTAGCAGGGGTCCACAAAGGTCACATTCGAAGACATGAAATCTTTATAGAACTCGCGACGAGACTCATGACCGGAGACACAAAGGGCACCGATGGTGTTACCGTGATAACTCTGCTTTCGCGCAATGAAATGCGTACGTTGAGGCTGTCCTCGCTCGTGCCAGTACTGAACGGCCAGCTTGAGGGCCGCATCAGTCGCTTCACTGCCAGAGTTCACGAAGATGGCCTTTGACAGGCCGCCGGGCTTTTCAGATAAGAGAATATCAGCTAGCTCTTCGGTCGCCCCGTTGGTATATGGAGAACCAGAGTAGACGTAGGCGATGTCGTTTTTTAAATGATTCGTGATGGCCTCGGTGATCTCTGGCTGCGAGTGGCCGAGACACGAGACTGATGGACCGCAGCTAGCATCGATGACTTTCTTTCCGCTTTCCAAGACAAGGCTGATTCCATCGCCAGCGACAATTTTAGCGGGTCGCTCGGAAAACGACCGATGGAGAATGTGAGAACGCGCGACAAACTCGTCTGTAGTCATACTGGGCAAGCGGTATGAACCTGAAAGAATAGCCAGATCAGAAAGTACTTGTCTGATAACATGGAACCCGATTTTATATGCCTGATTTCTCAATCGCGGACAAGGATAAGAAAGACCGCCGTTGACGCCGAGCGGTGGAGCTGGGGTTGCGTCCCCGCACGAATTTGGTGCCTGTCTATCCGAGTTGGAGAACGTTCTTCCCGTGGGGATATCCACAGCTGGAAAAAGCCGAGATGATTGTTTTTCAATTCAGATCGATCGGATTCGCCGCCCTTGACGCCGTGGAGAATTGTCACCTGGGGTCGGCGTATATAAAGACGGACCGCTGATCTACAGGCGACTCATTATGCAGACACAGGCGACTCTCACGCAGACTTATTTCATAACTTCAAGGCTACCGAGTCAAGGTACGAAACCGAGTTTCGCAGCATGCCATGAGGATACTAAGGTTCAAGTAGCAAACATAATGGATAAAGGCGACCATTCCACCGCGCCCTATCGGGGCCCCAAACTCCCCAACGTGCCCGACGACCTGGTGATTTCCGGAGTCCTGGATATGGACTGCGACGAAAGACTCTGGGTCCCCCAATCCAAAGACGTCTGGTTCCGCCCACTATGCTTCAACGTTTCGCAAGGCTATTTCGTCAATATCCTGCGCGTGAGAAAGAGCGGCATTCTCTCGCGCCACAGACACACCGGGCCCGTACATGCAACAGTGCTGAAAGGCCGCTGGCACTATCTCGAGCACGACTGGTGGGCCGAGGAGGGCGGATACGCGTTTGAGCCTCCGGGTGATATTCACACGCTGGAGGTTCCGGACGGAGTCACTGAAATGGTCACGTTGTTCCATGTGACTGGCGCGTATATTTACGTCGATGTTGATGGTGTTTCTCTGGGCATCGAGGATGTCTTCAGTAAGCTGCAGGCGGCACGGAACCACTATGACGAGGTTGGGTTGGGCGCGTCTTTTGCAGATCAGTTTGTGCGGTAGAAAATACCCGAGTTGTGATGAAAGCAGTGTACATTCAGAGCAAAAATATATACATACCACCAAAAGAATAATATACATCTATTCATCATTCAATCATGACAGGGAAAGGTTGACTCCTTCCTGCTGTACGATGTCGAGCCAGTCAACGCGCACAGAGGCATCGGCCTTTTTCCTTGCGATCCTCAAGCGCCATAGCTTCTCTAAAACGGACAGTGCGATTTCAACGTTACGGAAGCCTCGAGACTCAATCATGTCCAGCATTCTATGTCGGATGCATTTGATATGCGCTTCTTCCGTAGCTTCCCCACCAGCTAGAAACAGTGGGAAAAGCAAAGTGCATTCGGGCAAGCTGCGGGTCGGCATTTGCTCGATATAACCCACAATAGCCGCAACCTGCGCGGTGGTCTTGAATGACAGTTCATCCTGCTGACCGGGGAAGGTACGGCGCATGACACGATACAAATGTATCAAAGCAGAGCTGCGATACGACTCTGCCAACAGCCTCAGCGATAGATCCGTCGAGGGAGGACACGTCCACAGTGTAAGACGAGCCTCCAAAGAAAGGAACCTTGTCATGATCTCAGGCGATTGGACAGAAGCTCCAGGTCGCATATCGGGATCCACTTCGGCACTCTTCGGCAAAGCCGATGCGGGGTGGATCGTCGCCTTGACTTCCTCATTCAAAGCCGTGGTATGGTACAGAATCTCCAAAATCTCCGACGCAAGACCAAAGTGCGAGTCAGGCAGCCTAGGCTCATCGAGTCGCAGAAATTGATGGGAATTCAAAAGAGGAGCCTGATCTCGTGCCACGGACATGACGATGTTGCGATATGCAAAGTTGCGTAGCAGCCATCGTCCGGAATGTGCATCTTCAAACTTCTGCAACATGCGTGTTGCGCAGTGTCCGTCAAACGATTCTTCTGTGCCCAATTTGGAGGCAATGACGCCAGCGGCGCCGTTGAGATGGAGAAACCATGCGTCGCCATTGTCGGCCATAATGCTTTCTAGTGAGCATAGAACCAATGACATGGCAAGGTTGGTCTCCACATCTCTCGGGTTGGAGTCGAGTGCGCTTCGGAGATCCCGAAGAGCCGCGCATCGATTCTGCATTGCCACTTGTTGGAATGATGTGTCACGTAATGAGAGATGGGATGAGGACCACGCAATCAAGCTGGTCATGAGGGGCGGGCTGTGCATCGCCATGGGGAGAAATACTACGGCGCACGTCGTGTTAGATCTTGCCCTTCTGAAGGGGCTATTTGCCAAGCACTTACCAGAAAGAAAAGAATTGTTTTCGATGTTAGTGGTCAGAAGATGTGTGAAAGTTTGGGTGTAGTATCGGAGGAAATGGCGGCGGCTGGAGGCACTCGTGCCGTCGGCATGGTCGTTGACCCAAAATAAGATTGGGTCTGGAGAGCATGACAGCCGGAAAGGTGGATTGGGCATCTGATTGACCTGCTGGACTGCTCTATCTCTATGACTATCACCGGCGACGGGCCTCGGATCCTCCCATTTGCACATGTAGTTCAAGCGGACGCATTCCTTGCAAACAGGGTAGCCTAGATCGCATCTCTTCTTTCTGAAATCGGGGTCAGCACACGTCTGTATCAAGGCATAATACGAATATCCGCTTATAGATCGAGATCGTCGGACTACTCACCTCTGACGACAGGTTAGACATCCTGTCCGCTCGCGCGTGGTCCCCCGCTTCTTAATGACACGCCGCGGGACAATCCGGTTAGAGAGGGAAACCTCTCTCGATGACATGATGGCGCACGGCTGACAATTATCTCCAGCTCAGATCAAACGGCTGGCGCCAACGGCGCAAAAGAATGTTCGGGGTGGGTTGGCGGGTTATCTCGAAGTCGTGCGGGGAGATGCTGTATCACGGTGGAGAATCTATAAGCCCACGTCCAATCATGAGCTGTGCGGTAAGAGCGCGGAAATGATATCCAATCAGCTGAAGAGAACTGTTCCCCAGTATATTTACTCCGGTGAGTTCGCTATCTTTCCTAGTCCGTGGATGTCAGGGTTTAGGCGCGGAGGTGGCTGTTTTCTGGGTATGTCTGGGCAAGCGATAATATGAACGGTGCCAATGCTACTATATCTACGTATTCATATCCCCAATTGCCCTGCATTTGGTATCTGCTAATGACTACCGGCCCGTTTCCTTGCAGCAGTGAGCATTGAAGAATATGGATAAGCATGAAGATGATCTGGACTTGGAGGCTCGCGGCTATAGCCGCGAGATGCCCCGTCAATTCTCGACATTCTCACTAGTTGCGCTCTCGTTCAGCTTGACTTGTACCTGGTCAGGCACAGGATCATCCATTGGAATTTCTTTGAATGATGCATCCGCCGCTGGGACGATATGGTCACTTCCCGTGGCTGCGTTAATGACGGCGTTTCTCTCAGCTGGTGTTGCTGAATTGGCCTCAGCTTATCCTGTCGCCGGTGCCCAATATTACTGGGCCTTTTGCGTAGCATCCAAGGACTGGCGGACATTCGCTTCTTATATGTCAGTCTTTTTTACCTTGTTCTTGATGGTCATACCAGAACTGACGGATGTATAGGAATGGTTGGCTCAGTATCCTGGGCTGGTGGTTAGCAAGCGGTGCCGCTTGCAACTTTATTGCCTCTCTGATCTTGTCAATTGTCATCTTATGGTACCCAGACTATGAGATACAGAACTGGCAGCAGTGGCTGGTCTATATCGGTCTCGTCTGGTTCGCGGTTGCGCTCAATGTTTTTGGCTCACAGCTGCTTCCCCTCTACAATCGCTTCAACTGTGAGTAGCCTCTCCTATATTCTATCATGTTTCCGATAGGCTAATATTACACGTTCCTATGACAGTCATCATCTCCTGCGTTACACTCACCGCGACAACCATCACCTTATTCGTTTGCAGTCGACACAACAACGCCCCGCCGAAGTGGACATTTGGCGATGCGACCAACTCAACTGGATGGCAAAGCGACGGCCTTGCCTTCCTTCTCGCGATTAGCAATGCCGTGTATGCATTTCTCGGGACGGATTGTGGGGCGCATGTATGCGAAGAGATCCGCGATCCGGCAAAGAACACCCCGAAAGTCATCATGTACCCGGTTCTCATCGGCGTAGCAACTGCATTCCCCTTCGCCTGCGCTTGCATGAACGCTATCACGGATATGGACGCCGTTCTCAATGCCCCGTCCGGTCTTCCTCTTATTCAGATCTATTATCAAAGCACCGGGTCAAAAGCGGCGTCCTCGGTTCTGCTGGCTCTCTTCGCCTTCTGCTTTTTCGGTTGTACTGTGGGCAATGGTGGGTCTTTTCACAATCTGCCCAGATCGCACCCCGGGATACTAATCGATAACATACTGTAGGAACCACATGTTCAAGAACCATTTGGGCGGTTTCGCGTGACAACATGCTTCCATTCAGCAAAGTCTGGGCGACTGTCAACCCCCGTTTCCAGATGCCACTCAACGCCCTTTGCCTCACTGGCACCGTTGTCTCGGTAAGTACTGCCTCGAGCACGCCCGATTTACATCTGCTAATCACAGGAATAACCAGCTGTACGGCCTGATATTTCTCGGGTCCTCAACCGCATTCTCAGCCATGGTCGGAGCAGCAGTAATCTTCCTCCAAACATCCTGCGCCCTTCCCCAAGCAATAATCCTCTGGCGCGGTCGTGACATTCTCCCTGAGAGACCATTCTCCCTCGGAAGATATGGGTTCGCCATCAACCTCATCGCAGTGATCTGGGTGGTATTGTTGGATATCCTTTCCTGCTTCCCGACTGAGATGCCAGTGACAAAAGAGAATATGAATTATGTCTCCGTCGTATCGGTCGGGTTGACCGGGATTGTATTGGCGTTGTATTTGTTCGCGAAGAGGGGGAAGTATCTTGGGCCCAGGATGCCGAATGAGCTGAATCATGGGGATATATGTCATGTTAGTGAAGGGCAAGGGTTTGATGATGGTGCATGGGCGGATCATTCAGAATCTTTTTCGAAGAAAGAGTGACGGTACCGTGTATGGTAGGTAGTTGGGCGCATGGGAGATGGCTGAATGGACGTATTTGAATGTGTAACTGTGAAATTTGAAAGATACCCGACGGGTGCAATTTGCGTTAAAAGAAACAGAGAAATCGTCCATTGCCAATATTTTTGGTCAGTATTTACAGGTATGATCATGGCATGCGCAAACAAAAGCCTATGTATTCCTGTTCCATAATTGCAAGGGCCTACTGAAACCAAAATCGTATGATACTATGGCTCGAATATGTCGCAGGGCAAAAGTCGCAAGGGGGATTTTGGCGCAATGGCGGTAATACATGGCGGAAGAGGGCGTGGCGGAAAAGGGCGTGGCGGAAAAGGGCGTGGCGGAAAAGGGCGTGGCGGAAGAGGGCATGGCGGATTCTGGGACTGGGGCTTTTCGAATGGCTTGTGCGGCCGGAACAGAGATAACGTTGCGTTAGTGGTGTGCAGATCGTTGCAACGGCCATGTCGTAGGGGGCGAAGAGCGTGATAAGGGTGCGGGGGAGAATGCCGAGATACTGGGAGTTGCTGTGGGTCCAAGAAGAGTATTGGTGCCGTCGGCTGTCGGAATTGGCGTAATGTGATGAAGAAGGGATGTTAGGGGAATTATGCGGCGGGTCCCTTGTCAGCTTTTTCGGCGGCGACGATCTCGCTCTCGGATAAATCATCTGCAACAGCTTCGGTGATGGGGCCATTGTATACGACACGGCCACGGATGTACCAGTAGACGAGGGCGAACAGTAGGACGGCGACGAGATAGACACAGGCATAGTTCATCTGCGATCATGTTAGCACTCGGGGCAACCAGCGTGATAATTTTGATACATACGCCATCCGGGGTGACCGGCATCACGGTGGGCAGGACGAAAATGATGCTGACGAAGAGAGTCCACAGACAGGCCCAGACATTCACAATCCAGCTCAATGAGCCCATGTGCCACGGGCCAGGCTGGAATTTTCCGAAGAGCAGCTTGCACAGAATGGGGATACAGTAACTCCAGTCCAGAGCAATGGCGCAGACGGTGAATACACCTGAGATGGCTGCGTAAGAGCCTAGGCCGATTAGGTTGATCGCAATGCAGAAAAAGACGGAGATCCAGACAGCGTAAAGAGGGGTACCGGTCCAGGGAGTGACCTTAACCCAGATGTTCGAGAACGGTAAGAGGCGGTCGCGAGAGAAGGCAAAGACAGTGCGACCAAGAGACTGCATAGCAGTGAAGGTCACAAACTTAATAATGATCAGAGCTGCAATGGTGAAGAACATGCCACCGCCCTTGCCTAGGCTGTTGTAGAAGATCTGGGCCACAGGCTGGTCCATTGGGGAGCCCAAGATCTCGGTGGGGTTGCCCATGCAGAAGCAAAGGACGATATTAAATAAGAAACCGGCAACGTAGGTGAAGAGCATAGCTAGAGAGATGGCCCATGGCGCTTTGCGCTCGGGATCACTCATCTCTTCCGTGATGTGCGCGGTCGCGTCGTAGTCGGTCATAGTCCAGCTCACAGACAAGAAACCAAACAGCCAACTGAACCCGATGGGCTTCCAGCCGCTCTGGCTTTCAACATTAGTGAAGACATAGCTCGCATCATGCTTATCTTTAGTCAAAACCAGCAGAGCGATGGCACAGGCCACGAGAACGCAGACGTGAAAAATGACGTAGAACTTGGTCATCTTCTCCATCCAATAAGTCGACAAGGAGTTGACAACGCCCGTGACCACGGTCAGGGCCGCCATGACACCAATAGTAGTGTTGTCGGTGATGGTGTAGTTGAAGTTGCGGCTCATCGAGACGGCAGCCAGAAGCATCTGGGCCGCGCCGTACTCCGACGAGGCCACACCGGCAATCTGACCCAGGAGGTTGAGCCAGCCCGTAAACCTAGAACCATTTAGAGAAGCCTTATGAAATCACAGTGGAGGTTCTTACCAACTGATCGAGGGCACCCAGCCATGAGGTGCCAGGCGAGAAATGGTGAAGTAGAGACCGCCAGATGTCGGATACGCGGAGACCAGCTCAGCGACGGAACACTATCGATCGCATCAGTACCTAACCCCCACTATATCGGCGGTTTGAGACTCACCGCAATGCACATGCAGCCAGCACCGGAGATCAGCCAACACCACACGACCGCACTACTGCCACCCGCTTCCAGTGGGTAGGACAGAGTGGTCATGATGGTGGAGAACAGACCACTGATACTGACTGCAAACGAAAAGGTCGCCAGATAGCCAAATTCACGCTTGAACACTGGCTTGTAGCCGAACTTGGATGCCAGTTCTGAGTCGGCCTGGCTCATTTCGGCGATGTTAACCTTCTTGTGCTCGCCATGCGGCCCGACGATTTCGACTTGTCGCCGGTCATGGCGCTGGCGGAGCTCAGTATCGCAAACGGGTGTCTTTTCAGGAATATCCATCACGAGGAGCCGTTATACAGCCGGAGTTGAAAGACGAGTATGGAGAAGAAAAAGAGAAGAAAAAAAGAACATTCGCGGTCCGAGAATATCCGCCAAAGGAATCCGGGTTTTAAGCGGCGCGATGGCTTTGCAGCCACGTGGGGCCGTCATTATCTTTCCCCGAATCGCCTAGCTTGAGATCCAGGTTCAGAGGAGGTCCGGGGACGATGAGAATCCATCATTGGCCCGAAGACGGGCGGGAGCATGGGAATGACGTCGAAAGGTTCCACTTGGGCGGAGAACGCGGAAAAGCTTGAGGTCGTGGCGCGTCGCTCATTGGTTCTGGTGTCATGGAACGGGTGAACCTTCCTAAACGTACTAGCCGTTATTGTACCGAATACGAGATTGGTGGCGGCTTATCGACTTGACGCCCGGATTCCTCCTAGTGCAACTCTGCAAACGCCTCCTTGGATACTTTGACTGGCTGAGGCACGCGACCAACGCCATCGCTTACGATGATTACAGAATGGATCACGGCCACAAACGTATGTACCGAGAAAGATGTCTGGGCAAATTTTCTCTTCTTTTGGCGCGTATCCTGTACCTGGGGACACGGCGTGAGATCACCAAGCCACCCCACATTTCGATCATCTTTCCCGCTATTTCTTAAACTATGTTGATAGTACCGTAAAATTATGCCACCTTAGTACATTGCCATATATGCCGACGACCGTCTTTCCCTTTTCGCCTCTACACTTAACTGAGCCCGTGCGAAACGTAGTTTCATGGCTTCTGCTGCCGTTTTTGCGGTACATTGTATGTATCTGGTGAAGCAGGACACTGACATACACATCAGAAGAATACAGGAGGATCAGAGTCTGGCACAACCGATCTTGATGTCCGCCGCGGAGATGAGAGGGTTTAGTCCCCCACTACCCTGACTTTGTGTTCCAAAATTATGGAAAGCACCGAAGAAAATCACAAAGAAAGAGGTAGCATTTGACGGAAGATTGTAAATCTAAGGAGCGCAGACTATCTCAAAGCAGGAAGAAGCAGAAGGAGCATCCATGTAAGAGATATCCGGGAACCGGGAGACAGTAAGAATTCTCGCATTCACGCAAGGCGTTTCAACAGCATTCAAAGTGCCTTGTTCTCCTTGGCCAAGTTATGGTTGAAGAACTTTCCCTCGCTTTTGGTGTATGAGGCCAGCTGCTTCGCATTCTTAAACTTCTTGGGGCGCTCGCCAGTGGCCCAACACTCGCAAAGATCAACCATATTGACGTAGATGCCGTTCAGTGCCTAACGGGTGGCACTTAGTGGAGTTTTGACATTATTAAATAGAAGATAGGGACCTATTACTTTCTTGCACTGTGTAATGGACGCGGGTGGCTCAAGTCCGACTTTCTCGCACAGCTGTTGCCAGCTTTCCAGGCGTGCAGCGCGGTTGCGACTCAGGCGCTCGTTTTCGGCCTGAGTGTAAACCTCCCAATTTCTTTTCCAGGTCTTTGAGCCGACCTTCCACTTTTTTAGTTTGGCGAGGCCGTGAAACTCGTCGATGAATGAGCTTTCAAAGTCGCCGTGGTGGCTGTCGTCTGAGTCGTTGTCAAGGCTCAGACTTTCCATCTGGCGGGTTAGCTTGGACCTGGTCATCTCTGAGATTCAAAGTATTAGTGAGAGCAAAATAACCGAAGGCAAAGAATGGATGTATCTTACTGGGCACACTGATCCGATGGCAATGTGAATAAAAGTTACAGGATGGGCGATAGGTGGATGATGTAGATGGATGATGTAGATGGATGATGTAGATGATAGAGATGTGAGGTGAAGGAATGCGGATGGAGGAGAGATGACAGAAGTAGAAGAAGGAGAGTAAACGTGGAGAACCTAGACAAGAAAAAGTAGAGCAGTGAACGGAGACAATGAACATGGGAAACGGAAGGTGCCAGGAATCTTGGCCACGAGGGTCAAGCACACACAAAAAGTTCGAAGAAAGCGAGAGCCTTCAAAAGACGTCGATTCCCCCGGATCACGGCAAAGTGGCAACACTCAATTGTCGGTCTGGTGAGAACGTGATTCTATTTTCAAATCAACGACTCAACCCGTCTTAAGTGACCGCAGTATCAATGTCCACGTTCAAGCCTTGTGCGAGGTTCAAGGTGCCTCGCGGTCCAGCCGCTATCTAAGCTTTCCAAACACCTATGCATGCTATCATCAACCTTGAGATGGCATAAAGGGCATTGTCCTGCATGACGGCGCCGCGGCTGGAGGAGTTTTGTTTATGTGCGGTGTAGTCAACCAGTTTTGTGATATCTATATTAGGCCAGAGAAATGTTACAGACAACATAATGATATATATGATCTGGCATTCTTTGATATCCCCTATGCTTGGTGGGATGTGAGTCTGAAATATGAAGATGACCTGCCCAGGTGCTTACCCTTTGACTATGCGGGAACCAGCACTGCATTCCTAGCCTCTTTGTGTGTATATTGCTGGGGATATTAAAGTGCGGCGAGTGTTTAGGTCAACGACGGGAATGCTAATTTCAAGTCTGTATTATACATTTTATGGGAATGATCCGTCATTAGGCTTTGGACTGGTTATTTCTAGATTATATCACCAAGTCTCTTCTAGATACGTTTGGTTCAAAGTATCAAACATGTTGTAGTCACTCGGCAAACAGTCAGGCGAAAAGGCAAAGCCAAGATTGTTCGCAAAGAGTTCATCCGAATTGAGAAAGTTCTGCAGGGTATTAGGATCGGTGACATCGGAAGAGGGCTCATGAAACTGATTCAAATTGGGGTTGTGCAGGTGAGCGAACGGATTCTCCAGATGAAGTGATAGAGGGTCTTCGAAGAGCGTATTCTTGGCATCAAATACCCCATCGAAGGCATGCGAGGGAAGAAGCTCAGTCTCCCACGAACCATCGAGATCTGTCTGTTGGGATTCAGTGGTGGGACCACTGTCCTGCGCCGGTAGAGGAAGATGGCTAACTCCGTAGCGTTGAACGTATACCTTTTCAAGGTTACGCCCGATCCGCTTTGCAATGTTCCAAGATGTAGACATTTCTCGAAGAACCTGGAAACAGAGACCCGCAGCAGCGTGTGGGGGTAGCATGCGAGGCACGTCGTCTCCAGGATTCTGCTTCAGTTGGGAGTTGTCTAGGGAGCAGCATTTCTCCACGATGATCAGAGCGGCGGATAATATGCAATGTGTCGCGGTGATGGGGCTTAGTTTGAAGCTGCCAAATGTTCGTCTGTACTTTTGGGCGATTATGACCATTGACCTAACCGAGGAGCTGCAACTGGAGAGTGCTTTGTGGAACCGGATGTATTCGTGTGATGTCTCATCTCCTTTAGATTCAATATGGGGCGGAGATGTGCTGCTTTTATCATGCGGTGGGCAGTGCTCTTTCAAGAAGGGTTCGCAAAGTAGTAAGTGTGCGGTATGATACACCATGGACATCGTGTAGACGTGAGGGAATCGAGAGGGTCCATTCGCTCGATCGACTTTGAGTTCGGAGGGTAAATCGTAAGACCATGTTTTGAGCTCGAGAATGCACGAGTCGAAGAATGCTGAGCGCTGGTGGGCGTGAATGAGTGGTTTGGGTGACCACCTGAAGGGAGTGTTAGCTATGGTCACAGCGAGGGAATAGGATAGCCGTACAAGGAGAGGAGGATCTTTTCCAGGATACGGCAGAGAGAAATCATGGATCGATGCAGCGCAGTCACTTCCTTCTGGGATGCAGCTCTTAATTGGCCATTTGCGGAAGGAAGACAAACTTCGGAGGTGCACTGGAGGTACGGCATATTGACGGCGCCTTGCGAATCCTGCACAGGAGAGAAAATTAGACATCGTATCATATGTAGAGCGGAAGATGTACATACCAGCAAGGTACAAACCCTGCCTGTATAGCTCGCCGAGAGCTTATCATGGCAGTAAAGCGCCCAGTATATCTGTCTCCGCAGCTCAATCTCAATCGGTGGCAGGGCAACCTTTTCCGCCAGAACCGCAGGGTCCATGTTGAGCCCCATGTCTAGAGCAAGACGATTTGCCATTCCTTGATGAAGCCATCCAGCGGCATCTGATCCCATTGCCTACCATATTTTGTCAGCTCCTTTGATTCTTCCACGGAAGTACCGGCGCTTACAATATAAACCATGCCCATGATAGCCAGAGATTGGATTGTTGTTATTTTGGGCCACCTGAGATCATTTTGAATCAACTTCTCGGCTTTTGCAATGAATACTTTACCGGCCGTATTGGAGTCATTCGTATCCGTTCGCACTTCAAGGCCATCGTAGTAGCGTGAGCCCATCGCAAGGATACAATTCAGCAACAGCGGGCTGCAATACCTGCCACCACAGGCCAAGCTTTCTCGAAACAGCGTTTCGTTGACTACCTGGAGCCATGGCTGTTCCCACTCGAAATAAAGATCGATCAAACGAGCTTGGAGTTCGTCCAAGATCAAACTATCGCCTAGCATGTCAAGGTGCCCATCCATGTGGCTCTCACAAACCCCTGGCGTGCCGAGAGATGGGTCTCCTGTGGCATTGGAACACCCATTGCAAGAGGCATCTGTGTGAAATGCTTCTTCAGTTGGAGAGGCTGGATATTATCAGCAAAAGCAACCAATATAATCCGCTCGTGATTTCTCACCATTCGCCGAAGATCGGAATAGCAGACGCCCACTGGTCGGGCCAAAATAGCGAACCTCGCCGTCCTGATCAAAGTTCAAAGATTCATCGAGAGTAAGGGTTCCGTCAAAAGTAACACATAAATCATCCACGTTTGATGACCCGGGTGTGCAGCTTGAATTGATTGGTTGATTTGGAGATTCGTGTTCGGCCATCAATTGGGCAACCGAGGCATCGGCGTCAATGCCGTGAGACTTGAGAACCTTTTCCAGCAGCTCGATCCGGTTACGCAGCATCACCACGTAAGACTTGGGTGCTGGCTGCCTCCCATCTTCAGCAGTGGAATACTGGCAGCGGATACCTCGATCGAGACATCGAGAACAAGATGGCCGAAAACCATCGCACTAGAAGAGAACTCCGAGTCAGCAATAGAAATCCATCAAGAGAATGAATCTTCACCACTCCTTAGAGCCGCAAGTCAACATACCTTGGCCCTTCGTCGACGGCATTCTTCACAAGCTCGTGACGTATACTTCCTCCCGGCCCGCTTTCGGCGGCCTGAGGGGTCATCCGCTGCCGCTGCAGACGACATTTAGCCACAAGGTGAAATTTTTCATGTACCGAGCAAATTTTCTTTGATAAACATGTCTTTGAAGGGATGAGACAGGGTCGAATGCACTTCTAGGCAGAACGGGCGATGAATTAATCAGCAGCTTCCGATTCGACACCTGTTATTTCAGGCAGTAATGGCAAACACCTCGTGGGAGAGAATCTTCTATGTACGCACCGAGGCTAATATTTCACCACTATTTCACCTGATCTTCAGCTACACAAAGGATCTGGGCTTGGTGGTACTTTAGTGTCGCAAAAAGTGAGATGGTCATGGGACGCATCTGACCTCAATCCCTTGAACGATATCACTATAGATACCTCTGATATGTAGCTTACTTCGAAGGTATGAAGGGGGTAAAAGTAGGAAAGGAGAAGAAAGAAAAAGTTGGCAAATCAATAAAGCTCCCAATGATGGGAATCGGACCTGCGACCTCAAAGCAAAAAAAAAAAAAGCGCCTAGGGGAACGATTTGTTTTTTTTTTTCAGTGTCACTCGTTCCATTGAGCCATCTGACCCGAAGGTCACCAAAGATGGTAAAAATCTTTCTGCATCTTATTACCCCAACATAATACGATGATGTAAAATGGAATTTTTCCAGAATCTTGCGGAATTAAAGCGATGATCATAGCGAATTAGACAATAGCAAGATCTATACTGCTTCAGTGGGATGCCCCCAAAGTTCCGGTAATATACCTATTCGGTCAAGTATTCAAACAGCTTAGTAACCATCGCAGAGGTCTACAGTAACTCCAAGGTTGCACACACTTATTGGTCCTTGATACTTCGGGGCTGTGAAGATCACTGAGCACCACGGTACGAGTATGTATCCGTTCCACATCGACGGTCCAAACTTTCATACGCAATCGAGTCTCGGCATATGATGATGACGACGGAGCGTTTGGAAAGGTGTATCCGGGTACACGTTGATTTTCAGAATTCAGTAATACATCCTAGGAGCATGACCTTTTCATTGACCTAGCTTAAATTTGCTTAGGGCCCTCGAGAAGTGAGAAGTATCAACTTGCTGCACATTTAGCCTGGCGAAGCGGTGATATCTTAAATAGGAAAGGATCTGAGTTATGGGATACATACCTGGGGAGGGTTTCCCGCCGCAGACAACGCACGTCTAAACAGTACTGGACACATACCCAGTACGCTTTGTAGGTAGAAAGCTTCAAGTATTACTGGTTGTTCACTTCCAGGTTCGTACCAGCTCTATCTCGATCCACGTATGGTAAGCTGGACCACAATCAAGGGGGATATTTTTCGCTGCGTGTTTCATGTCGTCGGGTCCTCGGCACACGGTATTTAATCCAACCCAGGTACCGTAGGAAGTACGACTTTAGGGCGGTCTTGTTAGTCTCCAATGACTTCAGCGGAAATTCTACTGGCCCGGGACGACGATCTAGTGTCATACTAAGACTCCCGTCAGATTTCAGGATATGCCTGCGACACTAAGTTTCCAAAATCTTGGGCGCTGGGCACTCGAGATCATTCACACCAACCTCGGAAGGAGGTAACGCATCTTTCACAGCCGGCTTCCAAGGTTTGCCGTCCACGGTAAGAGGCCGGATAATGCATCCAGGTGTGCTCGGGGGAGCCCACGGGATCCCCACATATCAGAAGCGGATGGATGCAGGATACTTGGGCGGACGTCTGATTGGGCTGCCCCACTTGGGAGGAGAAAAGCATAAAGTTTACTCGGGGAGTATCATCGCAAGTCCCAGTCCGGTCACCCTGAGGTACAGCCAGTCATGATGGACGAGATGGATGGGGTTGCCCTTACATAAGACCTTCACACTGCATTTTGTTTCGCCGGAGCCAGCTAGGAGCTGCGAGGTCCAGCGATGAGCTCATCCTGACCGTATATGAAGTTTCATCTCCCCGTGAAGTGGTGGAATGAAAACGAAACATCAGGTGACTGTACCCCGCAAACCGGGGATCTGAAGAAACGGTGGAGCCGATGATCGCCACGGACCACTCTTTCACTCTGCGACTCGACTCTGTTTCCCACATTCCAACGGCCAGAAAGAGAAGTGTGACACGGTGATCATTTCCTTTCCTCGTGTGTTCCAGGAGGATTGACGCGGATCGGCAGTCCCCTCCAGGCCGATGTGGATGACGGCCAGTAAGGGACCGCAGGATCAAACACGTCTCTGATCGCCACAGGCCGGTGCAACCGAGCAGTCCTATCCAGAATCCGTCCTAGTATCTCCCGGAACAATGTGCGTAGGACACAGCTAGGACCCTAATCCCGGCCCACGGGTCTGCTGTACGCTCGAGGGGGGGTCTCGTGTGGACACGCCAGGAGCAGATGGTGGCGTCCAGTGAGATGACGCTTGCGGTTTTCAGTACTAGCGGGCCGGAATGATAACCCAATAGGCTCCACGGCATGAAGGGATCGGGTCTGGGAATTTCTTTTCATTTCTTTTCCCCCCATAGCAGGAGGAGGCGGGAATACATCAGCTCCGGCCATGACTAACCCCCCGTAAGGTAGAGATTAGAGATTAGACATAGTTAAGAGAGCCAACAAAGGAGGCGCAGCAGGGACAGGGGCCCGACGTGCTTACAAAGTACAAAAGTACGTAGAAATGCACGCTACAAAAAGTGGGATCCAGACTCGACGCCATAAAGTGTGAACTCTGTATAGCTGCACAACGTCATGAGCAAGGGCTCGGGGCCGACCCTACTTACTGCGGCCGCAGCAAAGAATGTGCTATAATGACCGTGGGCACTAGAATGCCATAGACAGCTGCCAACCTACAAACTAGCAATTCGGAGAGACAAAACGAGTGGTGCAAAAGAAAGACGCACAGTTGACCCAGTTGGGCCCTCCAATCACCGTCCGCGCTGCCTCCCCCTCTCCCCGTTTGGCTTTCACCCTCTTTTTTGAGTCTCCTTCCATACTCATCAAACGTCTTGATCACTGATTTTGTCTCCCTTTCTCCTGGGTCAGCCTCTGCTGGGCTTGATGTCGATGATCTTGCGCGTCCTCCCTATCGCGCCATTCCCCGCATACTCGCGACTTCCGTGATCCTCCGTGTTTCAAGTTCGACCTGCCCACACCTCACGGCGTTTCTCCCAGCGATTCGCGGTCGACCGATCGAACTCTCCGTTATTCGTCGACGCGACATGGCCTCTTGATACCACGGATGAATCGATAGCTTCAGCCCAAAGAGCACCCGCTCTGCCCACCAGCAGACGGTTCTGCTTGCACTCGACAAGCTGTTTGACTCGCTCTACGTGACTTCTGTTGCTTGATTCCGACCGTACACACTACTGCCGGTGGTCATTCAGCCTGCTTGACGACTTGAGACAGTATGGCGGACAATGGCTCTCCCAAACCCCAATTCCTCGCGCCTCCCGCCGTTACGGCCTTACGGCAAGAGGCTCGGAACATCAACCCGAAAATGACTCGGTCTATGAGCGACGACATGCGGGAGGAACGGGAAGACCTGAAGGAAGCGGCGGAACAAACGTTGAATACCATCGTGGATCTCGATCTGGAAGGCCGCATCAAATGGGTCAGCCCGTCGTGGAAGCAAGTTGTCGGATCTGCCCCGGAGACTGTCGAGGGCCGTATGATCTCCGAGATCCTCCTTGGTAACAAGGATGTCTTTCGAGACGCGATCGAGGCGATGAAAGAGGATGACTCGCGCAGTCGGTTTATTCGCTTCACCTTGCAGATGGGATCGGACTCGGTCCTGAAATACGCGCCCGAACCTCGTCCGACCAATATAGTGAAGGGCACCGAGGAGAAGACCGATGAAAACGCGGAGCCTTCGCAGGACGAAGGCGAACGGAGGAATGATGTCCTTCATATGGAAGGACAGGGTATTATGGTATATGACCGGACGGACGACGAGGCCGGACATGTGAGTTCCTCCGGAGTCCATGCTCTTAACCGGCAGCGATTAACATCTGTTTCAAATACAGTCTATGTGGATGCTCCGACCGTTGACCGAACTGCGAGAAGTCACAATCGATCTGCCGGCCCTCCTGGTGGAGTCGTTGGGTGTCGGTGCAGAGGTTCTAGCGAACTACTTGACGACACTGGCAGACGCCGCCGCGACCGAACCCGATCCCTCCAAGCACCCTGCTCCAACCCCCGTACTTTGTCGCATTTGCGAACGCCAGATCACGCCATGGTGGTTCGAGAAACACACCGACCTATGCCTCCAGGAGCACCGGGCCGAAATGGACGTACAAATTGCGCAGGAAAACCTCACTGAGCACCGGCATGCCATTGTGAAAGTGTTGGACGCGCTGGAAGTCCGGCATGGAAGACCGTTGATCGGTAGCGATGGCAATGTCTTGCCGCCCCCCCAGCCAGAGTACAAAGGATTGCCCATCGGGCCCTCCCCTGTCAGCTCGCAGCCGTCGTCAGCACCCGTGTCGGGCGTGAGCTCTGCCCCGGGCACCCCTCCTCGCTCGCGGGACCACTCGGCCTCTGGGATAGTTCCTGGACGCCCACGGGCGTTTACCGTGCGGCGACCGCTTGCTCGCATTGTGGAGCTGGTCCTTGACCTTTGCGATACTGCGTCAGAGATCAGCATGCCGGCGCTGAAGGAGTCCTCGCGGCCAGAGAATGGAGAGGACTTCCGAACACTATCTCCGCAATCCGAGTCACGAATCTCTCAAGTTCTGCAGTGGCAGTCACCCAGTTCCAACACGCTCGAGCAGGAACAGGGCTTAGCCGCTCTTTCATCGGACACGGAACAAGTTGCAAGGGCAAAAGTCGACGCCGTTGTTCGTCATCGAAAGATTGTCGAATACGCCGAACGTATTCGAATCGAATACACCGTCCTGGTGGAAGAATGCATTTCAGCTGCCCTAAGCAAAGCAGAGCGTATAGCTGCCGGCCAGCTTAGTGATTCCTCCTGTTCCTCGGAGGATGAAGCGGCCTCCCAGCCCACTCACATGGGCAGCAATTACGGCAGTACTGCCGACCTTGAGACCGGAGAGGCAGTGTCTTTGCAATCGAACCTTAGCCAAGAATCCCTGCCCTCCCAACCCCCACCGGCTGCACCTACACCAAGAAAACCAACATCAGCCCTGACGATGTCCATGCGAAACTCCCCAGACCCGTCGCTGATGGCGCAAGGAGAGAACAGATCTTCATCCACTGCGGTGTCAACGGGATCTAACAGTCCTATGGAATGCCCCACCCCTAGATCCCACAAGAGTGCAGCGGGCCTTTTGGGGACTTCGCAGCCCTCGCGGCATCGTCTGTCTTTGGCAGATATCGATGCAGGGGACAGCAGTGATAGTAGTCTACCATCATCCGTGTTTCCTGGCATGCGGACAGAGTCACCTTCGTCTGAGAGGAGTTTTGATCGAAAGCGAAGAAGCCTGGTGCTTCCCAACCTGTCAAGTTCTCCCCGTCGGCAGCCCTCCCCTGCTCGCGGCTCAGGCCCTCATTCTCCATTGAGGATGCCCAAGCCTCGTTATTCCAATGGACCAGAAGGTTTTCCATCACCGGTGGTTTCCCCCTCTATTTACGCCGGCGAGCTGGCTCATCATTGTCGCCATCATCGTCGACAGTCATCAGCAACCTCTTCAGATGTGACAAAGCCACCGCCATCGCCGCGGCTCTCTTCGGTCAGCCAACAGCCGCGTCCAGCGCCGCCATCGATCAAGGATTTCGAAATCATCAAGCCTATTAGTAAAGGTGCCTTTGGCAGTGTGTACCTGTCCAAGAAGAAGTCGACGGGTGAATATTATGCTATCAAGGTCTTGAAGAAGGCGGACATGATCGCTAAAAACCAAGTCACGAATGTGAAAGCCGAACGCGCGATTATGATGTGGCAGGGCGAAAGTGATTTTGTGGCCAAGCTGTACTGGACCTTTTCGAGCAAAGAATATCTCTATCTTGTCATGGAGTATTTAAACGGTGGTGATTGTGCCTCCCTCGTCAAGGTCCTCGGTGGACTTCCAGAAGATTGGGCCAAAAAGTATATCGCCGAAGTGGTTCTTGGAGTCGAGCACCTACACAACAGAGGGATTGTCCATCGCGATCTCAAGCCTGATAATCTCTTGATTGATCACACGGGCCATTTGAAATTGACTGACTTTGGTCTTTCTCGGATGGGTCTAGTTGGACGTCAGAAGCGGGTGCTTAAGAGTCCCAATGAGCCGGTCCCTGATCTACTTAGACAGGGCCCTTTCCCTCGCGCTATTTCAATTGCCTCCTCGCGATCGGCCTCCTTCGACTTTCAAGCGGGTTCTTCCCCTGGATCTACTCCACTTATCTCCCCAGAAGCAGCGTCCAATGTCCCCCAGCCGTCATATTTCAGTCTTAACCAGAGCGCCCTGAGTCGGCAAAGCTCCCGACGGGCATCTGGGTACCGCAGTGATAGCGCGGGGAGTGATAGTCTGAGCGGTATGTTCAGAACGTTCTCCCTCAACGATCCAATCAACGATCCCGCGGCCTCTTCCCAAAGCATGCTCTCCGGAAGTCTGGCCGAGGATGATGGGCAAAGCGACCCCGGAGAGTCGCCTCAACTTTATCCTTTGCAACCTTCGTTCAGCAACCCTGTAGCACAGAACACTCCTCCGCAGCAAAGCATGCTTCCTCCAGTGATGGCACTCTTCGACCCAGAAGATCACGACCGCCGTTTCGTCGGCACCCCTGATTATCTGGCCCCAGAGACTATCAATGGCGTTGGCCAGGATGAGATTAGCGATTGGTGGTCCTTGGGCTGCATTATGTTCGAGTTTATTTTCGGGTATCCCCCTTTTAACGCTGCGACACCGGATGAAGTCTTCGAGAACATCTTGCAGCGAAAGATCAACTGGCCCGATCAGCCTGAGGAGTTCACCACGCCGGAAGCCATGGATCTGATGAACAAGCTCATGACCTTGAATCCCCGTGAGCGCATTGGAGCTAACGTAGAGGAGAAGTTCCCCAACGGCGGTGCTGAGATCCGTCATCATTCGTGGTTCTCCGATATCAACTGGGACACTCTGTTGGAGGATAAAGCGGAATTTGTGCCTAACCTCGAGAACCCAGAGGACACCGAGTACTTCGATGCTCGAGGTGCCAGTCTCCAGGCATTTGCCGAGGAGTTGGAAGATGAGAATCCGTCACAAGAGCCTGTCACGACTGGACCCTATCCAGATCGACCTCATGATGCCCTGTTCAAGGTGCGCTCGCAGGTCAACTCGATGAAACGGCCCTTGATGCCACTGCACATTCCACCCCATGTTCGTGATGCCCGTGACTCGCGGAGCCGGAGATTGAGCGAGCCCTCCCCGGCCGATGACTTTGGCAGCTTCAACTTCAAGAACTTGCCGATGCTGGAAAAGGCGAATAAGGATGTGATCCAAAAGATGCGCCAAGAGGCCATGCAGGCGCAGCACCGGCAATCTTCATCTTCAGTCTCGACAGTCCAGACACCTTTGACGAATTCTCAGCCTTCCCTGGAGGGAAGCCCGCTCCCAATGTCTCTGCAGCGTACGCTCTCGCAGAATAAGGCCAATAACCGGCCGTCGTCGCCATCTAGTCTCAGTCAGGCAAACTCGTCTCCAAGCCGCCCGTCGCAGCCTTCTTCGCCGCTTTTGGTTCAATTCAGTACTGGCAACAACCATGAGCGACGCAAGACATCTGGATCTTCGTCAAGCGCGTCGCACCAGTCCAGTGGGACTTTCCCACCGTCGTCTCTTGAACAAGGCCGCATGCCGAACCTCCGACTTGGCTCGGTAGCGTCGTCTCCCGTCAAGGCCAATCGAATGCCTGCTCACTCCCCCGACAAGCATCCGTCCAGTCAAAGACATGGCAGTGCGCCTGCCAGCCGAGCTCGATCGCAAACCATTGGCTCTCAAGACGGCATCGACCTGACCGGACTGGGCAAAGAGTCTTTCGTGCCTTCTCACCACAAGCGCCGGAGCCAACTCTTCGATATCTCGCCTTCCTCTTCTGACAACGAGGATCCTCGCACGAAAGCTCTGCTTAAGGTTCAACGCCGACGACAAAGCTCGAGGCGGCTGTCCCAGTTCAACTTCCAGGATGGGCCATTCTTCCGCCCGCTTGATGTCCTCATTTGCGAGGATCATCCTGTCTCACGGTTAGTGATGGAACGCCTCTTTGAGAAGCTGAGGTGTCGGACCATTACTGTCACGAATGGTGCCGAAGCCATGCGCTTTGCTCTCAGTGATGTGCAATTCGACATTATCATGACCGAATACAAATTGCCCCAAGTCAATGGCGCCGACTTTTCACGCATGGTTCGTGAAACTCGCAGTGCCAATAGGCACACTCCAATCATCGCCGTCACTGGTTACCTGAAGGACCTTCCTGAGAACCACAACTTTGACGCGCTCCTGGAGAAACCTCCAACACTATCCAAGCTTACAGAAGCGTTGTGCAAATGGTGTTTGTGGAAGCCGCCACCCAAGGACTACAATCCCTCCCAACCCCTGGCAGTGCCCATACCCACTGCACGCCAGAATTCGCAGCCGCAGCCTCAGGATGACAGCCCCAGCTCGGCATCGTCTGGTTTTGTCCCCAAACCGCCTAGCTCCTACCGTGGCTCTAGTCGTGAGGATTCTGTCAGCAGTAGTGTCTTTGGTGATATGGAAAACATCAAATCGGACGAAGTTCCAGTGATCATCAGTCGCCACAACGATGATTGGGACCATGGCCCTGGTGGTCTCGGCATTTCCGAGGGTGCACACCCCGGTAGTCCAGACGCCAAAGCCGTGCCTATTCCCAACCTCCTCCATGCTAGGACTGCCCCTGCCGCAATGGACCCAAACGGTGCGCTCACGCCTCGCAAGCAACGATCCAGTGAATCCATACGTGCCAAGCGAGAGTCCATGGAGAAGAAGAGGTACGAGTGTGCCGAGTCGGGAGACGATGAGGACGAAGAGCTTGGCAATTCTCAGCAATGCAAGAGCCCACTCTCCCGTAGCCGTCGACCCGGCTCTAAGCTGGGAATTGAGATGATGCGAACCAACAGTCGCGGTAGTGTAGTGAGTGGCAGCGAGGAGCTTCTTAAGAAGGAGCGGGAAGCGCTACGAAAGCAACGAGACAGCGATGCCGACTCCGACGGCCCATTTGGATCACCTGGTAGCGCCAGTCTTGAAGACCGTTTTGAGGGACTTTGTATTCCTGAGGAGTCTGAAATCGAGGAAGCCGTTAGCCCTCGCGATTTGCCTATGCAGTCCTCATTGTCACCTCAGGGCCGCCGACCTTCGCTTACGCGCCATGACACCTCGATCTACTCTGGGTCAACCTCCAGCCTCTTCCCCAAGAGTAGCTTCGACCGCCTGAAGCATGGCCAGACCACACCCCCGAAGGAAGTGACCCAAGTCACGGCGCCGAACCCCATTACACCCGAGTTCAAGATCTCAGACAATATGTCGACGGCCGATTTTGGCTCTCTGGTTGACTCCGACTCCAGTCCGACGCGAGACTCCGAGGCAACACCGCGACCTATGCACCCCTCACCGAATCTCGATCCAGAGGAAACACCGCGTGCACCAGAGCGGTTCCGACCCAATCTATCGCTTCAACGATGATCGGTTCCTAAAATCTTCCGATACTGTTTTCTCTTTGCTTTTCTACCATTGCTTTTCTACCATTGCTTTTCTACCATTGCTTTTCTACCAACATAGTTTGCATGTTCGACATTTTACCATTTGCCTTCGTGTAAACATCTTTTCGTTTGTCTTCCCTTGCAATGTCTAGCGGACATGTCATCATACGCGTTCCTTCACGTCTCTTATGTCTATTTCTTGCCCGTGGCTACCGGAGCAGGGAGTTCCGGTCTATCTGTCTCTATTTTTACTCTTACTCTCATATGCGGAGTCTGGAATAACTGAACAACTAGTTCTTCGGTCTCGCGAGACTCGATATCAGCCTTCATCCTTTCAGCAGTAGAACGTTATTGGGCGTCTCGGAACGAATCCTGGTTGGCCCATGCCCGTTTTTGATCATCATCTCCGCAGCATCAAAACCTGTCGCCACAGGTCTAGAACCCTATCGAGCTATCCAACCGCAAAGACTCGGCACATAAAAATAAAAACCATGGACCCACCTCCCTCCCCCTGCCCAAATCATACCCGGCGAGACCTCGGGCAAACAGCTCTTGGAAGCGTCGACGGCCCTCACCCGACGATCCTATGTACTTTCCTGGATGACGCTCGGAGGCAAGTCCGCCTGCAGATCGAATACCCCATTTGCAGACCACATGCCACTTGCAGAGTGCATGCACACGCCCACCCGATCGGTGCCGATCGATGTGGATTTCGTGTGTGTGCTTGCGGGGACTATGCCTGTTTTCCTTTTATGGATCACATAGAGTTGTCAGATTATACAGTATACTAGCAGTGTTCAATTGGTTTTTCGGGGAGTTGATTGCCAGCTTATGTAGAGTTTGGGGATATCATGGATCATCAAAGTTGGCTTTGGGCTCGGTGTGGATGGTGACCCACATGGTCGCTGGACCCGTCATGGGTGATATCACCACTTCACGGAGCAGGAGGATTGTCATATCAATGAGATAGGGCACTTTTGCTAAAATTGGGTATACCTCGGTCAAGATGCGAACTGTGTATTGAATGATCTAGATTGAAAAATGGGCAGTTCCTGTTGGCCCCGGTTATGACTTGGTGGCTGTCGCCGCCAACGCCACCCAGTGGAGAGTGGAACTCCCCGTGGACCTGTCAGCGCAAAGATAGGCCAGGGGTGGGTGATTCGAAATGGGTGCACAATTTCTATGTTCATTACGTAGGTCTCTTGGCACTTTTTCGGCAGAACCGTTGCACTATGCCCAGTTCGCTAGATAGCACGATCCCGAAGTATAGACGTGTGCGTCGGCGAGGAACATTTCCAACGACGCCAATTGATTTCATGCACTGATTTAAAGCAGTAAATCGGATCTTGGCCCTCGAGCTCGACTCTTGAGCCCACAGCCCAGACTCTGCCTCATCCGCGACCCACCGCGACCCACCGGGTTTCACTTCGCGGCGCTTTTACTCCGATCGTCTCTCGCTCTTTATCCACTGGTCTCTTTTTTTCTCCATTAATTTCATCGTCGAGCTTTGCTTTGCATTGCTCTACTCTACACTCGCTTCTTAAATCTTCCTGGGGTGTGGCTACACCTGGGCTCACCACGGCTTCTTTACCTTTAATTCCCACCGTCTCTACAGGTTGATCCGTAGACCCAACTGACGGCTCCCCACAATCTTTCGATCGGCCTGGTGCCATCATGTCAAGCCCCGCGGACGAGCGCAAAACCTTCATCCCGCAAGAAAGGAAGGATAACGATGTCGACGATACATCGCCCTCGGACGACACCTATGTAACCGAACCCAATCCCAACGACCACCTAAAAGTCGATACGTCCTACGTGATTGAAGAGGATGATGAAGAGATCCGGATGCGCACCCCCTCCGCCCGCCGTGAGCAGGCCACTCGCCTCGAGGATGACCTTATGCTACTTCAGGCGGAGCGCGTGGTGTCGCGGTCCACCCAAGGTGAACTCGGCGAAGGTGAACACCAGTCGATCAGCCGGGTGCGATCGCGTCGCGAGCCCGTAGATGAGTTTGACGAGGCCACCAATCCGCTGCACGAAAAGGCCGCCGTCTATAAGCCCCCGGAGAGCCCCAACACCAAGCTCTCGGCCTTCGTCAAAAAGCTGCACCAGTCCAGCTTCATCGTTCGCTACGTTACCTACACTGTACCCGTCGTTTTGATCCTCATGGTTCCCCTGCTGGTCGGAGCGCTGAAGTATCCCAACGCCAGCGTCGGCGGTGTCCGATTGATGTGGTTTTCGATCTGGTTAGAAATCGTGTGGTTGACTCTGTGGGCGGGCCGAGTAAGTTGACAACGCGATCGAGGCTGTTCCACGCGGACGTTGCTAACAGGGGTTTTAGATTGTCGGCAAGTGTCTACCTCCCGTTATCGGTGTCGTGGCTAGTATTTTCACCAACAACGCGAAGAAATGGCGCGACATGGGCAAGCAGCTGGAGCTGCACGCGGCCTTGTTCTTTTGGTGGCTCGGAGTCGAGATTTCATTTCTGCCGACGATGAAGAACCACCACGTGGACGGCAATACAGCCACGCGCAGCTGGGAAAACACCTTCAACAAGATCATCATCGTCATTTTCGTCTGGACCATTCTCAACTTGATCGAGAAAATCATCATCCAACTCATCGCCATCAGTTTCCACCTGCGCACCTATGCCGACCGAATCGAGATTAACAAGTTCCAGATCGGCAGCTTGGTCAAGCTGTACATCTGGTCGCGCAGCCGCATCGAGGAGGAGGACGATGCCTTTCGGGAGAAGCGGATGGAGCAAGATCCCATCGGCACGAGGACTCCTCTCCGCTATGCGGGCAAGGCTGCGGGCAAGGCCCACAAAGTGGCCAAAGGTGCATTGAGCAAGGTCGGCAACAAAGTCGGCGACGTCGCTGGCGCTGTCGCTGCTGACTTTACGGGCAAGACTGCCAAGAGCAGCACCGATCCTTACCAGGTTATTCTCACCCTTTTGCGCACTACCTCTGGCTGCCAGGTCCTGGCCCGTCGTCTTTATCGGACCTTTGTTCGTGATGGCTTCGACACTGTTTTCTCCGGCGATCTCAAAGAGGCATTTGACAATAATGAAGAAGCTGAAGCTGCCTTTGCCATGTTCGATCGTGATATGAACGGTGATATCTCCATGGAGGAACTGGAAGCCGTCTGTGTTGAAATCGGCCGTGAGCGCAAGTCCATCACTGCATCTCTGAAGGATTTGGACTCCGTCGTGTCCAAACTGGACGATGTCTTTATGTTCTTTGTCATAGTCGTTGTGGTGATCGTTTTCTTGTCGCTGATTTCCACCTCCGCTGCCGGTGTACTCACTTCGGCCGGATCCAGTATTCTGGCTCTTTCGTGGTTGTTCTCGGCTACGGCTCAGGAATTCCTGCAATCCGTTATCTTCGTCTTCGTCAAGCACCCCTTCGATGTCGGTGACCGTGTCACCATCTACGGTAACTCCGGTGATGCTGGTCTCGGTGACGATTACTTTGTCAAAGAGATCACCCTGCTCTACACCGAGTTCAAGAAGATGCAGGGTCACGTTGTTCAGGCCCCGAACAGCTACCTGAATACTCTCTTCATTCTCAACCAGCGCCGATCCGGTGCGCTAGCCGAGGCGGTTCCGATTGTGATCAAGTACGGCACGACCATCGAACAGATTGATTGTCTGCGTCAGCGCCTGTTAGAATTCTGCCGCAGCGAGAAGCGCGACTTCCAGAGCAACATCCTGACCGAGCTGCGTGCTGTTACCGAGAACTTCTCGCTCACCTTGAACGTCGTCTTTTTCTACAAGTCCAACTGGCAGAACGAGGGTCTCCGTCTGCAGCGCCGCAACAAATTCATCTGCATGCTCATGATCGCCCTCCAGGAGATCGGCATCGAGGGTCCTCGCATGAACTGGCCGGGTGCCAAGCACGGCATGCCCATTCACCTTGCATACGGCAACGGGCCCGTACCCCCTCCCAAGGCAGAGGACGAAGCCCACGACGACGAAGTCGCCATCGAGGACAGGAATCTCCCCGAGAACAGCGGCTCCAGCACGAGCGTCTCCGGTCGCCAGCACTCCATCCTACGCAAGGGCATGAACACCGCCGCGGCGCGCGCCCGCGGGCAATCTACATCCCGGAAGCATGTCGACTTCTCCCTCGGCATGTCAAGCATGTCAAGCGGCGACATCATGGGCGACGTCTTCGAAGACCGCTCCGTGCAGGTCGGAGATATCGTGCGTACCTCGAATCGGCAGGCCGCCGAGCGTCGCATCCAAGAAGAAGCCGAGGAAGAAGAAGAGCGTCGCAGCCGGGCATCCTCTCGGACCTCCAAGAGCCGCCGGCCCTCCCATCAGAGCGCTCTTTCCCCCTCCGGCCGCCCCTCAACCGACGCGGCCTCCGCCCGCAGTGGTGCCTCGTCCATCTCTCGCAACCGCTTCTTCCGTCACCGCAGCAGCATCTCGCACAACCATCAGGATATGATGGAGCAGGGCAATGCGCCTATGCCGCCTCCGCCGGCTGTTGAGTCGGAGCACGACAAGCATATGTAAGGAGGGTCATTTTGAACCGGTCGGGTAATTCATGAACATAATTTTGTGAGCTATTTACATAAAGTACAAATTTTCTATATCTACATGGCCTGCATTTTCCCAACCTTGGAGTTGATTTGTTGGATAAATAATTTCTGTCCTTCTTTTGGAAGAATATGCCATCTCCGTATTCATTCTTGTTCTGTAGTGTCACTCCAACGTTCCACACTCGTAGAAGTATTCCATCAAGCATCATTACCGGGTTCAGCTTCCGTAGCATCACTACGAGGTTCCCCTTTCTTAGGAGGATGAAGTATTTGTCTAGTTTCATGATTTCAGTAATTTTCCAGGTTTATACCATGTCTCTGCAACCCCGGGGCTTTCATACAGGAACCAATTCCCGTTCACGGTCAGAATTCTCAGCTTGCCGTGCTACCGATTTTTCTCTCTCCAGAGTTTCGAGTGACGGAAAGATATTTGGAATATTCCGATGCTTATAATAGTAGGTTTCGTGTTTGATTTCGCAGATTTGCTGATTGGAATCCCGAGACTTGTGCGCTTTGCAGAAGTCGCGATTGCAAAGAAGACAATGCTCAGTTGTCTTTGACTCAGTGCGGGACAAAAGGCCGCCATGCTTTGCTGAGTTTCTGCCTGCCATTTGCTGACACACGAAGCAAAATGGCATGATGAATATTTGGTAGATTGCAAGAAATTGAATATTTAAGAAAGACGGTGAAAAAATACTGGAGACCTTGAAGTGGCATGTTCGATGTCTTATTTATGTCTTGATCCAAGACCAGCGACCTCGAATAGGTTGTTGCTGACTCCCAATAACCTCGTGCCACATATTAAGCCCCATTATACGGCCCTACACACCTACCAATCCCGTTGGTTCCAGCGAGGTCCCCCATCCCTGCAACGGTTTCTGATAGGAGCCTCACTTTTGTTGTTAGTCCAACGGGGACAATTCCTCTACTTTGGAACTCGAGGAAATCCTGATGAAATCGAAACATCGTGAGTAAATCGGTACAAGTCCGTCTCCCTTACTTGGGCCTACCAAGGTTGACCAATTTCCCCTAACAACTGGAGGGTTGCAGAGGTCAAGTGTTGAATGGATGGTTCCCCTGTCGGGTGGGTATTTCCCGACCGCCTCAGTGTGTAAATTTTCGGGGTTTCCCTACCGATTCCCTACATTCCAACAACCAACCATTATCCGGTCTCTCGCCGGTCTATGCATCATGTTTCGGTGTCCACATTGTGACAAGAGCTACCAGAGGAAGACACATTTGATTCGTCATGAAGCTACGCGTGAGTCCGGGAAACTTCGACTACAAGGATGAAAAGCTGACCGACTACTAGATAAACAGCAGCTCTCTTCAAGCTGTCCGTTTTGCGGGAAATCATTCTTGAAAACGTACCGAGGCACACCATTTTCTGTCTGATACAAATTCGCTAACCCGTTCACAGAGAGGTCACCCGAAGACATGCCAAAGCATGCGCGAAGAAACACAACCGGCCCGTCCCAGAAGCTGGGAAGGCAGGGAGGAAACGCCAGTCGTGCGACTCGTGCTTCGAGGCAAAGGCGGCATGTGATAAGAAATCGCCATGTTCACGTTGTTTGTCCCTTGGACGACCATGCACTTTCGTGGCCCAGCCATCGCCTTCCCCGGGGGCGACGTGCTCTGGCGCTTCGTCGCCTTCGTCGCCTTCACCATCTGCAGCAGCAACCTCTCTACCTTCAGCACGGCGCGATGGACCTTTTTCTTTCCTTCGCCACTTCGCCAATCCATCCGTTCAGAAGGACAGACTGGCAATTGGAGAGACCGGAAAACATTCTACGCCAAGGAATCTCGCAACGCTCTATTCTCACATTGAGGATGCGCTTATCCCTAGTAACCCGCTGTCAGCGTTTCTTGGGTTTGGTGAATATCCATCGAATCCGTTATCCGGAGACGACGGATTCCTCTCCGATTACTTGTCTGACGCCCTTTTCCCATCAAAACTCTCCAACCAATTGACAGAAATCACTTCAGAATTGGTCGAAACGTCTAAATCTATGAGGCTGGACAGTGATAACCCGGAGTTGGACATTATGCAACTTTCGGCTGTCTTTGGAGTTTCCAACATCTCGAGCTTCATATCCGTGTTCTTTCATGCCTTCCATTGGCATTTACCTATCGTCCATTCTCCCAGCTTTGATCCTGGCACGGTTTCAAATCCCCTTTTACTTGCGATCTTTCTTGCTGGTGCAGCATACAGCACAGCCATGGATGATGCTACTACATCTTCATCTTCTTGGATCATTGATGTCGCGGAGGAGTACATCTTTCGACAGGTCTCACACCTGTCGATAGTCCCATTACCCATGGAACCGGCAAATCTCCTACCGACCGTGCAAACGTTACAAAGTGCTCTGATTATTGAAATGCTTCAATTTGCACGAGATGATTTGAGCACCCGACGCCGCATTCGTATTATCCGTCATCCATGTCTGGTATCGACTGTCAGGTCGTTGGGGATCTTCCAGCTCAAACGGAGTACCATACCCAATGTTTGCGACGAAGGTACTTGGAGAAACTTGGTGGCCGAGGAGATGTGTTTACGGTATGTCATTATCTAATGAATGCTTCAACTAGCTATTCATATCATTACGGGGACATATTGCTGATTATCTTGTAGGATTGCTTCCTGGGCATTCCTTGCAGACGGGTTCCTTACCGTCTGTCTCAAAAACCACCCCGCAATATCTATCTATGAGATGAACTGTAACTTCCCGTGGAGTGCCGATTTGTGGGAAGCTGAAAGTGCGTCCGCCTTCAGCAAAATTGCTGCAGCACACTCAACAGAGCTTCCACTTCCACCTCTGCGGGAGGTGGCCACTCAGCTTCTCGAAATCCCCCAAACAGCCCCGATCTCTTGGAGTCTCTCGATATCCGCGGAACATCTCCTGATTTTGATTTATTGTACGTCAAATACATCACGTTCCTAAATGAACAGAGCCACCATGCTAATCGAAATAGCCATAAACTCTCTCGCCTTCCAGATTAGAGCAGGCTTACTTCCGTATTTATCGATTGAGAAGATCAGCCTTGCAGCCGAAAACTGGAAGCGGATTTGGGATTCCGTTATTGGCTCCCTGGACGATGACCAATACCAGCATCTTGGATACCCCAAGCATGCCGAGGAGCTTTGGTGGCTACTGAAGGCAACGTTAGATGTTACCGAGCAAAGTAGCATCAAGTTCCTATTTCTTGACAGCACTGCGACGGATGACATGGGAAGCCTCAATGAGTTCATTCAATGGTGTCATCGTAATTTCTCATGAAAGATGTATTATATGTACTATTATTATACAGTGTCAAATTAGAATAGACTTCTATCCATTTACTCCGATTTACCGACGATCTTCATTGGCCCATGGCTGTCCATGTAGGCCGCTCCATGACTTTCCATAAAGCTATCACCCTTTGGCTTGCGGTATGTGCCGCCCAAACGATCCCACAATGTGAGATATTGGCCGTAGTTATAGTTGAAATATAGATGGTGCATAGTGTGGCAAGAAGCGTCGTTGATAACCTTCGACCAAGTCACGTACTCGGCGTCGTCTGGAAAGAGTTAGAAACAGGACCACCACGGGACGTAGTTCACGGGACTTACGAATCAAGACTGTCCACATCGTGACAAACATGAACAATCCCAAATAAGCCACCTTCTGCAACGGAAAGATGAATGGGAAGACGTGATAAGGCAGACTTTGAGCCCAGCCGTCAAGCGGGTGGAAAGCATAACTGGCGAAAGGCGTGGGAACAACCCATTTGTGGTGAGGCTTATGCAACCAACGGTAGAGGCGAGGGTGGTGTTCCCATCGATGGATCCAGTAAATGCCGCTATCGGTGAATAGAATAAAGCACGGGTATTGAAGCAGTGTCCATAGAGAAAATGGAGCTTCGCTAGCAAAGTCATACAGCTTGGACCATCCCCGGACTTCGGCGAGGAAGAAAGGGACCGTGAGAGCGGACATGACAGGAATTGATGTCAAGGCGTGTTTGAGCTCCATCTGAATCTGGTTTTTCAAAAACCGCGGGTGACGCTCTAGCTTTTTGTCGAATAACGTGTGGTACATGATGTAGCTACCACCAAGGTAGAGAAATGTTGCAAATGCCCTGTTATGGACTTGATTAGATTTCCTTCCGAAGTATGGGATGTTACTGCTAAGGTAGTACTCACCATGAAAGCAGAAACAACGTCAGTGACTGTCTAGCCATATTATCACGCTTCCATTGGCTCGCCTCTGCCCATTTGGACGGTTGTAAAAGATAATAGAGATTGATATGTTGATTTAAAAGAGGATTGGCGACCCCTTCTTGGCCTGCAGTACCAGGAAGGGCCCAGGCGTAGAACCGATCGAGCACAAATGTGTCGAGAACATCTAGAATAACGTCCATAATGGCGTGGATATCGTCTTCATGGAAGATCACGTTGCCAAAAAAGGAGACAGAATCTTGACTTTATATCAAGGAAGAAGGGGATTCCCTACATCAACTTCATTCGCAGATCGCCACCGCGTACCCACATAACGGAATAACCCTACCACGGAGGCTCGGGACTCACCCACATCCATGATCAGGCCACTGGAAGCCGAGTACAATGAATCAGATGATTGTCTGGCCACGACGACTTCAAGTAAAAAAGGGGGCGAATTTCCTGATACCACAATGCCCCTATTCAGTCTAATGCAAACAATTTTTTGTACAATTGGCTGGTGGTCACAACCGTCAGGCTAGTCCTTAATCGGGAAAAGGGGGCCGATAGAGAGATTCAAAATCAGAAATGCAGACTAATAAACTGGTAAGCGACATCTTGCAGAATTCTATGGCTTTTCAATTGGCGCCTGGGGCTAGAAGAATGGAATAGTCGGCCGAGACCCCGAGTTCTGGGAATCCCAGCGATCGGTCGCAGTGGAGAAGGGGATGACATACAAGGAATCGGCACACCTTAAAAAGCAGCAGAAAGTGCCGCGAATTCTGACCGTTTCCCCATCTTAGAACACCCATCACAGATTTTCCTCAAAAATCACGGTTCACCAATTGCACTCTGACTGGCCAGCTCGGCGAAAGTGTCTCCAAAATACCCTGAATATGGAAAAGAGAACAGTGGCCAACAATGGTCAACAAATGCAACTTTAGTACACCTATTCTTGTTTAAAGACAGTCCGCGAAACTAGTCCCGTCCATAAATACCACCCAAAGGACATAATAATTCAAACGGCCTATCAGCAACGTATTAATGCAATTTGGTCAGGCACCGTGCAGTGAAAATCAGCCACCCTTATGCCCCGGCTTTTTTTAGCAGTTAATATCTCTTGTGATCACCTTGTAACTACCCGCATTTTTAATTCCAAGACAAGTCACAGAGCCACAATTAACGCTCGTGACAGTGGTACCGGTGCATCCTCTGTTGTCATGGACACAGAGTTTGAATTGTCCACCCCCCGTTGAAAGAATACCGGCTACAGCCATTCGCACTGAGGGGCGGGCAGCCCTCCGTGGAAGAACCACCATCAGTAGTGTCCCCCTTTCCACTGCATGCCTTTCCAGGCGAGTAACAGTTGAACGTGTATATAGACTGTAGATTCACGGAATCCGTCACAAGCTTAAGAGGAGCATGGAGAGCCAACGCTGACACAGATCCGAATAATGCCAGAAGGCTGACGGCAGCCGTCAAGAATCGGCCAGCATTCGAAACGTAATGATGACTGGGGGTTCGGAATGGAGCCATTCATCAAAGATGTTGCCAAAGATGTCGACGTCGTGGTCTGGAGAAGAGAAGGTGATAGTGTCCTCGGTACGCTCTGTCTCGCTTAAGTCTGGGTTGATCTTTTGAAGAGTCTCGGTGACGAGGACAATATCTTCGACAGGATCAGGGTTTTTCAAGAATCGTAGGTAGATGATTGTCATGATGAGTGAAAATTGGAGTGACTCGAAATATACTGTATATATAATCTTTCACTGTGGTAAAAGCCAGTTGTTTCGTAAGAGAGGAATGGAGGAAAAAGAGCTTTGTCAGGCGAACTCAGCGTCAGGGAAATTTAACTAGCTCAATAAGAGTTCAATAAAAACTGGGTTCAGGGAAGATGCTTATATGGTATTATCTCTTTCTCACGTTACATTGAAGGCAAGACAAACGGGCCAACCCAAGCTAACGGATTTTGTTAAGGAGTGGTCTCAGGAAATTAGAGAAAAGAATAGGAAAGATTGCATGACCTGTTGCCAGGGACACTGAATAGCGTTGATAAAGCCGACCACTTTTATTGGCCATTAAAATCAACGCCCTCTCCCCCAACCCACTCAATGAGACGCGCAGATTGGAACATGAAAACAAAAGCCAGTGACTCAAATCACGCTAGTCAGTGTAAATATTGCACCGAAATATTCAAAATCACAAAGATAGTTAACAATAAACGATATCGGCCTTAGGGCGGCAACGCCCAACAAGCAGCGCTGATTGATCCAATTGTATTGATCACGTAACCCAGTAACATCTATTCCATTTAACTCAACATTTGTCGCAAACCTAGCTACATAGTACAATATGTACTTGGGTGAATGTAGCAGTCCTGATCCGCGGGCTGGAGAACTTCCGCGCACGGGCTCCTGTCTAGGTAGGGCCCTCAGCCTCATCATCGTATCCTTTGGACACCGAGCTCCGATTTAGTCTGTTCAGGGTTCCGACTTGGGGGCCCAGCGATTCCAATGTACTCCAAGATTGTTTTTGTTTATATTAGATCATTTCTATAAACTTAACTAGGCATATTACCAACTTGGGGGTATTTTTGTTAAGCTTAATATATTACTTACGGGCGTTGTTGGGTAAGGTAACTATGTTTCTAACTGTTTATCGAGGATGTAAGCGAAAGAAGACGAAAGAATGGTGCAATTTGAAGCTATTGGCCCAGATTCGACGAGGGTATACGGGCGCCTATTGCAGGGTCACATCGCGCTCGAGATAACCCGTACGCTAAAGAAACGGTGGCAGCCTAGCAGGTCGACGCTCGGGTTTACGACAAGATTCGCTGACTTCCCCCTCTGATGGCGATCGCGGGCTTGTGTATGTGTCTTGGTTCATGTGCACTCTTTCTAAATATTTGAGTGCTCGCCCAAACTTGCTCAGCCTGGAAGGATTGTCCACACTTTGCCTTGAGAATTGTCCATACTTTGATTGCTTCACGCCTTGATTTTCTCTTTAACCCCCGGTGAATCTGTTGCGATTTGAAAGCTTTGTTCTGTCCGGCGTTTGCCTCCCGTTGTCAACGATGTCATGTCCTACTGGGAGCGACAATCAGTTTGGGCCTCGGGTCTTCAGCCAGTGTCGGCCATTTGACTTTACCCTCCTGTTCGAGGACGCTATATTTGGGATCTTACCTGCGGCTTCGTTCCTGGTGTTGGCTGCTTTCCGAGCTCCGGTACTCTTCCGAGCTCCAGTCAAAGTGACGTCCCATCGCCTGGCAACATCGAAACTGGTATAAATTTTGAAAGGACATAACGAGAAGAATGCCCTATTAACTCGATTCCAGATCACCCTCGTACTATTACTAGTCTTTCATATAGCGCAGCTCGCGTTTCAAGTCCAGGCCGCTCCGTTGCATACGAAGGCGTCACTCGCAGCGAGCATACTGCAACTCATCGCTGTAGCGACTTCAGTGATACTCTCATGGCTAGAAGACCAACGCTCAGTAAGACCGTCCGATTTAATGGTCTTGTATTTCTTTTTTGCCAGCATCCTTGCACTCCCACGGGCACGAACATTATGGCTTCTATCGCCGGTCACTCGCACCCAAGCCATTCTATGGACGTTAGTTACTGTCGGAACCTTCTTAGCCTTGGGCCTTGAGTCCATTCATAAGACCAAAACGGTCCGCTTGGTCTATCGAGAGTCAAGTAAAGAGAGCACATCCAGCTTCTGGGTTCGCAGCTTCTTCATCTGGGTTATTCCGCTTTTTCGGACTGGTTTCTCCTCCATTCTCTCCGTTCACGACATGCCCGACGTGGATCGCTCACTACAGGGAGACTTCGCCGAGAGAAGATTGCAAGCGGCATGGGCCAAGAGTGAGATGCATCTATTTACTCACTACAGGTGGGAAAGCTCACTAACTTTGAGAAAATCTAAGACACGAGATCTCACAAGCACAAACTGCTTAAAGTGACGTTCCAGGCATATCTTTGGCCATTCGTCAGCGCCATACCACCACGACTGTGTCTTTCCGTCTTCAAATTCTGTCAGCCTTTCCTGATCTCAGCGACCTTGAATTTTATCAGTGTTCCCTCCACGCCGGAAAACAAGCTTCATGGACCAGCGTTGGTCGGTGCATACGTGTTGACTTATATGGGAATGGCGGTAATAAAATCGACCCTCAATTCTGGACCAGTTGGGGATATGGGAACTCATACAATATTGTAGATATCGACAGCGGTATACTGGCGACAGGCCTTCCGATTCAACTCTACGGTCCGAGCTGGTCTCATCTCACTAGTTTACCGACAAACAACAAAACTGCACGCCAACGAGTTCAAGTCGAAGTCTGCCATCACGTTGATGGGAACTGACGTTGAACGCATCGTGCAGAAATTTCGAAGTCTTCATGAGACATGGGCTGGACCCGTGGAAGTGGCAGTCGGTGTATTCCTTCTCGAACGGCAACTGGGCGTGGCATGCCTTATTCCAGCCGTCATATCCATACGTATGTCTGAAACTAACATGCCGAGACTAAATCTGTCATTGTTGACTCGTATTAGTTGCCGTAATTGCCACCATCCCAGTCTCCAAAAAGTCCAATATCTCCCAGAAGCTCTGGATCGAACGCGTACAAACACGCTTAGGCGTGACATCCGGCATGCTGAATGATATGAAGGCAGTCAAAATGCTAGGGCTCCGAGAGAAGCTATTCAAAACGGTTTCCCTACTGCGACAAGTGGAACTGCGAGTGTCTGAACGATTTCGAGTCCTTCTGATCTGGGAAATTGCATTGTGTATGGAAATCCCTTGAACTTTCTGTTGTGAATGCTAACGGTTATATTTCTAGCGAATATGCCAATGACATTGGCACCATTCGCCACGTTTGCAATCTTTGCCATTATTCAATCAGTTCGCGGAGGCGAAACTCTTCTGGCAGACCGAACGTTCACTTCGCTGTCTTTGATTTCCCTGATGACAGACCCACTTCTCACATTTATTCAATCCCTCCCTGCACTTTACCAGTCTCTGTCCTGTTTTGATCGCATTGAGCAATACTGTACTCAAGCACCGCTTGACTCCCCCGCGGAAAATTCGTCGATCGGGGAGGATATCGAGTTAACCTCGACTTCTCCATCGTCCCCTAACTCTGTTCTCGAGTTCCACGATGCCAGCTTCTCCTGGTCTCAGGAAGCCTCTCCAATACTTTACGATCTAAACCTTTTCATCAAGAAAAGTAATATCACTGCAATTATAGGACCAGTTGGAAGTGGCAAGTCCACCCTCCTGGAGAGTGCAATTGGAGAGACCTTCCGAAAAGACGGCTCTATGTCTCCTTTCCAGTCCACGGTCGCCTATTGCCCGCAAACGCCGTGGATTATCAACGACACCATTCGTCAAAATATCACAGGCGCCGCTACGTTTGATCCAAAATGGTACAATTTTGTCATTTGGGCTTGTGCACTGGAAAATGACTTGGAAAATATTCCGGGCGGAGACATGTCCAGGGCCGGCAGCTCCGGCATAACGCTTAGTGGTGGTCAAAAACAGCGAATTGTACGTGACAGATTATGTCGTAATTTTAACAGCCTTATTGTTCATGTTTTGCTAACGAATTTTTAGTCTCTTGCTCGGGCCGTCTACTCTCGTGCAGCAACTTTGGTCCTAGATGATGTTTTCAGTGGTCTCGACAACAGGTCTGTCACTGCCATTTCTTCTCGTCTCTTTGCGGCAGATGGTCATTTCAAAGAATTTGGAAGAACGGTAATCCTAGTGACTCATAATTATCGCCTACTACCATTTGCCGACGAGATTGTCCTCTTGGACAGTGGAAGAATCACCCGAACCGGGACTTACGATCAGATTCGTTCAATTTTGCCAGAGGAAAAGACCAATGAGGTCAACGAAGATTCTCTCAAAGGTGACAGTGCAGTAATTGGAAATGCTACTCCAGTAAAAGCTATTTTGAAGATGGCCAGTTTTTCCGAGGAAGGCATCACCGACCTAAACATGACACGCAGAGAAGGAAAATGGTCCGTGTACGGATATTACTTTCAAAACAGCGGAAGAACTCTTACTGCGCTGGTTATTCTGGTAATTTTTATTACTGCATTTGTCGAGCAGTTCGCAAGTACGAATTATCTACCTGCGTGTTTCTCAATAACTAACGGCATGACAGCGGTCTGGCTGCAGCAATGGTCCAATTACAACGAAAATCATCCAAACCAAAATCTGGCGCTTTATGTCAGTGTCTATGCCGTCTTGTTTTTGATCGGAGCTTTCTGCCTTCTTTTTGGGTGCTGGTAAAGATTTTGATTCCAAAGGATGGATTCGGCGCTAACTTTGACACACAGGGCAGTCTTTGTCAGAATCATTAACAACACAGGCACTAGAATGCATGCGCACTTACTCCAGTCCACATTGAAGTATATCGATCATCTATTTATATCTAACTTGGCAGTCATGAGACTTGGTTAACTGTCGAATAGTGCACCCTTCAGCTTCTTTCAGAAGGTGGATGCTGGCCTGACCACAAATCGGTAAGGAACGACCATGGACAATGCGAAAGTTATTATGCTAATACGTTGTAGATTCAGCCAAGATTTGGAGCTCATTGACATGGACCTTCCGTTAGATGCCATAAACACGTCCATGGGTAAGTTTGTGCGATTTCACTCAGTTATCAAGCTAATGGCCTGGTCATAGCATTTGCTAATTGCGCTGTGGAACTTGTTATACTTTGTGTTATGGGCAAGTACCTGACAGTGACAGTGCCTATTCTGGCAATCGTTTTGTTTTTCGTTCAAAACTACTACCTCCGGACCTCGCGCCAGGTCCGACTACTGGACATCGAAGCTAAATCGCCACTTTTCACGCACTTTGTGGAAACCATGCAAGGAATCTCGGTCATTCGAGCTATGCGTTGGCAGGAACCCTTCCAGGAACGCTTACAAGAACTGCTCAACCAATCACAGAAACCATTTTATATGCTGTACTGCATTCAGCAGTGGCTTCAGCTGGTTCTGGATTGCATTATAATGGCACTAGCTGTCATTCTCGCGACGCTGGTCATCTCACTAAAGGACCAATTCAGTGCCGGCGCGATCGGTGTTGCGTTGAATTTGATCCTGGGCTTCAACCAGGATTTGATGCACCTAATCAGGTCATGGACATCTCTTGAGACCTCAATTGGTGCGGTTTCCCGTATTCAAGATTTTGTCAAAAACACTCCACCTGAGGACAAGGGCCAGAATTTGCATGCTCCACCTCCGGCCCAGTGGCCCGCTCGTGGAGAGGTGGTTTTCAGAAATGTTAAAGCAACATACAGGTAAGCTAGGCCCCTATTGATCATCCCAGATGTAGCTAATCTGGGATCAGCCCGAGATCTCCGCCCGTCCTGAACAACCTGTCCTTGAACATTCGCCCTGGTGAGAAGGTCGCTATCTGCGGTCCATCTGGTAGTGGCAAGACGTCATTTATCCTCGGATTACTGCAGATGATCGAAGTCCAGGAAGGCACGATTACAGTGGATGGCTTGGACTTATCTACCCTCTCCTGCAGTGCAGTTCGGTCCCGCATCAACGTGGTCCCCCAAGAGCCATTCTTCATGCCAGGAACCCTACGATTCAACCTAGACCGGGATCTAGAACAAAGGCCGGTCTCAGATTCATGTCTCATTCAGGCCCTTGAGACAGTGGGTCTTTGGAAGAAGGTCTGCAGTATTTCCTCCCGCGGTGGAGAACTTGACCAAGAATTGATGGTATCGGACTGGTCCATGGGTGAACGGCAGCTCCTCGCTCTAGCCCGAGCGTTGCTTACGAAGAGCTCAATTCTTGTCCTGGACGAAGCTATGAGCAGGTAAGTCAATCATAGGCCGGAATTGATCCATATACTGATGCCTGTGGCGTATGTTTCAGTGTGGATTGGAACACGGAAGCCATTATGCAGGCCATCGTCGAGCGGGAATTTGCCTCGCAGACTGTGATTTCTGTTATACATCGTCTCCAATACATTGAAAGGTTTGATTGTGTTGCTTTGTTGAAGCATGGGCGGCTGGTGGAATTTGATAGTCCGCAGGAGTTGCTTGCCCGGCCATCTGAGTTCCGCTCGTTCTACCACGCGAAAAAGACAGAGTGAAAGAAATCAAGGGAAATCTTAGGGATATAAATCGAGTTGCACTTGGTTGAAGCGTTTCCAACCTTGAAAGTTATTCCAAAGACATGAGGATTACGAGGAATCTTTTCTGAATATACTTTGGCATCGCTTTCTCAACGCTGTCGCAGGCGCTTTTTGACGATTCTAGAAGCTCTACACTGGCACAGGTGGGTATCCAGGAAGAGTTAGGAAGCGCACCTACCGAAACTCGGTCGTAACCTATCTCTGGGCTCCTCCTCTGGAGTCACTCGCATTCAACGGCAGGCTCATGTGTTTGAGATAGGGGCCAGAGTACACTGTAAAGTGTTTGGGTATATTTAGGTTTGTGTGAAGATACCAAATACACCCAACTGAGCGCTTTAAGCCAAGCAACCAAACAGTCTCCGTGCGCGGACCGCCAGTTTTAGCGGTTGGTTCTTGCTGATCAGGGGCCACGGCTACTTGCGACCCACTGCCTCCCACCTGGCACTTTCTGCTTCCCCAACTTCTCCCTGCCATCCATCCACCTCAATACTCCTACTCCTAGATACAACGCAACTCTGTTCATCATGCGAGGCGAGGTACGTGTGAATTACTTGCTGTCCAATCCCATCTCTATATTCCCTATACTTGTTTAACCGAGCCCCCCCCCCCCCCACTCATGCCCCTCTTTAAAGCTACCCCGAGCATAAGCCCGGTTATCCAGGCAATGCAAACAACAGGGGAACAGTATGCTAACGCGTCAATTGATTAGATCTGCCACATCCATATAGGCCAAGCTGGCACGCAGCTTGGAAACGCGGCGTGGGAGCTGTAGGTTTACTCACCGCTTGTCATGCACGATGCCATGGATTGACCTTCGATATCACGAATGCAGGTACCTTCTTGAGCACGGTCTCAAACCCGACGGTCGACGTGACAGCGACATCGCCGACGAGATCGCCACCAGCGCCAGACACGAGACCTTTTTCACTGAGACCGCCGGCGGCAAATACGTTCCCCGCGCTATCTTCGCCGATCTCGACCCGAGCGTACGTCATTCCCCGAATAAAGACATGCAGAATATTGATGGATGTTGATGATTCTGGGCTGTGTAGCCAATCGATGAGATCCGTACCGGCACCTATCGCCATCTTTTCCACCCCGAACAGCTGATCAGCGGCAAGGAGGATGCCGCCAACAACTGTATGTCTATGCAAATCAAGATGCATGAGCCGGGTGTTAATGCAATACAGATGCTCGGGGCCACTACACGGTTGGCAAGGAGATGCTGGACGAAGTCGTTGATCGTGTGCGCCGTGTTGCGGGTATGTATACGCTGGTTAAATCTATATACTTCACCGGTTAATCTTCCCCCAGACAACTGCTCCTCTCTACAGGGCTTTCTAGTCTTCCATTCCTTTGGAGGTGGCACGGGCTCTGGCTTCGGCTCTCTTCTACTAGAGAACCTAGCCCATGAATACGGCAAGAAGGCCAAGCTGGAGTTCTCCATCTATCCCTCTCCCCGCGTGTCGACCGCGGTCGTGGAACCATACAACGCGGTGTTGTCCACCCATAGTACCATCGAGCACTCCGACTGCTCTTTCCTAGTCGACAATGAAGCCGTCTACAATATCTGTCGCCGTAATCTGGAAATCCCCCGTCCTGACTTTGAACACCTGAACCGCCTGATTGCCCAGGTGGTCAGCTCTGTCACCTCGAGTATGCGTTTCGACGGCGCTCTCAACATCGATTTGGCCGAGTTCCAGACCAACCTGGTGCCGTTCCCGCGTATTCACTTCCCGTTGATCTCATACGCACCGGTTATCTCTAGAAACCGCAGCTCCCACGAGAGCTTCAAGGTGCAGGATCTTACCACCCAGTGTATGTGACCAATCCCACACTGAACCAGCTCAAGCTAACAGCATTCAAGGCGCCGAGGCCGAGAACCAGATGGTGGTCTGCGATCCCCGCAAGGGCAAGTACATGGCCGTGACCCTGATGTACCGGGGCGACGTCGTGGCAAGCGACTGCACCCAGGCCGTGACCGCACTAAAGGCCAAACCTTCCTTCAACCTGGTCGATTGGTGTCCCACCGGGTTCAAGCTGGGCATCAACTTTTCGAAGCCTACGCGAGTCCCAGACAGCGAGATGGCCCCTGTCGATCGTTCGGTCAGCATGCTTTCTAACACGACGGCTATTGCCGAGGCCTGGGGCCGACTGGACCACAAGTTCGACCTCATGTATTCCAAGCGCGCGTTCGTGCACTGGTATGTGGGCGAGGGCATGGAGGAAGGCGAGTTCAGTGAGGCGCGGGAGGATCTCGCAGCTCTGGAGAAGGATTACGAGGAAGTCGCCGGAGACTCGATTGAAGTCGAGAGCGAGCACGAGTACTAGGTTGACTTGTCTTTTGCTCCCTTGTTTACACATGTCCACGCCATTCGTTACGCTGTTTGAATATATGCGCACCATGACATCCCCTTCAGTTTTGCACTCCCAGCGTTATTTGACCCGTGTTGGACAAAATGTCGGCACATTTCAATGTTCTCGAGGACTTCGAAATTCAATGATTATTCTTGCTCTAAATCGCTTGCCCTGAAAACTAATTTAACCCCCTGTAGCAATGCAAAACACCGTCCGAATGCCCGAGCCTATGCGACCGATAATGCAAATATGTGTATGTTCCTCAACCCAATGCTTCCAACTCCATCTCTTGGAGCAACTTCAAAACCCGTTCGTAGGTCCACATCGTCACCGCGCTCGCTGGCGCCGCTTTCAACAAGCTCACCGTCAGGCCACGGTATAACCCTCGCACACCTTGTGTGCGCAAGATCATAGTGATAGACCTGATAACCCCATTATATTCCGGAATATTGCGATGCACATAGCGTGTGCGAGTCGGGCCCTGCACCTGCAACCGCTTCCTCACTAGGTCAAGTGGGAAGACGCCGGTCTTGGCGAGTACACTGGCCACGACGCCCGCCGCGGCATCGTTTGTGCCGAAAGGCAGGGAGTCAAAGTGCGCCATTGTCGGTCTCAATCCCTCGTACGCGGTAAAGAACAATCCCATGTAGGGGACGATCTGCGCCACGGCGGCGGAGCAACCGCGGAAGAAACCCGCGGGGCCTTCATGTTTCGCAATGTCTTTGATGGAGCCGAACAACGAGCGATAGATGCGTTCCGGACCCTGCGCTGCAAACCGTGTACGCAGGAGATCGAGCGGGTATGTGGTAGCCGTGGAAAGACCGCCCGCGACGGCACCGGAGACGAATGATTCACCGGAGGGAGGGAGGCGATATGGTAATTCGGCCAGCGCTTGGGTTGTAGCACGGTATGCGGTGAACTGGAGGGCGCCATAGCAGACATACATCATCTCGGCGGGGATATTGCCTTTCCAAAGACCCTGAAGCATGCTGTTAGCTTATCTCGTCCCGAGCTTCTTGAATCACTCCGGCTCAAGATGACGTACCGTGATTCCCTCCTCCCGCGCAATCGCCCTCAACGTGGACAGCGTGCCCTTGTAGACGGGTCCGACGACCGTCCGGTGTGAGACCGGGTCAGACAGGGAGTGTATCTGCAGCTGCAGACGAATCTTGACGACGTCCAGCGGCGCAATGCAGAAACGGGAGATCAGCCCTGCGGTGCCGCCGGCCAGGACGACCTGGCGCTTTGTACCTTCATCTTTGAGATGGTCACCACCGGCAGACATGTTGGAGTGTTGTTAGGAAGCCATTAGTGATCGAGGGGGATCCCCGTGTTTGTTGATTTTTCCTGGGGCAAAAACGTAATTGAATCCGCTTTCGAACAACGGCCGTTTGCGGGTAAATTTGAGTCTGGAACGCGGTGGCCAGGGGCTCACTGCCTTGTGGCCTTGGCCCCCGAGGAATGTGGCAGAGAGGCACTCAGGCACCCAGGCACCCAGGCACGCATCTCACGAGCCTCGGTTTACGGTTTACCGCAACACGGCGGGCAACGGGGCCTTGGCGGGTAATTTAAAAGGCAATCCGGGGTCATCACATGTGCCCCTCTTGTCTCTCTCTTTTCCGTGTATTTTCCTTTGTGCGAGAGCTTCCCTGCAATGCGCCTGCTCCCTCCAATTGCTCTTCGACGACTGTCCCGGGTCCTGGCTGGCCCTGCCCCGAGGACTTTCGTCTCGTCGGCTACACGGCGCAATGTCCAACCTTCCCCGAGAACGCCTCCGGCTGGCAAAGCGCCCCCGGCCGGTGGACCACGTAGCCAGCTGCCCTCGATTCCCGAAGTTGGAAGCGAAGAAATTATTGTCCGCGATGGCAAGGAGGTGGTTCTCAGAACGTTCCAGCATCCAAGGTCCAGTCTCGGCAAATCGCAAATGACCACTTTGGAACATACCTTACCCGCCAGAGCTCATCTCCATGAGACCCAATTGTCTCTGGCTAGAGACACGGAACGGCCTTTCTATCTCCCATATTACTACCTCCGTGACCTGTGCAAATGTCCGCAATGCGTGGATCCGCACTCGAATCAGCGCTCGTTTCGCACACACGATATACATACAAGTATTCACCCACGGCGAGTGACTTGGGATGGCAAGGATCTGGAGATTCAGTGGAACAACGATATTGACGGATATGAGCGAGAGCATACGTCTCGCTGGCCATATCGCTATCTCCGGGACCCCATTAACAACACCCACGACAGCACCCACCCCAACATGAAACGCTTTCTTTGGAATGCGGCGGATATGGAAAAGTATCAACATTGGATATCATATGAAGACTACATGCACAGCAACAAAAAATTCACGCGCGCCATGAAGAGTTTGTCCTCTCTGGGTCTAATCTTTGTCAAGGATATCCCTTCGTCACGCGAGATGGTGGAAAAAATTGCCACGCGCATGGGCCCACTGCGGAATTCATTTTACGGATCGACATGGGATGTGCGTACTGTGCCACAGGCAAAGAACGTGGCCTATACCAACCAGCACCTCGGCTTCCACATGGATCTTCTGTACATGAATGAGCCACCGGCCTACCAGCTCTTGCACTGCTTGGAGAACTCATGTGAAGGCGGCGAGTCACTGTTTGCGGACGCCTTCAATGTCGCAGACAGGATGAAGAGAGAGTTATACCGGGATTACAAAGTCCTCTTAATGAAGAAGGTTGGCTATGAGTATGTGCACGAGGACTCAATCTACCACAACACATGGCCTGTATTCGAACGGGACCCAATAACAAAGCATTTGCGGAACGTTAACTATTCGCCGCCTTTCCAATCCGCAATTCCCACCTCGGAACGCCCGGACGGTCGCGGACAAACCCTCGAGGGATTCAGTCCGTTCAAGCGAGCCATGACCCGCTTCACGCAGGACCTTGAATCCAAGGAGTCTGTGTTTCAATTGAAGCTCAACCCTGGCGAGTGCGCCATCTTTGCCAATCGTCGAGTCGTCCATGCGCGCAATAAATTCAATACTACGAACGGTTCACGCTGGCTCGCCGGTGCCTATGTCGACGAAGATGCGATGCTGTCTCGCTTTGCTGTCTGCAGGAAGAATGATTTGGACGCCTGGATTCAAAGTGATCCACGGGTTATCAACGACCTAATGCCTCACAAGGCTCGGAAGAGGTCGAGCGATTGAACGCTCTACGGTGAATTGTTTCATAGACCGAGGAGTTTTTCGTTGGAAGTGCACTACACATAATGCCTAGGCAGTACATAGATAACTTCACGCGAATAGAATGAAAGGGGTGGAAGTCCATGGGCTCCAAGGTAGAGCTAGCCCACCTCAAGTATGCAAAGATCACTTCCGGACTACACATCACGTTCCTCCAAACATTCTCTTGAAAACCAGCCCATCCACATGCCAAGAGATATACAAAGCATTAAACGACGTCGAATTGAAATGTCTTTTCAGGTCAAGGAAAAACGTTTATCATCACGGTAGATTTTCAGGCATCCAGCCCCCGCGTCATGGGTATCATGCAAGGACCAGTTCTCCTAAGCCACGGGCTTGCTGACCGAGTACTGCCCCATGAAGTCGGGATCGGCGTTGATTTCCTCTCGGACCTAAAGTCAAAGCAATTAGCAACCATGTCCTGCAATTGGACAAATCAGAGGCACTTACGATATCCAGCCCACCAACCAACTCGCCGTCAACCCATAATTGGGGGAATGTGGGCCAGTCGGCAAACTCCTTCAGACCCTGCCGGACATCTTCATCGGCCAGGATATTGAAGAAACCATACTTGATGCTGCGCTCACGCAGAATACCGACCAACTGCCGACTGAAACCGCACTGAGGTGAACTAGGCGTACCCTTCATGAACAACATAACAGGGGCAGCCTTAACCAATTCGGTAAGGCGGGCGACGAGAGCCTCCTTCGACTGTTCGGGGGTAAGAGCCGGGGCGGCGGGGACAGCGGTAGCATTGGCACCGGGGCCAGTGGGGGCACCAGAAGTGAAGGGCGACTGCGTAGCCATCACGGGACCATCCTCACGGGGCACGGCGGAGAGCGGCGGGGGAATAGCGGATCGGTTGGCACCGTCTGCGGGAGAGCCGCCGGCATGTCGCTCGAGAGCATCGCGGACCTTGATAGGGTCGGAACCGCTAATAGACTCAAGAACCTGGCCGCTGCGAAGGCAAACCACGAAGGGCACCGCAGACACGTCATATTCCTCCGAGATGTCGGGCAGCTCTTCGGCGTTGATGCTAACAAACGAGATGGTCGGCGGGGCAGTAGCGGGGTACTGCGAGGCAAGAGCGGAGAGAACAGTGCGCATTTGCGCGCAGGGCGCGGCCCATGGCGTGTAGAAGTAGAGGACGACCAGCGCGGAGGGCGAGAGTGTGGCCAGGTGCGAGGAGAAGTCGGCCTCGGATGTGATTTCGGTGAGCGCCGACATGGTGCCGGGGTGTGTGGAGAGGTCTAGAGACGGAGAGAGAGAGGAGCGGGAGGTCAGATAAGATGACGTGAACCAAGAGCTCTATACAGGACTCAAGCGAGGTGAAAGTAGGGCAGCGACAATGACGTCCAGGAAGAAAGCTCTCGTGCCCAATCGAGGGGAATGAAGATCGATGGCGTGACGAGGGCGAATTTTCCGGGCGATCGCCGTTATCAGATTCGTATTGTCGTATTGTTTTCCGGTCAACGGTCGGTATTTCCCACTGCCGGTTTCAATACCTTATCGTTATCTCCTCGTGATCGGACATGTCCATTTTCGCGATTTTCGATCCGTAGCTTGGACTAAGCTCTCAATCATGGCCGGCCACAACAAACGAAAGCGCCAGGACGAGGATCCTGAGCCCATTGCCGAGATGGTGGGCAATGACTTCGGCGTCGCTGACACTTTATCACGCCTGCAGGGTGGCTCTCCCACGGAGTCCAATGGATCCAAGGGCCCCGAGGATGGGCAGCATCGCAAGGCGAAGAAGAAGCGCGTGGATGGTGCAAAGACCAAGTACCCGGACATGACATATGTAGATGGGAAGATGCAGTCGTCCATCCGCATCGCGGACCTACAGGGTCTACTCCTCTATTGCTTTGCAGATGGTGTCGCACCGCAATGGATCTCTATCAAACACTCTGGACATATGCGCAAGGTGGTTGTTCTGATGGTTCCCGGCTTGGAAATCGGAATGTTTGACGGCACAGTCCCGTTAGAACCCATTGAGACTAGCAAAGAGCAAACAACCGAACTATCCGAAGAAGCAGACCAGTCCTCCGAAGATAGAAAGGCCGCCGACTTCCAGAGATGGAAACAAGGCCTCGGACCCCCAGATCGATCTCATCTCTTCAATCCTCGCCCTCTTTCCTCCGACACCCTCCCCGAGCCCTTGCAACCAATGGCTGAGATGTTCCCGCACGTCTGGCCTGTGAAAGCCCCGGGTGACAACAAATACAACAAGGTGCATTCGCCTTTACAAGCAATCTTGCTATCATCGCTCCCCAAGTCAAAGGATGGGGACTCGAAACAGAAGGGCCCGCGAGCGGCCAAAGTTGAGAGGGGCTTTGTGGTTCAGCGAACGCCTATTACAACTTTCATCCACTCTGCGCTCGAGCTGGCCGAAAGCGAGTACCCCTTACATCCCGCCCTTTTCCCGACAGACCAAGAGAAGGCATCTCACGCCGAGACTCGGCGTCGCAATGGTCAAACTGCAGAGAATGGATGGGTCGATACCAACGTCCCGAGCCTGGAGGCCGGCGATGTGCCGGACGCTGAGATTGAAAAGGGCAGCGCGACTGCTGGCAAGGATGTATTGGCCGTTGACTGCGAGATGGTGAAGACAGAAGGCGACAATTTCGAGCTCGCTCGTATCAGTATCGTCAATTGGGCCGGCGAGGTCGTTCTTGACCAGCTGGTGAAACCGTCGCGGCCTGTGGTCGACTACCTTACAGCGTTCTCAGGCATGACCGAAGAGGGGCTTCGGGATGTAACAACAACGATTGATGATATCCAAAAGCGATTGCTGGAGCTCATCACCCCTCGGACCGTGCTGATTGGACATTCCCTTAACTCCGATCTCACTGCACTACGTCTCACCCACCCGTTTATCGTGGACACTACGATCATCTACCCTCACCCGCGTGGACCACCTCTGAAGTGTGGCTTGAAATGGCTCTCTCAGAAATATCTCAGCCGCGAGATCCAGAAAGGCTCCAACGGCCACAGCTCGGTTGAAGATGCTCGGGCCGTGCTCGACCTTGTCAAGCTGAAATGCGAGAAGGGCGAGCGCTGGGGCACCAGTGATGCGTCAAATGAAAGCATCTTCCGTCGGCTCGGACGGTCTATCAAGCCGGGCAGGAACCCTGGCGAAGGACGAACGGGCGCAGTGGTGGACTGGGGCAATCCCGAACGCGGCTTTGGGTCGCAGGCGACCGTCGCAATCGGGTGTCGTGATGACGAGGATGTCGTCAAGGGTGTCTCGGCCGCCATTAACGGCGATGAGTCCAACCCATCCATCCCAGGCGGTGGTGTCGATTTCGCGTGGGCGCGTCTCCGCAACCTCGAGCTGCTGCGCGGCTGGTGCACCCGTCTCCCGGACGCCAACAACGCCAACGAATCTACGACCGTGGCTCAAGAAGAATCCTCCAATGATTCAACGACAACACCCGAAGGCCTCAAGGAAGTCGTCACTCGTACCGTGTCCGACATTTCCCGCATCTACGAATCGCTCCCTCCCTGCACCATGTTCATTGTGTATTCCGGTACCGGTGACCCGAGGGAGGTGACCCGTCTCCAGGGGATGCACAAAACTTATCGCGAAGAGTTCAACTCCCGCAAGCCGTGGGATGAGCTGACTGTGAAGTGGACCGATACCGAGGAGCAGGCGCTGAAGAAGGCTTGCGAGCGAGCTCGTGAAGGATGTGGATTTATGTGTGTTAAATAGACTCAAGATACCTGATCCTGATCTCTGAGGATTTTAATGACAAAAATGATCCTGCATGTACAAAACTGGTTGCTGGATAGAAAGGCATCGAAAATGAGATTTACCTTCATAATCCCGCACACTCTTTCTATCTACCGGTAACCTGACGGCTGGTGTCTCCAACGATCTAGCCCGTCTCGGCTCCCATACGGGGCAATTAAACCATTTCGGATACGATTGTCCGATCAGTCAGGCGTCCGCGCCATACCTTCCCGAGCCGGGGAAGCAACCGGGCACGGCCACGAAAGATAGTGGCAAGGACGGACATTGAGGGGTGGCGGAGTGGATTATGGCTTCGGATTACCGGTGAGCACCCAGGATCTTTGGCAATTGGAAAGATCGTCACGACGAGGCCAAGTTTTTTATCTGGAATATACCCCCAATCAGGACGGCTAAGGTTATCTGGCACGGATACGACTACCCAATCTGGCTAAGCTGGAACTCATCCGATGCCTCAAATGGTATTGGCGATCCCCGTGTGCATTAGCGTGGTTGGTCCAAATTGCCCTGGCGGCAGGAACGGAAGTCAAATAACTAGGGAAATTGAGTTGAGGCTGGATCCGAGGGATTAGACAAGGTTGCGGCGAGGAAAGTATCTTGCATTTCGCCTATCGTCATTGGATCCGAGCCTGGGCTAAAATTGTCAGGCTACGCCATGAGCTGAGGCGCATAGCGTCATCTTTCACTTTAGCCTTGTCACACGGGTCTCAAACCAGAGACACGGAGTTTTCTTGCACTTTCCCTCGATTCTGGTGAGATTTAAAGGCTGATGTTGCCTCACCTCATGGCCTCGATTGGCCCACCCCCACGTTTCTGCCGTGAGGAATATTTCCAACATTCACAATGACTCTCTTCGATAAGGAGGTGATGGAGTATGAGGAGAAAGGAATCCCCGAACCCTCGGCTGACAGTCCCGATGACCATATCGGCACCGTCATCGACAACACGGACAAGCTCAAGCGGCACTTGGGCAACCGCCAGATCCAACTGATTGCCATTGGTGGATCCATTGGAACTGCGGTCTTCGTGACTATCGCATCTGGTCTGGTGAAAGGTGGCCCGGGGAGTCTTTTCTTGGCCTATGTGATTTACTCATGCATGATGGGCCTGGTTAATAACTGCATGGCCGAGATGGCCGTCTTTATGCCCGTCAGTGGTGCCTTCATTCGTATGGCTGGCCACTGGGTGGATGAAGCAATGGGCTTCTGGGCTGGTTGGAACTTCTTTCTTTACGAAGTCCTTCTGATTCCCTTTGAAATCTCGGCCTTGAATCTTGTTTTGACTTACTGGCGAGACGATATCCCCGTCGAGGCAGTCGTTGCTGCTTGCATCGTTCTCTATTTGTGAGTTGCTATTCCGTTGACTTTGAAGTGCAAATAATAAATGATTTTAGTGTTCTCAATGCCTTTACCGTCAAATGGTACGGAGAAGCCGAATTTTGGCTCGCAAGCGGCAAGGTGTTATTGATTCTGATTGTCTTCTTTTTCACCTTTATTACGATGGTTGGTGGAAACCCCAAACACGATGCCTATGGCTTCCGCTACTGGAACGAGCCCGGTGCCTTTGCCGAATACATCACCACGGGTCCAATAGGTCGCTTTGAAGGCTTTCTAGGTGCTGTCTGGAGCGCATCCTTCACAGTCGTTGGCCCTGAATACATTTCTATGATCGCCGGAGAAGCTAAGCTTCCCCGACGCTATCTAAAGACAGCCTTCAAGACCACCTACGCCCGATTTGCGTTCTTCTTCATTGGAAGTGCCCTCTGTGTGGGCATCGTTATTCCTTATAACGATAAGTCACTGCTAGCAATTCTCTCCGGCTCGGCTAGTGGTTCAGGCACAGCAGCCGCATCTCCCTATGTTATCGCCATGAAGAACCTCGGCATTAGCGTATTACCTCACATCACCAACGCCCTGCTCGTGACTAGTATTTTCTCCGCGGGCAACGCCTACTGCTATTACGGAACCCGCAGTCTCTACAGCCTCTCGATCCAAGGGCAAGCACCCAAGGTCCTTCGCAAATGCACCAAAGCCGGAGTCCCAATCTACTGCCTATGTGTCGTGATGATCTTCCCATTCCTAGCCTTCCTGAACGTATCCAGCGGGTCCGCCCAAGTCCTCACCTGGCTAACCAATATCATCACCGCCGCCCAAGTAATCGACTATATCATCATCTGCACGACATACCTCTTCTTCTATCGAGCCCTACACGCCCAAAACATTGACCGCCGCACCCTACCCTACTACGGTTACTTCCAGCCCTATTCCGCATGGATCGCTCTCGTGTGGATGATCTTCGTGGTCACCACGTATGGCTACTCAACCTTCCTTCCAGGGCAGTGGAGCGTTAGCGGCTTCTTCACTTACTACACTATGGTTCTGGTTGCGCCGGTTCTGTTCTTCGGGTGGAAGTTAATCAAGCGCACGAAACTCATCAAGGCACATGAGATGGATCTTGTCTGGGATCGCCCTATTATTGATGCCTATGAGGCTACTTTCACCGAATATGCACCTGGCTTTTGGACTGAGGTCCTGCAGTTGGTTGGGCTCCGACGGAATCGCAAGGAAGAGCAGCATATCTAGGACAACCCAACGTGATAGTCACATTGTATGTTCTTGGAACAGACACTTGGGATAGCTTTTTCAAATTAACCTAGGACTTATTATCGGATCCTGCACTCCTGTTAATGTTTGATATATAGAAGCCAAATGTGACGGTGATTCCCGGTGATTCGGTGATCCACAAGAGCATCACTACAATCCTAGTCTTGCGTAGACGATTCAATTCCTGTAGCAGCACGTCTAGAAACTCGTGGGGTCTCCAAGTTCACGTCAAAAACGGACCCACCACGCCGCATTTCCACATCCGGAGAACCTGCCCCACCGCGGCAGATGTCACAGGGCGTACGCTTTACGGTCCCGCAGTAGACTTAAAATGACTTTCGTCGGGGAAGGAGCTTCTTCACTCAGTCATTCAACCTTGGAAACCGAGCTTCTACCACCGCAATCATGGACGAGTTTGAAGTGTCTTCTCGGGAGAGTATCTCCGATCACCACGAGGCCAATTTACCACCGGTCGACAGAGGCAAACATGCATACCTGTTCCTCGCCGCCTGCTTTATATTTGAGGCTTTGATCTGGGGTATGATAAACCCCGATGAGTCTTGGCATGTTTCCAAAACAAAATACTGACTTGATGTACACATGTGCAGGATTCACTTTCTCATACGGAATTTTTCAGGACTATTACAGCACCCATGAGCCCTTCAAGAGTTCGGGAGACATCGCTGTTATTGGTACCTGTGCAATGGTCCGTTACGAGTCCCATATACTCGTCTCCGCCCACCACTAATATTCAACAGGGCATTTCGTACATGTTGCTCCCGGTAGTCTTCATCTTGCTGCAGGCATTCCCCCGCATGAAGTTATGGGCCGCGCCGATCGGGTTTCTCATTATGTGTCTAGCCCTCTCGATGAGTTCATTCGCCACCAACACGGGTCACCTTATCGTGTCGCAGGGTGTTGCCTATGGCATCGGAGCCAGTCTGGCCTATGCGCCCACCATCGTTTTCATGGATGACTGGTTCGTGCAAAAAAGAGGGCTGGCCTTTGGGATTATGTGGGTGAGTATTCTGATTGACATCCACGCGTCGATTATACTTAACGCATATTTTGCAGGCTGGGACGGGCCTGTCGGGTGTCATTCTCCCCATTGTCATGCAATGGCTTCTCAACACCTACGGTCACCAAACCGCGCTGCGGGTCTGGTCAATTGCCCTGATCATCATGGGCGGTCCGCTGCTTTTCTACGTTCGCCCTCGTCTACCAATCTCCCGGTCTTCTCGTACCCGGCCATTTGATTTCCGCTTTCTGTGGGATACAACCTTTTTGATTTACGAAACAGGCAACATTCTCGAGGCGATGGGCTACTTCCTCCCGACTATTTATTTGCCTTCATACGCACGACACCTAGGCGCAAGCAGTATTGAAGCCACACTCACGGTCATGCTGTTCAATCTCGCGTCCGTGTTCGGCTGCGTGATCATGGGCTCGATGGTCGACCGGTACCACGCCACCACCTGCATCCTGATGTCCACAATCGGCAGTACCATCGCTGTCTTTCTGATCTGGGGATTCGCCGTCAGCCTGGCACCGCTGTACATCTTCTGCATTTTCTACGGGCTCTTTGCAGGCTCTTTTACCTCCACCTGGCCGGCGATCGTCAACGAGATCAAAAAGAAGAATACCTATGTGGAGCCCAGTATTGTCTTCGGTATCTTGTCGACCGGCAGAGGGATTGGAAACATTGTTAGTGGACCGCTCAGTGAAGCCTTGCTTGACCAACGCCCTTGGCAGGGTATTGCTGCGAAGGCCTATGGTTCGGGCTACGGTCCTCTGATTGTTTTCACCGGTGTTTCTGCATTCCTGGGTGGTCTCGGGGTCGTTGCGAGATCGTCGAAGCGCTTGAGCTGAATAAAAGTTCATTTGGTCTGTCTTTATGCATTGAAAAAAAGTATTTGCATTTTCATCTCGGGGATCTTCAGGTGCTAGACTATAAACATCTCGGGGCCGAGCATTATTTGATATACAAAACAAAATACATCGAATTTTATATTCTATTGACCTTCTCTCAAGCTCACACGTGTTTTAAAAAAAAATTCTGGGCCATCTGATGCGAACCAAGAGAAAATTTCCCCGAGAACCTACTTGTCATGTACCACTTATGAAGAGTACCTTCAACTCGGAGAAGCAGTTGTGAGAGACCATATATCGGGTGGACTTGGTCGGATTTGGAATTCTATTGATACCCTCATCCGCTTATGGACAATATCAGCTTCACCAGGAGCAATGTCCACACCCAATCTCCTTATTGTACAAAGGTTGCAAAGGAACAGCAGTCAACTTTCCATTCCTGAACACTCTACCATAATTCGCACTCATCGCGACTCTTCCGTTTCCATCGCCTCCTCTCGCTGCATGGCCATCTTGGTCATGACGTCCCGCGCCGCGACCTTGGCTTTGCGCTGCTCTTCCAATTCGACCTGCTCAGTGCTATTCACACCAAAGTCCTGGGTTCCGTTCGTTGTGTTGCTTGAATTATCGCCATTCTTTTGCGAATCGCGGCTGGTCCCATTCTCCGTCGAGTCCTGGGTAATCTGGTCCGTGTCGCCGGCTTCGATTTGATCTCTTAACTCTGAAGGACCCACAGAGTGTGGACGCACACTGCGCCGAGGACGACCACGAGGTCTGGGAGCAATAATCGGACTTGAGGTAGAGGCGTTGTTTGATTCGCCAACTTCCTTCTGGGTTGAAGGTATGGTGTGTGGTGTATGAAGGTTAGAATGGCTGACAGACTTCCTGGGCCGACCTCTTTTCCTCTCGGGGTTCGGCGCTGGGTTGGGTGCATCCCCTCTTGGTTGGGTGAGTCGCTGTCGTTTAGCTGGGCTCTGGTCTGGGTTGATGAGAGCTCCATGCTGGGTACTGGATGCGGTGCTTCCATTCTGCTGGCGGCCTTCTAGAGGCAGGGAAGGCGATTCAGAGGCGTACGAATGATTTCTTAGACCTTGCGGGATATAATGAGAGTCTTTGAGCGGAATCCGGGCCGGGTGAATGGGCAGTTCTGAAAGTGACAGATCATCCGCCATTTCCTCTTCATCGAATGAATCTGCAATCTGGTGCGTTCGTCCATTCGAAAAGGCGTCAGGCCAAGCGCGCTTTCGTCCAGCTTGCAACAGTCCAGGGCTCTTCACTTCTGGCAGTTGGCCGCTCATTTGTGATCCGGAATGTTCAGCCGGTCTGCGGTCTTCCATGAACCGGTTCTTCAGTTTCAGCGCCTCAATCTCCAGTGTCAATTTCTCAATCTCCTCCGACTTGGACTTCAGCTCTTTCAAGACCGTTGCGATCATATCAAATCCGGGTCCACTATTCGGTCCATGGTCTCCCGTATGTCGATTTGGGCCATTCAGTTCGATGCGGAGGGAAGTAAACGAGTGCTTCAAGTCGTTCATGGTATCCTGTAGGTTGTGCACCGAGCTCGATATTTGGTCGATACTGCGTCCTTGGTGATGCATTTGTTGTTGCATCGATGGATCCAGCGCATAAAAGTCCTGAGAACCAGCAGGCACTAAAGCTCCTTCTGGTATGGAGATGCGTTCTCGTCGAGGGGGTTCTTTCGGGGTTGGGCAGAGACGCTCGAGCGCGTCATCCTTAAAGATAGGTTCGGCTGTCCGCATGGTCACGATCTCCCTGAAGGATACCTTGGACATTTTCCAGAGGATGTTCGGCCTGTCGCAAGTTAGCGCGCTAACTTATACCACGTCCGACCATCCCGCTTACCCAGTATCCAGACCACAGAGAACGCCTAGTTTTTGCTGGCACAACTTGCAAGATATCTCCTGGATAATGCGCCCCCGCAGAAGTTCCATGTCAGACGTCTGGGGAATCTGTTTGCGCTCCGAAGAGACCGAGATGCGGTGGAGGTTGACACTCTGCCATGCTGCCGCAATGGAATACGAATTGGATAATTTGGCCCATTCGTTCTCCAGCACGGCCAGCGAGCTGGAGCAGCGAAGACACTGGGTCAAAATCGCAGGTCTCGTGAGACTGGCGAGATCCATCTTGTACAATGCGACAAAGGAGACACCGAAGAATCCAAAGGCTCCCGGGGAACTCACATCGCATTTGATGAGTCAGCGGACTTGCCAAATCAGCACGCTAAGCCGCATTGGGCTATCGATAAGGCCGTCAGGAACTACGTCATTTTAAGATTCATGTTCGAGCATGTTGTATAGCTCAACGGTCTCGGACTATTATCTGATAAAGCGTATCATGGTCTGACTGTTGCAGAAGAAGACTCAGCCGTGTGTCTCAAAGTGCAACGATTCCCCGCAGTCACGTGATATATGTTCCCCGCGCATCTTTGCCGAAGGCCCAGGCTTGCAATTAAGCACGAACCTATGAGTCGCTCACTACGCTCGGTATCGCGGCCCCTCGTGGCTTTCAGGCAACGTTTATCATCTTCTTCGGTGTCTATAATACGCAATTTCCCTCGGGCGCATCTCAACACAGACGTAATGGCGCATGGCTCTGTCCCTAATGGCAAGCCCAGTACCTGGCATGGCGCTGGAGCCGCCGAGTTCGACTTGCGTAGTATGGCAACCCCCAGGATCCATTTATCTTCAATCCACTCACACTCGGAATCTCAGGCGACACAATGACCAAGCCTACGCCGTCTATGCTTGACGCGATCTGCCAAACGACCTTGTTAGACGACGTCTTCAATGAGGACCCCACTACCAACACCTTACAGAGCTACGTGGCAGAGCGAACTAAGCACGAGGATGCTCTCCTAGTCCTGTCAGGTACGATGGGTAACCAAGTCGCTATTCGTTCGCACCTAGCACAGCCGCCGCACGCCGTCTTGTGCGACCATCGATCTCACATCATCTGCTACGAGGCCGGGGGTGTGAGCGCCTGGACCGGAGCCACGGTCCAGACCGTTGTACCAAAGAATGGGATTCATTTGACCCTCGAGGATATTCAGAAGCACGCTGTCCTCGATGACAACATCCACCATTGTCCTACCAAGCTGATCAGCTTGGAGAATACCCTGGATGGTATGATTCTGCCTCTGAGTGAAGCTCGTCGTATCGTCGAATGGGCTCATGCAAATGACATCAAGGTGCACTTGGACGGTGCCAGGCTATGGGAGGCTGTAGTGTCGAGCGCCGGTAGTCTGGCCGAATACACGAGCATTTTCGACAGTGTTAGTCTGTGCTTCTCCAAGGGCCTTGGAGCACCAATCGGCAGCATTATCGTTGGTTCCCAGGCCTTCATCAAGAAGGCCCGCTGGTTCCGCAAGTCCATTGGCGGTGGCGCCCGCCAGACGGGCATTTTTGCTGCCGCAGCCCGAGTGGCCCTCGACGAAACCTTCGGAACGGACAACCACGGCCAGACCGGCAAGCTGTCCGCTACCCATGCAAAGGCTAAGCAGGTCGCAGACCTCTGGACCAGTCGTGGAGGCAAGTTGCAGTATCCCGTGCACACCAACATGGTGTGGCTGGATCTGGAGGCGTCCGGGGTGGGCCCCAATGACCTGACGGTGATTGGGGAGGAGAAAGGTCTAAGACTACTTGGAGGACGAGTAGTCCTCCACTACCGTAAGTGGTTGTGCGATCTCCAGTAGCAATGACTCAGAAAGCTGACCTATCACAGAGGTATCCGACGAGGCAATTGCGCGCCTCGAGCAGGTGTTTGACATTGCCCTGAAAGGGGAGTATCAGCGCAGTGATGATACGAGTAAGCCTTATGGCAGCAGCAAAAAGTCGTAGAAGTACATTACCCTGTCAACAATAGCCTTTGTACATAGAAAGAAGACAAGAATTAAGATTTAAGATCGAATCCATGGAAAGCCAAACGATCGGCCAATCACGGGACTAGGACGTGCTGAGTCAGGTCAGGAACGCGGTGGCTGCCTGAGGCGACGCGAGATGTGCGGCTCGTTCCTTCGTTCGTCCTGTTTCTCGGACGACGACCTTGCAGTCTCTGACCCGGATCCTCCCTTTCAGTCTACCGCGTCAATATCATCGGTCGTGGATGGACTCAGAGGGTGTCTGCCAAGCTGTGTAAGTTAGCCACAGTCGAGTTGTCGAGTACGTGGAGTTGAGGTCTAAACAAAGGACGTTGTCAATAATCTATGAGGATCGGCTACTGACTTTGCTTCGATCCCTATAGAAATATTCCGCTATCCTTCGAAACCTGTACAATCGCCGAAATTTCTCGGATCGGATGATTTCGATGGACCATATCGCTGCATAGCTTCAGCCTAGCCTAGCCCACTTACGCCGTCGCCTGCCTACGGACCTTGAATATCTATCTCTTGCAGTATTTCCTGATACGCATCATTTCCCTTGCGGAAGTTACTGCTAGGCACTTTGCAAAAGCTCTCGCCGGGCCATAGCTGACACAAGTGTATGCGTGTGGAGCTCAGAGCGCCCCTCCGTCAAGGACACCCACGTCCACGTCCGCGTCCACAACCCATCAAGCTTCTGTCAACCCTTTCCCGTTGTGTTGATAACCTTTGGGACACTTCCATCTTTTTAGTCGTGTGTTGGCATTTCCATATATTTTCCTGTGTTGTCCCTTTGTCGTGGTTCACCCGGGTGAATACCTCGGTGACTGTTTCGTCCGAACCCGCACCCTTTCAAGGTATATATACCCTGTCCCCTCAGGGCTTCCATCAATTGACTCACAGGCCTCTAGACCCATACGTGTATTCTTCCCCCTGTTATGCAAAAGTTTCCCATACCCTTCGCCGTTTGTCACCAGTAGTTTGCTTGATTTTCCCTTCATCTTAGCGCCGCATCTGCATCTCATCTGCATCTCATCTGATTTCACCCCTCATCAACCATGGAAGCGACACAAGAATCGACTCAGCCATGTGCTGACCCCCGTCGGGTGGGAATGAACAACTCCGGACTTCAAGAGCAGGATCTTGCCGACATCATCTGTATCCTCCACCCCAACTCTCACGCGGCACACAATGCGGTGGCGGCGACGGCTAGCTTGGGTGACCAGCACATCCTCCAGAGAGACGTCTTGGAAATTGAGACTTCGGAGACCGCCGCGCTGGACGTGGCGCTTAGACTGTCCTCAGATGTCCACGACCTTGGCGCGGGTTTTTGCTTTGGTCGCAACAAGGCACGATGTGATGTCCTTTTGGCAGTCAATGATGAAGCCAAACGAGTGTCCAACTCTCACTTCCGTATCTATCTGACTGGTGACGGCATCATTATGCTGCAAGATACCTCGACCAACGGCACCATTGTAGACAACTGCCGCCTTCGCAAAAGCCAAAAGGAAAACAGTCGTATGCTCACCAACGGCTCTGTCATCCAGGTTGTTACGGGGAACCAAGGCTCAGACGAAGTTCGATTCGTGGTGCGGATTCCATCTCGCGAAGGGTTCGCCATGCAATACACGCAGAATATCCTTCGATATTTTGAGCGAGTCCAGCAGGCCGTCACTGCTGCTGGTCATCACAAGACTCGCACTGGTCCACCACCTGTCCTCTCCTGGTCAGTGGCTAACAGCCACGGCATGCATTGGACAGGAGCCCCGACGTACAATGTGACCGGGCAGATCGGCAAGGGTGCATTTGCTACCGTGTACAAGCTTGCCACGAAGCAGCATGGAGCAATCTTTGCAGCAAAGGAGCTGGACAAGCGGCGCTTCATGAAGAACGGTATACTGGATCAGAAGGTCGATAATGAGATGAAGATTATGAAAGACCTGACACATGTGCGTGGTGTTCTTTCGAGACCACATAACTCGTCGTGGTGCTAACATTCTATTCAGCCGAACATCGTTCAATACATCGATCACCATGAGCACGACCGATGGATCTACATCATCATGGAATACGTCCCCGGGGGCGAGTTATCGACTTACTTGTCAAGTCATGGCAAAATTCCCGAAGAGATGGTGAGAACGATTGCTCGTCAGCTTCTTCGCGCGCTGCATTATTGCCACAAACGCCGAATCACCCACCGCGATATCAAGCCTGACAACATCCTGATCGCCTCCCTGGACCCGCTGCGCGTAAAATTGTCCGATTTTGGGTTATCAAAAGTCACGCAGGAAGAGACCTTCCTCAAGACATTCTGTGGCACGCTGCTGTATTGTGCCCCAGAGGTGTATCCTGACTATGAGACATACCGACGCGGCGAGCTTAGGAAGCGACGCCGTGTTGGAGATCCGTGAGTTTTTCTGCATACATCTTATCGTGGACGCTTTGCTAATGAATACCATGATAAAAAAGACCGCCCAAAACATCTCCATACAGCCAATCCGTCGATATGTGGTCACTCGGCGCGGTCCTCTACCACGTCCTCTCCGGTGTGCCACCGTACTCGGGGCGTGCCGAAGACCGAGGTGTACACATGCTGCGTAATATCATGGAATCGGAGACGGACTTTGACGTTCTGCGCCATGCAGGCGTGTCTGAATCTGGTATCAACTTCGTCGCCCAACTGCTGAACAGAGACCCGTTCTGTCGTCCAACGGAAAAAGAATGCTTCCAGCATCCATGGATTGCCGGGGTGCCTGATGTTGATGAGTATGAAGACGACGACATCCTTGCTGAACCCCATGAGGGTCTTTCAGTCATCGGTGAGGCTGAGGAAGAGCTCGATGCCTCGCAGCTGTCTATCCGGGATGATCAAGCGTATACGTATGGTGAGGCGGAAGAGTCGAGCAGTAACGAGGCACTCGCCAAGAAACCACGCATTGAATACATTCCAACTGATGTTCGGTACCCCTCGCTTCCTAGAATCGAGAGCTTTCAAGACGGTCAAGTTGTTGCCGAGCACCACGCCAGACGACTCTTCGGTGAAGTCACTTCGTCCGCCCTGCGCAGCTCTCACGCACTGGGTAACACCGGTTCGTGGAATCAGGACGAGTTTGACATCGAAGATTTTGCTTCTTCTGGTGAGTCGATCAGTGATGAGCGCAGCGTCTATTCGATCATTTCTCTCCCAGAACAACCGTTCGGCGGCACCGCACCCAGCTTGATGGGCGCAGAGAACCTCGTTGGACGACTGAACATGAACTCCTCGCATCCTCTCCTCTTCCCTCAGACCGGCCCGGTTAACGTGATTTCGACGCGACAGGCCAGCCCTGGACAAACCAAGGATCCCGCGCTAGCAGGTAGTATGTGTCGCGAAAATGCACCTTCCAGCGACAACGTCGACGTCACCCCCAAGGCACAACCGCGTCAACGCTCTCGACGTATCGAAATAGATTTGCCCGAGACTGGCAGTGAACGATCCAGTATCAACGCCGCGCAGTCCACCACCTACGATCCCACTTCACCTCCGGACGCGCCTCAGGACGCGGGCTTCGACCCTGAACTTGCAACCACTCTCGATGCTCAAACCGGTCAGGCCATCATGGAACAATTCCGCACGGCTGAGATTGAAGCATCCGAGCCGATTGTTCACCAGCCCGATTGGCACGCTATCCCACCCAGCTTGTCAACTGATGAGTTCACGAAGCCGCCCAAGCTTCTGGGCAGATTGAAGAGCACCCCAGGCTCCATCTTTGACCTGAATATCCGCCTTGAAAAACGACTGACCTCGTGGGGCCGTGGATCATCCGCCACATTCCAACACCCCGATCCTATGGACGTCCGAATCCCCGCATACGCCCTCGAAGTCACATTCTGGGTGAAAGGTCTCGAGAGCCGGATCGCGGAAGGGAAGGACTGGACGCAGGAGCCCGGCGTGACGGCCATTCTCTCAACGAAGGCACGCAAAGGCATCTGGGTTAACGGCATTGAACTACACAAAGCCGGGCCGGAGGGCCTGCAGTTCGGCAATCTTTACGATGGGGACATTATCACCATCTACCGACACAAGGGTGCCTATCTGGACCTCCAATGCGAATTCTATCACGGCGAAAGCGCGCAGCCCCGTCCGGAGCACGAGGCCGGGTTCGTAGTCCGCAAAGCGCTGCTGGGCAAGGCTGACGGGGCCAATCGGATGCCCGTTCGGACGAACCAAAAGAAGGAAGCCGAAGAATAAAGGAACGATAGATTGATAGGATGAAATTGCATCGTTAGGTGTGAGACCGAGGTAGCACTGGCCATGTGGCTCCACGATAGCATTCTAGATGCCCGCATGCGGATGAAGATGTAGATGTCGATGTTCGATGTGTAGACCACAAGGTCGATCTCCCGAAGCCTCACTCGGGTACCTGGCTAAACTAAATCGCAGATTGCCATTCCACATGGACCTAGCTAGCTTTTTGGGTAACTTGTGAACCGATCTCGTAGCGAGTTGTTGGTCTGACACCGCGACTGCCCTGTGTCTAGTGTTACCTTGACTGCTGAATCCGGCGTCTCATCAACCTCAGCGCACGGCTCAACCTCATTCTGCTTATCGGGATCTTGGTCTGTGCGAGGCGGGAATGGAACCACCGTCTCATCTTGAGCCGCTCAATGGTGACGGTCCCTTAATTTCCTCATGTCTTAATTTCCGCCTCCCCCTTTCCTCGTCATCCTGACCTCAGCGAACTCTCAACCTCAAACCACACCAATTCGTACGGCCCTCTTCCTACACTCCCTCGGAACTCCCACATCACCTCCCCGATCACGACATGTCCTTGTCGCGATCACCCTCTCCCCACCCGGGCGGAGGGTGGTCCAGTCCGGGCCTCACTCCCGGCAGCGGTAACTCGACTCCGCGCGGCTATTCGCCTTCGCCCGCTTCGCTGGCTCCCAGCGGGATCTCGTGGGCTGCCGCTAAAGCGAAAAGTGATGAAGTGCGCGGATACCCGTCCTTCTCGACACGCAATTCGGGCTTTTTCTCCCGCCAGAAACACCGGATCTCCGCGCGACTGCCCAGCTTCCGAGGACAGCAGCCTGGATACGTTGATAAGGATCACCATGGGCGCGCGCACCACCGCGCTCACGGTCGCGGGCCATTTGGGATACAGTTACGGCGGGGCCGATCTCGTTTCTTCCTTGGGTTGTTCTTGTTATGGATTGGATACCTGTGCTTTTGGTCCAGTGAGTTGTGACGCGCAGCGCTCCTTTCGTCTCATTCTAACTTTAATCCCTAGCAATCGTCCACTTATACCGACGGTCGCCGCTCGGCGGAGGGCGCAAATTCGTGATCATTTTGAGCTCGAACGTGGAGGGCGGCGTGATGGAATGGAAGGGCGCGCGCGAGTGGGCCATCGAGCGCAACAGCATTTGGAACAAGAAGCAATACGCCAAAAAATGGGGTTATGAGCTTGAAGTCGCCAACATGCTGGCCAAGAAGCGGTACTCGCACGAATGGCGCGAGAACTGGGAGAAGGGCGACGTGATCCGCGAGGCCATGCGCAAGTACCCCCAGGCCGAGTGGTTCTGGTGGCTTGATCTGCACACCTGGATCATGGAGTATGACACATCTCTGCAGAGCCATATCTTCAACCATCTGGACGACCGTGTCTACCGCGACATCAACGAGTACAACCCCCTGAACATCACACACCCGCTGCCGGAGTTCTATCTGGATGACCTTGGTCGCGCGCTAGAGGGCGACGAAGACCCAGACTCTCTCAATATGCTTCTGACGCAGGACTGCACCGGGTTCAACTTGGGGTCTTTCTTCTTGCGACGATCCGTCTGGACCGACCGGCTCCTTGATTCATGGTGGGACCCCGTCATGTACGAGCAGATGCACATGATCTGGGAGCATAAAGAACAAGATGCCTTTGAATACATCTACCAGAGCCAACCATGGGTGCGAAGCAGTGTTGGCTTCCTCCCGCAGCGCAGCATCAACTCATTCCCACCGGGCGCCTGCGGCGTCGAGAACAACCCAAGAGTACACTACCAAGAGAAAGACCGAGATATGGTGGTGAACATGGCCGGGTGCATGTTCGGGCGTGATTGCTGGACCGAGATCCACGACTTCCGCGAGCTGAGCGACAAGTTGAACCGGGGTCTCTGGGCGCAGCTCCTGGATAGTTGGCGTGGCTCGTACAAATCGGCCGCCCACGCGGATAGCGAGGTCGGACAGTAGCCTTACCAGCTCGACTGTTTCTTCCTCTTGCTTTATGGCTTCATGTTCTCTACGCTTTCCACGCATCCTAGACGGCAGCGCAATGTATGAATAAAATTGTCAGGCGTGTACATTGGGATCGGGCTGGGTTCTGCATGGGATGGTCGGAGTTGCATATGATAATTCTAAAATACTACTTGAACTTGAACTTTCCCTTCTTTATACCGAATCTTGAATAGAATGGACTCCATTCCATCAATCAATAATCTTCACAACAATCTTCGCAATCAGGTGTATACAAGTCACATGACCTTTTGGAACTGCACACTTGGTCTCTTACGTCACCCGCATGCCCACCGCCCAATTCTCACCCAATCACCGCCCTCCTAATCCAACCACCTTCACATCGGAATCGACCGCATCAACGCAACTTCAGGACCAGACCCTCCCTCTCCACGCCCTCCACCACCCCAACCAGTCCTAGGACATCCTTCCACCCTCCACCCTCACCACCAACCAACAACAACAATGCCGACCGCCGAGTCCGCAGCCTTCCTGGCCAAGAAGCCCACCGTCCCCCCGACCTACGAGGGCGTCGACTTCGAGGACAACGTCGCCGTCCACAACGCCCGCGATGCGGTCATCCGTGAGCAATGGGTTCGCAGCATGATGTCCCGCCTGGTGGGCGAGGAGCTGGGCAAGTGCTATATGCGCGAGGGCGTGAACCACCTTGAGAAGTGCGGTGCTTTGCGGGGTGAGTGATTTTCTTTTTCCGAGCCCGGACGGTCCATTGAGTTCCTACTCTGCTCTTTCGGGAGAGATTACAGAGGATTGGACTTGTTTATGTGGCTTGGGGCATGATACTTGGCCGTGGTGACTAACACGCTCGTTCAGAAAAATACTTCGAGCTCCTCGGCGAGCGCAAGGTTAAGGGATACTTGGGCCAGGAGAAGAACTACTTCGAGAAGTCCGCATAAACTGGTTTGAAGGATTGAATGCTGTGGTTGTGATGGGAATTGGGCTTCTCGGCCTTGGGCATTGTCCGGCCGATGTGCTCTGGGATCACACGGCACGACTCGGACATTGCAACTCGCCGGATGGAACCGATCTATTTACCAGACTTGGAGGTTCTTTGCGAGGAGTCTGACACGGCCGGCTGCTCTACAGCCTGCCCGGAGAAGGATGTGAGGGAGTTGCTTGCTCTCTCTTGTACTGTACATATACGATATCATTGTCTGGTCAATTTCATTTTGTTTGAGGACATTCCATTTGCCTTGGGATGAAATGCAGTCTTGAAGAATACACCGAATTGGCGGGGGTAGAATTGTGGTTTTACAATGTGTCCGTCCATACGAAGATGGACCGATTACAATCGTTTTCTGCAAAGGATAGAATGTATTCGCGGGATTTGAAGTTCTCGAAAAGATTTGGGTATATTATCAATAATACGCGCTCGAAGCAGTCTCACTCCGATCCGGGAAGGCACCCGGTGGTCCTCGCGCCTCGGCCGGTAGAGTATCCTCATCGCTGTCATCGGGATCGCTCCCGAAGTGAAATTGCTCATTCTCATCTGGCGGGGCTCTCATACGCACCAATTCGTCCTCTTCTAAGGAAGGAGGCTTATACGGTGCCGGAGGTTGGTGGATATCCCGGCCAGAGGGAATGTTTGTCAGCAACGAAGCCGGTGACGGGATGAGTTGGGTGTTGATCTGGAATACGTCAGTACTTGAAACGAAATTGACTAAGATGAAGCTCACCGTATCGTTCATGCGAACCCACTTCGTTTCGAGCATGTCAATGACTCGGCCCTCTTCGTCACGGCCAGCGTCGTCTCCGGGTGCCAGAGGGCCCTTGTCGCTGCGTCCACCACCAGCATCCTTGCCAATTTTCTTCTCTTCACGGCGCTCGGTCCACTCACGTTTCAAACGTGAGAACCCACCCTTGGACTTCCCGGCAGCTTCATCGGGGGCCGCGGATGATGAACCGGCGCCTCCACGGAGCGCGAGGGTGCTTCGCGCACCACGTAGCCAAGCAATCCCCTCGCCCACTTTACCTGCCAGCTCAGCATCCACACCGAAGAACCGACAGCTGCGGGCACGAGCCACTCTTTCAAGCACACTAGCATATCGAATGAGCTCTTCGTCTACACGAGAAGTCCGCCCAGACGAAGATCCAACAGCTCCAAGCCCCGCAGCAGCCTGATTGGCATATTCTGCAGCACGGGTACACAACCTCGCAAATACGAGAGCCCGAACCTTAGGAATTTCTGGTGGGCGAACCATCCATTCTTTATCGTTCGGATTCCGCGACTGGATACACGCCACAACATAAGCATCATCCTTCAAAACAGCCAACAGCGTAGCTTCCGACAGCGCCAACTTCGCCAACGCTGACTGCGTTGAGGCATCAATATCCGGCACAGCAGATGATGTAGCCGCCGCGAAAGCAGGTGACGATGCAAGCAAGTCATGCACGGAGCTCGCCTGCAGCAAATACTTTGTCGCGGTCTGCATAGCAGCAGTGCGTTGCTCGGCCGTAGGTGTCGTAGACGCATAGAGCGACTCTGCGACTCCCATCCGCGCGAGTCGGGCCAGTACGCAGCCGAGCGTTGTGAGTGTGAATGCGATTTCGAAGTCGATGCCTCGACCAGCGATGCGGCCGCCGCGGGCGCGGAGTGGCTTCCTTCCGGAGCTAGAAGAGCCGATGCTCAATACATTGCCAGCGGACAAAGTGGGTTTCCAGGCTGATTCGATCTCCGAGCGGACCGTTATTTCGATCGTTTCCCCGGACGGGAGTTTCTCTACGAAGACGTTGCCACCGGATGTCGAGACGGAGGGATCATTTGCGACAGGTCGACTGCTGAGGACCTGTGATATCGTAAATAGGGATGGTATGTAGTCGTTCAACGCGGACAGGACGGTGGGCAGGTGGGCGTCCTGGCGCGCGCCGCGGGGTAAGCGCTTGTGGGCCTTGAGGGCGAGGCGGAGAGCATGACGGGTGGTAGAGGCAACTTGTGGGAGCGATGAGTGAGTAGAAGAGGATATGAAGGATTGAAAAGACAGCGGAGAGGTGGTTGGCAGAGTAAACGCGTAAACCATTTTGAAGCGCGGGGAGTTGGAGAAGCAAAGTGGGGTTGATGTCACCGATAGCCAAGAAGCGAATTGAGGCGAATTAACTTGGCGAAAACGTGTTCTTCCTGTTTTTGTCAAGGTTGTTCTTGGCTCGATTCTGTAGCCTGTTTATCTTCCCATCTACCTAGGTTTACTGTTCTACCAGATAAACAAAATTGTTCTGTTCTGCTGTCAAGGTCTCGGACCCGAACAAGCTTCATTCCCGAATATAGTCTTTACGAGTGCGAATATCAGCCACTAGGTATCCCAGTTTATCCCAGGTCGCCTCGATCTTCAGCCTGGTCTTTAATTCATTAAACCTCTTCCTACAGGAGCTATGAATCCATCTCTCTGACATATTTCTGGACATGTCTCTAAACAATTGAACATTTCTCTAAACGTGTCTTACAAAGTTCTAGTCTAGCGCAAAAAGTATTCTATGTCTTTCTGTCCCAGTGGCTTCCATTAACAGAAGTAAATCTCCACCATTATGGCAGGTTACCTCTTATCCGTGTCATGGCTATACCACCTCTTCCCCTGCCACTGCAGAAACGCCGTTGGGAAAAAGCCGGCACCCATAATCAAAGCTGCCACCACACCGGAGCTAGCAGCGATGCCGACGTTGTCGAACATGGAGGTGAACCTAACATTCATTAGTAGACACTCATGCAACAAAAAGTGGACCAACTCACCAGAAAGGTCCGATGAATCCCCAAGTCGAGCGAATAAAGTTAATAAAAACGCCCACACTACCCGCATCCTGCGGATATGTATCCACCGCATAGGTAGTCAAAACGGTAGTAACGACCTGGTTTCCAAACGCAGCAATACCAGTTCCAACCACGGGTGTAACAGTCCATTTGCCAGGTTCAGCCTGCTCCGTACAGACCAGGAACACAACGCTGCCTGCAATAGCCAGTAAGAACCCAATATAACTCAACCACAACCGATATTCAGGCGCAGGCTTGTGGCCGATACGTCTTGCACGGGAATTCATCCACATGTCGGACATGAAGCCGCCCAATTGCTCACCGAGAAGAGAGCCGACGATCAAGCCGAGGAACTGGAGACCGAGCTGCTGGGCATTAAGCTCGAACTTGGTTTGCAGCAGTTGGGGCACTTCGACGGAGTTCAGTACTGAGGCGAAGAGGAAGACCATGGAGTATGCGACGGCTGCAAGGACCACGGGAACATTGGTAATGAGGGTCAAAGGATGAGTGAATTCGGTCCATTTGATCGGAGTCGGGTCGATCCGGCGGAGGGACATGTACTGGTGCTTGAACGCAGACGATTGAGCCTGGACATTCGAGCCGATATAGCGGGTTTCGGGGCCGAAGAAGATGTAAAGGATAAACTCGACGGCATTTATCTAATCGAAAGTTAGTTTTCATATCATTGGGGATGTGGAAGAAGGCGGTTCAAACAATAGCCAAAATCCAGTAGATCCAGCGGTAGCCCACTCTCTGGACAACAAAGCCAAAGATAAACGGCCCCGTTGGAACACCCAGCGTCACCATGACAGTCCAAATGCCCATATATCGCCCTCTCTCGTTCCTGAAGAATGTTTCCGTGACGACTCCGCTGCCGATAGCCATAGCAGGGGAAATGAAAAACGCCACCAATGCACGGCACGCCGCCATAGATGCATAATCGGGGCTCTTTGCACATCCGATATTGCAAACACAGCTCAGAATCAAGGAGAGAAGAAAGATCGGGCGCCGCCCAAATCGATGGGAAAGCGGCTTCCAGAACAACGGGGCTCCACCAAGGATGGCAATCTGGAGGGATGTCAAATACGATACGCGTTGAAGTGAAACCCCGAGATCTTCAGCTATGTCTTCGTAGGCACAGATAATTGCAGCGGCTGTGAAGGTGCCCATGCAGGCGTGGAAGGCGACCAGACTCAGATTAGCCGTTTTCTATCCTGCCGTCAGCGATATATTCCATGAGAACGGTATTCCATCTCACCTTCCAGAGCGGCCAATTGTATGGGTCTGCAGGGTCCATGCTAGGAATAGGATCGAGGTCCAGAGTGTCATGCCGCTCAACCAGGTAAGCCTTGTGTGACTCGGAGAGAAACCTGGTGGGATCGGTGCTATCACCTAGACCCTTTTCTTCAACATAGTCGGCGCTTGATTTGGGAGGTGATGCTCCGGGGAGCTCATAATCCGTTGAGGCCATAATTGCAGATGGTTGAAGCAAGTATCAGGCCACGGTCATACAACAGAGGGACCACAGGGGAAGAACTCATACAAATGGGGTTTCGGGGCCCCGGACTTCCTAGAGTGGGCCGGACTGGGGAGAAAACGCGGAGTCATGCGGTAAGGTACACTCTTATGGCGATTTATGGAGCCAACAAAGACATTTCCGTCCATTCAACACGGGGTGAAGATCGTACCGGTAGTTAGACACCGTGTAGTTGCCGGGAAACGGGGGCCGATGGAGACTCGGCGCCGTTAGACACGCGGGGGCCCCAAGCTATTCTGCTGCAATTTCGGCAGACAGCGATCCGGTCAGGGCCCACCGACCGAGATGCCTCGCTCCGTCCGAGTTAACTGCCGATGGGACGATCCAGAGGTGACGACTGGATATATAGGGCAAGGCCTGTGCCAATAGGCAGCCGGACCGGAATTCGGGTGGCGCTGGAATTGACTTTGACTACTTTCTCGGTGTCTTCGCTTATCTCGTGGCTTCTTTAGTCGAGGTTCCCAAGTTGTGTTGAGGACAACCCCAGACTGCCCGTGGGGGAAATCCGGGGCTCCCCGCATATCAGTAGTCATACTGAACAAGTGAGGTTCTCTACACCCAGGCTTGTTTACACATTGATTACCAGACACATGTAAACCTCTCCAAAGATAAGCAAAATGACGCAGCGCAACCTATTTTGTGAGATTTTTTGGAAGATGAGGAAGACGATGGTAAAGTCTGGATCCACTCAGGGTGAGACGCATGCCATAGCCCAGTTAAAACTACCGATCATTTCCTCTCCTTTCCCAAAATACTCCAGACCTGAAATAGTACTGGGGTCAATTGGAGCTAGCTCTAGCCTGCCTAGGCAAGGAATCAAAGGATTTGCTAAGACAGTAAGCTGCCAATGCAATTTGCCAATGACCCATGACGCCAGACCAGAACCAGGGAAGTAATCGAACGCTCGGCCCAAGGGTATTTTCCCGGTAATATCTTTGTGTGTGACTTAAGGAGCTTGCTCGATATCTAGTTGCATGATCCAGACATCCTCCGTTGGAATTTCTTCTTCCCTAGCGACCTGGGCGACCTCCTGGAGACAGTCTCCGTCCCGATATCCTGAATTGGTCTCTTTAGCGCTGTCGTTATCTTCTAGACTTCTCGCCTGCTCGGATGGAGACATTTGCATGGCTAGTTCCTCGTCCCTGGCCCCAGTACGGAGTGTCCTGGACTTGTCAGGCTCCCTCGGGCGCCCTGAGCGAGAGGCTATCATGATAATTGACTACTAGCAAGGTTGGAGAGAAATTAGCGAATGGTAAATTGCAACGGTAAACACATCAAATGGCGTTTTGGGGCTTGGTATACGCCGGAGTCGGCGGTCCGGGTGTTCACACTTTTACTGCGTCACCGTATACTACAGCCCTACGTAACTAGTAATAGCATGGTTACAAAGCCATCAGATACGGAGATCATACATTTCGGTTGATCCATATTTTGAGATTGTGTCAAAAAGACCACAGTACATTGCAACCTACAGATGCAAAAACTATGTATGGACGGACGGGACGCGGCACATGCGTGACACCGATCTGCTTGTACCCTTTTTCCCTTCGGGTGGCCCAGTGTTGTAAACACGAGATTATCCATCAATGAGATGTTGCCGGACGGCGTGTGGACAGCATGATCTCATTCGGAGTCGGGGTGGCTCGTCTCGCAGGTGATTTGGTGTGAAGACAATATAGGGTTAGGTTTCTAGTCTTCGGTCGGATCGGATGGAGTGGTTGTCGAAGACTCTGCCGTATATCGGTACTCCAAGACAGTCTTCTTTGTTGGAAAGCATGAAGAGGTCCCATGGCAGGAATTGGGCCATTGGTAAATATCTCGTGTCTGGGTCCCACTGCGGTGGTTGGGTGGTTTGGATGGGGTTGAGAAACAGAGAGAACAAGGTGTTCTTCACACCTCCATGCCATCGCCATGCTCTGACATGTTACTTGGCGCACTGCTGACGCCAGATGTATCGCTTGCTGGGCTGTGTGGTGTGCGAGATCGGACCTGCGCACCCCATTCGCGGATACTAGGTGGGCCGCCCTCGATGACCAAAGGGTGTTCTTCAGCGTTCTTGCCGAGCACTGTACCGGCGTACCGAGACTCCTCACCAGTCTTGCTGTGCTTTTTCTTGAGGGCCGTCAGGTAATCCTCCTTTTCAACTGCATCAGGGTCGATCATGTCGCCCTCGCTGGGGACAAAGCCTGCAATGCGCCGGATCTCGTGGTGTGCAGGGCCAGTTATCCAACCAATGAGCGACTCAAGTCCGCGCAGATCTTCCTCGCCTGCCCAGTCTTCTTCCCATTCACGTAGCTGTGGTCGTAAAGCACCTGCATCCTGAAGCGCTTGGTAAATGTCTTCGAGTACGGGAGACGGATCATCGGGGTGAGCATTGGCAGCATGCGCAGCTGTGGAGGAGGCGAGAATCATGAGGTATCTTCCGGTCAGGTCGGCCAGTGTTTCTAGGACAGACGGGCGCGTTGAGTGGAAGCCCTGGGCGCGGAGGATCTGGATGATGGGAGGGCGAAGGAGAGCGTTGTGAAGGTTGTGCCCGGACATGGCGATCAAGGGCGGATGATCATATGGTGAGAATGATACTTGCTGGTAGAGAGTCAAATGATAGCGGAAGGACAGCCAGGAAAGATTGTGAGGTGTAGCTGATAGGTGAAGAGATCATGGGAAGAAGTGGACGTTGCAGCTCGCGCGCGGATCAAAAGCGGAGCGGAGAACTCGGGCTGCCGCGTCTTTGCATCCTGCGACCTCCTCCCACCTTTCCAACTCACTCTCGCCGTCTGCCTGCTTTAGCGGAAAGTGTTATTGACTGCAAGCGACGCGATCGTCATTTGGCATCATGTCTGATGCTCCGCGGCCAACCCTTAAGCTCAAGTTCGGCAAGAAGCCGTCCCAACCCCCGGCCGAGCCTGAACCGGCACCATCGCCAGTACCAGCTGAATCCTCTCAACCAAAACTCACACTAAAGATCGGCCGCAAACCTCAACCTCAACCAGACGCGCCCGAGGAGAAGCCCAAAAAGAAGAAGCCGTCGAAGAAACGTCCTGCCGAGAATGTTGCGCAACCCGAACCTGCGACGGTCCAGCAAGGCCCCAAGCGGCTCAAGCTGAACCCATCCAAGAAGCCTGGACTCCAGTCAATTCGCATCAAGAACAAAGGAGTTGTTCCCAATCGCCCAGTCGGCGTGGGTTACGACTCGGAAGCGTCCGACAACGAGATCGACCCGGCTATCGAAGAGCAGTTCATTCTGCGAATGCTACCGGGCGAAGACTGCGAGTATCTACGCCAAGCGATCAACGAACGCAGATTTGACAAGTCGGAGTTCTCATTCAAGCCCCTCACGCGAGAGGGACGACGTGCCATCTTGAAGATCCGAGACAAACAATATGCCGCATCCTTGGTGGATCTTCCTAATATTATCGAGGGCATGAAGAGCTGGGATCGTCGGGGTTGGTACAAGTCGGCGGATATATGCCAAATGCTTTTGGTATTGGGCCCTGTTGCCAATGATCAAGAGGCTTTGGAATATCCTCTTCCCCCAGAGGTCGACCATGCGGATGACAAGACATTACAATATCCCCACGGTCTCGCACCCCCGCTGCGCTGGGTTCGCAAGCGGCGTTTCCGGGATCGTGTCAGCTCGCGCACCATCGAACAAGTTGAGAAGGCAGTGGAAGACCTGGTTGCACAAGACGAGACATCCGTCTTCCCACCTCGGTTTGAGTTAGTGGACAGTACGTCTCTGAACCGCGCCGAAGGCTTTGTTCAAAGCGGGGAATACGACGAGGAGTACGACGAGTACCAGGATGCAGAAGGCGAGATGGAAGACATGTTTGATGACCTCGAAGACGATCTTGCCGCTGAGATGGAGGCAGCCCTGGCTGCTGGAGACGACGAGCCCTCAGCTGCACCTGCAGAGCAAACAGGGACAGCGTCAGCGAAACCGTCAACACCAGCCGAAGCACCAACGCCTGCTGGTGAGTCCTCCGATGATAGCGACGATTCGGACGAGGATGATCTCGACGATGAGCAACTCGAGCAACAGCGACAGATGCAACAGCACCGTGAAGAAATCGGCGAATTGGAGGCTCTCATTCGCACCGAGACTGCAACATGGGAGAGGGTGCAGAACAACATTCTCCGCAACAAGATGGGCCGGCGAATCCAGGAACTTAAGAAGGATCTGGAGCTCAAGAAGGTCTCCATCGGAATTTCGGGCGATGCTGATATGTGATTACGCATTTGATCAAACCTTCTACTTGATCTTTATTGTGCCTTAATGAATTAATGATTCACATTCAAATGCGTATTTGAAACAAGATTCAAACCCTCTATCTCTCAACCCTCAGTGACTTGCCACCACTGGATCTCCCGTCGCCTTCTTAACGGCCTCCTCTGCATCCACGTTCTCGTTCCGCTGCAACTTGCGTTGCCTGACAGCCTCTCTCTCCGCAACCTCATGATCCGGAGGCGCAGGACTCTGCCCTACTCTTTCACCCAGGACTCGGTCATGCTCGGCTCTTTTCTCATCCATCCTCGCTGCGAGATCTGGCTGGGCTCCAAAACCAGGGTGTCCCGGTCCCTTCGCACTGCCGACGGGACCCGCATGGGCACCAGCTTGGGCACGATGCTGTCCCATTCCTTTCCGCTCGACGGAGTCGGCAATGTATCCCTCCGAAGGCTGCTCTTCAACCCCGTATTCCAAATCCACTGCGTGGTTTCGCATTTCGCGCTGTTCCTGTCTGTGCTGCTCCTCAAGACGAGCTCGTGCCTCGTCGCTCGATGGTTTCGAACTCGCCCCGCGTGTGATCGAGGGAACCGCGTCTCCGTACTGATGTGTCTGAGTCCCCGATGTCCGTTGCTCTTGCGGGGTGTGCTCGACGGGATTCGAAGCTTGCGCATAGGCAGCTTGCTTGGGTGGTTGTGAGGGCTGTGCGGCCTGCGCGGTCCGCGAACGAGTTTGGCGGGGCTCCATTTTGTAATTGGGATGTCTTGGTTAGGCCGGTTCAATTTAAATGCAAGGTGGGCTTGTATGAAGCAGTTTGTGATGCCAGGAGCATGGAGTTTAAATGGAGGCTATTTGATAGGTGCATCAATGCATGACGTCAGGGCATACAATATACGTCAGGGCTGGGGAGCCGGTTTCTGGGGATTCTTTCTTCGATCACCCGGATAACATAACTCATACTAATTTTCGCAATGTAGATATGCTCTCTTGAGTGGAGTAATCAATTTGTACTTGGGTTTTAACTGCAGATTATCGTACATGCTCAGTGTTTGTATCCGGCCAGGGACTATGAACCCTCCCCATTTCCCCCTTCGAACGTGAGCCTCAATTATCATCGAGATATTTCCTAGGTAGATTTATATAGAAGTCTTGAGGTCTCTTTAACCATGTTAAACTAATAGTACAGGTTTCCAAAATCCACTATCTACAAACAAATCAGCCTGCATCGGTTTTGGTTAGTGGCCGCTATTAAACGCCACTAGTAGCGGAGGCGGTGTGAAGCTCCGTTACTGCTCAATCGAAGGTACATATGCATGAAACCTAAAATCCTCACAGAACCTATGGAATTGGCTAAAGGATTATATATTCTAGCAATACGGCCTATTTAATATAAAGCTTTTTGACCTTATTCCTATTATACAAGAAGCATAGGACGCTTTACTAGCTAATATACCAGAAGCGCTAGTATCTTCAATACCGCGTAGGGTGAATAAGGTTATTTAGAGGGAGGTGGCCCTACGTAAGTATGTATTAATATAGGATAGATACAATAAATTACTGGTAGAATTATTGTGGAGACTAACGTTTGTTTCTTTGTCACCCTGTATCGCTACTGTTCGGGCCGAGGCTCACATGCCGGATTACAGTTCAAGAGTTACCGAGTGTAGCCTTATGAGCCCCGTGGATTAAATTCTTCCTCATTTGAGCTTTTCAAACGAATTACCCATATCACCATGTCCGTCCTCTTCACTGTCCCGATCGCCTCGACGGGAGGCTCTATCGTCTGCACCAACCCGACAGCGGGCCAGGGTCAAGAGCAGCAGAATATCTACTTGCTCACATTTACCTCGCCCAAAGACAACCGGTTAACCCCAACTTTCATCGATGCGCTGGTTCTGGCGCTGGACATTATCGAGCACCGCTACCCGAAGGGCGTTGTCGTTACCACGAGCGGCATCGCCAAGTTCTACAGCAATGGTCTGGATCTGGATCTTGCCATGAGCACAGAGGGTTTCCTGGACCAGTGGCTATGGAAGCTCTTCCGGCGCTTCCTCACGTAAGTTCTACTCCGAGGCTCATCCAAGCCATTATATGCGGGAAAACGAGCTAAAAAGGATTCAGATACCCCATGCCAACCGTGTGTTTGCTGAATGGCCACGCATTTGCAGGCGGCTTCATGCTTGCCATGTACCACGACTACCGAATCCAGAACCCCGACAAGGGTTTCCTTTGCGTCAACGAGCTGGAATTCGGAGTCCCTCTCCAAACACCCATGATGTCGATTTTCCGCGAGAAGCTCTCTCCCACCACCTTCCGGAATGTGGTTTTGGAGGCACATCGATTTGGCGGGAGAGCATCGCTGCAGGCTGGTATTGTTGATGCGGTTGGTGGAATTGATGAGGTCGTTGGGTTGATTCGCGATCGCAAGCTATTGAACAAGGCTGCGACTGGCATTTACGGTGTGATGAAGGAGGAGATGTATTCGCGGGTCCTCAATGGTCTTGATGACCATGCAGGAAACCTGGCATGGCGAGAGAAGGTGGAAGAGAAGAAAGAGCTGCTGCAAAAGAAGGCCCTACGGAATGTGGAGGAGTTTGAGAAAGGAAGCAAGGCCAAGCTTTGAGCCCCGATTTACATAGATTTCATTTCAGAATAGATATTTCAATGAATTTTGTATATACAGCTCTCATATAATTCTTACCATTATATTCACCCTTGAGAAGTTGCGGAGGCTATTTTGTCCTTTGCCAGCACCCTGAAGCCTTTGAAAACTTCAGTGTGTCCATTCTCAAGAAGTAGTTTGATGCATCCATGTCTTCGAGTTCACACCGATACTACCTTGGAAGATCGCGTACTCCTCGGCGACGCAACCTGACTGGGCTCGACCAACCTCAAGAGCTATCTCACCGGTTCAGTTTGGAAGAGTAAGCTGCATTCCATTTTGCATGTTTGATGTTCCCAGTCAAGCTGAAAACGAACAGCACTGTGTTATATGCCCGTGATGATAGTTTGAAGCGTTGAGCGATCGCATGAACAAGCAAACAAGAAGGCTATATGCTATATACAGGAGCCTCCAGTGGTAGTCTTCACTTCCTTTCTACTCCCGTATCGAACTGTCCACCTCAAATCGTAGTTGTATGACCGGGGAATGTGAGATTGCAGCTATCCAATAATATCCCAAACATGCATGAAACAACTCCTTCAAATTGGCCTAGGACCTCAAGTCAAGATGCGTAGTTACGCTCGAATCCTCGCACCACGCGGCCGTGTAACATGTAGCGTGATAACTAGCGCCTTTGCCTGCGGGATTTTCAGCCAGTCCGATCTTCCACGTCCAAAAAAAAAAAGCAAAATCCAAATCAGCAGGGGAGTAGTTCCGCACGGTTATAAACTCGACTTTCAATGCGCCAATGTGACTGGCATCGAACGTGAAGATCCTCGACCATATCGAAATGTGTTCGCCGAGTTTCTGAGCTGGCACTGGAGGTTTGCTCTGGCCAACAAGATCTCTCTACAGGGGGAAACGGTTATAAAAGGGTTGTTTCCAAGAGTTGGGTTTATTCTTCAAGCATTCAAGCCCTTCAGTTCTTCATATTCCCAAGAGTCCAAGTCTTTCTAGTGAGTAATGTTTTGCTCTTTATAGGTTTCTGGCTAACCAAAAGGCCCGTTCGAGTCAATTAAACAAATCCGTCAACATGCGGCTGAACTACATCTTCGCCCTCCTTGGGCTAGCTGGTGCTACTATTGCTGCTCCTGTAGCCGGTCCGTAGAAGTTCAAATGATGCACAATGTACTGTTATCTCTAACATTCTGCTAGGCACTGAGACTGGTGTCGGCTCTGGCCTTGGCGGCGGCGGTGGCGGAGGTGCTGGCGGAGGCGGTGGTGTCGGTGGTGGTGAAGGTGGTGGTGCAGGTGGTGGTGCAGGCTTCGGCGCTGGCTTTGGCGCAGGTATTGGCGGAGGAATCGGAGGAGGCGCTGGCGGAGGTGCTGGCGGAGGCGGAGGTGCCGGTGGTGGTGAGGGTGGTGGTGAGGGTGGTGGTGAGGGTGGTGGTGAGGGTGGCTTCTGATAAGTGGATCTATACGATTAACTCGAAGTAGGGTTAGGAGGAACAGATAAAACATGCAAGATCTGATGAAGACATTTCTAATTGGAGTTTCTCATAATAGGTACATGACGTCGTAAGGATATATAATATTGCTCTTCTGAGCAGGTTCATGATCATGACTTCTTGGTCTTGCTAGGCCGGGGCAGCCGTGCAGGAGTGTCCAACTGATCAACCAAGGGGCGATATGGCGAGGCCAACATATGCTCCGGTGCAGGTTCTCGTCTTGGTTCTCCAGCATACGGCCGACGCAACTGCTCCTCATGCATGCGATCTAGCGGTTCTCCCACCACCTGGTACTTGGCCCAGTTGATGGGCGGCATTCGAACTATGTTCTGCGGCGGTGGTATGCGGCCAAATCTCGATGCAGGTGATTGGTCACCTTCTGGTTGCTTCGAGTCCTCCTTGCTATCCTCATCCGTCTCCATTTCATCTTCGTCGGCGTCGTCTGTAAACTGGATCACAGCCCCGCGATCTTCGGTGCGTAACCGCCCAGCTGCCAACTCGCGCGCAAATCCCTCGGGGTCCGCAGCGGCGGTCTCTTTCATGCGCTCCAATGATTTTAGATCGCGCAGACTTTGCTGTTTCTGCATCTGCAAGATAGATATGGCGGATCGGAGGGCGATGGCATCGGGGTTTTCGCTCTCGGAGATAGGGACGGGTGGCGGTTCAGGCTTGAAGACGGCTGGGGTTGCTGGCGGTCGCGGAGGTCGATAACCGGAAGTTTCTGGAATGCGACTTGTCGGCGACAACGACAAAGGGGGTGGCACTATTGTTGCATTGTTGGATGCGACAGGGTCGAGGTGGGCGAACACTGGTGTCACCGGGGAATAAGGCGGGCAGGGCGGAGTCCCTGGCCGATCGTCCTGGATCATGGCTTCAGGGCCCTCTGGTGCAGGTGCAGGCACAGGCTGCATGGCGAAAGGGAACGCGACAAGATCCCAGTCACGGATATCAAAGGCCTGGCACAGTGTCTAGAGCCAAGTGCAGAATCGGAGTCAGGGCTGCGATCTTGTGGTTCCAGGCTGCGGGAAGTGACGACACCGGGCTTGTGGGTGGAGTATGTGAACAAGAGCAAACCACTCTACACAATTTGAGGCAAATACCAAGACCGCCCCGGTCAATAAATAAGCAAGTCACGAGGCAAGTCCCGGTTTGGCTGAATGAGGATTCGCCCGTTCCAAGGTGGCGTGCTGACTGGATGTTTCCTGTGGCGACGATTGAGGCTCTGCCAGGAACCAATCTCTCGTATAGCCACGACAAACACGAGAATCAATCGACTCAGTTCGTATCCGTGATAAAAGACCGGAAATATATCGATATCTGAAAATTGTGCAATGGTGTCTGTCCAGCAGAGAGGTATAGGCGCGCTCGTACCTGATCAGGTACTGATTCGGAGTCGTGGATGAAACATCTGATTCACCTTCTCCGGGTCAACGATGAGACAGACAAGTGTTTCACAGAATGGCGAGATTTCTGAACCTCAAAACCAAAGAAAGAGCGTTGACTGAGCGATCGTCTACATCAAACGAAAACACCCCAATGCGGGAGACCGTTGACCGCCCAGTTGACGGCGCTCACCGCCTCCAAAAATTTTATGATCAGGCCACTGCTTGTTGGCATTGCACTGCTCATACAACCAGCAAAATGAAGCGCACAGCAGAAGAGAGGCCGTCAATTGATGGCAATGGACCGCCAGAGTCCAAAAAGCGCGCTCTTTCCAGCGAGGAAGCTGCTGCGCGGTTCCGCGACGGTTTGTTCGATCCTGCGGAGCAGCAGCAGTACACTGATTCCTATGCTAAGTCGAGCCCGTATGTCTTTTTATGTCACCAAATACTCCAATGACCCTGGTGCTAATATTGCTTTGAGCTATAGTTACTACCACGGCGTCATTCACCCCCTGATCGAAGACTCGCTACTGCGATCCGTCCGCGAGGAGATTCAAAAACACCTCCATTTCACCGAGAAGGAAACCGATATCTACAAGATCTTCCAGTCTGGTGATCTGGCCAATTTGGATGGCCTCGATGACTCCTCGCTGTCCAAGCTGCCGTCATTGCTCAAGCTGCGCGATGCCATGTACTCGGCGCGCTTCCGTGGGTACTTGTCGTCTGTGACCGGCTCCGGCAAGCTCAGTGGAAAGAAGACTGACATGGCCATCAACATCTACACCGAGGGATGTCATCTTCTGTGCCATGACGATGTCATTGGCAGCCGTCGAGTCAGCTATATTCTCTACCTTACCGACCCCGATACCCCGTGGCAAGCCGAGTGGGGTGGTGCTTTGCGTCTCTATCCTACCAAGACAGAGAAGGATGCCAAGGGCGAGGACGTCAAGATCCCCAGCCCCGATTTTAGCCTTTCCATTCCGCCCGCCTTCAACCAGCTGAGCTTCTTCACCGTTCAGCCCGGCGAGAGTTTCCACGATGTCGAGGAAGTGTACCACCACCGCGAAGGCGAGGACAAGTCCAAGAAGCGGGTGCGCATGGCTATCAGTGGATGGTTCCACATCCCCCAAGAGGGAGAGGATGGATACGAGGAAGGATTGGAGGAGAAGCTGGCTGAGCGCAGCAGTCTCGCGCAGCTACAGGGCCGTGGTGACATGTACGATCTGCCTCAGCCCCAGCCCGTGCCTTGGGAAGAGCCCGAGGTGCAGGGTAAGGGCAAGGGCAAGGTGGAAGAGCAGGCTGAGGGCAACGAGTTTACCGAGTCCGACCTGGAGTTTCTGGTACAATACCTTGCGCCGTCCTACTTGACTCCCGACATTGCGGAGGAGATGTCAGATACCTTCGCAAGCGAGTCTTCGCTCAGTCTCGAGCGCTTCCTCAATGAGAAGTTTGCTTCTCGGGTTAGTGCTTACATCGAGGAGCAGGAGAGGCAGAAACTGCCCGCCTCTGCTCAGGAGATCAAGGATCAGACTGAGTGGACTGTCGCTCAGCCCCCACACAAACACCGCTATCTCTATCAACAGGCCTCGTCCGAGGACAACAGCAACCCCATTAAGGAGTTGTTGAATGTCCTTTTCCCTTCTCAGCCTTTCCGCAAGTGGCTGGCACTTATCACTGGTGTGGATCATCTCAAAAGCCACAACTTGCTTGCCCGTCGCTTCCGCCGTGGTGCAGACTATACCTTGGCCAGCGGATATGATGGCGAGGAGCCGCGCTTGGAGTTCACTCTCGGTCTTACTCCGACAACTGGGTGGGAGAAGGAGGCTGAGGAGGAAGAGGAGGACGACGATGAGGACGGATCGTCAGCAAAACCTTCCGAGCCTAAGGACAAGTCCAACGGCGAGGCTGCGGAGCATCCTGCTGTTGGTGGCTACGAGATCTACATGGCCGGTGACGAGGAAGAGGACGACGAAGAAGATGAGGAGAACGCGGATCAAGTCCTCGGGCCCAAGAAGAAGAAGGCCGACCCCGCCATCTACCGAGCTTCCGGAGACGAGGACGATGGAATTCTCTTCAGCACACAGGCCGGCTGGAACAGACTGAGCATTGTGCTTCGGGACAACGGTACTCTGAAGTTCGTCAAGTATGTCAGCGCCAACGCCAAGGGTGACCGATGGGATATCACCGGTGAGATTGGAGTTGAGTTTGAGGACGATGACGAAGATGACGAAGATGACGAAGACGATGAAGAAATGGATGATGAGGACGAGGATGAAGAATAAACGGGCCATATGGCGGTATATTGTGATTTAGCATTTGGCACATTTGGTACAGCAATTCAAAAGTTTGTAGATACGCCATTACAACTTTGAAAAGGAATTAAGAAGATATTGAGAGACGCTTTAAGAGAACGGCAAGAAAAAGCTTCGAAAAGAATAAGAGAACAAGATGTTCAGATGTGTAAGAACAAGCATCCAAGCTACAAATAACATAAAGTTGAAAATAGTAAACAAATACCGAGAATACTAATCCTCGCTTGACCTGTCTAGAAACTGGCCGGTAAAGTTACGGGCTTTGTTCACCAAAGTCCGGTTCATCGTGATCTCGGTCAATAAGTATCAGTAGCTAGCCGAGTGGGCGATCTCCTATGACAACTTCGAGGATCCTCTGAGCCGCCGAGTTCTTCCATTTGGGGGTTTCCTGCGTTGCCTTTTTTGGGGTGCGGGCTGTTGCGATTACGTTTTGGCCGAGTGGAGGGCTACTTCAGCGATTCTTGTTCCTAGGCTGAAGGATCCGCCGTTTACGAGCATCTTTTTGATGCCATTATAGATTGAAGAAAAGACTGGTGCTGATGTCCACGGGTTGCCTGTGGGTCGGATGATGTTGAGATATATTGTGGAGGCTAGAACTGGAGGGAACAGTAAATCTTGCAATCCTAGGTTGGAGGGCACACATGTGTGATTACCTGATTTCAAGGGAAGATTGAGCCACAAGAGCTGGAGCTGAAGTATGTATTCAGAGATGTCAGATGAGCTTGTCGGGCTTTGGGGTGGTCCGGTGGTTCAAGGTTATAGTTGAATGGAATGGAGGTAGAGTTGGATTTAGCTGGAACGAGTTCCAACTCCGCTCGAGTCTCGTGAAACTGCAAAGATAGCAGCTGTCTAAGCCAACGACAATGATGCTATCCCATACCAAAATTTGCTATATAGATTTTAGGTCTTCCATCCGGGCAAAGGTGGCATCCGCACATTCGAAGGCGGATGAAGGCCCACATGAGCACTATGTTTCTCTTGATTTTCCTCTCTAAGATTGGGAAGCTAAAAAGCAGATAAGATATACACCTACAGAACTCAAGTAAACATTCAACGGTGAACACCTGGACACCGGAGTTTTCAAAGTTGATCAAGTTTGCATCGCAGGTTCACGGGTGTAGGGGTTTCCTCGGTTACCTTAGGGTTCTCATTGCAGTGCATAACTCAAAATAAACCCAAACCCCGTGCCTCTGTACCGGGTGGCGAGTCGCCAAATCGTCATTGCAGATACTACAGTAAACGGACCACTGGCTCTCAATCAATCTTGGCAGCGACCGAAGATCGAATCGAAACCCGGGATGTCGCAGTAACCTTGAAATGACGCATGCGTACAGGAGTCTAGAAACGGCGAGAACCCTCATACGAGAGGCGTTCAGGCACAAGGTGCAGAACTACAGGGCGGTAATTGCAAACCTGCCGTAGCCCCTCACATCCCAAACACGCAATCTCCCCTCCGGCGCTTACCCAACGGACAGAACGCCAACCTCATGACGGACGGGAAACAGCAGCAAGGCCGGCGGCAATTGAAACCCGTGAAACAACGCTATAGCCGGGCGCGACGGAAACAAATCAGAGGTTGGGCCACTGAGTCACCGGTATGGGGGACAATCAATTATTAGGGTGTCTAGTGAACAATCGCGGACAAAAGAAATGTCAAGTACGTAGGGATGCACATGGACCGAGACAGGACCGGTGAGGAGGCAGCATGGGAAGAACGGGCGGGTATTCCGACATCTCAAACATGTCTCTTATCCAGGTTCCTGGGCAGGGCACCAAATGACACGCGAAGCAGGGCAGGACTCATGAACAACCACGTAGTCAGGGGGGGGGCGCCGTGAGAAAGGGAGGATGATAGCATGGGAATGATCTGCTTGATTCACTCTCCCAGCATCGGGGAGAAAGGGCCGGGGCAAGGATCGACGCGACACAAGGGAAGGGTTTCTCTGCGACACAAGAGACGGGGTGATTGGCGGGGAAAATGACAGCTGAATCATGTGGAATGGAGAAAAGCCTAGCCCGGGTGGTGGTAACGTCGCGTGTTCAGGGCGTGAGACTATTGGGGAAGGGCAGCAAGGACTGGACCACGATACGGCAGCGTGGGCGGCGGAATGTGCTTCATGGCTTCGTCGGTGCATGGGCCATGGCCCACACCATTGGCATAGCTAACTCTATTGTATCTTGAAATGCCATCCCTAGGAGTGGGAACGGGTAGAGTCGCATTGCACATTCCAGAAGATTAAGCTATAGCCATGAGCACGGCCGGGGTCCCGGTATGGAAGGCTGCTACGGTGTCAAACCGGACGTATGTACGGGCGTTGATCGGGCGTTGATCGGGCGTTCTCCCCAAGTCAGAAACATTCTGCAAGGCTACAGGAGCCATGTGGCGAGGAAGTAGCGGGTAGGATACGATAGGGCAGCTAATACAGAGTACGGAGTACGGAGTACCGTCTGTATGATCTGTATTCCAGTGGAGTCCGGTGGAGTACCTGCAAAAAGGCACAAGGCCTGAACGTGAAACACGGAGAGACAGCCACAGACGCTGACAGTGGCGGTGCCGGGCCGATCCAGTCCTTTCTTTGGCAGAAATGGATATCCTGTTGCCTACAGTACAGTATACATAGTACTGCGTATGCACGGCTACCTGTGTACAAGTTCGGTGGAGCCAATGGGGCAAACCGCGATCGATCTCTCGGGTAACAAGGCCGAGATCGAATCGACACATCAAAACCAGACCGGCCGGTTACCCTGGAAAAAGTACCCGACAAACCGATAGGTACATGGACGAGTGGCTCGGGGGGGGGGGGGGGGGGGGGGGGTGCTAATGAGGGCTTACAAGGGCCGAGAAGGGCTAGGGAGTGCGAAGGGGCGGGGGTGGCTCCCGTCAGGTTCTGACGACTCCGAAAGCTCGGGCATCAAACCCTAGATACAGATACATCGCAGAAGAAGCTCTGGGTATCGCGCCAAGAGTCCGGTCGTACGGGCACCGAGCGCCAAGGGGGGAATAATGGGAATAATACAAAAAGAAAGGATACGAAGCAGAGAGGACTGGAGTAGGCGCGCGGGTCTCGAACGAGACCGACCCTGGCTACGCGCAGCTCCTTGGGTGACCGACTCTCGCGGGAGGGTGCAGACATCTCCGGCCCAGTCGGGAAGGGTCAAGCTTCTGGTCAAGCCGACGCATGCGCCGACTGGGGCGTGGTGTCACCGCTTGGCGTTCCGGTTCTGCGCGAGCTGCCCGTGTCCGGGGTGGTACGAATCAGAAGAGCGGTTCGTACCATTCTATAATAGGATGTAGCCCGCGCAGCTATCATTGGGCTATCGACCGGAGGGGCGAAGGTGAATGAATGCATTTGCCATGTGTGTGGTACAGAGTGCAGCTCGAGCGTACTCGTACCGGTACCAGCGTCACCGAGTACAACGCGGGCGCCGCCCAAGTATCTGATACATGACATCCCTGCAAAGCTGCAGGTCTTCAGTCCCGCCATGTGTCCAACGTCAATGGGGTTTAGCGCGTGCCCGGCATGCAGCCGACTTTTCCCCCCGGTCGCATTGCAGTTTGTCTCCTTATGGACCCTTCACCATCACTGCAAGGAGCCGTCTCCCCTGAGGCCGATCATTCGCCACGTGAAGGGTGTCGAGGGTCACTCCATCACATTAGTCGGGTCGACAGGTGGCCGCCGCCGGTACCTCACATCAGTAAAAAAAAAATAGTAACAATAGTAGGCAATCGCGAGGTATCTAGCCAGGGAGCACGGCGGGTCGCACAAACCTCAACCACGTTCGGTGAGCATCGTGACGTGAAGACTTTGGTGGTGATGTAATGGACGAGCAGAAATAAACGTGGCTCCTTGCATCGAAGGGGGAAGAAGGAAGAATCAGAGCCCGAATGCCACATTTCTTCAGAATGTCACTAGCAGCAGCTCCACCGCCGCGTCTGTACAGCGCGGACCCTAGGAAAAGGCCGCGGATAGGCTATATTCGCAACTAGAATCCTAACGGGCGGCCGTTCGGGATACGGGACGGTCCTATTGGCAACCCAGGTGGAAATGTAACTCTGAGGGGAATTCACCCTTGCCTCTTTCTCTCCCCAGGGTCAGCCTCGTGGCACACAGGTGGAGATGTGGTGCGCAGTAGCGCCCATCGGGGGCTTGGCGCATGGTAACAATACACGCATTCCATGCGAAATTGTCGGTCGATTTGATATTTTCGTCCATTGCCTTTCCAGGCTGACGCGGCGATCATCAGGTATAGCATCTTAGGACGACGCCAGTAGATCGATCGGTCTCAGGCGAGCGATCTACGAGGTAACATAGAATCACGGCCGAAAAGAGGAGATCATCCGGCGGCTTCTTCAACCGTTGCAGTTCCCCACCCCGTCACAGTCTTAACTTTCAGACTTTCAGACTTTCAGACTTTCAGACTTTCAGACTTTCAGACTTTCAGACTTTCAGACTTTGGGCTCGGCCGTGTTTCCCCAAAGAGGCTTCGACCCCAAGTCCACCTGCTTGTGCCACGTTCTGATGCTCCCTTGCGCTCCGTTATTACCGTACGCTTACCCGGTACTTCCTCCTTCCCCGGTTTGAAAGTCAATAACTGAAAAAGAAAAAAGAAAAGAGAAAAGCGAAAAGCGAAAAGAGAAAACCGGGACTCGACCCTAAATCTCGGCGATCGGGTACAATACTCTTCGAAACTCTCGCCCTTTCGCGTGAGATCGTCTTTCCCCCCTCCTTGTATCATCCATCCCCCTTCTCTTTTCTATTCTCCCCGACTCTACCGGGCTTCTCTCTTTTTTTGATATACGCTTTCCCCGATCGTTACCTCCTCGCCCCTCAATTGATTCCGGCGAAAAGAATATGCGATAAGTGTGGAGCTACCCCCGATCGCTTTCCTGACACCTACGCATCCTCAACCTCCCCCGAGAGTCCGTGGAGTCCCTCCCCCGTCTCACTCTCGCCACCATGGAGTCGGTCGCTCATCGGCCGTGGGAGTCGGTCTCGGGCCCTCAGACGCCCGCCGCTTCAAATCAGACGCTGCCGTCCATATCCACCCTCACCGCAAACATGAACGGCGTGAACTCGTCAGAGAAGTCGCCCGGTAATTCGTCGCTGAACACGATTGAACGGGACTCGGGCAATTGGTCCATGCCCCAAAGCACAAGTAGGACGACTCCTCCCGGAGCGCATGATGTGCGGCGGGCTGACCCTGCAGGATCCTCCACCTACTCGACCACCACCAATGGCACCGGCAACAACTATCCCTCTCTCACCTTCTTGACCTCGACCTCGCAACCCTCGCCCACCCGAAACCACCCTGCTCCTGCTCCAGACCGTTCGCCCTATACCTATGACCACTCTACCACCCCTTCCTCGGCCGGTGCGCAACAGCCTTCGCCCAGCTTCAATACTTCTCAGCCCAATGGAGCGCTTCCCTCGATCAATCAAAATTACGACGCCTCATCTCAACGGGGGAGCGTGGCTGAGGTATCCGAATCGCGCCGCAGCTCCATCGACAGCCGCATGAACCAGGGGATCAGTTCGCTGGCCATCAACCCGGCGTCGCCCTACCACAGCACCAATGCCTCGCAGTCCTCGATCGTGTCCAGTCTGCAGCGGGAGCGAGGGATCAACACTGACGTGAATGCCTACCGGGGACCCCGGTACTCCGGGGGCAGCCAGCCTCTGTCCCCCTTGGGACCACGTCCGGGTGAGCCCCGAAACTTCGCAGCAGGCCGCAGCGCTCCTCCGATCTCTTCGAATCCCCGGTCAGAGATCTACAACGCCGAGGCGCCGACGGCGGGTATGGCGTACGCCTTCCCCGATCCCGACGTTGCGCGGTCCAGCTCCATCTCGTCCAATGAAAACACCAACCCCCCATTCTCTCGAAAAGGCAGTACGGCGGAGTCGCTCAGCAGCATGTACTCCGAGTCGCGGATGCCGCGTGGACAGCATGGTAAGTTTCACTTTTTGTCTCCGCGCCTGACGTCATGCTCATCGAATGTTTCAGAACTGCCACAAAACGTACACCATCATTCGCTGCAGCACAAGCAGGTTCGGGAGTTGATTGGCGAGGATGGCGGCAATACGCCCTACAGCCGAACACCCGAATTGCGCGTCACACATAAGCTCGCCGAGCGCAAGCGACGAAGCGAGATGAAAGACTGTTTCGAGGCCCTGCGGATGCGTCTTCCTCAGGCCCAGAACAACAAGTCCAGCAAATGGGAAACGCTCACCCGGGCCATCGAATACATCAGCTCACTCGAGAAATCGCTTACCCAAACGCGACGAGAGAACTCTCTCATGCGTACGCAACTCGAAGAAATGCAAGCGCAATTAAACCAGCAACAGGCCAACGGGCCGTCACGGACTCCCTCGATCTTCGAACACCACATGTCGGCTACCCCGGCCAACGGCCAAGGGCCCGTGTTCGGTGGATTCGGAAACGGGTCCAACATGGCCCAGGAACAGCCTCGCACTCTACCGCCGCTCATGAACGGATCCTCGGCCCCGATGCAGGGGATCCAGTATACTGACGAGCGACGGTAGAGACTTTTGCCCATGGCCTTCACCTGCCACGGATGAGAAATGACTAGTCATGCCGGGATACATACCCGCGAAATGTCCGCGACTCTTTTTCACATTGTCATTCTATATATCCCTTGTTTTAGATATGGATCTCGACGTTGCCCGCAGGGCGTCGAGTAGCTTCCCTTTTTCTTTGCTAGGAGTCGATTCCTTTTTTTTTTTTTTTTTTTTTTCTTTCCCCTGTTTTGTTTGTGTCATCGATCATACCCGCAATCGCTCTGATGTTCAGTTATATCTTTCTTATGTTTTCTTTCCGGGGCTCTCGCCCCGACATCATCGGTCCGACTGCATGTTCATATTTGGGGTAACTGGGAAACGGGGTTATCGATTGTTGGCATGTGGGAATGACGGGTGTTTTCTGTACCAAATATCCAAAAGCGAGAGCTGCAGGGATTGTACTGTTCCTATACATGAAAACATGCAAATGAATATCCGACGAGGCCTGGCCCGTCCATTGCTTGTCACCCTACCTCAAACAGCACCTTGATAAAAAGTACACACGAACGTGGCCTGATGTAACAAGCAAACAAAGCACTTTTAACCTGGACGAAGGCAGTCAATGCAGAACTAAAAAAAGGCCAATCTATTTTGAGACTGAAGCTCTCACCTCCATGATTGGCCCCTGTAAGCGCCCGCCCACCACGGCGCGTAATGCCGGCCTCAAACCGCACATGCATCCAAGTACCACTCGACCCCTGGTGGTCTCCCCCGTATGTGAACCAATAGGGGGCTTCAGGATGGGAGCTACCGGGTTGAGGTGTCTGGGGTTTCTGCAGACAACCAAGTTGAGGGGATGTGATTGGATCTGGGGATGTTGGTGACACTGCCGGATGAGATCGCCCAAGCTTCATGCAGCAGTAGCAGCTGCACCGATGCAGCGTTAGGTTTTGCTTATGAGCATGGAGGCTGCCGAGTCGGAGTGTTCTTTTGCAACTTTCTTTTCACGTTCGGTCTTTCCTCGTCGAGTTTCAGTCTTTGTTTACTCTCGTTCTGCATGAGTGAATGACGGCGTTTCTTTGAGTGCATTGTTTCAGGCGTCACGGCTATTAATAACTCACTCTTTGTTTGCACTATTCAAGATTGACGCACGTCTCCTGCACTGTTATCTATTCAACTCATGGTATGTCAACAGCATCAACTCTGAAGGGCTCCAGCTAAGCCAACCCAGTTCGACCCTGAGACATCACGATGGTCTCGAAGCGACAAAAGCCCCAGCCAGAGCTGCAAGTCCCAGTCCCGAACTTTCCGTTATCGTCGCCCATCAGCGAGGAAATCTCGAGCCCGTCATGTTCATCGGCAGAGGACCGCGAGTTGGAGCGGACTAGACCCTTTGATTTCTTGGTCAAAGCGACCCGACAAAAGCTCGAGACGAGATCTGGTTGTGGACGAGATGGTCTCAGATCACCCAACCTCTCGCATCGGGACAGAATTGTACCGGAGACTCCGATCGCCCCGAGACTGAGTATTCGGGGCATCACAAAGAAGAAGAAAAGCGCAGCAAAACCGGTTGGACTGAATCTCGTCACGGACTTTACGCTTGGGACTCCACCTAAAGGCAACAGGAAGTCCGATGAGACTGCGGCTGCGCCGTTTGTGGATCTGAATGACTTGAAGGTCTTGTCAAAGGCACGAGAGAAGGAACGGGTTGGACTGAAGTCAAAGACAGTTGACAGGAGGAACTTGGATACTGCGGCGGCTGCTTCATCACGCGGCTTCCAACAGCTGCCCGAGACAATAGAGTCAAGTGGAAACTCATTTCTGGACCCAAACCCCGCAAATCCCTTCAGCGACAGACATGACCACGGCCTTTCACCCTCGGACCGCCATGTCATGATCGGCCTCACTGTACCACGCCACGAATCCTCGGACCGGGCAAAGGAGCTCGACAGCGCAGGCGATCAACATACCCCCGTCACACCATCGATCATCGTCACTCCAGCCCGCGAGGATGCACCTTGGTCCTCGTCCAGTCCCGAGGGGCTACGGCCCCGAGCTACCTCCAGTGTATACTCCCAGCCAACACCCCGTCTATGGGCAAATGAGACCGATATCCCACCTGTGCCTGCAATCCCGGTGCAGCACTCCTTCAAACTGGGCTCTTATTTCCTGAATGCACATGCTATTGCCGCGGGACGAGAACAGAAGCGCCGGTCTTCCGCAAATACTATTATTGAGGACGACAGTCCGGAACAAGAACACCCACTCTCCCGCGCGTTAGAAGACGATGATCAAGCACCTTTAACAAAGCAAGAACTGAGTGTCGATACAGAAGTGAGGCCAGCGTCCCAGGGATGGTGGACGTACCTACTATCTCCACTACTCGGCAAGAAGTCACCGTTGAGTCCGAACTTCCCTCGTCAAAACCCTTCATCTCCCGCAACGAAAAAAAAATCCAAGGAGTGGTGGGAAAAAGAGGTGTCATGTTTCTCACCAGAGACTCCCGACACGACGATGACAGAGTGGTGGAATGATGATAAAGTTAAAGATCTGAAGACTCCCGATGGGATTGAGCAGTCTCGCTCGCTTGGAGTCGACGATGATGCTGCGACTGTTTCCAAAAGCAACAGACAAACTACTGCATCGTTCATGCTTGGTGGTCGATCTATTCAGGGTGAAGCAGCGGAGTATTTTCAGGCGTGTGCGCATGAGCTGTTCAGCAAGACTCCTTACTTTGAGTGCTACAACCATGTTTGCTCCATTACACCGGCTTGTGTTGTTGAAAGTCGACAATTCGCCGAGACGGACGCGACGGGTGATCGAGGGTTGACTCTTGCTGGGGCTGAAATTCAGGACACTGGTGTGTCAGAAGCACAAGAAAACACAAATGGTGGCATGGCTACAGCTCGAGGTCTACTCATTGATGTGGACTCCCCAAACCGTGAAGGCTCAAACCATGTCGACCGCAATAAGAGTGCACAATCGCCAACGTCTAGTTCTGATTCGGATGACTGGACCTCCTCGATTTCTGATGATCATGAGAAAAGCCTGTCAGAGCCGCCAAAGAGTTTACCCAGAAAAGCCGTTCCTGAACCTCAGCCCGAACCTGTACATATGCCAGAGTCTACTCCTGCGCCGGTTATTCAGGAACCACTAGCTCCGCCGCCGCTGGAGATGCCCAGGGAACCAATGCCAGCCCCAACTCCTGCTCCTCCACAAATTATCAACAATTATCATTATCCTCCCGCACCAGCTGCAATTCCGCCACACACCCTCACAATGGAGCGAACAGTACCCCACTATGTTCCGGTTTTCCCTCCTCATAACGAAATGCCAGAGTCGCAGCATATGGCCCAGGAACAAGTATCTGAAGGATCAAAGGAGCCTCCCGTACTACAACAACAACTGAATCCTTCAGAATGGTCGTGGCAGAAAGAAGGCATCGAAGAGCCACCAATTGAACCAGAAGGCCTGGTACGCGGAATGCCGGCTCCAGACCCTATGCCCATTTCCCCGGCATTTCAACGCGCTGCGGGAGGGCCGGGCTCAATTCCGCTGTCTGAAGTAAATGCACCAGCACCCGCTTACACACAGTACTCACGAGATGTTCCGCTTCCGCCGCGATATGACCAGCATCCTGCTCCAGGAGCAGGGATCATGAACCCCACTGGAATGGCCGGGCCCGGAGAGGCTCGGCGTCGCAGGATTGAGCGTGAAGATGCTGCTGGTAGGAAGGTCGGTGGATTATGGCGCGGAAGAGGATGCTTCAGCAACAAAGGCTGCTTTGGGCGTCCAGGGCGTGAAGGTCGACTTCGTCGGAGATGGTATTTTGGCATTTGCTCTATCTTTTTGATCATTGTGGTCCTGGCAACCGTTCTTGCGATCACATTGACACACAAAGGAGATAGCACGCCTGTTCAATCTACGTGGCTCAATTTGACCGGGTATCCGCCCATGCCAACAGGGATTGCGACAATCGCTGGTTCAGAAACACAGTCTGCAAAGTCGACTTGTATCAGCCCATCTACTCTCTGGAGTTGCTCTCTACCGCAAGACCAGCAGTCTGGAAACGAGCCTTACCCGGCAGACAACCCCAGCTTCCGCGTCGAGATCCGTTTCCGCAACGGAACGTACGCCAATGGAACTGATACTGTCAACTCGACCGCGATACGCAAGTTCCGAAGAGACAGTGGTCTGTTTACACCCGATCCAGCTGCACCAAGTGTCGCAGACCAGGCCTTCATCGGCAACACAACAGATGGCAATTCGGTCCCTTACGCCGGCGAAGAAACACCCTTCTATATGTCCATCCTCTCACCCGTTCATCTGTCCTCGACAGGCCTCTTCCGCCGATCCAGCACGGAGGTCACATCTACCAACCTGACAAAAATCATCCCGGCCCCCGACGAGAACTCCGACGGCACCGCGGCGGCCGCTGAACTTTACCCACTCCCTAGTTCCCAACCCGTACGCCTCTACAACCGCGGCCAATCAGATGAGCACTACGGCTTCTACAACTACTACGACAAATCAATCTTCCTCGCATCACTCGCCGCCCTAGATGGAAGTGTAGTCGATACTGACCCGAACGACCAAAACGGTGGCGTCAGCAAAGCCGCCGCCAAAGTACGCTGCACCTGGTCCCAAACCCGCTTCCTCGTTCAAATCTGGACCCAGCCGGGTAAAATGGGGTATGATCTCCTCTCCTCATCTAATGGAACAAGTGCAACCTCATCCGCAACGCCTACATCCACCTCCTCGGCAACATCATCCTCTTCCGCGACGGATTACACCAGACCAGGATCATTCCCGTACCCGGTTACCATAACCGTGGACCGACATGGCGGCGAAGCAGATGGGAAACTGGTGTATTGCTACGCTGTTGAAGATGGACATTACAACATCACGGATCGGAAGTTACAGGCTGAGTACCGGGGTGTTGGTGGGACGTGGATCAATCCTGCGAATGGGGACGATGTTAGTGGGAATTCGACGTATGGAGGTATCGATGGGGGCACCGGGGGTTGTGGATGTCAGTGGGTTAATTGGATATCTACTTCGTGACTGTGATAATAGTGAGATATTCCGTGCGAAGGCTTTCTTTTCTTTTCTTTCTTTTCCTTGTTTATTTCTGTTTTGCATATGGGTGGTTGCCTGCCTTTTACTGGCGTTGTGGTGTGAGATCAAAACCAAAATCAAAAGTATTTACTAAGCTCAAACAACGTGTGGCTCATCTCTTATACCGATGTTGGACGTATTGAGAGCCTACAATTCTGCTATTACCAATGCGGTCTATGTCGGCGTCGCTTTTTCTGTGCTGGCCATCTTTGAGGCGCTGCCGATTAGGTGGATTTCTGTCAAGGGAGGAGAGGTCAAGGCAGCTCTTAAATGAGTGTTATGGAGACAGAAGAGCTACTAGTTTAGTCTCAACAAAGAAATAGGGAGTGGAACACAAACTTGAGAGTTATACCTGAAAATGCTTGACCTAGTTAGGAACCGCGAACCCAACGGGTTATATACTGGGCTTGAAGCGATGCCGAAGTTTTGTCGAAGTGCAAATGTTCTAATTCAGCGGTTGTAAACGCCAGAGACCGAGTGCGTTAGTGCAAATATTCTCTCTGGGATCTTTGTTTATTTTGGAAATACATCCCAAGACCAAGAAAATAATCATTCATCCTACTCGACCAGCGGGTAATTATGAATACAGAAAAATGCTCAACGCCCAGTCAAACAACGGAACGCGACAGACCCTTGAAGTACTCAAGCCTCGTTCTCTCCATGCATCTCGCGGTTTCAATAGTTAAGCGGTCATCAGCCCCACGCTTGTTAACCCATTCCCCCCATGCTTCTTTGAACAGCACATGCGCTTCTGCTAGTTTCCCTTGGGACTCTAGTGAGCTGGCCAATGATACCATCGAGCTCAATGTTTTCTCATGATTGTGCCCAAGCGCTAGAGTTCTGGCTCCAACCAGTTCTTTGAAAGCCTTTTCTGCCAGTTTGTATTTTTGCTGCGCCTGTAGAGTCTTTCCATACCAATGTAAAGACCATTGAGTAGTGGAGTCTGAAAGTCCAAAACTTTTTCTCCATACAACCAGCGCCTGAAAGAGACGAGCTTCCGCTTCAGAGTACTCATTTGTGTGGTGACACGCATAGCCAAGCCAGTAAGAAGACTCCAATGTATCCCGGGCATCTTTGCCAAGTCTGATGCTCCGTTCCTCGAAGACAAAGCGGCATAATTGCTTGGCTTGTTCGTGCTTGTCTTGCTTGCACATGGCTCTGGCCAACCATAGAGAACTTTCCGATAAGTTTTCATCATTCCTTGATGCAGCAACAGCCCAGCGAAAAGCCTTTTCAGACTTGGAGTGCATCTGTAGGTCAAGAAGGGCAAGTCCGAGCCAGATGGCCGCTGGATACATTGCGGAATTTCTTGCTCCAACGTTGGAAATTTGTTGACTGGCAGCCCAGAGAAAATCTTCCGCCTCTTGAATTTTCCCTTGCCTGTATAATGCTACCCCGAGTAGCATGAAGGATTGTCCTGAATCCTCATAATGCACAGAATCCATCTGCTCCCACCCACCGGCAGCATCACAAAGTACAGCTTCGGAATCTACCCACTTCTTTTGCTGGATAAGTGCCTTTCCAAGAGCATTGAGAGACTGGAGCGTACTCTTGTTGCTCAGACCAAAACTTGCTCTTCGCCCATCTGCCACTTCTCTGAACAATTCTCCAGCCCTCTTATATTGGCCTTGTAAGTATTCGTTGCGACCAAGCCAATAAAGGGCATCGAGTGAATCGACATGTGTTGGTCCAAGAGCCTCTTTTAATCCGCTCACTGCCTTTCAAGATGCTCTCTGGCACCCACATAGTCTTCCTGCCCATGTAAAATTTGGCCTAATTCAGCAATGGTGCGGCAATGGGTCTCAACTATGAATGAGGCTGAGAGTTTGGGCTCATCATTTGTTGTAATCCTTGGAGAGCTCTGTGGCAGTCTCACGCGAATTCGAATTCTTTTCCGAGGTCCACTACGTGGAGGGTGTTTCAATAGTCCTGTCAGGAGGTTCTGGATGGACTTTTTTATTGCGATCGTGGCCTTATTCATCTCCAAAAGCTGTGTGGATATAGGAGGTTGTGGAGGCTGCCATTGAGATTCAGAAATCGAAAGAAGGGTGTCTGGGTGGTTCGACCCGAGGACCTTTTTCTGCATGCTTGCCACGTCCCGCAAAATAGTCTGTCCCTTGCCATAGCTACCTTCGCGCATCTCCAGGACGCCAACCCAATAATGAGACTTGAGCGTAGATGCATTTTTCGGACCATATATCTTCAGTTGAGCCTCCAGCACTAGGTTAAACAGGTCTTTGGCTTGCGAGTACTTGGCCATATGGTAGTAAAGAACACCCAAGCAATGATATGAGTTGCGAGTGTCCTTGTGTACCATGCCGAGCAATTGATTGCGTTTCTCAACCGCTGTTTGAAGCATGGCCTCGGCTTCCTTCCACTTGTTTTGACGGAAGAACTGCACTCCTTCATTATGTAGAGCCAGTAGTTCGGCTTCCACTAACTTGTCTCCGCGGAAAAACTGGAGTCCTTGATTATGTGGAGACACGAGGAACTTCTTCGATATCCCAAGGAGTCCAAAAGAGACTGAAGATTGAAAAGACAATTGCTGTCTAGCTTGTGGATTGGACTGCTCTTCAGCTTCAAAACCATTGTCCGCAGTGAACCAATCCGAGCTTTCTGCTGAAACATTGGCCTCTTCAATCCTCTCTCTGGACAATTTATTGCTGACCTCTTTTGGCGCAGGCTTTAGCGCTTCTCGAAGATCTTGCTTCGAAGCAACGCCTGGGAGACTCGCCTCCGTTATTTTCAGGTTTTTCATTTCCCCGAGTGGCACATCAGTGCGTCGGAGCCAGTCGTGTTGCGTAGCTTCCTTGGCAGAAAGTCTCTTCGAGGGCTTCGGGGCCATTGCTGCCTTGATGAAATCAGAACACTCCTCGCTGACTGGTAAGAGTGGCAAAGAAAGAGGTGCACCCTGGAGATACTGTTTTAGACTCGTTGACTGTTTAGTACCGAATGGGAATTTGTAGAAAATCATGTAGAACGTTATGACGCCCAGCGCCCATATGTCGACTTTCTCTGTGTATGAAGACTCAATGCCGTCATCTTCCTTGTAATAAGGATCAAGAAATCGTACCTCCGGGGCAAGGAAGCCCGGAGTTCCTACCCATGTTTGAAGGCCGTCACTGTCGTTGAAGCGTTTGCTGATTCCAAAGTCGCCGATTTTAACCCACCAATCGGGGCTTTTCCGAAAGACAAAGATATTCTATTATTATTATTATTATTATTAGCAATGGTATTGAAGCCTCATCCCAAAGGTTGTTTACCGCAGGCTTGAGGTCCCGATGAGCAAAGCCACTCTCATGGAGGAGTTCGAGGCCTTCCGCTATTTGTAACGTGATTTCTCGAGCTTCGTTCTTGGGCAAGGGCTTTTGTAGATGCGAGTCCAGATCACCATGCTCCATGTACTCCATAACAATGAATACAGAGATATCATTCTCATACCAGCCAATGAATTCGACGAATAGACCCTCGTACTAGAGAACAATATAAGCTTGAGTCACTCGAGTCAGGCTAGGATGTATGGCGTGAGAAGAGGCTATACCTTTTTCTGCGAAAATTTTGCAACTGCCTCTAGCTCCTCGTAGTAGTCAATGCCCTTGGAGACGACGGCTTTTTCGATCATCTTCACGGCCTGCAACTCGGTTGGTCCTTCACTCGTCAGGCATTTATGGAGAGTCACGATGCCATAGGAGCCGCTTCCAAGTATCCTTTCCACCTTCCATGTGTCTTTCCGATGTCTGCGCCTGACATGTCTAGCAGTGGAAACCTTCGATTGAACCGTGTGCCGGTAGGTGACGTTGTCCCCAAACTCCACTTGTATTCGAGTATCGAGCACAAGGTCGGAAAGGTTTGGATCCATAGTAGACTGACTTCTGGGTCATAACTAGTTAATGAATCTGGCATGTATTCCAACTCTGAGAAACTTGATTTCTGGCCCTCTTTTGAGGGGAACTGCGGATTCCGCCCCCACGAACCGAGCTGCAGCTTTAGCCGCACGGATATGGATCCGACGAACAGGGATTCCTAAAAGGGAATAGAGCAGCTCCATAGCTAAGCCCGGATCATCTACATCTCCGAATTAACATTTGGAATTCAAACTTGAAACAGGTATGCGTTCGTGTTTCAAGACCCCTCGTGTTCTGGGTGCACCGCCGCCCCCAATCCCAAGAACCTTCAAAGAGCAAATTTCCGGAGAATTGATGAGATACTGGAATTTGGCACTTCCACTAGGGGTGCAACGAATCATGGCTCCCAACTTAGCGAAATCGGCGCTTATTCTTAATATTTTGAATAGTGATGGACTAACTACCCTGCGGATGGCGGAAGCTGCTGGCTGCAGCAAGCACGCCATTTTGAGGATCCGGTCGAACCTGCGACTATTCGGTAATGTTAAGACTAACACCCGAGTTCATTAAGCCCACTCAGCCAAAAAAAAAAAAAAAAGACATTATAACGCAGCTCCTGCTTCGTTATTCTCAGGCACCGAATACAAGGGACTAGGTAGCGGAGATCTATAGGCCTTTAACAAACTTGGGCATCCTTCCCTAATGACTCAATGTCTAGATGTGAGGCTAATTTGGGGGCTAGTTTGGGGGCCATTTTTACATTTTCTCATATAGAAGGGAGCCCCTTTATGGCAGTCGCTAGTCCTTAGTTCTCAAAATTTCAATTTTATCAGACAGAAGCGAGAATCAGAATCTTGGCACCTCCTTACAATCCCTGGAACCATGCAATCTGACCGCACAGACCGACCCACAGAACTTCTCAGACTAACAGAAGACTCATGATCCTGCTGATCACGGTTCCATATTTTATCTTCTTTGCTTTCGCTACGTAATCCTTGGAGCTTAGCAATATCACTCCTGTCTCTCCAGTCCATTTATCAGACCACAACTGAACAGCTGGGCCCGAAAATAATCCACTAATGGGTGTATCCGTGATACCTAGGTATTGAGAGTGCTGTACTTAGATCAGCCATCTTAATTCTAGTTAAATTCTAGCTAAGAGAACCTCAACTAGACCTTGTTAGTGTTTGGGAGATGAGGAGATGCCCGGATAATATACCGCGATGTCCTTTTTGAACCCTTGAACGCGGCCCGAAAACCCCTTCGGAACGAATGCTAGTTATGACTGTCATTTTCTTTCTTTTTCTAGATGGCCCCACTTTATACCCGCAACCTAATTAAAAAATCCTTCACACATTTGAGCTTCAGGAGGGTCTTTAGCATTAGGATGAGTTGCAGTGAATCCTAAGAGCAGACTTGTATGACCTTTGCCGGTCTGGGCGAAAGTTTGCAATTTATGCGTATAGATTGAAGACTTGCAGTGCGCAATCGAGTCTTTTTTTTTCCCGTATGAACCAGAAGTTCTATATTAGTATTACCATGTTTTGAATGGTCATAGATAGGATAGGTAGCTATTCCGGAAATGGAGATATGAGAGGTGAGAACAGGGTGGTATAGCCCCTATCTCAAGGTCGGGCCTCCAATCGCAGCCAATCACATGTGTCACAGTGCCGCGTGATCCGTACTATATGATAAACGAAATAAGGATTCTGATCGGCGGAGATTGTTCTAGACGGTCAAGACCTGTCAAGCGAAAATCACTCATAGAAAACTATGATAGGCTAACCGGTTTAGATGGGGTCAATATATTAGGAAAAATTCTTTGACCGGGTGATCGGGTGATCGGCCTACACCGGTGGCAATTTCCAGGGCCTGGGCGCGGGTTGTTGGGTCGGGTTCCCGTGCCGGGTTGTTATTTTCGGCCCCTGCGTCTCATGACACCAAAAAAAAACCCGCAAAAGATCTAACCAGAAGTATACTAGGGGAGGAACAGAAACAAGATAAATTCGCCTTCAATCACCACAAGCCGAATATCATCAACATCAATTCACTTCACTTCTTCACTCCTCAAATACCAGCACCAACCCTGGTATACCAACAATACAGACCAACCCGCAAAGTCTCGTTCAAACTCAACCTCAAATCCACAATGGTCGCTTTCCCCGTCGTCGGCGCTGGCCCCTACGGCACAAGCCCAAAATCGGCCCGCTCGAGCACAACCGAAGTACCAAAGATCGATGCAGCTCAAATTGAAAATATTTTCCAACAAATGAACTGCTCCCAAGACCAAGTCTCAGCAAGTTCCTCTAGCCGCTTCGGATGGTTCTCGCGACAGTAAGATCAATTCCTTACACTTATTTTTGATATACGCTAATGTGCCTAGGTACAACAAGAAATTCCACAGTCGCAAATCTGTGTCTAAGTAAGGGTTGTGGGCGGGGCCACATCTATGGAAATATGGCGAAGATGCGATTGGCTAGTACCACAGTACATCTTTTAATATTTTAATGACTAATTTTGACGGGAATGTATATATTCTAATGAGAAAAAAATATTTAAATCACTTTTTTACATTTAAGAATTCTAATTCTCACCACTCTTTTTGAATCACCTGTCATGGAAGAAAATAGGGTCCAGACATTGATTTCTATGATTTCTAAATGTTCGATCTGTTGAAAGATTCCAGCAATACATTCGTATCCCGTGTAGGTGGTGACACCGTACACCGTTTCTCGGAAATACTGTCCAAGCGCCTTTCAGCTCCCGGTCGCTGACCGCGGGGTAAAAAAATAAATACTCTGACGCAGCTGGTTTCAGCTTTGACATTTGCAATGGTCTAAATATACTGGCTTTGTTCTTTTTTACTTGTCCCCAGCCATCCGGGTTAAATCCAAATTGAACTCACCAATACACATTGTTGTCCACCATGTCCAGCATCAGTACTAAAGATAATGCCGCTCTACCCACTCCCAACGAGGAGATTGATCCCACCCAACCGACCCAAATGAGAGCCCGCTACGAACAAGAAAGAAAGAAACGTCTGCGCGATGACGGAAACGCACAGTTCATCGAAGTCGCAAAGTCAGCTCAGTATGAGCGTTTCGCTGATGACCCGTGGGCTGACCCGGCAGCAGTCCAACCCCTCCAAGCCAAGTTCCCCGATGAGCGAAGCGAAATGCTTATCATCGGTGCCGGATGGGGCGGGATACAGAATGCCGTTCGCATGGTCGAGGCTGGCATACCAGTCGAAGGCATTCGCATTATCGACCCGGCTGGTGGCTTTGGTGGCACCTGGTACTGGAATCGGTATCCCGGGCTTATGTGTGACATTGAGAGCTATACCTATCTCCCATATCTGGAGGAGACGGGATACGTACCCAAGCACCGATATTCGCAAGGCGAAGAGATCCGGGAGTATGCCAATCTTGTTGCGCAGAAATGGGGGTTGATAGACTGTGCCGTTTTCCAAACCCAAGCACAGAAGATTGTTTGGGATGATGATGCCAAAGAATGGTCGGTCAATCTAATCCAGCGTCGCAAGGGTCAATCTCCAACTACTCTCCAGATTCGCTCCAAGTTTGTCACCATTGCTGCTGGTGTGCTTAACTGGCCCAAGCTGCCGAGCATCCCGGGGATTCTGGACTACCAAGGTGACATGTTCCATTCTGCTCGTTGGGCATACAATGTCACTGGTGGATCTCCCAAAGACCCGGTGCTTGCCAAATTGAAGAATAAGCGGGTCGCGATTATCGGCACAGGAGCGACAGCGGTACAAATCGTTCCACAGGTCGCAAAATGGTGCAAGCACCTCTATGTCATACAGCGGACGCCGGCTTCGGTGGACGTTCGTGATCAACGTGAGACTGACGATGAATGGTTTCATCAAGCGGTTGCACGATCGAAAGGATGGCAACGAGAGCGAATGCGGAACTTCCACCAACATTTCACTCTTGGCGAGGTACCAGCAGTCAACCTGGTCAACGATGGATGGACCCGCGCTCCTGGCTTAGTTGGTCTAACTGGGTATACCGAGGGACCCAAATTACCCGAAGAAATCCCTGCATACAGGGCAAGATTGATTGAGATCGACATTCCCCATCAAAATCGCATTCATACTCGCGTGGATGAAGAGGTGAAGGATCCGGCCACCGCAGAGAAACTAAAACCCTGGTATCCTGTATGGTGTAAACGTCCTTTATTCCACGACGACTACCTCAAGAGCTTCAATCAAGACAACGTGACCCTTGTTGATACCGACGGCAAGGGCGTCAACCGGATGACGGCAGCCTCTCTGGTTATCGGCGACAAGACCTACCAGGCTGATGTAGTCATCTTCGCGACAGGCTTTCTTGCACCGGCCGCTGGCACGCCAGCTGAGAAAGCAAGCATGTCAGTTATAGGCTTGAATGGAGTCTCCATGAGCGAGGAATGGCCTCGATTCGGCCCTACAACCCTGCACGGTATCATCGATGCCAAGTTCCCAAATCTCTTCCTCTCTGGACCTCTGCAGGCGTCTACAAGTGGAAACTATCGCTTCAGTCTCGATGAATACGCGAAGCACATATCGTACATATTGGCCGAAGCGAAACGTAGGGCCAATGGTGCGCACTTCATTGTTGCGCCATCCACGGAGGCAGTAGAGGACTGGGGCAAGCAAGTTATGATCCATTCTGCGCCAATGGGGGTTGCACTTGGATGCACACCAGGATACTCTAATCTAGAGGGTGACCTTGATCGTATACCACCCGAGCAACAGATGGTCTTAGCGCGGTCGGGTCTTTGGGGCTGGGGAATCGAGCACTGGCTTGGAATTATTGAAAATTGGCGAGCTGACGGCGACATGAAGGGTATTGTGGTGAGTTGAACAAGGGACTGACTTGCATGGAAGAGATCTTGATTCATAGGTAGTATATAATGCTTAGTAGTACAACCTTAGGGGGTATGGGTACCCGGAAATAGATCTAGTTTAGCTTTATTCAGATTTAAAATCTATATCATATACTAGCATCTGAAATGAATCGCATTATAGTTGTAGAGGGGCTTGGTTTCGAATTTTGACTAATTAGTATATGCGTTGAATCAGATGGTGATATAGGCCAGATATGTACTTAAAGGGTTTATTGAGGTCAGGCTAGAGTTATAAATACCGAGATGTGGAGGACCAAGGGTATAATATGGTATATTTTATAGATCAGGGGATATCGAGAATATTTTGCGCTGCAGCTAACTCACTTAGTCTCCATATTAAAATTGGTTGATAATACGCAGGGCAGATTATAGAATCCTCGTATTCGAATCTGTGCACCCCGTGCAAAAATTTCCATAATAGGGGCCGCGGATGCAGATGCGGGGAGGGGCCCAAGCTAATCGTATTTTGCATGGGTTGGCGCGGCATGTTGCTATAATCAGCAACATTCGAAATGCAAGCTAGCCACGTACTAATGATAGTGTCACTTCTCTAAACTAAAAGATTCGTGAGTTTGGTTTAGATTGTTCGCCAGGAAACAGCCCTATTAAGGCGCTTGGAGTGGCTGTGAGTCCCTGCACATTGGCGTCATGGGCAATGTACACAGCCGTGATGTCCAGCCTCGTTGTGCCGCACTTGCAGATGCACGTTCCCAACATCCCCGCTTCACGCGCCGATCCATAGCCCGAATTTGGGGGCCAATCTGGATACGATCCCCTCCCTGCGCAAAACTGCACAATCCAGTGAACATGGAACACAAGATATGAAAGAAATCCGTCTCCTGCTTTCAGCCGTGAGAATGCGGCGAGAACGAGGATGTAAAGCAGATGAAAGAGTCTCATGATATTTAGTCCCTTGTTCAACTCTAGGGCAAACTATAAGAGACAAAAATAACCCCGAGAGGAAAAACACAGGTCCTTGCTTTACACAGCCCCAATCCATCCCGGGCAAGAGGAGAAAGAGACTTGAGCCTCAAATCCCTCTCAGCATACGGCCCCATTTCTTCACCAGCCATCCTGCTGTGGATACCATAATGCTTAGCCCCTAACTATCCTATCGTCATAACCAGTGCCGTGCAATTTCTTGCTTGCGGCTTGTCACTGGCCCCCATTTTCACTTTTGAGATGATTTCCAAGAGTTTAAAGTCCTTTGATTGCCCCCGCCAGCTCTTTATTCTACTCCGAATCGAACCAACTTTGATAAGCTGAGTTTTTTCACGATTTATTCATAAAGCATTTACATAATATCCAATATGCGTTTCGATTACTACGCAGCGGCTCTTGTCAGCCTATTTGGCATAGCCCTCTCCCTAGAATCCAAATTTGATCCGATCACCCGGCCTGCTAAGGGTGAAACCATTCATGCCGGCACCGTTTACACCATCGAGTGGGATACGTCAAACCAAGGCCATTCGGGCCCGATTGATCTTATGCTAGAAAATGGCGAATTTTCCGATAACACAGAATGGCTCGAAGTTATCAGTAGTAAGTATCATTCACCCATTCCAGTCAGCGTTGTATCTACGATTAACCCATCCCCATAGCCAGCACCGATGGCAGCGACGGAAAGTTCAGGTGGAATATTAGCAGCGCTCTTCCAACCGGCGACAAGTACTACATAAAGGTTGGCAATATCAACAATTATGCCATCTTCAATGAGTCCCCGCTCTTCAAGATCAAGGCCTCTAATGAGTCAACAAACGCAACTGCCACTTCTTCAACGGTCGTTATTATAGGGCCTGCCACGACTCTTCCTACGATGTCGAATGGTACAGCCACTCATAGTGGATCTGCGGCTACCTCGACATCAAGCGGCGACGGTAGTATGGCGACCCCTATTGTCGCTGCTCCATTTGCTCTTGTTGTCGGTGTTGTAGTTGTTGGCATGATGAGTTTCTAAACGGAAAGTGAAAGTAGTCTGCTCCGAGGAAGAGATTTGAATTCCCGAGGAACTTTGTGGAGTGTATACGAGTACGAGCAAGACTCCTACTGCAAGATGAGCAGGCCTCACGATATTTTCTAGTTTCTGATAGTCTTGCGGACATCAACACTGTTTTATTTATTGTCAACGATAAGCTAATCGATAAGGTCTCATACGAAGCAGATGGTTAATATTAAAGTAGCTATCCTTTCCAGTCTATCTTCTCTATGCTCTTTATACATTCAGGTGCTCGCTTCTTTAGTAAGCTCTTCCCACTAAATCCTTTCCAAAATGGGATGATCTTGCTCGAGCCTGTTACCAGTATCAGAGCGACATCGATTAATGAGGTCTTTCAGATTCTTGAATGACTGCCACACTGACCGGTTAGGGTTCTACTCTTGCTATTAATTTGAATCGAGGAAGAAGTCGAAGACCTCTGTGGTATGAGGCTGGTTGGACCTGGCCGGTGGGTCCAAGGTCCGGACCCTCCACCCGCCAAGGGACCCTCAATGCATAAGCGTGTATAAAATACCCTTTATAAGCAGAAAATTACCTATTAAGGCCCATTTATGCCATAAATTATTACTGAAAGCTAGATGTGGAGATGGGTGGCGCTGCGGAAAGTGCTTTGGAAAGGAGTGGTGGAAGCGGCAGAGGTGTGTTGTATATCAGGAAGCCTTGATAAAAGTTGAGTGACCTACTGGCAAATCGGCCTTACAGCGGACAGATCTGAGTCTAGGAGCTCATACATTTAGTCAGTCATTCAGTAACCCAAGGAAACTATAGGATATTACTGTGGAAGTGGAAGCGGCCAAAACAACAACACATAGATCAGAAAATAATCCCAGGCCTAGGAATCGAACCCAGGACGGCAACCCCCCTAATATGGAGCACAGGTTCCCCTGCGTGCCTACTGCCATGTTACCTCTACACCAACCTAGGGATTTGTTAGAGCTTCAGCTTCAGCGCAACATCACGTTTTCTTGAGCTTAGAAGATGTTTCGCGCCTGTCAAACCAGCATAGGCAATTCCAATCTCTACGCGCTGACTCCGAATCTGGCTCCGGAAGGCTCTTGCTGTGACATGACCATCGACCGCGTCCCCTTTAGAAGCGGAAGCGGTCGATGGTCATGCCACAATGAAGTGGACAAGTTCTGAGAGACCCCCAGTGAGACCGTACGCTCCATATAGGTCTACGTGCAAGCTCCTGACTTTGAGGGCAGAAATGGAAAAAACCGGGGAGGGAACGAGGGTAGCAGAGAAGGCGAAGATGGGGATATTCATGTTTCGTCATATTCTTCGTCATATTCTTAGGGCTGCTCAACTAGGGCTTACCCTACCCGTAGCGCTTCCGTCACCCCCTTTCAGCCAATAATTACTATTCCTATTCCGTAAATACAGCCAGCATAAGACTTCTGACGATTTTCGGTCGTTATTTTTCGATTCGCCATTGAATATCCACTATTTATCCTATTAGCCGAGTTGAACAGCTCCTAGTTTCTAAAGTTTAGATCTCTTCAAGTGTCGTGGAAGTTTCATCCGGGAGCCTACACCCCGTTTTGCGTATTATAGTAGCTTCGAGGGTCTCTCTGAAATGCTCGATAGTTCCAACTACAGACTTTTCTTCAATATGGCCTAATAACTCTACCAAAGCTTTGTATGCTTTAATATGAGGTGGGTTTCTCACCTACAGGTACTGCTTAACAAATCTAAAATAATGATTAGCTTGATTTAGGTCTACGGTAAGCAGGCGAACCCACCGATCGAAAATAGTTAACGCCGATCGCGCTCTTTTTCTGTGCGCGGAAGGACTGTTCCCACGGTCGTGGAGTCATCGTGTTCACTGAAATTAAGGACATAACTTTTTTCTCTATTGGGTTGTAGGTCTTCATGTTTGCTAGTGAGAGAACTAGACTAGAGAGAGCTGTGGAAGAACGAAAAATTGAAAGCGAACATAATTCTACAAGGTCCCTGCTTCGGTAAACACTTCGTGGAAGCAAAATGTGAAAATGGTCTTTTAGGGCTCCCACACTGAAAACTTAGGTAAAGAATTATTCAGGTTAGTGAGCCATTGCCTGCCTGATTTACCTGAAGGCGGGCTGAATAGGGCGGATTGGGTGTTGTATGTATGTTGTTGAAGTTTTTTTTAGATTTTTTCTTGATTTAGACTTTTATCTTATCATAAAAGTCAAAAAGAAATTAAATTCCCACCTTTCAACCAACAATTACCCCCCGCCCATCCCCCAGTCTCGAATAAACCTGATCGAACTGATTAAGTGTATCCCACCTTCAGCTCGCAATGGCCAGTCATCTCAAATCCATGTTACTGCCAAATGGCCGCACAGAGCTGTGCAATTCGGTGCTACCGGCACTTCTGGACTGTATCTCCGACATCGCAAAGTCGCTACGCGAGTCACAGCACGTCTCCCAAGCTGGCACCACAAACGCATTTGGTGATAGCCAGTTGAATGTCGATATTGCAGCAGAGAACCTTATTCGAACAGCGCTTGCAAAGTGCCCCTCCGTATTGACTGCGAGCAGCGAAGAGGAGCCCGTGGAGCGGCCTGCTAGCGACGGCCGAACCGTGGATGACGTGTCTCCTACATCAGAAAAATACACAGTCGCCTTCGACCCTCTAGATGGGAGCTCGATCATTGCGCCTAATTGGACTGTGGGCACTATTATAGGCATCTGGGACGGTGCGTCGGCGATCCACCAACAGCCTTCGGAGAAACAAATTGGCGCCGTCCTAGGAATCTATGGGCCCCGCACTACAGCTATTATAGCCCTGAGGGTCCCCGGCAGCGAGCCCTGTTGTCTTGAGATCGGGGTTGGAGGTTCTGGGACACAGGACCATCAGGTCATTCGGTCCAATGTGCAGCTCGCGGACCCGCCATTTACGACGCGTTACTTTGCCCCGGCCAATCTCCGGGCGGCAGCAGAGAGTGAGAACTACATGCGATTGATTACGAAGTATATGGAGAAGAAATATACATTGCGCTATAGTGGTGGGTTGGTGCCAGATGTGGTGCACGCGCTGGTGAAGGGTCACGGTGTATATTTGTCCCCTGTGACAGGCGCAAGCGAGGCGAAGCTGCGTCGCTTGTATGAGCTGTTTCCTATCGCGCTGATTGTGGAATGCGCGGGAGGAAAGGCCATTGATCCTGTTGATGGGGAGGATATTCTGAGTCGACCCTTGGAGAATTGTGATGAGACGGCGGGTTTGGTCTGTGGAACAGCTGAGGAGGTCGACATTGCAAAAAGCGCATTGCTCCATGCATGAGATGTAGCGTCAAAGTCGAGACCAACTTGTTCTTATTACGTTGAATACTAGAACCATGGAAGGTCTGAAGATCCTCCCAATTGCAACCAAGCTAGACAAGTCATTCTAATATTCAAATGTTCCATTCACATGTTCCAACACCCGTAATATTCCGAAAATTGTCTCACATTCTGCTCAATCGAGTTTGACGCGGCCTGTCAACCACTCCACGTGTGTTTATTTCCCTTGGGTGTTGCACAACCTCGGGGGGCCTTAAACGGCCATCGCTAGTCCATTACCACAACTTCCCGAAACGACAGCAGACACAGCAGACATGCACTAGACCACAAACACGTTGCATCCCACTCGCATGCGACCGTGCGCCCGGCAAAGCCAGCCAGCAAAAACGTGACGTTATCATTGGCTCGCTCAGCCTCAAACCCCTGCCCACCTTCGTGGACGAGGCCCAAACGGTGTCGATCGCACCGACTGACAGCGGTATTAGTGCGGACAGGCCTTCTACTCCAGGCAACGTATCACGTTTGGAGGCTAGTTGCGGACCGCGAGGCAACCCGATTCGAGTTTCTTGCAAGGATTCCGGGGTTGTACAGGCTTCAACATGTACGGAGTAGTTGTACGACGTTTATAGTGGGTCTCGACCGTTCAGGGGCACAAACTCATTCAATCCGACACTTCCAGTGGAGAAGCGCATGTTATAATCTCTGTTGCCCCAGTTTCCTCCTTTCCCATACTGAGCACATCATGGAGTTTCGCCCTGAGAATGAACTGCTTCCCCATCTTATCGATCATTTTGCTCGTGTGAAACGCAATCAGATCTATGCCGAGTACCCCAAATCGCCTGTACGCCATGGAGAAGGTTACCGCCCGATCACCTACCGCCAGTTTGCAAACGTCATCAATGGCCTTGCTTCATGGCTGACGGAGACGTTTGGACCTGGCAATGGTGAGATCCTCGCTTATTTCGGTGCCAATGATGTGCGGTATCCTGCATTGGTACTGGGGGCTGTCAAGGCTGGATACTGCATCTTTCTGACGTCGCCGCGGAACAGTATTGCCGCTCATGAAAGTCTGCTAAGGCATCTCGATTGCTCAAAATTTCTATCCTCAGCCCCACGACCACCGCCTGTTACAGCAGTGGTGGATGCATTGCAGCTGGAAGCTTTCGATGTACCCGATGTTGAGGACTTGCTCTCAAAAGAATACCCGCATTTCGAGTTCAACAAAACGTATCCCAAGGATGCCGGTGACAAGATGGTCGTCGTGCACACATCTGGCTCGACTGGCCTCCCAAAGCCGGTTATTTGGACACTCGAGACTGCAAATACCCACATGCGGATGGTGGCATTGAATCACGTCGATGGACACGACGACCAACACGGCTGGCTGAAAGGGAAAAGACAATTCCTCGCCCTGCCGCCCTTTCACGCAGCAGGCTTGGCCAGTGTACTCTTCTTCAACGCCCCCCTCGACATGACTATCATTGTGCCATCGGGAGCTGGGCTTCCCACAGCCTCTGCCATGGTCGAGGCGCGGAAACAGACTCCTTTCGAGACCGCTTTACTGGTGCCGTCAATTCTAAATGAGCTAGTCGAGAGCCCGGATCTCTTGGACTATTGCAGCAAAAATATGGAGTACCTCATGTACGCGGGTGGTGATCTGCCACAAGCTATAGGGGACAAGGTTGCAGCGAAGATCCAACTGGCCAACCAGTACGGAGCAACCGAGATGGGCTTCTTGAGTCTTATTCACTGTACATCCAATCGTGACCCCCTTAAGGACTGGAGATGGATGCATTTCCACCCGGATCTGGGCGTCGAGCTTCGACAAGTCACGGAAGATGAATATGAACTGTGGATGGCTCGTTCGCCGGAGAAAGAGGCACATCAGTTTGCGTTCGCTGTATTTCCTCATTTACAAGAGTATTCCACGCGAGACCTATTTGTCCGACATCCAGACAAAAACAAAGCAGATCTTTGGCGCTGGAGTTCTCGTGCAGATGATGTGATTGTCTTTTTGAACGGCGAGAAGACAAACCCTGTGTCGACGGAGCAGCACGTTACTTCCGCCAACACCGAGATAACTGGCGCTTTAGTCGTTGGTGCTCAGCGATTTCAAGCATCGCTTCTGGTGGAACTTGGTGATAAGGCACTGGACCCCAGCGAGCGAGCGGCGGCTATAGAAAAGATTTGGCCCAGCATCGAAGAGACAAACCGGGTTTGTCCCGCCCACGCCCGAATTACCAAAACACATATACTGTTCACAAAGCCTGAGAAACCAATGCTTCGCGCTGGTAAAGGCACAGTTCAGCGAGCTGGTACTATCGGACTCTACGCCAAGGAGTTGGACGCGTTGTGCGCGGATGCAGATAAGCTGGCAGCCCAGTTACAGATATTTGGACCTGGGCGCGTGGACAATGTGCAACAAGTATCCGACTTTATACGAGTGACTTTGGCATCGGTTACTGGCTGGAGTACCGAACAAGTCAGCGGCGCCGAGAACTTCTTCAATCTCGGTCTGGATTCCCTTCAGGTCATCACAGCTGCCCGATCATTCAAGCATGGTCTTGATCTTCCGTCTTTCACTCCAAATCTGATATATCTCTATCCATCGCTGGAGAGCCTTACAAAAGCCATTCTACAGCTCATGCGGGATGAGAAGACCTCGGACCGGGCATTGAGAGAGGAACAGCTAAGGGAGAGAGACGACCTTCTGAGGGAATTTGAATCCCAGGTTGGCAATCTAGCCAAAAGCCCCAAGGAAGCTCAGACCAGGGTTACCGAAGATAATAACCAGCTCCATACTGTGATACTAACAGGTTCAACGGGTAGCCTGGGCACGTATCTATTGGACGCTCTCCTGAAGAATCCATCAGTCGGGTACGTTCATTGCCTAAACCGCAGGAAAGATGCCTCAGATATCCAACGCCAAAAAAGCAAATTCTACAATTTGACTTCACCGTTAGACTCTTCCAGAGTCACATTCTGGCATACAGATCTGTCTCAAAAGGACCTCGGACTAACACCCGACTCTTTTAAGCGGCTACAGAACACTGCAACTGTCATCATCCACAACGCCTGGAACGTAAACTTCAATCTCTCTCTATCATCCTTCAAACCCGATCTACGGGGCATGGTGAACCTAATCGACTTCACAGCCTCCGCCTCAAAACTGCCACACCTCTTCTTCATATCCTCCATCAGTTCCGTCATGAACCATCTTACTGAATTCCAACTCACGCCCGAAGCCACCGTGACTTCATCACAACCAGCACCAAATGGCTACGCAAACAGCAAATACATTGCCGAAAAACTTCTAGACAACGCAGAGCGAACAAACTTGATTCGGACCTCATTCGCCCGAGTCGGACAAGTCGCTGGCGCCGTTAAAACACCCGGCCTCTGGAACAAGGCCGAATGGTTCCCGAGCCTAGTGATGAGTTCGTTACAAGTAGGCGCCATACCGGCCAGTATAGGCCCAGCACTAAATCGAGTTGACTGGGTGCCAATCGACCTGTTGGCAGAAGTACTCGTGGATCTTTCACTTAGCCAACCCTCCGAAGGCTGCAAGGTCTTCCATCCTCTCAATACGCATCTGACAACATGGGAGGAAATTATCGCAGTTGTGCTGGATGTTCTAAATAAACCTTCGGGTAAATCGATTGAGAGAGTGCCAATCTCAGAATGGATTCAGCGAGTACGTCGTGATATTGAGACTGGGTCGGACCAAACCGACCTGCAGGTCTTGCTGGAAAAGAATCCGGCTGCTAAGCTTCTTGACTTTTTTGAAGAGATTGAGTCTGCTGGTGGTAATAATCATTTGGATACAAAGCAGACTGCTAAAGCGAGTGAAAGATTGAGGGATATCCCTGGCATTAGGCCGGAATGGATTCAGAAGTGGATTGGAGAGTGGATGGAGTCAGTTTATTAAGGGCATGGCTGGTGGTATGAACAAGAATAAAGATAACACGATATGGAATTCTAAGCTTACGACGAAAAATCATCAACGGAAATCTCTTCTAGAAAGCAGAATCTCATCAAGAGCGGTCATATTCTGGCTAACGAAGAACCTGCTTACTCAACGACTGCTAGGGACAGCATCAAGATGACTCCTATAACCGTATCACGCTGGAGCTATTTCGGAAATAGAATAAACAGGATAAAAAGGCTCCAAGCAATCGATGACATGTAGATTTCCATATAATGTCCGCCTCATCACCCAAATCCTGATGTTGCATTGACAGGCTAAAATTCAAACTCAAAACTCAAACTCTAAGTTTGTTCCTACTCTAAGTTCCTGTCTTTCCCAGGCCCGAAACCTATTAACCGGCTTCTTAAGTTTGCCACGTACTATTAATAGTCCGTGGTGGCTGGCACGGGTTGCATTTGCCACAACTGAAGAATAAGGTTTGAGTCTAGATATCATGACTCCCCTTCCCAAGGCACGAGGCTCCCAAGGTCTGCAAAAGATTTTGCAGAATTTGCAACGGGGCAGGATATCTCTGTTTAGAATAATTCAACTGCTCAGGTTGTCTCGGAGTTAGCAAGTAGCTATCAGGACCAGGAAGCTGGAAAAAGGAAGACATCCATCCACTAATCTTTTTCGAATTAGAATTGTATTAGGTCGATGTATATCTCATTACCAACACCACCATCTAAATTCCACCTGAACGCCATTCACCTCGGTCATCCTGTATCTTGGACCCTTCAGATTTCCACAAGATCCAAACCGATAAGGCAATGAACAGCAGTCATTGATCAAATCAGAACAGACACAAGTAGACAACAAAGAGAAGACAACAGGGCCAGAGGCGAAGAAAAAACACCAATCAAATCAGAAAGCACAATTATTGATTAAGGCGACCCTCTTATGCGAGGAAGACGAGAGCACCATAGGCAATGCTGCCAAGAGCAGCACCGGCCATGGAGACAGAAACCTTGGAGCCGGGGCTGGAGGGAACGAAGCCGGAGGTGCTGGGCTTGGCACCGCTGGAAGAGCTGGAGCCTTCACCGGAGCTGGAGCCGGAGCTGGAGCCGGCGCCGCCGCTAACACCACTGGAGGGCTTGGAGCTGGGGGCAACCACGGGGGCGGTGCTGCTGTGCTTGGGGGGGCAGCCACCGGGGCAGAAGGTGCTGGTGGAGGTGGCAGTGACGGTGCTGTTGCTACCACCGTGGGTGCCGTTGTTGGAGGTGCCGGTCATGATGGGGTGGGTGCCAGTGGAGACACCAGTGCCAACAGCCTTAGCCATGCCCTTGCCGCGGACCGCGGGCTCATTCTGCTTGAAGGCGCTAGCCTGGACGCCAGCGGCGAGAGCAATGATGGCAATGGAGGTGAACTTCATTTTGATGGAGTGGATGGAGCCGAAGCGAATGTTTCAACGAATGACGGCTGTAGGATAATTAGACTCTTGCCCCGGATCTCTTCAAGAGAAGAACACATACCGAAGGTGATTTTGAACGTGATGGAACGAACTAAGGAAGAAATCGGAGTTTCGTCCCGGGCGATAAGAAGCCCATACTTATAGTTCATCGAGGCGTCCAAATCCGGCCCATATTGGGTGAGTTATGGGAAATATATGATGACGTGTAACGACAGAGCGCGAAAATTTTTCTTCTGCATGTTCCTCTCGGTGGTTCTCTGTGCCTCAGCGCCCTCGACTGGAGCCTTGGTAGAGGTGTGGGACGACATTTGCGTGGCGCGAGTTTCCGCATCCGGGGTGGTTGACACGATGTCACGCTGGGGCACCGGCCGTGTAAGATCCACCATGAGACCCTGATACGGGGTACTTCAGTATCAACAGCGTCATAGGTTTCGCCGAACGGTGAGTGCGGCGGTGGCCGTGGGAGTCTCGACGGACGCAGGGATGTGATCACGTGATGCCTTTTCCCAAACAGGAAGTGTGTCGCATCGCATGCGGAAACTCGAGCGTCTCTGTCGCGGCATCACTGCATCACTCTGGAATTCCTCGTCGATCACTCAATGGCTGCATGAACAATGGCCCTTTTTCCCTCAAAAAGCCCCGATCGCGATAGTCGCTTCCGGTGATGCCTTCGATCGCTGGCTCCTCACACAATCTCGAGAGAATGCGGAATCTGTCACCCCGGAACAATAGGCGGGGACGATTTCACCAGGCAAACCACGCCCATAGGCTCTGGCTGTACTGACAAGGCATCCCAGGATATGGTCTCAAGGGCAGCTGTGTGGCGATACCACCACTGGGCTTGTGGTGTCGTCGCATGAGCGCTGACTGCGGCAGCGTATAAAGAGAGACGGGATCCCAAACGCTGCAACTTCTAAAAGAGATTTGGCACAGTATCTCGCCAAAGGCATACAGTGTGACAGATTTCGCTGCGATATTGGACAAGGATTGCTGGCATGCATCTCTGCAACATCCAGGTGTCCATCTCACGTCGATCAAAGCAGTAGACTCGCCTACATTGTCCAGAGCTATATCAGTCAAGTACTCAGTCCCTCTCGGCGCAAATCTCATCCTTCGTCCGGGAAAGGAAATTCTGCCTGCGTCGATGGCTTCCGCCGCGCACAGAACGCAATGCCAAGCGATCTGACAGCTGCAACGTTAACAATTAATCTCGAGGAATGCTGAGGCTGGAATGTTGACACGTCAACCCCAAATTGAGCGTTCTACCAAATAATGTAGACAGCGTTATGCTACAGATGAGACGTCAGGGAGACTGCGCATCTGCTCTGTTTCCAGTTTGAAGTGAAAGCGTAAAATGTATGTTCGCGTGTATTGGCTGCGGTGTGGTGACGAGGTATCGGGTATTTTGGAATCTTTGAGCCTAATAATTGCTCCCTGACACTTGGTCTCCTACGCCAAGGTCCGAGTATGCACAAGTTGAGGAGATGATTACCGCAAGGCCTCGCTAGCACCAGGCCATGTCCTGGAGGTTTTCCAAATCTTATGCATTATATTATTATAAGCAAGGGTATCTATCAGCAATCATAACCATCCAACGCACCCAAAATTAGATAAATAGCAAGGAAATATCCTGGCCCTCATTGTTGCTGTGGGTGGTTGTCCTTCACGGAGGAAAACATATCGCCGACCCAATGCTTCCAGTCTTCGAATTTATTGTATAGAGGCCCCCACCATGTTGATACTTTTTCATCCTCCCTGTCGGGATCTGCTGAAGGCGATGATTTGGGGGGTGCTTCAGATGCTGGAGAGGTGGGCTCAGGAAGCGCCGTCGTTGTTGATGGCTGCTCCGGTGGATCGGGTGGACGCTCCAGGGTCGGCGTATTCTCATCCGAATGAAGGCCAACTGGCTTCAGAGGGAGACGCAGAGTTCCATTGTTAGGAAGAGGGTCGATTCCCAGAGAGTCGCAAAGGATGTTATAGACTTCGGTGTTTTCTGGATCATGTCAGCTCATGCAAAATGAAATATGAAGTGTTAAACTTACGAAAGTCTTCGAGGCGACTGTTAGGGGTGTGAGGGAAGGCCGGGCCGCGGGCGATGAAGATTGCTCGCATCAGCGGGTGTTCATGGTCATAGCCGTGAATGCCTCGCGGGTGATAGACCTTGCCCGTCTTCAGGGCTTCTTTAACGTCGAACTCTGGGCGCTCGACAATCGCCCACCCCGCCTTCGGAATCACCCATAGAGGGGCGATACGATCGTTATTCGAAAAGTGATAGCGCTCAGGCATGGTCTCTTTCGTGTAGATCTCAATCGCGTGTTCGTATTCGGAGGCCACCTTTTCCAACTGCTCCTGCAAAACTGGCAGATCTTCCGGTCGCTTGGGACGCAGACCACGGGAGGGCCACCCGTCAATATTCTCAACAAGACTTATGTCAATCAGATCGTCGAGCTGGACAAGTCGCTCGTTGGATGTTGTGGCCATACCGTGGTCTGAGACGACCACGATGTTGACCAGATCTGTGAGATTACGGCTCTCCAGGCCCGCAACGATCCCCGCTACCATTTCATCTGCATGGGCAATGGTGCCTCGAATCTCGGTGCTGTTGGGCCCGAACTTGTGACCGTCCCGGTCCACATCAGGCACATAGGCGGCGATGAATTGAGGCCGCTCCGGCACCAGGTGTGATTCATCCTCTGCGCCAGGAAGATCCAGGAGCTCAAGAACGCGATTTATTTTGCGTGACAGAGCCTCCGATCCATTGTATTTATCAACGTAGGCCGGTTCCATGTCTCCAATGTGGGCTTCGGACCCGGGCCACATGTGTATTCCACTTCTAACGCCTTGGTTTCCTGCGGTCACCCACAGCGGCTCTGCATTCCACCATTTTGGCAGCATGCTGATAGACGTGTGGGTGTTGATGAATTCCTCTCCCAGATTCGGGTCCCAAAATGTATTTCCAATAACACCATGACTCTCTGGGTACAGCCCAGTCACCATTGTATAATGATTCGGAAAGGTCACACTCGGGAAGCTAGGGTTCATATATTGCGGGGAGACACCGTTGGCGATAAGCGAGTTCAGTGCCGGTGTCAGACCTCGGTCGAGAAAATCAGCACGGAATCCATCTAGCGAGATCAGGATGGTTGTAGGGCCGAAGAGTGCAGTGCCGTTTGAAAGCAATGTTTGGGAGTTGGCGTGCGCAGCTCTGAAGCCAGTGGATGCTTTGTATGCTCCGAGGAGAAGGATGAAAAAGAGGACAGCGACAATGGTAAAAATGAACAAATATTTACTCAATGATGGTTTGGCTGGCTGGAGAGCGCAAGTAAAGATGAGTCAGGTGCAAAAAGGTCGACGGGAAATTCGAAGACCTACTGGTTCATAAAGATAATCTTCCTTTCCATCCAAATCCGAGGACGAGCCACTGATGAGGGAGTCATCATCATTGAGCCCTTCTTCCATCTCGTACATCAGCTCTCCCTCCTCGCTAACTCTTTCCCGGCGACGTGCTTCCTTTCGCGCTCGTCGCCGTTCCTTTTTCCCAATCCGCACGTTTCCTCCACTGGGGCTGAACATTCTGCGCAGCCCTTGCGCGGGCCGAGTCAACAGCTTTTCCATTTCGTCCTCCTCATCTAGGACTGCTCGGTCGTGGCTGGCAAGCTCCAGGGTGCTGCGGGGATGGCGAAGGAATTCGTCATCTTCGGAATCGGAGTCCTGCTCGGACGGTGATCGTAATGAGGCCGCGTCATTATCGTAGTTGGCCGGTGATAGAAGCGAAGGGCTCGTAGGGATTCGCATGGCGGGCGCGTCAGCCGCGGAGAGACATTGAAGCTTGAAGCTTGGTGGAGTTGGAGACGAGACAAAAGGGAGATCAACGCGGGAGACCCGCCAAGACTCCAGCACCAACTTATGCCCCCGGTGCCCTACAAGTGTCTAAGCATCTTTCTGTGGTTTAGGCCTTCTCCCCCTTTTTTATATTTTTTGAACTACAGCGTTGTAGACTCCAATTGAATGAATTCTCATTCATTGTACACTAAATGAGACATTTTTGCTATCACTTTCGTCCAGATGCTTGTACTTCGGGTTATTGAAAACATCGGATAAGCACTCTCGAGATTAACTGCTATGTACGTGTGGATTTACGACAAGAACAGTGGGAAGCCCCCCAGCACTCGAATAAGAGTTGGGGGCTAACAATAAGCTACAACGTGATTAAGAGACTTAGAGCAGACTGATGTAAATGTTATGACTGCAAGTGGTCGGGTACATTGGATTACCGCGTTCGAACAAAGGAAATGTTTTGGACTATATTGTATGAAACGGGCAAGATCCTTATCAACCACTCAAGTGGTCGAGCAGTAAATCGACTGAACATCTTCCTTGGTCTAGTGGTCATGATTTCCGCTTGTCATTAACATCGATAAGCGCGGGAGACCGGGGTTCGATTCCCCGAGGGAGAGTTTCTTTTTGTTCTAGCGGGTTACTCCTTAACACCCACCAACAACCAACATGAGCCAACCTTCACTTTCTAGTGCTTATTTTTCTTTTCTTTTGTTGGACTGTCCAGCTAGATCCCTGATCTGCGACAGAAAAGCCACATCATATCCAGTTAAGACTCACCGCTAGATAGGTGACTCAACGCCCAGGCAGCAGGCGCAGCTGCAGGTTCAGCTGCGGAAAAGCAGTGCCACAACAATCCACTTTTCTCTTTCGGGATCCTGTTTTGGAAACTGTGGTCAAAGTCAAAAGATGAGGCTGAACAGTCTGGAACTATATAAAGTCTTGCTCTCAACTTGCTGTTGATGAAAGCAAGTGCCGCTTTGTCTAGGTTCCTAGACTTGCGTTTACCTTGACTTCACAGGCCACTGGCAACCGGTTTACTTTCTCTTCGGAAATATTTTTACTATTCATTCGATCATCCAATTCGGTCGAGATCTTTCCCCGCCGACCATGGCTTCGAATCAGTCAGATCCCTCGTTAACGAGGAGCTCCTTTTCCCCGTCCGATACGGCCATGCTGGAGGCTTTGGTGCCAGGCTATACACTCATCTCACGCTTCTTCGTATCATATCTCCAAATCGATCCGACTGCCTACCTGCAGTACTTTGTCGCGCTGGCTGTGTTAAGCGTGTCTCTGCGGTACATCTACAACTCCGTATCGGGATTTTTCATGCAGCACTTTGTCTCTTACGCTGAGATTCGGCTCGACGATGAACTGTTTAATCATGTAATGTGGTGGATGTCGCGGCAGTCGTTCATGCAGCGCACCAACCACTTCGTCGCAGGCGTCAAGACGAACGGTTATTGGAGCGATAGCGAGGATGAAGGCTCTGACGAGGACTCCGCGGACGAGGACTCTGACATCTATGATTTCATGGATGACGAGACGGAAATTCAGTCTCAAGCGAATATCATCTCCCGGAAAAAGTACAAGCCTTTGAAGTTCACGCCATCCCAGGGTCGGCATTTCTTCTGGTACAAGGGCCGACCAATGCTTCTGGAACGACAACAACAGAGCCAAACTGCGCGTTGGGCACTCTATAATGAGCGACTGTTCCTATCATGCCTTGGGCGCAATTCATCGCTCATTAGAGAGCTCATTGATGAAGCGAGCAAGGAGTTTCAGAACCGCGACGGTAACAAGACAATCATCTATCGTGCCCAGCGACACTCACCGGGCGATTCTTTCAACTGGTTACGCTGCATGGCAAGGTCACCGCGCCCATTGTCCACTGTGATCTTGGACAAACATGAGAAGCAAACCCTGGTCAAAGACATGAGGAGATATCTGTGCAATCGCACTCGACGATGGCATTCTAATCGAGGCATTGCCTATAAGCGGGGATACTTGCTTCATGGTCCTCCGGGCACCGGCAAGACAAGTCTATGTTTTGCCGCTGCAGGTGCACTCGGACTGCCACTCTACCTCCTCACCCTCAATTCCAATGCCCTTGATGAGGACAACCTATACACGTTGTTTTCTGACCTGCCCAACAAATGTATTGTTTTGATCGAAGACGTGGACACCGCTGGCATTACTCACAGCCGGGGCAAGACTGGCACCAACAGATCCAAGGGCAGCGATTCTGTTGCTCGAGATACAGAAGAGGCTTCCGCGGAGGACGACCCTCCACTAGACAAGTCAGAAAAAGATGGTATAACGCTTTCGGGCTTGTTGAATGTCATCGATGGTGTTGCCTCCAGCGAGGGCCGCATTCTTGTTATGACAACAAACCATGCCGATAGGCTTGACGAGGCCCTTATTCGAATCGGTCGAGTGGACATGCAAGTTTTCCTTGGATATGCTACCCAAGAAAACATCAAGGATCTTTTCACATCTATCTATATGCCGATGGAGGGTGATCTTCCCAACAACGACAAAGCCAAAATTACGACGAAATGGAGCAATAGCCACAGCACTGAGAAGGGACGGAATGATACAGAGAAGAAAGAAAAGAAACAGAAAGAATTTTGGGACCATCTTGAATCTCTGCGCTCTCGAATCCACCCTCTGGCAGCCGAGTTTGCTTCTATTGTTCCAGGAGGAATCTTCACTGCTGCTGAGATTCAAGGCTATCTTCTTAATCATATAGATAACCCTGAGCTGGCCATTGAAGGTGCAGAGGCTTGGGCTCAGGTTCTCCAAGAGAGCAAGCGTGTCCGTGAGGAAAAGTTTGCTTGATATTGAATTGTGAATACCCAGTTGCAAAGCTAATGAAAAACGAATTGGCATGACATCCATCACCTTTCAAATGTAGACATAGAAGCTAATACAACGATTAATCCCAAAATTGGTCAATTTTATTCTTAATCCTCCCGAGGCTGCTATAAAAGCTATGATATCCAAAACGAGTGTATAAGGGGTATATGACAAGCAGAAACACGATAAACAAAAATTAACACAAGACATGAAGGTAGCGCTTTAAACAATATTCGCTGTCTGTCCGCTCAGGTCAACACCTGCATGGTACATGCAGCGCTGCTTCTTCGAGTCATCACACCACCCATGGAAAAGCATTCGATCTCCACACCCACAAACCGTCGCTCCACCAGGCGAAATGAGGCCATCCCCCGTCTTCAGCAGCTCAACATTCGTCTTTGTATACGGGCCCGTAATATTGGTAGCAGTAGCCCATCGCACATCGTAAGCCTCATCAGTATAGCAGTGCGTCGAATAGAACAAGAAATAAGTTCCATCATGCAGCACCAGACTCGGCGCTTCCACAAGTGGCCCATCACCATCGGCCGTGCTGCGATCCAGAATTTGCACAGCATCGCCGATAGGAGTAACACCATCGGGTTGGACCTTTTGCAGCAAGATAGGCGTGGGGACTAGAGGGGCGATTCCATTGTTGCAGTCGCCGCCATGGCCAATACTGTTGCCGTCGACTTTGAATGTAACGTATCGAGTACCGTCTGCATCTTCGAATCCTGCTGGATCGAGGGATCCGCCCTGATCAAGCCGGCAGGAAAATGGCGTGTCGCTGGGGACATATGGTCCCGTAGGCTTATCCGCAATGGCGGTGCCTACGCAGTGGTGGCCAATATCGGATTTGGCTTCACCCGAATAGTACATCACGTATTTTCCATCATCCTGCAAAATCTTGAGTAATTGTATGCTTTTCATATTTTTCTCAAAACTTACACGCAAAATCACGTCCGGAGCGTAGTGTTCCTTGTCCGTCTCCCAGGATGAGAGGGTGGGGAGGGCCTCGATATCCAATAGCGTCCAGGACGAAAAGTCGTCTGAGGAAGCAACCTGTATACGTTTGCCATTTCCGTTTGTCCCAAACGCATACCATTTCCCATCCTGGGCTTTAAGGAAGCTTGGGTCTGGGAAGTCTGTATCCAACCCCATCGAGACGCCCTGTGTCCGCTTTGGGAGGGGCGTGGTAAGAACTGCCGGAAGAAATGCTAGGGTGCAAGTCACCCACGTAAAGGGAGAAGGAGAAGAGAAGGGCCGCATTGTTACTTAAGCTCAGGCTTGTAGACTAGAAAAGAAAAGAAACTTGGGCTTATGATAGACAGCCAAAGGGGAAGAACAGGAACTCTTATATGCAAGCCCACCGCCACTACACCCAGCACCAGATCCAGCGTCATCTTAGAGCCGAGCCATCTTGGCAACAGAGGAAACAACAGCACGCCTGACATGGACATTCATCAGGTGCATCGGAATATGGGAGGGACTAAAATCAGGGGTCCACTCATCCCGCCGCTCGTGCTACTACCCAAACTTGTGATGTGGGGCGGAACCCAATGATCTGTCTACGTGCTAAAAAATAAGTGCAGGCTTAGTAAAGTGGAGCAGGCAGGTGCATGGCAGGGCGAATGATGAGCGGATGCAAATTCTTGGTGTGGCGGATTGGATCTATAACACAGGCTATTTCCGAAACAGGCTCGACGTCATGAGATAAGTATGAGGCCAGTGAAGTGATTTGTGGGATCATGGTGGATACTGTTTTGCCCTTGTCGGTTCTACGTGTTAACTTTGGATGCGCTGGAGCTGGGCGAACTTTCCGAGCGAGAAACTACAGTGTCGGATGGGGCTGTGGTCAGCATGGAGAGAATGGCTGCATGCGAGATGCGACCATTATCCACTTAGCTTTAGGAAGCGAGCACATAAGGAAATAATAAGGCAGGTAGATCCTCCGTGGAGGAGTCAGAGTTTATCTGGAAGAGGGTTGTGGAATGGTGGAGATGGATCCCTGATTGGTTCCGTTCTCGAGGCCCGGCCTAACATGGTAAAGCACATGGAAGACAGTCAATAGGGATGTCTGTGTGGCGCCGATCGTGGCAGGTCAAAGCTCATGTCTTTTGGGCAGGCATGTCTTAGAGAACGGAGAAAGCAGTCGATTTGTCAACATGAAAGAAGCAAAGGGCTAGCTAGGCGTATGCAAGGGCAGGATGTGGACCACCCCTCGCTCTGGAAAAGAGCTGGGGAGTCCGGAGATACGTAGCTGAGCTGATCAAACACAAATATTCTGGCAAGATAATGACAAGTGTAGCACAGCCTGTAACCTAGACATACACATACCAAAGCAGCCTTGGAGGGCACTTTAGCAACTAGTCATGCCGGCGGTTGGGCAACCTCGGCAGAATCGCCGTCATAGGCTGCCAAGCAAGCCGCCACAAGGGACCATTTCTTGGAAACTGCCAGCCATGGTTGCGGAAGGCGCATGGTTATTCCGACCGCTTGGCCTGCACCGGCATGACATGGTCTCGAGGCTCATGGATATGTTGCCAAGCAAAAGGCTAGGTGACAGGGTTGTATAAGCCCCAATCGTATCCCAAGACCCTGCATGTCCGTTTGACAGCCTCTTCAATCTTCGGGGCCCAACATAGATCCGTCAGGTCCGTCTACTTGCATACACGAGTCTGGTCCGTAGTTCCGTTGTTCTACCAACCTATCACACCACATATTCCTATTCGGACGAGAACAAATACAGCCGTACGAAGACCAGCGGTTAAGTCGGGTCCTCAAATTTAGATTATTTCCCGAATGACACGTCGCTTGATTATGGGAGATGCTTAAAATTCGGTTTGCGTCGGAGGGCAAGTCTCACACCAGACCCTTAACCCCATCAAGAGGACAAATGAGCTAAAGGAACCAGGGTAACTCAAGAGATTTCCCGGGAACGGCACGTTTCGATCGACGTTCCATGATCAAAAGACGGATGATAACGCCCGATTGGATGTGGCGGGTTGAGCCTAACGGAGTTTATTACCCCGCATGATGACTTTGCAGCTGAGAGTCTGGGGAACGTCAGTGCTGTCCAATCGGTGAAGACGATCTCTCAAATCCGCAGTGAGATGATGTCATGGCCTGTCCTGTGCCAAGTTACTGTAGTGCATCTCTGATCGGCGACCCACATGACAGGGGTTGGCGATGACAACACGGTGAGACCCCTGGACCCCACGATATCGCGAGAAGTGTGGGGTTGGCGGAGGGTCATTTGACTTTTGTCTGAATTTTGCGTCGGTAAGGGAGGGAAGGCGAAGCTTGTGGTTCAACATGATGTAACAGAAGCAGCGAAATGTCCATGGGCGAAGACGATAGGTGGCTATGCGGGTGTCGCTGAACGGTGTAGCCGCATCTTGAGAAAATTAGAAAAACGCTCGAATAGGTCGTTACACAAATTACGGTTCTGTCTACTATAGTAACTAACGCAGGTTCAAGAGAAATATCTCCATTACTCTACGGAAGGTGGTTATAGGCGCGCACGTTGCGTGCCCTGCCATATGTGGCCTATGAGTAAATTCGTTTCAATAAATCATTTAATTAGGGTGTTGATAGTAGTATAATAATCCGTAGAGAAATGGAAGCAATGCCAGATAGGTAGCAAAGCATAAGTAGAACTGCTGTTTGACATGGACAGAAACCTTGGAAACTAACCTTGCAAGGTATCATGTCTAAATATCCTAAGATGGTGTTGTTTCTTGACACTCCGAGGGACATTTTCCTAAGGAAGTTGAATATAAAAAAAACGTAAGCCTACGCCGTTACTTCGTGCGCACATGGTTGAGGGCTGGAAAATGAAGGGGAAATGAAAGTGAGCTGTCAAACCGTATACTCGGCTTCATCCGCTATCTCGGTATATAATTTATCGAGGACAGACTTCAGTCTCTTGTCAGAAACGCTGAGGTGTTTGACAAATTCTGCTGTCATAGGTATTAGCGATCAGGTCAATTTCTGGAAGCAATAATTGAGATTTTACCATTATCAATTCCCATCTAGAACAAGCTCATGCACATTTCCCATAAGAACCCGCTCGCAGGACTTGAATTGGGTTTCGACTAGCGAGGGAGTTGGTTTGCGTTGTGGAGTCGAGAATATTGTAGCATGTATCTCGTCTCTGGTTAATACATGACCTGTATACGCGTAGAGGAAAAAGCTCACCGAAGCCAAAGGGTTGTGTATGATCGGAGAACGTAAGTTTAAATCGGTCCTGTGTTCCCGCCACAGAAATTGATGTATGTTGGGGAGAGCCTGCCCAACGGATGGTTCGATATTTAAATAGGCATCTCCAGGGTGCCCATTAATTCCGGTGAGATTATTAGAGACAAATTAGCCTGTTATGTCGCGGGTGGTGGAATCCGTGATGATGCGATGGTGTTGGCGGGTCTGCGAAGCCCTTGCGAAAAGGTGCCGGGAAAGGGGGCGAACAGCACTGCGAGTCATGATGAATCGATCCTTTCCACCTGCAAGCCTCAACCGAGGATGACAGAAACAAAGCGGGAAGTGGTGATAACGGAATACTGGGAGGCTGGTCAACAGTAGTTAGTGAATTGACCTTAGGGGCTGATCTCCCGAGCTGGCTGGCCTGATAGGCGAGGCCGTTAGTATGATCAGATGACCACCTTTGTGTAGATAGTCACCTTTGCTCCTCTTTTATCTCTCCGATGCTCTCCTTGTTTCCCCCCTTATGTCATTTCGGTGTTTCTAAAGTCTAGGGGTCAGCCCTTGTTGATGAGTCAATTAAACACATGCAAGCATGGAACACCTCAATGCGTTAATGGCCTGCGGGAAGTGTCAATGGTATGCAGACAAGACGAGCTGTTTGAATATAAAAGCCCTTTCAACTGCCTATGCAGGGAGTGTCGGCTAATATGAGGCTTAAATGACGTTCTTGAGAAAGTGTTCGAAATCCCTCATTATCCCGCATTCCGATCTCGAAATGTGGTCTGGATGAGTGCAACCCAAGCCGAGGCACCTTCCCATTCCTTTGCAGAGATACGTCCAGGCCTAATAAGAGGCCTGTGTGGCACGGGCTCCTGAATCAGGAACTGATTGGCATGCTATTCAGGGACTCGGGGGGCAGTTGGGACACCACTGCGGCAAATTCCACATTCCACATTAAAACAAAGCGGAACTCCCCCTAACTCTCTAGCAGGTATGGTAGTAGACATGCCTGAAATTATCGTGGAACCTTTTATCCTTTCAGACTAGTGTTTCTTCGCCTTTTTCTAGGGATGTCGACATTTGTCGATATTTAACCTGAGATCGCCCTCAGAGCTGACGAATACTGCTGATCTTTCAGGTTAAGTTTCTTGGCTTTTGCACATCACTATGGCACCTGTCAAGAAAATGCTTGGTTTGAAAGATCACATCGATCCACTGGACAAACCCTCCGAGTCTCGCCATGAAGCAGATCCAACGGTATTGGACTGGCTGAATGATGTTGTCCCTACATGGCGACAATTTTTCCACCACTTGATCAGAATGTTCCCTTTCATGAATTGGATCAAACACTATAACGTGCAATGGCTTATCGGTGACCTGATTGCAGGTATTTAACCCTACAAAGTATCCCAATCTTTCAAGCACTAACGAAAACAGGTGCTACTGTTGGTGCTGTCGTGATTCCACAAGGTATGGGCTATGCTAAGCTGGCTGGGCTTCCTGTACAATACGGACTGTACACTTCTTTCATGGGTGGAGTTGTTTATTGGCTCTTTGCAACGTCCAAGGACATTACTATCGGCGTGAGTTTTGAGCGATTTCATCTTGATTTTATGTACTAATATACGGAGCAGCCTGTTGCGATCATGTCTACGGTACTCGGATCTGTCATCCCAGAGGTGCAGCGTATCTACCCCGGCATTCCCGCCCCGCAGATCGCCATGTCAATCACTATCATCTGTGGCAGTATCGTCACGTTTATGGGCTTGGCACGAATGGGATTTATTGTTGACTTTATTCCGCTTCCATCGATCGCGGCTTTCATGACAGGATCAGCTATCACCATCTGCTCCGGGCAGGTGAAAACGCTGCTAGGAGAAACAGCCGAGTTTGATAATCGTGGTCCGGCCTATCAAACAATTATCAACACGTTGAAAAACGTCCCATCCGCAAAGAAATACGATGCTGCTATGGGGGTTTCGGCCTTGGCGACGCTGTACTTGATCCGCACTGCATGCAATTTCTGTGTCCGGAAATTTCCACGTCGCGCAAAGCTCTTCTTTTTCCTTACCGCCCTTCGCACGGTGTTTATAATCCTACTTTTCACTATGATCAGTGCTATAGTCAATACGCATAGACGTGACGACCCCGCCTTTGCAATTGTCGGCCAAGTCTCTCGTGGATTCGAGCACGCCGGTGTTCCTGTCCTCAAGGCGGACATTATCAAGGCTTATGTCTACAATCTCCCAGCATGTGTAATTGTCTTGCTTCTGGAGCATATTGCAATTTCGAAATCTTTCGGTCGGATCAACAATTATACCATCGACCCGTCCCAGGAGTTCATTGCTATCGGCATTACGAATCTTCTGGGTCCATTCATTGGCGCATACTCTGCCACTGGTTCCTTCTCTCGCTCAGCTATTCAGTCCAAGTCAGGGTCGCGTACTCCTCTTGCCGGTGTTACTACTGCGATAGTCGTCTTGGTGGCTATATACGCACTGACGACTGTGATTTTCTATATTCCTCACGCCACGCTAGCGAGTGTGATTATCCATGCAGTCGGCGATTTGATCGTTGCACCAAATACTGTTTACCAGTTCTGGCGTGTCTCGCCTCTGGATGCTGTCATCTTCGTCATCGGTCTGGTGGTTGCCATCATGAACACGATCCCTAACAGTATATACGTCACTGTTTGCATTTCAATCGTTGTTTTAATCTTCCGTTATGCAAAGGCTCCAGGCAACTTCCTCAGTCAGACCTGGGTTGGTGAAAAGCAAAATAATCGACCGCTATTTCTGCCAATAGACGAATTCGATTCCGATATGAAGCCGGAGAATCCACGGCACGGGGTCTTCATCTATCGGTTCTCAGAAGGCTTCAACTATCCCAACGCCGGTCACTATACAGAAGCAATGGTGCAGTCGATTTCCAAGAGCACACGTCGGACAAATGCACAGGCATATGTTACCAAGGGCAGCCGCCCATGGAATGATCCCGAGCCGAAAAGACGAGCGGATGGTGGTGAAGAAGATTTACCTCTACTACGGGCCATCATATTGGACTTCTCGGCAGTCAACAACGTCGATGTGACCAGCATCCAAAATTTAGTTGACGTACGCAATCAGCTAAACCTTCGCGCGGCGCCACTCGAGGTACAATGGCATTTTGCCCACGTCCGAAACAGATGGACCAAGCGCGCACTCGCTGCAGCAGGCTTTGGGTTTCCCTCCCCTTGCAAAAACGTGGCCGTCATAGATGGCAAGGAGGAAGTAGTTTCAGAAATCCATAACTGTGGGCATCGCCACGATGTGGAGGCTGGTGTGGAGGTTTGTAAGGACGCTGTGCCATGCAAGAAAACTCAGCAGTGGGTTGAACCAGAGAAGGGCTCATGCAACGACAATCCGCGCTCTGCGGATGGTGGCAGCCGGCCTTTCTTTCATATTGATTTGATCAGTGCGTTAGAAAAGGTGGATGTGTATTTAGCTCGGAACCCAGTGGTGTAGTATTAAGATAGAATGAGAATCGAACATTATTTCATATCCAAATTTCTGGACTCTTTGTATTTACCCAGAACATCTCATCAAAGAATGATAGAGGCCCCCAAAGCCACAGCGGCAGCAAAAATCCCAAGCACAGCACCCAATCCATTCCAAGTTGACCTCGATCCAACTCTTGATGCCGCATTTGATGTAGACGCAGCTCTCCCGGTAGCCTGGGCATCGGATTGATGATGCACAAGTGTGATCATTGGCATAACGGAAATACCGACGAGAGAAGACGCTTCTGAGGCAACGGAAAATGTCTTCTCGACAATCGAAATGGGATAGGTAGCGGTGATTGTGACCAATAATTCCGTAACGGCTGTCCCATTCCACGTGTGGGTCTTGGTTACTTCCCCAATATCCAAGCCGGGTATCTGGTCTACACAGCGTTTTGTGACCTTGTAATTCGAGACCGTGGAATAGCATCCGACATATATGTCTGCCGTCATGGCGCTGGAACAACGTGAGCTAAACAATCTCTGATTCGTTAACTTGCGCAGACTCACCGTGGACAGCACATGACAGCGCTCTCTTTCGGATCCAAAAGCTCGACCAACAGGGTCGCTGGGTTTAAAAATATCGGCACATGTGGAAGGCCTGTATTCACCTCCGCGAGTTGACTGGTCAGTATACCCCCGACGCTCAGGGAACTGTCGGCATTACGGGCCGCAACGCCGACGGTAGCCCATCCCGCTGGACAGTACAGTCCTGGTGAGAAATATGCTTCCTGGTAAATTTCCGTGGGGTTTGGATTGTATGTCGTTGTGGGCGTGATGGTACCTGTTGGGATACAATCATAATTCCTGGTAGTCGAGCATTGTTCCTCGTACATAAGGAAGGGAATGGTACCGCGACTGCCGATCATAATGTTGCTCATGGTAGAGCAACTTGCTGGGGCTGTAAAAGTGGCGGTGACCGGGCCCCAGTTGTTGAAGGTGTATCCTTCATTGGTGGTGATGCTAGGCATGGTTGTTATTGCTCGTTAACTCGAGGACTGAAATACTTCTGCAGGTCAAAGAAAGCTGGGGATGGATTCTGGAGCAATGGGGGAAGTCAGGGCGTATATAGAAACGTACAAAGCATCCCAGGGTGGCGTATTAAAACGGACCCAGGGCGGACTCCGGCGTGAAAATGAGGCTTATAGTAGGCTCGTTCCCCTTACAAGGTAAACGTTAATCGGGCTCGGCTAGGACTGATCCCCCCGGAGAAAGCCCTGGGGCTTTAGCGCAAAAGTTCCTGGGTTGCATCAGCTGGGCGGTTATACGATGATCAATTTTGTGGCCCGTGGTCTCACCATGCTCAATTGTCCTTAGCGTTTTCTAGTGCGTGCTCGAGCAAAAACCGGCAACAGCAGGGCTAGAATTGATTCACCAGAAAGAGTATGGAATTAGCCCTATACAAGACATGAAAGGTATGAAATTGGTATTTTAACGCCAGAAAACACCGCTAAATGCATCATCAACAAAATACGAAAATCATCAATGCATAAGTAACCACGTCTCGAAAGGCACGCCCCTAGCCTTTTGCTTCCCATCACGACCCGCGGAGAAAAGAACAGGCTCAAAGTCAGACACCGACGCATACTGCCTAATTAAATGACGCCAGTAACATGACTCGGCAGCAGGAGTAAGATACCGATCCCGGAAAGTGCGCACCGCATTATCGGCAATACGCTCCGCGACTTGCGGGTTATCGATCAAGTAATCGATCTTGCGCGACAAATCCTTAAACTCCTGATCCACCTCGATATAGTTTGCTTCAGGCCCAGACGATACCAGCGCGGCATGGTGAGCCTCTTTCCACACAAGCGGATGCGAGATGAAGACAGAGCGGCAGTTGAGGAGATACTTCCCTCTACCAGAGAAACTGCGTCCCTCAGTATGAGCAAGGAACATATATCGGCAATGATCTTCAATAGGAAGAAGATTAAACCGAATATCGTTCTCATCATCCCAATCAATAACACGCACGCTAGCCCAGCTCTTCCCAACAGCCGACTTGAGCAGTTTACTACGCACAGCGGGGTTCGTAGCAAGACTACCCCGCCAAACGAGCTGCTTCTTCTTATCCTCGAACGCAATACCCGGGAGGAAGGACCCATCGGGTGCGACTTCGCCCTGGTCGATAGCTGCAATGCGACGACGCACTTCGTGGTACGGCCCGATCTGCACTTCAGGCCAGGCCCAGTATCCGAAGTCGGGCATAATCCAGACGGAGTCGTCACCGTCGCGCTTGGAGTACGACCAGATGGGGCCTTGGCCGGTTGGGTCGGGGGCGAAGTCTTCTGTTGTGAAAATGAATTCGATACTGGGCAGGAGGCGGTGGTCTGGGAAGGCTGATAGGGCGCGCTGGAGGGAGTTGAGGGTCGCGCGGGCACGGGATGCGGTGACGGGCATTGCACCAAAGTCGACGATGTAGAGCTGTGATGGATATAATTAGTTGCCGGGAAATGGATAGCAGGTACTCTGATCAACTCACCTGGCCGCGATCGATAATCGCGCGCACCATGCCATCCTCAACCTTCCGCGAGTTCAGAGCATCATAAGAAACATGAGACCCACGTCTCAAATTCGCAGACTTATCAATCTCGATAAATAGCTTCGGAAATGCGCTGCGACACTGCTCATCCGAGAGCCCATGATTCTGTCCATCCCGCTCGACTCTAAACTCCCAAGTGTCACTACCGTTTTGCGGGGGAATAAATGTCGGACATTCCGATTGGGCCAGCCGATGAGTCTTTAGAATGTAACGAGATGCCGAGTCGCGCGATTGGTTGGTGAAGAAGAGGAATGAGAGGACGAAGAGGGAGATGACGGCACCTGTGGCCAGCAAGCGGAATGGGGGTCTTTGGGCGAACATTCTGGCTTCGAGAAGATTTCTGGAATGAAGCTCACTTCTCCCCAGTCAAATCGAGTAGTTTATGCTCGAATACCTCGTTCCATTTGATTTTGCGAGGTTCTGTGCTGACAAGGTGGTGTAGAGGTCGATATTGTCAGCGCTGATTGTTTCCACGGCAACGGGCTCGGCGTCACGTCACTCGTCGATATCTGGAAGATATCACCGCCAACCCGACTGAAACACACTAAAATCAGACCCTGTAAGAAATCGAGGAGTATTACTTGAAGTGTGAATATTTGCAAAGTATTAAAACGGATAGATCTACCCTTCGCAAACACAAAGAGCACAGTCTAATCTAGGTCCCAACGATATCGAACTATGTACATGGGATGGAGAGCGCCATAGCCAGTTGATATATTCAGGGGGTATCTCAACATCGTAAAAGTAAACAAGGGGAGAAAAACAAAAGAAATGACTCCAGGCCCCGTAGATATCATCATTCACATAAAGGCGCCATAGATCACCGCTCATCGCCACTGGCCACCGCACTTGCGCTGTTACTGCTGAAGTAGCTCTCGTCGATCTTGAGAATCCATTCCACTTTCTGCGCCTCGGTGCGCGTGGCAAAGAGGTATGTGTTCTGGGTTCCGTAGACGGCGAAGATGTTGGGTCGTCCTCTGGCAGAGAGAGAGCGGTCATTTCCGGCGCCGGACCCGTCGAACAGGCGAGCAAAGTCGGGAGCGTGGTCCACTCGGGAATTGCGCAGGTTTATGGCGTTGATCTCGTCTCCCTCGGGGTTATAGATGTGGAGATACGGCCGGCGGAGCTCCACGAACCGGCGGACCCAAATGTTGTTGGTGTCGTCGGGGGTAAGCATGTACCCCGTTTTCAGTGCAGATGGGTTCTTTGGAAGGGTTTGAATGGTAGCCACAAAACGAGGCTTGAGCGACATTTTGTCCAACACACCGCCAGTGCCGTTGGACTTATTTTTGGCGGCACCGTCTGCCGGTGGGTCGGTGTTGCTTCGGACCAGGATAACCTCGGTTGGATCCTTTTTAGTCGACCACAGGTCAACGTACTTCTGAAGAAGTTTGGATTTGCGTTCGTTGAGTTCATGATTGCGCATTGGCGTCGACCGTCCACTGCCTTTGGGGGACGGTGACATCAGGCTACCTGCGCTGAGAGCTCCACGGGCGGCATGCAACTCAGCCACACGGTATCGGCGTTTGCGGGCAGCGATGTAGTCTCGAACCAGCGACACTTTACGAGGAGCCCAAGCTGTCAGGAGCTCCTCGCCTTTGACATAGTCGTTCTGGGTATTCATCCGCCAGAGATCAGCAGCTCGCTTGGCTGAGATCGGCCGAATAACCAACGAGTACATGCGAGTTGTCGAGTGCACGACTCGGGTTGAGCTCCAGAGCTGCTTGAACATCGACTGCTGGCGGACATAGGTGCGCCCAAGAATCTGGAGAGTCTGATCGACCTCAAACACGACAGGTGTCTGGAGGCGAGAAGATTTAAGATCCCACCGAACCGTCACTTGCACTCGGTATTTATCCGCGGTGACTCTATCGAGGAGAAGGGAGCCGTGCAAACTGGAATCCCACTGGCCCATGATTGTGACATTCGAGGTTCCATCGGCATTGTCCTTAACCATCGGCTCTTGGGAAAGCTTAAGAGGGACGTCTGGAGTTTGAAGATCTTGATCAGGAATCTTGCCCCACGGATCAAGAAGTCGGACAGAGCCAACGCGAGCATTGGTGATATCATCCCAAGGGAGGCTTTCAGTAGAGCTGTAAGTGAGATTGATCGAGACACGACGCTGCAGACCTTGGTGGAGTTGGTAAGTGCCAGCGTCGAGAGGGCTGCTTTGAACAACCTCAACGGGGCTATATTCGCCAGACTCCGCAAGCTCCAGTATCTGAATTCGTGCAAAGACGTCGTGTCTTTCCTCCGAATAGAACTCGGATTCTGCAATTCTGGGTGTAGTGCGTTTCTTGGGCGTGATTTCTGCCGAGTCGCGCATATCATCCCAGCTCAGAAGTTTGTCCATATGCACGGATGTCACACAAGCATAGACGCAGACCTTCAGTGCAGCCGTTCGGGGACTCGAGAGTGGAAGGCTCATGCTGTGTACGCTTTCAAATCGGACTGGACTCTCCTCGAAGCCATTGATCATCTGTGTCGTGGTTGCACCTCCTTCTTCGGAGATACCGGGTACGAAGAGTTGTGCATGAACATCAGTTCCTTCCCATTCGGCAAACCCGACCATGTCGCGCATGACGACATTGAACTTCAAGGTTGATGAAGGTGCCTGGGCTGAAGACGGCTCAAGGGATAACCGGATGATTCCAACAACACTCTGCGTATAGGGCGAAGTGATCTCGACGGAGAAGTCTTGCACTCGGGTTTCAAAGACGGCGGTCAATGGAATATCAGCGTCTCCAACCAGAGAATACTGCGGCGAGCAGGGCTCCGAAAAGGGATTCTCGAGTTTGAAGTGTTGGATGTAGTCGGGGCGATCGATGTATTGATGCAGCTGGCGCATAGACTGAACGCGACGCTGGAGTTTCTCAATCGACCACAGATGGATCACAGACTGCTTGTAATCGATGACCCTGACCGCGACACAAGGTTTCTTGGCTTCTTCAAGCACGACGTCCTCATCGCCCGAAATTCCGTTCAGCACAAGGTCGTAGGATGAAGCCATGTTGTGACCATGGTCCACAATGGCAAATTGGAAGACCACATTTTTATCCATGATTTGGCTCATGACCTGTGCCTCCTTCAGAAGAGACGCATGTTGCAGAATCTTCTCGGCCATGCGGACATAGTTGCGCTGAGACCAATGCTGGAAAACAGCTTGCGCGATCTCAAGTTCGCGCTCGTTCAATTTGGCGAAGCCGTTCTCGTAAATCTGTGGAATCGGCTTGCCCATGTCACGCATCTGGGTCTCGAAGTCTTCCTTTTGCTGTTTCAATTGCTCCTCAAATTCCTCTTTAGCAGAGCGAAGCGCGTCTTCCATGCGCTGTTTCTCGGTTTGAATCTCATTCGGATCTGGGTTAGAGGCAGCCTCTGCATTCTTCAGCTTGTCCACATATTCCTCCTTTTGGCGATCCAGTTGACGCTGCATATCTTGGCGAACCGATTTAAGAGAAACACCATTGGTCCCTTCATCGTCGTCATTTTGACGCGGTGTACCGGGTATCGTGATCGCCGTGTCCAGAGAGAAATTGTCGATAGTCCCATTGGACATATACTTGTCCCGCACTGGGAATGAATTCAGCGAATCCGAGTCTTCCTCATTCTCTGGAAGACCGCGGCGTACTGCCCGAGCTTTCTGCACATCCTCGAAGAGTGTATCAAGTTCATCGTCGGGCATATTTGAGATATGATCCGGTCCTAGCATGGCACTAGCGGCTTCCCTTCGGGCAAGGAACCAATCTGATTCGCGGCCACGTTGTGACGGCATTGGAGAATCCGCTCTACTCGAATCACCATCGATCTCGGACCCAGTCTTACTGAAACTGCGGTCATGGGTTTTGTTCGGTGCTGGCGAACCAAGTTGGCTAGTTGTCACGGAATGCCGCAATAAACTTTGCTCCACCCGTTCGGCGCGGGCCTCTTGGGGGTGGTTGAATCGGAAGATGTGGAAATCTCCAAGAATAATACGAAACCCACTCCTGAGTCGTGTAGGCTTCTCAATTCGCATGCCGTTGACCATCACCGCAGCGCCTTCTGTGGGAACAAGCGTCACGATGTTATCGACGCTCTCGAACGTGCAGTGCTTTTCAAGGATCTTGGAACCATTCAGTCGGATTTCAACGTTGTTTCCTTGGTCCATATGTCCCACAGTCGTAGTCCCGGGTTTGATGTTGTAGACTAGACACTCCGCCAGCAGGGGGTCATCACTGAGGTTGACCAAGTGAGGCATCTTCTTTGGAGTGCTGAGTCCGATGAACCCCTTCTCGATGTTGATGCCAAGTTCTTCAAGAGCCGCTTCACGCTCCTTGTGAATGAGCTCTGTGTTTTGCAGCTTCTCCTCCCATGTTTGATTCAGGTCTTTGTAAAGCTTCTCACTTTGGTTGAGCTGTTCCACAATCTCGGCTTTGCTGACCTTGGTGATGGTGCCGTCTGCTTGCGTAATAGAGACCATCTGCTGTTCCAAAGGTGTATCGGGTGGATAGTATTCTTCTGCGGACACAGCACCGGCGACACCAGCAGCACCTCCTGCGCCACCTCCGAGCTTCGAACGCAGTTGTGCCAATTCCTCCTTGAGCTCACGAATCATACGAGCATTCGGGTCCTCGTTCACGACAGCGTGGTTCTTGATTCGCTTGGCAGAGTCGGCATACCGAAGTGTGCTCAGTGTCTCGTCAAAGTTTATGTCTGCCGGAGAGATGGCAGCAATCATGGAGGTCATGGAGTTACCTCCTAGTGAATCCTTCAGCAGCCACGTGAGTACTGAATCACGGTATGGGACCATGGATGCAGCCTTCTTCTTTCCAGCTGCACTCTTGCCAGCCGAGACATCAGCCAGAGCAGCGATGACACGACCGAGCGTCGACAAGGAGCGGTTAATCTCGGCACCCTCTTTTAAACGCGCACCGGTGGCACCGGTGGAGTTGGCTCTCTCCGAACCTGCCAAATCCACCAAGCTGATCTTCGAAACCTTCTCGGTATCCATTGAGGTCTCCGTATCATGGCGCTTCTGAGTGAGAGTCAATGTGAACACGGCGTGGGAACGACTGGAAGTTTCGTTCATGTTCGTTGCCGCCACCGTTCTCGCCTTGTTTCCCTCATCCATCAAATTTTCAATCTCGTCGAAAGATCGAACCACCAATTTCGCCAGATCCTCCACATAAGGACCGGTAGCCGGGTGCTCACGAACTTTGAGATTGCCCTTATTTGACGGATTGAGCAGGTCGCGAACGCGTTCGTTGTAAATTTCGAGATAGGACACCTCGACCGTGCAATTGAGGTTTTTGTCTTGTTGGATTCCGGTGATACGCTCGAACATGGACTGACAAATCCGCGGGATCACACCGTACTCCTTGCCGTATCCCATCATTGAGTACGATTTGCCTGAGCCAGTCTGCCCGTACGCGAAGATACAGTTGTTATATCCACCAAAGGCATTGTCCAACAGCGGCGAACCCAAGTCATCGAACAGGTTATCCTGGCCTGCATAGTTCTCTGCGTTCTTGTCAAATGACCAGTATGAACGATCGAAGGCGAAAACCTTCGCTCCAGCTTCACCCTTGGTACCCTTTCGCGACGATTGGGAATCCACGCCCGGCGGTGCGGTAAGTATCGTCTGGGCATCTTTCATCTGCACGATACATTTTGCGCCGCGGTCGATTTCTGAAAATTGGCGGGATATCCAGTCAGTGGCCGTGCTGTACTCGCAGATCTGTTCAACTCACCTCTACTGTTAAAAGGCCGCACCCGCACCACGACCTTAATATTACCTCCGCCGCCTGGAGCCATCTTGTTCTCTACCCCATACACCGGGGTCGATCACGGGTCGGCTTCTCGAAACAGTCGATTTCGCAGGGGTCACACAAGCGGTGACGAGGATACACCGATGCGCGAACTCCGCGAGGAGCGCGACTTGGAGCGAAGTCGCAAAGAAGCGGGCACCGAGTCACTGGGGGTTGGGTATCTAATCGTCTGGCCTTGGATCGAAGGGTGCCGGGGAACGGGGGGTGTCAACAAAGACGTCATGTACCGAATATTGAGCGCGCCCGCGGGAGTGTGGGGTGGGTCGACAGGGATCCGAAAACGCGGCGGTCAGGATCTTGAAATGTCGATGTCGAGTTCGAGGGGGAAATGGAGGTTCAAGACACCAAGAACCAAATGCGATTGTCGAGGCCGCCATTCACGCGGAAAAGCCTCCTGCTTCGGGCGCGGGACCCCTTGCTGAATAAGCGGTTCCCCGAACTGGCCAAGTGAGGACAGTTTATGATGTGTAAAGTCTGGCATTGTACAAGGCCGATGAGTTGATTTCATGAGTTTTCTTTTACCTAGGTAGTGGTATCTGTATAATGGAATGCACGGAGTGAGCATGTCCTGGATTTGGAAGCATGGGTCTAGCCCGCTGGAATGTGTCATGGTCTAGATCTGCTCCGGTATGTCGTGGTCCGTTCAGTATCAGCCTTGTTTCTAAGTGGATAATTCCACGTTTCATGAAAGTGGACAGCTGTTGTAAGACTCGATCTATTCCCAAGCTTTCATCTCGTTGATATATTGGATGACAGGATCTTATGTTTCAAATTACATCGAATGGCACCGCAGATATATATATCCACTTCCAGACACCCGATATCATGCTGGAGGGCCTTCGGGGGTAGAATACGGAGTAGATCCCAAAGAGAGGATAGAGCCTTGAAATTCAAAAAAGGAGGTCGTCAATCATTCTATTACTCTCCAAATTTACCTACCTAGTCTGATTGATGGATAACTCGAGCTCGGCACCCCAAAGCGGTCAAACTTCCACACGTGGGGTTCGCCCGAGGATCGGACGTATCGAGATCAACGCTGAATGGCCCATCTCCAAGGCAAAGTTGACGGCCCAGGGCAGAAAGGCACGTGGAGACAGAGCTCAGCAGATCGACTATTTCCTACCTGGCTACCTGGGTACGGTATGGCTACGGTGTACAGCCTGGAGAACGGAATGGTCTCCGCAGCAAACGGAGACCGTCCGCCGTTTGGGCCCAGCCACCTCGGTGAGCAGAATGGTGACCGCCAGATGAGATACGAGATACGAGACAGTCATCAGACATCGGACTCAGAAATGCCGCCTGGGGTTCGTCGATATCACGGTACTGGCACTTGCGTCATCCATAGGACGATGGGGACACCGTGGGGTCCGATCTGGGGGCGAAACTGGGCTGAATTACGAGAGGGGGCGATCGCCGACTCATTCATCGTCGAGGTAATCACAAAGATCACCAAGATCACAATCATCACAACGGACATGGGGTCAGCACCGGATCATGGAAAGTCGGCGGCATGGGGATTCTAGGGGTGGGATGGGACCTGAGGTGGAGGACAGTTGCCCGAAGCGGAGAGAAGGCCGAGGCAGATCCCGCAGGGAATTGCACCAAAAGGGCAGCCAGAATGAAAGGCGACCTCCGTAGCTGGCGAGGAACCGAGCACAAAGAAACCCGTCATATCTCATGAGAACCTGCGACGAGTACGCGGTAGCTAGGTCAGGTCAGGTCCGGCCTCCGTACTCCAGGTCGACCTCCCTCACCGCTCAGCCGGTTGCACATGACTGCCGGGATGCCCGGATTCTGTCGATACGGTGACCGTACGGTGACGACGGTTTCGGGCCCAATCCACGCACGTAGTAACCGCGGAATACCCAATAATACGGGGACCCACCGGGCCCACCGGACTCTGATACGCCATGATACGCCGGGCGGCAACGCGTCGGCCAGTCATTCAGCTGGAAGCGGTACAAAATGCCCCATCTCCCCCTTTCGCCTTTCCTTTCTCCCCCTCTGCCCATTCTCGTTGGTTGCCCGCTGCTCTCCAGCTCATCTGCCCTCCAACCATCGCACAGAACTGACCACCCTTACTTCCTTAAAACAGCTCATTCGCCCACTTCTGGTCCCGTCACCGAGCCCAATCATCTTCGCTCCTGTGCTCGTCCTGATCTAGGAAGTAGGTATTCTATTCTAAAAGGTATGAACCGGATCGTCTTTTCCTCGTGCTGCTATATACTTTATGTCTGTTCTACTATGAGCTCTTTTTGATCGGGCAATCTTCAATCGCTCTGCTATTTACCCTCTGCTTCCTCTGCATTCCCCCATTCCTGCCGTGTAAACAACCACGCGTTTTTATCTCGGGTCTGCCCGGATCTTGCACTGGAGTCGCCGCACAGAACTCCTCTCGTTGGCTTCCCCTCTTCCCCTCCCCAGTCATCTTGCTTCGATCCCTTGTTCTGTACTGGGATTGGAAGGCATTTTATCCACGGACTTTATCCCCGTTGTGCCTGCCCTGCCCATCCCGTCTACGGTAATCGCGATTCCCCCTCCACCTTCCACCCCCTCCAATCCCACGTTGCGCGCGCGCTTTTAGGGCCCGCCCGTGGCAAAACAACGCGCTACTATCCATCCACTGCCCTCGGGGCATGCAAAGCGCCTGCGCAGTGTTTCATCCTCGGCTCACCTCGCGGTCATTGGCTCTCGATTCTGTTTGATGCGCGCGCGACTCTGTTTCTGTTTTGTGCTTCCAGCCTGATTCCGCTGCACGCGTCCTTGACATCATTACTGGGTAGTTGCATCTTCTCTAACGGATGACATCTAGACATTCGCGATCTTGATTCGCTTTCGCCCTTTCGCCTCGAAATCTGTCCTGCTTCTGCAGAACCCGGCGATCCACAAGGTATGTTTTCAGCTGCATCTTCCCCAATTTCCGTGCCAACGCATACATTGCGCGCTGCCCGCCTCGCCCGGCCTAACCCGCTCGGGTATCCAAAAGGCCCCTCCATGGGATCAGCCCCTTCCAAGTGGCCAGCGCATCGCGATGGATCTTCCAGAATGGTAGACTGACCCTTCACAGACCTGATTCGTCCACCCTGGCAAGGCGCGCTCTGACTCGAGGCGCAATCATTCCCGCTAGTCCGAACCCCAGTGGGAAACTAGACGAGCAAGAACGCCTTTGGCGAAGGTTGCCTGTGCCTGAAATAGTCCCCCAAGTAGCTGTCGGGGGTGGCATTCAGCATCATCAACGCCCTGGCTTATTGCCAACGCATCGCATCTCTAGTCGCGCGGTGACCCCCCGGTCCTGCTGCATCACAGCCCAACCACGTTACACCCGAGGACGGGCGTAGACCGATTTGCACAAAAGAGCCAAACCCTCCGCAGTGCGGGCGTTCGAGAACCCTTTCACAGGTCGATTCCTCAACGCGAAAGATCCGTTATCCTGGCCCTGCAGTGATTTAAGGTAGGCGCCGAGTCTCCATTCCCGCGCTGTGCCCCATAGGTCACCCCACACCTCAAACCCAGTAACCGTGCCGTCCTGCGCTTTGCTGACGCTATGCCCCGGTTGCAGACTATCATCTCTCGCTCGTCGAATCATCGGTGCCCCACGACTGAAGGTTGCCTATCTCCCTTCTGCGCGCACCTGGGTAATATCGACCCAGCAACGTCTGCCAAACATATTTCGGCAGTCCACCTCGATCTTCTATCACTTGCGATCGCGCATCCAATCCACTGCGGTGCTCAAACTTCTTTTCACCTGATTGGTTTGGGTTTGATTCCCCCATCACGTTACCGCGCCGCTGTGTGACGGACCTATCCCGTCGCAAGCATCTTTCAAGATGGAGTATCCTCCGCAGTATCAACAGCCTCATGGCCAACATCCCCACGCCCCTTCACATATGACCGGCCCTTATCAAACTGGCCCCCCGAACCCTGGTGGTCCCGTCGGGTCCATGGCCTCGCCCAGCAATCCCCAGGCACCTATGCAACAGACACATCCTGGTCACCAGACATCCCCAATCGTGGCGTCGCAACAACACTACCAGCAATCACAGAATGCGCCTGGCGCTGTTCACCAGCAGATGAATTTCCCCCAGGGTTACGGCGCCCCCGTACCCATGCCGCAGTCCTACGGAATCTCTCCCACCCAAGCTGCCGCGATGGCCACCGCCGCCGCATCGGGGCAGTTCTATCCGCTCCATCAAGACTCCATGGCCGGACAGATGGCCCAGGGGTCGCGAGGCTCACCGCGCATGGCTGTTCAGATGAAGCAGGATCGTAATCCTCGATCGCCGCCTCAAATGGCCGGACAGATGCCTCCCATGGGCTCGCAGGTCCAAATGCCTGGTCAGCGCCGAATGAGCCACGTTGGAAGCCCCAGTGTTCAGAGCGCTCAGCCCGTGATGAGCCACGTCGGCCGATCCTCCGTCGGTGCTCCCATGGCCGCTGCGCCAGTCCAGCCGAACCATCCATCCCCGGAAATGGTAGCCAGCACCAACCAGGAAGAGTCCCCGCTCTACGTCAACGCCAAACAGTTCCACCGAATCCTCAAGCGCCGGGTTGCGCGACAGAAGCTGGAGGAGCAGCTGCGGTTGACGTCAAAGGGCCGCAAGCCGTATCTGCATGAGTCCCGACACAACCACGCTATGCGCCGACCCCGAGGCCCTGGTGGCCGGTTCTTAACTGCCGACGAAGTCGCCGCGATGGAGAAGAAGGCAGCTGATGGCGAGGACATCGGTGACCTGGGCAAGATCGAGAATGGCGCCGGTCAGAAGCGCAAGTCAAGCGAGGGCAACGATGATCACCTCAACTTAAAGAAGACCAAGACCAGTGCCAGCGCTGACGGGAGCGAGCAAGATTCCGCCGAGCCTTCTGACGAGGATGGTTGAATGACTCGCCCATATCACCATTAGAGCATGACTGCATGTCAGTGGTGTCTTTTCCTATGTTTTCTCCTTTGTCCTCACGGCTTTATGGATGGATGCTTTTTTGGACCTTTTTTTTTTTTTTTTTTTCTTTTCTCTAGCGAGCGATGTGTACGGATCCCCTTTACCTTCTTATATTGTCTGCTTGACTCTTACCCTTTTCTCTTACCCCCTGATGTCTGTTTATAGCTTATGCTGGGACGATATTTTTTTTTCTTTTTGCCTCCTTTTCGAAGTATTCCCCTCAATGGTTATAACAGCCCCTGGAAGCATTGCCTTTATTTCCCAGACCGTCCGCATGCCACTCTGTGTATATCCGACGAGTCCCGGGGAGAAGGCGCTCCAGGACCCGCTGCCACAAAGCCAGGTATCCGCAAAGGCCTGCATCGTTTTGTGTATATCGACAGTACAGCGCCACTTCGGCTTTGCGTCTGTTTCTACTATGCCCCCGATTACCCGAAATCGTTATTTCGAGGTTGTTCTCCTCTCAACGGTTCAATGGTTTTGATTCACAGTGTTCTTCTGGTAACCTTTTGTCTTTTGTCGTGCGTTTATGGGTTCCGGGGTTGGGAATTAGAGCCGGTTTCCATCACTGGAAAAACAGATCACTTTGGTTGGGCTGGGATGGGAAAGATTGGGTTATTTTTCTCTTTTCTCTTATGGATATGAGTTCAATTTGTCACTGCCTATACCATGAATGAAGATATTGTCGTTTATCACCGGCCATCCATTCGTCCTGTCGTGAGCTGTGCTTCGTACATCTCCGGGTGCTCCCCAGTACTTGCAAGTTCTACAACTATGATACCCGCCGAGTTCGAGTCGACTCATGTCGCCCATCGGATGGAAAAAAAGACCGCCTCAACCCAGACCGGCACCTTACTGCTACGCTTACAAGCACGCCGTAGACCAGCGCAATGAGAGTATCATGAATCTAAAGACTCCTAAACGAGAGAGCTCGTGAACCCTAAATCCATCAGATCCCCTACGAAACCAGTCGTAAAGGGGACAAATCAAAACTGTACAATCAACCATAACTCCATCCATGCAAAACAAAGAAAGCCCCCATCCCTCGGTCCTAAACAGCCTCCCAATCCATGCCCTCGACCATAAACCTCCAATCCGCTTCCGATTCCATCTCCTCCCCCTCCTCCCCCTCCCCAGGCCGTCTACAAAGATCGACGTGCTCCCTAGCCCTCACATAAGCCTCCTCAAGCCCATTAAAAATCCCCGACAAGATATCCTCGAAATCAAACGCCGATAACGGTAGCACCTCTTTTTTCTCGAACGGGTCGTTTTCTCTTTCTTCTTGTGTCATGTCCGCCGTTTTCCATCTATTACGAAGTTCCTTCGCTTTACGTAAAAGAAAATGCACGCGCCCGGAACCCAGAATGGGCGTTAAAGGCGTTGTTTCTTGTTCGAGGGCGTGGAGCACGTTGGCGTGGTAGCGGTGGATTGCGGGCGAATTGGAGAACCCGTTTATCCCGCGGTGTCCGCGAGAGGAAACGGTGATGTTGAACACCCCCAGTAAATGCACGATCGCGCGCTCGAGGAGGGCGTAGTACTCATGGAAATCAATCTTGAACATGATCTCCGCCTGCGAGACGTCTGCATCTGAGACATCCACGCCATTGGCATGGAGTGTTGCCAGGCGATAGCCTTCGGCCAGGAAGGGGAGTTTCCAGCGCAGACGAGCGACGATTTTCATGAATCGGTTTAGTTCTTCGGAGGGTGGGAGGAGGGTGCTGTTTGTGCTTGCTGGGGCGGAAGGTGTGCCATTGCGGACGCGATTGGGGGCTTGTGCGGAGGCCGATCGGGTGCGGTTTTCGGAATGAGGGCGGCGAAGAGAGTGGTGGCTGTATTGGTACTCGCTCGCACCAGGCGCCCAGCGCGAGCTGAGAAGGTCGGACATTGGAGTGTTGGAGGTTGTGTTGTGGTGCGGCGTGGGCGGTTATCATTGCACGGGCCAATTGGGGCTCTGCGGGGATCCCGGGATCTATGTGCGTCAGTCGTCGGTTGGGGGGCTACTTGGGTTAATGGTCTGAGGATAGTCGTGAAAGATGTCAGGTGAATTGATGGGACTTGTTGATCCTCATCTGCTTAATCTGAAGGTTGGAAACAAGGTGGCGTGGAATGGTATAGAGTCATTTTCATCAAGAGCAGTCCTTAGCCTTGGCGACGAATCTAGAAGTGTACAAATTTACGTTTTCACTGGTGTCCGCCTGTGAATATTCCAAGACCGAATAACGCGAATGAAATAGAAAAACAGGAATAACAAAGAAATCCGGTCGCAAGAGCAAAACCCGAAAGGCAATGCCCTAGAGCCCTGGATGTCACGGCTCGAGGCTCAGCAGCTTCAAGAATCCCCCATTAGGCTTATTGAGTAAATCAAGAGGATGTCCGACCTCCACAATTTCACCACTGTTCAGAACAGCAACCTGATCGAAGTCAAGCAATGTGTGGATTCTATGCGCCACCATTATTACGGTACAGCCATGGAATGACTCCCGTATGACACTTTGCACCTTTGCATCTGTTTCAGGGTCCAGGCTACATGGTTTCTCGTCAGCTATCACACAATGAATGGAATGAAAAACGGGGCAAAACAACATAAACGTACCTGCTCGTTGGCTCATCCAAGATCAAGATTTTGCTCCTCTTCAGCAAAGCCCTGGCAAGACAGAACAGCTGCTTCTGGCCCTGAGATAGGATGTTGTCATCTAATCTTGAATCCAGTACGTCTTCGTCGGTATCACTGTGGCTTGCTGCCAGGATGCTCCAGATTCCCACAGATTGCAGGGCATCAACAATCTGCGCGTTCGAAACTTTGCCCAGGGGATCGGCATTTTCCCTGACTGTACCGGGGAAAATGAACGGTTCTTGGCTGAGACAGCTGATGCGTTGTCGGATTGATGATCCGGGCATCGAGGAGATATCTTGTCCATCGATGCGGATTTGGCCGGATACAATCTCGTTGAGACGAAGGAGGGATAGTGCCAATGTACTCTTGCCACTAGCTCGGAGTAATATGTCAGGCCGATGTTTTGATTCTGAAAAAGCGTGACTTCCACCGAGGACAAATGGGAATTGGTCTCACCTTCCGGTTCTGCCACACAGGCCAAACTTCTGCCCGGCTTCAATTCGAAGATTAATACCGTTGAGTAAAGGTTTCGTCTCGCCAAATCTCCAAGCAATTCCTGCATCTAAAAATTCGATCTCGCCGCTCGTCGGCCATTCCAAGAGTTCATCATGAGTCTGAGGGGCCATACTAGTCTCTTCACGAGGGGTTTCCTCGACAAATTCTTTGATGCGTGTAATGGCTCCCAGTGACGTTTCAAGCAATGTCCAGTTTTGAATCAGCTCTGATAGGACCAGTCCCAGATCCATCATCATGACAAGGGCTATTCCCAGAAGACCTGGGTCCACGTGAGTGCGAAGAGCGACAGATGCTCCAACAAGAAGCAATGTTATGCCTGCCACGATCAGATTCAGCACGAGACTCAGCCAGCGTTGGATACAAAGGAGAAGGTAGTATGGTCGTTGGGCGCTGTCTAGCATAGAAAGCATTCGGTTAGTCGTAGCGTGAGTCCATGAAAAGGCGCGAATAGTGGTGACTCCTGCCAGTGACTCGATAAAGTGGGTGTAAAGAGGGCTCTTGAGCTCAATCCTGTGTATGATTTGTATTAGTTGTATGAATCGTAGAATCATACATATGAAGTATATTCATGCTGGGAAAGCATATAAAAGCAACGTACTCTAGTAGCCGCAGCTGACGGGATGTTTGAAGATAAAACTTCTGGATCAGATATAGGACTCCGATAAGAATAGGCAAAGCCGCTGCTAAATAGGGCAATGAGGCTATGGCAACGGCGCCTTGAGCAATTGCTCCGAATAATTCTAGAGATCCGCGAAGTTACAATATTGAACGGTTTTCTTCCAAGTTTCATCGCTGCACTTACGGAACCCTGTAGATATAAAACCCCGAGGCAGGACCATGTCAACTAGCCTCATGTCTTGACTGAAACGTGTCACTAGAGCTCCGGTATCTTGGTTCGAGAGAAAGGACAAGGGAGCACTATCGTTATTAGCCAATTTTCGCAGCAAGTATTTAGAGATATTCACCCAATGCAAGTGCGTAGCACGGCTGTGTGAAGGTTCCTGGATGCAAATGGGACAATAATAACCCATGTCCAGCTATAACTAGGTTAGAGAGCTCATAAAATGCACGCATTGATCCAAGGGGGATATTGAACACACAATACGGCAAGTACAAGCGCAAGGGCTTGGACAACAGAAAATGCTCCATACAGTCCAAGCCAGTAGCCTAGGCGTGAAGTTTCGTCATTGCTGGAGGACCAAATGCTGACCCATACATCTTGGAAAGAATCAGTTTCAAGTTGACGAATGCACAGTCTCCGTCGCGGTTAGGTAGGTATGGTCAATAATGCGCGGTCGGGAATCTTATTACAACTTACAGCGTAAGCCGCTCATACCGGCATCTGTAACGAGGAAGAGAAGCAATGAAGCAATTCGTGACCAACCCAGTGCAGAAAAATAATACTTATATACAGCAAGCTCGCCTGTCCGTCGAGCGCCATTTGTGGCAGAAGAAGCCTCGAATATGGCAGTCGGGGGCTCTGCCGGCACATCTGCGGACTTTTCGCCTTCTTCTGCCTCATCTGCTTGTGTGAATCGAGTATCTTTCGGCTGAATGAAGCTATCAATGTCGTCTCGAAGTTGAGCATAGCTGCCTTGCTTGGCAACTTGGCCATTGTCCCCGAAGACCATGATCAAGTCAGCTTGGGGCATGTATTGGGCTAGAATGTGGTTAATTAGGCCATTAGTCTACGAATAAGGTACACATACCACTGTGAGTAGCCAAAAACACAGTAGAGCCCAGCTGACGCAAGATTCCAGTCGTGCCAAAGACATTATTAAATACAGTTCGGGCGGTGGAATTGTCCAGGCCACTTAGAACGTCGTCAAAGCAAGCGATGCTTCTACGAGCATAGACCGCTCGTGCGATAGCCTATACACACCAAGACTTAAGTGAGAGGCCGAATCTTTCTGGACGTATAGGCATAACTCATTACTCACAATTCTTTGTCTCTGTCCTCCACTCAGCTTAGAGCCTTTACTGCCAACTAGTGTTTCGTCGTTCGCCGCCATCCTCTTAAGATCGACATCCAGCGCACAAGCGCTCACAACGGTGCGATACCACTCAGGATCAAAGGTAGACGATGAATTTTCGCCAACAATATTATTCCGTATGGAAGAATTTGATAGCCATGGTGTGTCTTCACAGAAGGCCAAGTCTTGGTACTTCACGAAGAGTTCTCCTTCTAACACAGGCGTCTCACCTGCCAGACCTTTGAGGAATGTAGACTTTCCGCAGCCGACTGGACCGACAAGAATGACAAGCTGCCCAGAAGCGGCGTCATTGAGTGTAAACGTGACACCATTTGCCTCTGGTTTAGAGGGAGACTTCCAGCCAAATCTGACATTTCGTAGAGATAGGACTACATCTCTCTCGCTGTGTGGAAACTGCGTAAGTGGAGACAACTCAATACCAGAGAGGTTGCTGGATGATGTGGAATGAGTCAGCAAAGGCTGGAGAAACTGTCTCTTCTCTGTGTAATGTGAGTCTTATTAGCTCACGTTGACAATCTGAAATCGGGGACTGGAGCTCTCACCACAACGATTCTGAACCTTAAGGAAATCCTGCACCCTATTTAGGCAACCTATTGAAGCAAATGTGTCTGGAATCGCCAACAAGAGGTAGCTTAGTGGTGTGATCATCAAGCTAATAAGCGCCAACGAGGTGATGGCTTGGTTTACGGCAAGGCCCCCAGAGTCCTGCAGCAATGCTATTATTGCATAGGCAGCCAGAGTAGCGAGCTGGCCGATGATTATAGGAGAGTTGACTGGAGTCAAATATCAGTACGATCATGTGCTATTCAGAACAACTCGGCAGGCGCGGGACAGGGACGAATGTAAGCACGTACCCATGCAGACACGAATTGACTGGATCCGGCGGAACTTCTTAGAAATCTCAAGCTCCTCCATGCGCAATGCTTCGATCTTAGAACTCATTATCTCGGCTAAGCCGAGAAATTTAACATTGCGAATAGACCCCAGGATGGTAGTTGTGAAGTTGATCCGCTTCTCGGTGGCCCGAAGCCATTCCTTTTGCCGAGTCGAAACAGCATTACCCATGGCGAAGGAGGAAGCTGTGAAAACTAAAATGACATTGTCAGATGATTGTAAGTGAGGAATCTGGTCGGGTAAATGGACAGAACTAACCCGTCACTATCAAAATGGGAGCAATGCAAACCGCGCCGACCTGGGTTTCTAGCAACCATGTAGCCAATGCTAACTGAAGCACATTTGCCCAAGTCTCACAGATGACCGAATAAAAATATTCGGCGAGCATCTCTATGTCAGAGCCTATAAGCGACATTGCACTGGATTCGTCTGTGCTGCCCGGTGGCAGATCCATCATATGCTGAAACACAATACTCATCAGACCGCCTCGAATCATGGTGGTAGCACGGTATCCCAGGTGCTCATAAGAAGCTCTAGAAACCTATAAAGCTCTGTCAGTGCTGCTTCCAGCAGTGCGACGAGTTGACAACAAGCTTACAGCAATCCCGACAAAGACAATTGCAGTGGCTCCAATTAAGCCATAGCTGATGTTGAGTGAGAAAGAGGCGGTCCGTTGTAAGTCACTGACCACTTTTCCAATGAGAAATGGCTGCGCAATACTAAATCCCACTACACAAAGCCGCGGGAAGGCGATCTTCACCATTTCCCAGCGCAGGCACTTGATTACCACCCAAAGTAACGCAGTTTGTCCAGTCTTGTTGGAGCGGGCCCACGTATCTGTGAATTGGACAGATAACCGCGAAGACAAAAGCATCTCGTGAACGGCAGGGAGATCATCTTCAGCCAGTGATGCTAAGTGCCCTCTCCACAGCAGCCCATTCAGCCAGGTAAATAAGCCTCGGGTGAAAGGCCCGCTCACACTTTCGGTGGAATGATACTTCTCGGTTGGTAGAAGCCATTTCTGCTTTTCAACACTAGCTAGCATTAAAAGAACTAGCTTGACGGCGAAAGATGTGGAAAGAAAAGCGGAGTAGGCCTGATTTTCCGGCAGCAGCCAGGCTGTGCGCACACGCGCAAGGTCAAAGAGCAGTGTGATGAACAAATACGCAGAGACCAGGAAAGATGGCCGGATTGACCGGACGTGCTCTAGGTCAAGAAGCAGTATAACTCCCAGCGCCGATAATAGGTCAAGAACGGCACTTGCAATCAGTGTGCGCCCTCCAACGGGGTGCTGTTTTGCAACAAGCACAAGCAATGCAAGCTGAATAGCTGCAAAAGTCACAGAGACACTCTAGTTCAAGATAATATTAGAATTCCCGGTCATCCCCCACATGAAATTCCACTTAGGTATTGGAAGACGGGGCTACTCACCAGTGTAACCACTCGAAATATCGAAGAGAGCACCTTCCGAGACTGTCTGAGCAGGTGGGGCAGATGACAAGATGCCAGAAGGAGGAAACAAGCCCCTGGAACGAGGCTCAGGATACCGGACTCGAAAACTACAGTGAAGTCGAATCCTCCGCGACAGTCTGCTGCAGCGACGATAGGCCCAAACTGGTCATCGTTGCAAGCGCCCGTGGCCCGAGTCAACACCATGGCGAGACCAGCGTGCGGGCAGGAAAATGGAAAATAGAAAGTTGAAGCGAGAGAGCCGATGGAGTCCCGGTGAGAATTACCAAGTATGTTGCTCTCGTCTGCGAAAGGCTGCAAATGGCGACTTCGAAAATACTCAGCTACTGCCCCCAGGCCGCTCGCACGGGGATCTGCAGCTCTCGCTTTCGCCTTACAAACAGCTCGCAGTATGTCTTTGGAGACTCTGATGGATGTACCCTCTGTGCTACTGTTACGATGCAGGTGTAGACCGCTAAGTATTGGGGACAAAAGTGTAGCCTGCTAGAGTACTTTGTGAGCGAGATCTATCAGCTGACATGTGTATAGGCAATCATGTTCTTATTTATTTTCTATGTATCCTGGGGTTTACACAAAGACCCAAATGTGCCCAGGCAGTGACGACCAATCGAAGGCTCTTGGCACAGGAACCTAAGGTTCGCCGCCGGAGATCCGATAGCGCCCCGAGTTCAGACCCAGAGCTGTATACAGGCCACAAATTGACAGCCAATCATTCCTATCTCGACGGCATATGCATACGTGTATACCCTTGTCAATTTGGTTATGTTGTATCCACGACCCCCAGAAGTTCGCCTCCCCTTTACCCTGCCAGCGATGGGTCTTTTGCCAAATCTCACTTAGATTCGATTGTGTATGATTCCCCATCCTACGCAACCCACAGCCAAGCCCATGATTTCCTGTGACAGGTTAGTCCCCTGTCTAGCAGCTGATGGGAGCCTAGTTTCAATACAGATCAGTTACCACTAAGCTATGCACTGCCAGCCCGGCCATTACCATCCCTATCTATGGCCCCGCCATGCAAAGTGCCCCGACAGCGGCACATGCAACCGATGCACGCTCGAATATTAGATCCTTGACGCCTGGATTGCGATATCGCAAAAGCAGCTTGGAGCCCTGGGCCAGGAGAGGCTCCCACTAGGCTGGAAAATGCCACCAGGAAGAAAGCGGATGCCCTTACCAATTATGTTAGTTAACTTGCAGTTTAGTGAAATCAGTGTCCGTATGAGGGTACCTGTCTGATTGAGCCACCAAATCTGATGCGATCGAGTACAAATTAGCGAGGAGCAATGTGTTTCCACCTACAACTACCGTAAACAGCGTACCAGCCAAAATTGCCTGGACTCGAACTACTTTGTAAACGCAACAACAGCGGACTCCCAGGCCAAGGTAAGTAAAGCTCCCATCTTCGATAGAATAATGGAATTCGAATATCGCTCTCACCTATCGGCCAAGATACCAAATGGAAATGTAACAAAAATACCTTGAGCAATGAGTCAGCTCGGAAATTTTCATGCAAATGTCGATAGCAGGGCGATCTATACCGACTACTGCCTCCACGAGGGGGAGGTTGCCATTGAGATAGGCCAACTTGAACTGTATATCATCAGTTTTGCAGTGCCTGTCAGTTGTAGTACCTTGTTGAGCATATCGACTGCAAATGTTGTCCTCGATGAGTTGCGTTAAAGGAATATCGAGAATGGACCCCGCAGCGAACAGGCAAAAGACGACGGCGGACAGCCAGTAGATTGATACCCACCTCGGCGTCGCTTTCTGCTATCCACCAAGTAATGGGGAGGCCTCTTCAAGCATCGTCACTATCTTGTCAGCGATCAACGCTGCAAGCGCTCTTCTGCATCCACACAGGTATTGTATGCCTTCGAGGACCTGTCGCGTGTGAGTCAAAGAGCTTCTCATCAACAAAACCGGACACCTACCGGCCAGACGATTGCTGCAAGCTCGCTCTCAATGACCGGACATTTCAATGCCAATAATCGGCTGATGGAAAGCTCCAGCGGCTCTCAAACGAGGAACGCGTGATTTTCGAGGAGGTAACATACTTGGAGATTTGGGAAGCTTGGATGGGAGATTCGGCCCATAAAATATAGTATCAGTTTGACCGTGGTGGATGTTAGTTGGAGCTTCTCCACATTGACTCAAGAAGAATACAACAGATCTTCTATTTCCATCCGACTCCGAGACACTCCATTAGCCACCGCCTATTTCCATTATGAGGTATATGTAAAGCTTCCTGTATACCAAGTTTGCGTTCGCGGCAGCTGAAGAACACCACATCAATGGCAAAGCCTGCCTAGTCAATGCTTTCCATGAAGATCAAATGTAGATGCCTCCTTAATTTCCATGGATTTGTTTCCAGAAACTACACTTTTGGGACTTCGGGTTGCAGGCGCCTGAATAGTGCTATCCGGGAGAGGAGATACCAAGGCATCTTATGCGGGTAACCAGGCGCTAAGGTACGATCTGGTCCCAAGCGAGTTGAAATCAATTTTCAGGCTGGGCTAGGCCTTGTTCCCGGTGATACTTGTCACTTTGCTTGAGACAGTCTCATACTGTCTAGCTGATCTGGCTCTTAGACTCAGAGACCCCACACCGGCACACTTCATCTTCACCCCCCTTTTCCTATCCCAATATTCCTATCATCGACACATCACTTACACTATCCCGATTAACCTTGAGCAACAACTAGGGCTAATTTCAAGTGGCCTCTGTCTTGTCGCCCTCTCTCCGTGTCCCGCGTTGCCGGTCCCAACAGGTCCCGTGCTCTGGCGCGATCCACGCACCCGCTAACCCGATCGAGCTAGCGCCCCCAGCTCTCTCCAACATCTCGTCCTCACGTTCGCCTACCTTCGCGCCGGGTTGAGCTGCTCCTGGTATCAATATCAATCGCCATCTTGAGGGTTTTTTGTAGGTGGCTGACCCCTTCCTCTATTTGATCTTTATTATCTCTGCATTTCCTGCTCCCTCCCCCCCCTTCTATCTATCAGCTCACCCCTATCTGGACATTCCATCCGGTTTACCCGGCTTCGTCTTCTTTTTCTCGCCCCCATATGAGCCTGTGATGGGTCGCTTTGCGCTCTAATACAGTCCTGCGGCTCTTCGTGAATCTCTTGCTTGACACTGGCCTTGGCCAGCGATCTGTTTCAAATCTCTCTTTCTCCGCACCGCCCGCCGCGTCCCCGTGGAAATGGGGGTGTGCCCAAGCTCCGGGCCCACGGGCTCGATCGCCGCTTCTCTCTGTCTTCTTTATACCCCCCAATTACCTTGTCTCTTCTGTTTTCCGTAATCTACCTCCACCGTCATCCGTCGCTTTGTCGCTCTGCCAACCTTCTTGATCATATATTGACGATGCCAACCTCTTAGCTTCCTGCACGATCTGCGATAAAGTGCTTGAGAGCATCGGACAGCTCCGCCCGCTATTCGACCTATCCGGGTTCAGTCCTTGAGATCACTACCCGCAGATCCATTTGCGGCACGCGGAATATCGGAAGCACCGGGTCACCATGGATTCATACGAGGGGTATTCGTCCCCCAGACCCAAACGGGAGGGAGAATCATTTTCAGGAAGAACTCCAGGAGAGGACCACCGACGTCGGTCACCGGGTATGCTATTCAATGGACCTATGATCACTAAAGAAAGCCCCGTTGCTTACTGGATGCCAGCCTCCCAGGATCGCCGTCGCGGCCGTGGCCGTTCCCGTTCTCCTATGATTGACCGCTACGAACGCTCAGACCGTCGTCCCCGAGAAGACTTCTACAACAACTCTCGCGACCATGCTGCTCGGGAGCGCGAGGATCGCCGACGTGCACCGTCACCGACCGTCGCCAACATCGACCGCTATGTCCCGGGCCAGGACAGCGACAAACGCCCATTGCCAACAAACCCGCTTCCCAATCCTCTCAGCCTTGAATTCCAGGTCGGCTTCACTTGGTTCGGCGAATGGTGGAAAGGCGAACAACACGTGCACGAAGAGAAGGAGCGTGCTAAGCATGGTGGGCGCGCCCGATCAGACCGTATCAAGGGAGAGCGTGAAGCACGCGAGGACAAAGAGCGGCAGAGAGCGCAGATCCAGGCTGCCTACGACACATACAAGGTGGACCTTCAAATCAAATTAGCGCGGGCGTTCGTGCAGCAGCACCGACACGAGCCGTGGTTCAAAGAGCGCTACGTTGCTGAAGTACGAGACCCCCTACGCGCTCGTACAATGAACTTCCGCCGAGGTGCATATGAACAATGGGAGCGTGATCTGAACGGAGGATTGTTCGATGAGTTCACCCTTGAGGGAATTTACAAGAGCGAGAGTGACGGTGCCGGCGGTGTCGTCGAGAAAGAAGAAGGTGAGACCACCCCTGTTGGCGAAACTCTTGGAGTTCTAGACTTGCTCCCTGTGCGTGGAGGAGAGCTCCGCGATGATGCCTTGTCTCAACCTGCTCTGCTCATCAAGACCTTGGCACCCAATGTGAGCCGAGACAAGATTGAAGAGTTCTGCAAGGAGCACCTTGGAGAAGGCGACGGGGGATTCAAGTGGCTCAGTTTGAGCGATCCAAATCCCACCAAGAAGTTCCATCGCATCGGTTGGATCATGCTGCATCCTTCAGCGGAGACGGACAATGTCGTGGACCGAGGAGACGGTCGCGAAGAAGAAGCCGAGGACGCGGATCACGACCGCAACGGCGGTGTGACTGTCAACACAGCCGAGAGAGCTCTGGAGGCTGTCAACGACAAGACCATCAAGGATGCTGTTCATGGCGACTTTGTCTGCCATGTGGGGGTCCACGTACCTCCGTCACAGCCACGCAAGAAGGCCCTCTGGGATTTGTTCTCCTCTCCGGAGCGCATTGAGCGAGATCTTGAGCTGGCCAGCCGTCTGGTCTCCAAGCTGGACCACGAAATGGGTGAAGATGTGGATGGCTTCTCCAAGATCGAGGAGCGAATTGAGGATATCCGCGGCAAAGGCTGGCTGCAGCCTCCTGTGACTGGCCCTGTCAATGCCAAGAAGCCAAAGAATGGATACGATGACGCAGATCTCGACGAAGGCGAGATGGAGGAGGGCGAGGAGAAAGAAGCACCAGAGGAAGATGAGGTGGATGACGAGGAATTGCTAGCAAAGAAGAAGAAGCTCGACTTGATGGTGGAGTACCTTCGCCGAGTTTACAACTTCTGCTTCTTCTGCGTCTTTGAGTGTGACTCAATCCACGAGCTTGGCCGCAAGTGCCCGGGTGGCCACCTTCGCCGTCCTCGCTCTGGTCTTTCCAAGCAGGCCAAGGAGGTTGCCAGAGCCAGCGCTCTGGGTGATGCTTTCCCGTGCAAGAAAAAGGAGCCCAGCGAGGATGGAGAGGAACGGGGCTCTCCTGTTCAGGAGAAGCGGCCACAACGATTCAACAAGTCTGAACAGCAGTTGCAACGTGCTTTCAATTGGGTGAAGACCTTTGAGGACAAGTTGTTACAAATCGTGGAGCCTGAGAATGTCGACTTGCGCAAATTGGGCGGCAAGCCTGTGGACGAGGCGCTGGAGGACGAACTGGCCAAGTACGTGAAGCAGGAGGATGACTCGCGGTACCGCTGCAAGGTGCCAGAGTGCACGAAACTCTTCAAGGCAGATACCTTTTGGCGCAAGCATGTCGAGAAACGTCACGCGGAGTGGCTTGAAAGTATCAAGCGTGATGTAAGTCCCTTGTTTTGCCTTTTTTCTAATCTATCAGAAACTAACGTTTGCCTCGCAGCTCGAGCTTGTGAATACTTATGTCCTGGACCCTGCACGCATTGCCCCGTCGCGGTCCGATGCGAACAGCAATGGTCACTTCCCCCTTGCATCTGGCCAAGGCCAAGGTGGCACCCCACGTGGATTCAGCCTCTCCAACATGCCCCCATACGCTAATGCCATCCCCGGCGGGATCCCCGGCCCTGGGATGCATGGCTTCCCGGGCGCATCAGGTCCCTGGGGTGGTAACGCCATGGGTAGCGACGGTCATCGTCTGCACCAGCCGGGAGCCATGCGCCGCGGCGGAAACCGGCACAACAATCGATCCGGCCCATACGACCGCAGCCGCTTCAACGGCGGCGGCCGACTCAGCCCTGTTCGCATGGGCAACATGTACAGCGCCGGCGGTCGCCTCCCTCCGCCCGGCATGGCAATCCCAGCTGGACATCCTGCCGCCAGCATGGGTGCATCCAACCCCTTCCCCGACGCGATGGGAGCCGGCGGTGGCCCCCAGGCCATGCCCCCACGCGAAGCCGTGCAAGGCCGCAGCCTGAAAAGTTACGAAGACCTCGACGCCGTCGGTGGTTCTGGCGGTGGTGAACTGAATTACTAGTTGGCATTGCATTTATCTTTCAACCATTTACCCTTGAAATTTCCAGCAACTGTTCTCTATCGGCGTGAGTGGCGCAACGGCAAGGGTGGATGGGAATTTGTTGTGCCCTGTTTGCCTCTTCATATTGGTGTCATATTCTTTCAATTTGTCAATCTCTCGGGGTTTGAAGCACATTGTATCTTTCAGTGGGTGCTGCTTGTTTTCTGCCTCGAGTAGGCTTTCTCCCGGGTATTATTTGCACTTTTAGCTTGTACAATATCTTCATCGACCATCCTTGGAAAATGAATGACATTATTATCTTACCCATGGATGTGTATTTGCGTAGGGACTAAAGTAGAAGATGTAGTAAACTTTGGAATATAGCTCTTTCTGGCCATCTCTATTCGTACATTTCGGGGTATCTTGCTGGATAACTTTCTACGTTAATTTCGTCATGGCATCTGAATGACCACCTCCTCATTGGAATCCCTCCACTGAGCCTCCAAACCCCTCACCTTGCGTTCACTCGCCAGGAACAAGAGCAGATAAACGTGCATGGCAACCTCCCCCCATGCATAAACCTTGAGCAAAACCGACAAACCGCCCTCAGTCGATCCCCCGTCAGGGGCCCGATCGAGAAAACACCACACCCCCCAACCAGCACGCGCCTCAGGGCCAATAAACTCGGTCATAAAGTCCCAGAACCTCGCAAACAATTCTCCATTCCAGTAACGCTCGGTACTTGGATCGGTCCCAGTAGTGCCTGCAGGAAGCGGGTCCGGACGGATACCGATCTGCACGGCCCAGTACCCACGTTCGAGCTTGTCCAAATCCCGAACTTGTCTATAAGTGCGCGTCGGGTTCAAGCGGTCGACGAGCATGGATAGAGTTGGGGTGACGTGGGTGGTGAAAGGGGCAGTGGAGATTGGGGGTGGAGGGGGGTGAATTTCTACGGGGAGGGAATTGAGCAGCGGTCTGCGATCCTGGACGGAGATTGGGCGTGCAAATGAAATCGGAAGCGGGTGGGGGATTCCTTCGTTTGGAGATAAGCGAGTTCCCTGTGCAGGGACAGAAGTACTGTTGCATACTCCCGATTCATTGCGTCGGCGTTTAGGGAGTGGTTCTCCGCGTGGATCGGGTTCGTGCAGCGCCCGTGGCTGGGGATCGCAGGGCTGCGAGTCGGGAATGACGCTGACGATACTATCGAGGGAATCGGCCTGACTCGAAATTGAATCGCTGGGCCTGATCGGGGTCGAGGCCCTGGCTGATATCGCTTCGGGGGCGTGTGCGCGGTGGCAAGTCTCGTCGGACTGGTCTGCGGCCGGGCAGGCGACCTCTGCCACAGCTTCAGTTACGGGCTGCATGGCGCGGATGGCGGCAACCTGGGCTCGGTATCGCGCATCATCTCTGGCGCTGCTGGGGGCAGAGACATGGACGAGGATCTGGTCCATTGAGCCAGGATAGGAATAGCTCGATCGAGCTGCGATAACCGGCGTTGAGTATTTGTCACAGTGTAACGAGAAGCTCCGCGACTATTGATCTCTAGCTTGGCGCATCACGTCGACATCATGTACGAAGGACCCATGGAGTAGATGGAATGAAGAATGTGTCGGAAGGGAATCAAGTGTCTTGGTGTCTGGTTCCCACGTATCCGAGCCCTGTGTACTTGTCCGTAGGCGGAAGGGTGTTTGTGGAGCCGTGCGATTGCCCAATGTACTGCATTCTTAACTAGTCCGAGGGGAAATCGGCTTCGTTTCTTCATTGGAACTCTTTTGACTTCTTCACTGATTCCCCGACCCTTGACTCCAGGGTACCCCGTCGTCATAGCCCACGACCGTTAGTGCCAAGAAGCAGCCCGTTCACCCGCGATCCATCACATCCTCCACTTCGGACTCTTCTCAACCGTGCTGGATTTACCTTTCCACGCGAGAGAGGGTAAACCTTCACTCCTCCATCATGGCTGGCGGTGTTTATCCCATGGACCAGATGCAACATCTCCCTGGTAAGTCTGCGACGGACTGCGTGGACCCGGCGCAACGCCTCGAGCTGTCCGATCGGGCTTCCCCTATCCCGAAGCTTTGCTCCTTCACGTTCTCCCCTTTCCTCATTACCTTCATGGCTAACATGCTTGCGCCGGGGCGTCCCGCTGCACGGGAGGCCCGGTGCGACCCATTGCAGAACAACCCCCAACCCCGACAAAAGGGACGGGATTTGGCACGGAATTCTTCAAGATCTTCGGCAGCCAGCCCAAAAAGACCACTACCCGAGGTGCGTTGAACCGGGCAACACACGACACGCGATTCCTCCCCTCCCCTAACTCTCCTCCAGATGGTCAAGCCCCGAAACGTCGAGGCCCCAAGCCCGACAGCAAGCCCGCCCTGACTCGACGACAAGAGCTGAATCGTCAGGCCCAGAGGTAATGACCGCAATCGCCGTTGACCGTATTCCCGAACTGACCATTTGCAGGACCCATCGCGAGCGAAAGGAACAGTATATGCGAGCCCTCGAGACCGAGGTGTCGCGGTTACGGGAGGCCTATACCAATGAAATCTCCGATGCGAACGTCACGATTCAGAAACAGAAGGAAATGCTGCAGTTGGTCCGCGATGAGAATGAAATTCTCAAGGAAATCCTCGTCGCCCACGGAATTCAGTACGGAGATGAACTGGAGAAGCGCCGGTCTGAACGCCCACCTGTTGTGTACCGACCTAGCCCAGTGGCAGCCAGCAGCTCCGGATCGCAGACGGCCGGGTTCGCCCACTCTGCAAGCCAGCAGAACACCACGCCCGGCACGTCCATTTCAACAGGAATGAGCCCCAAGGTCACCGCGGTGGACCAACCCGAAGTGTCACCGCCGGTGGCATTCGCGCCGCAGCAGGTGTACCACTCCAGCTCGGCCGACCACTTCGGATCGCTCGATCGTTCCGCATGCCAGATGGCGGATTCCCCGGTGCCGGCCATGCGCGGTGTTTTTGAAACCGACCCACAGCTCCAGGTCGACTTTATCTTAACGTACGTCATCGGCCTTGTACCCTCGGAACATCAGCTAACCGTACACCACACTGCAGACTGGAAGGACCCTGCCGTGAACATACAGACTATCTCTGCCGCCGCTCAATAACCGAAGCCGACGACGAAGACATGCCGTTCTCCGGCCATGCATTGATGGCAACCTGTCCACCACCAAGCTACATCACCCGCACAACCCCCGAACAAACATACCCACACAAGACCTACGACCTGCCACTCGCCAACCTAAGCACGCTACTAAACCTGAGCCGCCAGCTCGTGACGGAAGGCCAGATCACACCGATCATGGCGCTGCAATGCCTCAAGAACCACGAGCTCTACACCACGCTCAGCCGCGACGACGTCAAGATCATCATCGAAACTCTCAACACCAAGGTCCGCTGCTACGGCTTCGGTGCCGTCGTTGAAGACTTCGAGCTCATGGATTGCTTGAGCAGCGTGGTCGGTACCAAGGTCGACGCCGGTGTCTCGCGGGTTCCTGACGACTCCATGTACGCGTGAAACCGTGCCTGCTCAATGATTACGAATTACAATGAAAATAGTCTGCGTTAAGGAGTGACCCGGTGTCACTGTTTCGGTCTGGTTGCGAACTATCTGTCTGGTTCTTGTTTTTTTTCTTCTCTTCCACTTCTACTTCTTCTTTTCCATTTCTTCTTCCACCTATTCACATTTAAACCCTGTGAGACTTTACTTCTCTTTGTTTTCTTTTCATTGGAGATGTATATACTGAAAACGGCCCTGGGTGAGCGTGGGCCCGCGGAGTTGATTTCTTTTGTCTCTTATCTTTTCTCTGTTTCCTGGCCCGGAAGGTCGGTCTTTCCACTGATATATTTTATTACTGTGTGATATATTTGACATTACTGTCCACTTTGATCAATTGATTTGACTCTTCCTTCATTGACATTACGAGGAGCAGGTATCAATTAGCACAGTACTTCGACTAGTCAAAGTGGTCTAAATCTAAATTGCCAATTGGAAGCTGATATGGCCCTGGGACCAAGTACGGGGAAAGTGGTAGTAAAGTCATAATGAGATCGTCACTCTTATCAAACTTTTGCGCATATGCACAGCAAAAGGAACAAAAAAAAAGACATAAGAATCTAACAGACGAAAAGCTTATAATCCATGGATATCTACTCATCAGCCTCATCCGACTTCTCCTCCTCGACCTCCTCAGCCTCAGCCTCATCGTCCTCCTCAAAGGTAGTAGCAGGAACGCGGTACAGGCGCAGGACAGACTTGTTTGGGTCCTTGATGAGAACGTACTTCTTAACGGCATCAGCAGGCTCCTCGGCATCCAGAGTACGGATACGGTCCACGACGGTGCGGACAATACCCCAGCCGTTGCCCAGGTTCAAGTTCATCTGGGTGGCGAACTCCTTGGGTTTGTAGCCCGCAACGCCGAGAACGACGTGGCCGGCAGCGGAGCGGGGGTTGGCGCGAGACACGAAGCCGAGCTTGATGCCATCGGCCTTGGCCAGGATGGCCTGGGTGGTCCAGCGGGCGAGCTTGCTGGAGTTGTTCTTCATCTCGGTGGCGATGACGGCACCGCGCTGGGAAACGAGCTTGGTGCGCCAGTCGAGGGCGCTGCCGGAGCCGGGGGCCTTGCTGTCGAACTCGTTCAGGGCCTTGATGACCAACTGCTGGTCGGGGCCGCCGGTGGGGTGCTTCATAACGGCGTCGACCTCGGTACGGACGATCAACCGGAGGGGGTCCTCGTCGCGCTCGAGGGAGAGGTCGAAGCGGCGGTACTTGTAGCCCTTGGAGGCGAGGGGCTCAGTCTCCTCGGCCTCGTTGTAGAAGGGGTTGGGCTGCGCGAAGGAGACCTTGGCCTGGTCAGACTCGGTCACGGTCTGCAGAGCGAAGTTGTGGTTGATGAAGGTGGCTTCCATGGCCAGAGCGCTAGGAGTGTTGATCTGGTCCAGCTTGCCAGAAGCCTCGGCAACCTCGAGGGGAGCATCGTAGGCGTTCTCATTAACGGTGACGAGGTCAATGGAGGCACCGGCACGCTTGTCGAGGTAGATCTTGTCGCCCTGGTGGACAATGACGATATCCCACGAGTACACACTGCGGGTAGCGCACATGAGCATGGAGAGGATGTCGGAGGTAGCGAAGACGGTGGCCTCGTTCTTCTCGGCCAGCTCGTGGATGATGGGGTCCTGGGAGGTGGTGACGTTGTAGGCAGCGCGGTCGAGGCTCTGAAGACGGCGCTCGTGGCCCTTGACGGGCGCGCGGTCGTACGAGCGGTCGTAGTAGTGCAGGAAACCGTAAGAGTCGAGGTCCTCACCATCGGGGGTGTCGAGGTTCAGCTTAGACAGACGATTGAAGTCAACCTCCTCCAGCATCTGCCACTCAGGGCGAATGTTAACCGAAGGCTCACGGGTGCGCTGGGGCTTGTCGTAGTCCTTCCATCCGAAGCGGCGGCCACCACGGCCACCACGACCACCCCGGTTGTCGTAGTAGCGGTCATTGCCACGGCCACCACCGGCACGCTGGAAACCACCACGGCCACCACCACGCTGAGCCATACCGCCACGCTGGCCACGGCCACGGAAAACGGTGCCGCCGCCGCGGCCGAATGTACGCTTGGCCGAGGTGCGAGTGTTGTCGACAACGGAGAACGAGGACTCATCTTCGGCAGCAGCGACAGTGAACAGGTTGGAGGTACCGGCACCGTACACCTGTTGGTCTAGTGATGAAATAAAAAAAGTCAATGCGGGTTCATGTGTCGATCGCCCCGGGGAGGGGCAGCACAAAGCAAAAGCACGCAAAAGAGATAAATCCGATGCTTACCACGGAAGTTCCGGTTGTACTGCTGGCGACCCTGTCGGTCACCGGTCTTGGACTCGGCAGTCCAGTCGGCCATGCGGCCCAGCTTGTCGCCTTTAGAGAAGGGAGCGTAGGGCACGCCGTTGAGCATGTTGTCACCTCCGGTGACAGGACCCCAAGAGTCCTCAGCCGGAAGGGCAGCCACCAGTTCGGCGATCGAAGTCGGAGCCATTTTGGAGTTGTGAATGGGCACCGTGGGAGTGTTGGCGTGGGGTGTGGATTATCGGCGGGAGTTTTTTGTGTCGCGAGGCTGTGGCTGGTGCTCACCGCCCAAGCCACATTCCATGTCACGTGACCAAACGAATAAATGTATCGGAGATCGGATATATAGATTATCCGATGGAAACGTTTCTTATAGTCATTTCCCATACAAATTGCCAGATTCGGGGATATAGCAATACAGGTTTCATTTCGGAGTTACGATCCAGGCACTATCATGTCTCGTATAAAGCAGTCTACCGGACACAAAAGCGATTTTAGCAAAACGCCACTCATGAGGAAAGGCCTCGTGCTGGTCGACTACGCAAGACTAACGAGCAAACAAAGCGATACATTTCTCGGATAGCTAGAAAAAGATCCCCGAATGGGGCTTTAACACGATTCTAGCAGAAACTGCGGATGGTGAGCACCAAGGTGTATCTCACTCCCCTAGTAGACGAACCCTTAGAAGCTCTAGGTAAGAAAGTGAGAAGCAAAGAGGCGGGTATCACAAAATCGCGATTGTGATAAAACGTGCCCTGCTGCGAATGGTCGAATATATATGACTGGGAGAATCTTGTTTATGACGAATGCCCAGTCCAACGCGGATGAAACTCACCAGTTGAATTCGCCATATGCGTACGAATAGAATGAACGTTGGCTGAGTTTCATGATCTCTCCCACCACGCCCTCTTTCTTCGTTTTCTTTTCTTTGCCGTTTTCCCAATACTCAGTTAAAGCCGATTACCCTTGATCCACTGGATCGTATTTTCACTTGAGCCGCTCTTTTTTCCGCATCGTCCATCTACGTCTGATTCAAAGAATCCATCGATATCCCGTTGAGACTTTCTCCGTACCGATTCAGCCAGCGATCCCATAGCCGCATCTGTGGGGGAATTAACAAGGCCGTTGGGTATCCACCCTTTGCTAAAGAGCCAGATGGTCTGTAGGAGACTTCTAAAAAGCCCATTTGACTTTGGCAATGGGCCAAATGTATGTCGGGAGCAACGTGGGCAGCCGTGTCCGTCAACGGACTGATTCCACCTCATTCTATTACGCCTGCGACTCTTGTAGCCCCCAAGACAGCGTCCGCATCTATTGCAAGAAACACAGTTTGAATCTTTCGCGGTCACACCGCACCCACGGCATATGGAATAACAGCGCTCATTGGTGAGAATGATGCGTCCCATTCGGTAAAGTTCTCCATGATAAGTCCGTTGCCGTTTCAATTTATTACCTAGTTGGTGACCCCAGTGCCACATTTTCAAGCCGCAATCAAGGCAAAAACGACTGCCGAGCTGTGCATGTCGAGCTACTCGATTTTTAGGATATAGCTGGTCATAAGAGAAGCATTTCCGGTGGCGAAGCCTTAAGCAATACGAACAAGCGTAGTAGTCAATGGATCTGGACGAATTAACACTCGAATGCATCGTGAAGGGGTCGGCAATTGCCTTCTGGGTGAGACTTGCTCGCGCCAGGATTCCCGTTGGCTAAGCAGCATTCGCCGCTCTTCTTCCGTAAGTGGATCGGCTTGCACAATGGTGAGGTAATAACCGTTTGTCCGCGACAAGGAGAAAGATGAAGCAAAGTCCAGGTTTGCAATCACTTGAAGTTGCAGTTCCACTGGTAGTCCACCGATTACCTCCGGAAGAATAGCTGAGTCCTCCATGTTGATCCTAATTTTTATGATTCTGAATATGGGAATCCACTGTAATTATATGATTTAAGTTCTAACGAAATTTCCCAAGGGTGACGTGGGTGTGAGCGGTATATCGCACCCGGTTTGGGTCGGGATGTGTACTTGGAAGATCGTCGACTGACTGATTGACTAGAAGTGCAGGAGAGTCGTAGCAGAGCTCAAAAAATCTCATCTTATTCATCTAACGAGCAAAAAGCTATTCTCTGGATGCAGTCCTTCTCAAAAGCCGCGATCGAGGCAGAATCGACAGTGACCCTCGCATTCTCGCTATAAAAATTTTCTGTATCTATACTTCGACGATTCCAGGTTTGATTCTTTGATAGTTGATGGCTTATCTGCTTAGGCTTGTGCTTTGATATCTCGTTATCTGTGTTGTAGAGAGTCGAATGGTGTCGGACGCGACCCCCGGAAGCCCCAAGGTCTCAGCTGCGTGCCCGATTTTCGGCCTTTGACACATTGGTAGCCAGATAGCCACCCTTTCAATTCCTTCACGTAAAGCAGTTCTCCCTCGCAGAGGTCTGATCAGAATTATACGTCATGATGACACTATGCAAGGCTTGGAAAGTCACAAGACAACGGATGAACATCGCTTCGAGAATTGACAGTGCCTGGACCGAACTCTACCACGATGGCGGGCCGAGAAGGGTGAAGAAAATCGATCAGCAATCACCAGTGCCAGGCTTATCATGACAACATAAGTTCGGATAGACGTTGGCTCCGACTCCACGATGTTGCATGCACTTATGACAAATTAGTGGATGCTTAAACACCCGAGATCGACAGTGCAGATTCGACAAATGCAACCCAGGAGCTCTTGTTCCTGGGGGATCAGCCTCTTGGCAGGGCGAGCGCTAATTTGACTGGACAATTGATCCGCTAATAAGCAACCTCCCAAAAACGTGAGAAGACGAACCGAACTCTCGCCTCGAAGACCATTGGCCTCAGACAGGGGGTTTGGAGGACCTGAGGTCATAGGCCTGAATTCTGTTGTAACGTGATCAAATTTGGGCCATCGGTGATCGACCGCCAAGATGGGTCGCTTGGGACTTGGCAGGGGACAGAGATCGTCGCGGGCGTGATCTGTGGAACCGGCATTCTACTACCCGACATCCTCCTGCGCGTGTTTTCTGTCTACAGCTTTGGTCCACTAGTCACCGATTGTGTCTCCCCGAATGGTCGGTGGTTCTATCTAGAGTTTGTGGAGATCCGGTTCGTCACAAGGGATATCTTGTTAGGTAACACGTCTGCTACAGCTCGCACTCGGATGACTCGAGGATCTGAACTGGCTGATAAGAGGCATTCACAGTATAAATACCTTGGCCATGGAGATAAAGAGTGCGTTAGGGGTCTGGTCGAGAAAGCTATATAGGGCCAACGAAGCCAGGGGTCCAAGAAGTATCAGCTCGCAATCTCACTCTTCATCTATCACAAAGAAACTCCATTCTCCTAGGGTGGAACCATTGCTCTCAGTTGCTCAGCCCCGAAGAAATATATCGACTTCGCATGGCCTCGAATGGTATATATGGCGCGAGGAGACATTGTGATGTCTTTGTGGATGTACATTCGTTGAGGAGCAATGCTGCACTATCCAGGCAGCCAAGTTTCCGAACAATAAGCTCCGGTCTGCACCGCCCCCACTTTCCCAAGTCCCGAGATCGAACCTCCTTTGTAGTCTCCGGCAATCCCCAAACCCAATTTTGTCATTCACACTGCATATTAGCAAACATGCAAAAATCAAACAATCAAGACTCCAAGCCCTCGCCCGAGACCACAACACTTGGCGACAGCAATACCATAACACACTGCAGCTTACGCAACACCGCCGTCACCACGTCTTGGGCGAAGCACTGCACCTTCGAAGACTGCATGCTGGCACAAGTGCGCTCAGCACACAGATCAACAGGACGGAAATCACATTTCCATAATGCGGACTCTCTCAGTCGCAGCGACTTTGTCGATAGTGTTATTCGCGACCGGAGCTCCGTGAGCCGAAGTGCACTTAAGGCTTCGACGGTGCGCGACGCGAGCGTGCTGGAGCGGAGCACGGTTTCTGGATCGGTCTTATCGCACGGTCAGGTATGGAGATCTGCGTTGAGTGACTGTGATGTTGAGGAGTGTTCTATCTCGCGCTCGGAGTTTAAGGGGATGATTCTCAAGTACGGTGTTTGGAAGAAGGGTCAGCTCGTGGGGAAGATTGGGAATAGAGAGCCCGTCATGATTAAGAAAGATAGCCCGGAGGCAGCAGTGAGTGCTTCTTTCCGTTTGACGTTAGTATCGAAGTAACACTGACGCTCGTAGCAACTTGTGGATCGGCGTGCTTCCTTCGTTCCCGCTGTTCCGGAGATGGATTCCAAGCCTCGAATTCCCATCGACCAGCAAACCCCTCGCCACATTGACTCGGACTTCAGCCCAGATAGCGAGGACTCGGATCATTCGGAAGATTTGCCGCCACCATACAAGGTCTGATTGAAACTTGTATCTTTGACGGGGCACGAGGAAACTGTGGAGGTTGCGGGGACTTGGTTCTACTTTTGATCTCCATAAGTACTCCAGATTCTGTTTAGTGAGTGTACTTGAGCAAGCGATTGATTCAAGAATATCTGGTTACAAATTGCATAAGATTCATTCTAGGGTCAATATGGACATATAATAAATAGACGGAAACGCGTAAACACTATCTAGAAACAACCTCTCTAAAACTAGTCACTGGTGGTGCCCGCGACAACGTATTGCTTCTCCGTCTTGAGCTGGCTGAGGGTACTTTCGCTCAAGTTCAATGTGTCAGCGACAATCTGGCGCGGCGTAGACGCGATCCACTGCCCGAGGGCCACATCTAGAAATAAATCAGTCACGACACCTGAGAATGAGAACAGAGGAAAGTATCAATTTACCGGTAAACTGGGGCGCTTGAAGCACTTCAACGAACACCAAGTCCTCATCACCAGTATTCTCAACATAGTGACTACTAGACTGCGGGAAGTATGCAATGTCTCCACTGCGGTAATCGAACGTCGTCGCATCATCGGGAGCCGTGAACAACGTTGCACGCCCCTGTCCCCTAATGAAGAAAGTCCACTCATCACTAGTCGTATGCCAGTGAATCTCGCGCATACCACCAGGATGCACAGTGACAACGGCAGCGGAGAAGTTACTGGCAATAGGGAACGTCTGAGGATCGATTATCTTAACGGATCCACCGGCGACTTCGTGAGCTGGCTGCTCGGAGAAATGATAGGAGTAGCTCTCCGTACGAGGGATAATCCCGGCCGATGTAGTCACGTTTTGCTTCTCAATGTCCTCGGGTGCTGGTGTGCCCTTGAAGATGAAGAGTTCGTCATCGGGGATTTTGTCGAATGCTGAGATGGAGGTTCCTAGGTTTTTGGCCAGGACTGATTTCGGAGTGTGAAGGAAGACTTCTGTGGCGAGGAACGTGTTGTCCTCGTCGAAGTCACCCTGGTCGAAGACAAGAAGGAACTCGACGCCGTCGTCTAAAGCTTGAATGGAGTGGGGGATGCCCCTGACAGGTGTTAACTTGTTTGGCGATATTGGAATAAACCGAGAGGGGGCTTACGCTGGGAAGAACCAAACGTCTCCGGCTTGCACATCATCAATGAATGTCTCGCCGTGTTCGTTCACGGCCTGACAAAGTTGTTAGCAATGGCCCAAAATTTCAAACAAGATGGATGTAAATACTTGGATTCTGCACGAGCCGTTGAGTACAAGGGCCCACTCGGCCGCAAGATGCCAGTGGAGTTCTCGGTAGGCAGCTGGTTCAAGTCGCATGTCAACGCCGGCCATCTCGGTGGCATCTGGCATCACTACGGTGTTTTCTTGGCGAGCCCAGCCAGCATTGTCGATTCCGAGTCTTCAAAAGATTAGTGATGTTCCACAGGAGACAACAAGGTGTTTTACCTGTTACGACTCAATCCTGCCATTACCGTTAGCATCTATGGACTTTCTTGCAGAGGAGGTTCAACACCAACGTACCCAAAGGCCATTGTGCGTTGATGGTTTGGCCATGGTCAGTTCCGGGAGGTGCCAGCTTGTCACTATTAATTCGATCATAATAATAGTTGCCTGCATTCTAAATGAGCATATAAACATTGAACAAATATTAGCGAACTTACGAGGGCCCGGATCATCACCGCCCTTAGAGCCTCGAATTGGCTGAGGGTTCTCAACGTTCTCGAAATCGAGGTAAGTCCCAATGTCAGCGTTTTCCTTCTGTCCTGGCAACAAGCTATACTTGATATCAGGCTTTAATCCGGTGGCGATATTCTCAGAAGGTGAATAACCAGCCAAGGACGCGGTTCCTCTCATTGGAGAGTTACCATCCCTGCGAGTTGGTGCACCACTGGCAAGAGGAAGGAAGACAGGGAGCAAGCATAGAGCCTGTGACAATGCTTCGAGCTTCATATCGGGAAGCGTCGTGGATAACAACCGAAGAAATATGAGTAATTGGACTTTTCCCAAAGCTTGAACTGAGCCCTGGCCGAAGAAATATGAGTAATTGGTCTTTTTCCGAAGCTTGCACTGAGTTCTGGAAGTTTCCTGATGATGTGCCCGTGGCCTTCTTATACACAGTAGATGTACTCGCCAAGAGACCGCCAAGAATGAGACCCATATGGATCCTCGCATAAAAGTCTTCCCCCATACCCCACATACTACGTGAAACTTGCATAGGTGGGGATGAATACTTTTTCCCCCACCGGGGAAGCATGTGGATGTAGGGGGTGCTTACCTCCTGCAGCTCGGCAACTACGCTTACTCGTCCGATCTATGTCTGAAAGGTTCGAACCCCGAGGAGACATGAAGATTGTGCCGTGCATTCATTCCCCGCTCCAGATCATCGCAAATATTGGAAGCAAAAATAGCATCTCGACGGCCGTGCAACAGCCGACTAATATGCATAGATATGTACAGAGATTGCGATGCATCAAAACACGGGGATCCGGGATTGGTGTTGCCTGCATAGTTTGCTGTCAACTCGATCAAGACTTGCACCTTGCAACCAATGTATTTCGACCCCTTGATGACTATCCCCAGGGCAAGCCGACCTTTACAAAAGCGGTGGGCTCGGGTAGGCGGCTAAATGCGAAACTTGATTTCAAGATATTTTTAATTCCTCCAATGACGTTAGATAGGCGGGTGCGGGGACCACCTCAATATTAAGGTCAGTTAAGCTCCACCGAGAACCGTACAATATCAACATAATTGATGCAACCTGAGGAATCCCCAAAAAGTACAAATGCAACCTGAGGAGTCAGCAAAGAGAACACCGAAATAATACGTCATTTACACATGATAGCTTCAACAAGACAGACATCACGATCGATCTAATTTAGATTTGTGCAAAGGTACATCTAATGGTGCAGGCTGTTATAAATAGCGGGCGGGGTGACGGGAACTGCAGTGGCCATGCCATGCTTCCAAAGCCAAAGCCGACTTGAGCCAATCACATCAACAAACCGACTACGCTAAATCTCGGGTATGCGAGTTGGACGATGAAGACTTGGTCGTCGCTTCTTCTCGTTTCAAGGTTCTCCGCGTGAGGGGAGGTTCGGGCCGGCCATAAAAGGCAAATCCTGAGACTAACACCAATCATCCGAGCCAGATTTCGCTTATTTTATCTGGTCCATACAATTTTACATTTCTATTGGAGGACTGGCCGAGGGGACTAGAATGATGGGAGGGGAAGGTGCGAGTGGCTCCCCTATCAGGTGGATGCCTCTGCTACAGCTCACCACCCATGACATGGAGCTAGCATGGATGCGAATGAGCAAAGACGGCAACTAATGAGGAGAGAGGGGTCGGTTACATCTAGATGATAAGCGAGTTAAATATAGAAAAGGCGGCATCGACGCTCCCGCGAGCCCGCGCATCAATACGACCTGCATTGGATGTGGAGGTTAGACGTATCATGTACTGGATAGCTTCGCATGCATGAAGCTTTTACTGATAAAGTTAGTACCTACAAGCAGACATACGAGTTGGAATTGAATTGGTTGCAATCCTCGGGATTTTTGAACTCGGATCATCGTCGCCCCCTTTTTAGGAACATTAGAGGTGTTAATCGAGCGAATCCGGTAATTTCATGTCCTTCGGGGCTTACAGGGGCGATGCAGTATGGAAATGGTGGAGGTTGGCGAATGCATAACCTGAATGTTGATACGGGATAGGTGCAAGTTGTCGCCGATGAGATGATCGATTAAGTGTATTCGACTTTCGCGACATTATTGATAGCCGACCAAGCATGTCCAAGCTTCTTCAGGAACCTCTGTAAAAAGAACATCTTGAAGATTCTACCTCATGCTGTGTGCACAAACCAACTTCTTCACGCATCGCCTTGATTGGATGACATGGAAATTCCTGCCTGCACTTCTATAGAGCGAAGTAAGAACTCGTAATAATTGAGAAGGGAAGTAATTAACGATGACCGATTGGAACTAATTATTTTACGACACTTTCAGGCAAACCTCAATTCTTAGTTGTGAAGGTTGAGTCTCACTCAAGAGACCTCGTTCTTGATTGGCACAACTAATTGAATTTAAAGCCTACTGGATGAGGGCAATGATCATTTCGCCATATTGATTGACTTATCCTTGGAAGAGAATTTACATAGAATTGTGTCCATGCCTACTTCTCAAAATCATTGTGGTCAAGGGACGCCCCAATCTCCACTGTCATCCGTGGGCTGAGGCTCTTCAATGGGCATATCGTGAGCTGGCTCATCATCTGTGAAATGGAGAACATTGGCATTTGGATCCGATAATGTCTCATTCCAGAAGTGTTGCATACCCTCGCAGAGACCAGTGATATTCTGCCAGGAGCTAAACACATGCTCCAGGGTACACGTGACTGTCGTGGCCTCCTTCCAATAAGGCTTTTCAACATCATACCCAAAGCGTCGGATGACCTCCTCCGGTCGATTCCACAGTCTGTTCGGTTCACCATCATACCGTTGTGTTTTCTCCAGAAGATCTGTAGCAGCGTTGAACTTTGGGTTTGAGGCGTGAAGGAAGAAGATGCGCGGAGCCTTTGCAATGGAGGGATTTTTGACGCGCCATTTGCTTTGACTAGTAAGATTATAGTCCAGCATAGGATCGGCCTGTGCCATTGCAGAGAATTGGTTGGTCCCCCAGTCATCGTAATTACGTTCAACAGCGACTACAGGCTCGCTGACTGTGTAAACATCCGCGCCGAGGGCACCGGCCGCCTGGACAAAAGTGTCCTTGTCGCCTTGGCCGTACGAACCTTGATCCAGCAAAGGCCAGTAATAGTCCGGGCCGTAGTAGTTGTAATAAGTAGCCAGGAGAAGCGTTAAGAAATGGTTTCGTTTAGAGATAAGCATTATTCCGGACTCGGTGGACTGGCGAGCCGTCATAGGAAGCTCTGGCTGTCGAGATATGTTGAAATATAGAGCAGATGCGGTATTTGCCCAAAAGTCAGGCCAGGCTACCAGGCCCCTTGACGAGAAGGGGTCTGAATCCAGCAGAATTTCTGGGTCATGGAGGGGGAAACAGTCGGCATCCATCCAGAGGAAGCTTTCAAATGATGATAGCAGCATCGCAAATGATTTGATCTGGAAGTGTTCCACCTTGATGGCTTCATCATTCCGGTCATGAATCAGGTCCAAAATCTCTCCGAGCACCTTGCACTTGGCGCCGAGAGCCGGTAGGGCCACCTCACAGATATAAGGCTCATATTCATGCCAGTCGGTTACAAAAACCTCCACAGGCAATTTGCATCCAGTCCGTCGTAGCATGCGTAGAGACGCCATAAAGGTAGGCATGTATTCGCCACCGGCAGATGAGATGATGCCTCTAGTGCCGTTATTATAAGGACGGTCTCTCAGGGTTTTAATTGCTGCGACAAATCCATCGTGTGCCTTTTGCATAGGCCCTTGTAATTCATCGGTATTGATGATGAGGCTGGGTCGAGGCATCGCATTCACAGCATCGAAGCCGATGCCATCAACACTCCCAGGGATGTTAGGCGGAGGACATGGAGGCGCATGCTCTTCAATCTGCGTATAGAGATTCCGCAGAAAAGCTGCCTGGCGATCTTCCAGTGACAACGGAGCTGAAAAGTGGGCTTCAGGCTCTTCAGGCTTCGAACCTGTCTCATTATACCCCGCAATTGTCGGGGATTCCTTTGAACTCGAGTCGGGGAGGCTGATTTGCAAGTGCGCAGGTGCAGTCCACAGGTCATTTCGGCGATTCCACCCGAAGAGATAAAAGTTGGCCAGTAGGACAGCGGCCAGTATAATCACGATGGCTCGTCGACCAGGGCGATGCTGCGGGAGTCCATTCATACCCGCAGCCTCGAGAGTGGCACACGTTCGACAAGTGAATACTCAACGCGGTTGCAAAATTCACGCGCTGCTCAGCTCGCGGCCCGTGGGGGCGGCCCCGGTGGGGAATACAATGGCCACAACCTCGATGAAGATGCATTCGGACCCTATTCTCCTCTTTCACTTCAAGTTTGCCTTCGAGATATTCTCTTTATGTATTTACATCTTCTCATGGAATACGTATCCAATCTTCCCGGGGATACTTTCAACACGCTTTCCAAGGTTTATGAGGTCCAGGGTCGCGGTGCCCCACATCCGAGATTTGGCCCCCAAAGACCGCACGGGTTTGTTTTCAGGGGCTCTACAGAGATACGACAGCACATATTTACCATGGCTGAATCTACATTGTCGCCGTGGTAGGCGATTTTTATTATAGCACCGGGGCTACTTTTCAAGACAGATGCGGCATCTATGCTTGGGGAGCAGAACAGCCAATGACCAGGGGCCTGACAAGCTACTGGATCATAGGATTTCGAAGGATTACATGAATCCACGCTATATTATTCCCCTGACCTCCACTAGGCTTATCACGATGTGGCAGGGTTACAGTATTGCATTTAGAGTAGTGCCGCCATCAAACTCTGTAAACGCCCGAGTATGTAACGCAGAATGTCATGTAATCTGCCCATACCAAATATGCTGAATCTTCTCCACCACTTTCTTATCTGCGTACTTCTTGCTTCGTAGCCACGCTCCAGGCTTGATAAAGTACGGTGTTTCTCTCGCATACAGTGGGATCATCAACGACAGCAACTCATGCATGCCATCGATGCCCTTCAGTCGGTTTAATCCCTCGATTTCCAACGGCGGTTTCTGATAGATGAACTGAAGTGCCAACGCAGCCGATGCTGCCATAATAGGCGTCGCGATGGAAGTTCCTGACCGACAGCTGGTCGGGGCTTTCTCTTTGCTACCATGTCGAGTCCAAGGCCCAGTGACATTCACGCCAAGGGTACTGAGCCCTTTCTTGTGTTCATGGTTTGGATTGAATTTCTGAAGGTCACCCTGGGATGATGCAGCGAAGACGGGAAATACCATCATCGCCCTGGCGGGATATGTCACCGAGTAATCGTCGGTCGGGCCGTTGTTGGAAGCTGCTGCGAAGATAAAGACTTCTCGAACCATTGTGGCCTTTTTGATAGCGCGTTCCACCGATTCCGGTATGTTTTTAAATCCCAAAGACATGCTTATAATATGAACGCCCCAGTGGTCGGGATCACTAGCGTAGTCGATGGCCTCCAAAATCAGCCTCTCGAAGTTGCCATATCAAGGGAATATGTGCATACCTTTGCCACAGCGTCGGGATTACCAATTTTGCCATCGTCATCAATCACGCGGGCTACGTAGACCTTCGCGTTGGGCGCAAGACGCAGAAGTAGCGATGCAGCATGAGTTCCGTGCCCATGTGCATCTTCATCTCCTTTCTTCCCCGGCAGAAAACTTTTGCATTCTTCGACTATCTCACGTCGAGATTTAGTGCTTCCCTTGCGATATTTCTCATCGAAGTAGGGATGGCCGAGATCAATCCCAGTATCCAATATGGCGATCCGAATTTTGTCATTGACTTTGGATTGCGGCATCCATGAATGTACAAAGGTCTCGATTTCTCTCAACCACCTCTCGGATGACATATCCCTAGTTGTTGGGTGAGCTCAACTTAACTCGTAGACTGGTGCCTAAATCCCAGAAAAACATACCGTTCATCTCCATCTTCATTGTGACAGATGGCCCCTTTCTCCAGCTGAATAACTGGCTGAATAACTGGCTGGATAACTGGCTGGATAACTGGCTGAATCGAGGGACCGCACGAACCAGCACGGGACCGTGTTCTGTCCGTGATAGGCTTGGCTTTGCTTGGCTTTGATTTGGTACTGTTTAAGCTTCTCACACGCCTGAGACCTTCCTGATCAGGAGGCTTTAGTAGTTGATCGACTGGATAGCGGGTCAGCTATTTTCTGACACAACCTGCATGCGGTGCATTTCACCTGAAGCTTGCGAAAGATTTTTCGGCTTACTTTCTGCTGATTTTGATTTTCCCTGTTGTACATTTGACTTTTGGTCTGTTGAAAAGTTCGTTAGAAGATACCGCGCGCGTGCAAGTAGGGTTAACTGACTTGGCAGTTTAAACGCTTTGTGATTCACCAATTCTTGGGAGCCCTTCTCTTTTGCTGATTCTGGAACGGCTGATGGTGTTTTTGAGATCTTTGATGGTGTTTCATCCTTGGCTAAAGAATCTTTCTTCTTGGTTGTCGTTTCCTGATGTTTCGAGGATGTGGGCGGTTGCAATTCTGGTGCGCTTGAGAGTTTCTCGGACAAAATCGCACGGTCCTTTGCTTCATTGGCCGCACATTTCTTCAGAGTATCTTGAACCATCCTGATACCCGCTCTCACCATTTCTTGAGCTTCATGTGGAAAATGCTTTGCAGCCATCACGTATAACGTTTTCTCCAGCAAGATGAGTGCCTGATGGTGCTCGCCCACAGAAGACATCTCCATTGCTAGAGTGCACTTAGTCTGCAAAGTCCATTCATGCTCCAGGCCGTAGTACGGTGATTCGAGTACCTTCAAATTGGCCTGTAGCAATGACAAAGCTGCTTCGTGCTTGCCTAGCTGGGTATTGTTTGCAGCAAGAGTTTCTCGCAACATGAGAAGATTCTCATCAGTGGGTTTAAGGAGCTTCTCCTGCTCATTCAGAACTTCAGAATCCAGATCAACGCATTCTTCGAGGTGACCAAGTTGTTCCAGACACCGCGCCGCCCCAATTTTGAGCTCCAAAAGAATGGGGTCGGCTACTCCCCCAGGATAGGTCTCGAGAAAAGCCAGTCTTGCAGCTGTGTAGCAGTCAAGAGCGCCCCCGTAGTCTCCTTTCCCCCACAATTTTTCAGCATCCCGGGCGGGGCCTGCATAGTCATCGTGTCCTGCCATCGGTCCGAGTATGAGAGGTCACATATCAAAGTCGGGCTGATCTTGAGGACTCCCTCGTGTCTTTGCAATAAGAGTAGTCTAGGTGTGATTTATGAGAGCATTTTCGCGATGCGATATATGAACCGAGGATGCTGCCAGAGACGACGCGTGCGGTGCGGGGTGGTGGATGAGGCGCCGCAACAATTTGCAGACTCGCTTACTCACATTAGGCTTGGGCTTGAGGTTTAGCTCCTCAGGAATTATTACTTAAAGTACACCTTCTAGTTCACTACTTCTTCAAACCCTCTTATGGAGGCCCGAACTGTTAAATTAATCCACCAAATAACTCCTTCGGTTTGTTCATCTGCCCGTTGACTTCGTTCATCACTGTCAGAACACTAGGAATAGTGCTTTACGTCATGTATTTCCCAATATATTGTACTATGATGATACCTGGGTGTCAAGGCAGTAAGTAGATAAGAAACTACAAATAATGGCTTTCTCAAACGTGGAGACGCTTATAGCACAGGCATATTCCTTTACTCTGAGCTCTCAACGGATAAATGATAACACTCACACTCCTCACCATCTTCTTCATCCACCGCTGACCAAGGCTGACCGAGCTCTCGCAGGTCGCCTTTCTTCAAATCCTCATCGGCAACCCCATCAACGTTAAAATCATCCTCGAATTCCACCACATCTTCTTTATCCCTGAAGATAGGCAAGTCTTTCTCCATTCCATAAGCGGCACCCTTCGTATAATCCTTTGTTTTGATCACCCCACTTTTCTGACTGTAGTATATCTCCCTGAGGCGATATGCGAAGACGAAATCACTCGAGTCTGAGAACGCAGTGCCTTCACTGTTCGAGCTCGAGGGCTCTAACATTGGCCCAGCTTGTATCGGTATCCCCAAAGACGTCAAGTCAGCCCCTATCTTCAGCTTCATCCCTTTCTTCTTGGATAATATGGTTTTGATCTTTGCTCCTCCGATAGCTGTTTTGATGCCCGTGATCATGTACAGATTCTTCTCATAGTTCTGCTGAGATAGAGTCTTCAGTGCCTCCGGCTGACGAATGCTTTCTTCGATATACTCGATCGTTGGAATGATGTATTCTGTATCCAATCGCGATAGGTACATGTAGGAACTTTCGGATTGAGAGCGATTGAAGCCAGCTTCGCCTCCAAGCATAGAGAGGCCTAGGAATTGGGACCATACCCCGTATTGGCCGCTCGATTCTTTTTCGATCAGGGTCTTGAACGCTGTTTTTGAAGATCGTAGTACCACAGGGGGTGAAAGTCTTGATACCGTGTTTATTGCGCTCTCGGGGTTGAACGGCGAGGTAATGATCCGTCCCAACTCAACTGGGCCATGTGGCGGGCAGTCAAAATTGGGCATCAGAATGTATGATTTCTTCATTCCTTTTGATTTTCTCGAGATCGTTCACGGTGGCTGGATTGTTGATGGTCGGATTTTCAATGCAATCAGTTCTCTATTAATCCCCCCTCGGCAGGAATTGACCCCTCGTTGCGGCCAAACACTTTTCGCGATGGAAAAAGTAAGAAAAAGTACCAATCCCGCGCGGGGTCGGCAAGGTTGCCTTATCACGAGAACCTGTGTCACAGGTAACGAGGCTGACGCCTTCGAGTATTCAATGCAGTCATCCTGCATGACGGCGTTAGCCTTGCGACAAGCCAATCAAAATGCCCTTCAATTGCTCTTGGGTTGCGGCGTGAACAAAAATATGTGGAGCTGAAGGGTCTAGTGTATCTAATCTTCGTAAATCCAAGCGAGTTGTGGGATAAATACGCGGAATCTGCCGCACCTGCATAGAAGGAACGTAGTCTATTCGCCGGCACGTACGTATTAAGGTCAATCGATCCGAGAAATTATATGACTCCTGTCATGTTTTGTACCCCGCTCGCTTGGGTTCCTGCTATAATGTATTAAAAGAAAGTAACCCGCAGCCTGAACAGATTTACTTGACGGTATGTCTGAGCCAGCAGGGAATGGCACCTCTGGTGCAAGAGCTCACCCAAACGATAACCCAGGCGACAACAACATACGTGACTGCCTTTCTCCTTGGCGGTAACCAGGCCTGGCCTACCGTGAACTATGTTACCCAGACACTGACCTACCCCTCTACAACGATCGTCGAGGTTAATATCGCGTCCACTCCGACCAGCTCGCTGTCGCCTTCCCCAAGCGCCCACGGAGGACTCACGGGGTCAGCAAAGGGCGCTATTGCTGGGTCTATTCTAGGCGCTTTTGTGGCTCTGTTTCTTTGCTGGTTTTGTTGCTTTTGCTGCCGCGCGAGACCATCGTACTATCCGCCATCCTATCGATCAACTGGAACCAGACACCCTTCCCCTAAAGGTTCTCTGAATGAGCCATCATTCTCAGAGCATTACCCTGATCCATACACGGGAGGCTCTTATTTCCGGCCCGATCTTTTTGTGGGTAAGAACGACGAATTAAAAGAGCCTGTTGGGGAGCCCAGTCAATCACTGTTAGAGATTCCTGTATCAGAGTCCAAGCAGCCACACAAGGGGATTTTAAAACCACCTGGTGGCACGAATCATCCGGGCAGCCAGAACGTTCTCGATGGATCCAGCATGTCTGAGAAGATCCCTCAACTTTCCACGGGCACCGATGCATCTAAATATGACAATGACCCCTCAGAGACTACGCTCTCAGCAGATCCTGATAAATCCAAGAAACCCAAATCAGGCCCTCCTTCGGCGCCCGACAAACCTCAAGCAGAACCATCAAAATCCACCCAACCTTCCACGGGCACCGATGCACCTAAAATCGACGATGCACCCTCAGAGACAAAGCTCTCGGCAGATACTAATCTACCCAAGAAACCCAAATCAAGCCCTCCTTCGGCGCCCGAAAATCCTCATGCAGGATCATCAAAATCCACCCAACCCTCCAGGGGCACCGCTGAATCTGAAAACGACAATGCATCCTCAGAAAGAAATCTCTCGGCAGGCGCTAATCTACGCAACAAACCCAAATCAAGCCCTCCTTCTGGGCCCGACAAGCCTCAGCCAGAATCATCAAAAGCTCCGCCCACAGCCCCTCGCGAACATAATTCTCCTCTATCCAAAACTTCCGCTCAGTCTCGCGGTGCCCCTTCTCCAGATCCTCCGCCTGATCCTCCTCCACCCCCACCAACGAAAAAACCGAAAAGACATCCTTCGCCGCCGCCAACACCTCCCAGCCCTCAATTGATTGAGATTCGCAGTCCCCGGACACATGATATTTCGTCCGTATACAAGAAGACTGTCGGGTATACGGATAGCACCGTGATTGCCAGAGAAGGCCCTTCGAAGCCGGTGGTTTTCATAAGAAAGTTGGAGAGGAGGACGATATGGGGTGGGTGGCCTGGATCTGGAGCTGTTACTAGACCAGTGGCAGGAAGGAGTAAGAGCAAAAAGCGGGGAGACAAATAAAAAAATAAGGTAAGCAATATAATGTGCTTATCCCTAAGCTCAGGTTCTACTCAGTGAGCAAAAGGCGGCGAACCCTGAGCACTAAAACGGAAAGAGAACGCCAAGAAGTGGCAGAAGAAATCAAATACGTAGGTCACTATACGTACTTGATTTCTTAATCACTGCCCAGGTAGATGCTTCAAACTATAGCGATATCTTGTTATCTACTAAGGGGAGCACAAAATCAAGCCCACATAGATGGTGAGCAGTTAGAGGGAGTCAGCGGACAACATACTCATCATGTTAGCAATCTTGAAAGAAGCTTGCAAGGAAATAATACTACAGTAGTCCACTGTCTGATCATAATATAGGAGAATATTAAGACTGCCACACATCATGTAGACTGGGCTGAATAGGGCAGCCAGTGGGTACGACAGAAACCCGGTTGTCACCGGATTCCCAGGTAACCGCACCATTAGGCTCAATCTTGTAGTACTTATACTCAAATGGAGTGCCTGCAGAAACCAGTTCCAGAGTGCCAAACCACAAATTGTCCGTCTCAGTGTAAAGCCCTGCGTTGAGCGCTAATCCATCACCAGTGTTCCAATTGCCGAGCGCACTGATGTTACCGGAAAGGTAGACGTTCTCTCCATAGTATGTGTTCTCAATCACGTAGAATGTGATTGGCACGACATCCGTCGCGGGAACGCACCCAACAGTGGAAGTGGGGAACGTAGAAGTGGCAGCGTTGTAGGTTCCGGTCACAGGTGAAGCGGAGCAGGTGGTTGGGACAGTGTTGGCGGATGTCTCGCCCCACGAGACAGGCACGATGGAGTCGCGACGTTGGACAGCCGTCAAAAAGGAAGCAAAAGACCATGTCAGATCATTAGCTGAGAGTGGGACACTGGTGTTCCGGTTGTACTGCTCGGCTAATGAGCCGTTAGCAGGGGTGTATTTCTGGACAAGGCCGACGAAGCCGTCGGCATAAGTTCGGATAGCAGATGTGAGTGTCTTGTAGGTCTGACTCTGCGCCGAGTAGGAGCCAGTTTCCACGGATGAATCGAAATCCTGGAAGAACGCCAACGAAGTCTCGGTGACATCAAGGGTGCCAATCTTGTTCCATTGATACAAGGCATCATAGAGCAACTCAGCCGATGCCAGGGTGGTAAGATACCTGTATTATATCCTTTTCTTAGCTTCCTAGAGCGATGAAGTATAGAAGTCTCAGAGATCAACTCACCATGGGTTACCCCCTTGATAGACGTCTTCTGGGTAGCGGCCAACATTAGCGGCAGAGCTCTCGGCAATGCCACTATTGATCGCATAGATTGAACGGAAAGCATCGACATAAACCTTATGATTTGCCAATGCCCTGGCCGAGCAAGGTTGGAAAGTCGAATCATCACACAAACCTTCGGGGTCGAAGGTGTGGATGGTTCCCAAAATGGTGTTTGCATCAATACCAGTACGGCTGGTTTCGAGATTGATATTTGCAGTGATGTATTTTCCATTCCAAAAGCTCTGCAGGAAGCAAAGAATCTGGGGTGCTTGAGATGAACAAGCAGCGCATGACATGCCAAGCTTCTGTGCCAGCGTTGCTCCTTGCACCAAAGCGCGATGTTGAACGGCCAATGTGAAGAACGAAGATCCATCAGTCTCTTCCCAGAGGTCAAAACCAGTATCGTTCCAGTACTGGCCAACATATGCCAGATCATTTGAGATAATGGGCCACATGATGTCTAATGCTTCGGACTGCTGACCTTGGGAAAGGAGATAGTTCGTGTATGTGATCAAAGCAGTCGCCCGGAGAGCGGGGCCGTCTCGCTGAGGCCGGCCCCAGGCACCAGTGAAGGGATTCAAATCAACTTCAAACTTGGGTTCACCAAGGCCTGTGCCATCCTCCAGAGTCCCAGATGGATTGGATACATTCTGCAGAACTGCCTGCGCGGAGACATAGTTCTGAATATCGGTTTCCAACTCGCTCCTGTTCAAGCCAAAGTCGGAGCTGTCGCTATCGAATAGATCAATCAAACACTTAAAGGTCAATGCAGAATCACGAGTCCATGTATAGAAGTCTGCGGATCCAAATCAGAATTGCACCCGCGAGTTCATACTTTTTTGTTCACTTACAGTCTGGATTCGCTGTATTGGGACTGGCAATAAATAAGCCAGCGGCTGTACCAGGTGCTTTAACGCCTTTGTTTCCCAGGTTATCCATTATGCCTTGATACGATCGCAGCCCCTCCTTCGATATGAAAGAGTCTAGGGAAACGGCGGCGGGGCTTGCAGCTGCCAGCTGCCCTCCCACAAGGACTGCAGCAACGGTGGGAAGAACTGTTGACCACATCCTGAATCAAAATAAAACCCCGCACAGGAGCGAAAGAAACCAAAGTGCGATGGTGATTTGAGTAGCAACCAACACGACTTGAGATGCAGTATTTATGTTTTTGTTGATGTTCAACCAGATCGTGTCCGTGCGTGCAATGCGGAGATTCACCGCCACACAATTACCGATATTTTTCCGTGCCCCCCAATCCCCGAGCTTCCTCCCCACTTTGGCTCGAAGCTGGATTTTATTTGTGGAGCGATTTGCCGATGTTCTGCAGCGATGGATGACAGCGTAATAGTCATGTGCTGAGAACATCCGAGCGTTGTAGCATCTCATTAAACCTATAGAGGCGGGGGGTCAGCTCACAGTACCAAACAAGTAGTACTTTTATCGAGGAAAACATGCTTTGTGTGAACAATGCCCTTGGTCTATTGCTGGGTATAATGTCTGCAGATGCACATTGTCTCATGATGTTAGTGCTTATTCTTCCTCAATATGTCGATGACTACTTACAGGCCTTTCGAATAGCCGACCAATGTCTAATGGATAGCAAGATACAACCATATCCACTACCGTCTATAGTCCTTCAATTCATCACTCTTCCAACACGATTCGGTATACATGGTTTACATATTGGCCCTTATCTGAATCCGACCAATTTCGATGAAGAATTTCTGGCCATCACCAAATGAATATTCAATAATATTATATGATTGATTAATGTATATACTTCCTGAAACCTAGCTAATGCTATTATGTTCATACTAATAATGCCGCTATCGTAGGACCATTAGATTTCATCATGCCAACTATGGATATTATACGGAAGCTAATCTTCGTTTCCGGGATTAGTTATCTGCTCCTATTGTAGCTAGCGGAACTCGGTTAACAATTGGTGAAAAAGACTTTTGTGGTATTGCATTACTATGCCGTATCCTTTGATTGTGTACGCGACACGTTCGCCCGCCCTATCTCTGAGCTGATATATTTACTGTCTTTCATTCGCTTTGATAATTGCTAAAGTAAGGAAATCCCATTTACTTGTATTGAGTTCCATTCTTCGTCAGAGATAGTCTTTAAGGCAAAAAGGTAGGCAGTCTAGTAAAGAAACTGAGTGGGTAGGTATCGGAAGAATACGCGACTAGAAGTCCGGAACCTCACAAAGAGATACGGTGGCCTATAGAAGAATGAGCTTATAGGTGATAGAAGTGTCTTTGCCGTCATATCCCGTAAATATGGTGACCAATGTCCATTGCCACAGAATAGAATGTAAGTATCCAAGCACTTCTCACTACCTTGACACCATTCATTCATCTCTATAGCCTAACTAGGGGATTATTAGGGCACTAGAAGAGGTATTCCTAAGAGTATAAAGTATAGAATATAATACTGATTGGTTGACCCAGTAGCAGGGTTTATTCTGGTGCAATTGACTGCAGTAAGATTACTAGGATGAATAGGCATATTGATGGCGCCCGTGCTATTTAGATAGGACAATCGGGGCAATTTTGCGAGAGAGGATAGATAGTAAGTGAATGGGCTAGCATAGTGCATTTTATCGAGGTCATTTCTTCGGCTGCTTACCCTTACGCTTAGATTCTGCTGAGTGAGGAAGATCATAGAGTAGATCAGGCCATTTAGAGACGTACTCAGGTCTGCTCAGTGAACAAAACGCGGCACGGTCTGAGCACTAATTTAGGAGAGGAACGCCAAAAAGTGGTAGAGGAAATTCGATAGGTAGGTAAGTACGAGGTAAACTCCACAATCTCCCCTTACTGTAGAGAGAATTCAGCCAATAAATCTCTCAAGTCCACAATACCCCTCCCCCCTATCAGCACCCCAAATAATCATCAGATCGGCGGTCGCAAGTTTCGGTATTGTCCGACCCACAACAAAGACGGCCCACAGTGATCGCAGAGTGCGGGGTTGCCAAGGCCCTAGCGCGCCGGACATACAATCATGAATCATCTCCTGACCGCATTCGGCCAAAGTGACGACGCCTCGAGAAAGAGAACGGTCGTGATAGGTCGTTTGAGGTAGAGTCTAACCTGAATTAGTGGAGCGGGTTCTGCACCCCCGGACTCTTGTACTCCCTGGTGCGAGGTCATCGAAGACGTGCGGTGAATTAGGCAGATACACCATGGGAAATCACCCAAGTACCTGTGCCTGACAGGAAAATGGGCCGTATTCGCTGGGTGTTGAAGACTTAGCTGACGACTTGTACTTCCACGGGCTAGATCTGTTCTCGCACAATGTATGACTCGCTTAAGGGCACGCAGCATGCCCTCCGGTGTTCAAAGTCCACCGTGCCGTTTGGTCATGATGGCATCACTACATATTTAGCTACATGTCGGATTAATTCTTAATGGAACCATTCTTAAAATATAAGTATTCATTGTAATAGCAACATGATGTGAGCGAGGGTAAAAGTAGCCCTAGGCTCCAGAACTGTCTTGCCAGTCTATGGCGACCGAACATCTTAAGACAAAAGAAAGGGCCCTGCCTAACCCTTCATCCTCCGAGGCATTCCATAACCAGTACGGGGTCGAAATAGGTGCAAGTCGAGATAGTAAAAGTGTTGTTGAAAGGGGTATGTATGAGAATCAGAGTGGTAAGAGGTGTATCAACCGAGATTCAAAAAAAGACGGCAACTGCGAATCATCTACCTGACGCGTTTCAGGTAGCGCATGGTGAGGTAGACGGCTGCCAGGCTCGTGTAGACACCACCGGTAGCGGTGATCCAGACGGGCCTGTGGACGCTTAAGGAGGTGCGAAGGAACTGGCCTTCCTTCTTTGGCTTCTCACCTGCTTTCTGTTAGTTTGGTGTTCTGGGGTTTTCCTTGATGAAAACTGATGGAATGTGATGGATAATAGGACGTACCCTGCTGGAAGAGTCTTCGGCGAAGGTCGTTGATTCCCTGTCTCGAGCGAGCTGGGAGCTGCTGCAGTTGAGCGAGCAGAGGACCGACAGGTGCAGACATCTTGGATAGTTAAGTGTTGATACGGGATTGATTTGTGATGGAAACGCGGGGTGTCTTGTTGAAGTTGAAGGATTCAGTGTAGAGCGGAGAGTTGTACGACGAACAAGACAGGAGACGAACCCCTAAATGCTTTATAGTGGGAGGTCATCTGACATGAGATTGCGGGGTTGAAAGTGGCAATGGGGTGACATCCGGGGCATCCCTGCGCTGGTGGCAAACGTAGAGTTTCAGGCCGGGGCATGTCTGACGAGGGACTTTCGACTGTACAAGATGGCTTGGCCGCCTGGAGATAATGTACGCGATGCTAGAACCATCATATCTATACCCTGTCAAGTTCAAGGGCCTTTTTAGAGCGACGGTGAAGCCCAGGGTAGTTTGTGAGGAATTGGGCTGACGGTCGCATCGATGATCAGGTATGCCCAGGATAGCCTTCGACGGCCCTCGTAGCACTCTTCTCCGCATACCTGGCGTCAGCTTCGCTATAATGATTGGCTCGATACGCCGCAGTGCCCTCAGATACCCAGCGTACGTGTAAATCATGACACAAGACACAATCGACACCAAGGGGCGGAGGTGGTCATAGGCTGTTTCCCCTGAAATCATGCCATCAGGGACAAGCATAAATTTTGAGTTGGAATTCGACAGGGTACTATCCTGGAGAATAGATTAGATCTACGAGAGCTGCCATATACATGTTGCTATGCTGCCGTGCTCTAGACAGCGAAGGAGTAAAGTGAACAAGTGGAGTACGGGAGGGTCCCGCAGTGGGAATCTGGGAATCTGGGGATGATGGGGTTCTGTGGGGTTGGGTCCACTCACTAGGCTTAGCTAGAGCAGACCTCGCCTTTTTGCCCTTACTATCATTAGAAAAGTAAGAAGACAATGAATAAAAAAGCGTTCACTTATGAGCTGGAGATAATAGTTCCATGACCTCACTGATATCCCCGGAACTAATCTCATCGGCCTGAGGCAGGTCATCACTCCTGCCTCAGCCGCACGTCCCTTCGACCATCGTCGCACGCACAACCTCAACATCTCCACGCCCCTCCCTACCATCACCACACGATCAGCCCCAAAAAGAGCCCGACACAGCTCGCACTATACCACGGCCCCTTGTCATATTGAGGCTTTCCTCGAGCCCTATGACGCGCATCGCAATGAGGCTTTTGCACTCAGCCCTGTGATGCTCTCTTGGGGACGGGCGCGCAGTTACCGCATCCCCCGGGGTCTTACTGAGGCTTTTCTCCAGCCCTAAGACTCCTCTCTGGGGGGATGGGCACGCAGCTGTCGGCACAGTGCCGGAACTCGATCCGAGGACGGAACGTAGGTAGACGCTGCAGGAAGTCTTCAACCCAGGGGTGGTTCTCATTGGGACCGTATTGATCGAAATCAATAGGGCCCCCGGTCTCCGAGGTGCGGTACGAAGCTGGATCTGTCATATCCAGCACGTTGCCATTTCGCCACCTCGGGCCGTAGAATACACCACCCGGGTTGATGATCCCGACAAAGCCAAGATGGTACTCTACCATCCATGCCGTCCACAGGTCGCGAGTCAGGCCATCTCGCCTCCATGCCTGAACTTGCGCCTCCCACTGCCCCACGTTGTCACGGAACGCGTCGAAGAAAGCGACGGCATCCCGGCCCTGCCCGCGGTGAACCTTCCTGGTGAACCAAAAGAACTCCATGAGGAGGTTCGTGTCCAGAGGGTCGACGAGCCGGATCTGCTCGTCGCTCGCGAGTCCGAAAAGGCCGGAAGACCGCGCTTCCTTGACGGAGGCGTGAATGACCACGATCTTCAACACAAAGATCGGGTCTGGCCAGGGTACATTGGGGCCACTGGCCACCCCATGTTCGGGGTGGTGCTCGAGACATCTTGGCCAAGGGTTCACCATGGCGGCAAAGATGGCGGTTCGGTTGGCGGCGAGGTGCCCGTATAGTGCTATACGGGTGTTGAGTGCATGCCACGCCGATCTGCTCGCCCAGTAAGGACTGTGGTAGAGCAGGACCGTGTCATTCGCCTTGTTGAACCAGGTGAGAGCCCTTGACGGCTGAACCAGTGGGTGGACGGATCTGAACCAGAATGATCCGGGAAGCGGCCGTGACAAGTGATCCGCGGCCCGCTGCATGTCTGACTTCAGGGTGCAATACAAGAGGGCGACACCTCGGGATTCCCAACAGATCATGGCGACAGCGGGCGGTGAGTTGTTGGCCTTCGACGTCCAGTCGAAAGTGCAGTCACTGGGACGCACGGCATACTCGGGAATGTTCAGTTCAACAACCCGGTGCGGAAGTGTCAGTCCCCAGATCATTCTGCGGATCTCGCACGGCAACCGGGCAAACTGGCGGAATGGAATATTCGTTTTGCAATATTCACATTCGCATGACCGCTGAACAACATGTCAGAACTGCAATCAAAGCTTGGGTGTATGATACTCACGGCTGGAATGGGACGGGACTTCCGGAACGCCATCCATTCAACCAGAAGATATTGCAACGGCTGGAGCACCAGGTCAGCTATGCATAGTCAAAACGGATGGACAAGACACTCACGAATGAGACGAACTGGATGTTGAGGAAGGCCGTCGCAACAACCAGGAAGAACTCCACCGGCTGAGAAACCAAGTCAGTTATACATAATCAAAAGTTGGGGTACATGATACCTACGGTTGGGACGCTGGGGAAATTCCACAAGGCCACCACCAGGGCCAGGAGAAGGTGAAACATCTGGACAGCCCAGTCAGTCATGCACAGTCAATGGGATGGACGAGATACTCACAGTTGCGACGGCCTGGAAGATGGAGATGGCCAACATCATGGCCGGAGGAAAGTCGCACGGCTTGGCGAGCATATCAGCTATAACAGTCACGACGGGTTTGGTCAAGGTACTCACAGCGACAGAGGACGTGAAAGGGAGAAGGTCCACGACAGTGCAGCAGCGTCCCCAAAACAGCAGCGGCAAGACCACGACAGGGCAGCGGCGACAGAGACAGACAGCAGCAGACAGACAGCAGCACCGACAGGAGAACACCACCGACAGGAGAGCAGCACAGCGACCGCACAAGGTGCCGATGACAACGACAGATAGCAACAGACAGCAACAACAGCAACTACAGCAACAGACAGACCGACAGAGCAGCAGAGCAATGGGATTGGAGAACCTCAGCAAAGAATGCGAGCGAGGGAACAGATGTTCGAATCCGGCTTGATACAAGCCGACGCAGCTCCTACAAAAGGGAAATCTCTCGGAAATATTGTGCCAGGTCACAGAACCGAGATTGGAGACGGACAAGCATGCACGAAACAAGAAAAGACGAGAAGGAATGGTTATGCAGGATGCTGGAGAGTGAGAATGAAAGTGGGCGAAGACGAGTGCGAATGATGCAAGTGATGGATGCGAAGAACGCGCGCCCTCGATATCACCGCGCCGGAACGTGCCAATGTCGGATTTCAGTTGACAGGACCGTCACATCCAGCATTGTCAATTTCAAACTTATCAAATCAGTCTATACATGAGTCTGAATGGTCCAGATATCTATTTGCCCGATATGGACATGCTACACATGAAAACTGCTGTGTTCACTCAATACTGAAGGCGGAAATGGTTCTTTTGATCTGGGACTGCATTTTAGAGGCATTGATACAGCGGAAAAGATTCCAATGTACAAAGCGTACTCCGGACTTGGCTCCCGGAAGTCGGATGAACTATCTATAAGCTTCAGAGATGTATTCGAAACAGATCAGAATCTGAGGATCCCCTCGGGCTTGCAGGTGACTCCTGGTGGTCCACCCAAGCGCAGGATACATACTGTTTGGCTAAGAAGCATGAGAGATTGGAGAAGAAGAATTTTAGGGGAATGAAAGCGCAAGAAATAACAAATAACATGTCGTCTCAAGTATGCAAGTTCGGCCACCGCTTCGATCCGTTGATGGCGAGACCGAAGTCAGAGGCATCCTACGGGCTTTCGAAGACCAGCTGAGTGTCAATTGGCAGATCATATGAGACGTTCAAGGGTAGTAGGTCGCTCAAAGTCCAGAGATCAATAGAGCTAATCTGCAAAAGGAGGCATGTCGTTCGAAGTATAGCGCACGTGACCGCCAGAACCCTGGCTCTGACCGTCCGATGGGGAGGGCAGAAAACGTACATATTTGGCCGATTCCGATAATAGCAAGGATTATTTGGGGCTCTAGAAAGATGCAAAGAGGCAGAGAACCCGTGTGTATGCCTGTGATCGTGCCAAGTGCTTTAGCGAAGACTGCTGCATGTTCCATTTACCGCAGCGAGAGCGGCCGAGAGAGGCGCAAAGCCACTACTGAGGAGGTGGCACCGAGCGGTGTCGGTTGACTAGGTTTCCTTGGGCGTCAACCAGACGCAGTGCGATAGATCCGTTCATGATGGGCTACGGGACATCGTTAGTGTGCTGATGAGAGATTGTTTGCAGAGTAGATACTCACAGGAAATCTTGTTCGGAACAATTGTGGGCTATGCGAGATGCATGTAGGAGCGATAGGTGACGAAATCATGCATGTGGGGATGGGGTGAATCAAACACCGCGGGAGAGGGCACCGCGTGAGTCATAGGATGATGATGTGTATATACGCATCGGCGAATGACACGATGGGATTACCGTCACATGGGAGGGCGATGCGGCGGAATCCAACGGAATCAAAACGTCAAGGGGACCCGGACCAATTTGGATGGATGGGTTACTCTAACAAAGTTCGTTTATATGCATGCGGCCCAACAAAATATGTACATCTGCCTCAAAGGGACAATCTATTGAATATCTAATCTAGCAGGCTTGGATTGATGCCCCGAGGTACTCGACAGATAGCGCGCGCATCATCGGGCATAGTGTTGAAAAGAACTTGTCGAACCTCCTTCCCAACCTTCTCCACTGAATCCATCGCCCAAAGCACATCTAAATGCTCATACTCATCGATAACCTTCGCATGGACAACCTGGACATTGGGTTCACGGCCGCTCTCAAATCGATCCAAGAGCTTCCGGCCATCGACAAGCGCGTCTGAACCACCGACCCAAAGTGCGAATGGAGGAGTTTGAAGTCCGAACCAAGCTTTTTCCCCACGGGAATCGAGACACGCATCACTAGGGTCATCGCCGTGTTCGATACCGGTTTCTCCACGATATCGGCGATCCTCGTTGGCTTCCTCCAAAGAGTCCTCGATAGTGGAAAGTATACACTTGTGTTTGGCAAAGCTTTCGCTTCCAAGCCACCAGCGCATAGTCTCAGCACTGACATAAACAGGAGCAAATTGAAACATGCGATGACGAAGATCACGTTCCCACCTCGCATCGGACCAGCCGAAGAGAAAAGAAAAGACCCAGTACGCAATAGTGCCATATATCCGCGGGTGCAGCACACGTTGAACGGCAAGCATAAAGGGGATGAAGGAATGGATACCAAAGACGAGGCGAAACATCCCAGGGGACAAAAGTTGCATGAAGCGGAAATACGGTCTGCTCACGAGCGGGCCGGCATACACTGCCGGGGCGAGGGCACAGAATACTGAGATGTGCTCTCCCAGTTCTGGTCGGTGCGTTTTCGCCAAGGCGACAAATGTTTGAGTAGTCCCCTGCGAGTGACCTACCAGACCCAGCTTATCGAATCCCGTCTCATACAGGACCCGGGATGTGAGAGCAGCCAGATCGAGAGTCCCGAGGTGTCGGATATCCCACGACCACATGCGTGGATCAGAGGGGGATAGACTGGTGTGCTCGGGTTTCATCCCACAGCGGTTGTTGCCAAGCCAGACATCATATCCTGATTTGCAAAGATAGAATGCAAGACTATCGTCGTCATTCGTGCAATAAGTACCAGCACTTTGCAGCAATCCGTGAATCAAAAGAACGGGATATCGGCGATTCGACTGGGAGGAGGTGGGTCTTTTCTTCGAATCGAATACAACAGGTCCGCGCTCCCGCCTTTGTTCCGGCGACAAGGCCGTGTATTCCTGGGGATTGTACACATGCCAAAGGGTGATGATGAATCCGTCCTCGGTCTGGACACGGAACGTCTCCACGTCAAGCCCTACCCTTCTGGCGTAGTAGGCGACATCACAGACTATCCGATCCTTTCCTCCCTCGAGTGGCGGGCATTCGTCCAGACCTTGCTCTTCATCCACATACTTCTTTTGCTCCCGAAGGTGCCATTTCATATCCGAGTTCGCCCTTGCCAATCTGCGCGTCTGTTCCTCTGCCTGAAATATCCTTTTCGAAGCCGGATTATTGCCTTTTAATCGTGATACGGTGTCCGAGATTGCTGTACCGATTGTACAAATCAATGCGCCAATAAAGATGGCCGAGAGGAATGCAAGCGATAGGAAGAACGAGATGGCCTGAAACGCATAGTAATGGAGGTTTCGAGCGAACGACGGAGGACCATAGGACGGCAACGGTGGAAATAGTGGGTGTTGGCTGGACTCCACGGGCATAACTAGTTCGCATGAAGGGTCATGCTTTTCAGCTATGAACACCTGGTCTCTCGCAGCTTGCTTTCCTTTGATCTCACATGTGCAGACCCCTTGATGCTCATGTTGCAGGGAGGAGGACATTTCGGAGGTTGTTGAGCAAATGTGGTCGGTTTGAAAGTCGTCCGTTCGAGCAGATGCAACCGGGGAGAGGGTTCGTAAAGGTATGGTGACCGACATGGTCGTGGGGGGTCATGGGGCTAGGAAAGTGGCATTGATCCACTGGGGTACATCGTGAGGCCCTAGCAGAGAGATTGAAAAGGCACAAGGTACCGAGGAATGCACCACGCGACGAGGAGGTCATTTCCGTTCGGGTCAGGGACAATCACATGATAATGATCCACGGATAAAGGCAAGATCACGTGTTATTCTCAAAGCCATGAAGTAGACGAAAATAGAAACAATTTTACTATTTACAGTGGCGGGAAAATGCATTTCGTAGTAGAAATGAAAGAGAAAATACATGTCTCGAAATGGTTGTCTATGCTCCGAAACCGAAAGAGTCTTATATGGATAGGGAAAATGCGGTTTGGTTACCAACCAAACTATCTGCCGACAGCCGCTTCAAAGTCTTGCAAGAAAGCCCATAATGTTTCGTCTCGCCAATTCTTTATTTTCCAGTCATTGGCAGACTGAGGGAAGAGATCAACCACCCCGTGTAACTTTGGATCATGGGCATATATAAACCACACATTGTCCTCTTTGTCTGCGTCCTGTGTTTTCTTAATCGTCTCGATGGTCTCAGGTATATCGAGACCCATGGTGGGCTCAAAAAACGGCTCGTCCGGAGCCCTTTGTCGCTGTATTTGCAGCTGTTCGTAAATAGCCCCAGGACAGGGTAGTGCGGCTCGTGGTGTATCTATGGTTACTTCCTTGGGAATGCGAAGATGCTTGGACGGCCTGATTTCACCGCTGTGGTGGCAGAGGTCGCCGCCCATGAAGATGAAGGTGTCGGGATCGACAGTAGTTCGTGCGAGGGCAGCTAGATGTCCAACTGCATGGCCAGGTGTATCGAGAACATAGAATGAGCCATCACCAAAGAAGTCAAATCCCCGGAAGCGGCCAAGTTGAACACTCTCCTTTTCGAAGTCTATCTCACGCAAAGACCTTCCACTGTATTGTTTCAGCCAAAATGAATAATAATGTTGTATTGATTTACCGACCTGATATCGATCTGTCGAATGGGGGAATTTTGCCCTTCAGGATATGCAGGCAAGAATGCATCTTTGAACCCTGGGCCAACCACCAGCTCCGTACTTGCCGGGAACCTGGATGGATCTCCGGTATGATCCCAATGCCAGTGACTACAAACCATTAGCATATTACTGTAGCAGAGAGTTTTATGCCGCACCTCCAGATAATGCTGGATATCTCTTCTGGCTGCACTCCATCCCCCGACAAGATATCGATGACCTCCTTGTCGACTCTGATATCCCAGCCGAGACCATCGATATGCCCCACGGCGCCAGGGGGGAAAGATTTCCATGATTTCGGGACTCCTAGATCGAATAGTGCCTTTTCGCCTGAAGGATGCTCGATGAGGAATGACCAAGATGGCATAGTTGGCATGTACTTAAAGCCATTAATAGCTGGTTCCATCAAAAAGCTCAATTCCAGGTTATCAATCCTCGATGTGGAGTCAATGATACGGACTTGTACTGTCTGGCTGCCTGCTGGCACAGGGAAATCAGGATTGACGCGCGTCATAGTAGCTAGAACTTAGATATAAATGTGGCATGGTTTTCAAATATTTGAGGCACAAAAGTCGATATTTCCGAAGTCTTATATCCTCTGTAAGCCCCGCACTTTGTCCCGCTATTTATTGTAACAAGACAACGCCTCAATCAGGGAGTTTCTTATCGTCTGAGGGGCTGGAGGTAACACCCCCGCACGGGGCCTGACCGCAGATCAAGCCCAGAGCCCGGTCCGAAATATTGCCTAAATGCAGTAGTCCTGCAAATATTCCTTCGAATTTCTTATTATTGCGCTAGTGTAATACCAAAAGACCATTTTATTATGATGAGTCAAGACTGCTCAAGCCACTGGATGTCGGGACCTTACTTATAGTTGCAATAATTCCCCAGCCAGAATATAGACAAGGAAAAGACGTAGATTTGAGTTCATAATGATTTTGCTCATTTTTATCGGCCTTGATTGGTTAATGAGCCTGCAGTATACCAAAGCCTCTTGAGGCTAAACTTGATGCAGAGTAGTGGGGTCCGAGAGGACCCGGAATTCAATCTCACCCGAGTTCAATCTCACCCGAGTTCAATCTCACCCGAGTTCAATCTCACCCGAGTTCAATCTCACCCGAGTTCAATCTCACCCGAGTTCAATCTCACCCGAGTTCAATCTCGACCTCTATCCAACTCTACAGCTTACTTAGGCACTGCACGGGGCCCGGTAACTCAATACAGACAGAAGAAATATCTAGAACTCATCAGAAAATGCCCTCGCCCTCACAATACATCTTCGGCCTTCAAGCCGTCCCGTTGCTCGCCAGTAGTGTCTACATCCTGCTCTGGCCCGCAGCTGCAGCCAACCTGCCAGATTCAGACTTGGCGAGCCTTAGCAATGGCACAATCCAGGCAATTAGGTAGGGTCACATCATGCTTTGGATATTAAAATACGAGCGAGTTCACTATTTGCCAGTATGACGTCCCTTTCTCTGGGAACTTTCTACGCCATCGCCGCGTACCAGAACAACATCCCGATGATGTTAACTGCCATTCCTGGTCGTCTTCTGGCAGCTTTTGTTTTCCATCATAGTGGTGGGGGATGGGCCAAGGTTGCGCCTTTTGAGGCCCTTATGGGGCTTTTGAATGCGGTTGGTCTTTATTGGGATTGGACCTTGAAGCGCTCCGCTGAGCGTAAAAAGAAAGAGTGAGATAGGTTGATAAATGGTGTATTAACTGCAGGAAGGCATCTCAAGTCTTGAAATCAATTTATGTATGTAACAATCTCTGCATGGTAAGCTGTAACTACCACATTTCGTCCAAATGTTACAAAAAGATAGCAATCCAACGAATGTGACAGTTCAATAGGCTCCATATGTATGCAAGTATGTTGTATCCTCAAATAATTTCACCAAGAAAGAGCAAATGTTTCCGGCATTCCCCCAAAACAGAAAGAAATCATATCCCGTTATTCCATCAAAACAACGCGGGTTTTACACTGCCATCTTAGTTTCGACACTCTCATGATGAGTAGCATGCTCCCCACTCCGCTTGTCATTAGCCTCATCCTCAAGCTGAGAAAGCGTGCCTCCCTTAACGTCGCCCGCAACATCTCTGACGTCGGTATAATGAACCGAAGGCACGAAACCCACAGACTTCCAAGCAACAGGAACCTTGGCATAGAGCTCATCAACCTGCTCCAACGACAAGCCCTTGGTCTCATAAATACAGGTGTAAACGAAAACCGCACACACAGCACAGAATCCACCCCAGATAAAGAACACCTTAGACTGGAGGTTCGCATTCCCCGCTCCACTGTTCACCATGTATGGGGTCGCGTACGCGATCGCCCAGTTAAGGAGCCAGTTGGTCGCGGTGGTGATGGAGAGACACTTTGCGCGAGCCTTCAGGGGGAACAGTTCGCCGGTGACGACCCAGGCTACGGGGCCCCAGGAACAAGCGAAGAAAAAGATGTAGACACAGACGAAGGCGATGAGGACTTTGTTGGCCACTGCTGAGCTTGCGGCGGTTCCGACGATGGCGACGATGAGTTGGGAGACGCACATGCCGACTGCGCCAAAGAGGAGGAGGGGGCGACGACCCCATTTCTCGACCATGTAGAGGCCTGGGAAGGTGGAGACGACGTTGATGATGTTTGTGATTAGGGTGATGACGAAGGAGTTTTGGATTCCAGAGTTTTGGAAGAAGGTTGTGCCGTAGTAGACTGGGATGTATTAATATCGGGTGGTTAGGGACTGGCAGGGGGAGAACGTACAGATAAAGTTCACACCGGTGAGTTGCTGGAGAGCCTGAACAGCGCAACCGGTTGCGAGACGCTTTCCGATAGAGCCCTTCATGATCTCGAGGTAAGTAGCCTTGCCGAGACGAAGCTCGAACTCGTGGTTGGCCTGGATCTCAGCCAGCTCCGCGACGATCGCAGCATCATTGAGGTCAATGCGACGAAGACGTGCAAGGGACTTGGCAGCCTGCTCGTGCTTGTCCTGCTTGATGAGGAAGCGAGGGGTCTCGGGCAACATGATCATACCAACAACCAGGATGATAGCCCAGGCGAACTGGATAGCGACAGGAATGCGGTAGCAACCGGTATCCATACGGTCCTTGGTAGAATTGTTCACGATAGCAGCCAGAAGCAGACCGAATGTGATAGCCAGCTGATAGGCACCGACGATGGTACCACGGATCCATTTGGGAGCGGTCTCAGATTGGTAAAGGGGGATCGTGGCCGAGAGGAGACCAACACCCAGACCAGCGAAGAAGCGGCCGGCGACGAAGAGGGGGATCGATGTAGATGCGGTCTGCAAGATGACACCGAAGACGAAAACGAAGCTGTCGAGGATCATGCCAATCCGACGACCAAAGTAGTCTGCGATAGGGGCGGCACCTAAAGCACCGAAGAAGGTTCCTGCGGAGAGCAGGGAGACGATCATGGATGACTGGGAGGAAGTGACGTCGGCGAAATGGTCCTTGGGGTTAATGTAGCCCGTTGAGAATAGCTCTCGCCAGTATTTCATGGCGAGAATGCCGCTGATGGTACCGGTGTCATATCTAAAGAACCATTAGGGTTGACTTGAACGGACAGTTAGAGTATAGACATACCCAAAGAGAACACCGCCAAAAGCAACGAACAGGCCGATGACAATAGCCGGCACGGCCGAGCCGATGGCGTTGTCCGGCTTTTTGATAGCGAAACCCATTACAAAGTAGATTGAAGAGAGGATTAAAGAGAAAGTCGAAGAGTAGGCAGGATAGTCAGGAACGACCAAGTCGAAAGCTGCACAGCAGACCCAAAGAAGCGAAGATATCGACGATCACAGAAAAAAACGCAAAGTAAACAGAGGAACACAGATACCTTATGTAGTCGACGCAAATGACCAAGATAAACCCCCCGCAGCCTGAAAGCAGACAAACGCAGCCAAGCCGTTGCCCCAACCCCAGGACCCCGGCGAGACGAAAAACATGGTGATGTGGAGAAAAGCGGCGGAGTCAATGCGCCCCGAGTGGGCTAGGTTCGGCGATTATTGGGCGCGCAGATTATCTCTCGACCCGAACCGTGGACGCCACGATATTCCAGAAGTAGGTTTAGGAGTAGATCAGCGATAGCGAGGATATTTTGCTCTGCATTCAGTCTATACCCCACGGACGTCCAAATTGGTAAAATCATGTGGTCGATGAAGTTCGTGTGTCTGTGCTGCAAACGGTCTACTTTTTGGGTGCTTTGGTCATGTCGTAGTTCAGAGTTGGCCGCATTGGGCAAAACACAAACGGACCACTTGGAATCTTGAACCTAACAACATTTTGGGGGTAATTCTTAGACGATGGAAATTATTTCCACCCGAGTGATCCAAAGTGGTTCCTAGTCTTCGAAAATAATAGCTCCACATTAAAGAACAGAAATGGGCAACGCTCGAACCGCCATCTCCTGATCTTCACCCCAGAATCGCCCACCGCAGAACCATGCAAGTCGGTAAACGAATCAATTGCGTTAGCCATGGCCGATCAACAGGCATCTCAGCAAGGACACGAGAAGTCTTCACCGGCACCAGATTGAGACGTACATGTGGCACCGAGCGTTAGAGTCCTCAGCCCTGAAACCTTGCTAAGATTGTATCCACCCCGAGTCTAGACCTGCAAGGGGCATATTCCCTCCGCATTCCTGGTACAAGTAGAGAATGTGGTCACATTCGCTTCGGGTATAGGAACGATACCTAGTCTTCAGCATTGGTACACTCTGTACCGTCTTCTCAGGAGGACTTGATACTCGCGTGCGCCTTGCCGGGCAACCCGAGCCACCTGCAGCACCGGGCCGTGTCCTGGCTTGGCTGAAGCCTAATTGCCTATTTGCGGGATTTGGCCGTGGCCCGGATTGGACGGACTACCCGAAGGGATTCCGAGGATTGCCCGCTCTCGGAGAATGATGGTAGACCTACGCCGGGAATAGAGCGGGTTTCTGGGGCTGCGTTTGGCCCCCACAGAATAGAACGAGACTTGCATATGGGAAGATCGTGTATTTCTCCATGTTTGTCCGAAGGGAGGATCGTCTATTATCTATACACTATACTCGCTAAACGCAGGCTACCAGCGCCAGATCAAAAAGAAATACACAGGCAAAACAACCTGCGCGACAGTCCTGATAGAATGGATGAATTCCCGACCGATAAATGTCACTGTTTGTCGGAGGCCCGCTGCCCGAGCCGGCCGGTACATAGCCTTGTCTTTCAGGTTCGGCGAGCCAATGTCGAGATCTGCTCCGCGATAAGTATCGTGGGGAGACTTGGCGCTGGGGTAGCCGGGGGTTGTGAGCCCACCCCGGCTGAAGAGGCCGCCTGGAGGGGTGAGGGTTGAGCTGGACGTACCGGAGGTCTGGTACTGGTGCCTGGGGTAGGCGCGTTGTTCCGTGAGGGGGAGAACGGAGCCGTTTGAGACGCTCTCTGGGGTGGAAAGAATGTGGTAGGTGGAGCTGATGAGCAGGACGACGATGCTTAGGCCGAGAATGACGGCGTAATGGATGAAGATGCCCAATTGGTCGGGAAGAAGGCAGAGGTGGTTTTGGATGGTTGGCTGCGAGCCTTGCTGGGTTGATTCGCCCGTCTGGGGATCGATTGGGTTCCAGAGGCTGGTGAGTACGAAGCCTGGGTGTCGGACGCCCATTGCCCATGATAGACTCTTGACAGTGATCTCGTTCGGTGAGCCGTTGAACTCACGGTGTGAGACTTCGCAGTAATCGTGGTCATCGCCGGAATAAACTTGCACAAGATTCGGGCCTGCTTTGGATACCAGCTCCGTCGAGATGATCGGAGTCAGTACATTCTGGTACTGATAACCTCCAGCAATCCTCAGCGCGTTGGGCTCGTCTTCTTCCAGGTCCGGAGCAGCAGGCGGTGACCGTTCTCGAAGCGGACCACATGGTGTTGCGGGCTTGCGGTAGAGAGGAACATGCGTAAGAAGAATGGTAGGAAACCCGGCGCTCTCGGGCTTTGGGTTTTCCTTTATCACGTCCTCCTCAGCATCCACTATGCGATGCTCGAACTTGACTTTCTCCGGCTTGTGCTGCAGCTGCTGTAGTTCTTCGGCCTCTGCTTTTGCCTTGTAGGAGGACGCCTGGTTGAGAAAATCATCCGCATCTTTCCAAATCGGCCAAGGATCATCCTCTTTGCCGCTGGAGCTGGAGCTACCCGTCGCAGGATCTGGCTGGTCCCTCGCGCTCAACGAGGGTGTATCCACTGACACAAATGTATGATTCCCAATAACGTCAACGCGATTGCTTTCGCCAAAGTAGGCCTGGAATCGCTGGCGGACCGGTTCCTTGACTCCATTGCCAAAGCCCAGGTCATGATTACCCGGTAGACTAGCAATCAGTTTGCGACCCCTGCTGTCTAGCGGCGTATATTCCTGATTCAACCAAGGGTCCAAGAAGATCTTCATAAATCGACCGTATTCCTTCTTCCAAAAATTGTCGTTGATCTTCTTGTAGCGCTCCTCTGGACTCGTTGTCGTCCTCGTAGCCCACTCTCTCCCCCCATCAAAAAGGTCACCCAGGAATAGTACTGAATCGGGCACCAAGTGCTTTTGAATATGTGAAAAGGACCGTCGCATGTATTGATCGGTGTATCGCACCGTCAATGTCGAGAGTGGCCAAGGGCGCCCAGGGTATGTGTGGGGATCGACGAGCTGGGGGTCAGCAACGAAGGCGACACGATGCGGAGTTGCACCTTGAGGCTAAAAGAAATCACCATAAGCATCGCGTCACAGAATAGTCCAAGTCAAGACTTACCCAAGCCTCCCAAGCCTCCCAAGCACAAGCATCTATACTTTTTTGAAAGACCGTCCTCTCACCCCACCACAACGTAAAGAACCAAAGCAAGATAACAGCAGAAGGGATCGAAAAAAGGCGCCTCAACACCACTTTCGCCGAATTCCGCACCTCATCCCTACTCCGCGGCCTGCTCGACCGTAACGTAGTGACACCCTCTTCGATCCATTGTTTGGCTGCGGGTATCGCCCTATTGCAAGCCTGGCTAACGAGCCCTGTAGAAGAAGAAGGAATCGAATTGAAAGAAGGGAGGGAAGAAGCGCCCGTGCTGTGTTGGTAGGCGTAGCTCATTGTTAGCCCGTAAAGCAAGCCTAGGTGTTGGCTCGGCCCCGTATGACACGGGTGGTGGAAAATCAGCGGAAGGAGTGACGCTGCATGCTCTGAGAGTGTAAATATGGAGAAGGTGAATGAGTGGAGGAAGAGTAGAGTCGAAAAGAAGGGTCGTAAAGCATGGCGTGTCGCGAATGCGGAACAAGGGGTTCTGTCATGCCCGCGTCGATCCCCGGAGATCAGGGTCACGTGGGGGCGGAGGAGAGTAAAAATAAACTCAGCTGAAAAGCCCTAGAGTGAGACAGGTATTTTCTAACTAGTCAAGGGTTGGAAAAATGAGTCCAGACTTGGCCATTGATCAGCCCCGACGGGTGACTACGGTTGTCATTATTCCAGGATACAGTCTGAATCTCAACGGACCAGTGGTGGATTAAGGATAGGTAAGAAATACATCCACGATGAGGGGAATATCAAAAAGAAAGGAACCTCGGTACAAAGACCGAATCGAATGCCCATGCTATTAATAGTCTCGGGGAGACTTGTCCACCGGAGAGCCTCTAGTAAAACAAGACCATTGAAATCAGGCGCAGGACAGGTAGGAAGTCACGGGGGAAAGTCAGGTAGCGGGAATCAGGAAGAAACACGGTTTAGGTTGCGCATGAAGTCACAGATTAGGGTCGACGAACCAAAATATCAATCAGGTCGACTTTTTCGGACAACACTGGCCTCCTCGGGCACAGTGGTCGTCGCATTCCAGGAGACAAGCCTGGGGATCACTCCGCAGGCTGGCCGCACGACTGGGCGGATTAGGATCAGCGGAAGATGAAGGTTGAGTCTGATTCGAGGTATCCTCCGCGTCGGTATCCGGGGCAAACTCGGGCTGGATGGTCGAAGAGTGAATACCGTAGGCGTGGAGGCAAAGACGGACCTGTCGCGCAAGGTTCATGTAGCGCTCCGAGCCCTCTCCCTTGATCTCGGTGTCGACTTGAATGTGAATCGAGGCGACAACTTTGGTGTCGCTCAGCTGCCACACGTGGAGGTGGTGAGAACCAAGAATACCTGGGAGACCCTCGATGTCCTCCTTGATGTGGTCGATGCTCATGCCGGGGGGCACGGCTTGGAGCAGGATACGAGACGCGGCCTTGCAAAGGGGAATGGCAGAAGCCAGAATAATGAGTGTGATGACGAGTGAAATGCCGGGATCCACGTAGAATCGCCATTCGTAGTCAGTCAGCCAAATGATCAACGCAGACACAATGACACCGATGTTGCCAAGGGCATCTCCCATAACATGGAGGAAGACTCCGCGCATGTTGAGGTCGTGGCCATGGCCGTGACCACCCTTCTGGCTCTTTGACTTCGGTTGGGCATGGTTGTGACCCTTGTGGATGTCCTCCTGGCGGTTAGGAACCTTGAACGGACCATCATGCTCATCGGTGTAGTTTGACGCGCGGTCACGGTGACGAAGAAGGCCGGATTGCTCGGTTGGGACTTCGTCATCTCGGCTGTCGGAGTCGGAGGACGGGTCGTTGTCAAAGGTCCCACGGCCAGCAGCAATGATGTCCTGTCGCATAGTTGCCGGGTGCGCATATATGTCCTCCACATTGGTGATACCACGTCCGGTCGAGGTGCTGAATCTCCGAGAGCCGCGAGTAGATTCCGGTACAAGGCGTTTGCGTGAGACGGGAGATGCGGGTTCAGTGGCAGAATGGGTAAGACCGTTCTGGGGCAAGCTCGTAGGACGACCAGCCCCGACCAGGTTCTCGGGAACGTTTTCATCCGCAACGACCGAGTCGCTGTGCGGGTGGTCGCTGTAGCCTTGCTCAATATCCTCATGATCGTCGTGTGCATGGCCGTGATCATGGCCATGACTATGGCCACCGTGGGAGTGGTCATGAAACAGGGCCAAGCCCACGATATTGGAAAGAAGGCCGAGGCAGCCGACAATGCAGACCAGCTTCGGATTCTGGACCTCCTGGGGTTCCACCAAACGTTGAACTGCCTCCAAGAAGATCGACATGCAAAGGGCTACTAGGAAAACACCGTTGACGAGAGCACCGAGGGTTTCTGCGCGTTGCCACTATATCCAAACATTTCTTGTCAGCGCGTGTTCCTGCGGGGTCCGAATCCGGCCAACTTACACCGTATGTGTACATCTTCGAATTTGTCTCCTGGTTGGCGACCTTGACAGCCCAAAGTCCGACGCATAGTGAGATGACATCGTTTAGCTGTGTGTATGTTAGATCTGGTGGCGATAAGCATAGAGGGGTGAGGTTCGCGCAAGGCACGTACCATGTGAAAGGAATCGGCGACCAGGGCAAGGGAGTGGACGGCATAGCCTAGGGGAGATAAGGGTCAGCAAAGATCATCGTAGCTCCAAACGGGTTAGATAGTTCATACCAGTGATCAGCTCCAACAGAAAGAAGGCCGTGTCGATCACAAGCAGGATAATGATCCTGTTAGTCTTGGAGAGTCCCATTGTGGCGGGTGTAAGCTCGCGGCGCGCTCCAAGACGCAGAAGTCCGCGGTAAAGGTTAAAGGGATAGTCAGATTCAACACCGGGCAGGTTCCAGGCGAGGTTGTCTGTTTAAGAAGGGAGGTCCTGAAGAAAATTTGCGGCGCAATCGATAGCGTCGGCGGAGAATTGACGCCAGTGGAGCCGAGTGAGGACGTTTATGCCGGGCGGAAGGGTCTCCGATCGGACCCGAGGTGGCGTTACTTTCTTTCCCCTTTGTACTATTTTATACGCCGCATTTTATTTAGGGTTTATCTAGCAATAGCATGTTTGAAAGGACACAAGCTGTCCATCTTCAAAACTTTCCCTTTTTTTGCAGTGTGCAGATGTACGTCGCATGCGGTCTTTGTATGTTGAACATACGAAAACCCCACCCGTGCACCGGAGTAGCGCCTTGATCGGCCAGACCTACTTCTGGAAAATTCCGCTCTAGGCTGCCCTTTTTTTTTTTTTTTTGAATTCCTAGTCCTGTGGAGTTTCCACCTACGCTTTACCTCAAACCATTATCCCGAACCTTGGATCCTATTTCAACATGCGCCTGTCTGTACCACATGCTATCTAAGTGTAAACTTATGTAGCCATTCTCACTGCACACCCGCCTAGCGGAACTAGACAGAGCAAATTGGTGTCTTTAATGTCAGCAATCATCATGGAGGCGCAATATACTTCATTTGAGACAAATCACTCATGTAACATAGCTTCGGCTCAGTGAGGAATCTGGTAATTCAGAATCGCACTACTTAGAGGTCTCTAGCGAGCCCACATGAGGCATGATTAAGGATTCGGTCTTCGCCTACCGAGGTTAGAACCATGTATGCCGTCCAATCTCTTAAACAACGGTGGTCATAAATCGCGCTAGCAGCCACCCTAAGAAAAAACTTTTTCAGTCAGGCTTAATTTAGCCCCCAAGCTACTCTATAGCGGACCCTTGCTCGGCTATGGTTACAAGCTGCGTCGCTATAATTTCTTGGCGGAGATTTTTCTTATTGATCATCTGGACACGACAGACTTTATCGCCCATAGGGTTCGGATATTCCGTCCAGAGAACCCTTGAAATCGGATCGACTCCACCTTGTTGCAGTGGGTCTCTATATTACTTACGAATGCGGTGATTGGAGGGTACCGACAGTCCCCACAAGCTTGGAAGTCTTAGCCAGGGGAATGGGAATTGATTGAGATGAAAATTCTTTTTAGGGGCCTCATACATTGAAGGAAATCAGAGGAAAGGGGTACATATACTCTCATGTACGCCTAGGGAAAGTACCTAAGGATAGATCAGATAGTAATGTTGTAATCAACATCCACTCCCGTCGAGGTCAATATTTTCGCTCCCGGTTTTGCGGGAGGAGGGACGGATGAAGGATATCGCTGGGTACGTGATCTGCCGCCTGAAGCCGCTTAAAGCCGCCTGAAGAAAATAAAGAGCGCGGTGTGTGGCCCACGATGGAGACGTGGGCGCTACATGACCTCGGCCATACCATTGGTTGTTTTATATCTCTCTTTTTCTGGAAAGCATACTTCGTGCCTGAGTGGCTGTGAAATAGGGATTTTGCCGACCAATAACCCTCGAGCTGCGCCCCAAAGGGTCCAAGGGAAATGAATTGAGATCATTGGACCGATGACGGGTTCAGGCTGTGTAGGGGGCGTTGTCGAAGGCTGAGCTTTCCCGCCCCAAGATTTGCAAATTTTTTCCCGAAAGGGAAATTCGTGTCTTATTCTACCTTGAGAGCCATTTTGACAGTGCCCGATTCTGACCAAACCAGTCGTCATAGCACTTTTTATGGTGCAAATTTACGATGAAGCAGAGCAGTAATTCGATCGCATGGCTTGGACCGATTCCACAGTTCGAACCTGCTATGAGAGATGATCGGCCCCCAACCTGTAACCTCCTAGGCGCGCCGTTTTTGCGGATGTAAAGTACCACTGAGATACCTCTCTCTTTTTCCCATTTTCGACACGCTCAAGTTCCATCATCTCAGCCCGTTATCTATCTTTTTTATACAATATGAGCATTCCACCAACATGTGAAACCAGCAAGCTCAAGGTATCCCTGCGTGTCTTTGCTCTGCTATTGTCAGTTGTTGGCATTGCAGTTTATACCAGCACGTACCACCGAAGTGCATAGATATATGATGTTATTGTTCGTCAACCCTTGTGATGCACTTTGCGCCCCATTCGAAACCGAGACATACGATCCGTCCACAGTTCGCCGTCCCAGGATTATACTCCCTGATTGACGCCATTTTAATCCTTGTCAAGCGCGCCCTAGTTTTCACATCACCTTGGACCTGATTTATGCTGCTAGTATGCTATTTTTTAGCATCATCGGCGTTGTTAGATACTCCGCATACAGATAAGAAAGGGTTAATAAGAGGAACAGCCTAATCGCCACTCTAGCAATCATCATCGTCAATGGGTAAGTCAAAGCTTCAAATCTACATTTTTCATTGTACTAATTCCATTGTTAATAGACTCGTTCACTCTGCCCACTTTGTCTTGGGCTGTTGCGATGTACACCTAAGACGACACGCCGGAATTTCTAAGCACTATAATCACAGGAAAGAGGGCATCGAAATCTCCAAGGCTTGATTTGGGTTGCCTATGTGGAAACCACTTCGAACCACCCCAGGACCTTCTGGGTTGCGAAGGGGATAATGATATGTTGATACGAATTTTCTACTAGAACGGAAGACCAGGATTTGATACCTCTGGGTAAATATATAATGCTATTGCTTTAATTCGAATAAGCTTTCTTGACATCCCGTCTCTAAACGGGAATCTTCTGACGAACAGCGAGAATGCGATCGGTCGCCTCCGCAAAAGAATCCGACGACAATGACCCGTCTTGTAGAGCAGAAATGAGGGAATCAACAATAGCCTCGCCCTGGGTAAGATTCTTCGCAGACGCAAGAAGAATATCCATCCCAGCCTGAGCAGCCAACAGGCCTCTTGATGCATCATTCCCAAAGGCTTCCAGCGCTCCAGCTTCGATGGGATCAGTAATTGTGACACCCTTAAATCTAAGTCTTCCTCGTAGCTCTCCTTGAACCCGGGCTTTGCTCAATCTTGACGGATACTTGGAATCTAACGCAGGATAAAGCGCCCATGAACTCATAACCATGTCCAGACCAGCAGCGATAGCCTTGGTATATAGCGCCTGGTCGACGGAGCGGAGTTCCTCAAGACTCAGATTGATAGTGACGGGCTCCACGTCTGTGTCTTCGTTCTTCCCGGCAGCTCCAAGGCCCGGGAAATCCTTTGCAGTTACGATGATACCCGTGCGTTGCTGGGAGTAGATGAATGCTGAATCACAAGTTCCCATTAACCCCGAAGTATTGCCGTATGAGCGCCTGAATTGATCATCGAACTCACCCGTTTCTCGATATATATCAAGAAAAGGTGCGAGGTTCGCATTTAGATATTCAGCCTTGAGAGCGCTGGCTGCATCCTTTCCGCTCTGAGCGGCCGTGGCCTTGGGATTCTTCGATTGGCCGATTTGTTTGGCACTCATTGTAGGTCCTCCCGGTAGACGGCGGACTTCACCTCCTTCCTGGTCAGTCATGATTACGAGAGGAGCCCCCAGACTAATTGGGCTCCGTCTATAGGCTTCTTGGAAACCCTGAACGATCGTACTGAGGTTGTCCGCGACGTTCCCCCTGAACAAGATTATACCGCCGACTTTCCCTTGCTTGATTAGGTCGAAGAGGTGGTCTGGCGGCTGGACGCCGGGATATGAATTGAACCGACAGATCGTTGGTAATTGCGCCGTAGACGGCTGGGGCGAGTCTTAAAAGACCAGGTAGAAGCTGAGATGTCGTGGGCCACCGCATTTTTGAAGGCGTGTGAAGTTATGGACAGCTCCGTCATTCATTCACCTTTAAAGTCATACTCGCATTTTGTCAACGTTTTAGGAAGGCGTGTTGAAAACTACCCCGGCATTTCCTGTTACCTTGATCGACATTCACCGACCCTTTCTGGCAGACACGCCGCAGTGAAGATACGACGTATTTGTTCCACTAACCTATTAAACTTTTTCGTTTCAGGTAGAGTACAATTGTACCAAGCTCATTCGCCTGAAGGCAATCACAGATATGGACCGCCTTGTTATCTTTGAACATGAAGTGATTAGCTTGCTTGATAAGGGAATTGGACCAATACAGCCGAACTTTCTGTGAATGTCGCATTTCGAAAATAGAGAATTGATTTTGGATCAATACTTCTAAACTTGTCAGGAACAATTGCTCCTCGAGTGCATGGACCTGGTAGACGTAGGATAGTTGTAAATGTGTTTAGGGCAGAGATTGGAGAATACACGGGCCCTGCCCATGGCGGTTGTGGTGGTGGCTGCCAGTTAAGCAACGCTATCGGTGGACCTGATAGATCTCCGAGTCGTGGATGGTCGATTTTCGCCTTTTGCAACACTTAGCCCGTATCAAACCAAATATAATTCCTGGACTAAAATCGCCACTCACCATTGTAAAGCCATGTTCACCACTGATGTCCATTCCTCCAACACACGTTCATCCCCCAGGTGGGGCCTAGCCGTCTGAGGAAGCGAGGATCGACACGGCAGTACGAGGGATCTTCAGGTCTCTATCCAGGTATTTAGAGGGATCAATGCGGATTCGAAATGACACCATCATACGGGGAACCTTACAAAATATAAATGTGAACTTAAATCGAAGCGAAATCTCTAAATACGGGTTGTACTAACACCATCCGAAAACTTGGGCACAGATAAACGATGTAAATCGAGAACGGCGATTCGGTCAGCATCCTTCTCTGCCGAATGCACAACCGAAGGAAAGAAATGATAGCCAAAGATTTGGAAGAGAGAAAGGCTACGCTATGTAAATATCAAAAAAGAAGCGGCGGAGAGCGATCAGAGGACATAGAATGAGACTAGTAAATTATAAGCAACTCAACACCTTCTATTGGCAATGCAAAGGATATTTATCCAGGATTGAGAGCCCATGGATCTAGTACAGGAAGTTTCTCGTCACTGACTTGCGAAAAAGAGGGTTACCCCCGTCTTCTTTGGTGCCAAAAAAGGTGCAATTGAATGTTCCAAACCCCGACAGCATGGGAAGATTCATGGCGTTGGAGTACGCGCTAGCTATAGCAGATCCCTTCCAGTCTAGGAAAGCTGTCGTATTAAACAACTGGTCCTAATTATCGGAGATACTTTGCTGCTGTCGATGAGGAGGCAGCTCTTGAACCTTGGCACTACAACCGGTCGTAATTACGATAAGCAAATCCAAGTGGAAAGGAGCTATATGACTGGCCACCTACATAAAAGCCTTCATTATTTTAGAGATCTCGGAGAATATTGCTTTCTCTACTCTAATGTACTCTACAGGGACCGCCTGAAAGTAATCCCCGTGGTTCTGGTTGCAGACCCTGGCCACCATCTCTACCGCCCCACTCCGCCCCACTCCGCGCAACTTCCCGATTCGGTAGTTCATATTCGAAATTCTTGGCATTTTGTCCTTGGCCACTATATTATATAAAAGTGGCGGCCGCGTGTGGGTATTCGCGCAATTTTCCGAGCTCAAGCTACACAACAATGTCTCGGGAGATTATGAAGCAGCGCGACTTTTACAGGCCGCATTGGGAAGCCAAGGGTAGAGTGGTTGTGACCGCTTAGGAATTTCATTGCTAGTGTGAAAGGACGTTGGAGTATAAAACACTCCCTAGGCGTGAAAATCAAGCTCATAACCAGCCTCGTCATCTTTGATACCCAATGTCAAGAGGCTTCCACGCCTAAGTTGTCCAAAATGGCGATCCCCACAGAGCCTGCGGACAATCACACAATTGGGCCTGATCTGGAGAAGCTGGGTAGAGAGCGTCCATCTCACTTCTCCGGTCGATGGTCAGAGCTGGCTTTCTGCTTCTCTATTGTGATGTCCCAGATATTAGCAGTGCGTAGCCTCTTCACCCCGCAATGTTGCCACCCGACTAACATCCTCCCAAGGAATTCTACATCACAGGATCCAACCTTCTACTTCCAACTCTGGTGACAGAGCTGGGTATTCCAGAAGCCTCCACAATATGGCCGACCACCGCGCTCTCACTTGTTATTTGCGCAACGCTCCTCATCTTCGGTCGCTTGACAGACATGTATGGAGGATACCTTGTATACAACGCCGGCGCCATCTGGCTTACCATCTCCTCTATTCTCGCCGGCGTCTCGACAACGTGGTTGATGCTGATCATTTGCCGTGCACTGCAAGGCCTGGCCCTCGGAGCACTCCTCCCATCCGGAATGATGATCCTCGGTAGCACGTATCGCCCAGGCCCTCGGAAGAACCTTGTCTTCAGTATCTACGGCGCATGTGCCGCTCTGGGCTTCTTCGCCGGCTTCTTTGTCTCGGGAATCTGCGGTCAGTTCCTAACATGGAGGTGGTACTTCTACATTGGCGCAATCCTATCCGCCATTATGGCTGCGTCATCGATTTTCTCGGTTCCTCGTGACTACTACGAGAAGAAGGAGCTCGGTATTTGTATGGACTGGCCTGGACTCATCCTCTCCATCACGGGTACTACACTTTTCGTTTTCGCCATTGCGGATAGTTCATATGCACCACAGGGGTGGAAGACGCCATACATTATCGTCTTCTTTGTCTTGGGCGTCATCTTGCTAGGATCAATGGCTTATGTTGAAGGGTGGGTTGTTCGCAATCCTCTTCTTCCTAGTGACATTTTCCAAGTGAAGCACATGACAGCTCTTGTCATCGCTTTACTGTTCCTCTATGGAAGCCTGGGGATTTTCCTCCTCTACGGTGTTCTCTAGTGAGTAAAAATATACCTCTGTTTCTTCGACTATATTTGCTAACTGGGTCTTAGTATGTCTGATTTTATGGGCGGTTCACCTCTCCAAATCGTCGCCTGGACTGCCCCAATGGGCGTTGGGGGTTTGATTCTCTCCGCAACCGGTGGATTCATTCTCCACAAGGTATCCGGAACCTTGTTGATGCTCATCTCCTGCCTCGGATATGTGGGATCTGGACTGCTTTTCGCCGTCATTCCGATTGGCGGAAACTATTGGGCGTACATTTTCCCAGCTATGATCTGCGGTACTGTCGCCATTGACATCAGCTTCAACCTCGCCAATATATTCATCACGACTAGCTTACCCAGGTCGAGGCAAGGACTTGCCGGAGCCCTCATTTATTGTACTATGCATCTGGGTATTGCTGTCATGCTCGGCTTTGCGGACATCGTTCAGACTCAGACAAAGCACCTCCGCGTTCGGAAAAGCTACAAGGTTGTTTTCTGGTTCCAAACTGGGTTGGCCATTGCTGGGCTGCTTATAGTTCTATTATTTGTGAGAATTCGTCATGCGAAGAGTGAGTTTACAGCAGACGAACTCCGGGCTATGGAGCCACGGGAAAGCATAAACAGGGAAAGCATAAACAGGGAGAGTGAGGGGGTGTAATATTCATGTTATGACGATCAAAGACATAAAATGCATAGCAATATTTTTCCAAAGCTGGTAATAAGCCAATCGCGTACGCTTTTTGATTAAAAGACAAAACATACCGCATGTTGCATCTGGCATCTCGAGTTAGCGTCAGACGCAGCGCGTCACGAACCAGCGCAGCAATATCCTCGTATGAAGTACTTGGGTGGTCGTGCATGTGCCGTGACAGGCTATAAGGACCTTTTTCACGTGTTGAACCTGGTTCCTGAACGCCACATGTCTATCTACGAAGCTATTATGAAAGCTGCCGTGATGTATAATACCATGGACTTTTATACAAAGGAATTTTTATCTCCCGGTCCAGGATATCTCAACAGTGATATAACCACACGGTCTTATCTTGATAGTAGATTTGTGTTGGCGCTAGTAATGATCTAGATTATAAATCGCTTTTTCAAGATGCCGGTCGCTGGAGTCGCAGCAGCAGTGACTGTTCCCTTTGTCAACCACAAAGGGAGGTGATATCCTCAGGTACATAAGGCTTCAAAATATCAATAAGGCTTGAGAGAGGGAGCCAATCCAGAATACCATGAATGGTCTGTACGGGCTGTCCACTGTATAGAACGCGAGCGTAGAGTTGATCACTCTTGGCATCAGTTTCCCTTTAGAACAATTAGCGAGAAGCTTTCTATGAATAGGAATAATTATGAGGACTTGCCAGATTTCAAAAGCAATGTTGGAGGCCATTGCCGGCCACCGGAGAGCATTGATCCCCAGTGCTCCTAAGATGGGACCAATATCACCATCATGAATGAAAAAGTGGCTGTAATCGATGCTGGATTCACCGTTCTGTACAGCCTGCAGACGGGTAACAATCTCGCCGATGAAAAGGCCCTCGACCACTTGAATGTACTTGGTAACGTAGGGGTTGGTGCGCCAGTAGTAATTCCATTCCCAGTCACCGGCTCGGAAGACCTCGTCTGCCATGGCCATGGTCACACATTCAGAAGAGTTAGAGACACTGCACGGCAACATGTATCCATTACATAGTCGGGCTTGGAAGTTGTCGGAGAAGTGGTCAAAAGTAGTTTGCCACGAAGAAGATGTAGCGCCCAGCATAGAGCCAAGCTGCGAACGAAGATTCTCGGTGACAGTCAGATGCTCATTCCACTCATCGGTTAATTCGAGCTGATTGAGAGTAGAGCTAATGGCGGAGCAAGAGTATCCCTCGTTGACAGTGTCCACCGAAGAGACCATTTGGTGCAGAGGCAAGGCACCCTTGTACGCGGGCCAGACACCACGGAGAACTGCACCGGCGGAGTCTTGGGTCAGAGCAGAACTGCTGGAGCGGAACCAGACACGGTTGTTTGGCTCCTTAGGAATGATACCGAGCTTCTCCCCGTAGACGCCCCACAGATCCTTGCCATGCTGGAAGCCATCCTGGACACCGCCGATGGTGATTTGCGGGTACTGGCAGGTGCCGTTTACGCCCGGGGTGAAGGGGTTTGACGGATCCTGATAGGTTTGAGCGTACATCGGCATTGGTTGCATGATATTGTTATCACTAGGGCCAGCATAGAGATACGGGCGCACATTGTCGCACTGGTAAGCTTGGTTCTGTCGAAGACGTCAGCGCAGTTCGATTGTTCCGGGAGTTTGTGGTTTACCTCGCCACCAGGCAGGATGTTGTACGGACTGCGTCTCTGGTGACGCTGAAGATACTCGAGGTAAATAAGCTTTCCCTTTACAGAGCCCTTGGCAATGGGCTCCGGGAGCTCATACTCTTGAGTGCGAGGGTGGGGCATTGAGCAGTAGTCATAGGTGCCGTACGGAATTCCGCCGGTCGGACCATTAGTCGGCGCCTTGTAAATGCCACCATAGGTTCCAATTGAACTGTTGGAAATGTAGGAGGTCTGATTGAGATTGGGCGGGTAGAAAGTGTCCAAGGGGCTCAGGCCAAGGGCGGGCCCCGTAGCCCCAAGAGCGAGTGCAGCGACGGTGACACGCATCACGAACTGAGGATTGGGAAGATTTCTCAAGCTTGAATGAAACTCAAGTGTCATTGTACCGGTAGCACTTGAGGTCCAATATAACGGCCGTGTCGAGGAGAGAGCGAGGACGTTCGATGGATCGACTTTGCCGACGCCTCCACTCGCGCGCAGCCAGTCGGCACTTCAGCTTCACTCCACGTGGGGACAGGCACTGTCACAGTCACAGACGCGATGTTGCAGCTAAACGGGACCGGCACGTTTGACACTGTATTTGCCGAAGAACGTGGCACCGCGTTGCCGCATCTCCGAATGGGACGGGAGATGTGAGATGTGTCGGGGTGTAAACAACGTTGCCTTGCAACGTCGACACAACGACTTTTTAAATGCCTTACTAGATACCTTTTAAACTCACTTTCCACCCCAACACTGACCTTTGAGCGTCACAAGGGCTTTTTGATTGTTCTTCTCGCCACCAGCTCAGTTGCTTCCCACCCCGCTTTTAATTATGTGGGGTCCATCCCTTGTCCTGGCGATGATGGCTGCATGGCCCTTGCCAGTCCAATCCTCGTCACTGGCCTCGTTTGCTTTAGAGAAGGTGCTCGATGATGCGACGCCTATCTTTGGCTCATATGTGAACGAGACAGGAAGCAATGCAGAGTGGATGAAGAACTACGCTGATTGCACTCCCCTTGTCCACATGAACATCCCCGGCACCCACGATAGCACGTCATGGAACTACACGCAAGCAACTCAAGATGCTCTTCGTGGCATCACAGACCTCAGCCAGGTTACTGTGCCAGTGCCTCAAACTTTTCGGTGTCAAGCTCTACCCCTGATTGATGCGCTCAATATGGGAATCCGGGCATTTGACTTGCGCTACGCGTTCGATCCCACCAACAGCACCCTCGTCTTCTACCACTCCCAAGCTCTGTTTTCAGAGACTGCTACTCTAGATGACGTCCTCTTTGGTTTCTACCAGTGGCTTGATGACCATCCATCGGAGACTTTGTTCCTGTCTCTCCAGTATGAGGGATCAACCGGAAAATACGCGTCAAACAACGCGGCGGTGCAGCTCAAGCTATACGAAGCACTGACCTCCCGAGTATCCCGACAATACTTTGTTCAAAGAAAGAGCGAATTCGGGACCCTGGGCCAAGCGCGTGGGAAAATCACCCTGTTACGCCGTTTTGACCTGGATCAATTGTCGGACTTTTACACCAACTCGTTGCCTGGGCTTCACTTCTCGCCGAGCCTATGGACTGACAACAGTCCCAACATCATTCTCACGTACAATGAGAAGAACAATCTCACGGCATACATCGAAGACTATTACCAACCAATAACACCCGAGGGATCTAGTGCCACCGAAAACATCCAGTGGAAATACAACGCTACAACAAGTCACATTCTCAAGGCGACCGCTGAGCACCCCGACAGTCTTTATTGGACCTGGGCGTCGAGTGAGAATACTGACAATGTTCCGCCGGAATGGCCACAAATCATGGCTCTCGGAAATGGTTCTTCAACTCCCGAGGGCGGAGTCAACCAGCGTCTGGTTCCATTTCTGAAGAAGCAGATTGGAAAGCGGGTTGGCATTGTTATGTTTGACTACTTCGAAGGGCCATCGGACCTGATCGATACATTCTTGAGCCTTTAGATAGCGCAGCATTAGAGAGACGAACTGCACGTTTTCGCCGGTGCCGAAGTAGTCGGGGAAGTGGCCATGGTATGCCCGTGCGTACTAAGTCCGACGCCCGTATACCTGACTACCAGGAACACCAGGCTGCTTACCCAAACCTTGAAAGTAACTGAGCTTTCCGAAATGTGCTCTTCCATATCTGTAGGGCTTACCCGCGCCCGCCCGTAGTGAACTCCCGAAGATGCCCGGCGCCTACATTAGCACGCATCGGAGGTCGGCGGCATCATACTCGGCTGCAACCACCAATGCGCTGACGACTGATCCCGCAGAAACTGCTGGTACGCCTCTTTATCATTCGTTTCTTTGGCCGTATAATGGCCACCACCGCTGATTTGTTTCGTGTGGTTGGAAGAAGGCGGGAATCGTCGCACGGTTGGCTAGTGGGACTCGTAAACCTTGGAACCAAATGGCCAGGCTTTGGCCATTTTAGACGTTCGAACAAATAAAAGAGGAGAAATTGAAACACGAAAAGTCACTCTGTCGAAACTGGTCACGCTCATCATGGTCAGCAAACCAAGTTGGGGGATATAAAACTAGGCTCTATTTAACTAAGCCCAATGAGACTCCCGGACCACGATGGCGGCCAAGGGGGAGTTTCGCGAATGCATTAAGTCAGCCCTCTCAAAAATCCAAAGATCAAAATATTCCAATACATCTTTCTGGGAGTTTGGGGGTTTACGTGGGAATTTGGTATTGCCACTGCCCACTCCTTGGCGATGTAAATTCCGAGGTATCGTAAACATTTGCCTGCAGAAAGCTGAAGTACCTCGGCATCGCCTATTCACGGGAACGGCAGAGAAAGAATAAGAAGGATCGCTCACAAATAAGGACCGAACCACCGAAGGGTCCAGTAAGCTTGATCGGGATCCACCGTGGAAGAGCCGGGAAGCCGATGCCCCAGTGACATCATCGATTGCAGCTCAGCTATTATTTTCACCTCTTGCCGAGGATCTTTTTACCTTAAAACAACATAAACATCTCTAGGCCATTCTGTTACCTTGCTGTGTGCCTGGCTATCCGACGACTTGACTCTATGATCTCGGCCTCTCCCTATCTCGACTTCCCCCGCTACCCACCCCCTGCCGATCTCCCGTGAATCTTCGCGAATACCGCGAACCATGTCAGTAGCGGCCAGCAACGGTGCAGAGTCGCCAACCATGCAGAATGGAGGCCCCCAATCAGGGGACTGGCCCGATAATGCTAGCCTGCCATCTTCTCATGACACCGATCGAGTGGAATTTAATGGCGATGGATTGAACACCGGTGTTCGAGTCCTAAGTGCGAATCCCACGGACAGACTCGTGCCGTATTGAATGCTGACAATTCACCCAACATCACAGGCGACGGTCGACTGGACATCAAAATAAACGAACACAAGCCCAGTTTAGCAGGTCTTCTGAACAAAATACAGGGTACACCGATGCCATCAGATGTTGAACGAGTCAACTCAAAGGCGAGCGTACCAAAGGGTGACGGAACGCACTTTCCGTTAAACCTCAACATCGTCATCCAAGTCATCGGCTCACGGGGTGATATCCAGCCATTTGTCGCACTAGGAAAGGAGCTGAAGAAGCACGGCCACCGGGTTCGACTCGCCACTCACCTGGCCTTCCGCGATTTCGTTCTCGATGGCGGACTGGAATTCTTCAACATCGGCGGAGACCCTGCCGAACTGATGGCCTTTATGGTCAAAAATCCCGGTCTTCTCCCAAACGTCAGCACAATCCGGAGCGGAGCCATCCAAAAACGTCGAAGAGAGATGAAACAGATCATCGAGGGGTGCTGGAAATCATGCTTTGAAATGGGGGACGGTACACACATGCACCAGATCAAGGAAGATCCTTTCGATGATAGTGTCGATTATCGGAGGCGTCCATTTGTTGCGGATGCAATTATCGCCAACCCTCCCAGTTTGGCGCATATCCATTGTGCGCAGCGGCTGGGAATTCCTTTGCATATCATGTTTACGTGAGTTTATCGCTTTTGACCGTCATTTCCCCATCGTCTAACTGTGTTCAGGATGCCGTGGTCACCCACTCAGTCGTTTTCGCATCCGTTAGCCATTATCCACCAGCAAGACTGCAAGCCGTCGGTAGCAAACTTTGTTTCCTATGCTATTGTCGACATGATGGTGTGGGAAGGTCTTGGGGATCTCGTGAACAAGTTTCGCAAAAACATACTAGCTCTCGATCCATTGGACAGCATCACCGCGCCAAGTTTAATACACAGGTTGGAGATTCCGTGTTCTTATCTTTGGTGAGGTTTCGACATTCTCCTACTTTGAAGGCTTAGCTAACGAGCCATCCGTTTTCTATAGGTCCCCTGCCGTTCTTCCAAAACCAGGAGACTGGGGCGATAATATCGATATCTGCGGATTCAGCTTCCTCCCCGCCAAGTCAGATTACGAACCACCGAAAGAAATAAAGGAATTTTTGGAAAAAGGACCCACACCTATATATGTTGGATTCGGCTCAATCGTTGTCGACGACCCAATCAAGTTGACCAAAGTGGTGTTCGAAGCAATCAAAAAGTCCGGCCAACGCGCAATCGTTTCAAGAGGCTGGGGTAACCTGGGAGTAGAAGATGTTGGCGTCCCAGATAACATCTTGGTCATTGGAAGCTGTCCTCACGACTGGCTTTTCTCCCGAGTATCATGTGTGATCCACCATGGCGGTGCCGGCACAACAGCAGCAGGTCTAGCGCTTGGATGTCCAACAATCATCGTTCCATTCTTCGGTGACCAGGAATTCTGGGGACGGATTGTTGCAAGAGCAGGGGCTGGCCCACTTCCGATTCCGCACAAGCAGTTGACGGTGGACAAACTGAGTGCTGGAATTGAAATGGCTCTGAAGGATTCAACGAAGGAAAAGGCACAGGAGATTGCGCAGAAGATGGAGGGTGAGTCGGGGACAAAGAAAGGGGCTTGTAGCTTCCATCGCCAACTTGATCTGACTCCTCTGCGGTGCGCTATTTGTCCTGATCGCCCTGCTGTATGGCATCTCAAACATACTCAAGTCGGACTGAGTGCGTTTGCAGCATCGACATTGGTCGAAATGGGAAGATTGAAGGCCGAGAACCTCGTCCTGTAAGTGGCTCTCATGTTTGGGACAAAAAGCAGTGTACTGACCTGATAGGAACCGCCCGATGGAATACGATACCTACCGCGACCCTGCCGGACCACTCAGTGCCAGCGCGCAGGTTCTTTTCGGTGCAATTTCAAACTTTGTAATAGGGCTAGCAGACGTCCCGACTGAGATGGTCTCTGACCTCATCTCAGCTGGAAAGCAGCTGGGTCATAATCATCCTCATCACCACCCTGACCCTCGCAAGAAGTGGCGCATGCGCGAGCCGCACAACAACGACGAACTCGTCAGTGAAGAAGGCTCAGAGGAGCAGATGAATCAGCAGAAAAATGGAAATCCAGAAGAAACCATGAATAACTCTACTCATGAGTCCATGGATAATTCTGTCGGTCAAAGCGGGAGTGGAACACGCGGCGACAGCCAGAGCGAAGATGATATTGATGGTGAAGACAGCGTGTCTGCCTCTAGTGACTTAATTCCCGACTCTGGTTTGGATCGGGTACGAAGTCTGCAACTTGAGAAGTCACAAACTATGAGCAGTGAGATCGCATCCTCCAAGCCTCATGGTTTCATCGGCGAGGTTGGCATCCATGGAGGAAGGATGTCAAAGCAATTCATCAATTTTATAATTTGGCTTCCGACAGATCTCACCCTCAGTATGTCCAAGGGTTTCCATAATGCGCCCAAAATTTACCACGACAATACAGTGAAGCCAACTCCAAAAGTCCATGGTGTTCGGAGCGGATTTAGAGCCGCTGGTCATGTACGGTCCACTCCCAAGTTTATTCTTCTGTATCTAACTGACTCGACTGCAGGAATTACGCGATGGATTTTATTACGGCGTCACTGGTCTGGTCACTCAACCTCATCTTGGATACAAAGAGTCGGGTACAAAGGGGATGATGAAGGGGGTGGGCAAAGGTCTTGCTGGTGCCTTTTTCAAGCCTCCAGCTGGTATGCTATCTCATTCCATCGCTTCCACGGTGCATCTAGCTAATTTGTAACAGGCATATGGGGACTCGCTGGATACCCTCTGAGTGGAGTTCGCCGTTATCTGTTGGAGTCATTGGGCAAGACACAGGAAGGTCAAATTGTGGCGTCACGCATCACCCAAGGACACGAAGAAATGCGAGCATCATCGGCCGAAGATAGAGCGGAGGTGGCCAGGAGGTGGATCTTGCTAGAGGAAAAGCTTTGCAAGGAGAGTCGGCGATGTCGCCGTCGCTCGCGCTCACATGGACGCTCACGGGAAGGCCCACAGACCTGTTCTATGGCATCGCCGTCTAGAATAGTAGTTACATAGTTATCTTCTAATGTATATACTACAAGAACCATCCAATCCATGGATCCAGTATACCATGTTTCCCATTCGGCCCAAATCCATGATTCGGAACGCAGAAGCGGACGACATCCATTGGACAGCAGTCTGCGGTTGATTGGGTAAACGGGAGGAGAAAAAGCCTATCACCTTCCTATTTCGATCTCAACGTTCAGCCATACTGCCTTTTATCGGACGACCCTTTCCATTTCTCCGGTTACTCTGAGATGGAATGTGAGACCCGACAAAGGGATCGGAGATGTGCCGATGTCCACTCCGGGGGAATCCCCGGCCACCCCAGAAATACCCCGGACTTGAACTTCCCTGGCGGGGACGCTCCGGGTATAAATCCACTCTTTCCCTGAATGTTTGTTTTGAACTGAGCACCTTGGACTTTCTCCAAAATGCGGGCCACACATTCACCGACATACCTCGGCCTCAAAGGCCAAAACCTCATTTACGCGGTTACACTATGCTGCTCATTCGGCTTCCTCCTCTTCGGCTATGACCTGGGTTTCATGGGCGGCTTGACAACATCACCTACATTCCTAGGGACGTTCGGAAACCCTCAAGCCTCACTCCTCGCATTTCTAGTTGCCTCCTACGAAGTCGGCGCCATGATAGGCGCATTATTCCAATTCCTGAACGGCGATCGATTCGGCCGCAAAACCAATAACATGGCCGGCGCCGTGATTGTCGCGATCGGTGCAACCCTACAAGCTTCCAGTTTCTCACTGCCTCAGTTTCTCGTCGGTCGCATTGTTGCGGGATTCGGACTCGGTATGATGACGACCGTGATTCCGATCTGGCTTTCCGAGTGCAGCATGCCCAAATCTCGAGGTCGGATGATGGCGATGCAGCTTTCGAATTTGATCGTTGGTCTGATCCTGGCGAATTGGCTTGACTACGGGCTCTCCAAATATGTCGGTTCAATGCAGTGGCGATTTCCCTGTGCTTTCCAGGTCATCTTTTGTATCATTGTTCTCTGCTTCATGCCTTTCCTCCCCGAGTCGCCCCGTTACCTGTGCGCGACAGGAGAGACCGAGGCTGCAAAGATCTCCTTGGCTGCGCTCCGGGCTGGATACCCCGATGATCCAGACGTGATTGAGGAATACAAGGAGATTGAATATGCCATCGCGGTCGAGGCGGAGGAAGCAGGTTCCTGGGCCGACGTGTTCAAAGACAACGGTATCAGCGGATTCTCACGAGTGGCGATCGGCTTCGCTGCCAACTTCTTCCAACAATTGTCCGGGTGCAATGTCATGTCGTCTCTCGGTCCGTACGTCTTCGAGGATTCGATTGGAATGACACGCAACGACGCGATGCTCGTTGCAGGCGGCCTGCAGATATTCTACTTCCTGAGTAGTTTGATACCCTGGCTGATCATCGATCGAGTCGGGCGCCGCAAACTATTCATGATCGGGTCTACTGGTATGGGTATTTGCATGATGTGCTCTGCGATCTTCGTGGGCATCGGAACAACGAATCTCGGATACGCGGCTGCAGTTATGCTATACCTGTTCCAGACATTCTTCACCTTGGGATGGCAGTCCAACATGTGGATTTACCCTAGCGAGATGCTACCCTTGAAGCTGAGAGGACGTGGTGCTGCACTGGCTGTCGTGTCGCAGTGGATGTTTACATTCCTGGTTGTTGAGATCACCCCGCCAATGATTACCAACATTGGGTACAAGAGCTACATCGTCTTTGCGGTGATTAACTTTGCGACCGTGCCGTTTGTTTACTTCAACTTCCCAGAAACCAGGCAGATGCCTCTCGAGGCGGTTGATCTGCTCTTTGCCGACCGTGATGGCAAACGGCCTTCTCTTTGGCGCGTGGTTCAGGATTCTGTAAATCCGGACTTTGTCGCGGGGGTTAAACTGCAACTCGAGGAACGAGCGAGAAACAGGATGGAACCAAGTGACAAGCTTTCTGAGAAGGGAGGACGTATGGAAGTGGAGGTAGCATGATTCACGATGAGATGGAAGCCTCGAATGTATTTTATTTTAAATTGCAGATAGCCAATAATTTCTTCAAAGTGGTAACGGAAATATCGTACAATGAACCCTGAATCTTGGAATCGCCTAATTGGGCTCAATTACCCGAAATTATGATTTAAATCAGCCGAATTTCAATACGCCACGCCGTGAGTCTAATTCACGGAGAACTCGGCGGAAGTCCGAGTGTTGTCTATCGGCCGGAACAGCTTAAGCTTCAACCGTGGCTATGGAATGTCATTCAGCATCACCTGGCAAGGCTTATTTTGCCCGTGCGATGGTTTGTTCGAGTTTGGAGATGACTCGGAGCTATCTCCGATGGACACCAAGGACCCTTATACGTAATGAATTTCCAGCACGCACGACCTTGACAAAATCGTTGAATTCTGGTCTCAACCATAGTTGCTTCTGTTTTAAACATTGCCTAGAATTTCTGGTATTAAAGACGGAAGTCTCTTGGATCCGTTAACAGCCACCTCCGCCAGCACCAGTCATGTTCATACCCTTGCCCGACACGGAAATGAGCATGAGGATGAACCAAAGCGTCATGCGCTTTTGCCACTCCCCAACAACCATACACATTGCCGTAGCCATAATAAGCTCATATACACGTGTTTCTCGTATATCGGCGAAAACTGTTCGCGACTTGACTCCCAATTCAAATTCAGAACCATCCGTCCCTTGAAAACTGTCAACCGTCTCAAGTAACTTGGAAACCGACGAATCGAAAATCCACAACTTCCCAAATTTCTTCGACGAGAAATCAGAAGTAAATTGAGCGAGAAACAATCTCGGCTTACCAGGAATCTCTGCAACTAATTTCAGATGATGGAGCGGCAACAGCCTTCTTGACCATTTCTCATCCTCATGGAGGTCTCTCGTCCCGACCCAGAAGAACGTGATCCCCGCATAGCAGAAGTGATATCGTCGGGGATTGATGAATGGCGACGACCATTTGAGCCTAACCACTTCATCCGCTCTAGCAGGCTGGAAATCCTCTTCTTCCCACCGATTTCGCCGCGTATTAACCATCTGGTGATACCGCTTCCCGGTCTCACCCCATACCCTCCACGAACGGACTTTATGCCCTTTCAATGCACGTTCATCGTTGGACGTGCTATTATCCGGTTTAGTGCGATATTCCCAACCCACTACGCCACGAGGATCGACGATATCCGATAAATTCGGAACAAACTGTATTGACCACTCTCTCCAGAAAGCAGAGGAATGGATAATGCACAGCGGATCTCCGTTTTTCTGACTGCCGCGGCGTAGAGTGCGCGGGGTATCGTGGAAGAGGAGAACAGGGCGGTGGATAAAGTAGCTGTTGGATTCGTCGGATCTTTGGTGTACCCTGGCGTAGTCGTTCGCTCTGTCTTCGTCCTTTTTCTTGTTGTATCCAAGTTCCTTTTTTAAATTGAGGTATGGAGTTATACGGATGTGCTCTTCGCCTTCATGGTAGACGTGGTATTCCGATAGGCGGTTTCGTGTGGCTAGTGCTTCCTCTAGTGTTGACATGTTTTCGGTGATGTGTATCTGATCGCACCTTCGCTACTTTTCAACACAATGAGTGATCAATCTTTCAAGTGTTGAAGAATGGCGAGGACAAGACAGGAAGTTCTGAACCTGGGAAGTGAGAACTGAGAGAATTTTTATAAATGTTTTATCTATCTCATCATGCGCTTGTACGAGGTAATGAACAAGGCGTTTTTTTGTTTTGGCCCCGTGGGGCGTCGACGTTCCTGTTTTTCAGAAGTGTCGGGCGCAGACAAGTCTTAATTGGGTAGAGATGTGGACCTCCAGCTCCAACAAATACAGAGACTTCATTGGGCCGAATACGCTTATTGCGGGGAAAATGTCTTGGATTGGAGGCAGTGAAAGTTCCTGATTCCCTATCTTCGTGGGCGGTGCAGGAGAGGTAGGTATAAGTTGCTGATTCAATCTGCAGACTTCGGATAATTCGGATGGTACTCTGGGAATAAGGGGGCCAATTCTTGAGGATCTGATAATCTTTTTCTACCATGCCTATTACCGATATTTTGAACAGTTAAAGCTGAAGCCGCTTGTGCGAAAACACTTCGCTCTCGCTTGGCGAGATCTTACTGAATAACGTCGCCTTCAGGAAGACCTTTCCAGGGAACTTAGGGGTCTTTGTGAATGCCGGGCTACAAAAGTGTTATGGGACGTTAACCATGTCTTGCGTAGAGTAAAGACATACCTTCCGCAGTTAGAGCAGAAATATCGCTACCAAGAAATGTAATTAGCATCGGTCGCAAATGGCAGCAGTGTACGTTAGTACCTCGATCACATTTCCGCTAGCAGTGTTTTTATCATCGAATCTCCTCAAGGCTGTGGTAGCATCTTGCACCGTCATGTCATCTTCAGAGATGAAGTAGTTGATGGAGAAGGCTGAAATCAATGAGCAACAGACTAATGTATAGCCATTGGCCTAGGAGCCTTACCTCCACCGGCTCTTTTGCAACTGTCACTGTACTCATAGTGTCAGTAAATCTTCACCCAATAAAGCCTCACTTTAAAGGAGCCAAAGGTACCAGTGGCATAGAACGGATTTGGCGGGTTGCTGCGGCAGCGTGATGTGAACGCTTTCGCAATTGCAATGGCCTGCATAAGACATGATGAAGGCAATTTATTTGTAGACCCAATCAAAAAGTTCATGCATAAACGCACGGGGACCTTGATGATGCTCACTGAATCTTGAAGTTTTCCGTGAAACGCCCGAGTCCGCCGCCGTTCTGAAGTGACGTCATCGTTGACGCTGGCGTCGAAGTCATCGTCATATATGAACCACATCCTACATACAGCCATTCTCGAAATCGGCTTGACGCAAACACACTTAACCACTCTTTTCTGGCCCCACAGCCGAGTCCTTAGCGTACATTAATCATTGAGCAGGCCGCGCGAAACTGATGGACATGGTAAAAGGCACCCAGTATGGCAATGTATCTTGTTACGTAAATTACATCGCGCTTACGAAAATTACCTGCTTGAAAGGGGTAGAGAGAGTTGCCTAGCAACCGGTTCCTTGCTGGGTGGCTTCAACTCTTCTTCTCAGCCAGTATGCATATATGCCGCCATCCCCCATGAGGGGTGTCTTATTAGTTTAAGCAATATCAAAGAATAACAGTAGCTACATGCCGTCTTGACTAGGGCTCTGTTGTTTGCGGGCGAACAGCAGGCTTGTCGGCAGCCGATGGTGTAAGCCTCAATAACTGTCACTCACCAAGTCTGTCATTATAGGAGGCCTAGAAATATGCGGCCCAGTTCTCTCGATATCCATGGTGGTTACGGTATTCAACAAGGTGTAAAATTTGATCCTTGGGACGATACATCCCAACATGCACCTAGACCTGACAACTCCCATCGTGCCCCTGCCTCCCCACCCGACATGAGCGATACCAGAATCGACCCCACATCCCCTATCGATCACGCCTCATACACTTCCGACTTGATTCCCGGGAAATAAATCTAATGATGCAAATCCTGATACATAGAGTGGATGGCCAATACCCGCTTTTAAGACCGCTTTCCGGAATACGCATTCTATTTATATGACGAAAGTGATGTTGAGGATAAGTCTAAGACGATCCACGGCACCGAATACGTTAACTAACTTAATCGGTAAGCGAGTGGGCCATGTAAGCGAGTGGGCCACCTCAAAACGCCATAGTAAATGCGATAATTTAAGAATAGAATATCTCAACAATCATAAGGTTGTTCGCCTTTATCTTTTATATCCTACTTATTTAGAGCATAAGAAGCCGAATTTAAGAGCCTAGGCCAATTTAATTCTGATTTGACAATCTTTACCAAAAATACACTGTAATTTAGCTCTTTGACTTTTGAATACATATTATCAATTCACCACATCTTGAAAACTTTCGAGACCTTCAAAATACGTTAAACTTAATATGAAAAGCACATGTATATAGGAAGACTTTACGAAAAGCTATGGTTGTTGAGATATGAAGTTGTAATTTATCGCATTTACTATGGTGTTTTGAGGTGGGCCACTCGCTTACATGGGCCGCTCGCTTGTGAATTACGTTAGTTATGTGGTGCTTACATTCCATCACGTCCTTTTGTCTCCTTCCCCTCACCCTATTCCCGAGCGTCCGCTGTAGAAATCTATCTCGCTATGACGATGGTATCTACGACCTCTATTAGTGGCACGAACGCTGGATTTCAGATAGGGCAAAATAATGGTCATGTCGACGCACACTTTCATTGCCACACTGGTAGGTTAGGAAGAAGCCCTGCCCAGGGAATACGCACTAAAATTGTATTCTCCCTTCTCAGAGCAATCTGAGATATCCGCAAACCGAGCCTGCCTACAGGATCTGCAAACAACCAATCCTGGCCATGACAAGGATCGTATCCAGACGGACAAGGGTGGGCTGTTGAGAGACGCATACAGCTGGATCCTCAACCATGCTGATTTCAAACAATGGCGCGATCAGCAACAGAGTCAACTGCTCTGGATCAATGGGGACCCTGGGAAGGGTAAAACAATGCTCTTTTGTGGAATTATCGATGAACTGACCGAGCTGGCCAAATCCGCTCCTAACACCACTGTCATCTCCTACTTTTTCTGCCAGGCTACCAACGTACGGATAAATCATGCCACTGCGGTCCTCCGCGGTCTAATATTTATGATGGTTGATCAGCAGCCATCCCTCCTATCCTATGTACGGCGACAGTACGACAAGTCCGGGAAGCAGGTCTTTGAGAATGCTAATGTGTGGGAAGCGTTATTAGAAATTCTCACTGGTATCCTCGGGGACCCGCTGTTACAAACCACCTATTTAATCATCGATGCTCTCGACGAATGCACCACAGGCTTAGATCGCCTTCTTGAATTTATCGCCCAGAAATCATCAGCATATCCACATATCAAATGGATCGTCTCGAGCCGAAACTGGCCAACCATCGAAGAGGCTCTGGACGAGACGTCACAAAAGGCCAAACTCTGTCTTGAATTGAATGCGGTGTCCGTCACTAAGGCCGTCGCTGTATTTATTGACTTCAGGGTGAAGCAATTGGCGTCAAAGAAGCAATATACCAATGAAATCAGGGATGCTGTTTCTCAGCACTTGCTGTCAAATGCACAGGATACTTTCCTCTGGGTAGCCTTGGTTTGTGAACAGCTCAGCAAGGTCCACAAACGAAACGTTCGGAAGAAGTTACAAGAATTCCCTTCTGGCCTCGATAAGCTTATAAGCGAATGTTGGGCCATATTAGCGAGTCGGATGAAGCTCAATTCTGTAAAGCGCTCCTAAGCGTTATCATGACCGTTTACCGCCATATCGCATTGAATGAATTGGCGTCTTGCATCGACGTACCTGAAGAAGTCGAAGACGATTTTGATCTAGCGGGTATAATAGGGCTTTGTGGCTCTTTCCTAACGCTCCGAGGGCGCACAATCTCTCTAGTTCATCAGTCAACCAAGGATTTTCTGCTTCGAGAAGCAGTCGATGAGGTTTTTCCGAACGGAGAAGACATGGTACACTATTCCATATTTTCAAAGTCATTAAGAGCCTTGGCCAGGACGCTACAATGCGATTTGTACAGCCTAGTGTCCCCCGGATATCCAATCGATCAGGTTAAACAGCTAGATCCAGATCCACTCGCCGCAATACGGTACGCGAGTATCTACTGGGCTAATCACCTAAACCGCTGTTCTCCAAGCAAAAACGCGATCGAAGACCTCCAGGATAGTGGCTCGGTGGGTATTTTCTTCCACGATAACTACCTTCATTGGCTCGAGGCTCTCAGCCTATCAAGGAGCCTATCAGAGGGAGTAGATTCGATACGAAGGCTGGAGAGATTACTTGAGGTCTGTTTCCATCAGTGGAGCTAAGACACTGTTTTAACGTTATTATTCTAGACAACCGCGGAGAATTCGCTGCTACTTAGCAGAGTTCGAGATGCACGCCGCTTTGTTCTATACCATACAATCGCGATTGAGAATCATCCACTTCAAGTGTACAGTTCAGGACTAATATTTAGCCCGGCCAGGAGCTTAACAAGGATGCAATTTACGACACAAGAGCCAGCGTGGATAATTCAAAAACCAACAATTAGGGAGCGTTGGAGCGCCTGCCTACAGACCCTTGAGGGTCATAGCGACTCAGTCTGTTCAGTGATCTTCTCCCATGATTCCAAACTCATTTCTTCGGCTTCAGAAGATACTACCGTCAAGATATGGAATGCTAGCAATGGGCACTGCCTACACACCTTCCAGGGTCATAGTGACCCTGTTAACTCGGTTACCTTCTCCCATGATTCTAAGCTCCTCGCCTCCGCTTCAAATGATGAAACCGTTAAGGTGTGGGATGCTAGTAGCGGGCATTGCCTACAAACCCTTGAAGGACATAGTGAATTGGTTTTCTCGGTCACTTTCTCTTATGATTCTAAGCTCCTCGCCTCAGCTTCAGACGATGCTACCGTTAAGGTATGGGAAACGAGCAGCGGGCACTGCCTACAAACCCTAAAGGGTCATAGTAGCGGGGTTAGCTCACTGACCTTCTCCTATGATTCTAAGCTCCTCGCCTCAGCTTCAGACGATGCTACCGTTAAGGTGTGGGAAACGAGTAGCGGGAACTGCTTACGCACGCTTAAGGGTCATAGTAGCCGGGTTAACTCGGTTACCTTCTCTAATGCTTCTGAGCTCCTCGCCTCCGCCTCAAACGATGCCACTATCAAGCTATGGGACACTAGCAGTAGCGAGCACTGTCTACAGACCCTCGAGAGTCATAGTAGCCAGGTTAACTCAGTCACTTTCTCCTATGATTCTAAGCTCCTCGCTTCCGCCTCAGAAGATGCCACTATCAAGCTATGGGATCCTAGCGGACACTGCCTACAGACCCTCGAGGGTCATAGTAGTAGGGTTATCTCAGTCACTTTCTCCTTTAATTCTAAGTTCCTCGCCTCGGCTTCCAGCGATAAAACCATCAAGCTATGGGATACTAGCGGGCACTGCCTACAGACCCTAAAGGGTCATAGTAGCTGGGTTAGCTCGGTTACCTTATCCTATGATTCTAAGCTCCTCGCCTCCGCTTCATACGATGAAACCGTCAAGGTGTGGGATGCTAGCACGGGTCGCTGCTTTCAGACCATCGACATTGGAACAGTCGCTTCAGTGAAATCATTTGACATTACCAACTCATACCTTGAAACTGATAGAGGTACAATTTGCTTGTCTTTATTTTCAGAGAGAGGGCCGACCAACACCGACCCCGAAATGCCACGATTTAAAGGATATAATATCAGTTCCAATGGTAGATATATCTCTTTCAACTCGAACATCCTGCTATGGTTGCCACCGGAGTATCGCCCAATTTCTTCTGCCGGATCACTTTCGACAATCTGTCTTGGTTGTGCGTCGGGACAGGTGCTATTTTTCACCTTTGATTCCCCGAGGTTATTGAATCTCTTTGCCACGCACTGAATCTCTTTAGATAACCTAGCTTTTTCGGAATACAGTCAACTTCCAGTCATAGCATAGCCCTCCGCCCAAAAGAAACCACATGTTATAAGTGGATTATCTAAACCATGAATGACGACAGTATATAATTTTTAGATAGCCCGAAGCCCTTATTCCCTGTATAGGAAACCATCTAATGTCGTCTGTTTCCTCTCATTCACCAGAACAGAGTGATTAAGTGTGTTCGTGTCAAGCCGATTTTGAGAATCACTGTAGGGTGACAAGAAATCATCTGAATGTTCCAATGTTCGAAAGATGCGATAAAGTCTAGCCAAGAAGGATCGTAAGGCTACTGCATTCTTGCGAAAACACCTACGTCAAGGGCATATTTCATATCGATTCCCCTTATGTGATGTATAGAACAACATAATAGTAGGCAATGATCCTATCCATCATATTCATGATGGATGGAGAGTGATCGGCCAGAAGATGCTAGATCTGAGCCGCTGGTGTTATCCTTGCATGGCCGTGAGTGAAAAGCCAATGGTTGCATATATTACGCAGCAAATTGATTCCCTCTACATACTCTTCCTAGCTGGCAAGGCACAAACAAGCCCCCATATCAACACATTGCAGACATCCGGAAACTCAAACTTTCAATTTTGGACGGTTCTCATCGCTTGCAACCATGCACCTGAGGGGTGCGATATCCCCTCCCACATTCGACTATTATCTCTGCTCGCCTGCACTGCCTGAAGCACCATTGGAACTAGGGATGAAGCCTTGGGAAATTCCGTGAGTCAACTTTGAAGCCGAGCTTCCTCCGGGCACGCTGTTGACGAAGCCAAGGGCGAAGTCGTGAGCAGTGACTACTGTCTTCTGGTCAATTTCACCAAGCTCAGTGAAGGCTCGGTTCAAAACGCCGACGTTTTCTTTGGTGGAAGGTTGCTGTTGCTGTTGACCATCCGGAAGGCCCTGATAGTCTGGCATGCTGCTTTGCTGATCAACGGCATTGGTTGGGGGACACCCATTGGGCACAGGGACAGTTGCACCAGCGGCTTCGCTGTAAGCCGCTGGCTTCGGGGGGTCAGCCGTGCCATTCGCGTACTGCGACGCATCAGAGCCGTTGGGCATGAGCTTGGAGAGTTTGTTCTTGATAAACTCGTCCTGCTGCTTCTTCAGAGCATTGTAGTTGATATCACTGGCAGCAGTAGCAGCGAGCTTGGGAGCGCGGAATACGCCTTTTCCCACGCCATCGAAGTGAACCTTCCAGGCTACAAGAACATGTTAGTATCAGTTCTACTCTGGGTAGTCGCATAGGAGCAAAACTTACTCGTTGGGTCGGTGGTCAAGTATGACCAGCTGTCGTTGAGATACGCCCTGTCGCCGTTGATCTGAATCTGCTTCAGAGCTCCCATTTTACCAGGAGCGGGGCGAAGGTGCTTCAGACTGCCGCACACCTTGACAAGGGAAGTGATGAAGGTAATGGCAATTTCGCGCCCGAGACACGCGTGAGGCCCGTAGCCTAAGTGGATGTAGGCGCTCTCTGGCCGGTCAAGCTTGAACTGATCTGGCTCAGGGATGGCATCGGTGTCCCTGCATGCGGGGCCCTACTCAGAGTATAATAGTCAGCATTTATTTCAGTTATCCATTCACCGGACCTGGTATCCCTACAAATAGAACAATAACCACATCACCAGGCTTATAAGTCTTTCCATCAACGGTGGTCTCGCTGACACAGACACGGATGTCCCGTTGATCGCTAGTAAGTCTCTGGGCCTCAAGAACATATTTCCGTAGCTCCTTGTCAGCAGACTCGGGATTTGAGCTTGAAGACAAATTTTGAATTGCCTCCCAGTGTTGCGAGTTCTCGTCTTGTAGGAAATAATTCAAGATTTCGGCAAACTAGAGGAGATTGCCATGTTAGAGACAAGTTGTTTCCATGCAAAGATAGAACCAAGGGGGAGTGGAGTGGGCACAAACCATTCCAATTGGCGCACCAACGCCAGCGACAGCAGTCAACCAGCAAATGTCGGCAGCTTCCTCCGGAGACTTTCCAGCGGAGATAAGTTCCTTGACGACGTTCTGGCCATACCACCTCAAAGATCCAGTCTTTACTTTTGCTTCAGCTTTATTGCTGGCCTTGCTGAAAAGTCTACCGACGAAGGGGATCTGTGACATGGTGCTAGTCACAGCCCCGGTAATGGCTCCAGTGGCTTTGGATACGATTCCTTGGGCGTCGGATCTACCCGAGATAACCTTGATGGTGGTCTCAGCCAGAATCTTAGACCCTTCACGGGCTTCCTTTCTGCGTCGCAATGCCAGAGCAGGATCGAAGTTGTTGAAGCCAAAAGTGCGAACACTCATGAGGTACGTATAAAGCTCAGCAGAGTTTAGGCTACCTCCCTTGTTCTCATCGGTCTTCAGGTCCAAGCAGAACAGATCGGCCATGATACGGGTATTCAGAGGAATAGCGACGCTACAGGCGTATCAGTAATCATGTTTTCAAAAGACGCTGGTGATAAAGGATGGCTTACTCCCGGATAATATCAAGCTGGTTCAAATCTTTGCCGAGGCTGAGAGTCTCATCATCCAAGAGCCCCTTGCCAACATGCATTGATGTTTGAGAAAGCAGCTGCATAAATTCAGGCGGGCTGAACATGATCTCCTTGACCAAGTTTCTCTGGGCTGTATTCGCAGCAGTGTCACCACCCAGCATGTAAGAGTTGTACTTCTTGCCAGGGGTCATGTCATTGAGGTTCTTGGCCCAGGTGACGTGGAAGTTCTTCTGGTCATTCATAATCTTAGTCACGGCGGAGTACTTGGCGGCTACATTGGGAGTAGGTGGAGGCGATGGGCCCTGAAGAGTGTACTGGTCAATAGTTCCGATTTCACGTGCAATCTGCTCGTTCATCTTGCGAGTGAACATTGGCTGTGTGCAGTGCAACGAGTTGTAAGGGAACCAGCCGGGGAATGCACGCTGGAATAGCTTCCAAAACATCGACCCTCCAAGGCTGTGGGTAAAGGAAACGTTAACAAATTTTGTGGGTACAGATAGGAAGCAATGGTACTTACATATCATAATCCTGCTGGACTTCCTGGTATCCCCATGCTGTGAGGTTTGAAGCCGTATAGTCCTATAGCCATTTTTAGCACTTTTTTCTTTTTTTTTTCTCTAGGTGTCTTGTGTTCAATCCACGGTCACTTACCACTGTGAGGAATCGGTCAGATCGCACCAAACAGACAGCATCACTGAAAACAGCGCGACCAACAGTGTATGGAGGGCAACCGCCACAACCTAGCCCATTAATTAACAGATATCAACGCTTGTGGATGAAATTTGCTTACCAGGGTCCAAGCGGGGCTTTCCATCCTCAAGGAACAGACCAGGATACATTTCAACCATGTCAGGGTGATCGTAGAGTTTGCGCATGAGGTCAGCAATTTGAGGGTCGGGGTTGATATCCTCAAACGTCTGGTGGCGCTTGAGTCCAAAGAAGCTACGCATCTCATTCAAAGACGCGAGGTTCCACTTTCTGGAAGTTATAATGCCACTGATTTCAATCATCCGGAGTGCCTTGGGAACCATTCGGGCGTTGAATAGGCCCGCCGGGTCTTCCATACTCTCCTTCATGATATTCACAAGCTCGCCGTCGTCAAACTTGCCATTCGCACCACGCTTCAACCCATCAAAGGTACGCTCTGCTGGATCTTCGGGAATGCTCTGCTCAAAGCGCAAAAGACCTTGAACAAAGTCTTGAGGGGTGAGTTGATCGAGTGGCTTGTCCGGGAAGATCTTCTGCATGAATTGGTTTGTCCACTTTTCATCGCGTTGAGAGATGACAGAGTGGAAACGGTACAGGAGGTTGAATTCAGCAGAGACCTGGTTGCCGATGCCGCGCGGAACACCCTCAGGGTCAAACATTCTGCCCACCTCAATACGGGGGTCAAGAGTCCAGTCACTGGCAGAGTGGTGGGTGTTGGTGAGGCCACGAAGGTAGTCGTGCAAAGAGATGTTAATATAGAGACCATTGGTAACACTAAGTCCATGGTCAGTACTAGAAGCTTTGCGTTTGAGGAATATTCTTACAGTCTAGCAGTCTGGAAGATGTCCTCATCTTGCTGTGCGAGAGCTGCCTTTTTGTCCTCTTCCGTTTGGGTAGGTCTCAAAGTGAAGCGACCATTTTCATTGACGTTCAGGAGAACATCTGCAACATAGTTGTGGAAACGGCTGTACATGACAAGCATCACATTGACACCAGGAGGCTGTCCAAGGAGACGCTTCTCAGCAAAAGAATCCGGTTTGAGTAGACCACGCTGCATGGTCCGGATACTCAGCTGGTCCTGGAGGTTTGAACCGTACAAGGGGGCGAGGTCAAGGTAAGAAGAAGTGTCCGAGATACTAGGATCAACACGGTTGGTCCGGAAGCAATCTATAATGTCAGTAAACACCGAATTTACGGCGATTGTCCTTGATTCTTACCATGAATAATGATCGTCGCATGGTAGAATAGAACGGATGAGAGACCAGCAGGGTTCTCCTTGAAGGTATCATCGCTACGAGCCATGAGCACTCGAAGATGTCAGCGTGGCTATAAAAACATTCGGAGGTAGAAGAAATAGCTTACGGTCAAACAGAAGACCAGGGTCAGGGGGAACACCATGCAGGTGCTTCATCTTGGGGACTGTTCTCGCATATGGGCTTCCAGCCTTACCCAGGTCAGGTTGAAGGGGGTTCTGTATCGTAGCTATTAATGAATCCACTCATGGAAACTTAATAGAATAGCCAACTTACGTTGTAGCTTCCGTCTGGGGTTCGGTACTGGAATTTGTTGCCCATATAACTCAAAGGAGGGTGCTGCAAGCTCTTCCACAGAGTGTCGATGATAATTCCAGTAAGTTTGGCTCGCGCCTTAGAGGTGCGGGGCAAGGACGCCGCAATTGCAATCATCTTCTCCATCTATAATAAATGGTGAGCATCATGTTCATTGCCCCATTTGCATCTTCCAGTACTGGTACTTACA